TGACCATCTCACTGTCCTCCTCATCTACTGTCCGATTGAACCAACTTACCTTTGAGGCTGTGGAGAGTCTGGAGGTGATCAGTCAAAGCTTCTAATCGATAGATCCAGTTTACAGACTCCTCAATCAGGTCCGCAGATCGATCCTCTCCTCTTGTTCTTGCTGTCGTGTCTCTGATGAAGTATTCCTCGAGTTTATGAAGCAGCTCGCTCCATGGTCCTCCTCCTCCTCCTCCTGCAGCTCCGCGCGGTTAATCGACTTCCACTTTTCTCCAAACTCTCGTCTGTTTTCTCATCTCCTCTCGATCCACGGATCCGGTTTGATTCACGGGCGTGGATTAAAAAAAAAAGAGCCAGTCCCCGCTCAGGTCCGCTCAGATCCGAGCTGAAATCCCCCGGTCTGCAGATCCGCGCACAGGTGCTGAGCGGCGGACAGATTGATGAGAGCAGCTCGTTGGCCGAAGGAGACGCTCCAACCCCGATCGATACGCAATCGAGCAGCAGCGCGCTGATTGGCTGATTTCACTCTTGATTGCCTTAATGGGTTAATTATGTAATTCCAAACAGGGGAAAGTACCTGGACCCTTTAAAGACTTTAGACAGGAACCAATCAGTCCACTTCATCCACAACCATTTATGTTTATTAGACGGTCACGTGACTAACCAGTCTGAACGTGTATTTTCAAAATAAAGTCTGAGGATGATTATAAAGTCACAGTTTGGATCTTTTTACATCTTTTTAATATATTTCAGGAAAGATTGAAAATATATGTGAAAGACTTTATTATGATTTTACTTTATTCTTTAAAGTTCACATCTCCAATGTAGTTAATCTATATTGTTGTTTAAGTTTGTATTGTTTTTATTGTCTCTGGCTATTTTATTGTAGAGCACTTTGGTAGGACACTAGTTGTTTCAAATGTGCTTATAAATAAAACTGACATTGACATTGACGTTAATTGTAGCTTTCATTTTGTTTTGACTGTTTTAAATATTAACTGAATGAAATAAAGTATGAAAAAGTAAAAAAAAAAAGACACTTTACATCGTTTTCTACTTTTAAAAGAAAGGTTTTAAAAATAACACAGAGTGATTTTTGGACTTCTTAAAATATGATAGATTCATATTGAAGTTCGACAAAGACGTTTTTATGATAACCTGAAAATCACCTGTTTGCTAAAGTCTAATTTGTGTTTTCTTGTGTTTTTGTCATGAGTAACTCGGTGGTTGTTTTAGTTTAGTGAAGGTAAATCCACGAGGCTCTAATGTGGTGCTGGAAAAAAACAAACACTGATGCAACCAGCTGTAAGAAAAATGAGAAACAAACCAGAGTCTAAATAAAAGTTAAAAATACTCACAGTAAAGGTCGTCCCTGCAGCAAACCCACCTCTCGACATGTTTACGTCTACCTGAGCAGGACACCTGAGTGATGAGTTAGACCTCCACCTGGACCCTGATAAATGAGGGGTCTGAAGAGGTCCCTCAGTCTGCAGACCAGGGTCAAGTCAAGTCAAGTTTATTTTCAGAGCACATTTCAGCAGCAGGACAATTCAAGGTGCTTTACATGAAACAAACAGGCAGAAATAAACAGACATTCAACACAATCTGAAAAGGAAAAACAGCGTAAAAGACATTTAACAAATTAAAGTTACAGTCAAAGCTGAAAAAAGATGGAGATGCATGTAAACGAGGACAAGGAGAGAAGTCCGACTCAGAGAAAAAAATCAATTAAGAGTTTGATTAAGTCTGTTAATCTGTGAGTCTGATTAAACTGTGACTGTAAACGAACTGAGTGACCCAGACAGAGAGAGGAAAGGTCAAAACCTGGTACCGGAGTCAGGAGGTAAACCGGGTCTACTCTGAACACCCGGGTCTGTGATCCTGGTTGGGTCAGTTTCTCAGACCGTCTGTATTCACTGAAGGTCTCTGTGTGAGGAAAAGAACAGTCAGTGTTTCTGCATGAGGACCTCTGAGAAGACAGGGTGAGGAGTTCACACCACAGAGAGGAGAAGCGTAGGAGGGTTGGAGTGAGGAGAAGAAGGAGAAGAAGGAGAAGAAGAAGAAGAAGAAGAAGAAGAAGAAGAAGAAGAAGAAGAAGAAGAAGAAGAAGAAGAAGAAGAAGAAGAAGAAGAAGAAGAAGAAGAAGAAGAAGAAGAAGAAGAAGAAGAAGAAGAAGAAGAAGAAGAAGAAGAAGAAGAAGAAAAAGAAGAAGGAGAAGAAGAAGAAGAAGAAGAAGAAGAAGAAGGAGAAGAAGAAGAAGAAGGAGAAGAAGAAGAAGAAGAAGAAGAAGAAGAAGAAGGAGAAGAAGAAGAAGAAGAAGAAGAAGAAGAAGAAGGAGAAGAAGAAGAAGAAGGAGAAGAAGAAGAAGAAGAAGAAGCTGATGTTGTTCGATGTTTTGCTCTGATGAGTCTTGATGTTCTTAGATGTTGTGAATGTTTGATTTATGTTGAAGAGTTTCAGCCTGAAGTTGATTTATCTGAACGGGAGGACGGTTTATGGAGCCATGTTGGGTTTTCAACCATCTGGGTCAGTCTCGTGTTGTATCCTGTATCCTGTCGTTTTTACGGAACAGCTGGAGACAGATTTCCATTTTCTGGGACGATAAAGTTGATCTGATCTTATCTTAGAAAACTGATGTAAACAAAGACACTGAACGCTTTTGTTTACACCAGCAGATCCTCCACGAAGATGAGGAGGTATTTTACCATCTTCTCTCAATTCTCCGTTTCCACCGTGATGCTTGTAACAAAGTTTTTCTGATTTTCCTGCTTTTTCTCTGTTCGATCTCTTCCTCTCTAATCAGACAGGTCCTTGTTCTGTTTCCTCTCGGTCTTTTTAATCTCACTCTTCTTTCTCTCAGAGTCTGTTTGCAGCTCTTGTGTGTAATTCATCATTATGAAGTGAGTCTCTTTAATTTACGTCCGATCTGCTCAAACAAAGACAGAACAGAGAAGAAGAGAAATTCAGATCTGCACATGTTGAAGTCATGACCTTAAAATCATAAAAAAAAACACCTGTTTCTGGTCACCGTCGAGAGTCTGCGGCGAGCAGCACACCTCCACCTGGTCTTTCTTCCCGCTCCTGTCGTCGGTTTAATCAAATGAGTCTTGGAGGGTATTGTGGGTTTAACGGCGGTGATTTAGACTCAGGCGAGGACTGCCAGAGGACAAGGAGGGTCCTGCCAAAAACGCCACCCACCTTTTTACCACCGCGGCTGCTACAATTATCTTTCACATTTGAAGGCCTTTGGAGGGTTACACACACACACACACACACACACACACACACACACACACACACACACACACACACACACACTCGGTGAGACTGAGTGAGTCAGCATGTGGGAATCAGACATCTCACACATATGTGGTTGTGACCTTTGGGTTATTGTAGAGTCTCAGACACGCCGGGTCGGTGTTCAGTCTATTCAGAGAGTTTTCTTCAATAAACTCTTTTTATTAATAAGACCACCGCACAAAGACCACCACACAAAGACCACCACACAAAGACCACAACCCACTGAGAGACCACTAATGTTTCAATAATGTTGATCTGAGCAGGATCTCCTCTGAAGGTCACAGTAAATACATCTCCATCCTGCTCAAATATTCAAAGTCCCACTCTGATAGTTTTACTTTTTTTAAAGGCGGGGTCGGCAGGATTGTGTTAAAGAAGCATCTCTTTTTTGTGGTGTAAATACAAAAAACTTTGAATATCAGTCAATAGTTATTAGTTATTGATGACATTTGGGAATATATCGATATCTCTTTCTGACTGTAAACAAAGCCGTTCTCCACCTCCTCTAACCTGATTGGTTGTGAGGCAGACGCTGCTCCCCCGTGTCGTTCAGGAGCCCAAACAAAGTTAGCGTGCTACAATATCGGACAGTAGAAACCAACCAGAAAGTTCGGAAAATTGTCTGAATCCTCCTTTGGCCACGACTGCCGACACAAGCAAGAAAACAAAGTAAATACCGGAGACTCTGGAGGAATAACGGGCGCTTAAAACAGAGGTAGACCGGACAAGAGCTAAAAAGACGGGTCAACATAAACGATGGGGGACGCTTGGGGATCTTGGTGACCCTGTAACCTTTCTGCTGGACAGGTAAACCGCTTTAACAAAGTAAGACAAGGATTCTGATTGGCTAACGTGGGCTTGAGCTTCTCGCTACACCGCCAACTACAGGTTTGTACACAGATTAGTGTAAACGAAAACTTTTCTGAAAACGCAGTGGTGTGCACAGAAACGGAGAGGGTTAAATGTCCGTTTATGAAACTATCCGGGCACGCGTAAACGTGGTCTAAGTCTGTCAGAGGTTCACAGCGATTTGAATTTTTCTCATATGTCCTGTAGCTTCAGAAAAATGAACATATGACGATTTTGACAACAAGAAAAACATGATTTCCATCAGAGTGGGTCTTTAAGAGCAGAAACAGAGACACAGCTGATGTATGACTGCAGGTTTACACACAGTCAGGTCTGTTACACTGTGACTCCCACAGCTGCAGGTTTTAGTAAAAACAAAGACTCACAATTCTGTATTTGTGCAGAGAATTATCGTTCCTGTCTGACTGTGCACGTTTGTTTTCATCAGCATGTTTCTGTCTTTATGTTGTGAAGGAAAGAAAGGCGGTTTTGTGTTTCTGTAATCAGAGCAACCCTGAGAGTCAGGTGATGGTTGTTTTCCCTGTTATTGACGTGTGTGTAGATTATGACCCTTTCATGTTAGTGTGAGTTCATATTTTTATAGTTAAAGGTTCATTCTTCTCACAGCTCCTCAGACAGAACAGAGAGGACTGAGCTGTGTTTCTATATTTGATTCTCCTTTAGCTCTGTCGTTTTGATTATTTCACATTTTTGTTTCATTCAGGAGAATATTAAACCTTTTAAAGTCCTTTAAACCTTCATTATGTGGTTAATGTGTGAGGAGGGGTCAAAGTTCCTCTGCAGCAGCCGTGATAACCTCGCTCTCTCTCTCTCCTCAAAAACAAAAGAGTTAGCAGGAGTAAGTTAAGGAGATATCGCTGAGGGAGAGACCTCGCGTTAAACAAACAAGAGAACTTGGAAAACCATTACTCAGGCGCTTTAGAGAAAGTTGGGGGAGATTAATCGCAGCCTCGGCACTTTTGTAAGCTTTGGGTTGAATTAGCAGAAACACTGCGAGCCGCTCTGATCTTCTCATGAAAACTCACCAACAGCTGACACCAGCCCTCATCACCATGCAGCGTGTGGACGTACATGGAAGTGAGACTGCATGTTTGACTCCATGCGTGTGTGTGTGTGTCCGTGTGTGTGTGTGTGTGTGTGTTCCTGACAGAATGAGTCACAGTGTTTCTGCTCTGCTTTTATCAAACCATTTCTACAGAGAGTCTAATGAGTCAATACGTCTGTGCCGGCTTTACTGAAGTCCTCACTGATCCTCCTGACAGCTGCTGAGGAGCTCAGAGCTTCAGGAAACAAACAGGAGGATCTGCTTTTTAAAACCCCGACACACACACACACACACACACACACACACACACACACACACACACACACACACACACACACACACACACACACACGGACAATTCTGTGATAGAGGAGCCACGACGATCACAGGAACATGAGACTGTTTTATGTTTTATGTCAGTGAAGGAAACTGTGAGAAGAAAAGACCTGAGATGATTTTAATCTGTAATCTCAACCTCATTCTGTCCAGGTGATCATCCCGCTCCTCAGACCGTCCTCATACGTGGTCCTCGTCTTTCTTCTTCAGCACATGGAAAAGAAAAAAACAACAAAAGCTCAGACTCTGCGGGACATGAAGGGTTAAGAGATCACGCTGTCGCTGTTTAATAAACTCAGTTTGTTACGAACCCAAATGAGAGTCGACCTCATTTTGTGAGCAGCAGATGGCGAGGTCACAGAGCGGTCTATAAGATGGTTTATATTTCTCACCTGAAGGGCGTCAGTCTCTGTTTCTCCTCCTCTGATCCTGCTGAGGTTTTCAAACTGCAAAGTAAAAAATAAAAATAAAAATTAATCCATATTTTGGTCATAAATGCTCAGACGTCAGTATTTGTCACATATTCTTTTTTAAGTTGCGTACTGAATATGAAGCCCTGGAAATATCTTGTTTATTTGATGGTTTATCTTGTTTTTTCTTTTCATTGCAGACCAGAAGAACATAACATGACAAACACATGCAGAGATCATGGTTACTGCTGAATCTGGATGAGAAGAAGCAGCTTGACAATCCTTCATCTGAAGACATGAGGAGAAAAATCCAGTCATGCCTGAAAGATCTGAAGAAACATCTACAGCCTCACCTCTGCAGGTACCAGAACTCAAGAGAAGCTGAATCAGAGTCCAAGACCTGCAGATGTCTCCTGTGGTCCACCATGAAGGGTTCAGAAGGTCTGTAAAGGAGCTGGAGCCCCAGTATGAACTTCCATTATGGTCGTATTGAAGTCCAACAGGTCCAGCAGCTCTTCAGAACAAAGACCTCACACCAGCTGAGAACATCTAACCCACCATGGATGGACTTCTGTTGAGGTCGTTTCACAGCGAATAATGAAGCGAATAATTCACTTTTTTTATAACCTCATAAAGTCAATGTAAGCTTCAACAACAGCTCCGAACTTCCACAGAGAAAAAGGCGACTGTAAATATTTGCAGGCGAACCGCTAAACCTCCAATCAGAATACAAGCCGTTTCTCTGGTCCAGTCGTCTCTCTGTGATCTGTCCTCTCCTTCTGCAAACGTGGAGTCAGCTGATGGAGCAGTTCTTGAAACTGTCAGAGGAACATTTTGAAGTATTGTCAGAATTTCTCAGGATATAATTTCAGCTCCTGGATCGTTGTGAAGCTCCACCCTCTCCTGCCGCCAAGGTCAGTCCTGGATGTACCCAGACGCTCCGATCCCCTCTGTTCTCCTGAGGTGAATTCACGCCACAGACTCACAGAATTTTATTCACGTCACACGAGGTGGGTTCAGGAAAAGGTGCAAGATGAATATTTCACATTTTCACGGTGAGATCCTGCTGTCACTGTCTGATGTTCTCAGCTCGGGGTTCGGTTTAAGGTTTTCTGCTTTTCCCATCACTTCACTAATTCACCGGTTTAGATCTCTAATGTGATTGGTCAAGAAAAACCGTCTTGAACTGGTCGGTCAGATCTCCAGTCTGAGGATTTCATCAACCAGACTGTTTCTATTCAAGGTCACTGGGGCTAAAACCTTTCCCAGCATGCATTGGAAAAACATAGGGGACACAGTTACACCATAGTCCACGCCACTGAGGATCCCCGTCCGTCCATCTGTCTGTTCGTCCGTCCATCCATCCATCCATCCATCCATCCGTCCATCCATCCATCCATCTGTCCATCCATCCATCCATCCATCCGTCCATCCATCCGTCCATCCATCCATCGATCCATCCATCCATCCATCCGTCTATCCATCCATCCATCCATCCGTCTATCCATCCATCCATCCATCCATCCATCCGTCTATCCATCCGTCCATCCATCCATCCGTCCATCCATCCGTCTATCCATCGATCCATCCATCCATCCATCCGTCTATCCATCCATCCATCCATCCATCCGTCTATCCATCCATCCATCCATCCATCCATCCGTCTATCCATCCGTCCATCCATCCATCCGTCCATCCATCCATCCATCCATCCGTCTATCCATCCGTCCATCCATCCATCCGTCCATCCATCCGTCTATCCATCCATCCATCCATCCATCCATCCGTCTATCCATCCATCCATCCATCCATCCATCCATCCGTCTATCCATCCATCCATCCATCCGTCTATCCATCCGTCCATCCATCCATCCGTCCATCCATCCGTCTATCCATCCATCCATCCATCCATCCATCCGTCTATCCATCCATCCATCCATCCGTCTATCCATCCGTCCATCCATCCATCCGTCCATCCATCCGTCTATCCATCCATCCATCCATCCATCCATCCATCCGTCTATCTATCCATCCATCCATCCATCCATCCATCCATCCGTCCATCCATCCGTCCGTCTGTCCGTCCATCCATCCATCCATCCGTCCATCCGTCCTCAGACAGAATAAATAGATTTTTCTAACATAAGTGTCGTCGGCTCGCTCTTTTTCCCTGTTTTTAAACTCACTGAGAGACAAATGAGGGAAAATCCCGAGGACTGATCCGCAGACCGGGTTCGGATCCGACCCTGCAGCTGCTTTGTTACTTACAGGAGCTGGAACCAAAACAAAGCTGACCTTTTCCCCTGGACCAGAAGAGACCTGGTACCAGAGCCAGCTCCAGGACTCCCAAACAGGGACTTTGAAACACCAGGACATTTGTTTTCTGAGCTGACACCGAGCTGTAGGCCTTCTATTGACGGGGGACCGGGTCAGAACAGGACCGAGTCTGAGTCATGAGAGAGGAATGAAGAGGAGAAACCGCAGCGTGTCAATATTTAAAGTCTGTCATTGTTTATTATGTAAGAAGAATATGCAAAAGAGAGTTGTGGCGGAGCGGATCAGCGAGTACAGACGCCAACATTTCCCAGAGCGAAGACTTTCATCTTACGTAACTTCTTCTACATTTTGGGTCTGCGTCTGTTTTGATCGTCGCACAGCTGCAGGAAGGTTTCTCCTTCTTCATGTAGACTTTGTGTTTCCACTCATGAAGAGTTTATGTTAAAGCTTAGAGACTTGATAAGAGGATAAAGACAAAGAAGAAGAGTTTTCATTTAGACATCAGGAAACTGACAAACATCTCGTCTGAATCATGTGAAAAAAAACTCTGTTGACAAGTTGTCGATAAGACCTGGAGCTCAAAGGTCGTCGGTGGAGATTAATTAAGCTCTTGACATTTTCATGAGGAACATAATGATTCAGCTCGTTGGTGCGCACGCCTCAGGAAGGTCGAATCAACCGAGATGTGATGTAAAGGATGTGAAGACGGGAGAAAAGTTCACAGGTTCGAGCTTTTTCCTACAGAAGTTGATGATGAGCTTCAGATGAATGTTTTAAGTGGACTAAAGAAACACACACACACACACACACACACACACACACACACACATACACACACACACACACACAGTGAACCACCCGCCTCGCTGTTCAAAGTCGATCCAAAAGTCCAGAGATCAGAAGTTCTCGACTCTGCAGCGTCTCAGAAAAGAAAAGGCTCTCAGACGCCCGTGGAGCGGCTCCGGTCGGCCTGAAGCAGCAACAGCATGAAAAGAGTTTCCTCCAACCTCACAGTCAGTCTGATATCACACAGTTAGACTTATTTTATACAGTTTATATATTTACCCTCAGCACAAAACCACAAGAAACTACACAGACATGCAAACGACGAAAACGAAAGCAGATACATCCGTGAAGATTTACTGAACACTCAGAGCTCAGGGACAAACTCTGTGACTGAGCTGCTGTTGTTGTTCTGCACATGTATGGAGGTCAATCTGTGCCATCTGATTCTGAATTTCTAAAGCTCATTTTTTTTGTATCAAAATCAGACTTTGAATTTTAAAACCACCGAATTTCAAGCACGCATTTTTATTTCTGATGCTAATTTTTTCACGATGATGAAATAAATTCAGAGTAAAAAAAAAAAAGGTCTCTTAAAATATTCATTTAGTAAAAATTGGACTTGAAAAAACCTGTGCAAAAAAAAAATAAGTGTAAAAGAGAGCGACTTAACATCTGGGTGACCAGGGAGAAGCGATCGATTCAATCTTCCACTGGGTGTCACATGACCAAACTCGCATTATTTGATTGGCTGGACGATGGCTGATTGAGCCGGGAATCCATTGCTTCTCCCTGGTTACCTGGACGTTGAGTCGGTCTCTTTTACACCAAAGTATTTGACACTGAATCTTTTTATGTTGAAATTTTTTTTAAGTCGAATTTTTAAGAAACAAATATTTTGAGAGACCGATTTTTTTTACACTGAATTTATATCATCATTGTGAAAGTAAATTTGATGGCTTTGAAATTCAAAGTCTGATTTTGATGCAAAAAAATTTTAGCTTTAGAATTTTTAAAAATTTAAAATCAGATGGCACAGATTTACTTCCATACACAAGCATACTGTGACCACCAACATGATGGTCTGATGAGAAGAAGAAGAAGAAGAAGACAGAGGTCTCTTAGATCTGCACCAAACTCAAACAGAGACAGAGGAACATCTTCTGATCCATCACTATCCAAGACTTTCATTTATCCAGAGTCAGCTCTCTAAAAAAATCACATTTCAATGATTTTACTCGTGTAAAAAACCAAACAGACGTGTGCAGAGATCACTCAGAGTAAAAATAACTCCTTTGCTTTCTGACTCGTATGCTAACAGATATGATGTGTGGATAGAGCCGCCTGCCTACATCAGCGCGGTTTCTCATGTTTCACCAGCTTCCAATGAGATAAGAGGAATTTCATCTGTATGCTGCAACAACCTGAACCAGACTGCAATCCTGCAGACGACACGGCTCTGCTCTGCTGTCACCGTCAGGAAAACCTTTACGCTGTTGACATTTCCTTTACTTTTATCAGAACCTCACGATCATCTCGCTTCTAGATCGGCTCAATTATGTTCCTGACAAGCTCACAGACGTGGAGCACACGGCGGTACACAGCAGAGTTTCTGCAGCAGCAGCAGCAGCAGCTCTGAAACTGCTCATGTGTTTAACACCGAGTCTGTGCAGAGACGAGAAACCAAAGACTGACTCTCACCCTGAGCTTTAAAATAAGAATCAGTTCAAACGTCAGAAAGAAACGATCAAATCTTCTGCAGCAGGAAACACAGAAGAGTCAGGGAGGATGAAGCGTGAACGAGGATGACGAACCTGATGGATTCATTTTACTTTGATTTAAAGAAGCTGAAATAAAAACATGTTTGTGCAGAAATTTGACTCCAGATGTTGACCTGTGGTGGTAAAATAATGATGGTGCACTGACACCATCATAGAAGTGTTGAGCAGATCTCTTTGTGTGTAATATGGAGGTTTTTTATTCAGATCTTTGTACATATCTTTGATCTAATTTGTGAAGAAGGGTCAGGACTTGATAAACTCTTTGTCAAAATAAACAGTTTAAAAGAAACAGGATGAAACAAACATAAGTTTTTATAAATTTATCTTTGTCATGTACAGTTGTTCGGTGTACAGATGTATTATTTTGTTTGGTGTTTTGTTGTTACTTGTTGAGGATGATCTCCATCCTTTGGTCTGTTGTCGTTGCTCCACGTTCAGCTGAAGGATCGTACAGGTGGTCCCCGTCAGTCTCTCTGGTTTTACTCTAACATGCGTCCTGCAGCAGCGTGGATTTCCTAACTCAGAGCTGATGCATGTTTCCTCGTTTGGATCTAAATCAAGTTACTTCATATTTTTCTGGTGAATATTGATCGGGGTTTTCTCGCTCTAAATCAGCAGCTCATTAAGTTTGACGGCAGGTCTGTCCTTGTTTTGTTATTTTATGGGTCTGATCAGCAGAGTGAGATTCAGCTCAAAGGGCGGACTTTTCCCACTTGGCAGGTCGCCTGGAGTCTCCATATTCAATCATGTACAGCAGAGAGAGAGAGAGAGAGAGAGAGAAAGAGAGAGAGAGACAGAGAGAGAGAGAGAGAAAGAGAGAGAGAGAGAGAGAGAGAGAGAGAGAGAGAGAGAGAGAGAGAGAGAGAGAGAGAGAGAGAGAGAGAGAGAGAGAGAGAGAGAGAAAGAGAGAGAGAGACAGAGAGAGAGAGAGACAGACCACCGCAGGAAATAAATGTCCAGGTTATTAGGCTGAGGCTCAGATGTCGGTCTCTTTTCAGGCTGGAGGTGGAGGGACTTTAGAAACCAAATTCAGACTCATGGACCAATGAGGAGGAGATGGAGTCTCTGCTGCTTTGGTCGGTTTACAGAATTGAATAAAAGAGAGGTGTCTTTATGCAGCTTAGCAAATAATAATAATGACCGCTGTGAAAATGTTGATTTCTGAATCTTTTCATTACTGCACAAACAGTCGACACAGAAGCTTATAGATGAACTTTAAACAAATTTGGAAAATGAAGAACAAGCAGTCAGTTCCAATTAAATTCCGATATAATGCAGATAAATACTTCAGATCATTACAAATGGGGCCCAGTCAAGGTGAAAGTCAAAAGCATTGGTGCTACTGTAGATGCCAACAGACTACCAGCAAACACAATGTTTGCAGGACTTCTACAACGAGGATAAAGTGACATAGTCCAGGACCCGAGGGAGGACAGTTTAGCGATGGCGCTACAACACGCTACAGCAGGTCCGTTTGACAAGAAACACTTCTGTTACAGACACTTGTCTTACTTTGTTAAAGCGGTTTACCTGTCCAGCAGAAAGGTTACAGGGTCACCAAGATCCCCAAGCGTCCCCCATGGTTTATGTTGACCCGTCTTTTTAGCTCTTGTCCGGTCTACCTCCGTTTTAAGCGCCCGTTATTCCTCCAGAGTCTCCGGTATTTACTTTGTTTTCTTGCTTGTGTCGGCAGTCGTGGCCAAAGGAGGATTCAGACAATTTTCCGAACTTTCTGGTTGGTTTCTACTGTCCGATATTGTAGCACGCTAACTTTGTTTGGGCTCCTGAACGACACGGGGGAGCAGCGTCTGCCTCACAACCAATCAGGTTAGAGGAGGTGGAGAACGGCTTTGTTTACAGTCAGAAAGAGCGGACCGCTCACAACATTCATCATCCCAAGACGCCTGATGAATGAGTTTGAACTCGTCATCATAATGAGGACAGAAAGAAGACGACAGGATCCACTCCTGCAGTGAAGTTGAAGAATGAGAAATCTATGATAATCAATCATGATATTGATAATCTCAGAGCTCATCTCTGTCTGCTGAGTTTAAATCTGTTTGTGTTTCTCGTCTCTAAATCTAACCGCTCACTTTACAGTGTCCTCTTATCGGTTTCAGTCGCTCGCTCTGTAATCATGCGCCGCAGCTGTACTTCACATCGAGAGGTTAAGTGCAGAAAAATCCTCACATATAACCTGAACACACACACACACACACACACACACACACACACACACACACACAGACACACACACACACAGGTTCTCATCAACAGCCTCTCAGTTTAAGGGTCAATAGAAACTCTCACTTCGAGCTCGTTTGGGTGTCACAGGTGTCTCGGTGTCTCAGCGTGTCAGCGGCGAGGATGATAATCAGCTCACAGTCATTCGGCTCACAGAGCGCCCTGGCTCCTCGCCGCCTAACCTGCTGCCAGACGTCCATTCATCAATCAGCCTCTCATGGCAAAACAAGCTCAGAGCGCAGAGGTGAGAGGAAAACAGGCCCCACCGGGTACACACTCATCATCGCTGACACACACACACACACACACACACACACACACACACACACACACACACACACACACACACACACACACAGGAGAGGAGACAGGGGTTCAGATCTGTGCAGGTTTCTATGATGAATGTCACTGTAGACAAAGATCCCACTGAGTCTGCTCAGTGTTCAGGTTCAAACTTCGCTGTTTGTCAAAACTACAGACAGAATAAAACATGACTGTGAAGTTTTTCAATGGAGGTCACTGTGGGGGACACGAAAACTCAACCCAACTTTCAGGTGACCTATCAGAGAGCAGAGAGGTGGATTGGAGGCGGTCCTTTCCCCCACAGCGTCACCGTTTCAGATGCTGTGGAAATCCCGGGTTAAAGACCCACTCCGATGAAAATCATGTTTTTCTTGTTGTCTACATGTTCATTTTTTTCCTGATGCTATAGGAAATATCATGAGAAAACTAAGTGTGAAACTGTAAACAGCAGACTCAGACACGGTGAGATTTCTTATGTCACAGTTCCAAGCTCCGCCCCCGGAGCCTTGCTATGCAGACCAGACTCAGAGAAACAGAGAGGACGATCACAGAACAAGCGTGTGCGTTAGCGGATTGCAATGCTTGTAAGAAAGCTAATTATGATATTAACTTTCATCATGTCAGAGCTGAATAACTCCTATGTTACCTGCCACTTCTACGACACCAGCAATTTTAGGCTACAAGCTAACGTGGAGGGGAGTGTGCAGAGCAGCACTGACTCCGCCCACAACTCAGAGGTGAATTACTAATGAGCTACTAGAGCTCTGCAGAAGAAAAGACCATGAATAATGACACAGGTAACGTGATTTAGGCTAAAAACTTCATAATCACAATTTAATGACCACTGAGAAGACTTTTAAAAAATGATCAGAGTGGGATTTAAACTCCTTATAGGACCTTTAGACCCCCGAGGATAAAGCAGTCTTCACTTATTTTGTCTTTCACGTTAAAACAGAAATCTAAATCTTCTGTCACTTAATGGTTAATTTATTATAAATATATAAAAACAGGTCTGTACACTGGTCTCAGGCATTTAACATGAACAGACATATAAACTTGATGTGCTGTTAGATGTAAATGAAACAATTCAGAATTTGATTTATGTAATAATATTAATAATCCAAATGTAATAAAGATTTATGTGTGTGATGTTTCTGTCTCAAAAATTTTAACTAAATGAATCTCAGTTTATCATATTTAGACCGTATTCTTACATATTAACGGAATAAATTTAATTGTTTTAAAAATTACAGATTTATTCAGATTTTAAGAAGTTTGAATAAATGAATAAAAAAAAGTTATAATTTAAATAAAATGTAAATACTAAAAATAAACCCTGTCATGATTAATTTTTCTGAGTGTATGAAAATCGTCATGTTTTCTCTGGATACTGTGAAAATCTCTATAAACAGAAACTGGTGTCGAGTTTGTGACTGATGAACTGTGGAGGGTCTCGCTCCCCTTTAACATCATTAATTAAAACTCAGATAATAATTTGAAATGAGGTGATTAGTCTGTATGTTGATTGTAAATCTTTTTTTATGCAAATGAAGCAGGAATTAAAAACTCTGACACTCTCATGTTTGCTTTGAATCTTAACGACGAGGTTCACAGCTGACTGTAAATAAATCAGAATAATCCTGATCCAGAGTTTGTCCTGAGTGTTTGAGACATGAGAGACATGAGAATCTGTTTGATGAGGTGTGATAGTCAGAGAGGATTAGCAGGAACATCTCGTCATAAACAGCCGTACGTCTGAAACATCTGCCTGACCTCAGATAAAACCTCATATAACAGAGGAGATGAGTTCTCAGGTTATCTCTCCCTGCAGGTTCATGGATTAGGTCCGCTCAGCTGACATGAAACTTCCATGAGGTGAAGATCCCACCTGCATGAGGAAATGATCGTTCGCCTTAACCTTCAAAATGATCCTTTAATGACATTTCCTTTCTGTTTGATCAGTTATGAAAGCGACTTGATGGCGACTTCGCCCGAGGAAGGAATCATGCAGGACACGCAGCAGGCAATTAGCGCATCTCTCTTAATCGCTCTGCAGCCGTTTAACACTCATTACTGAGACAGATTTTCTCTGATTCATCACTTCACTGTGTGATTTACCACCACTCAGTTGTCAGGCAAGAATTCATTACACCATCAGCATGCAAATAAAGCATCAATATGCAGAACGGCGCCGCGGTTAGACGGTCATTTGGTTAATTGAGTCACTTTGTTTGAGGAGAGGATTAGCATGTGAGCTAATCAAGGTGGATCTTCACAGCAGCAGCAGCAGCACCTGCCTCACACAGACGGAGGGTAAATGTCAGCAGCACAGAGTTTTTCAGTCCGCTCTCAAGTGACAGAGTTTAATGAATTCAACGAGTGAACACCGAGGCCCCGCTGCACAGGAGGTCAGGTGTGTTTAGAGAACATCTACAGTCACAGCTCTGCGCTCCGCTGATGCTTTTAATGACGGGAGGAAATGAACACGCAGGATTCAAGCAGCTGGAAAAAGCAGATCAGTGGGAAACTCCTCCCACAGCAGAATAACACAGATCTGATTTAATATATTTATTTATTATCACACAAATAACTGACAGGGTGAATAAATGAGATTAAAGTCATGGCCTGGATTGCAGGACAGGATGTGGCTCAACTTTTCCCAATAGTAGACGGTCAAAGTCAGGCTGCTCTCATATCTGTGCCTGCTGCTTTTATTTTCCTGCTCTATAATATAATATAATGTAATATAATTAAATTAGGGTAATGCAAGAAAATCTTCAGCTCGACAAAAATAAGAGAAAAGGCGAAAAAGGTGAACGGTACGAAAGAGGATTAGTGACACAAGAAAAGGAAAAGTAATCACAGGAGGGAGATTTTTTTAATTTACGTTTTGAGATTAAAGTCAAAATTTTTAAAAAGTCGAAATGAAAAAAATTGAAATTTCAAGATAAAAGACGAAATTTTAAAAAGTCAAAATGAAAAAAATAAAAATTTCCAGATTAAAGTGAAAATTTGAAAAAAGTCAAGTGAAAAAATTCCAAATTTCAAGATTAAAGTCAAAATTTCGAGAAAAAAAATCATAATAAACTAATCACCAACAATAATAAAGTCCTTTTATTCTAACCTTCTGTTTCAAATGACAGTTGTTAGAATGAGACACGTGGAGCATTTGTTGAAAATGTACTTTTATATTTGTTTCTCAAACAAGGAGATTTTTGATCTTTTGGCACATCAGCACCACATTATCATAACTATAGTAGTAATAGTTTAGTACGACTTCATTCTCGTTGGTAATGACTTTATTCTAGTAAATTAACTTTAATCTCAAAGTCTTTATTTATTTTGATTTTAATGTGGCCCTAATACTCGGTTGTACACTGTCCACTCACTCACCAGGCTGCTCTCACATCTGCCTGCCGTTATTATTTGCTGTTATAATATAATGTAGTATAATTAAATTTGGTTAATGCAAGAAAATCTTCAGCTCGACAAAAACCAGAGAAAGGCTGTAACAGGGTGAGCGGTTACTACTCTCACATTTTCAGTGTCAAACTAACCATCTGTGCAGTGAGGCGGTAAACAAAGGAATATACTGTGGACTGTTCATGTTGTTTTCACGACTCTCAAACTCTCCGATCTGTATGTTCATCAGAGCGCCAACACGCTCAGCTCTGCTCTCCTGAAGGCATCCATGTAGAGAGAGATGAGAGCTGCAGCAGCAGCACAGGTTCACACATTCAGGGATCAGGATGTACAGAAACAGACGTGATTACCATCATCATCGTCATTACACAGGGGAGGAGAGGAGGACAGAGCAGCAAGTTTACGGGTCGAAATACACGCAGGCTTCTGAACACGTGTGCAGGATGGATTCACACCAGTGCACAACTGATCCAACAAACAACAACAACAGGATAAGCCTGTTTTTGTCCTGATACAGAGGAAGAAAGTCCAAACGGATCACAACAGCATGAAGAACAGATCCGTTATCCTGTGAGAGGGATTTAGAGCTGCTGACCTACACGTAGGGCTGGGTGATAAAACAATTACGATATATCCTACTGAGCATCTTTTGGTCTAAAAGAGGTCTAATAGACGTCTAAATGAAGCCGACTGGTCTATAATCAGACTACCACAACTTTAAGAATGAAAGATTTTTAGACGTCTAAATTTAGACCAAGTTTAGACTAAATCTAAATCTGGGCTTTATCTATACTACACTGTATTTTGCTTAACTGCTATCCTAATTATTTTGGTTAAGTTATGAAACTCACAGTTGCTTTTTGAAATACATAGTTATTGAATTAGGGGTTAAGGTGCAACGTCTGAATTACGTCTAAATATATACAGAATCTAAACGGTTGAAATTAGGTCTAAAAAAAATTAGCCGTCTAATACCTGTTTATTGCTCAGTGGGATATTGAAACTTAATTTCCCTCAATATCGATATAAAATATGATCAATACTCTTTTCAGCTGTCGTCATTCTGTCATGTTTTGGTCGACTATACAAACAGCCAATGAAAAGGGGAGTTTCTCCGGGTCTGAACCAATCATGTTCTGAATTAGAACCAAGTATCAACCAACTGCGTCGTAGCAGACAGAAATGACCATGAATGCTCAACAGATGACCACATCGTCAACACTGGCGTTACGAAATGCAAAAGGTTACAAACCCCGAGAGGAGCGAGGAGCCCATGGCGCCTGAAACAGACGACCATTCAGTCGGCTTTCTCTAGAGCAACGCCTTACGACAAAACATCAAACTTAATGTATTACAACAGACATGCTACCGATAAACACTGTTACACTTCATTTTTTATATTGTGATATTGATCAATATCAGCTGATATGAAAAAAACATCGTGATCGTGATAAACTCCCATATCGCCCAGCCCTACCTACACACGGACACGGACAGGATGGATGTCTGTAGGAAACCACAGACCCCTAAACTCATCCACCCTAACATAAACAGTCCCTGTATATACAGTACACACACACACACACACACACACACACACACACACACAGAAGCTGAGGGGGTGAAGGTGCACTGAGTGATGGTGTGAGAGCGCCCTGTGAACGCTCTGCACCGTCTCCCCCATCCCTCAGATTCTCACTCCGATAACATCCAGAACATTAAACAGCCATCTGCAGGAGACATCATCACTTCCACAGACACTCGAGCTTTCAGAGAATCATCTACAGAGAGAAACTCCACAGAGCAGCCGGAGACACACGAGAACATCTCAACAACGTTGTCCTCTACATGTTTGAAAAGTCCTCCAGTTATTTCAGTGACCGTCTGCTGTTTTAACAACAGTCCACCAGACTGACCTGAACTCGGCCAACAGAGAACGCCGGGCTCACTTAGCTGGCACAACTTTTACTGGACATCCTGTCAATATGAGGAACGAGGCTCTTTATTCTGCTTTTATTTTGTAGGTCTTCAGAGAGGAAATTGAACTCTGGACTGTAAAAATACTTGAAAATAAAACACTCCCTCCTTTCCTGCCAAAACTGCACTTTACAAACCCAGAGGAGGAACAACAAACAAACAAACAAAGAGAGCTTTCTGGACGAGCCGAGGCCGTTTTAGTGTCCATCTGCTGTTTGTTTGTGTGAACGCTGAGAGACGAGATACTTCATTTTCTGTTTATGGTGTGTGTTTGATATGAACGTGTATAAATGAACGTACTGTTGACAGAAAAAACACTGAACTCCGACATGAACACTCTCCTATTTTAAACACAGTTACAGATTAATAATCTCCGTTATTGATCATCTGTCCTGTCTGTCAACGCTGAGGGAGGAGGAGCGCTGGAGGATGTTTAAAGCTAATTTATCATTTAAAAATGATCTCTGCATTTATATAATGGATAATAATGTTTATTTCACTGTGATCTGCATCCTGAAATGTCTTTAGATGACACAGACACACAGTTTAACATCATTTTGAACAGACAACAACAGAATAACTGATTTTACTTTGTCCTCAGAGTAAAATGGAAATAAATCAGGAATCATTTAAACTCTGTTTTTAACAGAAAATAGGTGCAGTATTTGTTTTTAATGGAGGTGGGGTAGGCAGGAATCCATTAAAGAAGCATCTTTTCTTTTTGTGGTGTATAAACAAAACATCTTTAATATCAGTCAATAGTTATTAGTTATTCTCCACCTCCTCTAACCTGATTGGTTGTGAGGCAGACGCTGCTCCCCCGTGTCGTTCAGGAGCCCAAACAAAGTTAGCGTGCTACAATATCGGACAGTAGAAACCAACCAGAAAGTTCGGAAAATTGTCTGAATCCTCCTTTGGCCACGACTGCCGACACAAGCAAGAAAACAAAGTAAATACCGGAGACTCTGGAGGAATAACGGGCGCTTAAAACGGAGGTAGACCGGACAAGAGCTAAAAAGCCGGGTCAACATAAACGATGGGGGACGCTTGGGGATCTTGGTGACCCTGTAACCTTTCTGCTGGACAGGTAAACCGCTTTAACAAAGTAAGACAAGTGTCTGTAACAGAAGTGTTTCTTGTCAAACGGACCTGCTGTAGCGTGTTGTAGCTCCATCGCTAAACTGTCCTCCCTCGGGTCCTGGACTATGTCACTTTATCCTCGTTGTAGAAGTCCTGCAAACATTGTGTTTGCTGGTAGTCTGTTGGCATCTACAGTAGCACCAATGCTTTTGACTTTCACCTTGACTGGGCCCCATTTGTAATGATCTGAAGGATTTATCTGCATTAGATCTGAATTTAACTGGAACGATACGAGCGAGCAGGAGCGTCTGTTTGTGGGCGGGGCTTAAGAGGAGGAGCTGAGGGGAAAACTGGTTGGAGGGGTAGAGTTTACATTCAAGATTTCTCCTAAAAACTGGAACTTCCTCAGATCCTGACTACCCCACCTTTAATCTCATTTCCATCTCTCTGTAACTCTGATACTCTGTTCTACTTTCAGGTTCCTCTTCTGCTTGTTCTTCATTTTCCAAATTTGTTTAAAGAATAAAGTGAGAGAGTTTTCTGCTGACTGAAATAGTTTAAAAAAACTAAAACTTAGACGAAAACAAAGAGACACTGAGGAAACACGAGGACATGAGGGATGAAACGAGCATCGATCAGTAAGGAGGGAAAACACAGGAAGTAGGAGAAGGAACTACAAAATAAAACAGGAAACACTGAAAACAGACATGAATAAAGACCAACATGGAAGAGAAAATATTAAAGAAGGACAAACTAAATAATGAGAATTAATCCTGACAGTCTGGGTGGTGGTTTTATTTTGTAGTCCGTGACTCTAACAGTTTGAAGATCCTCCTCCAGTTTGTTTTTAAGAGCCCCAGCTTTTATGAACCGTGTTTTTACTTGTTAACGATGTTTTTCCTCGTTAATTATAAACCTGATTGTCAGCTAACTTACAGAAATTCTTTATCCCAGCTCTTTCTTTGAGATTAGAGGGATAATGTGCAGAAAAACCTACAAAAACGAGTCCAACATCAGAGGAGCGATGATGAAACCCTGTTTGATGAATGTATTTCAGTCATATATCTGAGGCGCTCACACTTCAAAGACTCCAACATTATCAGAGTCTGGGGGCATCGATGCTTTTCAGTGTTATTTTTGTCTTTAATTACTCGGTGGGTGTAAAAGCTCGCTCTAAAACTGGATCTTAACTGAATCCTCATTAAACATAAACAGTCAGAGCAGCGGAGGAGAGATCCCGCTGTACGTCCTCCATGACTTACAGCTTGTCGTGTGTGAAGACGTCTCCCTCTTACCTTTACCTGTCTGTTTGAACACGGTTACCTCATCAGGACTTCTGCTGGTCAGCGATCACGTCAGGATGATGCCACCTAGAAAAAACAACATTTTTACAGAGAAGAGGAAGACGATCGTCCCCCTTTATTCAGATCAGACAAATAAAACACGTTTCTCTGTCCACAGGAGTCTTGGACTCATTATTCACAGCCTGGTTTTCTTACTGCAGTGGACCTCAAAGCTGTTGTGGGGACTTTCAAATGTGCTAAAGAGAGTAAGAGAGATGTGAATCTGTAAATCTGTGTACAAACACTTATTTAGTCCGCTGGAAATGAGACCTCCACACTAAAGCGAGAGAAGACACCGAGAATAAATCAGGTAGAAGCTGCAGCAGCAGCAGAGACAGCCTGTTACCTGCAGCTCCTCTCCTGGGCGGTACCGTCATCCTCACTGTCTTCAGGCGGGTTTCTGCTCTGCTGCTGTCAGATATCTCAGCTCACAGACCGGGCCGCACTGAAACAAACAGCTGGAGGAACCTGTGAGCAAACCAGGACAGTCAGAGTGTCGTCTTTACTCCTGACCTCCTCATCCTCGAGTTTGATCATCTGGATTTTTCTCCGACATGAGGAATTAAACGTGTACTTCCAGTTTATTTCAAAACGAAGGACCTTGATGCACTGAGGGCTGGCTAAGAGTAAATCTCATGGTCCTCATGTCTGCTCTGATGGCTCCAGTATTTGGAGGAACAGTCTGAGGATCTATGGACTCTGATTTTCACCGTTGTTTTTCAGCCACATTTCTGCACCCTGCTGTTCACCATCCATGTTTGTGAAATACTCAGTCAGATCCCATCCTGAGGGACTGAATCCCCTCCTGCTGTTAAAGGTCTGTGAACGACAGTAAAGATGAGACCTGAGAGGAGCTGCTCCGTCCAAGTTCGAACCTTCTCTGTCTTCTTTCTTCATCAACAACGTCTCACCTGTCGGCCTCAGAGAGCGGTCCAGGAACCTTTTTCCACGATGACCGTCTCTGTGCTCTGACTGGACTCTCCAAAAAACACACAATACACAGAGAACCTGCCCGGGTAGCACAAAAGCCTTAATGCACCAGACTGTGTGTGTGTGTGTGTGTGAGTGTGTGTGTGTGTGTGTGTGTGTGTGTGTGTGTGCTGCATATAAAACCCACAGAAACAAAGGCTCAGAGTCCCAAATACATTTATTATGTGGATCTATCCAAACAGCTGCTGTTCCTCCCAGCAGGGAGTCACTGCGACCGGAGAGGAAGGAAGGAAGAAAGAAAGAAAGGAAGGAAGGAAGGAAGGAAGGAAGGAAGGAAGAAAGAAAGACCTCAGCGGACAAATCAGGAGGGACAAAAGGACAAAAGGAGAGGAGGTCTACATCCAGATAAAAACTGAGAAAAGGATTTGGGTTTCAGATTTGGATTCAGGATTTCAGATCTGATTCAGGATCTAGATCTGGATTCAGTAAAAAAATCAGTAACAAAGTCTTCTGTGGTCAAACTGGACTGGAGGAGGACCAGCACCTGGATCTGAGCTACGTAGGACCACCGTTTCAGATCATAGAGTAAAAAACAATCTAGAAGAAGAAGAAGAAGAAGAAGAAGAAGAAGAAGAAGAAGAAGAAGAAGAAGAAGAAGAAGAAGAAGAAGAAGAAGAAGAAGAAGAAGAAGAAGAAGAAGAAGAAGAAGAAGAAGAAGAAGAAGAAGAAGAAGAAGAAGAAGAAGAAGAAGAAGAAGAAGAAGAAGAAGAGGGGAATGTCTGGAAAATTAAAGTGTTTCTGTCAGTTTTGGGGTCGATCGTGGGTCTAAGCCAATCAAATTAAAGATCTGATTGAAACAAAAACAGGAAACGTTCAGGAAAGACGGAGCGCAGCTGTAAATCTGTGAATCTGGAACTAAACAGATGGAAATAAAACCATGAAAGTCTCATTTCCTTCATTTTATCATCACTCACTCACTCACTCACTCACTCACTCACTCACTCACTCACTCGCTCACTCGTTCCTCTCGCTCTCTCTCTCATCATCAGCATCCTGAAACGTCTTTGGTTTTGCTGCGTCGTTGGAAGCGTGTGTCTGCGGGGTCAAAACCTTGTTCCCGGGCTCCGAACAGAGCCCAGCTGGGGGTCTTGGCCACGTAGTCTAACGCAGAGAAGCTCTGCCGTCCCTCGCTCTCTTCGTGAAGCTGGACCAGCTCCTGGAAACGCTCGTAGTCGATCCACGTCCACCACTCGCCGTCCACTTTGAACTGAAATCACACAGAGAGAGAGACGGAGACAGCAGGAGACGTGAGGACAGACACCTGGAGACCTGCATGAAGACAAACTCTGAAACAATAAAGAGGTTCTTTAAAATGAAGTCAGTTCAGTGTTTGTTTCAGAGAGCTGAGCTGCTCCTCCTCTGTCACAGCGCCCAAATGTTCCTGGATCTATCGCTCTTAAATCGCCGATAACTCGGCCTCGCTCCGCTGCGTTTCATCGACTGTAGACACTCGGGACACCGGAGTCAGCTGAAACACAGTCAAAGATGTTCCCATCCGTCACCCCGTCCACCAACATTCAATATCATGAGAGGAGACCTCCTGAGTTTCTGAGGAGAACCAGACTGGATTCTGCTGATGAGACGTGATGATCATCTCAAACTCATTTATATCCACACTTCTCACTGTAAAGACCATCGAACCCTGACCGTCCTGGTTTAAACCTGGACCTCTTCTTTATTAGAGGTCATATTTGAGTGTTTGTTTTGCTGGTTAAGGAGTCTCAGAAGCGTCTCACTGTGATTTTTCTGTCTGTTTCTGACCTCCTCACAGCTGACTCACTGGAGCTGTTTCGACGCTGATGAACTTTTTTAACTAACATTAAGCAAATCTGATACATCCCGAATATCTTCATTAAAATAAACTAATCTGAGTGTGGAGACATCTGTTGATTAATTACTGGAAACCTTAATGTGCTTTAATAACCATGATGGAGGAATGAGGTCTCTGAAAACATCAGAGAGTCACGTCTGCCACCTCTGGTTAGTGAAGTCTGTTAATGGTCCTGGACTCTCTCCTTCTCTCCTCACATCTCTCTTTTTATCAATCACTGCCTCTGACTCCTTCATGCAGCTCACCGTCCGCTTCATGAGAGAGAACGAAATCAGAGAAAACTGGAGGAGCGGGGAGAGAGAGCGCTCTGATTGGCCGTGAGGAGAAAACTAACCACCAGAGCAGCTTCAGAAAAACCCTCCGACATCTCTAATCCTGCTTGTTTCCTCAGGAGTGGGACCTTTTACTTTCCCAGCATGCAACAGGGCACTCCAGTCGATACTCAACCATGGATTCGTTTTTGGACTCAGTTATAGACAAGCAAAGAGAATCAGAGTATATATGAGTTGGTTCTGAAGTAGGGCTGGGCGATATGGAGAAAAAGTTCATCATGACTTTTTTTTTCATATCAGTCGATATCGATAAATATCAGGATATTAAAAATGAAATTTAACAGAGTTTATTGGTCGCATGTCTTTTTCAATACAAAATCTATTTGTGAGGTCTTTGTGTCTCTTTGACGTTTTGTCGTAAGGCGTGGCGATGTTAAAGTGCTATGGTTGGGTGTAGCTGCTGTCTGCTACGACGCAGCTGTTTGATACTTGGTTATAATTCAGCACATGATTGGTTCAGGACAAAGTGGACCCAGAGACACTCCCCTTTTCATTGGCTATTTGTTAGGGGCGGGAGAAAAATTTTGAGTCACAAAAGTATTGCAATTTTTTTCTGTTTTACAATTTTTAAATCGATTTTTATGTTCAAAAATCTTTTTTTTTAATTCAAATTTCGGAGTAAATCTTAAAAACTGACTTACATGTAATGTGTATTACTATTATTATTATTAAGGTGTTACAAATGCAAAATAAAAATCAAGAACATCGACAATATTGTAGAATCGCATTTAAATCAAATCGGCATCTAAAAAATCGTAGAGGAATCGAATCAGGAGAAAAGCATTTCTTCTCAGCCCGACTCTTCGTATAGTCGACCAAAACATGTCAGAATGCCGACTATTGAAAAGCTTATTGACTGTTTTTTATCCTGATATTGAGGGAAATTAATTTTCGACATATATCGTTATCGTTTTATCGCCCAGCCCTATTCTGAAGTAAAACCGCTCCTTGGTGAGTTGACTGACTGACTCACGGAGGGATTGGAGAAGGTCATGTTCAGTCGTCACTGGAGATCGCCGTTTCTCTTTAACTCTCAGTATTTAGTCTAAAATCTCTTTCCCAGTTTGTGAGGCTCTGATTGGACCAGGCGAGCGCGCTCAGCTCCGTCTGTGAACTGCTTCACATCTGTTCGTGTCACACAGAGAGACCAGAGAGTTCGGATTGGATTAAAGCTTCTTTTTAGAAAATTACAGCGAGGAAGAGTAACCCACAATGTTCTTCTCACATTGATTTGCAAAGTTAAAGACTTTCCTGCTGGAGATGACGGCTCTCTGAGGGAGCGGCCGCATTAAGCGCTCGAGCCTTCAGATGCCTGCGCCGGCCTCGGCTATTAGAGAGGAGCTGCCCGCCGCATCGCTAATGAGGCCTGAGAAAAGGGGGAACGTATGAAAGCAGCGCCTACTGGGAGTTAATGTTTCTGGTAATGAGAAGGAGAGATATTTGTTCAGCCAGAATCTCTGCAAACAATTTCAGTCTCCGAGCAACAAAGCAGAGCTGAGCTGTCTGCGGGGAGAACAAGACCGGTCTCTGCTGAGGACGGGAGGAGCAGCGTGTACGAGAACACGCCAATGAGACTGGAGACCATCAGATCTGACGTAGGGCTGCATGATTCATCGATTTTTAATCATAATCAGATTATTTAACTGTGACGATGTTAGAATAATTACAATCCTCAAATCGATTTTCCTCTCTGTCATGTCTCGCCCCTCCAGGCCACCGTAGGCTCCTCCTTCCTTCCACCAGTGTAAACGAACATGGCGTTTGTAAAAGAAGGCGATAATTTCGTGGTTAAATAGGACAAGAGCGAGTCAGTCGTTGAATTGGTATGGCTTCACAGTTTCAGATGAAGAGTAAACCACTCCCCGCTGTAAAGTCTGTCTGAAGGCGGTATCAACCCGTCACCATGGAAACGAATTCAGGAGGAAACGCTTAATTCTCTTTTTTCACATCAGTCATGTGGCTGTGATGATGAGGAGACTGAGGGAGGTTCTCACGACTACGGTATCTCTACACGATGATGAGGACAGAGCAGGTGAGAAACGCCGTCATGTCAGCGGCTCGAATGACAGACATCGGTTCAAACTCGGACGAATCAAACGATCAAAGTCAGAATTCCTGCTCAGAACTTCAGAGGTACTTAAAATCTAAGACAGCAGCTTCTGTTCTTCATCGATTTATCAGCAGCTTTTTCCTGTTTTGTGTCTTAAAATCATGGTTGACGATTGTAGAGGTTGTTAATTATTATGAACCTCGTTTCTATGGCGATCATGGTCCTAAAGTGCGATCTCCACAAAGTGAAGAGAAAAAAGAACGAAAAAAATCTGTTCACCCTATCAGGTGCAGGGCTGCAAAAACATTGACCAATGGGAGCCATCCATCCCGGACAGCTCCTATTGGTCAATCTCCTGCTCCGCCTCTCCATCCAATCACCTCGCTGTATTCATCACACCCCTCTCGCGTAGTTCCGACTCGTCCCCTCCCACTCTCACGGCCCTCCTCGGAGCTCTGAGCGGGTAAAAGTAGCGTAGCAGCTTAGCTACAGGAGCTGTGATGGAGAAGGACGCAAAAAAAAAAAAAACACTTCTGCTCGCCACACCGCCAAAAGAGGGACGAAAACGCAGACAGAGGAAAGGGCGGAGTGGAAGAGGACATTTGACCACGCTTTTTTCAAATCTGCCTCAACGGCTCCGTTTTTTTCAAGATCGTCAACCAGGACTTTAAATCAGTCCCACTGATAATAACGCTGTGAAACGATCATGTTGTTGTGTTACTTCTGCATGTTTCCCATCATGTGTCCGATATCCTCTAACGATGAAAACATCCACAGCAGCTCCTCTCTGCTCTCAGAGTCACGTCCTTCTAAGTTTGAGGTAAACGCTCGACAGGATCAGTTTTCAGGCTGTTTAAGTTTTTCTAACATTTTTATTCTGAACTTTTGAGGCTCGCCTGTTTGTTGAACATTTCATCTCTGCGCTGACGGTCTACATGAACACCATCACAGCAGGAGGCTGAAAGCAGATCTTTGATGAATCTTTGAAGACACTGACTCCAAAAATGGACGACATCCCCAGACTTTGAAACACGCAAACACAACAACAGACCGACTGATAGCAATGATCTGGAAGTTAACACGTCTGAGAGGAAATACGCAGAAATCTGAGGTGAGAGGAGGAAAATGAAAAAGAGGAGGGAGGAGGAACTGAAGGAGAAAGAGGAGAGAAATGTCTATCAATGAGGAGATCCCAGGGGATGAGAAGGAGCTAATGATGATGATGATGATGATGATGATGATGATGATCTGTCAAAGCAGCAAGGATCAGCCACGGTTCACTGATTAGGAGGATCTGCCTTTACATACATATATATAAATATCCTCAGCTCTGATGTCCTTCAAACATCAAAACGAGGATCTGAGGATCAGAGACTCCTGATGTCTCCTGCTGTCTCCTGATGTCTCCTGATGTCTCCTGCTGTCTCCTGATGTCTCCTGATGTCTCCTGATGTCTCCCTGTCGTGTGTTCTGAGCTCAGCTGTTATATAAGTTAACTCTGGATCTTGGAGGGCTTCATGTTCTGGACCGTCTTCCTGCACAGAGACATCATTCAGGACTCGGAGGACACTCAGCAGAAAAACATCAGACTCTCTTCACTCGCAGGAGGAACCCAAAAAAAGCCTCCAGTTCCCCGCTCGCTGCTCGATTATTGATGACTGCACAGAAATGAAGAGTAACACCAGCTGAGTCTGGATCAGCCACATGAACAGTAGGAGGTAATATCAGGTCTTCTTCAGTCACATGGTTTCATCATTTGTCTTCTTTGTCACCGTCAGCAGAGATCAGAAATAAACCGAACTCACATTTTCTTTAATTAAAAAGTGCTGATTAGAGGAAAAACTGAACAAAACGACAGAGAGAGTGAAAAACCAGCAGAATCAGAGGAACAGCGTGAGTCTCTGAAACAGACCGACAGCTCCTCACTGAAGTCTCAAAGATACAGAGAGTACAGACGGCTGATCCTGCAGAGCGACTAGATAACATAGATCCTTCCTCTGAGGATCAGGAACTAAAACAGGAATCTATGTGGAGGAGAGAGAAGACGTGTCTCTGTGTGAGAGCGTGTATGAAGACAAACGAACCATCTGATGCACAAATGGTCATCACTACGATGGAGACGGTGAGGAAACGATGGATGGAGAAGAAAGAGGGAGGAGGAGACAATCAATCCAGTCAAATATTGATCCTCGTCCTGCTGTGAAAACAGGAAGTGTCTTTGGTGATCGTCTCGATCAGGAACGCTTTGATAACGACGATGAAGGTCTTCAGACCAGCCTAAAGGATCACAGATATATAATAAAGCAGTGATTATATTTTTAGTATTTTATGTTTATTAGATCTTTGTAAACAAACAGCTGAACTTTAAACTCTCACACTGTCACGCCAACATGTCAAACAGATGTCTGCGATATTTGAGACACTTCAGTCAAAGACAGAAACGTTTATGACGTGACCGAGAGTTTAATTTATGAATAAAAAACTAAACGGAAAATCAAGTTTTCAGGGAAAAAAATCAGGATTTTAAAATCGTGCAGCCCTACGACCAGGATGTAAACAAGCACAGATAACAGCATGTCTGACGCTGTGGCGTAGTTTGACGGTGAGTTGATCCAGAAAATAAAGGTAAAGTTGTAAGTCGGCTGTGTTTGGTAAAAGTGACGAAAACTAAATTTCTGATAACAGACCTCAAAATTTCTGCTCAGATGCTACAAATATAAAAACACCTGAAAATCGAACTTTTGAATAAATTCATGAATAAATCTGAACCTTTTTTTTCTCTGATGTTTTGAGTCGTTAAGATCCTCCTATAAAAGTCGTCTTCCCTCGTCGTGTTTAAACTCAATCTGATCTTAAATCACAAGATACTTTAGCTTCTTTAAAACCAGATTCAGCTCCTCTTCAGTTTCTGGACGTCTTTTTCATTTTCATATAAAAACATCAGAACCACTTCACTGAGCAGAACAACATCATCTTCAGTTTTCCAGGTAAGTCATAACAGACAGAAATAGAACACAGACAAATCTGCAGCGGTTTCCTGTAAACACAGATTCAGTAAATAGAAACAAAGGCGGACTGGGAGCTCGAATAAACACACCAGCTCAGTGTGTGTGTGAGCGAAGGGGGCGCCAAGCTGGCCATCTTAAAATTTTGACTCTGTCAGAGAGAGCCGAGACAGTAATTAATCATCGTTCATTAATTATTGAGGAACATTTGGCCGAGCACAACCCACCACTGACGGAGTGAAACAGAATAAAGCACTCTGATGGAGGAGGAGGAGGAGGCAGACAGGAGAGACTCTGTGTTTATGAATAATACAACAAGACTAAATTATAACACCAATTTCAGGACAGGAAACTTGCAGGGAGTTTCTGGGACGGGTGAAAACGCTGCTTTGAAAGAAAACGGAGATAAAGAGGGAATTTGAGCAGAATAATGGATCACATGAGCGAGGAGACGCTGAAGCTCAAAACCAGAGTCTGAATGTGCAAAAACACCAAATGTAAAAATGCTTCATCTTTATCATAACCAGCACTTTATGAACACAACAATAAGTAAATCAGAGAACATGATTAAAGGTGCATGTTGTAACTTTTGAAGTCTTAACCAGCGGTGTTCACAGATCGATCTGTTGAAGTTCCTCTGCAGAGCTAAAGCAGCAGATTCACTGTCCTACTTTAACACTGTTGTTAAATAAAAGAAACCAAAAGAAGTCATGAAAATTTAATCTTCTCTGCTTGTTGCCAAGGAAGCGTTTATCCCTCACTCTCTCGCTCGAGTCGTTATTAAATCTCTTACCTTCGTGTGCGCGATGAGCAAACAGTTGGAGTGCTCGTGCTCGCAGGCGATCTCGTACTGAGGCAACATGTCCGCCAGCTGCTGTACGAAGGCGACCACTTCCTGGTGCCAGGGGACGTTCGCCATGGTCAGGCTGCTGGCAGAGCTCTCTCCGCAGTACGTCACTCCCTGTGGACGAGAGAGCACGCCATCAGGAGTGAGACGGGAATGAGTTTGACACAGGTGACACAGCCGATGACAGAGGTGTTCAAGTGTTTAAGAGAATATAATTCAGATAGTATCAGCTGTGATTTCAAGAAAACTCTGACAGCTGCTTCTGCTGAACAGTTTTTTTAATAAGATTCCCAGACAGCCTTTCAAATTTACCCAAACAAGAAAACACAAAGTCCATCTCCTCTTAATTTTCTTGATTTATGAACTTTAACATCAGAGACACGTCGTCCAGACTCATTGGTTTGGTCCTCGGTAGTTTGATACAGTCTCGACCATCCCATCCAAACATTCAGTCATAAAACACACGGTGGTAACTTCATCTGTCTTTGACGTCAGTAAATTCTTCTTTCAGAAACCCTTTTTTTCATTTTTCAGTTCTTCTCAGGTCTAATTTTCAGGTCCAAAGACACATGACCTAAATTCAGTCTTTTGTTTTTAGTATAAAGTCGTTGAATGAGCTAATATATGAAGCTTTGTAAATCAGACCTTATGAACACTGCTGAGGGAAGCAGGACTGCCGAAGGACTCGGGCTGAAACGATTCTTCGAGGACCTCGATTACAAAAAATGATTGGTAATAAACTCTAATCGTCACTGTTTCACACGGATTATTTTCAAGGTGACACACCGCGCTCCCGTCACCACGGTAGAAGGAGGAGTAAACGCAGTTTTGGTTTGTGGAGCAGAAAAAATGAATGAAGAGAGGAGCTTTTCTTCTGCAGAGCTCCAAAAGCTCATCAGAAATTCGTCATTAGTGATTCGTGTGTGCTCCTGCTGCAACACTAATTTCCCTTTGGGACAATAATGAGATTCTGATTCTGATTCTCTGAGTTGTGGGCGGAGTCAGCGCTGCTCTGAACACTCCTCTTCATGTTAGCTTGTAGCCTAACAATGACGGCGTAGTAGAAGAAACAGGTAACAGGAGTTATTCAGCTCTGAGACACTAATATCTCTGAAGACATGATGAAAGTTAATTTCATAATCAGCTTTCTTACAAACATTACAATCGGCTAACCGACACACTTGTTCCGCGATCCTCGTTTCCAAAAAAAAGGAAAACAATTGATTATCATTTTTAAGTTAAATGTCTTATTTTCTCTTGTATATTAATAATTGCACTTTAACTAAAAAAATTATGTTTTGTCCGATTACTCAATTACCGTATTTTTCGCACTATAAGGCGCACCTGATTATAAGATGCACCATCAATGAACGTGTCTATTCGCATATATTTTCATACATAAGGAGCACCGGATTATAAAGCGCATTAAGCCAAACAAAACAGTCAGAAAAGTCAAACTTTATTTCACTCATTCAATAACTCTGCGAGGCTACGGTAGCTGCAGCGCTCCGACAAGCCAAAAGGATTTTAAGTGCGTCTTAATGATAAGTGTGCAAAAAATACGGTAATCAAGGAATATTCTGGAGAATACTTGATTACTCAAATATCCGACAGCTGCAGGCCTACACAGGACAACCTCCTAACCCAACAAGAGTGTACGTCAGTGGGAAGAGCCCTGAAATTGAGGTTGTAAAAAATAAAAAGCTTCAGTGGACACAGCTCGACTCCTTCAGCGATACTGTTCTTGGAAACGTGCTCCCCTGCTCACCTCTCCCTCTGGTGAAGTGACGGGGGGCCTAAAGGGACAAAAAGCTCCATGAAGCATCCTTCATTGGTGAAGCTTTTACAATCAGACAGAGAAACACCTTCAGAGCTTTTGTCCCACCAGGATGATCAGCTCCTCTACCTTCACACATAAACAGAGAAATAACCTCGGGTGGTGGTCGGAGGAGAATTATTGACAAAACAACCTTGATAGGCAGCGAGGACGGCTGATTAGTGCTGCTAAAACTTTGGAGCTGACATATAATTTCCCTCCAGCTGTTGAGAGAAATGAAGTAGGAAGTGAAAAACAGCGCGGCCTTGGCCACAAAAATCGATCCGAACAGCAGGCAGAGAGCTGAGTGTTTTCTGATCAATAGGAGCAAATCTGTGCTTTGGTTAGCAGGAGGAGCTCTGGGAGGAGGAGAACAACAGCTCCCCATGGTACAGACCAACTATCGATGAGTTTAGGAGGGAGCGGAGAGATGTTGTGTGGCGATGAAAGAGCCGAGTCTTTTGTTCTCATTGTGTACGAGGAACCTGCAGCTTCACAACAAGCACTGACCTATTTCAGAAACCTGATCGATGAGCGTTTTCAACAACAACTTCATCTTTTGATTTCTGCGTTTCAGATCCTGAATGATCGGAACTTAATTGTGGCGCTTTATTATTCAGAGAGAAAAGACCGTTTTTGGATGAATCAGAGTCAAACGCAGAGACGGTCAGAGTCAGAAGTGTTTGTGTTTTGTTTCAGATGTTTACACCGTCCCTCCACATCTGTTTGGAGGAGACACACTCTACCTTTAGATCAGGAGGAGAGACCAGTGGCCATTTTGTGTGTGTGTTTTTGTTTGTGTATTTTGTCTAAGTGAAAATATAAAGTGTAGCTCCCAGAAGGCTCTGCAGAGGCCGACGGTGAGAGGAAGCCATTTATATCAGCCTCAACAGTTCAGGTCTAATTTTAGAGGTCGGAGGGAAGGAGAGACATCAGCCCAGCGGTGGAGTAGCAGCTCGACCCGGGTGGCTGCAGCTCTTTCACGCCGGGTCGTCGGTTCGATTCTCCAGCTCAGCAGGATTCAGTCAAAGTCATTTCTCTCTAAACAAACTGAGAATCAGATCTACTGTGCATCACAGCAGCTTAACGTCCATCATCGCTTCACCTCAAGAGAGTCTTAAACTAGAATCTGACGGCTAAACTTTCCTCACATTTCTAAACACCGAGCCTTTAACTGTCTCCAGAGACAAAGAGACCGATAAAGAGGTCCGACTGGGTCACTGGTTCGGTTCAGAGGGTGGAGTCTCACCTGCAGAGGCTACAGCTGGAGTTGAACTGGTTGTAAGTGCTGACACTAAATGAAATAAATAAATACAATTAAACTAAATTAAAAAACTAAATTACTGAATTTCCCTTCAGTGATAAATAAAGTTCTTACTCTTCTTAATTGAGGACTCTTTGGTTAAAACTATAATTTTGATCGTTGCATGTCGGCATCAAACTTCTTTACTAATGACCCTGCTGTGGGAAATACTGAGTTCTGATTCGTCGAAATTCCAAATCAATCAGTACGTTCACATGACACTCAAGAAAACTGAATTATCGCCTTATTCCGATTAAGACCGGACAACTGAAGTGCATGTAAACGAGAACAAGGAGAGAAGTCTGATTCAGAGAGAAAGACGAATTATGAGGTTAGTCCGTTTAAACTGAGACTGTAAACGACTGACTGATAAATGATCCTGAATGAGTCCGCTCTAGAGAAACAACCAGACTGAAATCATCTCACCAGCTCTGAACTCCAGAGTTCAGGTCCAAATATCACATTTTGACCTTTTATGGTTCCAGGACATCAAACCTGAGCCAATCAGAGGTCAGCCCGGGCGAACCTCCTGAACCAAGGAGCAGAGTAGATAACCATTAAAGACAGAGTTCGTCTGAAAACAAACACAGACCTTTAGTTTAGTGATTTCTCCCACACTGACTCTCTCTAAAGTGTCCCATTCACATCTGTCCAGACTGTCCACTCAGCCGCCGTCGGGGATCTCTGCCCACAGCTGAGAACTGCAGCTATTTCTGCAGTAATTTCACCTGCTTGTCATTCAGCGCACAAAGGAAACACAAACAGAAAGTGTCTTTGGGGTTGAGTTTGGAGAGAGAGAGAGAGACGGGGCGAGGAAGGGCAGGAGGAGGAGGAGGAGAGCTGGACAGAATTGATGAAGGACCTCGGTGTTATCAGCCTCGCCTGGAGGCCCGATGAATAAAGATCAACTATCCAGGACTCTGTATAAATCAGCAGGAACGGGCCGGGCAGGACCAGAAGGAGATATGAGGAGATGGGAGAAGATCTCTGAGATATAAACTGAGAGAAAGAACCAACAACTGGATCATGGAGGGAGATATAAAAGAGGAGGAGAGCCGGAGGAGGAGAGAGAGAGAGAGAGAGAGAGAGAGAGAGAGGGAGAGAGAGAGCGACCCTCACCTCCTCACAGATCATCCATGTAGAGTCACGACTGCTGATCCTCACGACCCTCTGACCACCTAAACTTACAGCTCTGTGTGTGTTCGATGATTTTTATCTTAGCGGATTTTAACCAATGACCAACTCCTCCTCCTCCTCCTCCTCCTCCTCCTCCTCCTCGTGTTTCTCAGAGATCCATTTCCTGTGGCAGGTTAGAGGTATTGATGAAGCTCGGAGAAGATAAATCAAAGACCGGACAGGAAAAGGACGATACATGAGGAATGGAGCAGAGAGAGAGTGTTTGTTTGTCCAGAGGAGATGATGGAGTATTCATTAACGGGCTGATAAAGTAAAGATCACACAAACATCATTTCTTCGTCTCGACCTCCTGACCTCGACCACAATCATACGCTGATACTGAGGTTAACTAGGAGAAAGAAAAACGACCCCAGAGAGAAGAGTCTCATCGTGTCAGAGTGGAAGAAGAAACACACAAACTACACACTGAAGTGACTGTCTGATCATTAAACACAAAAATCATAATCATCATTATTTTCATTGATTATGAAACAATTACCCATGATTCAACATGACGCGCATTTCAGTATATAATTAACAAATCTTGTTAAAACTTGAAAAACTCTCGATTATTTAAAAACAGAATCAGGAGCTTCAGTGAGCGACACAAAATAATCAAACAAACAAACGGTCTAATTAGGATTTCTGTATCAGGAAATTTCTGAGTGTTTCTGATTGATTTTGAGTTTTTATTGATCTGCCGATGAAAATGTTCATCTTACCGTCACATTTCTGTGATTTTAAAGGTGAAAATATAAAAACAAAGATTCATCTTCAGTTTTATTCCTCGTCGCAGAGATCCCCTCTTTTGGTCATGTGTCTACTTTCTTAATGAACCGCTACAAACGCCACAGTCCTCCATCAATCAGCGCTGAAGGCTAATCTGAGACCTGCTGATCTGGTTCTGTCACCGGTCCATCCTGGGACACACTAATGACCGGATTCTGATGCTGATTCATTTATCCAGAAACAAGATGTTAGACTGCTGATTGGCCGGAGGACGAGAGGTGATGAGGGCGGATAATATGAGGAGAGAGAGAGAGAGAGAGAGAGAGAGAGAGAGAGTGAAGGTTCATCATGACTGCGACTCCACACCTCTGCATGTGAGGCTGATTCAGGATCAGGATCTGGAGAGGGTTTTAGTCTTCAGTCACGGTCACACTTTAAATACTCAGACAGAAATGAGAGTGAAGCTGAAAACACACAGGATCGTATCGAACGCGTTGTTCCGTATGTGCTCTGTAAAGCAGCGTTGGGTATCTCATCCAGGATCAGCGGATTTGGAGCGTAGCAGCAGCGTAGTGCGGCCCGTGTTTGTTGGTTTGTTGACAGCACAGACTTAAACACGACTCTTCTTCTTCTTCTGCGGTTGTTTTAGTGAAATCAGACGACTGAACGAATGAACAGCGAGGATGCTCATTGGTAATAATAATAATAATAATAATCTCAGCTGACACTTTGATTTTATGAGTGTCTCTGTTCTCCCGTGTCTCATTAGTGTTTTACTCTCTCCTCAGAATAAGGAGTGTATGTTATTTTGACCTTAAACAGAAACTCATATATACCTGATTATGACGCCGACACTTGCTTATCCTTGCTTACCTAAGTAGCAATAAAACAACACTTGAGTAAGCAGGATGATCTTAATGTCAGCCAATCAGAGGAGAGCGAGATGGGGATCTTTTCATTGTCGCACAGCTGGTTAAATCAATTCTGCACAGTCGGCTAAAAATTGCTCTGACATTTACAGAGCGTGACAAATTCAAGTAGACGAGCAGATTCTGACAGAACGAGAGGAAAAAACAGAGGGATGCTGAAGTAGGAGAGTTTAGAAGAGACGGAAATGAAGAAGGATGAGTCAAAGAAGAAAAGGAAGAAGTAATTAATCTGAGGAGAGGAGAGAAAACAACGAACTCTGTACAAAGAGAGAGAAATGACAAAAAGACAAAAAGGCCTGTAACTAAAAACCTGCTGCTGCTGCATGACTGCTCGTTTTGTTCGATGTCCTCTGATTTATTAGACATGTTATAGAACTTTTGTTTGCATCAGGTCTTTAAAATAAACCTCCAAAACTGTAACCTCAAAGACGATAACAGCTGTGTTTGTCAAATGTTCTCAGAAAGGCATTAAAAGAAGAGTTAAAACAGACGAAGAGATCCATGATTTAAGATAAAGAGGTTCGTTTTAACGGCGTGGAGAGGACAGATGAAGAGAGAAGAGCTTAATTAGATGTAACATAAGAACGAGCTTCAGGACCAGCAACATCCTCTAATAAGGTTTCATGAGGGAAACTGAGAGCAGCTCCCCACACACCGGATTCCTCCCTCCATCCTCAGCTGCCCCTACAGAAAGGTTCGGTTTCAAAACCACAGGAAACCCTCATTACAGCAAAAGCTCCCTCTTCTCATTATTTTGAGCAGAAAACTGGTCCCCGCTGCAGTTTTCTGACGGCCCTGGACTTCGATGGTGCTTTTGCAGGAAAAAAAAAAAAAAAGTCATGCGAAGAGACGAACATAAAAATCCACATAAACACGGATTGGCGATCATTTAACGACACGGACGGGTGCTGACGAGTGAAAAAGCAAAAAGCATCACCGAGCAAACCCTGACCGCTCCTCCTATCATGACAGTAAAATAAATATGAACTGAATTTATTAAAATTTATTATTTTATTGTTTTATTAAAAAAGAGGGAATAAGTGGGATTTAGGAGAGAGAGAGTGTTTACCTTTACACACCTGCTTCTCTGTTGGCAGGGCTGACTGAAAACAGCGCTACACTAAATTTTCAAGTCCGAACAGTTAAATCAATAACCTGCTCAAGGCTACAACATTATTACTTCCAGTCTCTGGAGTCTCTGCGGTCGGACCGCACATCTCCATCCAAGTAAGTTCAGCAATCGTGGTTTTCCTCTAAATTAAAGTTTCGTTCACTTCTGTGGGTCTGATCTGCACGCTCAGCACGATGACGAGAGAGAGAGAGGGAGAGAGAGAGAGAGAGAGAGAGAGAGAGAGAGAGAGAGAGAGAGAGAGAGAGAGAAGGAGACTGGAGGGATTAAACAGGGATCCAAACAGGGAGTCAGGCTTTAAAATGTTAATAAGTTATCGGTTACCTGCTTAAAAATATAAACTATAACAAAAACAATAGGAGCTGTTTTCATATTTCTTTGTTTTCCGTGGTAAAGTGATGTGTGCACTGACAGTATTGTATATTTATTAGGACTGGGACTCGATTAAAAAAGTCTAATTAATCAGAGGCTTTGTAATTAATTAATCGCAATTAATCGCATATAAATATTTGACCTGAGAACAGTGAGAATCTTCTTTTTTAAATGGTAAACGAGTGAATGAATGAATACAATGAATAGAGCAGTTGTGTACAGCTCTACAGTTGTCATGGTCTCCCTGCGTTCACACGGTTTCAGAGTAAACTGGAGTTTTCTGGCACTTTCTCTGCTGCAGTGTTTTCTCTTGTTTTCTGTGTGCGCCTGCATACAGGCTTACTCCAGTGAACGTCTGGGTAATGAGGGAAAAATGTGAAAATGCAAATGAGAAGAAAAGCACAACAAATGCTAATGTTCCCGCACAGCTTCATGTTTGCAAACCTCTGCTGGTAGAACGCCGTGTTTTTCTTCCATTTTGAAGCTGTTTAATTCGACCCCGTTTCCAGGATAAGCTAACACTCGCCGTGCTGAGGTATCACTCGGACCCTTCCCTCTCTCTCATTACACACTGTAAAGGTGTCCTTCAGTCAAACACTTGACCCCTCTGTGCTCCATCCTGGTATCAGCTAATAAGACCAGGACCCTCCTGGGCAGTACTGGGCTGGGTTTGTGTGACTCCGGGCAGCCTGGAAAACGAAGGTTACAGGAAGTAAAAGCTGCAGCAGCTCCAGGCAGTGGGGACCGAGAGAGTGCAGCAAAGAGATGTGTTCTGGTTTATGAATGAGAGGAGGAGGGGAGGTAATCCCAGGAGGAGGCCCCGAGTGGGCAAAGGTGCCTCATGAATGTTAACTTTATCAATGAGGAGCCTTCGAGATGTTTGCTCGCCTTTAAAGCAGGAGTTTTAACAGGTCATACATGTGATGAGAGACGGAGGAGGAGGACAGGGCCTGACAAATCAGCTGAAAACAAATTAGACCTCTGAAGTAAAAATAAAACACAACGAAATCTCAACTTCAAAGGTCGGGTCCATCTGTTTGAGGCGGAGACAATCAGCTGAGCTGGTCTAATTAGAAATGAGCCGGAGTCAAGTCTGAGAGAAAAGAGGGTCGATGAACCACATCTAAAGTTCAAGAACTAAAACCAGTCAAAACTCGAACTTAAGACAAGAGACGCCACGCCTGCAGGAGCGTCATGTGACTCAGTGTCTGTTTATGATGACGACATCAGCTGATCACCGGTGGATCATCGATCGCTCTGATTAACAGCAGCTCAAACAGTTATGAACTCATTCCCAACACTGACGTCAGACACTTTCCTGATTCCCCACTGTTTACAAATCGATGTATGTTTGAGTCTGTTTCAAGGCCCCCCTCAGCGACTGTTTTAAGGTTCCTCTGTTTATGTTGTAAAGGTTCAGTAAAGTCTGATTTCCTACAATAACTGATCAGTTAATGATATCTGTGAGGTCTGCTTTCTGATTTCTCTTCTCTCTCCTCCGTCCTCTCTCCTCTGAAAAACATCTCTGAGCTCTAAATAATAACGGATTTATATCATTGTTGAATTATTCCTGCTCTTACAGGCATAAATCAGGATGCAGAGAAACTCACACTGAGCATTATGTTTAGATATGAAGCCACCGGACCGGACTGGACTGGACCGGACAGGACAGGTGCTTAAATCACATTTCTGAGATCTTTATATTCAATCCATTTCACGGATCATGTGTGCTGGCAGAAGGAGGCAGAAATATGAAATATAACTTAAGCAGAGGATGGTAGAAGAAGTTTGGACAGTGATAACCCTGGAGCACAAAACACTTCAGCACATAATCCCATTAAGTCCGACCAGGATCCACCTCAGACAGACAGACAAGATCCAGAACAGACGGCAGGCAGGAAGAAGAACTGTGGGGTCTAGTTCTACTGCAGCGACTTCTGCCCCTTTTCATTCAAACTTAATGGTAAGCACTGAATAATGAACACTGACTCAGGCAGGTTTGTCACCATGACAACCACTGCTCCGGCTGCCAGTGGGTGCCCCTTCCTCGACTATTATTATCATGCCCACCAAATGACCGGGATACTGCCGCTCCGGTGAAACATGACAGAGATCCACCTGGAGAGGAAACTCAATCTGATGTTTGGAGCTGAGTGAGTGAGCGAGCGAGTGAGCGAGTGAGCGAGTGAGTGTCTCCGTCTTTCAAACATGTCAGTGTGACGAGTGTCAGTCAACCTGTCGGTGCGTTTCCTTCTTCAGACGGGGAAATCGAGTCTGAGCTGATTTCATAAACGTAAAAGCAACAAAGGTACGCCCATCAGTCAGAGTCTCATTAACTCGATGGAAAACTGGCAAACAAAGCCAAGCAGGGAAGTCTGTCACCGACAAAGTCCGTGATTCACGATGGAAGACAAACATTTATTTCCTTTAGTGAAAACAGACTCTCAAGGTTTGAGATAATAAAACCTCAAAGGACAAAAAAACTCTCCTCGTGGTCCTTTAAGTATCATAAAATCAGAAAGCATTTCAAATTAAAAGCACTAAAACCTGAATAAAGTTTATCTTTGAGTTTAAGGATGTTTGTTCAGCCGTGAAGAAGCTGCTGATGTTTTTTTTTAATATAAATATTTAAGGACGTCTTTCATCCTTGAATTGAGATTTTAGGGAAATTTCTCTAATTAAATTTACATTAAGTTCTACTTCTGACTTTGTGTCTGAGATATTTATGCTCATTTTTAATGTCTGAACTGTAGACTTAAAGAATTGCAGATGGAGTCGATGTGGTAGGTGATAATGCGCTAAGACTTTAACTTCCTTATTTCTGTCATTTAACAGCCGAATGGCGGTTCATTTTCTTGAGGGAAATCATCAAAGAGGAGAAAAGAAGACAGCCTTTGCTCGCTGACAGACACCAAAGTTCAGAGAAACTAGATAAAAGTGGAACTTCTGCAGATACTGGATTTAAACTTAAGAGAGAAAAGGAGAAAAAAACAAGCAGATATGAAATCCGTGAACCCTACCTTGACCTCCACAAAGTCCGGCTGACCCAGAGCAATAAGCTCAGAGTAGGCCAGCATCTCCTCCACGTTCCAGGCCTTGACCAGGGTCAGTCTGTAGACCGTCCTCTGTCTCTGAAGGGACACACAGAGAGATCCAGGTTAAAACAAAAGGCAGACGGAAACATGTGACACTGCTGGGAAATAAATCAGTGATGTTGGAAGTGTTGAAGTGCAACTAAATCCTCTTTTCAAAGTTTAAAACTTTAAAGTGATTTAAACTTATTTATTGATCATGAATCAGAACTGATCCCACAAAGGAGGCGGATCAGGAGCAGAGGTAGGACCGCTGCAGAAGGAAATAGACGGATAGAAGTTTTAGACAAGCGGCTCTGAGATGAACTCAAAAAGATCCAAGTCTAAAAACTCTTTTTCAGTCATTTCTTTTGTCAGTTATAGTTTTTTAACAGAAAGAAAACAGAATTTGTTTGAAATTGTAATTTGAGTTTGGTGAGAATTTCATTTTGAGGTGATATCTAACGGTCTGATCCAAAGAAACATGAAGGCTGAAGTGTGAGTCTGTTGTTCTGCAGGACTTTGTTGTTATAACACACCTTTGGTTAACATCAGCTAACGTTACACATGTTTATTCTGTACACACATATGTTTTTTCTGTGGATAAAGTCGTACTTAATAATATCTCCAATTGTTCCACTGTAACATATCAAACATGTACTGAACATCTGTAAATGATACTCATGTGTATCTTCTTTTTTAACTCAAAGTTTCTTCATCCTCTAATTTCTCTTTTTGTGTTTATATGCTGCTGTAATCTGGGATTACCCGCTGTGGGACAAATAAAGGACTATCTTATCTTATCTTATCTAACTTGTCTGATGTCCATCTCCACTGGACAGCTGATTGATTTACACCTCAGCATCTCCGGCTGTCATAGTTTGTCATCAGGTACATCTGTCCTCATCCTGCACAGATGTCCCGCCCACCACCTGCTTCCTGTCTGCCTCCATGCATGCTTACTGACAGTCGAGCGACTGCTGCAGCAGACCTGCATATGTTCAGGGTTTACCAAGCTCAACTGAACGATATTTTGAATGAAATCCTGTTTATTGTGTTAAACAGATTTTTTTTTACTGACTTCTTAAATTAGCATGCTGTGTGAGCAGATACAAAAACAAACAATTAAAAACTCAACGAATGAGAGTCAACAACCGAGTCTCTGAACCACCGTCTGAATTCTGAATGGGTAAAAAAAAAACACGTTGCTTTAATAACAAATACTTCCTGCAGCTATAAACATTTCAGTCTTTGTGTTTTCAGTGCACTTTATCACAAACAAGTGGGCCATCACATTTTAATATATGCTCTCCACATACTGTTTGTGCTGCGATTAAAATAAATATATTAGAGTAGAGAGTTTTTGGTATTTTACGATGACAGTATGTGCAGAATATGAGAAGAAAAATGGATCTGGTCATCAGTCGAACTTTAATGAAGCACTGCCTGTTCTGTGGTCTGAATTCAGAGGCAGAAGAAAGAGGATTATGATCCAGACCGGCATGTGGAGGAACAGAGTGTACTTCAAATAAAGATTACACAAAGAAACAGGTAAATGACAATGGGAGAGCACAGAGCACTGTTCCCTCCATCTCTATGGAAAATTATCTATAAGACAAGCTCCTTTCAGCCCAGCGGGGAAACGGATAATTGGAGGGTGGAAGTGGGAAGGTGAGATATTTCAAGCTGTCTTTATTCCAAATACGACACCGAGGCACAACTCTATCAATCCTCTGACAGAGAGGCCAGGTGGAGGAGAGCTGTCGGGGGGGAGGAGAGAGAGAGGGGAGGAGGAGGGGTAAGAGCTCAGGAAGGATGGAGATAGAGCTCACCGTGAAATGGAGACTTAGGAATCTGGAGCTGAAGGGAGTTTATTTTGGGAAACTGTGAGTCTGCACACAGAGAAACCATATCACCGAATATACAAGTCCAGACACACACACACACACACACACACACCCCACACTCTGAGGCAAATTAAAGAGAATTCAGTGACATTAAAAACATATGTATTTAAGGGAGAAGGTCCAGTGGAAGAAAAATGTTTTTAAAGTCATCAAACTCAGAAAATTTGAGATTTACAATTAAATATTCAACCCGTTTATAAAATATGTATGTATGTTTGGATTCGCCAAGAGCCAAACCACGTCCTGCTGTGAATATGTGTGTGCCCTCTTCTGTTTTATCTTCATTTAACAACCAAACCGCTCCGTGTAAATCCATTATTACCGGGCACTTAAGTGAAGCACATAAAAAGAATAACCAAAATATTAAAGCTTTGAATTTCCTTCGCTCCTTCAATGAGCTTTAGTTAAACAGACAGATCAGAGACCAGCAGAGTGATCCAAATTATAACTCTTCAAACACGTCAACCCCACAGAAAGGAAATATGGTCACGCCGCATAAAGAGACAAATTGATTCTGGAGAAGAAGAAGAAGAAGAAGAAGAAGGAGACAGAGCTGCTCTATGATTAAAATCTGTGCTGACATTTTCTTAAGCAGAGTCTTTAAATCTGGAGTCATCCCTCGTCGGCCTAATGTGTGAAATGGACATGAGATTGCTGAACAAGTGGTAATTGGACCGCATCTGACCACTCAGAGGGTTTAACACCGCGGCGCTGCTACTTTAACCCTTTTATTCACACACATTCGTACACTGCAGGAGGAGGAGGAGGAGGAGGAGGAGGAGGAGAAGGAGGAGGAGGAGAAGGAGGCTGCTCATCAGGACCTGGTTCAATCAAAATCACACACACGTTTGTACTGAGTGTGTCGGATAGAAGAGCACGGATCAAACTGTTAACCTCTACGCTCCAGAGTAACATCCATATAGGGGCGGGCGATATGGAAAAAAATTCATAACATTTTTTTTTTTGCAAAATCACGATCACAGAAAAATAGAAATAATATATAAAATAAAATATCTAGATTTTAACAACAGACAGCATAACATTTATTTTAACTGGATGGTCTCATTATCAAATAAATTTGGACCTAAAATAAGACTTCACACACAACAGTTAATATTTATAAAAATGGAGGTTAGTTTTACAACAGATACAGAGCATTTCATTTTATTTTTTTGGCTGGTTCTTTTATTTTTTTGTTTACAGCCACTCCTCTCTCTCTTTTCCTCTCCACTTTTATATTTCACGTTACTTGTTGTTGTTAATTATCACTTTCCTCACGAGTCACTCAGACGAATTTGGCAAAGCTCCACTGCTTTTTTAAAATCTTACGGCTTCATGCTGAGACCTGACAACATAGTCTGGCTCAGACTTCCTGGCTCATTTGCATACTGAACAGTGATTGGATGTTTACTAAGGAACGAGGGGGAGGGCCTTGTGTGTTTGAGTGAGCCTGATTAGATAAACACTTTGTGGAATAGAGGGAAAGAGAAAACAGAGGAAGCAGATTCAGTTTTCTGTCCTATTTCAGCAGATTTTTCCGCTTCTGTAGTCACTTCTAACAACTCGTAAATTAAACTGTGCTCTCTTAACTTCTAAAATTTTGATTTGAAAGAGCAAGAAATTTATTTAGACACATGTTAGGGATACAATGCGGTTTAAAGACAGTTTTACGATCTCTGTGCGTCGTCACTTCTTAATCCGTCACGATCTAAAATCGTCCGATCGCACGCCCCTACCTCCGTACAAGCTTCTCTGACTGCGCCGTCTTCAGCTGAGTCATGCATGAGTTTGTGATCCAAAGACTGTGCAGTGGGTGTGTTACTGTGTAAGTGTGATTCTCCTGTCCTGCACCACACATTACATATGCCTGACGTTTCCTCATAAATAGTTAAACAGAGAGGAAGTGAACAGAATCCCAACCAGGACGCGGTTCTATGTCTGCATCTAGTTAGGCTGTGTTAGACTGCAGGCAGGCAGGAGTCTATAGGGGTCTATAAAATGTTACGCTGGCTGTGTGAACACTTCATATGACTGTTGTGAAAACTGCCTCAGACTTTGCAGAGACAGAAAAGGAACAATTGGACTTCACGACCATGCTGCAAGGATATTGATCTATCTGATGCTAAGACGATCCCGCTGTTCGCCCGCTCCTGCAGACACCTCACACTGATTTTACACACAGGCCTGCGGTGGAGATGGTGATCCAGGAGCAATCAGAGAGCAATGATCCATGGGAAGAGATCCGTCTCAGGCGGTGCAGTTAAAAACACCTCCAGCTGGGTGATAATGAATTTGTCTTTTGTCTGCTAAAGCTTTAAACATTAGGAAGTCGGCCAATAGAGGACGGCTGACTGTAACACAGACTCCCTAACAGAGACTCCACTGTTTACGTCTTTCTCAAGGTTGTTTCATAGAAACACCGTCGCTCTTTTTCTTTTTAGGAAACACGAACAGATAGAATCGATTTACACAAGAGGTCTGATGCAGACTGTGATAATGGACTCCCTCTGCTCGGGAATGATGAAAAGGCACACAAGGTTATTGGGGGCAGTATTTTAAAACTGCTATAAGAGGAACACGTTGATAATCAGTCTGATAAAGCTGCACTTTTTAAAGCTCAGAGAATCGATAATATTCAGCACCTCTAACTCCTCTGCTCAGGACTCTTCGGCATTTACTGACACCTCTAGGAAACTGGCATTAAGAGAGAAGAAGAAAGAGGGCGTCTGTCTTGTTTGAGAGTTTCCCCGCTGTACAAACACGCTTATTAGGCTGACTGCTGACTCTGAACTGCAGGTATGAGCGTGTCTGGTTTCTTGTTGTAGGTGTAAACCCTGAGACTGACCGGTAACCTGTGAAGGATGAACCCCATGAAGAGGCTTCAGCCCTCCGTGACCCCAATCAGGATAAGCAGGACAGGAAGTGGATGAAGGATCTCTATCTGTGCTCTCTGACAGAAATCAATCAGGCCACAGCTTTTCTCCTCCACCTTCATTCACTCAAATCTCATAAAGATGAATCTGCTGGAAGAGACGGTGCCGCCTCCGACCGTCTGATCTGCAGTCAGAGATTAAATTTCACCAAAAAGAGAATTTGTGTTTTATCAGTTAGAAACTTCAGTCCAGATCCTCCGACGTCCTGAGTCTGAACTGTCAGTGGCCCCAAAACAGCGACTGTGATCCCGACTTTAAAACTCGATTCAAGTGAGTTTTTGTAACGGTCTGTATCTAACACACCCAAACCACAACGAGGTCCATAAAACTAATGCATTCTGGTTCTGGCTGAGGAGAAGTGGACTCTCCTGCATTAAAGATGTGTCCCGGAAACTAAAGCCTCTTTCCTTTGTGCTCACTAACGCTGCATCCTCACTCATCGATCACATGACTGCGCCAGAACATAAGTCCTGTTTCCTGTTGAATACAAACCTGATGCTGAGATATTTTGCAGGTCTGAAACATTAATATTATAAAGAGGAGCACTGCGAGTCCTCCACGGTGCGTCCACGGGGGATTAAACGTGCAGCATTTAAGGTCCTGTGTCTCGTTTCTGCACCAGTTTGACATGAAGGAAAAACTCCCTGACTGAGCCGAGCTGAACTCTGTAAATTACCTGCTTTAGCAGAAGATCATTACATTTTAAAATCTCCACAACATATACAGTCACGGACTGCAATCATGCAAATAACTCTTGGTTCCGTCCACCCTACTTGGTCCCCAAAATGGACGTACTGACAAGTGTTCATAAAATAATCATTTTTTTAACATTTTGTTCTTTACTTTTTTTGACTCGTATCTCTTAAACAACTTCAGCCCTAACCATTAAAAAAGTAATGAATAAAAAAATTGACTATTACCCTTTTTATACCAGTTTTTGTGCACCTGTCATTAGGCTTGTATTGATTGATAAAGTGTGCGTTCTAAACAGGCGTGTCTATTGGAGATGAAAAACACATTCATTTGTTCATATTAAATTAATTCTTTATATAGACATATAAAACCAGAAGATATATTTAAAATAGGAATCACTTCCGAGCGCTTATCCACCTCTGACCAAAATACAACCTAAAACAGACAGAGTGTGAGCCGAGGGTTAAAAGCTCGAATCCTTTCCTCACCTTTTCTCCCAGCGCCTTCAGGCTGTCCAGGAAGCGTGGCCAGAAGTCTTTAAAGAGCGGTCTGTCAATCTTCTTCAGGCTGTCTTTGGTGCTGGCGTCCACACTGACATAAAGCTGGGTAACTGGAACCAGGCTCCTGTTATGGAGGAGGAAGGGAGACAATACAGACCCGCCGATTAATAAACTTATTCAGAATAAAAGAGAGAAAACATTTAAAACCAACCAAGATTTGACACCTGCCCCCCGTACGTCTGTTTGTATGAGGAAAGACATTTTTCACGGCTGAACCCTCTCCATCTGAGGAGACAGGAGACATTTGTATTGAACACAGACCTGCACTCAGCTCCTCTGATTTCATAGCAGCCGACCGATCAAGATTGACTTTAATGTATGCATGCTGTGACATGAAATCAAACACTATACGTAATGGTGCTCCATGCAGCAAATCAGTCGCAGAGAAGGACGTTTGCAAAACAGGGAAGCGGTATAGAACTGGGAGTGCTGCTTCTCATCAATATTGAAGAAGGAAAGACATGAATGTATTTGCCAGCAGCAGCCCTCTGGCACAATCCGTAAGAGCAGCAGAAGAAGAAGAAGAATGCAGCAGAATGGTAAACAGAGGCAAACAAGTGGAAAAATCCAGATCGACTGATTGGTCGTGCAGGAGAAGCACTGATGTCAAGAACGCAGAAATAAGCAGAGAGAGAGAAAACTGAGAGGATCAGCCTCTGTCTGTTTCAGGTGACTCTGAAGACCCACAGAGACTCTCACTGAGACTTCTCATCTGGACTCTGCAGCTCTGGAGGACAGGGAGAGAGAGCTGACAGCTGCTGTCCTTTCCTTCAGACCATTTCATATCAGACTGTCGACCAACAAGTTAGCTGACACTCTGCCTATGTCAGAGCGAGAGGATGTCTGTATGACAAGCTGGTTCAGGGCGGGGAGGCAGATCCGGAGAGGAGGTTCAAAGGGGACTCAGGGTGACTGAGGACTGAGGAGGACAACAGGGTGACTGAGGGTCATGTTCATGTTCTCCTTATCATGTTCTCCTGATCATATTCTCATAATCGTGTTCTTATTATCATGTCTTCCTGATCATGTTCTCATTATAGGGTCCTCTTTATCATGTTCTCCTTCTAAACTTTAAATGCACCTGAATATATCGTTTGGGAGCGCATTAATGAAACTTAATTTTCTGTTTGAAGACACTTTAAAAAGTTGAGGGTCAAAGTCTTTGTTTAGAAAACTGCTTGAATAAAATTTACAAAATTATAATATTAAATGTTATTGTATTGAAAACAGACTTTAAATGAATTTTTCTACACACAAAAAAATTTTTATTCTGCAAAAACCAACAGCATCAATTATTTCGTATATTTCTGCCGATTGTTCAGGCCATTGCTGCAAACATTTCAGCAAGTTCTTCTTAGTCTTCCTGCAGTAAAGTGAACGTGTGATGAGAGAGGGTTTTTCTTTAGTCTGGATTCATAGAGAGACGTCAAAGAAGCTCTCAGAACTCAGACCGAGCTGACGGAGAGCTGAGGAGAAGCTGCTGTGTCTGGAATAACCAGACTCTAATGTCAGGTCAGGGTGTTTTCTCCTCAGACTCCTCATGTTGATGCTCACAGAAGGACCTGAATTTTAACAATGGGGGACAGAGGAGTGTGTGTGTGTGTGTGTGTGTGTGTGTGTGTGTGTGTGTGTGTGTGTGTGTGTGTGTGTGTGTGTGGACAGATTGAGTTGTGAAGCTTTCTGAGGTCGAACTGTCTTGTATGAATATTTCAGCAGGTTGCTGTCGGAGCGTCAGGTGTCTGAAGCCGCTTCAATAAACTCCTCTGTCAAAGAAAAATGTGAATGAAAATGTGGAGCCTGAACTCTCACAACTAGTTTTTGATTTCTCAAGCAAAATTACAAAAGGGTCACATCAGGCAGGGCACCGGAGTTACACTCACTAACAGAAGAAAACAGGATGTGGTGTCTTAGTGGAGAGCTTTTTATCTGTTGAATATTTCCTCGTTTTTTTTGTTGCATCAGTTGGTTTTGTTCAGAAGTCTGAGAGTGACTGCATGTCTCAGCAGAAATGCAGATGTCTAGGCCTACAGTTCAGGTACATATGTGGATGTAAACTGGTGCTGCTAGCTCTGCTAACATTAGCCACATTAGCCAAGTAACCCGATGTGACATTATTGAATCATGCTGAATCAACTGGGATCTTTCTTCATGGAAATACAATCAGACCGAGACGCTAAGACAGAAGAACTACCGCGTCTGTAAAATGATCAATATGGTGATTATTACTTCAAAGGAAATGATAAAGAAATGATCATAAATGTTCTTCCTTGAGCTGCGGCACCCCGCTGTAGTCCGTAATGGACTGGCCTGAGGTCTCTCTACAAACAAGAGAAGAAATGAGTCAAAGTTAAAAAGATGTTTGGTGTCTAGTACTATGTCTGTGACCCTATATGTCCTGTTGATGAAGTTAGGTGCTGTTCTGAGCATTATTTGTGGCTATAGAGTGGCGTTTTGGTTGAGGGCGTGTCTCTCTGTATTTCTATCCTGCGGTCGTTACTAAAGTTGGTATAACTAGAGAAGCAAGCGGTCGACAACATTCATCTCTGGAGGGGGGGTCTAACTCAGTGTTATGGTGTGTTTGATCCTAAGTTAAAATTACGCCGTAATATCCCTTTAACTAAAAAATAGCTCCTCTCAGCATCACTTGTTGTTTCCTCCTTGTTAAGAGCAGACAGCACTAATATCTGTGCAGACTGAAACATCTGATCCTTCCCATTAGGGAGTTTTAAAGATCTAAAACATGTGCTGCTCTTTTTTTGAGTCTCTCAGACTTTAAAGACAACAGCTTGTTACAGCAAATAAAGATGTACAGCAGGAGAACACAGAAACACGTCGGCTTAAACTGAACCAGAAGTAAACAGGAACTCCTCCACAAACAGAGGGCGAGTGTGTGTTTGTGTGTTTGTTTGTCTCTACCTGATTTCCTGTGGGAACTGCGCGTTGGTGACCAGGAAACTGGAGATTTTGTGGGAGTGGAGGAGGCGGAGGAAGGTGTTGATTTCGGGATACATGATTGGCTCGCCGACCAGGGAAAGGGCGCAGTGCTTGACTTTCAAACCCTCCTCGTAGCGCTCAGGCTTCACTCCCGGGACACCTGGAGAGGGGGAGAGGTTTGGACTTAATCAATGTCCTCCAACGATCCAAAGACGGGGTCTCCAAAGTGAGGGGGCACCTTGAAACACTGAAAAGACTAAACCGAGTAATTATGCAGATGTGGAAAAGCACAGCAGAGAGGAGAGGGAAAAGTTTGAGGCCTTTTTTTTCCTCCACTTGATCTCCTGTGCATCCTCTCGTAAAGACCACAGGGGGCCGTAAAAAGATAGTCAGCATAAGGTCCTGAGAACGAGGGGGATGTTATAAAATTTAATTGGCTGCTGCTATAAAACTGGAAGATTACTGAATCAAATTTGAGACAAAAACTAATTCAGATTAAAGGTTTAACGGCGTATTAAACTCTTAATGAAGCTCAGCCATAGGCATCAAATGTTGCTGTTAATCGGTTTGATTTCCTGACCCGGTAGAATTCTTAAAGAGAGAGCAATCAGCATGTCTCTGTTTCTGAACATTATCTAGCCGAGGACACCTCTGGATCCGTTTACGCAGCTAACAATGATGCCAGACATATTTACATACGTGGATCTGAGCGGCAGTGAAGCACCGTGGACGTCCTCTTCCTGCTGACAGTATCGAGTATGAAAAGCTGTGTGACTGAAGCAGGAAGTAAACAAACAGGGAAAAGCTTAGAGGGAAAAGTTTCATGCACTGTCATGGGGATTTAATGTAATATTGCTGTAGCTCTAGCAGATGCCATTTAATTTCAGAGTACGTGCGCTGAATTTTAACCGGATAAAGCTTGGACTGTTGCCTCCAGATGCTCTACAGAACCTTCTATGAATTATTGATAGGTTAGCCACATTTTTACGACAAAAAGCAACTGTTAGTGCGTTACCTTTCAAGGACGCATTACATCTCTCACAACAGCTGCGAACAGATCAAACAACAACACGTCCCACAGGAGGAAAACCACTTAACACTGCTTTCAAACAAGCAGCTGAGGAGGAGGAGGAGGAGGAGGAGGAGGAGGAGGAAGGGGCATGTGCGTCAGGTCAAGTGTGTGAAACCTCAATGAGAGAGGAGATCTATAAAATATGGTATGACTAATGTAAAATTCATCCATCATGATCTCCCCTCTGAAGAGAAGACTGAAGATAAAAATAAAGAGTCTTTATTATAAACGGAGAAGGGTGGACACTGATGAAACGAATTAAGGGAGGACCGACTCTGGACCTGACCTTCATTATCGTTGGTTCAGCTTTCATTAAGAGTCGTATGGTTCATACAGCAGCTGTTTCTCAGAGGGGGGAGCTGTAATGCTGTGTTAGTACCAGGTTCTGGATCAGAAAGAGGAACTGCTCCATGGAAATCTTTAGAAAGTTTCAAACGTGTTTGTATTTGACGTAGACATTGTATTAAGTTGGTCTACACGACACAAAAGTCAAAAAGGAAATTCTTTCTTTCTGTTCATTTAATTCCCAGTTAAGACTCTGGTGAGAAATACTTAAAGGGATATTCCTTGAAATTCAAAATAACAGAGTTTCAAACTGTGATTAATCGCAATTAAAAAATATTGTTTGACAGCCCAAGTTTCATCACATTGTACTCACTAAAGTGACATTTTACAGGGTTACAAAAACCTTTTGATTATGATGAAGCCTCTACGAAACATCTGCTAACATCAGGAATCACCTAAAATCAGAGTTTGATGATCTTCTGCAGGAAAAGTGTTTCTAACAAACTGACGGTTATCACAGCAGGTAAATGTTAGCGTTTAAAGTCGGCCTTTCCTTTACCTCTGCTGTGATGTTATATCATCAAACTTACAGGTATGTGTTCGGCATCAGCAGGAGAAACGCCCCAGCTGTCCTATCAGATGCAGACAGAAGATACTGTAGATCCAGTATTGGTCTGAAGTGATGGCCTTCTCTTTGACCGTCTCTGAATCTGCAGTTTATTTCACTTTCATTCATTAAAACCTCTTTTCTAACAGGATTTCAGCACTGCTGGATTTCTTCACTCACTGGCAGCTAATAAATAAGAAATGATAAATTAATACGTGGTTTTGTTTGAGATGGCTGGAGTTGATAATTTTGTTTTGAGCACTTGTGAGAAACATAACCCTGATTAATTTCTGTGACTGTACTGCCGGGCAGAAGTGATTTATTTCTCTTTTTTTTCCTGTTCAGACAGAAACTGGGTTTGATGAACTGGAGGGTCACAAAAAACAAGCAGCAAGAGGGGAGACAGTTACAGTGAGACAGTGAGTTAGCGCTGATTTTCTAAATGAGGATTTAACGAACATCAGTGCTGATTACAGCTGCACTAAAAAACACCAAAGCGACCAAAACTTTCCTGTTTTGGAAAAGCAGTGAAATAAAAGTGAGTAACTCCAGTTTAAAGTCTTTCTCTGTAAAACTGAACAAGGACAAAGTGTGGGTAAGTGTGCGGAGAGGAAATACAGTATGCATGACCAGACTGAGTACTTTTAAAAAATTAAAAGTCGAGGCTGTTGTGGCTAAAATAATCACGAGAAGAACCAGATATTTAATTCATGCAGCGGCTTAGCAGTAAAATGTGAGAACATGACTGAATTTCTTCTTCTTGGTATTCAAATGAAGCGCTCGCTCAGTGAGGTAAGGGAGGATAAATCTCAGGGGGATGAGATCCCTCTGTTTGAGCAGAGACACACACACACACACGCGCAGCAGTGAGCGTCCCTCCTTGAAACGCTGGCTCTAAGTCAACAGGACTTCATTCTCATTCAGGAGGACGCCTCCAGCGGGTCTTTGAGGTTAAACAGCTACAAGGCGCCGCTATAAAGCTCGGAGAAACAAAAAAGGGTGACTGTGCATTTTCAGACCGGCCCTCTGCTGGATTCAGGGATGACGTGATTCAGACGTTTACTCTGAGTGTCTCACTTATCCTGATACGACAAAACGGAGTCACTGCTAATTCTGCGATGATCTGTTTTCCCGTTTTAATAACCTCTCATTATAAACTGTTTGAAGATGTTCAAACTTTTAATCTGTGACCTTTAAGGAAACAGATCATCACAGAAACTCAGACGGTGGATTTAAAGAGACTAAACCAGCGTGCCAGACGGTATACAGGCATCACTGTCGACCATAAACACAAACGAAGGCCGTCTGATGTGACTGAACGACCACAACACTCTGCTCTGTTCTGTTTCTGATGACTGTTATAAAGTTTAGTTTGTTGAAGCAGCTGAAAAGGTTCATTTCTGCTCTAAACGTCATAATCCTTTCTCCCCTGCTGTGAGTGAACAAAGCAGCAGCTTAAAGTCAACATAAGCTGATGTGTGACTATTGTTTTATTACAATCACATCAGGAAATTACATTTTCAACCATGACATGCATTATAATACACCAGGAAGGCGTGCTCTGAGGAGGATATTAGCCATAAAGTAGAAGATACGTCTCCAAAGCTCTCAGTGGATCATTTCCTGAGTGTTATTGCTCCTCTGTTTTATAATGGGAACAGCAGGAGCTCTGAGGTTAGAGGTTCGACTGTAACGCCCAGGGATCAAGAAGCCACCCAAAGGGAAGTGGACTGACTGTGCAGACACACATGTTGAAGAAATACAGTCCTCTGTGTGCCGATATTTACTGTGTGTTTGATGAAATGTAAAGTAGTGCACTAGAGTTAGAAAATGATCTTTTCAGGCAGAAACAAACCTCGACCTTTCCTCTGGGATCTACAGTCCTCATGTCTGTGGACTCACAGTGAGTCTGGTCTGGGGTCTACAGGGTGAACTGGTCCATAGTCTCATTAAAATGAACGTAAACAAAAATATCTAAGAGATTATAAACACGACGTAGTTCAAACCAGGAAAGATGAAACTAGGGCTGATCGATAAACTGAAAATTTACCAATACCAAAATTTACGACAATAACCGACGTCATTTTGCCCGTATCGGTATATTCAGGGTCAAAAAATAAATCAGTAAAAGTCGGTTTTGGATGTGTGAAGGTACCTGAAGTAGATGAAGTTAATGTGAGAGGGGGTTAGCAGCTTGTGGAGTAGTTATCGTCCATTTATCGTTGTTGGGTGAACTGATCAATATATCGTGATATTGATTTGAGGCCATATCGCCCAGCTCTACATGAAACTGTTGAGCTGAAGTTCAAATTAAGCTTTGAATCAAAAACTTAAAATAATACTGGAGTGTTTGTTTGTTTGTTTGGTCCTTACAGAAACCAACAGAAGCCAACAGGAAACAGTTGAGTGGAAAAATCAAACATTTGATACTAAAACAATTCGTCAATTAACAACCAATCAACAAATCAATCAGATCCCAACGATCTGCAGATGTCTGGCTGTCCAATTTGAGGTTCTGCTCGTTTTATAATTTAAGACGAAACACATCAAATGCTTTTTTCCTCACACACAGAACCATTTTGTTTGTTTTCTGCTCCGTTCTTCATGAATATCTGAGAAGTCTGACACGACCGTGTTTTGACAACATTTCTGAAAACCTCTCAAAGAAAATCTGCTCCAACCGTGATCACAAACTTCTGTTTTGACGGAGTTTTGGGCATCTAATCAGCCGTCCTCAGCCAACGCTGGCTGCAGCCAGATAAAAATAAGCCCTGCATGCCAACAGTAGTAACACAAGATCTATAAACGGAGCCTTAACTGTGAGTATGGAGATATTTCCTGTGGTACTAAATACGACGTCTTTAATTCTCGCTGTAGATCCCTGAGATAACGGTTCAAATACAGAGTTCTTGTTTGGAAATAAGGCGATGTTACGACCAGTAAGACACAGAGGAGGTGTGTTTGCAGACAAGATTGATGGTGTTGATGATAAAAGGTGTGACAATCAGCAAACGCCTCGTTATTTCGAACCTGAATGCTTCATTAAACATGGAGGTCAGTCGAGGACAGAGAAACACGAGCGTGTACGTCAGAGTCGGTGTGTTTGTTTTCTAAAAAGAGGATTCAAGAGTGAAAACGAAGGAGAGAGAAAAAGGGATATTTGGATCTGTGACCGACCTCTGAACTGGCGGATCATGTTCTGGTGTTTCTCCTCGGCGTCCTGCAGGATCTTCTCAGCGGGGTCCATCTTCCAGCGCCACTCTGTGCCCACGGGGTTGGTGTGATGTCTGTAAGAGAGGCGGACAGATTATAACTGAACACTTCTGTAAGGAGAGGTACTTTCACTTGATTCTGACATGAACAGACTCTGACTCATAACCCCGGGTCATATTAACACATCTTCTCTTTGGGTTCAGACGTCTGACTTTCGTACAAATCTGCATCCACAGACTAAATCATAAGGACTCTTGTCATCTTGTGAAAATATACGGAGTCAAAGAGTGCATCCCACTATAAAAACTCACACCTCCTCTAGGTGTAAATAACACCCACTGACTGTTTAAGTGTGATTTCTAAGTGCAACAACAAATCCTCCTGCACTGTAAATTTAACACAGTCTGTTGCATGCATATGCACTCTCTCCCATCTCGCACGCCGCCCCTGCAAATCAATTTGAAATCCACTTGTTGCATTCAAGAGACGGATGGAGAGGGCGGCGTGGACCGCAGACCTGCGCCGTGATATTTCATCCATCTGTCATCACACATCGCAGCCTTTAAGAGAAGCCGGCGTATCTGCGATGACAGGAGAGCGGCTCACAGCAGCACGCTCTGACAGTGACCTTTGAGGAGGGGACGCGGCTCGGTCTCTCACAACATCATGATTCATCCGTGTCCACCATCACACCTCGCACTTATCCTAATCACTAGGCCTCGACTTGTGAATCATTAACATGATTACAGGAAGTTGTTTTGACTAACAAGGTCAGGGAGGAAGGTTTGGGAAGACGGCGGATGAGAAGGAAGCGTTAGAGAGGAAATAAAGTCAAATGAAAACAGGCGGTGAAATATTACAGAGGAGTCTGAGCGTTCCTAAACCTAAAGGACTGAGTGAACGTTTCCACAGACTGACAAATACAGGGATCCTGGGAAACCTCCAGTAGATTTTGGTAGGTGCATCCCGATCTAGGGCCGGGCGATGAACCAAAAATTTACTGATATAAAAATTTACAACAATAACTGACGCCATTTTGCCCACATTGGTATATTCATGTAGGGCTGGGCGATAAAACGATAACGATACATATTGAAAATTAATTTCCCTCGATATCGATATAAAACATGATCAATATGCTTTTCAATAGTCGGCATTCTGCCATGTTTTGGTCGACTATACGAACAGCCAATGAAAAGGGGAGTTTCTCCGGGTCTGAACCAATCATGTTCTGAATTAGAACCAAGTATCAACCAACTGCAGCGTCGTAGCAGACAGCAGCTCCACCCAACCATAGCACTTTAACAGGTGAAGCCGACAGCACTGTTGGTGAGAAACAAAGAAAATGAGTGCTACCCCCGACAGAAATGACCATGAAGGCTCAACAGATGACCACATCAATGTCAACCACAACACTGGCGTTAGGAAAACGTCGGTGGTGTGGAGGTATTTTGGTTTTTGGAGGTCGGACATGAAGCAGAGTAATGTGGACTGTAAATTATGTCGAGTACATGTTCTCACAAAGTCGGGGAATACCTCAAATCTTTTTCACCACCTGAAGCAGCGCCACGCCGCGGAGCACGACCAACGCAAAAGGTTACAAACCCCGAGAGGAGCGAGGAGCCGAAACAGACGACCATTCAGTCGGCTTTCTCTAGAACAACGCCTTACGACAAAACGCCAAAGAGACACAAAGACCTCACAGATGCAGGAGATTATTGTGTTGGAAAAGACATGAGACCAATAAACACTGTTACATTTCATTTTTTAACCTGATATGAAAGAAATACATCGTGATTAACTTTTTCCCATATCGCCCAGCCCTATCCTGATCCTCATCTCACTTATCAAATCTGAGCCAATCTGACTTTTTTTGATTCAATGTGGATCTGCAGTTTGAGTCGCTCATTTAACCCCCCGGTCATTTAGGTCGGAGGAACTTAGTGTAACCGATCTCTCCGTGTTCGTGTGTCCCGTCATCAGAGGGTAAAAAATAGGACATCGGTGTTGAACTCCAACCTTGACTTCAACTTGATTTCACCAGGACACGTTTGCAAACGCAGCAAGACTTCAGCAACAGCAACCCCCTTCACAGCAGCCTGCAGCGAGTCTCTGGAGGTCCACGGTTCGAAAGGTGAAGAAATAAACGCCTGACAGTCGGTTACATTAGCATCAGCAGCCCTGTGGCTACAGTGTCAGCAGAGTGGAAATACTTGAAACTAAAATCTGAACACTTTAACAGCCACTCGCAATATCTGCAATATGATGATTGCATGGTGAAGCAGCAGCAGCAGTGGAGCTGTGTCCAACACTATAAATTTGATATGACAGCCAAGAACTACACATGCAACAGATTTCATAAGAGGAACAGAGGAACAGGCTGCTGGGCCGAAGCCAGAAAAGAGAGAAAAGATGCAGAAAGATGACAGAGAAGGCGGATGAATTCTTCGCTCTGGACGAGCGGAGAATGAAGGTTTTCACGGTCTCAGGGATCCACAGTATGTCCCGCCATCTCAACACAACAGAACGATTCAGACAGCGCCTCATTGGCTGATTTTCAGAGAACATACACGGTTATTCAACAACATTAAAACCTGCAGTAATTAATGCTGTAGCAGAGCACGTAAAACTAATTATCTGTGAACTATAATCTATTATCATAACTCATTTTGTGCAAAGATGATCCCTCTTACAGCCAAGATACAAACTCCAGCCTTTAAATAGCTGTTTACATATGTGGTGTTAAAGTGACTGAGTCCAATTCTCACCTACAGTCTTTGCTTTTCACCGTTTAACTCATCCAAAACAGAAAAAAAAACAGAGTGGAGGAAACTCTCTGTCTACTGAGCTGTAAGGATTTCACCAATTAGACGCCGTCCCCAGAAAGCTCCGTTTGTAAGTCCTAATTAACCCAGAATTCAGAGCTTATTCGTCTTACTTAAGGTTGTCAGGAGCCAGCCGGCTTTAGGCGAGAGAGAGAGAGAAATGTAGACGTCTATTTCCCGCTGCTTAGTTTTATATCGGCTGCTGTTAAAGTCAATACTTGTGAAACGGGCCCCTCAAGTGTTTATGTGCTTTCTTCTTCAGGTACCACATACCTCCAGCAGAAGACACACTTGTTAGCGCAGGCGAGGCTCGGGGTGGTCTCCATGCAGCGGTGTGACTCAATCCCGTAGAAAGTGTGTTTGTAACAGCCTCCTCTTCCTCGCAGCATGGACTGTCAACAGAAAAGGACACAAATATGATTCACGCTCTCAGCTTTTAAAACAGTCTGATGTCTTTACGGAGGAAAATACGTTTCCATACCTTCGTCCATCGGCAGAGTTTCACTCCTGAGTGACTTCCAATTAGTTTGTATCCTGAACACAAAGAGAGAGAGAGAGAGAGAACGAGACTGTCAATGAGCAAACACACGTCTTTGACCCACAGCTCATTCAGCAGATAATGAACACAGAAAGAGAGGAGGTGACATTTAGTATCCACATGGTCAGATTCATTCAAAGTCCTCAACTCTGAGACTCTTCAACAGAGATACGACGAGTGGAGGTCAAAGGGCAGGTGTTGAAAAATCAGTCCTCTTATATTTCTAGAATAGGGCTGCACGATTAATCGATTTTAAACCGTAATCTGATTGTTTGATTGTGACAATATAAAAAAAAATTAAAATCATCAAATCAATTTTCCTCTCTATCATGTCTCACAGTTTCAAAGAGCAAACCACTCCTCGCTGCAAAGTCAGTCTAAAGGCAGTATCAACCCGTCACCACGGAAACGAATTCAGGAGGAAACGCTAAAGTTTTTTGTCGGCGTTTCATCCACATTGAAACGGCGTTTCAGGTGACTGTAAACAGTACTTTTTGAAAACGGGTCAGAGAGTGAATAAATCTGTAAACGACGACCATTTCATCTCCGTCTCTGGAAACGGTCATGTGACACACAGCGTAACTCTTTTATGGCGCCTGAGCGTGTCCGACCAAAACAACCTTTAAACACATGTTCTGTACTCTTCTTCACCGTTACAGCGCCACTTACTGGCTTGGCATATGCACTACATTGTTTTCAGAGGTTTCGTTTTGAAAGATAATAGAAAACTTTTTATGACAGTGAAGTTTGGTGAAGTTGTCACTGAATAAAAAGTCGAAATCGAAAAATTGGAATTTTATTTTTGGCCAAAATCGTGCAGCCCTACATTTCCACAGAGTAATACCTCTGCTTATAAACAGACAGACAGGTCTGGGTGAGTCCTTGTTCGTCTCCTTTTTTTAACTCACCCTCTCCTGTAATGTGAACCAAAGAGAATTATTCATCTGTGTGTCTAAATCTGGACCAGGATGTGATGTTGGGATTTCCTCTGAAAGGATGAATAAGGTCTCTCTCTCTCTCTCTCTCTTTCTCTCTCTCTTTCTTTAAAGTGACTTTCAGCACAGCTATTAAAAACCTCCTGTGTTGGAAATCAGGTGCTTGTTTCTGTGTTTCTAACCTCAGATGTGTTTTTTATTTCATGGCCTTGCAAATAAAAATATCTCATTAAACCTCAGGAGAGACTTTGTGTGTGTGCGTGTGCGTGTGCGTGTGCGTGTGTGTGTGTGTGTGAGGTTTCTCTACAGGAGTTTGATGAGTCAGGTTTGACTCATCGAGGACGTTTAGAGAATAAAAAACAGCCTGAATGAAAAAAAAAAAAACAGGTTTTTGATTCACAGTCTTAATGAAACTGCTCCTCTTCAGTCAAACAGATGTAAACACAAACTCAATTTATTTCTCGCTCACACGTCTCATGTTTTCTGTGCCTGTTTCTCTCTCTGGGGTAAAAAACCTGCTGACGGCTATCAAATCATTTTTCCACCTGATAACTCCCTGAGAGCACGTGTCCTTCTCTAACCTCGCTCTGAGCGACAACATGAAACACACGAAGACGTCCGAGGAGAGCCCGCTGGCACTTTATTTAACTATTAATGATCTTAATGTAAGCAGGTTTCTCCTCCTCTGTTTGTTGGAGACATCGATTTCCAATGTGTCCTCTAAAGTGTCAGAGGAGGGATCGAACCTCAGAGAGAGGGAGGGGGGCAGAGAGAGGAGCAGAGTTTCCCGTCCTCTGTTCTTACAGAGAAACACTTTAGGAATAAAGAAAATGAACATGACTTTGATAAATGATGATGAGTGAGGAAACGAAGTCGAAGACGAAGGAAATGAAGGAGGAGCTGAAGTGGAGGTGGGCTGTGGGGTAGTTAGCAGGCTTACCCAACATAAACAAAGCCCCCATTTTAAGAATCCACAGTGGGATGTGTCAACAGTAATCAGCTGATCGGCTGACATGAGCTGGTGTACCGCAGGATAAGCTCGTAACTCTCCAGTCGGTTAATGATCATTATCTTTTTCATTTACTCTGTAGTCAGGTCCCTAATTTACCGTCTCCTCTGTGCCCACCCTGCTTGTTATCATCTCAAACTGCTGTTATCTCATTGGCCGCACTTTAGAGGTCAGAGTTGAAATAATCTGTTTGTTTTTCTGCTTGGACAAAGAGGAATCACAAGCCAACGAGGAGTTTTACCTCCTGTTTGTGGACAGCCTCAGGGTTTTGGCTTTTAAAGCCCAAACTCAGCGGCGCCTGAGAGATTTGGTTATGACATTATTTAAGATTCTGCGAACAATTCGCTCTTTGATCCGAGACACTTTCACGCCTGCGGGGGATTAAACGAGCGGGGAGGATTTATGTTTAATCAAAGAGTTGGAAATTCAGCCTGTTATGTTTTGAGCAGTCTTCAGCGTCTTTTATCAGGATCTCTCAGGAAATAAGGAAATGGAGCTTTTGCTTTTAATTGAACTTGATGAGATAAATAAACCCGAACCCCCAGAAACTGGTTTTATAAATGAATGTGCCGACGCTCTGTGTACTCCTCGCCAACGCTAATTTAACGGTGACGTTACAGACGCGCGTTAAAACATTACATTACTGTTGAACTCCAGGAGAGACTTAGGTGAGAGTTTCTTTACATGTATGACTTTTGCATCAATGCCAGAAAAAGACGATACAGAATATCCGCCAAAACTTTCATTCTGAGAAATTTCCTCTGAGATGACTTTAGCACCATGAAACGGTTAAAACACGAGGCCAATCAAGTGAAGTCTGGTCCACAGAGTGTTTTTAGTGGAGCGGTGTGAAGGCTAACAATGGGGGCCCCTGTCATCGTCGTTCATAACGAGCTGAATAACAAGCAGAGAGTAAAACGTTTCATAGATTAAGACTGACTTTTAGAAGCAAACACTAACTGAGAAAAGATGTGGACGCACTACACGTAACTTTATAAATTAAAACAAAAGTGCCAAATAAACATTTAGACAGGACTCAACTTTTAATGAACATTTACATAAATATAAACTAACATATTTTTTAGGGCTGGGACTTTAACACGTTAGTTGTGATTAAATAATTAGTAAAAAATAGTAACACATATTAATCACACCTACTGTATTTTTGCACCGCTGAACGTTTCTAACTAGATGAGTTTCAGGTTTACCGCTTACACCGGCGCACCCCAATGTGAGTGAGTGCAGCAGAGATTCCAGTCCCACCCAGTGCATGGAAAAATGAACGAAGTCGTGGATAAATGTGTTTTGATTGGCTCAGTGTTGATGGGCATTTTTGTTTTAAAAAGATGGATGGAAGCCTGGATTAAAAAATAGTCCTGTACAAACTATGAAAAAGAGAATTTATATATCACCGCAGCATGTCAATAGTATAATACCAGTTTTTTTATTGTATGCATTGTATTTATATAGTCATAAACATTTTTCTTTCAACTAGTGTCACTTGTTTTTTATTACCATAAATACTTTGTTTGATGTTACCCTTTACCGGGATAGATAAGATAAGATAAGATAATACAGATAAGAAAAAATTGCATGAATTTGATTTTGATGTCAAACAGACCGACAAACCTGCCACACTACGGTACACTTGGGGTGTAATTTATTTATGTATGCACTTATTTAATTAAAAAAAAAATCTCTTTTTTCTGCTTTGTCCTGAATCTATGTGTTTATATGATTTATGTTTGAACACATGAAAGAAAAATTAACAAACTCTCTGGCTCACTGGATCAGGGTCTGTAATGTTACTTGAATGTGTGTTGTGCCACTTGAATGCGTCTTAAGTGTTTTTGCGCTCTAGTGTGAGTTGTTTACATCACGTTGCCATGGCAACACGTAGCCGGCGAGTCACCGAGAAACCGGAGGTTATTGAGTGCAGATTGTGAGGTCCGTCAACTGTTCAGTTCTAAGCTCCTCTCCTTTCCTCCGTTTTCATCCCTCTAGTCCATGCAACGTCTGTAAGTGTTCATACGTTGTTGTGTTGTTGTATTAAGATGAAGGTTGTTTAAGTGTAATTAAGTTGTTAAAACGGCTATGGCGCTAATCGCTAATGCTACACGAAGTTAGCTTCATGTTTTCCGTTGCTAGCGGCATTCGAGCTCGTTTGTGATTATAACGGCTAAAGCTAATGTAGCTTAGCTCTGCTGTTTGTCTGTGTGTAAGCCGTAACTCGTTGTTTTATATGTTACTGTATCATTTCAGTTTCATAAGATTCCTCAGTAAACTTGAAGAGGTGAATCAACTGCGTCTGAGAGTTTATTGGGGAGTGTTTATACTGCTTGGAAGTAGCCCATGACAGGGTCTATTCATTCAGTTCACTATTCATTGATTCACTCACTCGTATACCGTTTAAAAAAATGATTCTCACTGTTCTCAGGTCAAATATTCATATGCGATTAAAATGCGATTAATCAATTACAAAGCCTCAGCCCAACTCTCTTTGTATCAGTGAGACTTGAGTGAGTTCATGTCTGACTCTTTTATGCATGTTCGTCTGAATCAGTGAAACTTTGTAAACACTTCCACACCAGCTGGGACTTATTTTGTTGATGTTTTCGGTGTGGGAGGAGAGAGAAGTGAGACTCCTGGGACTGCACCCTGAGGACAAGAGGAGGCAGAGAGGGTAATTGGACTGCAGTGCATCATTAGGAGCCATTAGACAACAAATATTCCCCTGCTCCGCACTCCTCCTCAAGAAGCACCCCTGGCCAGTTTTAACCGGCCAATTTCTCAGACAGCATCAGAAATACAGAAGGCTATTACAGCGGCTGATTAGTTTGGAAATGGTCAAACAAACAATCCTAATGTCTTAATGTCTGCGCCTGAAATGACGAGGTAAATACAGGAAATAAACGAAGTGAGATGAGATTAGAAACCTGGATCAGAGTTTGGACTCCTCTTCTGTCAGTTTGTGTGTTTGATTCACAGCTGATGTTCTCACTCATGTGTTCATGAGTGAAGGATGAGATGACAAACAGCTGCTGTGAGGTTTGTAGAGCTCTTCAGGTGGATGATTATTGATTATCAAGCGTCCAGCAGATGTTCTTCAGGAAACGAGTCAGCGAAATTATACTCTCAATAAAGCTGCGTCACACATGCTGGTGCTTTCTTTATCTTCGTTTCTAATTTAATTATTGTCTCATAATCTTTAATTGGATCAAATCAAACAGTTTCCTCCTCACCTTGCTTTGTCAGAGCTTCTCTGAGAGCAGGTGTGATCATCTCTCTCCGTTCTTCGTCTTCAACCTTCTTCACTCCGTTCAGCTTGGATAGTTTCACCATCTGACCGTCTCCTTGACCTTCAGCTTTGCTCTGCGGTGGATAAAAAATTTCAAAGTCAATTATTTTTTATAACTAAGATTATAAATCCTGTCTCCCTCCTCCTGTGCTGTTAGGACTAGAGATGCACCCATCCATTTTTTTCCAATCCAATCCAATACCGATACCTGGACTGAGCGTATCGGCCGATATCTGATACCGATCCAATACTACTGTTGAAAGAATAAACTGTATACCTTTCCCTGTGAGTGAATGCATCAGGCTTGACATTAGCCTTGTTAAAAAAAGAGCGAACAGAATCGCTATCAGATATAAGATCCAGTTAATTTGTCAATATCAGAGCTGATATCTGATCAAAATATCGGATCGCTGCACCCCTAGTTATGACGAGCATCAATCTGTTGTAAAGTTCATGTTGGGGGAAGGATTCAGACTAACATTTAACACTCAAAGGAGTGTTTCAGCAAATAAAATGTGTATTTTTTATCAAACAAAATGAAAAACCAATCAGATGGTAATTTATTTACATCTGAAGGAGACTCTGGGACGCCGCAGCGCCTGCAGGAATTAAACGGAGAGGGTTCAGAGAGAGTTGAGGAGAAAAACTGTTAGCAGTGTGCAGACAACAGTCAGGAAGCTGGTCTGAAAAAAGCCAAAAAGCCCGTTTGAAAATGTGTTCGCTCCTTCATCATGATGACGCTCATCATCACTTTAGGGAACCGAGTTAAAAGCAAGGCGAGTTTCTTCGCCGCGTTTGAAGTCTGACAGGCTGGAGATCAAGGGTTGTAATTCTGCAGTCCTAGCATGACTGAGTGTGACATAACCATTAACCATTGCATAACGTGAAGATTTTCAACAAGGGTTAGGACGGCACCCAAACGTCGGAACATTACAGGGGTAATCCTGGTTTAAGCCCCCGCAGGCCGGGCCGCGGCGAAACGGGACAAAAGCGGGAAGAACAAGAAAATCGTTGTTGGACAGAGGAGCTGCTGCTGGAGCCTCTTTGTTCGTAAGATTTACAACCTCCTTCGGGCCAGGCTTACATAACTGCAGTATACAACATTTGTATGTAAATCTGAATACATTAGAGATTTAACTGAAGATTGATTCAGTCCTGCCTGGTGAACAGACGTTTGTGTTCAGGGACGGATAATCTCAGAACAGCCTCACCTCGTCTGTGAGGTTTTTGTGTGTCGTCTTCTCGGAGCAGCAGTTCTCACAAAGGGCTGATATTGAGTGGATTCGAGTCGAGGATGTTTGTGTGTTTGTGTTCCCAAACACTGAGACAGTTCACTGCAGCTCATCATAAAGCAATAACCCGGTCCGCACGGATCCAGACGCTTTTAAAAGGGTTCAGTGAGTCTGTCAAGAGCCTCTGTGAACACAGTATGGACTCTGTGTGCATGAGACAAACCAGTCTGATCACCACTTTGTCAGAGTAATCATCCCTGCTCTCTGAAATCCTTCAGGCCTCTGTATTTACACTGTCCTGTCCAAATAATGTCTCCTGTATCTGTGTCAGACGTCTACGATATACTGAAGAAGAAAACACCGACCAATCAGATTCAGCACCTTTTAACAAACAGCACCTAAACATCACAAAGCTCCAACATTAATCCAAGACGACGTGTCTCTGGCTGCCTGCTGAATGTGAGTCCAATTTCCATTGTGCTTTTTTTTTAAAGCTGGTTTTGGTCCTTAACTTCTCTGAGATAAATATGACTCTTCAGCAGAGAAATAAATCACAGCTGCACTAAAGAAATACAGAAAAATCGGTGAAGTTACTGAAAAATAAAGAAAACTTAAGTGTCTTTTTGGCTCAGAATCTGTCAGATTATTGGCATTTTGAAATAATCAATACAATCAGACAATATCAGACGATACCTGAGCTCTGAAAATAAAGACTAATGTCTGCAGACACTGCAGGCAGTCTCATCAGCATGGTTATGTTGTTGATGATGACTTTTGTACTTTGACCTCACTGTCTGCCGAAATTTCCTCTGTCACTGTTTTTCTAAATGATAACATGATTTTTCCCTAAATGACAGCCTGTCAAATTTAAAACAGTTACTTATTGCTGTTTAATGATGCTGTGATATCTGTGATAATGCAGTTAAATATATTTTCATTCAGAAATATCAGTCCTGTTGTGAAATCTGTTTTTTTAGATCCATAAGACACCGCAGTAGAGCTGGCCTCAAATCAATATCGTGATATTTTGATCAGTTCACCTCAATAATGATAAATGGATGATAACTACTCCACAAGCTGCTCACCCCCTCCCACATTAACTTCGTCTACTTCAGCCGCTCCAACTTTCTCTCCGTCCTCCATCTCCTCACCTGTCTTTACCTCTTTGTTACAGACTGGATGGGGTGGAGTCACGTCTCTGATGTAGGACAGCGTCTTAAAGGGACATGAGACCATAGCCTACCTACACACATCCAAAAACAACTTTGATTTATTTAGTTTTTAACACTGAATATACCGATATGGGTTAAACGATGTTGGATACTGTCATAAATTTTGGTATCGGTAAATTTTCGATTTATCGCCCAGCCCTACAACAAACTCCAGCTCCAGCACTGAAACAACAAACCAGGACAAAATCGAAGCCCATGTATGTTTTTGATTAACTTAAGACTGATTAAGGTTTGTGTTTCCCTTTTAATCCGCCTTATGAGCAGGTACAATCAAATAAAACTCTCTTGATATGTGGGAGACTCTGAGTAAGTGGACCATTAGTCTGTGTCTGAAAACCACATCAGATTTGTCAGAGTGCTGGTTGACATTTCAGACTTGATTATCTCTGTGTGTTAGTTTTACATGAGTGCTGCTGCTTTATTTGGGGGGATTTTAAAGAAGCTGTAATCCTAAATTCTGTCATCTATAAATGTGAACTCCAGAATTCAGTAAAATCAGATGGAGACTCTCATCCAGTAAAAGCGTCCACCTCCTCTAACTGAAGCCTAACATGGAACATGGAGCCCACGGTGCAGCAATCTGTCCCTGCGGTGTTTGCGTGCAGAGCCAGAGAGTCCTCTGGCCCCGGTCTCTGGTCCCCACTGCTCGGCTTTTACCCTTGCTTGAGAGCTCACAGACATCCGGTCACGCCTGGGTCTGTCTGGACTAAGAGAAATAGGACATGTCACAGCACTTCAGTCCTCTCGGAGCCATGACGCAGCGTGGAGCTTAAACAGACGATAACAGAGAGCGAACATGTGATCAGGGGACGGATATGAAGAGAATCGACTACATCACTAAAAAAACAGACCGAGGGGAATAAAAGGAAGCCATAGTAGACTTCCAGAATTAGTTTTTCTTTATATCTCGTTTACTATCATATCAGAATTCAAATAAGGTCAAAAACTAAACTGATCTACTTCATGGGAATCAAAAACACGTTTATACGCAGAGTTAATGAACAGATGTAACACACTGACCTGCTGTTCATGTACAAATATAAATAAATATATCACATTTAGCTGTAATCCAGTCATTCTCAACCATGCATGCTGACATGGACCACTAGCTCCGACACACTCTGATCCATCTGTGCCATATGTGGCTCACTCCCCCCTCCTACTGCGTACGCATCAATCTAAACATGGAGGCATCATGATCGAAATAACAAGTGAGGCTGGATAAAGAAACTTCAACGTTGTCAAAGTGAGAGGATTAGTGACAAAAGCAGCGAGCCGCCGACAGTCTAATTCAGCTGAAGGAGATAAAACTCGACTATAGAGACAGAGGTTTGAGAGTAATGAGTCTGACAGCATGAAATCATGAAATGTCACAACCAGTGAAACTCATTAGAGGGAGAAAACAGCAGGAGCCTCATGGTAAAAACTAAACAGAGAGATCACCAGCAGACTTTCTGAGGGGGGTGGCATCAAATATTTGACTCTATTATATTCCATCAGATTAGATTAGATTACTAAACTACTATTTGTTGTTATTCTGTTTCATTATTGGTCTCACTCTCACTCTGCTCTGACTTGCTGACTGTGTCTGTGTTGCTGTTCGACCAAATTTTACCCTCTGGGGATCAATAAAGTTTTATCTCATCTGATCTTATCTTCGCTAAATCCAGCCCTGTGTTTATTCACTTAATGACATTTTCAGGATAAAGACTACAAGCTCCCTCACTCTTCCTCTAGCACTCTATTATGAGGAAATGTGTTTTTTCTAATCAAGCAGGAAACAGGAAACACACCTTTATCTTCACAGGTGTGCTGCAGTAAACTGGTCTGAGCAGTTCTCCTGATTTAAAGTGTTTGAACGCGGCCTCAGACGCCCTTCATCACCACACTGAGGCTCCATGTTACTGACTGTCTTAGTATCTATCACACTGATGTACACTGAGGATTCATGCTAACGGAATGAGGCTCAACAGCGTGATGTAAAATGTCAGAGATTTCAGGTCCTGGAACTCAGAGTCTCTGACATCACCTAGTGGACAAACACAGTCAGCCTGAACCTCCACCTGCAGCTCCCAAACAAAGGTAAGAAAGAGTCAAGTATCTGCCTTATTTTTAACCTGCGACACAGAGAGAGCATTTTACTCCATAACACACACGGGTGAATAACGGTGGAGATCCATCAGCGTGTAAACCTCTGCTCGTCCTGCTCTGTATGAACAGACTGAGATGTTGCAGTCAGGGGGATTTCCTTCTACACACTTCATTTGCAGCTCGGATAAATACTTGTTCTCTCTTGGCAATTGTAAATATTTGGCGTACAAACTAATTACATCTCAGGATTAAATTAAGCGACAATAAAAAAAAACCCTGACTCAGAAACATCCCGGGATCAGACGGAGATTAAATGAGTCATGGAGGTTGTTGAAGCAGAAGTAACCGGGAATATGAAGGAGCAGTCCTGTCCTCACTGCTCTCCCTCTTCACTAAAGAAGGTTTCTAAACTAGATCAAACTCATCAAACTCAGTTCATGTGTCTTTGTGAAGGTAAAGGGAGAGACTTCACCTCCTTTTTCTCTCTTCATCAAAACAGGGCAGTGGGTGGAGGTGGTGTAGGTGAGCTCTTACCCTCTTGTCCTCTTTCTTAACTCTCTCTCTCTATTTCCACCTAAAATAAGGCAGTAGAGCGTGCATCCTAAAAAAGCAGAGGTGAGCTCTAGTCTTAACGTCCATCCTTGTAGGGATCATGTATCACGTCTTTGCTTCACTTTAGGAGTTTCGTCTTTATTTTGGTGACAATAATCACCAAATTAAAAGCCAGATTTAATTTGTAGTGAAATATTTTTATGCTGAGTCATAAAAATTCAAGGATTTGAGCTTTTTTACCCCTTAAATTTAAAGTCTCTTCAAGCTTTAATGTAACATCTTTTAATAAGTCAGGACTCAGGCTTGTATTTCATGATTCAGGACTTTGTCTCTCAGCAGTCACTGGTCAGTTAGTGTTTGTTCACACTGCGGTCTCTCTTTTGTCATGTTTACTCTGTCCCTTGGCTTTTCAGACACATGGATATACACACCTGACTAGGGTTGGGTATCGTTTGATTTTGAACGATTCCGATTCCAATTTCGATTCCTCATTTCGATTCCGATTCCTATCGATTCTCTAATTCGATTCTTTTAAAAGGCAGGATATCAAAAAGAAAAAAGAAAAAAAAAGCATGGTTTGAATAAGGGCGCTAACCGGGGCTCTTCTTTTTGGATGAAATTTCTGAACTTCTCCATGAATTTTTAAATCCTATTAACTTTTTAGGAACTTTACTATGAATTTCTCACATTTTCAACCAGTATATAAATATCAATTTTTGTTTTCAGGTCGTTTGTCTATGAAAAAGCACAAGGGCTAACGTTAGGTGGATATTTAAGTTTACTCACCGTACACAGTTCAATTTCTTTACCGTTTCAAAGTTAGCAGAGGACAGAAGTCATTTATTGTTTCACTTATCTGATCCTGACTGGTTAGCGGAAGACAGGTGTTGTGCTGTAGAATGCACCCCTGCCATAGAATGCCTCCCCTCCACTGATTAGCTTCTTAGTGGAAGAAATATGATCTCATATTTAATAAAACACGGGTATTAGATCAAAAAACGTGTCAAATGGAGCAGTAAACTTTCGTTTTGTTTGTATGTGTCTCAAAAATGCACACATAGAGGTGTACTTGGGTATATAAACTGTAGAGTAAGCTGTTAATGTAGAGAACATTATATTTTCAGGACAGTAAATATTCAGAATCAGAGGGCTGTTGTTTTCGGCATATCTGAATAGCCTGAATGAAATCATTAAAGGCACACGCTTTAGATTCCGTTCAACGGTAAGAAAACTTGGATTGTTTCGCCTTGTTGTGTACTTTCAACCGCGCTCCCGTCAGGGGTGCATTCAACAGCAGGGGTGCATTCTCTGGCACAACACCGGCGAAGCGCGTCAAAGACGAGCACTCGGGTATTTCTCCTCCATGAATCCTGAGGTGTTTAATCATGTTGGTCGTTTACCCTCCTTTGCATGAAATAACTGTATTGCTAATGTTGCATTGAGATAAGAGCTCATTCTTCCTGCTAAAGTTAGCCAAACTTTTGACCAACGAAGAAGAAGCTGCCGAACACCAACGAGGACGGAGCAAATGAGACGAAGCCACACAGAGAGAGGAGAGAGACAGAGAGAGATTACATTGTAACCCACAGCGGCTGCATTGCTGTGGGTTACAATGTACTTTCTCTCTCTGTCTCTCTCCTCTCTCTGTGTGGCTTCGTCTCATACGCTCCGTCCTCGTTGGTGTTAAGCGGCTTCTTCTTCGTTAATTTTCGGCGGCTATTTCTTCCGGTCGGCGGACTCAGGCATCGAAACTTGGAATCGAAATTTTAATATTCGAACGATACCGGAAGAATCGAAGTTTTAGTCCCGATTCCCATCGATTCTCGATTCCCAACCCTACGCCTGACTACACTTTTCTCCTCTCTTCTCCTCCTCTCTCTGCTCCCCTCTCTCATCTCTCTGCTCTCCTCTTTTCTCTCTCCTGCTCCTCTCTCTGCTCTCTCCTCCACCGTCCTCTTTTATTTCAGCAGGAGCAGTAACCTCCTCATGCTCCTCCTCAAACTTTGTTTATCATTGATCCGAGCTGTTTATGATGAAGTGAAGGTGAGAGCTGGTTAAGGGGCGGGGCCACGCCAACACTCTGAGGAAGGATGATCTCCATTTAAGACAGACGACATAACAGGGACGACACAGCAGGCAGGACAAGTTATTATAGGGGGCCAAAACTGGTCGGACCAGGATCAGAGTCTGGGTTAGGGTTAGCAGATCATAGTGAGCTTGTAGGTTTTTATGGTTCCCGGGTCACACAAACGCCTCTCTGTCATCTTCACAAACAGGTCCTCCCAAACCTCACAGAGCTGATATGAGGTTCTGCAGTATTCATGTGACCTGAGGAGGAGACACGGTCATGTCGCAGCTGTCCAGGTCTTTCTCTTTGGAAACGAACACTGACATCTTCACACTAACCTTAATGTCACAAAGGTTTAAAGTTTTCATGAGAACAAACTGTCAGAAGAACAGAGGCTCCTCTCAGCCTCGTCTTCAGCGTTTGTTTAAGTTACAGATGAAGTGTTAGACCGTCCAAACAGAAGAGAGGAGAGCTGACACACTGACTCTGTTAGAGCAAATATACGGCTGAAGCCAACACCCTTCAAAAGTCTCATTCAGGGTGAGAGAGGCCCGCTTATCGTCACCGAGGGAGGAGTTCGTGTTTTATTGGAGCCATTGTAGAAAATCACGTTTGGAGAATCTTGTTGTTATGATCATTTTCAGTTAAGGCAGGAGCTGAACATAACGCAGGCAGAGGGAGATCATCATCTGAGCGTCAGCGGCGTAATGTAATGGGACATTCATTTTAAACAGACGTGGAGATTGTTGTTCAGTCTCTCGCTCTGACAGATTTTCTTTACGGTAAATCTTCCTGAGCAGAGGAGAAGTGCAGTAAAGGTAGAATGAAAATGTCAGATTACTGTTACTGATGTTAAACTGATGCTTGGACAGAAACTCCACATCAGGTTTTTCTCTTTATCGCGGTGTATTCATGTACTCTGAGTTTAGAGGACTACATACTCGCACTGACCCGGCTCCCTAAAACACGGTTCACACTAAACCGCGTCGGACCTACAGGAGAGAGAGCGACGGCGCCTCTCCCTTCTCTTTTTTTCCTGCTTTTTCTTGAGTGACTCGCTCGTCTCCAGTCTGTGAGGTGGGCGTCCTCCTCACTCTTACACAAGCCTCTGTTTCTCGCCTGCTGGGGTCCGCGTCTATCAACCCATCTGCCACTTCTCACTCAGTGACACTTTCTCTTCCTGACACTCAAATTGGACCGAGGTGTTAAAAGCTTAAAACCCTCACAGACCTTAAAACAGACACACTGGAAATAAACCTGCAGGGCGACGATGACTGGGAAGCGTAGAGTTAAGTCATCTATGTCTCACAATTATGTTTTTAAATGTCCAGTTTTACAGTTTGATTCCTTTATATGAGCTCATGTGGAGAATAATGGTTTGCTGAAGGTAGGAAAAGCTGACGGTGGCTCACGGAGCTCTAGAGGAATAAGTCTTATACTTATTGATTGAACTAAACAGACAGGAACTCATGTATAAAAATGGTGTAACTATGCAGCCGGGCAGTCTGACCTTTGCTTTCTTGGCGCTGCTCATGATATTGCCCAGATCCTCCATGTCGACCACCGAACCTGACCTTTTCTCTTCTTGCAGGCCAGACTCGTCCTCATCGCTGCTGGACTCCAGCAGATCCTCCTGAAAACAACAAAAGAGGTAAAAACTGAGTAAATCCAAAGAAAGAAGAAAGTTTTTATTTATTTATTTATTTTAAACTAATAATAAAATCAAGGGCACGATAATAATAAAGTCACAAGAGAAAATGATCCTCCATCACTGAAGCATCCCACCCAGAACTAATTAAAAACCTGTCCACAATTGCATAAGAGAGGGAGCCCATATGGAACACATTCACGGCGCGCAGTAATCGTCTTTGCTCTGCCTGATTAAATAGGAGAAGCATGAGCATGTTTATGGTGTTTAATGGGATTTATCACTTTGTGTTCGGAGTGCTGCACAGATGACCGGCTCCTGCATTCCCAACATGAGGAGTACAGTGGGCAGATAAATCACCACCGTGTTTGGTTCCGCCTGAATGTCACCTCTGCTGAGTGCACTGAGTGCTGCAGATAGAGGGGACAGAGTCTCAGCTAGAGTTGGCTCTAAAGGTGCCTGCTGCTACCATGACAACCAGTCATGTGTGTGTACTGTGATGAGTATGAAAGCTGCTGGTGTGTGCATGTTTGTGTGTTTCTACTCCGTCTATGTGAAATGTGTCATTTCATGGCCTGGCGATTAAAAAAGAAAAAAGTGCTGTTCTCTTATTTTGACATGACAGAGATGACACGCTCCTCTGTGTCAGCCTTCGGGGACATTCACTGAGAAATACACAGAATCAGCAGCAGCAGCAGCCGCACTAAAAACAGGACTCATAAAGAATGACAGCTCCTCTCTCACCCGTCAGATTTTCATCACAGCGCCAAGGTTGTTCAGCCTCAGCTAGTCCACTCCGGGGTTCGAGTTTAGAGATAAAGTGCCCTTGTAATGTGGAAAACATCATCACAAGCCAGAGGACACTTCCCTAATTAAACCTCAGCCTTTCACCTTCCTGCTTTAACTAATAATCTTCACCTGCTGACTCGTGTCCAGGGTCGGAGGGCGCCGCAGAGTTGATATTAGAGCGGCGCTCAGTGTAAAAACCAAGGCTGCAGCTTGTTTATGAGTCTGTGCAAGGCTGCTGCTGCTGCTACTGCAGCCTCGTTTAATCATGTACGGTTAATGACTGAAACAATTCACATCATTAAAGTCTGGAGAGTATCTGCTTCCACTTATAACTGCTGTCTTTGACATTTTCTGGCTGAGGTCACGTTGTAGGTCACAGCAGAAATCTTCATATCTGCTAAAATCAATATTACAACAATTTCACTCAATACAAACAAACAAACCTAACACTAAGATGTGCTCTGGTATGTTACACTACAGTGGGATGCACTGCTTCATTTACAAACTGAGATATAAAGTGCAAAAGGCGTTGGACAGCTGGCCAGATCAGTGAACCTGAGTTATAAATATTCATCCTTCATCTGAGCCGCTGATTTAGAGGCTGGAAGGAAGTTCGTCTTTTGCTCACTGATACTTCAGCTGGACAGCTGGTTCATCCAGACTGTCACCAAAAACGAGGGCTAAACAAACTTTGGAAGTTTTAATCACCAGTGAGTCAAACTGCTGCACCACAAAGACAGGATTTTAACATCATCACAGTGTGCCTCCATTCGTACCTCCGATCTGTTCTTCTGCACCTCCTCTTCTTCATCCTCCTGACGCTCCTCTTCCTTCTTCTTGTTCTTGCAGGTTCCTCCACTTTTACAGTTCCCGCTGCAGCTCTTCTTCTCACCTTTGGCCAGAGCCTGCAGCCGCTTCAGGAATTTGACCTTCCAAGCCAGGAAGTCGGCCTGGATGCTGCCGTTACGGCTCTTCACCACGTTACAGTCGCCTTCTCCCCGGGTCAAGATGCGCATACCGCTCAGCATCCACAGCCACTTGTCCACATTTTTACCCACCTGTTGAGGTCAAGTTCAGTTCAGTAATGACCTTTAAAGCAGCAACTGAATGGTGAACAATAATTAAGAAGATGTGTGTTAAAAAAACTTGAATCTGGAGCTCTGAATAATCTTTAGATGACAAACTTTCTACCTCAGCAGTCTGTCTGTGGTGGAACAAACTCTCACCGTATTATAGTGGCCGACGTAGACAGAGTTGCCGAGACCGAACACGGCGTATCTGAGGCCTTTGAGGTAAGTCTTCCCATATCTGAAGTCGGTGGACGCCTCCTCCAGCCACTTACAGAACCACTCAGCGTTCTCAGTGGGCTGTCCATCGGTGTAGGTCGCCACAAGAAACACGCAGACCGACTTGTTGGTGCACTAAACAGAAATAAACATTTAAAAAAGGGATTTTATTAGTAGAGGAAGACAAGGTCAAAGCGTTTTATTTAGAGGGAACACTTCAACCACAGAGGATATGAAATAAAAAGAAACTAAATACAATAAAGACGTTTAAAGCTCCGGTGAGGAACTTTTAGTTTGTGTCAGTTTTAGCGCCCCCTGTGGACAAAAGTCTTCTTACTGAATTTATTATCTATGTGAAATCCGGGGTAAATATTGCCATGAAAGCTCTAAAAAGTCACATATAAATCCACCATTTCAGGTAGGTAATGTGTTTGGGAATTTTAAGTAGTTGAGAAAATATGATAGTGATATCAGCCCTGTGAAAATGTCATTAATCAGCCTGCAGATTCATGTAATCTAGTTTTGACATGACTGTTTTACTCTAATTTTTGTTTTTGTTAATTGTTTTTTTCTGTGCTGCTGCTCTGACTGTTCTGGTGTCGCCCAATAACAACAATGTCCTGAATCTTGAATCTTCGCTATTTCAGGAAACTTCTATTCTGGATATCTGGAAAAGTGCACTACAAGTCGGCTGCCAAAAACAGCTTTTTACCTCTCGCTGCCCTCTTTCAAATGATTGCATGCTGAGGACTCTGCTGACTCAGCAAGCACGGCTGAAATTTCATGCATTAAATGAAAGAAAATCAGTCGAGACTAAATTCAAAATAAACTCTCTTATCTGCTGGCAAACCTCTATGTGTCGACCTGACGGATGGCCGGTTCCTGATTGAGTGCACTGACTGAGGATCAGCTGTGTGTTCGTGTTTCCAATCGACAAAAATGTATCGCTGTCCATCTGAAAAAACGTCTCTTTTCTCTCTGGCTGTACATCAAACAAACTCTCCTCTTCATCTCCCAATGCATTACAAGGTGTCTGAGCTCACCAAATGAAAAGAGGACACAGACAAAAATAATCCATCTCTCTCTGGTGAGCGGGATTAGTGTAACACATTTGTCTGCTGTGGCAGCTGTTTGAAGAACTGACTGAAGGAAACGCTGAGCTGGAACGTTAAACCGCTGCAGGCTTATTCGACTGTTTGTTTGTCACTCAGCTTTTAACAGGAGAAAAAACAATAAATGCTCGTTATTAATTTGACTTGATTTATTTTGCTCTAATTAGACCTTCCCTGTAAGTGCATGTTGCCAAGACGAGGGTGCTTGAAGTAACATTTTAAAGATATAATTAACACTCCGGAGCAACTTCTTGGTACAGTCTATACAGCACATTTATCCTCTTAACAGAGAGGCAACAATTAATGAGTCACTTCAATTATACGCTGGTAAAATTAAGGGTTACGGGCACAGAAGCAGCTGTAAAGCCGGCGGGGTTTTAAGAAACAGCCCCTGGAGCTGGCACTCTCATGTTAGAGAGTTTTCATTTCTTCAGGCTGATGTCTGTACTCACTTACTTCAAAAAAACACCTTCCATAAAGGCTCGGCTTACCTCATCAGCAAGTTGATCGTCTGGGTCGTAGTCTTTCATGTCAATCACCTCTGCTGGAATTCCCAAAGTCGTCACCTCCTCTGACAGCTCCTTCGCAAAGCTCTGGATAATTGAAAAGTCACAGTTATTGCTCATTAGACAATTATAAATCGTCATGTTATAACATTTGATGATTGGCTCATATAAGGGTAAAACATAAGCTTACACATGGGAAAAAAGTGAAATCCTTCATCATAAGACTTATAAGATTTAATAAATGTTGCTGGGTAAAGAATCATAAACACTGCCGTTCTGTTTGCTCGTATTTTACTGTTGTGTATTATTGCGTCTTTCATCTCAGTTTTGTAGCTCTAATAACACTGAAAACACTTCTGCAGTGGACACATCAGATATAATATGTGCACACTTAGTGACGTGTATCATAGCAAACAAAGAGCATGAAGCACGGTCAACAAACGTTACAGCTACCTAAGCTCACCTCTCCACCCCAGTGCAGGTGAGACCGTCACTTATATAACCTACCAGCTTTCAAACACAGCAAAACCAAGGATAACCGATCAGCAAAGCAACATTATGGCTCCTATATATATATATATATTGTCTGTATGCTATCATCACAGGTAGGTAATAACTTGTTTAATAATAACTTTATTTTTATAGCACTTTTAAAAACAGAAGTTTACAAAGTGATTTGACAAACATATGCAAATTATCAGCACATGGAAATAAAAACAAATAAAAAACAAAAGCTCAGTTAAAAACAAGGCGTCCAAATTGAAGGCCAATTTCATTTGTTATAAGAAACACAGACACTACAACATAAAGTGAGACCATGAGGACCAAAATAAAAACATAAAATAGGTGAGAAAAAGAAATGTAATAAAAAAATGAGAGGTATAAAGCAGGAAACAGGATAGTAATTATAAAAAGAGGATATTAATAATGATAATAACATCACAATAAAATAATAATGATAAAATGGAACAACAAAAATAGGCAAGAAAAAAACAATAAAAGGCCTAAAAGGTTAGATAAGAAAAGATTAAAGTAAAACAAAGACTAAAAGGACAGTAAGATTGAGGTAAAAGGTAAGGGTGGTTTGGTTTTCAGTACCTTTCCTGTTCCAGTTTGTGAACCATAGAAGATTTTCACAGCAGACACATGAACCACAGTGTCTTTACTGGAGTTCTCATCCTTCCTCACAGCTTTGTAGACCAAAGCTCCAACATCTTTGGAGAAACTTTTCTAAAACACAGAGAAAAGCAGAGGATGAAATGAAAGATTACAGACTGTTAGAGTTTCTTTAATATACAACAGCAGTATCTAAACACAACTCACCCTCTTCAGTGCCATCTTCACCAAGAACCAGAGCCCAAAGATGAGGGCAGCAGCTGAGTACAGGTACAGCCTGTGGTGCCATGTCCACATAAAGTAGGTCTCAGTGGGACTGTGGACTTTCTGAGACCCTGGAGAGTAAAAACACCCCACAATGAATCCTCTATTATCAGATACGTGGAGTTTAAAACAAACTTTATTATGTGATAACAGTAAATTAGACTGTAATTCGTAAAACTCTGGAAGTAAACTCTTGGATTCTCAACCTCAGGTCACCTGCGGATGAAGCTAACCGTACATGCTAACAGACAACAACATTTCTGTTCGTAAGTTTGGGACGTTAAGTTGTTTTTTTTAATCAAATAAACTTTGAATAATCTCACCTTTGGAATCCAAAGCAGACGCAATACATATGCAATGCACAACAAACACAAATAAATTCAACATCGCTGCAAAATATACATAAAGATAACCAGTCAACTGAAGCTGGTGCAGCGCGCCACCATCTTGATAAGCCGAAAGGTATGCTGGGAAATGTAGTTCTTAGCAGTTTGAACGAACGTTAAGATTAAAGATACAGCGGCTAAAATTGATTTAGAAACCTTCACCATCAAAAAAAAATTAATTACTGATTATTTGTTGGTTTCAGTGCTTATTTGTATATAAGTTGTTTTGTTTGCGCATCTTTAATGTCTGTTGTTGTAAATGCGCCCTACACTCAGAAATATGAGTATTTACTGCCCCCAAATGGTCATATTTAGGAACTACAATCATAATAATGAGTTTAGCATCAACACTGACGCACATCAGAAAAATACGAAAAATACTTTTAAAATATGAGTGTAAAAATGTAAGCAATCAGATAGATACTACACTGATACTGAGGGGAATTTTGTTGATATAAAATACATGGAATTAAAAACGTTAAACACAGAGAGAGTTCTAGAAAAAGTCAAAAAATAGAATAGCAACACAAAAATATATTAAAAAATATATATATAATTTACGGAACAGAAACGTTTTCCCCTACTCTTTTCACCACATAAATCAGCGATAATAAGAAAAATTTCATGAATGTTTTAACTTAATTAATCGTATAATTTAACTATGTTATCCCTTAAATATCCTAAAGAATCTTCAGCATTGGTGTTCATACATAGTTACTCAATAATATCAGTCAGTCTCCAGCAAAATTAAATTATATTAACAAAAATATAACATAAATAGAATAAATAAGTCCATTAATCATTTGTGAAAACACCCGATAGTTAATGCCCTTCTCCCTGAAACAGTAATACAGATAACAGTAATTATAACAATAACAATTATAACAATATTTTATTATTATAACAATTATGATAGACTTTACTCGCAACGGGCAGGAACTTTTGCAGAGCGTTGATGTTTCCAGCGGACCGTATTTGGTGACGCATTCGAGGTCCGCTCACGACGCAGTGAAGTGATCGGTTTGTTTTCGTCGTTGAGAGTCGATCAGACCGAGTTAACTTCACCATGTCGATATTTACACCGACTAATCAGATCCGGCTGACTAACGTGGCGGTGGTGAGGATGAAGAAAGGCGGGAAACGCTTTGAAATCGCCTGTTATAAGAATAAAGTCATGAGCTGGAGGACCGGAGCGTGAGTAACACACCCTCTAATGACTATTATTATTATTATCATTATTATTATTATTATCATTATTACACTCTGATATAGGTCAGGATTCAGTTAGTGTTAATGTTGTTGTCCTGTAAACGTCCAGTGAAGTCCAGCATCTCTCTCTCTCTCTCTCTCCCTCTCCCTCCCTCTCTCTCTCTCCCTCTCTCTCTGACTGTCTCTCTATTGTGTTCCTGTTCAGGGAGAAAGACCTGGACGAGGTTTTACAGACGAACTCAGTCTTCATAAATGTGTCCAAAGGTCAGACGGCAAAGAAGGAGGACTTGTCGAAAGCTTTTGGGACGGAGGATCTGACAGAAATCTGCAAACAGGTGAAGAAGAGTTCCTCATTTAGGGGAGACCGGGGTAGGTTGAGCCAAAGGGTCAGGTGGACTTAGTCCTGATGGTCTGGGGGATCACTAGAGTCCATGTCATGGGTATCTTCCTCGTCTGTGAAGGCTTCATTAATGCTGAACTATATCTACAGGTTCAGGACCATCAGGACTCTGTAGTTGGAGTCACTGCATGGTCTTAATATCACTTATCCACGAACTGTCCTGAGGTCTGATGGATCAACACTCTTTTAGAAAGGACAACTGGACTTACAACAAAGAACTAGAAATCATAGATGCTGCATTCTCGGTTTTAAACAATAGGGGAGGGTGGGGTAAGTTGGGCCACCACCTGTTTCTTGAAAATGGTCAAAGAAATTGATCATGTGACCAAATATTTAGGAGATGGGCATCAATTCATGGAGTCTGTGAAGGTTAGAAGCACATGGGTGAAGGGGTTAGACATTTAAAGTGAATTTAGTCTTTAGTCATCAGTTTGATTAAAATTGTGTTCAGACCAAAAAAGATCATTTAAATTAGTTTTATACATCAATTGTGGTATCTATGAGCTACAACATGAGGTCAACAACATAACAAGTCCACCATTTTAGTTTAGAGGACTAATAAAGTCATCATAGTAGTTCAGGGGTAACTGAGAAAGTAATAAAAAATAATAATAATAAAAACTTTATTTTTACAGCACTTTTAAAAACAGAAGTTTACAAAGTGCTTTGACATATAGTCATAAAGCACATGGAAAAAGACATAAAAACAAAAAGCTCAGTTAAAACAGAATTGAAGACCATTTTCATTTTTCATAAGGAACCCAGACAATACAAGAACCAGAGGAAAGAAAGAGGGATACGGCTCAACTTACCCCACTGCTATGGTCAACTTACCCCATACACGGGGTAAGTTGACCATAGGAGACCCCTTTGTTTTTGTCCTGCTATATTATCAAGATGACAGTTCTGTTTACACTCATTCTGATGAAGAACATCCTGAAATATCTGCAGATACACGAGTTATAGACAAAACTAGGACTGACTTGATGGACTGATCCAAATATGAAACATGGATCATCTTACCCCGCTCTCCCCTACAGTCTCATCATCCTGATCAGGTTCCCCTGCTGTCTGACACTTCTTCTCTCTCTGTTTTACGTGGACAGATTCTGTCCAAAGGAGAGCTGCAGGTATCAGACAAGGAGCGGCAGTGTCAGCTGGAGACCATGTTCAGAGACATCGCGACCATCGTGGCAGATATGTGCGTCAACCCAGACACCAAGAGGCCGTACACAGTCAACCTGATAGAGCGAGCCATGAAGGACATCCACTACTCTGTGAAGCCCAACAAGAGCACCAAACAGCAGGTGAGGAGATGGAGACGTCTCTCCTTTCATTATTAACACCACAAAGCAGCTTTACAGATGAGAGTGGATTATAAAGTCACCATTTCTTATTAGTTAGACACTATAATAATAATATATAGATGACCATTATCCATGTAGTAACTGTCCTCCTGCTGCATTTTAAGATTTATTTTAACTAACCACACTGTCCTCAGTCGATTGATTTAATATTTGTGAATACAGCAGATCTTATAAACTTTCATTGAACCTCTTATTGATCCACTCTGTCACCTGATTTAAATTCAAAATATACACTTTGTGCCTGAGAAATTATACCTTAAAATATACTTTACATTTGCTGATACCATGAAATGATCAATTATGATCAGAGTTTAAGACTTAATTCAATGTTACCATCATCTTATTGGTCACCCTGTGTCCAGTTACAAATAATACAAATCACAAAACTAACTTGTAGTTAGCAAAGATTCGTGGAAAATGAATCAAAGTAAAAGTTAAAAAAAAAATTCTGGATAGTAAAAGTAGTTAAAATATAAAAGCTTAACTAAAGTGCAGATACTGATTTCAGTATTTATAAAAAAAAAAAAGTTCTTTCCTGGAATCAGAACTTTTGTCAAGAGGTAGTTTTGAAGTTATCAGTCGTACCTTACAGCTCCACTACCATTCAACTGTTTTCTGCTAAAAAACACAAAACTACATTTACCATAAACTCAGAAACCTGCATCGTTGAGTGTTGGCTCAATATTAACTCCTTAAATGAAACAGAATGTCGTTTGAACTTGTCAGAGGGAGTTATTTTGGTTTCAGTTGAAATGCACGTCAGTTCTGGATATATGAAACCTGCGTTGTCGGTCTTCAGGCTCTGGAGGTGATCCGGCAGCTGAAGGAGACCATGCAGATCCAGAGAGCTCACATGAGGCTGAGACTGGTGCTGCCTGCTAAGGAGGCCAAGAGGCTGAAGGAGAAGCTGAAGCCGCTGCTGCAGGTCGTGGAGAGTGAAGATTTTGATGAGAATCTGGAAATGGTGAGGAGGGTCTAACACCAGTACTCCTGACACTCTCAGTTCTCCTCTTCCTGCCTGATTTGACTCTCTCTCTTCCTCTCTGTATTCATCTCTTGTCCTCACCACTGTTCCTCTCCTCGTCTTCAGATGTGTCTGATCGATCCCGGCTTCTACAGAGAGATCGATGAGCTGATCCGCTGTGAGACTAAAGGCCGAGGTTCTCTGGAGGTTCTCAGTCTGAAGGACGTGGAGGAGGGAGATGAGAAACTATAATCACCCAAACATTCAGGACTCTGCACCTTATCTACACTAACAGGCTTCGCTGGAGCACATAAGACTCTTTAAAAACATCAATATATATGTAAAGATTCATGCAAACAGTCCAGCATCTTTACGAGTGAAGAGTTTATTAACCTTTTATTTTCAGGTTTGTGGTCCGGACAGTGATGGGGGTTTAGGACACAGTCTGAGCATGTAAAAGCTAAAGTGTCAGTATGTGGACTTCATTCTGGACCACTGACCTGAACCCTAACCCTGCGTGCCATGAAGTCATGCTCGATCCCAATTCAAGAGAAAAGTTCTTTTAACTGATAATTTATATTTTTCATAATGACTTACTTTGCTCTGTTGCAAATAAATATTTAAAGAAATGTTCTGATTCATTTTATTTATTTGTTTTTAAAGATGTTATTTGATCACCAGGACTAAAAAAACAAAGTCTCCAAGAAAACAAAAGAGACAGCGAGGAATCTCCAATGGGATTTATGCACCGATCCACCACTTCCTGAACTGGAGGCTGCTCCTTTATTTCCTGTCTTACATTATTGGACAAACAGATTAATCCAGGTGTGTCTGACTAGTCAAAATGATCAGACACACCTGGATTAATCAGTTTGTCCAATAATGTAAGACAGGAAATAAAGGAGCGTTTTAAAGAGTGTTTTAACACTTCAGAAAATAATTCTCAATCATCTTTAAACTAAACAAACCACAGTTAAGCTTCAGATATACTGTTGTCTGTAGTTTAGTGCAACATCAGCTGATGAGAAAGTCAACCTTTGACCTCTGCGCAGAGTGAAATTGCACCTGTGACTGCTCTTTGCTCTGACTAATCTGTGATACGTGTCTCACACTTTGGTGGATCTGCAGTCAGGAGTCCTAAAAAGTTCAGTTTCCTCATTATTTACAGAGTTCTCTGTTAGTCAAAGACACTGACTGCTTTTATTTTACATCCTACTTCCTAAATTAAAGGTTCTGTCTGTAGAAAAAGGAACATTCAGGGACTTTAATATCTCAGACAAACACTTTTATGAACCGGTTTCAGAGTTTTTGTTTTTATTCCACATCGTCTTCAGTGCAGAACATTTAAATCAGATAACCGTTAGTTTCGATCGTGTTTGTGCAAAAACAGTGTTTAGTTCAAAGGCCAACGATAACTCAGTCACATTAAAGGCAGTACAGTGTATCCAAAGAACCAAAGGGTTGAAGTCACTCCAGTTTAGTATCAAGTTAAATATACAGAAGCAGTAAAAACAGCTGATTCCTAAAGTCTACCCACATCCCAAACATCGACACAAATACAGGAGAAAACACTTATAAACATCATTTCTGCACATGTGCGGCTCCACCTCTCCTCTCTCCCTGTTAAATATGACACCAGTCTGCTCAGATGGGCTCTGATCTGCGATCATACTGGCTGCTCGTGAATATCGTCCTGTTGATCCTGCTCAGCGGATGATTCGCCTCGTCCTCCAGATTTGGGGGTACGTTTGCATCTTCAGGGGTCTGTGCAGCTCTAGTGGGGCACCTGGTGGTGAGAAACACTCCTCCGATCAGCATCAGAGCTGTGGAAATCCATCCCAGGTACAGAGCAGGTCCCCAGTCCCTCCTCAGCAGCGCAGCTCCCTCCAGTGGCTGACTGGTGTGATGGCACGTCCAGGCGAGAGGAACCAGCAAAAGGATCCCGGACGAAACAAAGAGAGCTCCAGAAACCACTTTAACCTGTCCACGCAGAGGGAACCACACGGCTCCCACTGCTCCAATCACCATCCCAAAAGCCCCGGCTCCAACAGAGGCCATGATGAGGGCCCTCCACGTCCGAAAACTCCCAGAAAGAGACATCAGAGACCGGTAGAAAGAGCAGTGCAGGCTACCATCGTGGTTCAAGTCCCAGTGATCCCACTCCAGCCACACCCCGTCCCAGTATGCAGGCAGAGTGGCCGTTGTGTTGTCCACGGTGCCGCTCACCTTCCACAGGGCCAGGCAGCGTGTCAGGATGGCACAGAGCCACCCAGTGAGGGCCAGAGCGAGGGCAGCGAGCTCCAGCCGCCGCTCCATGACTCCGGCCTGCTCCTCCTCTCCTCGGCAGGCCGACTGTCTAACCGAAAACAGCTGGGAGCAGAGCGGGGCGGGGTGTTGTTCTAACGTGTGTGTGCATGTGTGAGGCAGGGAGAGACTGTCTGTGTGTGTGTTTGAGTGTGTAGGTGTGTGTGTTTGCTTTGCATGTCTGTTCAGAAAGGGGGAAACCAGTTCTTTGGTATTCATGGGAAGAAGAAGAAGAAGAAGCAGACGAAGGCAGGGCATGGGTGGAGGAGGGAAATCCCTCTGTTTGCTCTGCTGTGGTTTCATAACAATCCTTTTCTCCTCACAAAAGTCCCTCTGTGCTCCGACTCTGAGCCTCTGAGTCATGTTTTTAGAGAAGTCTGGATTTAAAGAGCCACGAGGTCCTGATGAAGTCTCAATCTGTGTCTCTCAGAAGTCGATTACTGACTCTGACCCTCCGCTCACTGCAGAAAACAGATCATTAAACTCTCACGTTTGCTCTGTGACGTTTATCTTGAGTTTCCACAGAGTAGATTTCTCTGATTATAACTTCACAAACAGCTGACTGGTTCATAACGATGATTAATGTTTTCAAAATTAAAGGTGGTGTAGTCAGGATCTGAGGAAGAGACAGTTTTAGGGAGAAATCCTAAATGTAAACACGACCCCTCAAACCAGTCCAACTTTGGGAACTTTGATATCCACTTCATGCAGACTCCTATTTTCTGAGTCGTTTTTCTTTCAGGATTCCACTGCCCCCTAGAGGTCAGAATTGATTTCCCATGAAATTTGTCAACTGATTCTGAAAGGAGACGACCCCATCATTGTAATGATGCCCCACATGTCATTATCTCCTGTGGAATTATGGAATAAAATTGACCTCAAAACAGAAAATCGTGCTGTTTTTTATTTAAGGTGGAACCGAAACCTAAACACAATCGTAGGCGAACGTGGAGTGAAGTTCAGCGTCGTAGCTTCATTTATGTTGACCCGTCTTTTTAGCTCTTGTCCGGTCTACCTCCGTTTTAAGCGCCCGTTATTCCTCCAGAGTCTCCGGTATTTACTTTGTTTTCTTGCTTGTGTCGGCAGTCGTGGCCAAAGGAGGATTCAGACAATTTTCCGAACTTTCTGGTTGGTTTCTACTGTCCGATATTGTAGCACGCTAACTTTGTTTGGGCTCCTGAACGACACGGGGGAGCAGCGTCTGCCTCACAACCAATCAGGTTAGAGGAGGTGGAGAACGGCTTTGTTTACAGTCAGAAAGAGCGGACCGCTCAAAAATGTTCAAATGTTGACGACACAGACATAAGAGAACACAGAGATATCGATATATTACCAAATGTCATCAATAACTAATAACTATTGACTGATATTAAAAGAGTTTTTGTTTATACACCACAAAAAAACAGATTCCTGCCTACCCCACCTTTAACAGATATTCAGCTTGACAGTTTTTTTTTTTTATAACAAAGAAAATCTTGAAATGTCAACAGACAGTCTTTGTAAAATTAGTTTTTACAGATTTTAGACTTTTAAAAAATGGTAAAAAACAAGATAATAGCTGCATCAAACACACTAATAACCAAAAAAAAACATCTTATCATCTACTTATTCAGTCTACAACCCTCAAAACCATAAGAGCTGCTGGGTCACTGTGTAGCAGATTGTGAAGGTTCGGCTAAAATATAAAGGTCTTCACTGTAAAGATGCTGATCCTAAACCTGGAGATGTTGTTTAAAACTGAGGATGCAGCATCTATGATTTCTAGTTCTTCGTTGAAAGGACAACTGGACTTACTTGAAGAGAGTGTTAGATTTTGATCCATCAGACCTCAGGACAGTTCACGGATCAGTGATTTTAAACCCATGCGGTGACTCCAACTACAGAGTCCTGATGCTCCTAAACTTGTAGATGTAGTTCAGCATTAATCACAGATGTGGAAGATACTCATGACATGGACTCTGATGATCCATCAGACCACAGAAGGGTTTTCCATTTCACCTCAGCATCCTTTACATGGTCTAGTTTTAACCTTTGTTTGTGGATGCAGTCATGTCTATTTTTAATGCAGTGTCACCTGAGCGACCAAAGATCCCAACAAACCAGTTCAGGTCTTTGAATCTTGTAATAATACAGAATAATGAACCTCAGATGAATAAATCCACAGATATGATCTTATTTTTGTTGTTTCTTCTGAACTCTTTCCTCTCCTAGTTTCTCATGGAGTGGTGAACATCTTCCCATTTTTACTGATGAGACTCAGCGCCTCTTGAATCCTGATTTATACCCTGTTACAGAATAATGTGACCGGTTTGGAGATGTGTTTGTTTTCCTGTCCCGCCTGCTGTCATCAAAAATGATCCTTTTCATAAACATTAACACTTTTCAGTTGGAGTAACTTGAAATCTTTTGGTTATTTTCAGTTCAATGATTTACAAACCATCATTTTTTAAACTACACGTAAAAGCCTCCCAGCTCTTCTGTTATTGGGGTTGTGATATTTTGTGTATTTGAACCTAAACATGGTCTTGTTTGCGTCTTGTTTGCGTCTTGCTCTCTCTTGTTCTCATCCCTCTCTCCTCTCTAAACGTAGTTCTTGATGGCGTAGCTGTGGGTGGGTGTCCTGGCCAGCATGTACCCACTAGAGTTCAACCGTCCCCTCTGTGGTGGGCAGCTTGAGCACAGGATGGCCCCCCCACAGAAGAGCAGCCCGGAGGTCACAAAGCCGATGTAGATGGCCGCGCCCATCTCCCTCTTCAGGGCCTCGGGGACGCGCGGGTTGTAGAAGTCTCTGATGATGGAGTTCGCCGTCCAGGAAACGGCGACGATGGTGGTGAGAGCGGACAGGCAGAAGATGGAGCCGGAGCTCAGCACCACCCGGGCCTTGACCTTCGGGTGTCCCAGGCAGTTGGTGCAGCGCGCCCCCAAGATGAAGATGAGGAAGCCCAAACATCCCAGCACCAGGCTGATGCAGATGAGGCCGCGGGCCGCCTGCAGGTCAGGTGACAGATCCAGCAGGGCGTCGTAGAGTTTACACTGCAGCTGACCCGTGTACTCGCTGACGCAGGTCATCCACAGCCCCTCCCAGAACACCTGCATGACCACCAGGTGGGTGCCAATGAACGCCGTCACCTTCCACATGGGCAGAGCGCAGATCAGGATGGTCCCAGCGACGCCCACCATGGAGAGGCTGATACCCAGCTCCTGCAGAGCCATGGGACCCTGTGGACTCCGTCACTCCCTGAGAGACACAAGAACAGGTTCAGTCATAAAAGGGTTCGTCTTCACGCAGTCTTCGATTTTCTTCTATCCTGACTTCTATTTCTTTTATGTTTTTTTTTATTTGATTCATTTTTTTCCTGCTTTCATTTATTTCCTCCTGATTTTTTTTTTACTTCTTCAAAGTAAATCCTCATGACCTACTAAAACTTTGTCATGAGGATCTTGTTTCCATCGAAGACGCTGTGAAGGACGATTATCGGGAAAAAGAAGTCAGAGTTGGTCAGAGGATCGTAAATCTGTTATCGTAAGGCTGTTTCTCTTGATGAATGTCACCAGGAAAAAATAGAGGGGGATTTTTGTTTGTGCGGCAAAGTGCCATCAGGGGGCGGTATAGTACAACATTGAAAATCAGGTTGATTGAATAGAAGAAACATAGAAAGGAGGGTCTGTGGTTTAATCTGAGAAGATGTGATCTGAAGATGCAGTCTAATCTGATTTTTAAAGAAATGTAGGTGTGGAGTGGTTTTTGTCCCTGATTGACCGAGTTATTTTACATTTTCTTCTCTTTTTGTTCGTTTAAGTTCAGATCCAAAACTTACTTTTCCAACTTTTCCAAATTTAGATTTGGAGCCAAACCTGAAGCTACACAGATGATCAGGAACGAGTTTTTCTGAAAGTTTTGTTCGGTTTATGAATTTACTGTTAGAGTAGTTTTATTCTGAGTACCTGAGAGCAGCTTTTTTAGTGTCTCTCACTCAAACTGAATTATACCTGACTGTTTCTCTCTCCTGTTCTGAGGGTGGAGGGCGCTGCTGCTGCTGCTGCTGCTGCTGCTGCTGCTGCTGCTGCAGGTTAAATTTACATCTGAACTCCTGAGGAAAGAGGAAAACTTCACACACTCATTATCCTCTCAGGGTAACACAATCCTCTCTGATCTGCAGCCTGATAACAGCAGGACACACACACACACACACACACACACACACACACACACAGTTTCAGCCCCCTGTGAGACATCCTCTCTACATTCTTGACCTTTGACCTCAGCGGTGTCTCTGAGTCAGTCATCGACAGTAAAGGATAAAACTTTCCAAACAGATCTGAAGTCCCTGAGTCACCAGGTTTGTTTCCTGGACTGTCATCCTGACAAACAGGTTTTCTACATGACAGGTGATTTATAAACAAACACACACATGTCAACAAAAGGCACAGAAGAAAAAAAACATCATCATTATTATTATTATTATAAGAAGGTCGTTTATTGTCACAAAAAAAGTGCACATCTCAAGAAATGATCGTTTTCAATCAATTTTCCAAAACATGTGAAACAAAGAGTCACTGTGATTTAAATTAAACCCACAAACATGTTCATTTTTCAGAGCCTATTACCACTTAAATATAATAGTAATAATAATAAACTTATTATCTTTACTGCTCTATTAAAAGTGCTTTACAAAAAAAAAAAACAGCTGATAAAAAAATGACATTTGTAGAGCGTCTTCATAAATCCGGTGCGGTGAAAAGAGAAAGTGCGTGTTTCCTTCGGTGTGTGTGTTTGTCCTTTTTTTAAACTTCTTCATGTCCCCTCAGAAAAGTCAAAGATATGTCTTTGTGAAGGATCGGACAGACCCCGGTTTGCTGTACCCCCTTGACTCGTCCATGAAGTACTCCACTGATCGGGCCCCGCTGTCTTTTTTCGGACAGCTGGAACACAGCAGAGCTCCTCCCACGATCAGCAGCGCCGAGGCCCCCCAGCCGATGTACAGAGAGGCCCCCAGCTCTCTTTTCTGGGCGTCCACCAGCACGGGGTTGTAGAAGTTCCTGATGATGATGCTGGCGGTCCAGGAGACGGCGATGAGGCAGAGGACTCCACTGATGATCAGTAAAACACCCGCCGCCACTAAAGCCCTCGCCTTGGCTCTCTCCTTTGGAATGAAGTTGGTGCACTTCCCTCCTGCGAAGGCGATGAGGACCCCGACGAGGCCTACGATGATGGACACCACCACCAGAGCCCGGGCCCCCTGCAGGTCTTTGCTGAGGGCCAGCATGGAGTCGTAGACCTTACACTGCATCTGTCCTGTACTCTGGACCACGCAGCTCATCCAGAGTCCCTCCCACATGACCTGAGAGGTCACGATGTTGGTGCCGATGAAGGCCGTGACTCTCCACATGGGCGTACCGCAGACGATCAGCACCCCGATCCAACCGAAGAGAGCCAGGGCGCAGCCGGCGATCTGCATCCCCATCGAAGCCATGGTCTCCTGTCTGCGAGCGTCGGAGTGTTTGTGTTCATCTGACGCCGAATGAAGGAGCGAAGGCGTGAAAGCTCAGCTAAAGAGGCCCTGCCAAAGAATACCAGCCGTGCAGGATTCTTCTTCTGTGAGGACAATAAAGGTTTGGGTATCGATTGTTCCTCTGGATGGAGAGGAGGGTTGTGTTACAGAGGCGGTTTTGTTGGTAATTCGACAAGGTGTGACAAACACACCTACGAGAAAACGCAGGTAAGACTGCAGAGAGTTTTAGACGCATACCGACCGGACGAAGGTTCAAGAGAGGCCAGAAGTCTGCAGACAGGCCCGCCCTCACGTCAAGACATCAGGATATTTATAAGTTTATTTATACACAAATCACAAATGCATTATTTTTACAGCCTTTTTTTGCTCTAATTGTTCAAATGTACAGAGATGGAGAGTCACTGATGGATCTTTCTAACCTTAAGAAAAACTTACAGAGCAAAAAGTTAAAAAACCCTCCATGAAGTACATGAACCAGCTGACCAGACGACGACGTCCACCCTGCAACAAACTCAAACTACACACAGACTAAATACCGACTTTGTGCCAAGATATTTAAGCCATAACTTTTATTGATAAGTTACTAACAATAAGTGTTATTAAGAAGTCCTTTTATTAGCCCTTTTTATTTATTCAGATCAAATAAGACCTTATTTATGGTCATACATGTAGGGACCAACTACTAAATGCAATACCGACAAAAAATGTTGCAAAAAATCTGCAATAACCTCATTCTAGACAGGTGCAGACAGAGACGAAATCGCCTTTAAAAAAACGCCCTTTAACTCCAGAGGTACAGCTAACTCCCTCCAAAAGTAAAAGTTATGTAACGACTCACAGACAGCAGGTCCAGCCTTTACGCTTTATTTTATTATTTATAAAGACTAGGGCTGTCAATCGATTAAAATATTTAATCGCGATTAATCGAATTTTGATCATAATTAATCATGATTAATCGCAAATTGATCGCATATTTTTGATCCATTCTAAATCGATCTTTTTCAAATTGTTATACTTTTATCAACATAAGAATCAAGATGAGGACAGATCGTGGATTTTCATGGTAATGGTGGTCCTACAAGGTAATTCATATGTCCAGTCATTCGATGCGATCCGTATGCGGGCGGGGGGGGGGGGGGGGGCTCTCTGCATCAGCTGTGTACTTGGCCGACAAGTGATATTTGAGACTAGACGTACTCCGGTGGTAACTAAATTCAGCTCGACAGGAAACGCAAATGACTTTTGTCCTGTCAAGAGAGCCATCTGGCAAGGCGTTGTAGCTGAACTCTCCATTCAAAATCGTGTTCTTATCCATTATATCATAGTTACCGCTCACGTGAATTTGTTTATGTCTGCTGCGGTATCGGTCAGTGCTCTACTTCCTGATTCGCGAAACTACGGAGTGCCCCGAGCCTCACATAACTCACCAACTGTTCCTCTACCCTTTTTACAACGGCAAGAATATTCACGCAGTGTGTGTATAGTTTGGTCAAGCCAGGCTAAGGCTTGCGTTAATCGTGCGTCAAAAAAATTAGTGGCGATAAAAGTCACTCGAGTTAACGCGACAATAACGCGTTAACTTTGACAACCTTAATAAAGACCCACAATCAAGATACGATAAGACTGAGTCTCATTCAGGTAAAGGAGATCCATTTATCCAATCAGAATCCACCATGAGTGAATCAGTTTTGGAGAATTAGAATCATTTTTGACGGTCAAGACAAACAATCACATCAACAGTTTTTACACACGTGTGGTTAAAGTAAAATAGGGTATCGTTTACAGGAGCAGCATTTTAATGATGATAGACTGAATGATTTTTGTTTCATCATAAGTCCAAAGGATTAGCGAGTCAGCGCTCAGGAGTTAAAGTTATTTTTACTTTCCCCTCACAGAGGTGGAATAAAAACAGTTTTAGTTTCAGTGATTCATCCCTGGAGTTTCTCTGCAGTCATCACCTGGTTAGTAAACTGGACTCTGATGGATCGGTTCCTTTGTGCGTTGGCATGTTGTGAGTTCAGAACACAGTCATTAATCCAGAACCGGTTCAGGTAGATTCTCTCTCTGCAGGAATGTGATACCAGGTGAGATGCAGCAACAGGGTGTGTTCACCTGAGTGATCACACCCTGATTCATCCAGCTGACATCATGTGTGTGTGTGTGTGTGTGTGTGTGTGTGTGTGTGTGTGTGTGTGTGTGTGTGTGTGTGTGTGTGTGACTAGATAGAAAAAAGAAAAAAAAACTACAATGTCACTCTTCATTTCCTGGATGTCAAAGGTTTCCTCTAAATCAGCTGATTGAAACTTCCCTTTCAAACAAACAAACAGGAACTGATTTTTATCCTGATCAAACACAATCGATGATTAAAACAACCGAACCAAAACTCTATGACGATGTTCAGACATGATATTCCTCAGAGGAGGTGAAAATAAGTTTCTGCTGAAGGTAACGGTGATTAAAAATAAACAAACCGCCACTTTAACCAGGTTCCAGAGATAACTGTCGTCACTATTGTTTATGTTCAAGTCACATGACTTCCTTTGGTTTTAACAGCCACCTGGGATTAGATGAATTGATCACATTTTTGTTGTTTGATTTCAAGTTTATTTAACACGTCTTTGAATCCTAAACATGATCATTTACTCAACATAAACAGGCGTTTTTATGCTGAAATAGAGTCAAAGCGGGACACTGCCAATGAACAGCTGAGTTTGATGCTGTTACTGTGATGAGAGAGGTCACATGACTGCTGTTATCCAAAAATGACCAAAATTACGGAACGAGCTCCCCCACTGTCCATTTTTAAAACTCGTCTTAAAACCCATTTTTATTCATCGGTTTTCAACATGAGACTCGGCTCCTGTTTGAGTGTTTTTAGTCGTTTGTTTCTATGTTTTTAAAAACATTGAAACTATATTTTACTTTTTAATATCTGCTTTTATTTTATTCACTGTTTTAATTGTTTTTTTTCTGTCTGTGCTGTTTTGTGTATCTATGTACAGCACTTTGGTCGGCTGTGGTTGTTTTAAAGTGCTTTACAAATAAAGTTGAGTTGAGTTGAGACCACGACCACAAAGACCCCCTAAATTACCCGTATCGACAAAAACTCAGACAGCAGTTGTGATCAGCTGTAAACACATGTAGAGAGTTTATGAAATGACCGTTTTTCTTTATCTAAACATCATTGTTGTCTGTGTGACTCAGGTGTGTTACAGCAGGTGTGTGTATGTGTGTGTATGTGTGTGTATGTCGTCACACACTGAAGCAGGTTCAGTCAGAAAAGCTCCAGCTGGCACTGAACTCTGTCCGACCGGCTGAACTGGTTTAACGTCTGTGTGAAGAATTCAAACCGCAGAATGTTTTTGAGCGCCGACTTCTCTGTTTTCTGACCTATTTAGATAATAAAGCAGGACAGTTTCATTACCAGGTGAATCAACAGCAAAAACATCTCTGCGTTTAGAGGATCTAACTCTTACAATGACCTGTTTTAAGTCACTCTGAACTTTTCTCAGTCTTTGTTTTCTCAGACTTGAACCTGCCCGGCAGGTACGTTACATAAACACCTGCACCTTTCCTGATGATGAATCTTGTTCTCTTTGAATAAAAAGACAGAAAAAGAGCTTCGACAAGAGAGTCTGATCTGTTCATGTTTTATTAAAAATGTCAGTGTACATTAGCAGTCTCTAGATCCTGCTTCAAACTGAGACAGACATTTGTAAAATACTCTCTGCATTAAATTCACAATATATCAGCGGTCCTGTACAGGTTTCCTCCCATCGTATCTTTTTGTCATCCTTCTAAATGTACCAAACACTCTGAGAAAATAAGGTTAAATACTAGCTTACATTACAAGTGTCTCATTCAGTCCAGTCACTCTCCTGTTAGAGGGTTTAAAGCGCGTCTCTGCGCCGTGCGTCTCCTTCCTCAAGAGACCCGCTCTCCTGCCTCCACAGTGAGAGACAACTTCTGCTGTCAGACGTTCACCACAGAGGAGGTCATCTTCAAAATAAAAAAACAGTCTTTTCCAGCAGCGTGGATCCTCAGACGTAGGCCCGGCTGGTGGCTGTGGATCTGGCGGGGGCGTATTTGACCGGATACTCTGGGCTGTCTTTGGGTGGACAAGAGCTGCAGAGGAGGGCGCCCCCCAGGATGAGGAGAGCAGCTGTACCCCAGCCGATGTAGAGAGCGGCGCCCAGCTCCCTCCTCTGAGCGTTGATCATGACCGGGTTGTAGAAGTCCCTGATGATGGTGTTGGCGGACCAGCAGACGGGGATGAGGATGAGCACGCCTGCACAGATGAAGACGATCCCAGCAGCGATGGCCACCTTCGCCTTGGACCGGGAATCCTCAACAAAGTTGGTGCACTTTCCTCCGGCGATGCCCAGGATGACCCCGAACGCTGCCACGATGATGGCGATGACCACCAGAGCTCTGGCGGCCTGAAGGTCCTGAGGAAGAGCCAGCAGAGAGTCGTAGATTTTGCACTGCATCTGACCCGTGCTCTGCATCACACAGTTCATCCATAAACCCTCCCAGATGACCTGCGCCGTCACAATGTTGGCGCCGATGAAGGCCGTCACCTTCCACATGGGCAGAGCGCAAACGATGATGGTTCCCAGGAAACCGATGATGGCGAGGGCGAAGCCCAGCATCTGCCGTCCCATCGACACCATGATGAGGATCTGTTTGGGTCACTTGGATCTGAATGAAGGCTGAAGAGGTTCTGGAGCAGGTCAGCTCAGCTCAGGTTGTAAAGTGGATTAAATGGTGAGGAAGACGTCGGTTGGTTATAAGTACTGTGAGTCTTCAGTGAGGGTGGAGTCAAGGTGTGTAGCCCTCTGACCTGAAACCGGTGCAGACTTACCTGCCCCACCAGATTCTTTACATTATTCCAGAGTGGATGGGGAGTAGTTTCGACGAGATGAGCATCACTCTCAGACGAGGATGTGTAAACGGGGCATTCCTCATCGAAACAAAGCAACCCCACTAACAACCCCTGTGATTGGTCAGCTCACCGGAAGGTCGGGTCTCGTCACAGGTTTTTAAAAAAACACCAACAAGGATGAGAGTTTCACCGGAAGTCAGAAGTTAACAGAGGGGCGCCATGTTTGACCCTGTTTCCTAGTTTGTGTTTTTGAAATATTTTAAAATAAGATTTTTACGTTTGTTAAGTTGATCACTTTAACAACACAAATTTATTTAATGTAAACACGTCACTTTGAGTATTTTAGATGACTCACTCACTGATTTAAAAATGATAATATTTGATCTTTTTAAGTGATATTTATCTTTAGAAGTCTGCTTGGTATTTTATTAGTGCCTCAAAAAAACAAAATACAAAAAATCTAAACTAAAAAAAAACAAACATAAAACCTGAGCGAAATGATTAAACTAAAAATATCAAATTCAAATTAAACTTAACCAAAAGAATAAAATTAAACTTAGAAAAATGTAAACAAAAAAAAATGAAATAAAACTAAAAATATTTAAACAAAAAATAAAATTAAACCAGAAAAATTTTAAACAAAAAATAAAATTTAACTGAAAGATTTATACAAAAAAATGTAAACAAAAAATAAAATAATCTAAAAAAAATTTAAACAAAAAATAAAATTAAACTAAAAAAATTTAAACAAAAAATTAAACTACACTAAAAAATTTAAACAAAAAAATAAAATTAAACTAAAAAAATTCAAACAAACAAAAATTTAAATTAAACTAAAACAAATTAAACTAAAAAAAACCTGAAGGGCTTATTACAACAGAAACAGTTTTTATAACATTGAATCAAATATAAAATAACACACAGACAGTCAAATGTTTAAATTACAACAGGTTTATTTTATTTGTTCAGAACAATCTTAAAAAAAAAAAAAGAGTTATTTACACAAAACAAACACATCAGAAAACACATTTACACTGATTTCACACAATGACGCTCTTTTATCAGGACAATACAGGAAGATTTTGACTCTAAATCATCCAAAGGAGGAAACAGTCACATGTCAGAGTTTATAATCAAAAGGTCAGTTACATTTGACTCATCTCAAACCTTGGACAGGACTACACACCGCTCTTCTTCTAGTTTCTAAAAAAGTTCGTGGAGGCGGTTTTTCTCAGTCTTTCACCTCTCTGTGTCCTCTCAGTCTTTTCACCCGTACTGTTGAGGCGAGTAGGCGGTTGGTACTCCGTAAGGTTTGGCTGGTATGTATGACCCGCTGGTTGAGTACGCTCGGCTGGCTGGAGGGACGTACACGGGACTGTATGTCGGCGGGTTCGAGGTTGCGTAAGGGTAAACGGGTGGTCTGTAACCCGGGTATCCATACATAGGTTTAGAGGGAGGGCAGGAGGTGCAGAGGATGATCCCCCCGATGAGCAGAATCAGCGCCGAGGCCCAGCCGATGTAGATGGCGGCTCCGATTTCCCTCCTCTGCGTGTTGATGGTCAGGGGGTTCTCGAAGTCTGTGATGGTCACGGCTGCAGACCAGCAGACGGGGATCAGGAGCAGGATGGCACCAGCGATAATAAGACACCCTCCACCGATCACCACCTTGGCTCCTGATGAGTCTTTCTTCAGGCAGCTGGTGCACCGCGCTCCGATGAAGGTGATGATGAAGCCGATGAAGGCGAAGATGAGGGCGATGATGACCAGGGCTCGTGCGGCCTGCAGATCCCTGGACAGACTCATGACGGACTCGTTCAGCTTACACTGCATCTGCCCCGTACTCTGCATCACACACTTCATCCACAGACCGTCCCAGATGATCTGTCCTGTCACGATGTTGGCGCCGATGAAGCTGGTCACTCTCCACATGGGGATCCCGCACGTCACCGCCGTACCAACAAAGCCGATGAAGCTGATGATCTGACCCGCCACCTCCTTGGCAATCCTCCCCATGGCGAAGGATTCGTGGACAGCAGGAGAGAGGAAGGTTTCATGCACAGGTCTGGTTCTCTTTCGGGAAGTGCCTCAGCTCTCTCCCTCAGTGTTTGACGGGGAGGATGATCAGGAGGAGGGCCGTCGCTCGGTCAGGTTAGTTCTTCTGGTAAAACTAGATTCCTTCTTCTAGTCACTGAGGAGTGGCATCTATTTCCAAACAAAGCCTTGTTTTTGTTCTTAAACGACAGTCTCCCTGATGCAGATTTCTCTGTAGTAAACACGGTTTTATTGGGTGGTGTAACAGCCACTTAGTGACCCTTTTAAAAGGTCCTGAAGCAGCTCAGATAGTCGAGGACGGATGATTATGCAATCACATCTCGTTCTTTCTTCTGGACAGTAAATCAGAGTTATACAGGGGGGGTGATGATCTTTTTAAAGCCTTATCTGGTGGATTTTCAGTGTCTCTACATGATTTACAGCTCTAAAAAAACTTCACTTATCTCAGATTGGTGTTTTTTTACAACCCTCACTTCAGCCCTTATCTGAAACACTTCATTCCAGCCCTCAAGCACTCCAGAAGCCTTCTCCACTGTTGCCAGACTACTAAGACATGATTCTCTATTCAAAGTCACTGAGCACAACCAAAGATAAATAATACTTCACACTTTTTATTTTGGTCTCAAAGTCTTCAGAGACTTCATGTCATTTTTACAAAATTATTACTGTTTGAAGCTAACGACTAATTATTTAGAAATTGTAAGTTTGTTGTTATTAGTATTCTTGTTGCGCGGCTCCATTGCTCATTCCTGCCATGAGTGATGCAGTTTAGTGGCCTTAGAGGACTTAACATGAACCAGGATATGGACCCAAAAGCTGGACTCACGGGGCAGATAAAAGTTTAGTGATAATGTAGATTTTGCGGGCGGTCAGGTCACTCAATGCTTCGCGGTTGGAGGACGGAGAATTCCTTTCCTGTAGTCGCACCGATGAGAGAAACTGATAACGACCGTCATTTTCAGTAATTCAGGTTGTCTGCCGTCGTCGTCTTCTTCGTGTCTCTCTAGAGACGCGTATCAGGTCGTGACAGCAGCAACACTGCCTCCATGGTTTCCGGTGGTACTGCTCCGTCTGGCCCGTATCCGTAAATTGAAAGTAAACGCGCAGAAATACAGACGAAATAGCGCGAAACATGAGCTCCATCCGTATCCGGACCCGTATGTAACGTTGAGCATAAATGAGCCTTTAAATGACAGTGTGAAAGGTTATTTATGACATGATTAAAAACACACCTCACCATGATCATTAGAGACAGAGACATCATCAGTTTCACTATCGATAAAAACACTTAAAGGAGAGAGGAGATTCAGAAAGGTGGTCACTTATATTAACATTTGAAAGAGGATCCCTCTGCAGGAACTGTTGTGGAAACAAACCGTTTGAACTCCATTGTTCCCACAACCAACACAGAAATCTGATACGACAACAACAACCAGCTAAACACTGATATGAGGGCCTGAGGGGAAAACAAAACTATAGTTCAGGTTATTTTTGGTGTTTTTATAATGTGTGTGTGTTTTGGACAGGGTTAGTCTTTTACAGAGAGAGTGAGACTGGAGCTGGACCAGCAGGGACTGGACCATCTGTACACGGGTCACTCAGAGCCGTTCCTGTTTTGACCTTTTTCTTGCTCTTATGTGCTTTAAGATACTCAGAAATATAAACAGCAAACATCCAGAAGATAAAGATTTTATTTACAGTCACAGAGTTTTAATAAAACACAGAGATATGGATGTCAAATACACAAATATGCAGAACCTACTGCTGAGAAAAAGAGAATAACTATTAATTTAAGAGATAGTTATTAGCCATACCTTTCCTAAATGTTGATATAATTCCATCTGAGTGATACTTTAAATAATTAAGCAGTAAAATCCTGATTAAATACTTACATAAATATATCATAATAATGATGATGTGAATATATCTTGCAGAAATATGTGATGTAGCCGTCGTTGAAATCATTAACCTGCTTTAAAAGACAAAAATTCATATTTAAATGAACACAAACCAAATTTAAACTCAGCTGCATTTCCAAAACTATAAAAAAAAAAATGTTTTGAAGCGATCTCAAATGTTAAAGTTGTCCTTCAGATGACCTCAAAAGTCTTATACGTATTCTCGGGACGTGGAGGCGGACTTCACAGGTGAGAATTTGGGGACGTAGTGGGGGTGTTCATGTTTGGGTGGGCAGTTCCAGCACAGGAGCCCCCCTCCCATCAGCAGCAGAGCAGCGGCCCCCCAGCCGATGTACAGCGCCGCTCCCAACTCGTACCTCTGGGCCTCGATCAGAAGCGGGTTGTAGAAGTTCCTGATGATGGAGTGGGCGGACCAGGAGACCGGGATGAGGCAGAGCAAACCCGAGACGATGAACAAAACTCCCGCTACGATGCACGCCTTCGCCTTGGATCGCTCGTCCTCGATGCAGTTGGTGCACTTCCCACCGGCGATGGACAGACACAGTCCGAGGATCCCGACCAGGATGGAGATGATGATCATGGCTCGAGCGGCCTGAAGGTCCGGCGCCAGAGCCAGCATGGAGTCATACACCTTACACTGCATCTGACCCGTGCTCTGGACCACACAGTTCATCCACATGCCCTGCCAGATGGTCTGAGCCGTGATGATGTTGGCGCCGATGAAAGCAGTGACCTTCCACATGGGCAGCGCACAAACCACAATGACCAGAAACCAGCCAATCACAGACATGGATATCCCGATGATCTGAATCCCCTGAGACACCATCGCTGCGGCGTTCCTCCTCACACGTTAAAATCCAGAAAAACAGGTGAGTGGGACGATGACGGTCGTATTTATAGGCTGCTGTGTGAGAAGTAGGACACGGACATGAGGGTATGTGATACCGAAACCCTCCGCTCTTATTGGCTGGATGGAGTTTACACACAAACAGAGACGCAGTGACCTTCAGGAGCGCTGACCTGCCAGAATCAGGAGCTTCAAGGTCAGACGTAAACAAAGGGAACAGTTTAAAGCACATTCACCTTTTTGACAAGACAGTGTGTAAATGATGCTGAAGATCATTTCAATAATTTGTTTGATGGGAAAAAGTCCAGACAAACTAATTAATGTTAAAATGGAAAAATAAAAAAAGATAAACATCCTGTTTCTTCACTTCTTCTTTTCCTGACACTTTAAAGGTGAGAGAATCAGAGGAAACTGTTCGACTCTGTGACTTATCAATACTGGAACCAGACAAAGTAAAAACATTTGGGTTTGTGGTGGGAGGTCGGGGTACCCTTTACATTACACAACACATAGTCACTCTTTTGTAAGCACACTAGGTTATGTGTTGGTGCCATCTGTGTTTCGAGAGACTCTTCTTAGTCAGGCCTTTTTGTTGCTCGTTTCCTCGTCGAAGACAGCGTTAAGTTCGGCCCTGTTTTGTTATCTTACGTTCATTATTTGGCACTCTTCCCCGCACAGTCGGCCTTCCCTCCCATCTTTGATCCCCTTTTGTTCTTTACCTGATTTTGGTTGAATAAATTATTCACACACTGGGATTCCCACTTGATTCTTTGTGTTACTTCCTTGTGCTCTGCTTTAGGAGCGTAACACTGGAGTTGTAAAAATAGAAAGTCCCAGTCTTGTCTTGTTTGAGGTTTTATTTCCATGATGCACCTAAAGGATAACAGGTCAGGACTGCAGGCGGCACTCAGACTCTGCCTGCAGACTTTAGTTTAACATCGTCTTTCTGATATTATCTCAGTCGTCGTGCTGAGTCTAAAAGAAATACAGAACATTTTTATTTTTAATCTGGTTTCCTCTTTTATCTGCATTTGCAGAGGCAGAGTCAAACTGTTCACAGACAACAAGCCAATGCAGTGACTTCCTCTACAGAGCTGCACGTACTTATAATGATTAAAAAATGTAAAACTCAGTAAAGGAAAACACCAGCAGTCAGTAATGTTGAACAGATTTGTGGTTTATACTCATTTACACAGATTAAAGTTTCAGAGGTGACACATATGAGATCCTTTAGATTTAAAAATATTTGTGACCAAGTTTGACTTTGTTATCATGCAAAACTTTAAAAACTATAAAGACTTTTAAAGTTCTGTTTAGTTGGTATTTAGACCCGACCAGGAGTGAGGCCCTGGGATGTTATTTTGTGAACAGCAAGGGGGCAGTGTAGGACAGGTAATGACTCCGACGTTTGTGCTTCAGCTGAACGTTACAGTTACGTGCAGCTCTTAGAAACAGAAGTATTATTTATTTATTTATTTATTTATTATTTATTTATTTTTAATTGTTATTATTATTTTTTATTATTATTATTATCTTTGTTATTATTACTATTAATATAACTATAATAATAATAATAATAATAATAATTATTATTATTATTATTATAACTTTTATTTAACCAGGTTTGTTTGAACAAACTGACTAACCAATGATTATAAATAACTGGGTTATTTTTAGTCACCTCTGATAACGTTTTGGTTCATTTTAGTTAACTGTTCAGACTCTCTCTGTAAAGTTAGGATTCTGGTTTATTGCCGAGTTAAAATCTACAAAAAAAAAAAAAAACCCCAGAATAAGAATATTCATAAGAGCTCTAGAAACAGTAAAATAATAATAATAATAATAATTCATTTTATTTGTACAGCGCTTTTAAAAACACTCAAAGACGCTTTACATAGTACGTAAAATTCAAGATAATAAGACAAAGACATGAAAACAGTAAGATGGACAAAAATGATCGACATTAAAAAAGATAAAGATAAATAAAGATAAATATAAAGATTATAAAGCGGGGGTATTTGATTATATTTGAAGGATTTCTTTGAGTTTATTGATTTGATAAAGCAGTTTAATATCTTTAAACTTTAATCTCATGTCTGATTATGAATCATCTTAAACCTGCAGTCGGTGTGGAGCCACACCTCATTCTTTCTTCCTCAAACTTCCACTACAGAGTACAAGTGTACGGTTTCAGCAGTTATATCACTGTGATCAAATCTGTAATAACGTCCAAACACCATCATTAATGTTGATAAAAAATCTTTATTTACAGGTTCAGACAGTCAAAGACGTTTAAATGAAATGACATGAAAAAAAGACATAAATGAAAATCAATCATTCTTATTGAACATTAATCAGGATTCTCCCCCTCTGATGAGTCCACATCCACAGCTGTTTGGGTGTTTGGGTGTGGCACACACACACACACTCGTCTGTACCTCAGCGCTGATCAAACCGATCCTGACGTGCTGAGGGTTCGAACTCTCTGAGACCACAATAAATCCCCGTTTAGATTCAGATCATTCTCATCGTGGTTAAATCAACTCTGTCCCGGACCTCACAGCTTCGGTCCCTTCAAGTCTTTTTCAGTCTCCGAGTCTTTTCACGCAGCGGTTCGGTCCTCAGACGTAGTCTTTGGGCGCAGATGAGCGGGCGGCTGAGTATTTGGCAGAGTAGCTATCCTTGGGGGGGCAGTTGGCACAGAGGAGTCCACCACCAATGAGGAGGAGGCCAGAGGCCCCCCAGCCGATGAAGAGTGCAGCTCCCAGCTCCCTTTTCTGAGACCCCACCATCAGTGGGTTGTAGAAGTTCTGGATGATGGTGTTTGCCGTCCAGCACACGGGGATGAGGCACATAACTCCAGCGATGATGAAGATCACGCCAGAGGCCACGCCGATCTTGGCTTTGGAGGACTCGTCTTCAACACAGTTGGTGCATTTTCCTCCTGCGATGGCCAGGAGGATGCCCAGGATCCCGACCAGGATGGAGATGATGACGAGGGCGCGGGCGGCCTGCAGGTCAGTGGAGAGCGCCAGCATGGAGTCGTACACTTTACACTGCATCTGGCCTGTACTCTGCACCACGCAGCTCATCCATATCCCCTCCCAGGTGGTCTGAGCCGTGACGATGTTCTGGCCGATGAAGGCAGTGACCTTCCACTGGGGCAGGGCGCAGACCACAATGACCCCGATCCAGCCAATGATGCAGAGGGCCGTGCCCACCATCTGAAAACCAGCTGACACCATGGTTCCTTTAAAGTCGTCCGAAAAGAGTCTCAAAGTTTTTTCTCTGAACTTGGAAAAGTCGTGCTTGAGAGATTCCCGAGAGTAAATGTTTGAGCAAGGTTGGAGCGGGTCTTATATACACTTAACCCGGGAGGGGCTTAACACACACACGCACACACGCACACACACACACACACACACACACACATAAACTGTCACAAAAAGCCGTGACGTGATGACTGCCACCACATCCCCACTCCCAGAGGTGGGCATGTGTCATCATGTCCGTTTTTGTCTGAGTGGAGTATTAGCTGCAGGTGGAATAACCACGCCATGACTCACAGGTGTTCACAACAGTTAAACTGATATTTTAAAAAAACGGACACGCCTTCAAAGTGGCGGCGGCGTCGGCTGTTAGAAAACAGTTTTTGGTCTTGTGATCCTTTTTTGCATATTTTTTTAGTGTTTCACAGAAAAGCTGAGAGGAAGAAGAGCTGACTCTGAGTTTGTTTCTGCTTCATTCAGATATTTTAAAAAGTACAAACTGGACAAAAACAAAGAAAACCACCTTTGTCATGAATGGACACATGTGACCTTTGACCTCTGGTCTCTAATCTTTCAAGCTGCTGAGGTGGAGCTTCGGATTGAGACAAAGGCTCAACTCATGAAGTCCTTTTGTAAAGTTTCACAACTTAAAATTCATCTATGTGAGGATCGGCAGAAGTTTAGAAAAATCTCTCTCCTCATAGTTTCACCTGTGGATGACAGCAGCTGGTGATGGGCACGGCAGTTCTTCTAGATGTACTGAATCACTTGAATCAGTTCACTAAAAAGATTCGTTCAAAAGACTCGTTCACCAAATCACCAAATCATTCAGCGCTTGGCAGGAGGAGCCTGCGACTCCGACCTCGTGAACTGATAAACAGCTGAACGGTTCAGGATTCAGTTCAGAGCTTCTAGAACCCGGAAACGAGAGTGTTTGTCTTTGTTACTTTGGCAAACAGGTTTGTAAAAATGAACCTGTTTATAAGTCATGATGAAGTGTACTGTCCTATTTAGCAGGTGTGCTCGGTAAATTTGGCTCAGTGAGTGATTCATTCACTGAACATTTAGAAGAATTCACACTGAACATGAACCGTTTCCTCACAGACCGCTGCAGTGACAGGATGCTGCAGGTTTAATGCACTACCTTGTTCCATGCTGTGTCCACTTGTATGCAAGTTGTTCTGGTGGCAATTTAGCAGTAAAAATTGAAAAAGGTACTTTTGTCCAACAAAAATGATTCCAGAGTGTAGTTCGATATGTGATTCGTTCACCAAGTGATTCAGGCGTCGGTGTCTGCGGTACCTCGTTCACTGGCTGCTCGCCTGGCAATGCTGCGTGCTTTAGCACCTGCCCTGCTGAGAGCTCAACTGAAGTGAGAAACGAACGAATCACTTGAAGAAGTGATTCGGTTCAGTGCATTAACTTAAAAGATTTGGTTCTTTTGAACGAATCCTTTCGCGAACGACACAACACTAACAAGATCATCCAAAATCACATATTTAATCTCTTCAACAGTCAAGATAACAGTCAAGATCATTTGATTCCTGATGCAGGAAGGATAGATGGCTCCTCGTTCCCTATTAATTTGTGCAAAAATCTCCTCTAAGTCACCTCCTGCAGAGATCACACCCCTTTAAACACACCCGCTAATGTGAGGTAAGAGAAAAGCACCGTCAGCGCCGCCAAAAGGCGCCTCCATGTTTTTAAAGAAAATACATTTAAAACAAAGTCATTCAAACTTCTGCAAACACCGTTTTTCTCATTGACCCCATCTGTCCGATCATAAAGAAGTTCACACAGATGAAATGTTAAATCTGACCTTGCACTGATGTCAGTCCTCGAGCGTTGACGGGTTTTCAGTCTCCTGCAGGTCGAGTTTGGAGAAAGATGGACCCTCCGCAGTTTCTCCCTGTTGGTTAATCGACAGTTTTCTTCAGCAGAGGAGAGATGTTGGAGACACGGTCACAGTGCCCAGAGTGATCCCAGCTGACAGACTGTTTCCAGAAAGAGCGACCGGTGAGAGGGAGAAAGAGAGGTAGAGAGAGAGAATCAGATAGTTTCAGAGCTGAATGGAGTCAGTGTTTTAGAGCCAAAACTGCTGTTAGGACTATAATGACTCTATTTTATCCAAGGTAGGATCATTAAGCCTCTTCGACCTGCCGTGGAGATTAGGTTCCACGCACAGGGAGCCGCAGAGGAATTTCCACAATTAGGAGTCTGAGGAGAGATGGTTTCAGGTGAGATTAGTCCTAATCTGCAGGTCCTGGTAGGCCGCAGGAGGACCACTGTCACATGTTGTTGAATTATTCACATCCTGAACACATTCAGTGACCTTATAAAGCCCTGAACTGATACTGGATAACACAGTCTCTGCAGAATTAAGGATTCATGATAACTTAAGGGTCAGTGTGTGTTTGTGGATTTTGGAGGTCAGGTTTGGCTCAGGTGGTTTCAGTCCTGAATCTTCAGCTGCATGTCATCCCCCCTCTTCCTCCCACTCATCAGTTTCTGCCTTCCTCAAACTGCCCTCAAGAAAAAAAGAAGGTGTGTTGTGACATTTCACCAAAGTAACCGAAACACAGGTTTTACATTTTCTTCACTGGGACGACTCTGTAAACTGGAACAGGACATATTTTTGCACAACAGGTTCAGCGGTGGACTGAACATTCGTGAGAAAATGCCGGAGGGAGCCGAGGAGACGTGTGTCAGCAGGTAGTCTTAGGCAAGCCCAGACTTCGCTGTAACGGCTGCTCTGGCTCTGAACCAAGAGTCCAACCCGTCAGTTAAACCGAGAAGAAGCTCATTATGTAGAAACGCAAAATGCAAAATCAACCTGCTGCTGCTGACAGGTGTCTTCATGAAGTTTTTTTCCACCTCAGATACATTTACAGACTCAGTCCTCCAAAGTTCAACTGACTTAAAGTCAATCAACATGCTTACATTACAGGATGTTTACAGTCTGTTACACATGTGTATTAAGAGTGTATTCACACGACTGACTGCCAATATGACTCCTGTGCTGACAAAGAGACATGTACTGACTGTCGGCTTATTTTTTAGCATTTAAGTAATATCTTTCAAAATATTTAATACAAAAAACTTTGAGAGTGTTTTCTGTCTTTGAGTAAGATCTCAATGAGAATTAAATAAAAGATTAAATGTCTTAGACTGAAAATGTTTTGTCACTTAGTAAATATTTAAAGCTTTGGTGAGGTAGTTTCTGTTCCTGGTGATTTTGGCGCCCCCTGTTACCAAGGAGTATTTAAAATTTGGTTCTGGGTTATTTTTACACCAAAATAGACCAACTGTAAGAAATGTCTGCCTTAAAAATATGCAAAAAAGAAAAAAAAAATAGTATGTAGTTTATAATAATACTAAAAATAAATAAATAAAATAATAATAAATAATAATAATAATTATTATTATTATTATGATAATAATAAAGATAATAATAATTACAAAATACTACTACTAACAATATAATAATAATATTAATAATAATAATAGCGATAATAATACAAATCATTAATAAAAATTAAAATAATACAAATAATAAAAAAATATAATAATGACAATTATTATTATTATAAAAAATACTACTAATAATACTGATATAATAATAATAATAATAATAATTATTATTATTATTATTATTATTATTATTATCATTATTATTATTATTATTATATAATTTTTTATAAGCGCATTTCTAAACACTCGGTCGCTTTACAAGGTAAGAACAACAGCATAAAACAACAAGATAAGAGCAATAGAGTTAAAAAAAAAAAAGAAAAAATTTAAATTAAATTCACATAAAAATATGACAAGGAGTGGGCTTATCTGAACAGGTGGGTTTTGATTCTGGATTTGAAAAGAGGGAGAGTTCATCAATACCACTGACACCTGACCCAGACAGCTATTTTAGACAAACAAAAGCAATTAAATAATAAGTCTTATCGCTGACAGTCTCATTTGGTCTGATTGGTCATAAAAAGATTTTATAATTTGTTTCATAAGTAGATAAAAAAAACTTCTCACAGGAGCTTTAAGTTTTTTTTAAATGTCCATTTCACGGTCGACCCGCTGTAGTTTATCAGAGGCTGATTTCTCAGAGGTATTTATAATACCAATATTTTCTGCCTTTTTTCCCCTTTTTTTCTGTATTTGACAAATTACAACAACTTAAAAATACTGACAGATAGGAAACAAGGTACATAAGTGAACATTTAACCACATAACTGTAGATGGAAAAATATTTTTGTCAGTAAAACCATCAGCACAAAATAGATTTTAATCTGAAATTATTCAGAAAGAAATTCAAATCTAAGGTAAATATTACATGCATGTAAAAACTGATTTTTAAATGAATTTGGAAATCATGGTGATATCAGCTGAGGGTCGAGGCAGGTTTTTGTTAAACTGATAATATTTTGTAATCGTCTCCTTCGTCAGACTGTTTATCTGTTTTTTTTTTACAGAAAGGAAAGTATTACACTGGTTTCATGTGTCAGAGCGGGAAGTATGTGTGTACCTGTGTACCTGTGTGTGTTCTGTGTACCTGTGTGGGCGGGTCATGTCTGTATTTGGAGTGTGATGTCATGACAGCGAGCCCTGAGGCCGGTGAGTCCAGTACAGTCACAGTTTCAGGGGTAATATTATCACACTGAGCGCCATTGTGCGACCTTTTGTGAGTCATACCTGTTCGTGTTCGGGCACGAGTCACGACACACTGTCACATGACACAAACAGGAAGTCGTCGAGAGTCTGCAGAGCTGAAGAAGAATTTTCTAAAGATTCTTAGAAGGTTTTAAAAACACGGAGTGAACGCGACACATGAGTAAATCTGACTGTAAAGATGGTGATGAGTTTTTGTTTCATGTGGTTGTTTCAGGGTTTCAGAGCTGCAGCAGATATCTGATCTGAGGGGTTTGTTTCTAAATGAGAAATTCAGTAATTGTTTGAGTTTCAGATCAAACAGCTCCAGTTTCAGAGAGTCTAAAGGACGTTTCAGGTGTTTAATAGGAAGTGATGGACGTCTGTGTTTCAGTTCCTGTTTTGAGTGACGTGTAAAGATCTAATCTTTTTGAGTTTTTAATAAACATGGGAACAACTTTTCTTCCTTTTTATTACCATCACTTCCTTTCTTTTTAATCCCTTCTGTTTCTGCCTCATACACCCAAAATCAACGAGTTTATCCTGTTGATTTCGTTTCACCCTCCAGGTGTGCAGAGATCCTCTTTTCTGTTTGTCTGTGACCCTCATCCATCACCAGACATGAAAAACAGACTTTAACAAGTTCCCCTGTGTTTCTGTTTTTCATATTTACAAATGAAATGATCTCATGACTCTGAAAAGTTAAAACCTACGATGAAGAAACAACCTGCTGCAGACACCACTACCTCATGGAAACCGGTCCAACTCGCTCCTGCTCCCACAACAGGTGAATGGTTTAGTGAGGTGCTCTGCATGTGGACACATGTATAAGATAGAGTCTAATCCTGGAGCTGCACCTGCAGAGACTGTGGTTAACTCCCTGAATAATGGCCGAGCTGTAAAAAAAAAACAACATAGAAGCGACTGTTACTCAGAGGAAAGATCAGAGGAGGTCAACATTATAGATCTGCAGAGACCAGGAAACCAGACATGATGAAAGAGCATCCCATAATAATAATGTCCCAGTCATCTTATAACATGACTGAAACTTAAAGTGAAACCAGCTGAGGTTCACTGGATAACAAATGTCAGTCAGGGGACATCTATGAGAAACAGGTTAAAGATGTAAAACTGAAAGATCCCACAGAGACACACAGGTAAACACAAAACTGTCATACAGGTGTGGACAGGTAAATGTTTGTAATAATGAGGTGTGTGTGTGTGTGTGTGTAAAAGACTTCAGGTTACAGCAGACGTTTATGTACCCTGTAAATTCTATGTGTGTATTTAGAAACACCGAGGAAAACTGTTAGGATGTTGTACAGGTGTGGAAGTCAGAACAGAACAAACTGGACCTTAACTAAATACCAGAGGAGTCAAGAGCCGATCCTGTCTGGTGTTTTGATTGGGCCTAAATCTGGTTTTATCAAATGTTTATCAGGTACTCTGAGGTATCATGGCACAAAAATGTTTTTACTTTGAAGCCAAAATACTGAGTACTCCTGGTACAGAGACCCAGTCAGCTGATAATCCACAACCAGAGACGAAAACTAAACAGGAAGACAACGTCTGAAGGGTGTTGGAGCATGTCAGGCTTTACAGAAATGGATCAGAGATTTTCTACATTTAAATCTTTATTAAATGAGCTAAAATATAATTAACTGTTAATGAAAGATGGTTCAGGATCCTTTCAGAAAGTAAAGGCAACAAATCAGAGGAAAACAAAAGCAAAAAAGCAAAAAAGTAAAATCTGCACTGACAGACTCACGAATGTCCTCATGTTTATTGTTAGGATTTATTGTAAATATGGAGATGGTTTGACGAAGCTGCATAAAGAATGAAGTGTTGTGCTCACCGTCGTCATGTACTGATGGATAAAAGCTGCAGGGAGGCGACAGATCACCCTGTACAGAGGAAAACAACAGAAGTGTGCAGGTTTAGATTTAGCTTTTATTAATAGTTGGTAAATGAGATGTCTTGTTCTGAATAAAGATGTTGGTGTGCTGTTTCTGTTTTTGAAGGAAGTTGAACTCAGACGTAAGAAAGAGGAAGTGTCTAGAAGGTGCTCTGTGGTCGACTGACCGCCATGACTGAAGCTAAACGGTTAAAAAAGAACAAAAAACCTCTTTAGGGCGTTTTCTGCACAACCGGACAAACGCTTTCACACACAATAGATGGAATGCAACAGTGGCGCCCCCTGCCTGTTTGACCTGCATCTGCAGCACAATGGTTGTACCTCTTTAGTCCTTCCTGAGGTGTAAATCCTGGGTTTTCAAAGCAGACATCTTTGGGCCGTGGTCATCATCATCATCGACCAATAAAACCTGCAGAAACATCTGAGCAGCAGCGGGAGCGTAGAACATCAGAGAACAGTCAGTGTGTGTGTGTGTGTGTGTGTGTGGGAGGATGGGAGGGTCTGTGTGTGTGTGTGTGTGTGTGTGTGTGTGGGAGGATGGGAGGGTCTGTGTGTGTGTTCATGTGTGTCTGCAGAGGGGGTTAACCAAAGATAGCAGAGACACTCATCCTGACCGCCGACCCCAGGTGACCTCTGCTGATTCGAGGAAAGCCTGTAATGACACAGATCATCAGCCCTGACCCTCTTTTCTCTCAAACAAACAGATATTGTCGACTCTTCTAAAGACCGCCCACCTGTTCAGGTATTTCTGGATCATTTTGGACTAAAATAGACGCTGACTCTGATTTTTTTAACAAAGGAATCGAACATGAAAATCTAAATCCCTGATCGGTCAGACTGTGTAGACGAACACAGTCTGTGCTTTAGTCTGTGTTTGTGAGGTTTCCCATCAAATGATCATTCACAAAGAAAGTACTTATGAAAGGATTAGTTCGACAGACGACCTGACATTAACTCTCAGGTCTGTGTTTAAGCTTTGACGTCTCAGTCCGACTCTGATTATCAGGTAACAGACGGCGAGGAAAAGATTCTCGGTGAAGACGTTTCATCGTTCTGAGCGTCTTCACTGCGGACCGGTTAAAACACGAACAAGGCCGGTCATTGTTTCTCCTTTTCAGTGCTCGGAGATCTCATTTAGATGATGATTCAGCACTTTTATTCAAGGCTGCCGTTCGTCTTACACACTCAGACACACACGCTATGGTGAGTGTAACAGGCTTTAAAGAAGAAATAAAGGGTAAAATGATTATGAGTGTCAATGTCATAACTCTTCAGGTGAGTGTTAGACTCCACAGGTGTGCGTGGAAAAGTTTCTCTCGTGGATCTGTGACCTGACAGCGGCTCGTCTTTCTTCAGACATGAGTGCGTCCCCGTCTTCAGGTGAGGTTTGAGGGTAAACATGATTCCACCTGGAGCTGACTCCACCTTCAAACCTCTAAGCTCTATAAAAAAGGTCGATTCAGTTTCCCCCTCTCTCTCTCTTTCTCCCTCTCTAAAAGTCTAAAGCAGGACTTAGAGATCCGATATCGCCGTCATCTCAGGAGGGTTGAACCCGCGGACACAGAGGCCCTTCTATCCCAGAGAGCCCTGGGAGACGGTCTCGCTCAGACCCTGCTTGACTATGTCCTCTGCAGGCTTGGAGGTCCTGGGGATGATCCTGGCTGTGGCCGGGTGGCTGGGGGTGATGGTGGCGTGCGGCCTGCCCATGTGGCGTGTCGCCGCTTTCATCGGTCAGAACATCGTCATCTCTCAGGTGATCTGGGAGGGTTTGTGGATGAACTGTTCGGTGCAGAGCACGGGTCAGATGCACTGTAAGGTTCATGACTCCATGCTGGGGCTTCCCGTCGACCTGCAGGCGGCTCGCGCTTTGGTCATCGTCTCCATGGTGCTCAGCATTGTGGGTATTTGCCTGTCGGTCGCTGGCGCCAAGTGCACCAACTGCAGCCGGGATGTGAGCAGTAAACCTCGGCTGGTGGTCTCTGCAGGGGTCATCTTCGTGGTGGCCGGGCTGCTGCTGCTGGTGGCGGTTTCCTGGACGGCTCACGCCATCGTTCTGGGCTTTTACGACCCGCTGCTGGAGGAGACAGGGAAGAGGGAGTTCGGGAACGCTCTGTACTTCGGCTGGGCTTCCTCCTGTCTGCTCATCCTCGGGGGGGCTCTTCTCTGCTGCTCCTGCCCCTCGAAAACAGCTGATCACGGCTCTGCGCCCCCACAGGTGGACTACTCACGGGTGAAGACGATGGCGGTGAACGGATACACCAGGAGAGACTACGTGTGAAGATCGAGGTGTGGAAAACAATCACGATGAACTTTCAGTGACTCCATAAAGAAACTTGGACAGGAAGCATGAATCAGACTTTACCGTCACATGATGTCAACGTTGTGTTTATTAGATTTCTTCAGTTTTCCTTCCTGTTGTGTTGATTTAGTCTTTATTTAACTGTTGTTTGACCTCAGTACTTTCACACTGTGTCTCTGCTGATTATTTGTGTTAAAGATTTTAAATAAATGATCGAATTTACAGCAATAAACTGAAGTTAAGGTTTTTTTTTCTTCTGGAGAAACAGTTTGTAATGAAGTGTAACTGAACCAGTGTTGTTTTCGTCAGGCAGGACGAAAACTTAAATGACGACGTCAGACCCCTTTTTTCCTTGACGAAAATGAGACTAAGACGAACGTCACCAAAACTCTGTAAAGACTAAAATGTGACGAAAATTATATTCATTTTCGTCAGACGAGAACGAGACGAGACTAAATTGTTATTAGGTGGACGAACAAAGTTTCAAAACATGCTTTTTTTTGTCCTAACAGTCACGCCCCCATCACACACGCACCAAAAGCCTCGCTCGCGCACACACTCATACACATACACAGAGCGGCAGGTGGACGAGGCGCGCACACACACACACCGTGGCGGCAGGCACAGCAGCGGTGCCCGGTGGCCGAAAAAAGAGGGATGATTTTTGGTCCTACTTCAGATACAGTCCAAGTGACAATAAAATAAAAGTGACAATAAAACACGGGACGGGGAGACGAGACAGACGACAGTTGTGGAGCCACAGCTTCCTCATGCTTCAAACTGTCGGGAAAGAACACCACGAACCTCAAAAGGCACCTTTACGTCGACTAAAACTAGACGAAAACTATCAAGGATAGAAATGACTAAAACTGGACTAAAACGAAGAAGCATTTCGTCAAAATGACTAAGACTAAAACTAAATCTAAAATGCCTGCCAAAAACAACACTGAACTGAACTCTCCCTGAACAGTTTCTCTGGAGTTCAGCAGAGTCCAGTTTATAAGAGCCACACAGGAGCACGCAGGAATTAGGGATTTTGTTTCATTGTAAATGGAGGACGAACACAATGAGAGGCTTGTTTTAGAGAGCGCCGAATGCTTGTGGTCATTGTAGCCCGTCCTCCGCTGCGAGAGTGAAACTGAGTCAGAGATAAAAGTCTGAAACCGGGACTGTACCTGACCCACAAAGAGCTGATTGATCAGCTGGAAGTGTTTACGTTTCTCCTCCAACAGGATAAAAGTTCATCTTAAAGAGTCGCCTGAATAAAATAAATCCTCTTTAGTTTTTATAAACCGTGTCCAGAGACTCTGACGGAGCTCCTGTGTGTGTTTAAGGAGGTTTTTTCTGTAAAGTCAAACTGAGGTCAAAACTCCTGATATATCCCAACCTTCTGGACAAGGACTCTGATAAGACCTCCGCCCCTGAACACACATGCAGACAATTGTTCAGACTCACACTCCCTTTGACGAGAAACCCTCTCTGTCTTCACTCCTCAGAGTTACTCATACGTGATAATCAGGGCGCAGTGAGCCTCCCTCACACACAAACTCAACTTCCAGAGAAGTTTCTGTTTTTGTTTGTGCAGCAGTTTGACTTCCCAGGGTAATCTAGGCCGCTGGAGAGAAAGCTGTTTTTGGCATCAGAGAGCTGAGAGCTTTCATAACGCTCTCCATCATCTTCAGATGGTGTCCTGATTCCACGTGAAACTGTCTGGATGTCTGCCATCATCTCCTGCAGCTTACGGATATTTCCACATCCCACCATCGAGGTAGAGAGTGGGCCGTAAAACACCAGACTGTATTTAAAATTTAAGGAGGATGTAGAGCTCTCCTCTCCTAATCATTCATTAGCCGATCTTCAGCGTTTGAGTTATTCTTTAACTTCCCCAGACCTGAGATAATCCCCCTCTGTTGACTCTCCCCTCACCCAAATAGACGGAGAGCTACCGGGGGAGAGGAGCGGTCAATGATTAATCTGGAGTCGCTCACACACGAGGGTGGACAGGAGATGATTTGAAATCTTCTCGGGCCAATCGCCAAGTGACTCCACCTTCTTCTCCAGAGATATTTGTTGCTCAGCTGAGGAGTCAGCTCCACACAGACCCAGAAGATCTCTGAGGACTAGACTCTCACAGCGTTCAGACATGCCTTCAGCAGGAATGGAGATACTCGGGGTGACCCTGGCGGTCCTGGGGTGGATCTCCTCCATCGTATCCTGCGCCTTGCCCATGTGGAGAGTGTCGGCCTTCATCGGGAACAACATCGTCACGGCTCAGATCACCTGGGAGGGTATTTGGATGAACTGTGTGGTCCAGAGCACGGGTCAGATGCAGTGTAAAATCCACGACTCCATGTTGGCTCTGAGCGGAGATCTCCAGGCCGCCCGCGCTCTCACCATCATCTCCATCGTGGTGGGCGTCATCGGGCTCCTGGTGGCCATCATGGGGGCCAAATGCACCAACTGTGTGGAGGAAGACTCGGCCAAGGCTCGGGTCATGATCGCCGCCGGGGTGGCCTTCATCGTTGCGGCTCTGACCCAGCTGATCCCCGTGTCGTGGTCGGCTCACAGCATCATCATGGAGTTCAATAACCCCATCGTCCACGAGTCCCAGAAGAGGGAGATCGGAGCGGCTCTGTACCTGGGCTGGGCTGCTGCCGCCTTCCTGCTCCTCGGAGGGGGGATCCTGTGCTCCAGCTGCCCCCCCCAGCCGGAGAAGAAGTACGGACCTCCGTCAAAGATGGTGTACTCTCAGACCAGGTCAGTCGCTCCCAGCGGGTACGACAGGAGAGACTATGTCTGAGCTCACAGCTGCTCTTTTCTCACGCCGCCATCGTGAACTGAGGGAGGGGACGGGACTCTTTTTTTAATAACTTATAAATCTGTTTTTTTAAATATGCTGTAAAAAACTTATTTTCATTTAGAGGAAAATCTTTGAATGAAGCTGTAAAACAAATGAAGAAGTTTGACTGGTATTTTATTTTGTAGGGACACGACGTGAAGAGAGAACATGTCTGTGTGTTTTTACTGTTTGAAACTGATCAAATGTCTGCTTCTGTTTTGTTGGACGTTCATGACGTCTGTCACAGAGCCACATAATGCTGATTTTGTTCTTTTTAGTTACATGCTTTTATTTTGAAATGTTTCCTTTTTCTATTAAATTAAAGCCTTTTTACTGAAATTGTCTTGATTGCCTAATTTCATATCTTTCTATAAAGTGTTTTTGTGTCGTCGTCATCATCGAGACAGAGAGGTGAAAACATCTGGATAACTCAGACTGAGTATTAAGAGTCATTTCAGAAGTACGTCGATCAGCTGACTCATGGTTTAGGTCAGGCGGCACAATTCTGGTCGGAAATAAAACTCAGATTTTTTTTTCTCTGAAAACTTTGACATCTTCACCAAAGTTCACTTGAATAAAAGTTTTTCTATCGTCTCTTAAAACAAAACCACTGAAAATCACGTATATACCACAGAGCATGGGTATAAAGGTTGTTTTGGTCGGACACGCTCAGGTGTCATAAAAGAGTTCCTCTGTGTGTCACATGATCGTTTCCACAGATGCAGACAGACATCCACACGGAGATGAGATGGTCGTCGTTTACAGATTTATTCACTCTCTGACCCGTTTTCAAAAGTACCGTTTACAGTCACCTGAAACGTCATTTCTGTGTGGATGAAATTTTTTTTTAACATCATCATAATCAAATAATCTGATTATGAATAAAAATCGATGAATCGTGCAGGAGAAGGTTTATCTCGGTAAGTTTTAGAGGATCAGAGGAACAAAACCAGTAAGATGTTTTTTAACAGGTCCCCTCCATACCCGGCCCCCCATTAGCCTGACAACGGGGAGTCTCCATCCCCGCACCTGTCCACCTGTCCACCTGTCCTCCTGTCCACCTGTCCTGTCTCCCATCTGTCTGTTGGCTCTATGATAAGAAGAACCGACTTAGTCAGCCTCCACACACTCGACTATCTGAGCTCCCTCCCAAACAAAGGAGCTGATTCATGTCAGAGGGGGAGACTGTGGGGGGGGGGTCTGTCAACACTGGGTTACAGAATGCAGGAGGGGAGGAGGAGGGGGTTTCTAAGGAAACGGACCCAGCTCTGAAGAATTTCAAGGGCATTTTGCAGACAGACAGACAGACAGACAGACAGACAGACAGACACAGACGGACAGAGTCATTACAGCCCATCAGACATAAACTCCGACACAGAGGGATTAAAGTCTGACCTGCTTCTTCTGCAGGATTCAGAAACAAGAGAAACTACATCTGAGAGCAGACGGTTATTTATGGTGTCAACGTCGGCCTTTTGGAGATGAGCAGGAGAGGTTACTAAAGGTCAGGAGAGGTCAGACATTCCTGGTTTATGAGAGACCTCCTCACTACGATGAAACAAGCTGCAGCTCCGTCAGAGTCGTTTAAAGTCTTTATTAAACCAGATTCTTGAAGCAGATATTGTCTCATTGATTGATTGATTAACTCAGCAGAGATCTGATCAGTGACTGTAATATCCACCTCACCTTATCTACCTTACCTAAAACTACAAACCCAGCTAACTCCAGAGGCCAACTTTTCCCGTGCATCTACGTTTTCTCTTCCTCTTCCTCTTCAGTCTGATGAAAAGTTGATTTTGACGATTTAAAATACTTTAATTTGCTGTTTCACTCAAATAAATGACAAAACAAAGAGCAGCAGCAGCTTCTTCACTGAACTGTTCGTGCTGTACGTTCCCCTGCAGCAGAGACATTCAGGGACATGATGTTAACAACAAGCTCTACCTTTCAAAATAAGAGGACAAACGAGACTTTTCTCTTCTTAATCAACCAGAGAGTTAAAAATAAAACGAGTAAAATGAGAAAATGAGAAAATGAGAGTCTAGGTCATGAAAGCTTGAATTTAAAACACCTTTGAGTTAAATTGTACAACGACCACATGAAGAAAATGAAGCCCACTCGACTGCATTTATGATTTTGTCCAGAATTGTTGGTCCAAAGTTCGGAACAGGAGAGACCTGTGAGGATCCAGATCCTACAGTGAAGGTTTTTAGTGGTTTTTCAGTCTTTAGGGGGACTTTTGTCTCACACAGTCTCGCCAAAGTGGATCTGAGTGGCCTCTTTATCTCCTGATGAAGTCTTTCTGTCAGAGTGAAGTGGTCTCCCCAGGACTCAATCAGAAAAGACGTGATTCAGTCAGGATACAGTGAGGTTAATCTGATGTACTGCTCAGTCAGTAAAGTCGTGTTTCTCTGCTGTCCCAGAAGAACCGCAGCAGACTGAGGGATGTTTTCTTATTTTAACTCTTTATTTTAACTCTTATTCTCGCTCTTCTTCTCGCTCACACTGAACGGTCTTCCTCCCCCTCAGGACAAATACCTGCCGTCCTCTGGGCTGTAAAAGGTCTCTTTGTGGTCGGGCTCTTTGTGACGCTGTAAGCTGAGATCAGTCCGTGTCCAGATCCTTCCTCCCCTCCTGGTGAAGTCGACTCCTCCAAGGACTCCTCCCATCCACCTGATCTGCCTTATAAAGCAGGATACTGGTGAGGTCAGATCATCGCACACTCAGCAGACGCCAGGTCCGACATCGTCTTAACGAGCGGCTGTACGATCTTGGTTCGACTCTTTACTCGGTGATCTCCTCTCAGGTGTGACACAAACTCTGCAGAAGACCAGGAAGACGTGTCAGCATGTCTATAGGGCTGGAGTTGATAGGCATCTCCCTGTGCATTCTGGGATGGATTATCGCCATCGTGGCGTGCGCCCTCCCCATGTGGAGGGTGACGGCCTTCATCGGGAGCAACATCGTGACGGCTCAGATCATCTGGGAGGGTCTGTGGATGAGCTGCGTGGTCCAGAGCACGGGTCAGATGCAGTGTAAGGTCTACGACTCCATGCTGGCTCTGTCCCAGGACCTCCAAGCCGCTCGCGCCCTCACCGTCATCTCCATCCTGCTCGCCATCCTCGCCGTGCTCGTCGCCATCGCGGGGGCCAAGTGCACCAACTGTATCGACGACGAGGCGTCCAAGGCCAAAGTCATGATCATCTCCGGGGTCTTCTTCATCATCGCTGGAGTCATGCAGCTCATTCCCGTCTCCTGGTCCGCCAACACCATCATCAGGGACTTCTACAACCCTCTCCTCACCGACGCCCAGCGCCGGGAGCTGGGCGCCGCTCTCTACATCGGCTGGGCGGCCGCCGCCCTGCTGGTGCTCGGAGGTGGACTGCTGTGCTGCTCCTGTCCCCCACGGGAGACCAGATACAACCCTTCACGGATGGCTTACTCCGCCCCGCGGTCCGCAGGGGGTCCCGGGTTAGAAAGGAAAGACTACGTTTGATTTAAGGTCCGAGAGGAAGAGACTCGATTAAAAACAGCACCGAAGTGAGGAGCTGACGGAAACACGGAGACTCCACCATGAAGGATCTTTTTTATTTAGTCTCCTTGTTCTTCAGAGAGTGAAAAGATCGAGGAGAAGAAACCTGTCGGAGTCTGAATCTGTCTGATGTTAGCGCTCTCGCTCGCTCGTTCTCTCTCTGTTTTGTAAGGTCAGCACTCTGAATACGGTCGTTATTGTACAGCTGTACGTTTTTTATCCCGTCTCATCTTCATTGTTTACTGCGGAGTATTTTCTTAACCAAAACCAAGGAGAGTGAGCAGAAACACTCCTGAATGAGAGGGTTATTGTTGTCAATAGTTTAGTATGAGGATCATGAATCAGCTGGAAGAGTCCAGAGAGATGATCACTGTGTTCAGAGCAGCTCTAAGTGCAGTGTGGTCAGGGTGTGCGCTGAAGCTCCAGAATGGCAATTATGTCTGCATATCATACAATTACAGTCAATCATGTATATTAAAGGTGTTTTTTTTAAATAAAAGTGACTTTTTTATGAAACTGTCTTCTTCATTTCTTCAGGTTAGACTCTATTTCAGGTTTTCTTCTAACTCCTGAAAAATGACTGTTCAGGCGCCTTCTCCGTAAGAGAACCCTGTTATTCAATCCCACAGGCTACGTTACCGACGACTTAACCGCACACGCTCTGAACAATTAGCCGCAGGATCGGTTACCGAGCAGAGGTGAGAAGAAGTGTGAGTCACTCCAGACCGGCTCCAGGATTAAGTCTTCTTTAAACCCTTCAGACCTGGATGAGTGGCTGCTTACTAACTTTGACACAAACTCTAACGTACGCTCATCGTCCCGTATCAGCTGTAATAATCAGACGTAATGAAACCAGGCCTTTTGTTCAGAGTCTATCAGACTTTACTGACTGTCTCTGATCTTTAGTTCATGTAGAATAAAAACAGCCCGTTGTTATCTTCTTCTTCTTCACGGTGGCCCATCAGCCCGGAGCTCACAGCCAGCGTTTCCACCTGTCTGACAAACACATGCAGTCACACCTGATAAGGCCAACAGCTTCAAAGATTCATGAGGAGCTCATAGTAAATATGGGAAAGGAGACCTATCACATTACTCCGAGTCCTATATCAGTGTCACCTCAAACAAAGAACCAGGAGCTGCATGACATCTGCTCATGATTACAGCGACGACGACCAATCAGAGAGCTCGTTTACATTCAGACGAGTGTCAGACACGTTCAGGACGTGTTTACGAAGGGTTATTTCAGGATTTAGACACATGCAACCGTCTCCAGACACCTTTAAACTAAATAATCTGAATGTTTTATTACAGAGACATTATGATACCAGCTGTGACGGACTGTCCATTAAAGTCATTTTTGTTCAAGCAGATTTAGAGAACTACAACCACGGACTGTTTCATTTATAAAAATAGAGTTTTAGGAATTCACAGGTCAAGAAGGATAAAAATGTTCATTTGATGACACAAACACCTGTTTTATTTATTGAAATTAAACAGATCATCTTAAATCAAAATTTAATTGTGGTTTGTTAAGAGCTGTTGAGTGAAGCAGTTTTTCTTGTTTCATTTTAATCTTCTTCTAATTCTTTTAAATGTGTTTTATAAATAAATCTGATCAGATATTTTGTGATTATATTAAAGCTCCTTTAAGGTTTTTTTTTTTTGCATTTCTAAAATAAACTGCAGTTCATATTGATGTTTGTCAATGTTAATTAAAGCAAACCAGACCATCAACTTTAACATTCACTGTTTGTACTTCATTATTTTAATAACCTGAAACCAGCTCGAGGGGGGAGGTGACGAAACGGCCCTGTTTTTACATATGTCCACAATTAATGATATTCGGCTGTCAAAACTCAGCAAAATGTGATTTTTTTTTAAACAAGTAAAGCACAAGAGAAGCAAAGACGGCTTTGTCCACAGGGGGCGCCAAAGTTGGCATCAACCAAAAGTTCCTGACAGGAGCTTTAAAGCTCCGATGAAGACTTTTTACAAGTTTATGACGTTTATGTAAATATAAAAGGAAACAAGACTGATCGTTCTCTAATGTAATATTTAATGGCTAAAAGACCCGTATGATGGGGAAACAACCCTGTTTTTACATTTTTTTAAAATAAATATCCAAAAAAACTGACAGACTCCATCATGAAGAGTTTGGATGAAGAGATTTCATGTCAGAACACACAACTTCAGACGCTTTTGTCCACAGGGGGCGCCAAAGTTGGCATCAACCAAAAGTTCCTGACAGGAGCTTTAAAGCTCCGATGAAGACTTTTCAGACGTTTATGAAGTTCATGTAAATATAAAAGGAAACAATATTGCTGGTTTCTTTAATATAATATGTGAGACCCTGTTTTTACATTTTTCACATTAAATATCCACAATAACTGACAGACTCCAGTGAACAGTCCGGATGAAGAGAGCTGACACTGACACGGACCAGAACTTCGTCACCGGAGTTTTAAATTGTTGAGACTCTTTGGGGCAGAAAAGTTTAAATCAGGGTCACCTGGGAAAATTTGTTGGTTAAATTTTGAGCGATATAAAACCAGCGAATACTCCTGATGAAACATTGGTTCAAAAATAAATTACTAATAAACTACATACAACATGATTTTAAACTGTTCAGAAGCCTGTTTGTCCCTCTCACAAACACACAGTGATACTGACTGAATCACAATGACTCAGAACAACCTAAAGAATGTCGAGCAGATAAAGCTCCTTCCTCTCTCTGTGGTTCAGACAGAGCTGATTCTCGGTGTGCTGTTCCAGTCACTTGTTTCAGAGCCTCAGGCATGTTTGGTCACAGATCAGCTAATCATTGATCCTTAAACAGGTGAACCTCTCAAACAATAAGAAGAAAACAACAACAGGATTTCTTTCTCTCAAACATACAGCATGTCTGAACGAAATCTTTTGTTTTTCATCCTAAACGTTTAAAGAGTGTGAGGGGAATAAAGTCGTCACTTAACTACAGCAAACAAAAACAGAAAGTAAACAGCAGGTAAAACAAAAAGGTCCTGAGGCGGTACTAGAACTGGATTTCATCAGAAACTAAACCCTGTCTGATTGTAAAGAGGAAAAAAAAAAAAGTTCGGTCATGCTTTCCTGGCTCCGGCCAAACGCAGGTCACATGACCGATACTGGGAATGTGAAGGGCAGAGAGGTTGCCTGGCACCTGAAGTCAGAAAGAGAAAGCAAACCCCCACACGTCCCCCCACCCTCCCTGAACATAACACAGACTCCCTGTGTCTGCTCAGTGGGAACGGAAACTCACTGAGAGCTCTTACCTGCAGCCACAAGAAATCTAAGTCCAGATCTAGACCACCGTGGACCCACAAAGGATCCGATTCATAAAACTCTACTGTATTATAAGTTTTCATCAATCTGGTACTTTGATAAAACACAAAACTGACTGAAAATGTCTAAAGTCTCCTCAACAGACACTCTGTTACCTGTCTGTTGAAGCACTTTTATTTGCTCTCATTCATCCGAGTTTCATATCGGTAAAAACAGGAATCCACTCTGAGGTACGCAGAGTTTATTTGCTCTGTTTGTTTCCCTGATTTGTGAAAGTGAAAACAGCTATCTGTTTAAAACTCTTATGTGTTATTTTGAGAAGGTTTTGACTTGATTTGTAGAACTCAAACTAAAGGAATAAAGATTTACCTTTTACACGACTTCCAGCCTGAAACTTCATCCCAGCCGGGTTTGTCAACAGGTGGAGGTCGTCTGCTAAAAATGCTGCAAAGAGATAGAGAGACGGCAGGTAAACATGGATGTTAACATGATTGTAAAAGACTTAATGTGCACAGACATGACTTTATTTTTATTTTTGTACTTTAATATTTACTTTTTTATCATTTTGTCTTTCTAAACAATTTCAGATTGATGGACAGAAATAAAAAATTCCTTAGTGTTGATTTAAATGACTGACAGGACAGCTGACCTTCATTAACCCGAATACATCTGAACTGAATATTTTCACTTATTTAAACTTTCTAAAAAAGGAGGGAAGCGCAGAAAGGGATGAGGTGTGTTTCAGCGCGCTCTTTGGGTCAGAGTGTACTGGCAGTTTCCTGTGTGTGTGTGTGTGTGTGTGTGTGTGTGTGTGTGTGTGTGTGTGTGTGTGTTATCTCATTATTGTATCATCATGTACCTCCTCCTCTTCATTCCAGCCCAGCAGAGATCATCTCTCCATCATCTGTTCTTCAGGTTTAGGTCAGTTTGAGGTGATAATAACCTAATGAGAAGAGGTCAGGTGAACATTTAGTCTACAAGAGTCAAAATTACCTCTAAATAAATCAAATTTAACTCTCACTCACCTCATGTTTAAGGGAAGGCCTCGTCCATGAAATGTGATAAACACACTTTGTGCAATCTTTAAAGCAACAGAATCTCCAAAAATATCTAGATAGATGAATTTAAGGGGCTCCACGGTGGGAAAGACGTTCATAATGATCATAAATGTGGATTTTTACAACTTTAAGACACGAAGAGAGCAGAGAGATAAGTAAACCGTCTGTTTTCCTCGACGACAGTTTTGGGCTCGAGAAAGAGTCTCAGATATTCTGCTGCCCCCGTGTGGTCAAACTGAGAAATACACCACAGGAGCTCCTCGATAGATAGATAGATAGATAGATAGATAGATAGATAGATAGATAGATAGATAGATAGATACATAGATAGATATAGAAACTTTCCCTACTTATCTGAGCAGGGTTTGAAAAAAACTATGAGTGATTGATTACCGTCTTAATTTGGAAAATGTAAATAAAATTAAATGATAGTTGTTAAAGTTAAAGGAACAGCAAGGGAAGAAAAAAAAGTCAGAAATCCTATTAGTAAACATTGAAACATTAATTTACCTGTGCGGAAAAGATTATTTACAAGTATAAACTTATTTAATCTAACCTCTTTAAATAGTTATTAACTTTGATTAACTCCCTTATAATCCCAAAGAGAATTATTCAATAACAAAATATATAAAAATGTTGTCAGGCTCATAAACATCCAGAAAAAAATTCATGACATTGACGCAGCGACACTCAGACAGAGTATTAATATTTTTTTAAAACTGTCTCTCAGAGCCTCCTCTTTATTACACCTTTTAAAAATCATTTCTTTAAACATCTTTTTACCTTGTTTGTATTTAAACATTATTTTAGCTCAGTCTGTGTCTTCAGTTAACTCCACAGATATACAGACACATTTCTTTCTTGTACTAATATTTTTGAATCTTTAGATTTTACTTTCCTTCTTGATTTAATGTTTTTTAAAGAACGTCTTTTGACTGAATCCTTAATCTCTGACTTATTTAATATCTTACTACGGTCATCAGGAGTGTTCGGGACACAAACGTTTTATTATCATGATACTTTTGTCTTTTCTTTGACTTTCTTCCCTCTTTTATAGGATTTTATCAGGATTATAATGAAACAGACAGTAAAGCTGCTTTAGTGATCCTTACAGCTGCGCTCAGACTCAGCTCATCCATGGTGGGTTGAATCGTCTTTCTCATTTTATCTGAAAATAAAACTTTTCCCTTTCATGAACCGAGCCTGGCACTATTTCAGAACTACTACAGAATTAAAGCTTCAAACTGATGAAACTCCAAAGACGACTTCACCGAGAAAGTATTAGTATGTTTTTTTTTATTGTTCTTTCATGGCTGACATGTCAATCACAGCAGAAATGAAGCACAAACTGAGACGACTGTTATTTTTAATGTGATTTTTTACATGAACCCAAACAAAGAGACGTTCAAAAAGTGGTTGAAGCCGAGAAGAAAGGGGTAGAGGGTGAAAATCATTAAAAAACACACATTCATCATTTTTCCCAGATTACTCATTCATGATTGTGCAAAGCTCACAGCAGATTCAACGAGACGAAGATGAAGAAAGAAAAACAGAGATTTTATCATTAGCTGCGTCCGAAACACTCAGGCGGGCGTCTGCAGTCAGTTCAGCCTCACAGATTTTCAGTGTCGCTGTTCAGAGGTGTGTACAAGAAAGACCCGTCGTTTTCCTCGTAGATGATGGCCACGGTCTCACCTGGTTCTGGCACTGCTGCGCTGGTCTGGATGTAAGCCTGGAAGAAGATATTTAATCACACAGAGACAGACGAGTGTAATGAAGACACTGAACTGATATTTTTACAGGTTTAAAAAGAAAAAAACACTCGAAGCTTCTCACTCTCTCCAGCAGCTGCAGTCGCTCCTCATTCAGCAGGTTGTTCTGCCTCAGCTGGCCGACCGTGTTCTCCAGACCCAGAAGTTTCTCCAGGTGTCGTCTGTGTCGCTGCTGCAGAACTTTGACCTTCTTCTGCAGCTCCACCACGATCCCCTCCAGCTGCTCCTTACTCAGACTGTTCTTGTGGTAGCTGATCACAGAGGAGACAAAGTTCATCTTGTTAACGCTGCAGAAGAAGAGGAAACACTTTTTTTTTTTCTGTGTGAGTGAGAACACAGACTTGTCCTCACCTGTGCTCCTCCAGCTGCTGATCCTGCAGCTCCCCGCTGTCCTCCTCTGACTGGCCGTCGTCTCCCTCCTCTGGATCCAGTCTTTGCACCTTGAGGGCCAGAGAAGTAGGGGAAGGCGGGGTGTGTTTGGACACTATTGGCAGAGTCGATGTGATGGGTTTGGAGCTGAGAGCTGACGAAAGCACCGTGTCGGGGGAGAAGGCGAACCGTGTGGAGACTTCACTGGGGAAAACATTCGGTATCGTCTCAAAGTAGGCGATGACTTTGGTTTCGCTGCCTTCACAGACGTCTGAGGACTCCTCTGTGGTACGAGTCACATCTTCAACACGAAGAGAAGCCACGGTCTCATCTGCATGGCTGAGAGCGGAGTTCCTCATGACCAGGCCGTGGCCCTGCGTTAAAATGGCGGCAGTGATCCCGTTCACCAGCTCACCTTGCCCTTCACCTGCAGGACATTCAGACAACACCACCACCTCCGTGTCTTCTCCGCCGTTACTCAGATCTTCGACCGTCTGGAACAAAGTTAACGGGAAGTTTGCCTCCATCTGAAAGTGGTTCACTGAATCCATCTGCAGAGAAGAGTGAGGTTCTCCAGGACTGCTCATCTCCACCACGCCGGTGTCTCTCTGCTGCAGAGGGTCCACCGTGATCTCATACAGGTGGAGAGTCTGCATGGAACTCCCCACCTCTGCGGCGCCCCCTGTCGCCATCCTGTCATCTGACACCGTGATGCTCTGATGGCTGTCAGCTCTGAAGCGTTTCGTCTTCTTCTCATCTTCATCCGTGGCTTTACGTTTCTGAAAAGACGCATTAGTTTTCGTTCATCTACAGCAGCAGAACAACCTCAGATTTACTAAAGCGACCTCAGCACGGTTTACCTTCTTACTGAGACCCTCACCCTGAGAGGTGGTTGTTGCAAATTGTTTACATTTTAATCAACAGCCACAAGTTTCTTGAACAAATATCTGTGATGCTGTATCAAGATTTTCTGAAGTTTACAATAAAGATCAGAAAACTACTAAAAAAGTTGGATGTAAATTTAGAAACAGGACGTTTAAAAGTGACTTTACCTCTGTTTCTTGAAAGATGGTGGGTACAGCATCACTCTCCAGGTAACGTATTCCCCATCGCACCTTAAAACACGACGGTGCAAAATGTTCGTGGCAGATGTACTGGTGTCGAGAGGGGGTCCAGTTTTTTCTCCCCATGTTCCTCAGCCACTGCTGCAGACGCACCGGGTCCTGCAGGGGGAACCTGGAACACAATGAAGATCACAGGTGTGAGACACTCGTACAGGTGCTGCTGCAGTCCAGTAAGAAAGTGGGAGAATTCACTGGATAGAGGATTCACGCTGAGCCTGAAGGGTCAGTTTTTATACTCAAACAGAAAGAAATCAGAGCCTCAGAAGTGAGACAGGGATCCGGTTACTGACTGACTCTGTGCACTCATCACTTTTTAGCTTGGGTTGATGAAATCCTGAAATGTTTTAGAGGCTGAAATGAGAGCAAATCCTTTTAGTAATTCATGTTAAGTTAACTAACTGGGATTAGATTTATCTTTAAAGAAAGACACACAAAGGAAGCAGCCATATGAAATCACAAATGTAAAAACAGTCTCGACTAAAGTCTGAGGATGAAACGGTCATCGTGAGTCTGTTACAGGAGGAGAAAACAGCAGCTGGACCTGTGGGAGGTGATTTTAGAGAACAGTGTGAAAACTCATGTTTTAAAACTAAACGTCAACAAGTCTGCAGACATGTCCACAGATTTTTTAACTGTAACTGAGAAAAGACTGAGGAGGAAGTTAAAAGCTTTGAGCATCTCTGTGTGGTCATTAATAAACTCATTCATGACTAATTCTGAGTGTAAAAAAGACCGGCAACTGTTGCACTTCCTCCAGATTCACTTAACAACTTTATTACCGTTTCGTGGTTGAATCTGTCCTCACCTTTGTTATCATCAGTTGGAAAGGTTAGTTAGGGGGATAGTTTTCACTGTCAGTCATTTTTTACTGTATTCTTAAACATGACGTATCCCTGTTTCTGTGTATTTGAGCGTGTTTTTGTGGTTTTAACTGGCTGTGAAGCAAATTTCTCTTCAGGGAAAATGAAATAAAGTGAAGTGGTGCTGAACTAAAGCGTATTATGTTGGATTGTTCTTATTATTTCAGACACAGAAATCTTCATACATGAAAATAAATAAAAACAAAACAATGAATATTCAAAAAGAAGTGGGAAGAAGTAATACTTATGAGCTCCCACCCCTTCTCCAACAATCTTTAACCTTACTGATCAGTCTATACACTCATGCTGTAGTCAACACTACATTATTTATACACTAATGGAGACTCTCTATCCATACAAACGTGCATTCATGCCCCACAGAGTAAACCCTGTAACACAAAGTTGTACCAACACCACCCTCACCCCTGTAGCTCTTGAAAACAGTGTCTATATACTTTAAACTACTTCAACTCTGTGTCAAACTTCATGACCTACTCAGCTACATTAATTTGGAAGAATGAACATCATGAGCTGTAAACAGAATAAAGTTTCATCGCAGAACTCCGTGTTAGTGAGTTTAATTGTAGTTAGTTTAGATCTTGATGTGGATTTACATATAAAACTGAAGTGATCGAACTGGTTTACATCGACAGACGCTGATGATTGAATCAGGGTCCGAGCTGACTCAGAGGTCGGAATAAGACAGAAAGGCTGAGAAAATGATCGGAAGAGTGTCTAATAGTGTTAATAATATTGATCAAAACCGATCATTTCTGAGGTTTTAACTCTGATCGATAAAGAGTGACTCATCAGAGCTGCATCAGGTTGGATGACGCGTCCTCAGCAGCAGCAGTAAAGTTCAGCAGTTAGCTCCAACTCTCTGATAAACTCTGTTCAAACTCTCCTCTTACTTGTAGAAACTCCTCCTGTCGTTGTTCCCGTTGTTCCCAGAGTCATTCTTACAGTTCAGGACAGAGCAGTACTTCGGCATGTCGGGCTGATGTTCCTCTAAATATCACGGAGGATCTTCTTCGTTCACAACAACAAGGTGAAACTCGTGCTGCTGCTGTGTTGTCAGCTCTCGGCGCAGAGTTTACGACCAACGATCAGCTGTTACCGCGCGTGACGACACATTAGTGCGACTGTGGCTGTCAGAGGAAACCATAGACATCTATAAGAAAGGCTAGATGACTCTATGAGGCGGAGTCACCGGCGTCCCTACACGGCGGCCATCCTACTCCAGTATATCATTCTGGTTCGCTCTCTGGTAGCTGACTGGAGGTGAGGATTCTACATGATCAAAAATCCTCTTAACTCGCTGAAATCTTGACAGATTTACAAATGATTTAGTTTATTACAAACCTTAATAACGTGGCTATGAGTCGGGATGTTTGGACATATTAAAATGGCAGATTTACTTTGAGATAAAAAGACTTAATCATGAAGCACAGTTGTTTCACGGTTAACTTTGAGTTACTTTGTCAAGGCTGAGACCACAATCCAGATTTTAATTTCTTGTATGACAGCCTATTTTTTTGTATTTCTTTATTTATTTAGTCTAAGTGACAGTCTTTGTGGATGGTCTTGTGTTTATCAGCTGTCTAACTTGGCTAACTAAGACCAGGTATATATTACAAAATTATTGACCCAGTAGTTTTACATCAGTTAAAGAGGTAGAAATGCTCTTTCGTTTCAACATAACTGAAGTTGTTCATGATTTCCAAACTGTTTGGTTTGTTAAAAACCTATAAAATGGAAACACGAGGCAGAAATTTATATAGAAAATAAATATTTATATATGTTATCAAATCGCTACGCCCTCTGCTCAGGCGAACAACAACAACAACGATTGCAAAATGAGCAACGAACAATAGAAAACCACCGAAAATGAAGATTTGTTGCCAAAAAGAAAAGGAACGTCAGTTATCTGGAATTATTTCGGTTAAAAGAAGGATGATTTCGACCAAAACACGTGTTCTGTTTTCATCTGTCGCCACAATAACGTCCCAGCACAATAAAAGCTAAAAATATCTCTGAGACAGACAGAAGCCATTCTAACATTCACAAAAAGAGGTAAAATCAGTGCAGGTTAACTGTCCTCAAGACTTCAGCAGTGCAGTATAACATTAAATGCTATTCAGGTCATCTGGTGAAAATTCCTATATTTTTAATATCGCAATATACATCGCAGGGTTGAAAAAAATCGCAATTTTAGTTTTTTCCAATATCGTGCAGCCTTGCTCTCTTGCTTTGTGCCTGGTTCAGTAAACTGCACGTGCAATTTCAGCAAGGCATTACATCACTTGCTTACTCGCTTGACTTGTCAATCAAATCAGACCTCTTAGCCTACTCCACACATGACGATTACCGAGATATCCTGATGTTGAAAACTGTCAGGCGGCAGACTGAGGAAAAAGTTGTAGCAGCAGCTGAACATGTCGGCTTAAAAACCACGAAAGGTAGAGAATGAGAACAGGGTGTTTTATGGCGAATGGACCGAGTCATTTGCATTCATTTTGCCCACAGGAAGCACACAGCCAATTGAAGGTAGGCAGTTATTGGCAATACAAATGAAGTGAATATTTCAAAAGAGTAACGCACTGTAAAAAAATAAATAAATAAAAATCCCTGGACCCAGGTCTGCAGGCATTTCATTCAGGTGGACCCACTGAAAATTTATATGAAGACCCCTGCTCCAGACCTTCAAAATTCACCAAGAAGTGGGCAAGGTAAGACTCGAACCTATGACCTCAGGAGTCCCAGTCAGTCTCCTTATCCCAAGAGCCATGTGGACACACAAGAGAATTGTGTTCTTTTTTCACATATATCGCTGTCCTTTGTGGACTCGAGACTTTAAAATTCACCTAAAACTAGGTAAGGTAGAACTCGAACCTATGACGTCAGGAGTTCCAGCCAGTGTTCTTATCCTCTGAGCCACTTGGACACACAGGATTATACCATTTGTTTCCTCTTTCAATTTCCTGTCTAGACACTAGACTTCAAAATTCACCTTGTCCCGAAAAAGGCTCGAACACACCACCTCAGGAGTCCCAGTCAGTCTCCTTATCCTGTGAGCCATGTGGACACACAAGAGAATTGGGTTCTTTTTTCACATATCGCTGTCCTTTGTGGACTCGAGACTTTAAAATTCTCCTAGAACTGGACAGGGTGAGACTTGAACCCACGATCTCAGGAGTACCAGTGAGTCTCCTTATCCCCTGAGCCATGTAGACACAGAAGACCATCATGTTTTTTTTTTCATATATCACTGTACTTCGTGGACACTAGATTTCAAAATTCACTTAGAACTGGGCAAGGTTGGACTCGAACCTATGACCTCAGGAATCACAGTCAGTGTTCTTATCCTCTGAGCCACTTGGAGACACAGGATTATACCATTTGTTTCCTCTTTCAATTTCCTGTCTAGACACTAGACTTCAAAATTCACCTTGTCCCGAAAAAGGCTCGAACACACCGCCTCATAGTAGGGTCTGTTAACTTGAAAAAATGGCCAAATTGTTATGCGGTGGATAAAAGCACCAAATTTGGTACACACATTCTTCAGGGTGTATCTCATCATCTCAGAAGGGGTGCCCAAAAATGCATGAGTGAAAATGGCTCAAATGGAGGTCGTATACCTGACCCAGTACAAAAGTCTCTCGTTGATTTATTTAGCAGGAAAAAGGGAGTCGATCTCTGCTGCTCTGAAACCACATCTGAGTCCAAAAACAAAGACAAAGAATAACTTCATACTGCAAAACCAAGTGTGACGCCTGTCAGGAAACCTTATAAATCACAGCATGAAGATGGCGGGGGGTTATTATTATATGCCATAATGAGGTGTTGGTGTCTCTGCAGGTGTAGGCTACTGCCGGTGTCAGAAACATGGTGCTCGTCTGAGCTCGACTCCCTCTGGATCACAAATGTTGATCATCATCAGTTTGATTGTTTCTTCAGAAACCACAAAATCTCTCTGAATGACCCGCTAATACATCCACAGATAACCCTGCAGATGACCAGCTTCAGTCATTTCCCCCTCCACAAAAGCAGCTTTATGACTTTATTTACTTTATGACTTTATTCTCCTAAATTTACAACTTTAATCTCTAAATCTTAAAAGCAAAAAAAAAACAAAACTCAACGTTGTCCTGATACTCTGCTGTAGTTTTGTCAGCTTTCTCATTTCTAATGTTTTTGATAGTTGTAGCAGAGCGGATCAGTTCGTCTCTAACTCTATAATGTTTGGTTTACAGATTTTAGTGAGTTCAGAGATCATGCTCTCATACAGCCTGAGCTGACTGTCTGCTGGTTTTGGATTTCTTGTATTTTCTTTGAAGACGCGCTGTGTCTCCAAGCGAGTTCAGCATCTCACCTGAAATGCGCAGCTGTGCAGCGGCACGCAAAGCATTCTGGGATACCGACGGCACGAAAGCATGCATAAATGCACGCTTGAAAAAATGCTACGCGCGCTTAGCATTTCTTAGCATCTCGTGCCAAATGGGACACCGTTCGACGGTGCAGAAGTGCACTGAGCTCGATGCGGTCTGTGAAATGAGACACAGCCTAAATGTTACATGAACCGTAGACTGGAATGTTTTGAGAGGGCGAGCTGACCGTAGCAAAATGGCCGCCATGCGCGGACGTCGGTCTCCATTGGCTAACAGCATACGTATGACATCTAACGTTTGTATTTATATATCTATGGAGGAAACGGGCAGCGTTTCTTTTTTTGTAGGGTGGCAGGGGAAGGTCCCGCCTCCTTCGCCTCTGATTGGCTGTGAAACGTCATCACACGCGCAAACCGAGCGCATGTTGTCAGTTCTGTACTTCGAACAGAACATTATCACAATTCTGAATCTCCTAATCCTAACCCGACAGACGATAATGTTTCACAACCACGAGGAATAACCAATCGGATCTCAGCACTTCTAGCGAATCAGAGGCGAAGGAGGGCGGGACCTTCCTAATATATCAGAATTAGTTTTACTAGTTTCTTTTACTCTTTGTAGATTTCCCTGAAAACTCTCTGCAGGCTGTGTAAAGAGCAAGAAAATTAAACTTTACAAGGTTTCAGTTTTCCAATATTTGTCTCATTTCTTTTGTTGCATTTCATTGTTCATCACTTTGACCAATGATGCCTGTTTTAAATTTGCTTTAGTAATAAAATAAGGAATGAAAAAGTAAACTAGCTGTCATGACGGTGATAACAGTTAACATCTTTATTTGCAAGTACTTTCCACTCAGTTTCTAAAGTTAATTAAGGTGCAGAAAAGTCCTGTACTTTCTCTGACAGTACCTTGAGAACTTCAGTCTATTTGTGTAGGCCTGTACAGTTATTCTTATCAGACTTATGTATATATCTTTTTTTTAACTTTAAGTTTTCTAATCCTTTAATTTTCTCATTTTGTACTTATTTTTATGCTGCTGTAAACTGGAATTTCCCCCGGTGGGACTAATAAAGGACTATCTTATCTTATCTCTTGTTCTGGTGTCCTCTGAGAGTAGATGTAATTTGATATTTTCCACCCCAGTGTACTTGAACATTAAGGATATTTTTCTCTTCAAAATTATGCGATAATCCGTTAGTTTCATAAAACTCATGTAGATTAGCTCAACTGACATAAAAACAACAGCTCATACCAAAATCACTGGACTTGATTTTTTTTATTCAATACTTTTTTTTCCAAACATAACACGGAATCTTTAAATGATACAATATATATACATACACAGAAGTGTATTTCTTTATCTAAAAAGTTGAGGGCCATTGGACAATGCAGCTGTGCGTTTCAAGACAGGGTTGTATTTGGACGTTTTGTGTACTGAAGAAATCCACACGTTGGGGTAATAATCACCAGTTACTGAACATTATTAGAGACTACAGTGCCATCAGTGGTTGCCCTACAGCAGAGCAAGTTTGGAGAGGAGACTGTGCAGGAGCTGCTGGGTGAGTGGCACAATGACTGTCAAGGATGAAAACATGGAGAGCAGCAGTATCTTCCTCGATAGGAAGCAGTGCAGCAGTGCAAAATAAATGTAACCAGCTTCATGACTGAACTGACGAAATACACTACCGATGGCAAACAGCACCGTTGTTTTAAGTGTACCCAGAGACAATCTATATTTTGAGGGTGGCTGGGGTCATACATGATACTCCTACTCTGTGTTCCTGTAAAGTGGAAAACAAACGAACTGTAGAAAGGTTTAGAAACACTGACAGACTGCTCGCTTTAACCAGTTTACAATTCTCTAGCTGTGTACACAGGCCAGCAGTTCAATGCTAATTTCAAAGTCACAAGATGCTCCTTGTAAAAATTGAACAATCATTTCAGAACAGATCTTTGGTACATACCACCTACGTGAGCCTATCTGCTGAGAACATCGCATTAATTAGAACCAAGCAGCTCCGAGGAAACATCGGAAATTCTCAGGGTTGGTGTCTTTGCCAAGTGGTGGAGCAAATAAGTGGACAGATGGACAGCAGAAACGGGGATTTTCCAGTTTTACATGACACATTAAAAGAATACCCCCAGTACTGCACTGGGCTGGTGTAAGTGATCTCTTCCCGTCTGAACCACACCACGTGTGTTTTCTGCATACAACAACAGGTGGAAGTTTGTCAGGGAGAGGGACCCCTTAGGCCAAGCATGAACAACAGCATGTCCGAGCGCTGGAGGGAGTGAAGTGGCAGGGATGGTTCCGGTCAGATGGAAGGTCGTCAGTGTCACAAACAGAGAAGTGTGGCCCCTACATCATCCCCAACTGCATTAGCGTGTTGGCATACGCCATGGGCTTGACATTCGGATGAGGCTGTGAAGAGAACAACAGGGGCATCAAAAATATGATCAAGATTCAAAAAGCTAAAACAGTGAGTCGTTCTAGTCAGTTTTCAGGTGCTCAATTGCAACCTGATCTTTTTTTTTTAATATTGAGAATCTGCCAAGTTTAAGTCCCCACATATATCTGTAGTATTTATTAAGATGTTAGAGCTGTGCATCATTTTTTTCTAACATAAATAACTTAAGTCAATAAATGAGCAAATTATTGTAAGTGGCTGCTGGATTGTTTTTATTTCTAGTATAAATAATTCCTTTGGAGCCGCAGGATTGCAAATGCCACATTACCTGAAACATCCCCTGTAAGTATAGCAAGAAAATAACACAACAATACATATTTCAGTTAAACTCTTTATGTAAACTTAAGTGTTTATTGTTGAGCCAACCAGCGCCCCTAACCCCCAGACTTATTTTGCTGATGACTTAAAACCCAGACTTCATACTCAGACGGGTCACAGTAGATGCTTCTGAGCCAAACTCAAGTTTAAATCTGTATAGAGTGATACTAAATCTAGGATGTAAACCTCAATTACAAACTCATTTCTAAAACCAGCTGCCACTTAAAGCCTAAAATCCTTGTTTTGTTCATTTTATGCCTAAAAGTGCAGGATACTGACCACAGCAGTGAACTGGTGAAATTCTGGCTTGAGGTCTGATCCCCTGAGGTGGATATAAGCTCCTTTGTTACCCATCTGATCACTGCAGAAAGAGGAAGTTAAAAAAAACAACAGTCAGAGTGGACGTCTTCAAAAACAGCTGAGTCAGCACTCTGCAGACGGGCGCCATGATGACGTACCAGTAGTTGGGCGCTGAGAACACGGTGATGCACTTCCCTGAGTGAGTGACCTCGTAGCCCTCAGCTTTGACCTCATGACTCCTCACGATGAAGTCCAGCTTGTTCTGTTCAAGGAAGCGCTCTGTCACGTCCGGCCCAAACTGACAACTCACTCCTCGCTTACTGATCGACCGACCGTTCTGTGTGACAGACAGAGAGAGAGAGCAACAAATCCTCCATTATAGAACAAGTTGTTTTCAACATAAACTACTGTAGAGGACGGGCGGTGAAGGACTGACCTGAGGCTGTGGATCTGACCAGAGGAGGTCACACATGGGACCTGTGGAAAAAAGCAGGAGTTAGAATTAAGATGAACTTCTCTATTTATGGTGATCCTATCGTCTGTACTCATGAACCGTACCTGAGTCTGGAGGCTGTCTGTTCCTGTCAATCTTCCTAAGGTCATCCAATGTGACACCATCTTCACTGAACAGTCCACCGTGCATTATCTGAGACACAGAATCTGATTAGTATGTGCAGCACTGCAGGTTTCAGGTACTGTTCTTATAACCAAAGTCTCCAGTCGAGTCTTTGTTAAGAGTCTTCACAAAATGTCACCACATCTAAAACTGATCCATCACAACCAGCGCTCTCTGGTAACCATGGAAACATACTCTAACTTGAGGTCGTTCATTCTCCCATGAAGTGAGCGGACACTCTTTCAACAAAGTTATTTTGACAGACTCTGTGAGATCTTACCAGAACTTTGCTGTTGATACATTGTGCGAGAGGCAGCCACTGGAAGACCTCGCTGAACAGCTGGAACATCTGGGCTGTGAACTTGGCTTTGACTTCCCCTTCAAATCCATACATCTGGTTCATGTTGTCCGTCTCGTGGTTGCCTGTGTGACAAACTCTTGGTTTAATAATCCCGTTTAAAGAACATTATTGTGGACATGAACAAGGCGAGTCGATGAAATTCAGTGCTGTGCTCTGAACCTCTACACATCGAATATGACATATGACAGGCTGGAGGCACACATCTGCAGATACTGCACATCCATCCACAAAGTGACGCACAAGCCCACTGTAAGTGCCCTCACCCCTAAGCAAGTGGAAGTTGTTGGGGTAGAGCAGCTTGAAGCCAAAGAGGGTGAGAATGACCTCAAGAGAGAAAGAGCCGCGATCCACAAAGTCACCATTAAACAGCTGAATTCAGTGGTTAAGCAATACGACACACACGCTGTTCTGGACACAAAATGGTTAAAGCAGAGAGGATGACGGCACCAAACACACAAATCTAGTGTAAAAGCTGATGATGCAAAAAGAAAGGATACATAAGGGTTGCTTTCAGAGGGTAAGCCGTTCAGCTTGAAGATGTTGAGGAGATCGTAGTACTGCCCGTGAGTGTCACCACAAATAGTTATTTTTTCTGTCTGTTACAAGAAAAACAGGACAGCACAGTTAGTTTGTATGATAGACCAGGAACTCTAATTGACTTTACGATTAACTCTCAGAAATGTCCTCACCTCTTTTAACTGTATTTCCACAAGACTTGGTAGTTTCGATAGAACATCTTTAACCTGCACCAAAATCTGAAAGAGAAACGTCGTTAACCACAACGAGAAGTGACGTTTTCCTCCGTGATCGTACACGTACCCCAAGTTTACCTGATAAGCACACTTTCTGTGTAGTTTCTTTTGGTCTTTGAACCACTCCATCATCTCCTTCATGAACGTCAACGTGACCTTGCCGTCTTCAAGTTTGGGGCCAACGTAGTCATCCTCGATCGCTGCAAAACAAATTCAGTTTGGACTCAGAATCAAATAGTTTCAGTCTGTTCAATACAAACATAATATAAAACTCAATCTCCACAGTTTTGATGTATTTAAAAGTACTTCTCCAACCAACTTACTCATGTTTTCAATGTCCAGAGAGTCAACTACGGACTTTTTCGTCTCATCGCTGGCGATGGCTCTCTCAAAAGCCTTCTGTTTCACAATCTTGTTACATTCTTGATACTTCATCCTCGCATCCTTGTCATTTGGTCGAACCCTCACTACCTGTGTCACCAGAATGAGGAAATGATAAGAATGAGCACACAGGTTAACCATCAACCAGTCTGCAGGCCGACATGAGGAAAGAGCAGCAGCAGAAAACAGGATGTGAAATGAAACAAAAGTATAAAAAGGTTTTGAAGTTTTTACGATGGGAACAGATAAGACTACATTATATACTTATTCATAACTGAGCCTGTTGTGTGTAACACTGTGTGTGGACATGTCAGTTTTCCTTGTCTGTTGTCATAGTGCTCAGTTAAAGGGCTCCCATTATGGCAGAGCTTTGGAGGGCTTTGTTGCCACAGCTCTGGTATATTTATATTGCTTTAAATGAGCGGAAGAAGAAAGTATAGAAACCACATTAGCTGTGGTATGAGTGCCTGCACTCTGGATCTGATTGGCTGGATTAAAGGATGATCTCAAAAGAGCCAAACTCATGACATCAGATCAGCACAGAGAACAGAAGAGCTTTAACTGTTGAGTGAAAAATTACAGGAAACTTTCAAAAATGCTCCAAGTTTTTAATCATGTGGGGTTATAAATGAGCAGATGCTGAATCTCCTACCGTCTCGTAGTCTTTAAGTGCAGCCTTGAATTTCCCCAGTGCCATGTTGGAGGTGGCACGGCGGTAGTATCCCTTTATGTAGTTTTTGTCTATCTCCAGGGCCTTCGTGGCATCAGCAAGGGCATAGCCATAGCACTCTGTGCGCAGGTATGCCAAGCTGCGGTTGCTGTAGTAGATGGCATTGGATGGGTTGACCTCCAAGGCCTCTGTGTAGTACTTGATAGCATTTTCATAGTCTTTTTCTGAAAAGTAAAAAAAGTAATACCATTGTTAACAGAATACACATTATAACGCTCTATAATAGCTTAATAGGTCAGACAGACAGACTGCAGATAGTTGGTTTATAACTTATTACAAAATGGTGTTGTGAATGAAATATACCTTACATGTTTATTCAATGTGTTTATTCACATTATCTATAAATACTGCTGAATAACTAGGTTTCTGTTCAAAATTTGATTTATCATTAAAACTACGGATGTAACCTTTAAGAAAGCAGACTTTCTAAGATCAGAATATAAAGGTATCAGTCAATCAGGGAAACAGATTTTAGCTTGATAAAAAAAAACAATGTCTGTAAACTACAAGAATCACTTTTTTTATACTGCTCCTATGAAGTGCTTTTCTTTTCCTTCAAGACAAATAACCTTACATCTGTGTGTGGATCTTTTACCTGGATTATTTTACTATTTTTTGTTGTATATAGTGTACATACTTGTAGATTGGTAAACTGTATACATATTGCGTATTTTGATTATCTCTTTATTTTTACTTATTTTATCTTTCATTTATCTCCTCTTTCTACTTTATTTGCACTGGAGTTACTGTAACAAAAAGCAGTTAAAGTATTTCTGATTCTGATTCTGATGCCCACGTCTCCACAGTAGAATCAGGTGAAGTGTTACTCGGTGAAACCTGCAAATTTATAGCTGTTCATATATGACGAATGCACTGTTTGCCCACCGTTTCCTGTATAAGTCAGTAATACTGTCACCATTAAAGTTATTTTTGTTCCCAGTCAGTATGTGGGAGGAACCACTGCAAGGTGCATTTAACATTATGCACAGACAGCAGACTGCACTGTCAGTATCATGCAGATCAGTTACAATGAAAACACCCTCCACCTGGAGATTTTTTTAACCAGAGGATAATAAACTACACAAGGTTTGAGATGGATGAAGCCCTCTCCAACAACTCTACACTGTGACCTGACAGCAGCAACCAACAACACAACATAAATTCATGTTTGGATTAGAGGTAACTAGGGCTACAAAATTACGGGAATTTCCATGGGAATTAACAGGAATATATGGGAATTAACGGGAATAAATCTGAAATTTACAAAATTGAAGGTTGGCCCTCAACAGGGAACCTAAAAATATTTGGTGAAAATATATTGTAGCATAATCAAAACAACCAGATTTAATGCAAGTCCACTCCTCAATCACATGATCACACAGCTTACTGCAAGGCTATTGATGCCACACCCCCTACATGCACTGTGCATTCCTCCGTCACATGCAAAGATGATTTCTTGAACCCTGGAGGCCGCACTTTTGAGCCCAAAACAGAAGACATTTGAGTCCACAGACTATAGAAAGTCAAGTAAGTTTGACTCACCCCACTCTCCCCTATTGTTTAAAACTGAGAATGCAGCATCTATGATTTCTAGTTCTTCGTTGAAAGGACAACTGGACTCCAACTACAGAGTCCTGATGCTCCTAAACAGATGTGGAAGATACCCATGACATGGACTCTGATGATCCCCACACCATCAGGACTAATTCCAATTCACCCTTTGGCTCAACTTACCCCAGTCTCCCCTATAAATTCATGTTTGGATTAGAGGTAACACAACACCAAACTTTACACTATAACCAATGACAGGTAAAGTTATTAGCAGGGATTGTCTTGTAACGATGGCCCCTGTTAGCAGGTGTGATATGTAAGGCAGTAAATGATCCTTCTCCACCCAAAGGTTTAGGAGTTGGATATTCTGTATCAGTTATATGAGAAGGTCAGAAGAACATCACCAAACTGCAGCTCTAACACCGAGAGTCGAGATATTTTCAGTGCTGACATGATAATTATTGTACTTTTCATTCATTATTAAGGATGTAGTGGGTGTTGGAGGTGAACTGAAGTGTTCCTTATATTTTGACCACATGTCTAGTAAACATGAGGGACAAAATATTAGAAACCCCACCAACACCAACCACAACTTTAACAATTTAAGAACAATTATAGAAAAAGAAGGTGCAGAGGCCTTTTAGAAGAAGAATTGATGGTTATATTGTGTTGGAATAGAGTCATATTTATATATATGTTCCTTATATTTTGACCACATGTCTAATAGACATGAGGGACAAAATATTAGGAACCCCACCAACACCCACCATGACTTTACCATTTTAAAGAACACTTATAAAGACAGAAGGCTTTTAACGTCTTATATATGTGTTCCTTATATTTTGACCACATGTCTAATGAACATGAGGGACAAAATATTAGGAACCCCACCAACACCCACCACAACTTCAACAATTTAAAGAACAATTATAAAGACAGAACGTGCAGAAGCCTCTCAGAAGACGAATTTATGGCTGTATTGTGTTGGAAAAGGTTCCATTTTGACGTTTTTGTTGGTTTTAACTCCTCAGTCTCAGTTTAATCCTCTGAATGAGCTCCACCGTTAGCATGCTCTCTGTTAGCTTAGCTCTGCGTTAGCCACCGGCTCTTCTCGCACCACGCTGTCACTGTTTCCGCCGCTACCGTGATTAACGGGCACGCTTTTTTCAGCTCTGAGCGGCTGACGGAAACCACAGGCCTGACAGGTGTGTCAAATTACCTTTAAAGTACTTATTCGCCTTCTCCTTCAGCAGCTCTGCATCATTACCTCCCTCCGCCATCTTCTTCTCACTGCCGTATTCCGAGACGCACGCCATTGACTGGGTTTGTCGCAAAGGTCGCAAAAAACAGTTTTCTAGAACACTTCAGAATAATCTCTGCAGTTTGTCCAAAACGATGATTAAAGTCGACAAAAACAGCAAAAAACGCCGTTAAAGAAGAAACAACAGGTACGTCTTCGTGTCGGTGCTGAAAAGGTTGGAATTTAGGTTCTTTAAAGTCGTAAATGAGTGAAAATATGTGGGTAATATCACTAATAAAACATAAATATGGATTAATATCTGATCGGTTTTTCCTTATCCCAAACGGTGATATTCAGAATAATTAGATCTGGGCTGGATTATCTTAAAGAAATTCTTACAACAAACTTCTTTAATGTGTGAATCCCTAATTTTATATGTGGAAAAAAAAGCGGGAAAAGGGTTTTTAAGGCCTTTTCAACAGGACCAGATACTGATCCAGAACTCCAATATCCAGGCTTCTCAGAAACTGACTGTGTTATTAGATAGGTAGAGGATTGGGTAGAGGTAATGATCGATAAATACAGAATGGAGAAGCTGACTTTCTCATCAAGATTAAAAACAGAGACTTAAAAAACTACAGGAAAAACTGGGTTTATTATGTGTCTCATTTAAAAGCAGACTTTTTACACTAAAGACATTGTGTATTGTTGATTATTGATCCCCTTGGTTCAGGCTACAAACTTGTTAATTGTTCATTTGTTTATTTTGTTTACCCTCCAACAGGAGAAAAGGGACAATGAAAGAGAGGAGTGAAAATAAGGACATGAGTGAAAAGTGTTTGATTTTACTTAAGAAGTTTATGTCTAACTATGTCTCTGCTCTGCGATGGAAAAATATTATGTACAGTTGGAAATTTGTTTAATATATGTAAAATGATGATTGAATCTTTACATGTGAAGATTTAATCTTTATTCTAGTTGTGAAAGTTCAACAAAAGGCGATTTAGTAGTTTTTTTTTTCTGTCTAGACCACAGTGGATCAGGTCCTGACCCACAACCACAATTCTCAGACTATTTAGATTTGGCCTTGAGTTATACAGAGAGGTTTCAGTCTCTTTAAAACACAGTTTCAGATTTAGGAAGTCTTTATTGTGTTTGTTAAGATAAAAAGTGTAATTTTCCACCTTTTTTTACCTGTAGACCACATTGGACCACATCACATTGGACTGGACTGTCTGCAGCTGGATGTCCTTTTGATAATGAGGTAAAGAAAATAATTTTTAAAAAGTTTGTTTTCTTTCTAAGTTGAAATGTCCTGAAAGGATTTCATACAGATGATAAGCTGTCTCTCGGTGTATAAGCCAGCAGAGGTCAGTATTGGCCTTCACCGAAACATCAGAACTACGTAAGACAGCTGATATGTTCAAATGAGGTTAACCAGAAAATGCTCACCGGGTGAGTAATGTATTACAACCAAAGCATTAGTTGGAGATTCAATTAATGATTCATAAAGAGATGATTTTCCCTGACTTGTCTGGAATAATGTCTTTATTATTTTTTCTATCTTGCAATAGCCTGTCATTAAGTCTTTACCTCTGTGACTAAACTGAAATAACATTCACATTAATTAAATTGTAGGCTCATGTTACACAAGAGTACTGCCTCACTCAGAATTCCCTTTTGCTTTCCTCCAGATGCTTTGAGGCCTGGGGGGATGCTGCGATGGAAGTTTCCTGCTGTCTGAACGGAGCACTGTCAGCATTCGCCAACCACAGCTATGGCCATGAGGGGACAAATACGACACAGGTGCAAATGTCCACAACTTTACTCACCCACACATGGCATCTGACGCACCCCAGCCTCAAATAACTGGTTTGCAAAGACATCACGCAACCTAAAACAGACAGACAGACATCCCAGATGAAACACTTTTCCAGTAGTTAGAAACTCTAGAAACTCTGTTCGCTTTGGATCAGTCAAGTCAGAAGAGGGAAATGTGTCTTTTGTGGAAAAAGGAAAAGTCAACCAGATTTGACATGTAGGTTTGTGGTTTGGTGTGTTTGGGTTGAGGTGGTTTGGGTTAGAAGTTCAACAGAAAAAAAAGAGACGTTCAAGAGCAGCATGTGACACAGAGGATACAGCCCAGTCCAGTCTGCAGCCCTGACTCACAAGCGACATCCCGCAGTGAGGAGTAAGAAGCCGAGCAGTCGGGTGACTCACCCTGACCCCTGCTGAACACTTACTCCAGAGTGTGAGTTCACTTTCTCTTAGCAAGATAACCTATGACTCGCTTTCTTCTCTGAGCAACAACACGTCTCGATCTGTGATAGTTTTACTAGTGGTGCTGGTGGGAGGGGAAAAAAAAATACCCATGACAAGTTTGACTGAGAACGGGCTGACGTTAGAGCCTCAGCCCCACATGAGAGTAAACGCAGACAGTGAGTGGGAGAGACAGTGTGGGAGGGAGGGAGAGAGGTAAGAGAGAAAAGCTGGCTTGCTGGGAGGATGGAGGAGGGAAATTGCTGCTCTCTCGGGTGAACGATGCATGAGCGTGGGTTTTGGAGGGGTCCTGAGAAAGTTAAAACAAACATGAATAGAGAAGCACAGATATATACGAGAAAGACATGAAGGTCAGGGGCAGTGTGAGTGACATTCCAGTGAATGATGTGGCCTCCGAGTAAATGGAGTATAAGTTACATAGGCCTGATCCAGACCCTCATATTTATTGTCCTGTAGCATGTTAGACCACTGGGTAGTAAGTGTTTTGAACAAGCCCACTTTGACTCCACCCGTTCAGCTATCATGTCAGACATTGTGGGTGTTTTGTAAAAGCTGAAATAGCAACAGTCTCTTCCCCTCTCCGCTCCACTCTATCCAAATAATTTACTAATGAGAGCATGACTTCAGGGGGTCTTTGGGGGGGTTGCACTTATTTAAACCATATGTTTGTCTTGCATGCAGGAGTAAAAACTTAAAGTGAAATGATTTAAAAAAAAACCTCATCCTCTTTACTAGGTCCACCCTTCCTTTCACTTCTTATTTCCGTCTTTTAGACATTCGGTTCCTTCATAAGTCGTCATTTTTATGGCTAACAGTCTCCTGAGTCATGAACGCTCCGCAGGTATTGCTCACATTATACAACAGCATTACAAAGTGTCTCCTCCATGTTGATCAGAGCACCCATCACTCAACATCCTGAAATGACACATAACGTGTTCACTCAAGTTATTTTCACTACAGGGGAGTGAGGAGGAGGTGGAAACTTATATTAATGGAAAAACAACGTGATGCATACCTGCATTAAAAACTCTGCTGCAGCGCTGGCTCTACCTTTCCACATTAAAACCCCCTCTCTGTTTTCTCCTGTGTTTCTTGGACTTGTACCCAGGGTGGTTATAGGGGGAGGGTCGGGGGGTATAGAGAGCAATTGTGTTTATATTTTGTTTGGCGTCTGTTTACGGTGCTTGTAGGGCTGTATAAAACATAAAGTAACCTATTATTACCTTTAGCGTCAGCAGTAAAATCAGCTGCGGTGAACAGTCTTAAACTCAACAGTTTCACAAAATGTCCTTTTCTTTGAGTTTCATTTCTGATTTTAGAGTCAAACACACAGTCAAGGAAAATAGGAAACTTTTAAAAGAAAAAGTGACTGATGCTTTTTTTAAATTTAACAAACTACAAACATTTTGTTAACATGAATCAACAGTTTGTTATGAACTTATGTTGAAACACACATCAAAAGTCTTCACTGACTGTGAAGCCAAAAAGATTTAGAGCTCCCCCTGCTGCCTCGCTGCAGCATAGGTCATAAACCCCACCCATTTTAACTAAGGTACGTGTCTGCGTATGAAACCGTTTTGGTATGGGACTCAGAGAATCACACTCAGAATATGCTTTTTCAGCCGACACAACTCACGACAAGCAAGTTATAAAATATTGCCCTGACATCAGGGTCTCTGAGGGTTTCCCCGTAAAATTTAACAATAGACAAAGACAAGAAGATCCGACAAAATAGTTTGCTGACACTGTTCGACAGCAAATACAGCTTCCTCTGGTGTTTCAACAACTTTTGTTGGTAATTCTGAGTGAGCTAAAGCAATAACAAACTCTGTCTGTGTTTCAGTACAGCAGCAGATCTACAAGTTATTGAGTAAACAGGATTTAAACACATTTTATCAGTGAGTTTGTTGTGTGTCTTGGTTTGCATAAGTGTTACATCAGGCCTGCAGCTCGACCTGCCAGGCAGCCTCTGTGCATGCCTGCATCAGCCCTGATGGAGGTCATCTCCTGGCTTTAATTCTCACTGTGGGCAGAAGTTTAAGTTTAGATACAGTCAATTAATGCAAAAATAAAAATTTAGTTATATTTTGTTTGTAGTTTACATTATACAGAAAGGTTTAGTAATTAAAAAAGAACAGTAAAATCAAGTCTTGAATGTTTTAAACTCGTCCTTTTTGTGAGAATGATTTCAATCACTAACTCTCCATTTATCCAGACTGTCAGCACCAGTATTTGGATCATTTTTGACAAATTTAAACGGTCAGTTTAGACTTAAGAAGTAATGCAATCAGGGCGGTCATATGAGCCACCAAAACCTCAACTTAATACCTGAGTGAGAGCCCACACACACACAGCCTGAGAGGACTGCATTCCTACCCATGGAAATGTGGAGCAGACTATGGGAGGTTTTTCTAATGGTTTATACCCAGGAGCGTCCACCCAGCCCCCCGTCCCTCCGTCCACTCACTGGCACCACAGCCTTGTTAAAACAAATTTAGAAAATGACCGACTAAACAGATAATTTGAATAAATAAAAGCAAACTGCTTTGGGAAGTAAAAGCAGCCAAGATTCCTTATAAATTAGATTAGGTTGAAGAACGGTTTTACAGTATGATCTCAGTGTTTGGCATGTTTCGACCCTTATTTGGACATATCCTAAGACAGTGATATAATCTAACTCTTTGTGTTTTCTGCCCAGTTTTTGTTGTCCTTTTTTTCTCCAAGTCTGTGTCATTTGGTCAGGATTTCCCCACTCAACCTGATTCACACACACACACACACACACACACACACACCCCTCCTCTTCCCATTCACATCTAAATTTGCCATCATCCCGTCATTTATATGTTTTCCGTGTATCTTTCTTTTTTCTCATTTTCAATAGCACAAGTGTTTGATGTGTGCTGGGCATAAGAACAAGGGATCAGCTACACGCCCCAAACAGGAAATGAGAAATTCAAGCAAATAGACCCGTGTCTGTGTGTCTTTATGTTTGTGTGTGTGCCTGAGAGACACAGACGGACAGAGAGACAGACGGACAGAAACTTTCAGGGAGGAATGCAGATAGAAAGAGCCGGGCAGACGTTTGAGGAGGATGTGAAATAGACTCACTAATCAAGAGGCTGTAAATGTTGGAGGTGAAAAGGTTGTTACTGTTTGTGAGGATCACAGAGTCTGATATTTATAGACGCTGACCACCCCAGACGTCGCCCAGTGACATCAGTCGTCCTACTAAATCCACGATTGAGAAAAAACTCAAACTATAAATATGATTCTGTCGTTAAAACCTCGGTTCTTTCCAGTGCTCATCCTGGACTTTAGAGCAGACTCCGGTCTGTGATGATTTTTCCTGCTAATTTTAGCTAACGCCGGCTCTGTGGAGGACTCTGCTTCACCTCCATGGTTGAACTCAAGTGTCAGAAAAGCAGCCCCTGCAGCAGGAGAGCTCATAAAACAAGAAAGGGGCTCCCGGATGATCTATCAAAGCGTCAGTGTCAGCGCACCAGCAGAGCGGTGCTGTGTGACCCTGTGCGGTCCTTTCATCTGGCAGTGCGGTTGTTGTTTTCACGCCAATTAACGGTAGCAACGACATGTTGTGGCAGCTAGTTTATTTTACATCGCAGGCTGTGCACCTACTGTTTATGAGCAATGAACGGTGGAGCGCTGCACACGTGGTCAAGCTTTCCCACAGAAAGGAGCCCGCATCATGAGTGACTCAGGATGTCTGGGTGCAAACGCTCTGACCATTAGATGACTACAGGACTTGAAAGAGAATAAGCCAGCCTTCACACAAGGTGGACAGAAGGAAACCACCTCTCGTCTGAATTGTCTCAAGTGGCGTGGATAGCTGCGATCTGATGTGGTGAGACAGTAATAACAAACAAGCAGAGCAGCAGACAGACAGACAGACAGACAACCGTCAGAAGCAAACAGATCTGTCAGACGATCAACTGAACTTTCCCAACCACGGCATAATCGGGGACACGCACGTAATAGGACACAGACGCTTTGAGACACTGAAGCTTTGCCATTTGACCAGCTGTGAGGCACAAACACAGACTCTGAAACCCTGAGCTGTGTCTGAAAATATCCATTCACACATACGCAGGCCATCCAGGATGTTGTGGGGGAGAGTTTCCTCTTCCTGTTGCTCTTACTGTTGGACTTTCCTGTCAGTTTGTATTAACTCCTGACAGAGCTTTGGGTGCCGTCCAGACTCATCTCTGAGCCGCGTTTTTATCTCTCGGGAGTGTGATTCCTTACTGTAAAGTATTAGTCCACATCCTGTACTCTTGGGTGGCCAAGCAGGGGGGGGGCAGCCCCACTGCTGGCTGTTCCCTGGAGAAGAAGGCGGCCCCTCCTCGCTGCACCTATGTGCAGCGCAGAGAGCAGCGGGTATAACTCAAAGCAAACATGGACCACACTTGGCGGTGAAGTCAGACGTGTTCATCAGGTGGCGTGAGCCTCAGATCACTCACAGATACCTTCTCCTTTACTCTCACTGGATTGCTCAGGAATGTGGTCGACCTTCTGATCTCCTGCTGTATCATCATCCATGTGGTCAAAAAAAAAAGAAAGTTTATCAGAGATGGTCCCGATGACACGGAGGGAGGCCTGCTGTGAGCCTTTGTGATTCAGCAGAGCTGGAGGGCCCGAGCGAACCACGCTGAAGATCCGCTGCTTTAAATTAGAGCCACTTCTGAAGTCTGGGTCCTGTTATACCTGTCCGCCATGATTTCTCTTTTCCACATGTGTTTAAATGTTCTCTGAAGGTGTGTGTGCCAAGGCTGTTGTCAAGTCCACTCTATTTGTTTGGACTTAAAAATGGAAGTAAGCGATCTGCCTGCAGAGAACAACAAACAGAGACACTTGGAGTATGTGCTTGCAAAGGATTCTGGGTACTGCAGTTCAAATGGACCGTCGGTGTTAGTGTGAGATTCTCGGTCATGTAGAGATGGTTTCCCAAGGTTATTGAGCAGAATTTAGTTTATTAAGTTCTCAGTTCTGCTTCTCTGCAGCAGCAACATCATTCATGACTGGAGCTGCTTGACAGTTTGTTTACACTTTAAATTTTCTTTATGATTCATTAAAATCATCGACTCGAGTCCCCCACAAACTTTTAACTTCCTTAAAAATTTCAAATCCTCATAAATTTAACAGAAAAGTCTTTTAATCTGAAAAACAAACACGACTTTAAACCATCAGAATAAGGATACATATGTGTACATATGTGCATGCGTAGATTTCATACAGCACCCGTTTGAGCGCGCTCACGTGTTTGTGTACGTGTTTTATGTGATTGCGTGAGTGTGCATCAAAATGAGGAAGGATTGCTCAAACCACACACATAATTTCACCCTGCTGCCCGCTCCCATCACAGGAAATGGGTGTAAAGGAATGACTCAGCTCGCTCTGACCTCCGCCACCCCCCGACTCCCTAACACCCCCACCCACCCTCTCCTCCAGGCCTTCTTTAATTAGAAAAGAAACTCGTTTGTTTTTCTCCGTCTCAACACCCCCTGCCCTAAAAAACGAGTGCATCCTAACTTTGGTGGTGATGACTCACTGCTTTCTCCTCCGCCCATCTCTCTCTCTCTCTCTCACTCACTCTCTCTCTCTCTCTCTCTCACTCTCTCTCTCTCTGTAATTCAATTGGCCTCGATTTCATGCAGTAATGTAAGAACCAGCTGTCACACAGATGTATGCCCTCACCTACCTGCTCAGGTGTGCTCCATCTGTACGACACTCAGCAGGTTCAGATCCACGCTCCTGCTTTGATAGAGTCATGCTGAAACGTTTATGTATTCACCAAGGCTCAGTTGCTCAAGGCTAACATATAAACACACACACACAGGCTCGTGCACTCGTGCACGTACACGTACACAAACACTCACACGCTGCTTCAAAGGATAGCGTGTCATAAACAGGGACTGGGGAGGAGGAATGTGTTGTTCATTGGGGAATTCAGAGCCGGTGGGGAGAGGAAGGAGGGGTGGGGGCACACTGACCTAATGTCCCTCTGAGTGGAGGCAAGAGAGGAGCCGAGCCGAGTCGTCCTCCCTGCTGTCATAACCCTCGTACACCCATCAGTCCAGCTGGGAGCCTCAGCGACACAGAAGGCCACAGACCATGGCGGACTAATCTGAAACAGACTCTGTACCAAGGTTTCCCTGAAACGCCGACACCTCCCTAACCGCCCATTTATTTAAGAAGAGGAGTCGGGTTACCTTATGATACAGGCTCTATGTGTGTGTGTGTGTGTGTGTGTGGGTGTGGGTGTGTGGGTGTGTGTGTGTGTGTGTGTGGGAAGATGATACCTCTTCCCGTCCACCGTGTCAGTTGAACAGAGTGTGTGATTTGTGACTTTGGTCACACCTCTCTTAATTGGAGTCAGCGGCCTTTCCCCTGCTTTACCGTGTGTGTGTGTGTGTGTGTGTGTGTGCGTGCGTGCGTGTGTGTGTGTGTCCATGCAGTCATGTTGGGGTACTGGATTGAGTAATAGAGTGTGACTGAACTCCAGTTAACATCCACTGGTGCGGGTCTCAGCCTCGGTCCATCATAAGAGTCCACGGCTCTTGAGGTCTGACCCTGTTCCGCGGACTACAGCGTGATCGGATAAACAGATTGGCTGTTTGGTTTCTCAGGACTGTTTTCATCAGCTGATGGTGCCTGTTGGGCAGTTTGGGATTCTTATTTTGCTGTTTAAAGCTTTATTTAAACATTATTACATCTACAGGGTATCTACACAGTTGGAATTTCCATATTTTTCCGTACCCTACTTAGAATTATTTTTGGAAATACCTACTTTTCTATTTTATGAAACAGTATTTTACAACTGTTAATAGTCTGGAAACATAAATATCCTTCCATACTTTCCATACTTAGATACATAGCATACCCTGTAGATGTATGCAGCTCTGTACCTGTGCAGAAGGCTGACGTGCACCTCCCTAAAAATGTAACTGTGCGTTGATTTAGTGTAGACAGCAGGCCCTGTGATTGGTCCGCTGGCAAGTATTTTAATTTCCTACATCTACAACAATTCCAGTAACACCACTGACTCTGCAGACGTACGTTTATTTTTCTCTCTTTTCCTCTTTACAACAATTGCAGTAGGATTAGGAAACTCTACCTCCAACTTTGATTTGTTTATTTTTTGACACTGAATATACCGATATGGGTAAAATGACGTCAGTGATCGTCGTAAATGTCAGTATTGGTAAATTTTCGGGTTATCGCCCAGCCGTACCTCCAACATTATCTACAAAGGCTGTATGCGGTCCGTCTGACCGGGTTTAGATCCTTCTTCTTTCTCCCAGTATGCCTTCAGTGTTGCACCAGCTCTTGCAATTCATGGCACCAAGAGGCGCTCTGGTGCCGGACACTGTTGTGGTTCGAAGTTTTAACATTCTTCAGAAACGGGTCACTAAATAAACTCAGCTCTTGTATTTTAAGGACTCCATGTATTGCAGATGTTATTGCAATAACTGCTGGTGACTGAGCTGTGGGACCCTCAGAGCTCCACTCTGAGCAGTCTGCCCCTCTCCCACCATCATCATCACCCACTGGGGTACGTTCCTCGGTCGGGGTTGTGAGATTTAGCTGCTATTTATGGACCGCCTCTCCTCTGGGTGTGGGGTCTACATGGTCAATGTCGTCTTTCTGGACCCCAGAGTCACATACTCTCCTCTGTTTATTCCCCCAGGAGATGTTCGCTGTTTCTAGGGCAGATTAGTCCCTCTGTGTCCAGGGACAGAGAGAGAGAGAGAGAGAGAGAGAGAGGAAGGAAACAGAGGGGTGGTTCCACCAGAAGGAGCCGGTTCAGAGATGTAATTGGTACCTTTCCTTTTTTAGCAAACATTTCTTACTTGTGGAGGTCCAGCAGAGCATGAGTCAGGGTGCAGCGTGCTCTGTAACCACACTCAGACACTCAGACACATGGTTGATCATACTTTCCCTTTGTAGTCCTCTCTTTGAAGAGGCTTTGAGTTTCCCTCTCTCTCTCTGATCCTCCATCTGGGATGCTGCTGTGATGTTAGCTACTGTTTATGTGCATTACCAAAGAGTGAAACAACCCTATAAAGAAAAAGAAAAGTCCTCATTAGTGAAGAGGTTGTGTTTTTTGACTTTCTCCTCATCCTGTTGTGCTAAAACAGTTAAGCTAACGCCGAGCAGACGGAGGTGTGTGGTCTTCGACTCGGTCTCTTCCCTTTTATTCTCCGTCCTACAGCTGTTTTCTTCCCCTATCTCTTGCCTTGTTTAGCTCAGGTGACGACTCTTCAAAGAGCTGGCAGGGGTTAACGAAAAGATGAGAGGGGAGAGAGAGAGAGAGAGAGAGAGATATGGTCGGCTGACTCAGACTCTGATAAACATCTTGGTCTAAACTGCAGGTGTGAAGTGAGAGGGACGAGGTAGAGACAAGACAGGTGAAGAAGAGGGAAAAAATCCTGTCAGATAACAGCCAGCTTTCTGCATCTTCAGCACTTCTGCTTTCACGTAGGTGTGAAAACTGTCAAACTACCAGGAAGTAAAACGTGTTTAAGCGTGTTAGCATAAAATAATAAACAAGTATCGCTCTTGAAACAGAGAAGATAGAGATCTGTAAGTTTAAAGTCTTTGGCCTGAAAAATCCACGTTTAATCCCCACAGCCCCTCTTCAGCAGATTAAAATCAGTCCATCAGTCAGATCAACGTTTTTAAAGCTCCTGTGAAGGACTTTTATCTTTTGTCAAATTTGGCGCCCCCTGTGGACAAAGCAGTGTTGGATTATATCATCCCCTTGATGCTTAAGTTTGGTATCTGGACTTAAATGTAGAGTGGAAAAAGTTATATTTTAAAGGACAATATCAGTTTCAGAAGCTAAAAGTTTTATTTAAGAATATTCCAGTGAGCTAGTGTTACATGTTTATCGCTGAGAATAAATCAAATATTGTGCCGAAGCTGTTCTAGGGCTGCACAATTTATGGATTTTCAATCACAAAAAGATTATTTCATTGTGAAGATATTAAAAAAAATTTAATGGTACGACTTCACAGTTTCAGATGAAGAGTAAACCACTCCCTGCTGCAAAGTCTGTCTGAAGGCGGTATCAACCCGTCACCATGGAAACAAATTCAGGAGGAAACGCTAAAGTTTTTTGTCGTATCGGCGTTTCAGGTGACTGTAAACAGTACTTTTTGAAAACGGGTCAGAGAGTGAATAAATCTGTAAACGACGACCATTTCATCTCCGTGTGGATGTCTATCTGCATCTCTGGAAACGATCATGTGACACACAGAGTAACTCTTTTATGCGCGTGTCTTTTGTCTTTTTCTTCTGTCTTTTGTGCATTTCCTGTGCAGCGTTACAGCGCCACTTACTGGCTCGGCATATGCACCACATCGTTTTCTGTGGTTTGGTTTTGAGAGATGATAGAACGCCTTTTTATTTTTTGTATAAAAAAGTTTGGTGAAGTTGTCACTGAATAAAAACATCAAAATCAAAAATTGAGCTTTCAAAGAGAAAAAAAAAATCGTGATTTCATTTTTGGCCAAAATCGTGCAGCAGCTCTACAACCAGGATGTAAACAAACACTTATGACAGATGGTTTGTTAGAGTTTAGACCAAAAAGCACAGATATAGTTGAGTCTAGACTGATGTATATCCATCATTGTGTGACCAACACAGACATGTAGATGTCAACCTGCAAGTCTGGAGGTGCTGACTCTGCTGATGTTGGTTAAATTTGACAAACTTATTGACTTTGTTTAAATTTCAGCCCAACTTTTCCCTAAATTTGTCTTGTACAATCAATAAAGGGCCTAAAAATAATGATTCAAAACCGTCTCTACTGAGGATCACAACAGTCTACATTTTAGACCAGACCTCTTGGATCAGGAGATAAAGTCCAGCACCTAAAGCCTCGCGCCAAAAACCAAGTCTTTAATAATAAAGATAGATTTCTGCAGTTTTACCTCTAGAAAAGAAAATTACTCTAAAACTTTTTTAACAACTACCTAAAAAAAAACGGAGAGAAAAATCAAAAACAGTGAGTGAGGAAGCATGTTTGTTGATGTGTGTATTCATGTGTGTGTGTTTGTGTGTGTGTGTGTCTGCCCAGGTTCAGCACCTGCAGCAACAATGGCTCTGAGCAGCTGTGTGATTGTGAAGCAGAGCTGAGCAGCAGCAGGACACCCGAGTGTGTTATTACGGTCACAGTCAGCTCCCTCTGAGTCCACAGGATTACTCCAGGACGCTTTGCTGCTCCACTTTTAATGACCGGTTGTGGCAAAAGATCAGTGGACACACAGTATAATTGTAAATGTTGTGGATGTTGTAATAAGGCAGAACCCAAAATAGCGTTTTTAGACCAGCGGCCGGGTAAACCAGCTCACATTTAGCTTCGCTGTGACCTCTTAGGAGAGGGAAACAGTTTCATGCAGGATCAGAAGAAGTTTTTGTTTCCCGTTGTAGATAAAAGTCTAAACACGACACATGGATACAATTAGAGGGCCAATTATGTCAAAATGAAACGACTTATCGGCTCTGACAAAGTGCAATAATTCGTGTTACTCATGCTGTTGTATAAAGTCGGCACGTGGACCGTGTTCGAGTTTAAAGGAACACCTGCTTGACCTTAAAAAGCTGCAGCCGTCCGTCTTCACTCGTCTCTGAGGTGCCCTGTTTTCCTGTCAGGATGGAGGATTTTCTGGGATGTGTTTGAGTCTGTAGCAGGAGGTGTCAGCAGTTTGTTCCAGTCCCGTAAAAAGCCCGGGGGCTGGAGAGGAAGCAGCTGCTGAGAAATGAACATGGGTTAGAAAGACAAGCCCACTTGAGTTTGACTTCCCTCAGGGAATGTTCCATTAATGCCCTGATAGATTTATGGGCCTCTTGACATTTGCACACTCTGTTTGGTCATTACAGTGAAAGTAAAGCAGGTGTAAGTCGGTGCGAGCGTTTTTATAAACAACTTGGAATAATCTCGTCTCCTCCAAGAAAACATATGTTTGGCTTGTTGAGTTTGGTAATGACTGCGATTTCTCAGAGTAATAAACTCCTTAAAATTCCATTTATATTTGCTCTGGCAAGATAAAACAGCACACAGGGTTCTCGGGCACCATTAAAAACCAGGACCTGGCAGCAGATCAGTCTGGATCATTTCAGGAGGTGAGACAATTATGTTGATCATGTTCCCTTCGACTCTGTTTATGTGTCTTCAGAGAGTCTTCTTTAAACAGTCTCTCTCTCTCTCTCTCTCTCTCTGTGTTGGCTCGCAGGAGCAGAAATTCTTGTGCTTTCCACAGGAACTCTGGGTAATATGACCAGCTTTGGAACAAGATAGCACAGATCACTGTCACCTTGTTAGCTACACAAGCGTCCCCCATACCAAAGCTAACACAAAGCTTATGTAAGGGGTTTGACGTTGAAGTGCTGGGGCTCTGCCTGCCTGTGTGTGTGTGTGTGTGTGTGTGTGTCAGTGGGTTCAGTGTTTTCATGTGCATGTGTACAGTATGTGTGTGTGTTTAATTTTCCATGGAGTCACTGCCCTTAAGTCTAGGATTTACCAACGGGTCTGGACCTGCTCTTCTCACTTCCAATACAGCCTCATGGGCTGCCAGTAATCCCTTGAGTACTGAGAGGGAAGGCGGGTGGGGCTGGCAGGGCGGGGGTGGACGAGGTGCTGCAGATAGATCAAAAATGTTGGTATGAAGTGCATCCCTCCAGGTACGGTGCCAAGATCCTGGCTTTGTGTCTGGGAATTCACGTCTTGGCTGAACCAGTGGAGAAGTCCAGCAGGGCTTGCTGCTCTTCTTCAGTCATCCAGAGTAAACAGGAATCCACCGCCTGCCCAGAAATAGACCACACGCACCTGGCACACGCCGCGCTTTTCCACTGCGAGATCGTTCTCTCTTCTCAAGTCGGACGGTCATCGCGAGGTGCACAACCTAGTTTCCTTCAATTTGCTGCAAGAGGCGTGACGTTTACTCTGCACACGCTGAGAGGGGTTGCATCAGTAAAGTACCGCTCGAGACGCTTCACAGCAGATTCATAATCTTCGAGTGAAAAAGTCAACAGATGGAGTTGGAGGGAAGTGGAGGCCTGCTGTGTTTGGTTTGTATGAAACTGCAGCAGCTGAACGTACAATTTTAAAGTCATTTAGACATATTAACAGCACCGTCCTCACTCTACGACCAAACCCTTTTACTCTCTGTTGGCGTAAAGAACAAAACTCAAACGACGAGTTTTTTATGTGTGGCACTAGGGATAGGCGATAAATTATCGTTAATGATATATCGTCAGAAAAATCCTCCATGATAAATATTTGCCATCTCACGATAGATACGATAAATGCAAGTTGATGACAGAAGCGCGAGCGACGAATTTGCAGCCGTAGACCACACAGATCAGAACAACAAAAGACGTTAAGACGTTTCTGAGCAGCTTGTTACTGAGCGAGGCTCCACATCAGGGATTTCCTTTAAGATTGGGGTTTAGACGAGCGCAGTCAGGTCTGCCTGACATCAGACAGAGGATCTGCTGCTGCTGTTCTCTCTGTGCAATAAGAGTTTTTCAATAAATGTTTGAATTTTTTTTACATTTGAGACTTCTTTGATGTCATTAGTTTTCTTCATAACCTACCACTCAAACTTGTGGTTAAGTATCTTATTTGATTACTCCAACTGGTGTTCTTGAGACAAAATGAGTCAAAAATATAGATTAGAATTATAATATTTTTTAGCAGGACTTTTATCGTAATCACCAGAATGGCTAATCTTATCGTGGTAAATTTTTCTAGCCCATATCGCCCATCCCTATGAGGCAGCAATCATGTCCAAAACACGCTCGGCTTTGCTCCTGACGTAAAAGGCTCGCTCCTTTACTGTAATTAAAACTCACACTAACACACATACATGCACCGACAAGTAAAATACACACATCCGGCAACACAACACAGCTTTCTGACAAGTGGAAACATCTCGTGTGTTTTTATACGGCTCTGAAAAATCTTCCACTCTGATGCCATAATTTAACATAGATGTTTATTTCAAAATTTTAAATATTTACAAAAGCTAAATTAAAAAAAATGTAAGTGCACTATGAGAAATATGCTGGACTGTCAAAAGTGTACGGTTTTGCTCCTAAAACAAACAACAGAAGCTGAATTCATGTTTCGAGTCGTGCAAAAAGCGTCACACTTCAGATGAAAAAAGTAGAAACAAAACTGCTCCTAATTTTCTACGGCAACAAAAGAGGAACAGAAAAAAAACAACATCAAATGTGTGTAATGATGAGTCTGAGTGGCTTCCTTTTAAACCGTCACCACAACAACAACCGCCACATACCCTGACCCACGCTACCTAGAGACGACAGGCTGGCTGTAAATCCACAGTCTGAGAAAAACATGGTGTCATCACTCTCACAAACGCAGATATTACTCACAGCTTTGGCAGCACAGGCGGTTTCATGAGGACAAGCTGACATTCAGTTATTAACACAAACAAAGCAACAATAAAGTGTTGTATAAATCATGTGGGCTGAAAAACAAACAGATGGACGGTTCCCGTGAAATGTGGCAGAAAACGCCGGCCTCTCAGTCTGAGGGAGTTTCCGCAGGTCGGACTGTCCCTGCGGTCTCCTCCTGTCCTTTACTCTCAGGTGTTACTCTCTCCAAAAACACCTGAGCATTATCTCCAGGAAAACCCCAACAACCACTTAGCACCTGTAACTATGACCTTTCCAGGAAGACGATGATGATGATGATGATGGGAAAACAAAACAATGCCCTTGACAGTCTTCATCCATTCAGGTCGTTTTGGTCCTTGAGTCCTTTGGCGTATCTCTGCTTTTTACACGTCAAACTTTCAAACATGTTAATTACAAATCTGTCCCTCCAACAAATAAGTTAATTCATTTCAAGACAGATATTTTTACTACCTTATGAAAAATATGTACAAAATATGATCTACATTATCTATTCAAAGAAGTTCATGGTTCGATGTGCGTTCAACACGATAATGGAAGAGGAAACGTCGAGCCCAAAGTTCCTGCTGACTTTACATATTTCCCCTCTCCACATGATTGTTGTCCTCGTTATCTCTCTGCGGTCCCAAACATAACTCGTCCATCTCGGTGCATTTTTGAGCAGACGCCATGTTGGATTTTTAGCTACACTTGCAGGACTTGACGATCATGTTGGACAGCTGCTCCACCTGAAAGAGAAAGTCAACAGAAACAGGGTCAACAACCTGAGAGTGTTGCTCTCAAAGCAAACATTCCACCTCACTTGGCCGCCGTATCCATACCTTGTGTTGCCGGCCCACGTAGTAAAGGATTGGCAGAGGCTCCAGGGCCTGAGGGACACAGCAGGGCTGAGCGGAGGCTCCCGGGTTGTGATGCTTGTACAAGGCCAAAATCTGTAAACAATTATACGAGGCGAAGCTTGAGAAAAGAGAACCGCTCCAAACTTTATTTCCAACATGACATGAGCCAAAGCAATTCAAGAACCCAGGGGCCAACGCAGTTATGTAACCAAAGTGCTGTTATTAAAATCTAGTTAACACAAAGTGAAGCCTCTCGAACCCTCCTCATGGTCTCAGTGTGTCCCTGTGTTCAAGTTTGGTCAGGTTCTATTGCTGCGATCCTGTTACCTCAGAAGTCGGATGTCAGAGCTGGGAATGACGTTACACCTGAGTTGACAGCGTTCCAGTAAACAAGTCAAAAAACCAGGATGGAAGCCTACAGTTACCCATTGTTAGGTTTTGTTTATAATTGTCAGCTGTGGTTGGCTGTTATCAGCTGTTGTTAAACATTGTCAGCTGTTTTTAGTTGTTGTTAGCTATACCAGTTGTAAACACCATAGCACCGTGTTCACAGTTAGACGTTGGGCAGTACAACATAAACCACTTCTTTCATTTCACAAAAACAGAAGTGGTGATAAATAATACATTACAAGAGCTTTCACTGTTACTCTTTACTGTAGATGCACTGCGCCGCCATCTTGAATTATGAGGTTGTCGTCAAGTTGGGTTGACAAAGATCTTACGACTTTCCGAGTCGGAAATCTGACTTCAGGGGGGCGTACCAGATGAATTTCTGACTCTGAGCTCGGAAATTCCAACTTCTGAGTACAACTGGACCGCAGAATAACTTGATGATCAGGGAACTGGGTTGGACTTGTGGTTAAGTGCACCTAGGGGCTCTTGAAAGTGACCTGAAGCACTTTACTACGAGTCATTGACCACTGTCTACTGCTCTGTCCACTGTCCTACCCTCTAAATTAAAAAAGCCTAATAATAATCAAGTTAAAATAAAGAACAATGTAGAAAATAACAGCAGCTGTGTTTTCTTCTTATTCAATCAGCTCTATAACATTTAATGTCATAATTTGTTGTTAGTTTTCTTCAATTTAGTTGATGTCTCTTTCACTCTTTTGACACCCCTTGCTAATTTCTGTGCCAGTTCCTCTTGTCTTTCAAACACTAACCCCCAATCAAGTGTTCAGTGCTCTCTCAATAATCGAGGGTCATATTGATTCTATCAGAAATTGACATTTTTGTCAGATGAAATCATAGAAATAGAACTCTAGATACTTCATTGCTCCTTTGATATTCAGGAATAATGACCATTTGGACCAATTGGCATCGGTTATCAGACACAGCCTGTTGACTGTAAAGAAAGATAAGTCTGGGTGAAAGTAGTGATATGTAGGATATGATTTTTAACATTATCAAGGTTAGGTGTGATACATAGACTAATACTGAAAAGTGAAATTATAATTAGTAATTTTTGTTTATCTGCTGTTTTTTCATGTTTTACTCACGAGTCCAAAAGCAGTTTTTCTCTGCACTGAAATATTTGATATTAGTTAATCTGACTATTGATAAAAGCCTGTTAATCTTTCACAGGGACCCTCTAACATTTATAAATGTGTTTTTAGAGTCAATAAAATTCAAAACTTTCACCCCGAGTTAGAATTGACAACATTATTCTCTGTTTGAGGTGTTTTATCATACCTGAGAGTATTTGTTTTCAGCACTCCAGATGTAGGTGCAGGATCCCATACAGTAGTTAGCATGATAGCCGGTGGGTTTGTGGATCCACTTCCAGCCCAGATCTTTCCTGAAGTCAATGTAGAGGCTCCGCACGCAGCAGGTCTCTGTCTGACTGCTGGTGAGAAAACATCGAATCAACTTCTCAAGTTTCACAAGAAGGGTTTTCAGAGATTTTCTCGATAGTGTTTGTCCTCCACCTTTCAAAACAAGAGCCTAAAATTGACTCTAAAACCTGTTAAGATGTTGTCGATAATAGAACTGTGATTACAGACTGAGTTTCTTACGCTGTGCAGGTGTCCTTGGTATCCGTGGATCGTTTTTTGCGTGTGCTGAGGTGGCTGCTCGTGTTCTGAGGGATGGACATGGTCAGGATGTACGGCGGTTGTTGTGTCAACATCTTTAACGTTGCTAAGTCGCTCCTGTCGGTCGCTATGCCAGAGATGTCGAAGTTGAATCTGACGTCGGTGGTAGTCTGGCTGCATTCACAGAACAGGCGAAGCTGGAAACCCTGCTGGTCGTCTGATGATGAGACAGAAAATTTTGACATTTAGCGAATTGAAACGGGTCTGCTGTTTGATTTGAGATGGTCAACGTCATCTATGGTCATCTTACCGCTTCCTTTCAGCCACTCCTGCAGAGTCTCTGTGACGTCGAAGGACACCCACGTGCCTTTCAACTTGTTGGTGATGAAGCGAGAAGAGAGATAGCGAGCTGAGGTTCCCAAACCTTTGTAGAGCTCCACTCTCTGCTCGCCATTGATGTTGGTGTTCTCGATGCGCATCCTGAGCTCTGCGCTGGTCAGCAGGTTGTAGTCCCCAACGCTCTGCCGGATCTCAGCGATGTTGAATAACATGGGGATGTTTTTGGACTTTTTGGTGTCTGTGCCATTTGTGCCTGTGAGTCAAAGTAAAAGGAGATAAAAGGTTTATCATGGGCGGGAGAGTAAAAGGTAAACCTGTGTGGTCTTCCTCCCCTCCTCAGGCTGTTTTTCTGATTTTAAACCAGGTTTGATCAGAGGTTAGTTTACGGAGGATAAGTCTCTGGGATAAGAAATCAGTTTTTGTTTCAGCTCTGGGGACTACTTGGCAGACCACAATTTCAGTCTTTGGAGCTCCTCACTGTGATGCCAAACCCCGGGCTCTGGGTAGACAACTTTCACAGATACAATCCTCACAGTCTGTGGATATAAATCTTTGTGAAATCAGCAAACATGGGGATTTCTGCGACCGTTTTTAGCCAACATTCGCTGATCATGGAGGTCTGACCTTTCTGATGATGGATTTGTTCGCACTAATCTGTATCTCCAGCCTCATAGATGATCCAGATCTCTTCCTTCCCGTTAGACTCAAGGGGTGGGAATACCTAGTGGGCCCCAAAATACGATATTATCACAATACTTGGGCCACGATACGATATTATCACGATACTTGGGCCACGATACAATATTATCACGATACTTGGGCCACGATACAATATTATCACGATACTTGGGCCACAATATGATATTATCACGATATGATATTATCACGATACTTGTGCCACGATATGATATTATCCCGATACTTGGGCCACGATATGATATTATCACGATACTTGGGCCACGATATGATATTATCACGATACTTGGGCCACGATATGATATTATCACGATACTTGGGCCACGATATGATATTATCACGATACTTGGGCCACAATATGATATTATCACGATATGATATTATCACAATACTTGGGCCACGATATGATATTATCACGATACTTGTGCCACGATATTATTATCACGATACTTGGGCCACGATATGATATTATCACGATACTTGGGCCACGATATGATATTATCACGATACTTGGGCCACAATATGATATTATCACGATATGATATTATCACGATACTTGTGCCACAATACGATGTTATTGCAATTTCTAACATTTTGCAATACAGTGAGTATTACAATACCATTTTCCATACATTTGTTTAGCTAATTCAGCATTTGTCTTTCCTTTATGTTTTTTTATTTACACTGTATTTTATTCACATGTAGCACATCTTGCTAACCTTATAAATATATTGGTCGTACTAACTTTCACCTTCTCTATAATGTCACCTCTGCCAAACTCACTGGACAATCAGTTGATTTTATTTTTCCATTATCATAGATTTAAATGAGATGATAGCAATACCACGCTGTATTGATTTTTTTCTCCCACCCCTGTTAGACTCTGACCTTAACTTTATGGCACCTCCGTGTCAACGTTAATATCAGTGTTGTCATTGAGTCACCGTAAGTGTGGACACAGGATAAGTCAGTGACGAAGAATCCAGAGTTGAGTCCCGGTCCCTGAGTCCAGTCCTCATTATTCATAGTGTTTTTTTCATCGACTGTAAAAACTTGTGATTTGTGGCGCCTCTTTCTTTATCTTGTTTCAGACCAAAACAGGCAAACACAGAAGCTAGCCCTCAACTGAAAAACTAACAAAAACACTGAGTCAGTCTTTATCAGTAAGTCAGTCTGAGTCCTCCTGTCATCCTCCGAGTACAAATGCAGACAAAGTCCGGGTCCCAGTCTGAGTCATCAGTGCCGAGTCCAAAGCCAGGGCTCCAGTACTACAAAGACGGGCTAAAATTAATCCAAATACTCCTTCAGATCCACAACAAAACCTAATCCTTTTTATTGTTGCTCTGCAGCTCTTTCATATGAGACAAGATAATATCATTATTGTGTAAAACTAACACAACAGAGGATGAGGAAAAAAAGGAAATTACTAAATAATTACAGGAAAAACAGTTTGATTCATTTGCTGCTTCATAATTTACTCCTAATTCATTTTGGGGACATTTATAATTATATTGTCATGTGGTGCACAAAGCTTTTTATTATTGAGACTTTTTTCTTTTATAAATGAACTTCATCAAAAGTTTTTTTTTTTTTTCAGAAACATGTTTTTTATGTAATTTCGTAACAACTTTCACAGCGTTGCTCAATAATACCAAACTCCAGCCAAACCTCCATCCATTCCAGCTGCTGTAAAACCGACTGTAATAAAGAGAGTTTTGTTTTCCTGCCATCTTTTGCAGCTTTGATTCCTGAGCTCCCCCGTATCATGAGAACAGGAACATTTCCCTCGCAGAGCATGATAGAAACCAGAGCCGAGCTTCCGAAGGCTTAACACCATAAATCTAGCGGCGTTACATTACACAGGATTAAGTTAGACCGAGACATGCGAAGATAAGAGAAAACACGACAGTGGAGTGAGAGAGAGAGGGCGTTGTGGGGTGCAGGACGGGGGCTTTTAACGGGATAACAGAAAAGTGAAGAATGCGCTCATGAATAAAAGTCACAGAGGTGGGAGGATGTGGGGGGCGTTACAGAGAAATTGGAGATGTGTATGAATGGATCCTGGGCCTGGCCCCGGTCCAAACCTTCTACTCTGCCTGAGCCTGCCAGAGCCGGGATTCTCCGCTCTCTAGTCCAGGAATTACTCCCTGACAGCAGCTAGAGCCCGGCCTCGCATACTTGAGCTGCATAGTTGATCTAGGCTGTACCAGGATCTTCTATGTCACTGCTGCCTGTGTATCACGTACCGCTATCACCATCTGCGCTCTTACATAGGTAGTGTTTCACCCGCTGCAGTGACGCTAAACTGAAACTGAAAAGGGCTGGTGTGTGTGGAGTGCAAAGGGAAATGAGATGACATTTTACCGGTCCCACCCAGGGCAGAGTGGAGCGTAGAGTTGTGAGAGCATGAATAGAAACACAGAGAGCATCAGGACAGAGTACAGTACGAAGGAGGAGAGGTGAACTGCCAAGCATGAACCAGGCAACGCCAAGCACGGAAAGTCATCCTCCCTCCCAGAGTCATGTAAGATAAATGTGTGAAGGGTTAGAGAAGTGTTTACGAAACAGGAAATCATGTCAGTTCCCCATGAAGTGTATTGGCTGCAGCACAATAATCACAGTGAAGCCGATTCTTCATTTCTCCTTTCAGATGAACACAGCTTGGACTGTTTTCGGAGGTTTTTCACAGGACTGCTGTAACTGTAACTTCTGTTCCTGATGCTCGGTCCAGAAAAGGGAAGATAGCACCCCAGTCTGTGTACTCACATGGGTGTGGGGGGGGATTTGTGTGTTGAATCAGGTAAGCCCGGGCCAGCTGTTGTGACAGGTAGGGAGACAGCTCTGTAATTACCAGTGGGAGGAACCAGATTCCTGCAACAGGCTAAATACCTGCCTCCTTCATACGCTCAGCTCAGCCCACTCGTCCATGTCTCATTTCCCCACACCACACAGACCGTCCACACTCCTGTATGTGAGGTAGTGGCAGCTCCATGCTGGACACAATAATTATCCCCGAGCAGTGTATTAATTCTGAATGGAGCGCAGTAGAGAGGCGAGTTTCTGGTGGAGGAAAGTATTTCCTCTGTAAACAGGCTGAATTACAGTTGGAGCTGGACCAGGTTAAATTGGAGAGGTGGATTTATGTGGGTTTAAAGGAAGGGATAAAGCAGCTAACTGAAGGAATTTAGTCTAATTCAGCACACAATTATCACGATGGAGACGAAAACTATTAAGGCTTCTTAAAATGCTCGGCACACAAGTATGCATCCCTGTAGGCGACTGCCAGGTACGAGGAAAGTGTGATTCAAACAATGAAAGAACCGCAAACTGGCGTTACGAGGAGGGTTGGTCATGAATACGAGAATTAGACTCGTTCTCTTCTTGGACTCTGTTATAATTACATTATTTAAACATGGACTTGTGTGGTTTACAGTCAGAGGAAAACACAAATGAAGTGTCTCCTGCTGGTAGTTGCCAAAAGTTCCTGCTCAGCCTGCGTTTAAACTTTTCAGTCCACGTTTTTAAGTGTGTTGATGGTGGCTCTGTGTAAAGAGTGGATATTATCTCTTTAGAAAGCTTTATAATGTCTTCTTGAATGCTTTGTGGTAGGGCTGGGCGATATGTCCTCAAATCATTATCAGGATATATTGATCAGTTCACCTCGATAACAATAAATGGACGAAAACTACTCCACAAACTGCTCACCCACTCCCACATTAACTTCGTCTACTTCAGCCGCTCCAACTTTTGAACCGTCCTCCATCTCCTCACCTGTCTTTACCTCTTTGTTATGGACTGGAGTCACGTCTCTGATGTAGGACAGCGTCTTAAAGGGACATGAGACCATAGCCTACCTACACACATCCAAAAACAACTTTGATTGATTTATTTTTTTGACACCAAATATATCGACATGGGCAGAATGATGTCAGTTATTGCCGTAAATTTTCGGTTTATCCTCCAGCTCTACTTTATATAATTTAAAGCTCAACTTCGTTCCTCATCCTTGGCTGCTGACCTTCGTCTGAGCCTCAGTCTCAGAGCTCTCTGGAAGCCTCCCCCACTGTTGCCTAAGGCGACTATAGTCTGAATCCCCAAAAAGAGGACGCTACTATGCGGGTCGGAGTCATACACAACATTTTGAGGGTTTTTCACATCGGGTCGAGTATTTTTTACAAACTTCTAACTCGGTTAGTCCACACGACACAAACTCAAAACTTCCATACAGAACCCTGGACATTTGAAGGATTTTACAACGCCCCCTGGACAGGCTGGACAGCCCCTAAAAAACAGGACATGTCCAGGTGAAAGAGGTCGTATGGTCACCCTCCTGTTGCCATACGACCACATTATGAAGAATGAAGTATCTCGCAGATCTCAGGTGGCTATTTTTTGTACAAACTTGTTGGAGACACTTTTATTTCCATCCCCAGACTTCTCTAACACACACACACATATCTCACAATGTGAACATGTTGCTTGTGTTTAATGTTGACATCCAATAATTAACTTCATACTTTGTTTAAAACACGAGAAGCATAACAGCATGAGTGCTGAGACGGGATGGTTCTCTTTGCTCGCATACCACAGACGTAGGAAACACATGCTCCCCATGGGCACAGCTTGCACCGGACCTGAGTCACTCAAGATCTCAGTGGCTATCAGCCTGCTTTCCTTCCTGCCAAGCTGCCCCGTCACAAACATGCTGCAGGCACGCTGATAATCAGCTCAGGAAGAGGAGCGAGAGGAAAGGAGACAGAGGCTGAAGGAGGTCTGAGATGAAATTAAGATTCAAACTCCTGTGACAGGAAGAAAGAGACACCATGGCGACGAACGAGTGACAGGATAAACGAGGGAGAACCCGGTACTCGAGTTACAGGAAACCCCCAATCCCTGAGGGCCAGAGAGAGAGAAAATGAAAGAGAGAAGGAGACAGAGTCAGGGTGAAAGAGTGCATGTCATGTCCTCTCTCATCTCACTTTTCCTCCTGTTCTTTGGTTTTCATGTAAGCACCACAAAAACCTGCCCGCTCCTTTTGTTCTGGTTTTGGTCTGCACACTCCTGAGCCTGGTCCGTTCACTCATGCTTGTCTTTTGAAGTGGTGGATGAAAAGAGGTATAGTGTGGATGCCTGCCTGATGGGGTGATGAGTATAGACTTGTAGAGAACAATGGAGCAAAGAAAACCAAACTACAAAAATCTGTTTATCATAACAGTTTGGGAGTCGTTGCACAATTACAGCCAAAACCCATTTGGCTGTACAAACAGCATATGCATGCTGGCCAAACAAACAGTGCTAATAAGGCCGTAAAAATGCCATGGATACCAGGAAGGCAACACTGAGCATCAGGCCAGATGCAAAGAACCGTTCTGCTAACAAGGAACGCCTGTGATCTCTGAACTCCTCCACTTGCCGGAAGATGTTGGGAGGAGATCAGAAGAGGTGCACATGTTCGGGGAATTTATGGACGAGACTGGAATCGACACCAGCCATCAGGCACATGCTTCATCTGGGTCTTAGCCAGAGTCTCGGCCCATCTTTGAAAGTTTTTAGAGTTGAAGTTTGGCACAGGTACGGATACCTGCTTCAACAGTAAAGGACATCATGTCTTTATATAAGAGTGAAAAAGGAAACCTCCGCTTCTCCAGGGTCTGTGCTGCTCTGTGTGTTTAAATGTCAGTAAGTGTAGAAGTATCAATGACAGTCCTTTTATTACAGGACATTTACAGCGCTGTAGATCTTTGAACAGTGGGTGTCTCTGAGCAGAAGCTGAAGTTCTGTTGGGTTTTCTGGTACTTACCGGTCATGTTGAACTTGTGCAGCACCTTGGCGAAGTACTCCTCCTCCTCCTGCTCGGTGGAGATGTTAGTCTGGACCTCGGCCTGCTGTTCCTTCAGCATCTCCTTGGTGCTGTTGTAGAGCGACAGCAGGGTGCTGGGGATGTCCTCCTCGTCTGGGTCCTGGTCCTGCGCCGGCTCTTTGGGCAAACGCAGTTTACTGAGAATCTGGCTCCTGATGGCTTCGATGCGCTTCTTCTTCACCATCTCCAGGTCCAGTGTCTTACATGTTGACATACTACTTACATGGCCCAGTGTGTAGACCACCACGAGGAGCAGCAACACCAGCTTCATGGTGCCGACCTGTCTGTTTGCACACACTTGTCCTCTCTGGTTCTGAGCAAATCCTCCCTCACCTTTCCTTCACTGCCAGCCTCGGCGGACAGGGGACGCTTAGTGAGCGGTGAATCACTCAATGGAGAGGTGTTGGTGACGCGAGGTGTTTACACACGGCAGAACAATTAAAGCAGTGTGGAGAGTCCTGGGAGTTCAGGGCTGCTGCTGCTGGTGCTGGTGCTGCGAAAACCACCTAACAACACGTGTGTCCCCTTTGCAGAGAAGCAGGTGGAGAGACAGACGGGGGAAAGATGAGCCAGCCTCTGACTCAGCCTCACAGGTAACACAATGACGTCTCAGATGCTAAAGTGAGTCCAAAGTGGAGCTGTCAAAAGTCAACAGAGACCTGCACAGAAACAGCGCCCTCAGGGGACCTCAGCAGAACGGCTTCTGGACCCGACAGGATTTCAAGCCTCCACCTGCGTTATTAAATCATTATTTACTGTAATTGACGCAGGTTTATATTTGCCTCCACGTGTCGGCCGTATTGCTCACCAGGCAGGCTCTCTTTTTTTCATGCCCCCAGAGAAGAGCGAGTGTGGAGGGAGCTCTGTAACACTCAGCAAAACCAGGAGCAGTGCTGGCAGAGCTTCACTGAACTAAGATCTGAGTCTCCGGATTTTCAGCTGATCTAGCTCTCTGTCTGTCTGATCTACAAGGTCTAATCATGAAAGACTGTTCAGGACAGAGATGTCAAATCAGCTCTCTGTTCAAGTCTCTGAGGACGAGGAAATTGCAACGATAAGTCCTGAGTGCTAAGTGGAAGAAAATGGCCTTCCTATTTCTCTGTTTTTGAAGTTTGATCAGATGACCTTCAGCTTCCTTTACAGTCCAGATAAAAACTCTCAAGGGTCCCAGTGTTGATCAAAAGTCCTCTGAGCTTGGACTGAGAGTCTGATGGAGTCTATAAACTACAGTAGTCACAGTTCTGTGCGGTAAGTCATTCAGAAATGAGCCCAGAGGAAAACATCTGATCAGATTAAGACTCTCCACGCTCTCCACTACCTCTTTTTGAAACAACAGCATGTGATCTGTGTGAGGCTGCAGCTGACAAAAACACAGTTTAACACTTCTTCACAAACTTCACGGCTTCATCCTCAGACACGACAACATGACAACCTTACCCTCTGAGAGGACGACAGCCAAAGCAGGGATGTTGTCAGGAGATCAAACCAAAACTAAACTCTCCTTCTGTCAGTCAGTCAAACAAACCGTGTCCTCCTGTGACTAAAGCGCTGCACACCTTCTCCTCAAAGAGCGTAACATCCACAAACAGCAGCAGCAGCAGGAGTGGCGGTCTTTCTCAGGGATTCAGATTGAAGCGGTCTCTCTGTGTCTGTCCATCCATCGGTTTCACCTCCTTTATGCCCTCACAAGCCCCTTCCCACCTCCTTCTTGAAGTCTTCTGACACGACTCCCTCTTCACACCTCGATTTAACTCGCCGTCTCTCGTCTCTCTCCCTGAGCTCTCCCTCTTTTCTGCTGCTTGTCAGAGCTTGCTGGTGACAAAGTGATTTGTGGGAGATCTGCTAACTTTTCTCCTGCTCTCACTCGCTCTGCCCCCCTCTCTCTCTCTCTCTCGCTCTCTCTCTCTCTCTTCTTTTTTTCTGGTTCCTGTTGCTTGTCTAATAGAGCGAGGAGCTCTCCGCCCAGGAAATGAGGGTAACGGCTGCAGTGTAAAACATCTGCTGTTTAACAGAGCTCTGCTGCCTGCCCTCTGTCCACATCAGGAAGCCAAGAGCTGAACATGCTGAATATCTGTCTTCAGAGGCACCAGCTCTCTCTCTCTCTCTCTCTCTCTCTCTCACACACACACACTCTCTGGCCTGTCTGACACTGAGGCCACGATGACTGACATGTCAACAAGCCATGCAAGGCGCCAAGGTCTCGCCAAACTGACAGCCAGATTTACCCAGTGGCTGTGGAGGTAAAGACCAGCCAGGCCCAAAAGACCGGAGACACAGGCAGCAGGTCTAAAAGTAGACCAGTGTCAGAGCCAACAACAAGCCGGGACTGCCACGGGTCTGGGTGCTCTTTAGAGGCCGGCTTGTGTATTTTCAAAAGGAAGGCTAGACTTAAACAAACTTGTGATGGTTTCATTTTGTCTGTCTGAGGGATGAATCAACGGGGAAGTTACCGATGCAAATTAGAAAAGTACAGAGCTGGGAATTTTTAGGTTCTGTCCAAACTTGATCCCTGTGTTTGTCTATTGTCTGTTATTTAATGTCACAGCTTTAAGAATGAGCCCTTCATCAAACAGCGACAGGTTTGGTGACATTTAACATGAGAAAGGCTGAGTCAAAAATCCCCCAGATTACCGAGAGTAAGAAAAGCAAACAACAGCCTCTCATTGAGGAGAATACAGATGAGCGTAAACTCCCTTATCTGCTGATTACAGCGAACGATGAGAGGATGAGATTAAAGTGAGAAGGCCTTTAAACATCAGCCACTCTTACTGCTACTGTTACATGTCCTGTTGTGCTTCTTTATCAGTTTTGATGGGTGTGCACTGCCACCTAGTGGTTAATTCTGGCACAATAACAAGTGTGGGACAGAGGCCTTAGGGTTTTCTTCCTAACAACATATAAACTGTATTATTCAGTGAACTCCTCAGACCATCATAGCAGAGATGTTTATGGATAAGTGGAGGGTGTGATTATACGTAATAACTGAACTCCTCCGGCTGTTCTCAGTCTGTGAGGTGGAAGAACAACAGCAGGAGACAATGGCCTCTTTCACTGTTTAAATAACAAAGATAGACCCGCTTACACAACTGAAGGCATCTGAAAACCATGAGACAAAGACAACATCAAAGCTGTAAACAGGGGAAACCACCGAAGACACACACTGTGGTAAATTCTGCTACACAAGCGTTTTTGTGGAGCACACAAAGCCTGATTCTCTCTTCATGTTTGGCCCCAGTGTCTCCAGTCTACGTTGGTCTTTAAACACACTCAACAAAACGACCTCTCTGCTTTACCGACCTCCAACAGCCAAGTCCAACATGGGGCATTTCATACCCACCACCGCAAGGCTTCAGTGCCAGCACCTGAGGGTGTGTTGGTGTGTCTCTGAGCACATGAGTGCAACACAGTCTGCTTTCCCATCATTCACACCGAGGTCCTAAATGATTTCTCTGGGTGATTGTACCGAGGATCACATGGAGCTGTGGCAAACCCCAGAGTATCTGAGCCAGGCGAGCAAGAGAGAGACAGAAATCACAGTCAGCAGAGAGAACAGATAGACTGTAAATCAAGAAACCACATCAGACTCGGTCCTCCTAACATGTCAGAAATGTGCCAGAGTAACATGACTCTGTAGCTTCTTTCAGTTTGTGTATCAACAACCTAATTTTGGTGGAGAGTAACAAAGTAAATTCACCTCAGTACTGTATTCAAGTATACTGTATGCTTTGGGTACTTTTTACTGCCTTACTTAGTTCAAGCTGACACTCAAATTTAATGATATACAAAACGGGACAGTGTTGTCCATGGTGGTCTTTGTTTCTTTTGGATATCATAAAAAATCAAACCAATCAACTCAAATAGGATCCGTAATTCATAAACGTTGAACAAAATCCTTACCGGAGCTTTAAAAGTGAATTCTCATGTACTTTGATGAAAGTAAGCTGATAATTAAACACAAGAACTTTCACTAATACTTACATGTCCATGTGTATCTGAAAACATAATTCTCATGTGTGTTCACATGGCTCAGAGGATTAGAACACTGACTCAGACTCCTGAGGTCGTGGGTTCGAGTCTTACCTTACCCGGGTCAAGGTTAAGTTTAAAGTCTAGTGTCTACAAAAGACAGTGAAATAGGCCAAAAACATGTTTGTCCTGTGTGCTTACATGGCTCAGGGGATAAGGAGACTGACTGGGACTCCTGAGGTTGTGGGTTCGAACCTTATCCAGGATGACTTTTAAAGTCCAGGAGCCGAAGTACCAAGATAAAAGCACGCAGAGCTGTGGTAGACAACTAACACCCTAATGCGAGCTATGTGGTCTGGTTGGAAACCCGCTCCTGGTTCGAAACCCGCTCTGCACAAAGGAGATCCTGAAGCAAATCCTGGGGAACCAGGCCCAGGGGGATGGGGTTACCCCCTGGTGTTTTCAGAGAGGTGAAATGGAGGGGTATGTGACAGGAAGTCAGAGGTGGCTGAAGTTTAGAGGAGTGGTGGGTAGATGGGAAGATAGGGGGGACCTCTACAGCCTAGTCATCCATACAGGGATGTGTGGATGACCAGGCTGTAGAGGATCAAAATTTCATGGCTTATATCAGCTGTTTTTCTGTTTGCCGAAATATGCATCCACCTGTTTATTAGCTATTGAGACAACAAGACATATTTTGGAAATATTACACCAGGAAAGTCCACCCATTCTTGGGGAAGGTCCCAGAGAGTCAGTCTTTATGGGTGGATGCATTTCTCAGCAATACTGATGTCTGTAGGTATGTTAGTAGATTTCTCATCCAAAGAAGTCAAAGTGAAGCTGCACAGTTTTTTGTTTTGTTTTAACAATAAACTAATCTCTACATCCTAACTCTCAGCATGTTTTTGGTCTTCATGTTTTATAAATGGAACAAACAGGGTTAGGGATGAAGCTGAAAACAGAGTTTTCAGTCCAGATCATGAAGCGTTTGTGGGACTTTGGACTCAAACGGTTGAGTGAAAGTTAAAGAAACGTGACTTTAGCATGTTTCCTAACTGTGTCACTGCGTGTTCACCTCGTCTGTCGTCCGGCCGTTGCCTTGGCAACAGCGCATGTGTATTCTAGTGCGTAGTTTAACTTCCGTAGCCAGCTTTGTGAATCGGTGTCCTGAGCGTTTGTCCGGCTGTTGGTGCTTTTTCTGCGCACTTTCAGAGAGGTAAGTTAGGAGTCGAGAGAAGTCCTGTTGTTGTTTTTCTTTGTGACTGAAAATACGAGAATTATTTTAATCTGACTCAAAATAAAGACTCACGTCGAGTTCGTGGACGGTGGCGGAGAAGGGGAAACAAGCCGAGGGCGTTACCAAGGTAGCGAGGACGCGGAGGACGAGAGGACGAGAGGAGAGGGTCAAAGGAGCGACAGACACAGACCTCTGAAGTCTTACTGTGAATATATCCACGCCTGACTCATGAACTGACGCTTTGGAGGACTAATGTAAGCTTCTTTACAAGCTAACATGTAGTCTGGAGACTGTTGGTGGACTTGTAGGACCTGCAGACTCGCTGATGACTTGTAGATGAAGACTCGGTTCTGTTCTGGACAGGTGAGACATGTTGTTCTGACTCTGATTGGGTTGTTGTTGTCTGCAAACATTATAGACTACATCGTTTCTGTGGAAGACAGGACTTGAAACCTCAGAGGACATGAGTTTATGTTCCTGTGAGTCTGTGATCATTAATTTTCCTTTTTTTTGTGACAGACCTCAACAGAGTGATGGAAAAATATGAGAAGCTGGCCAAAATCGGTGAGGGCTCCTACGGCGTGGTGTTCAAATGCAGACACAAAGACACCGGACAGATAGTCGCCATCAAGAAGTTTGTGGAGTCTGAAGATGACCCTGTAATCAAGAAGATAGCATTGAGAGAAATACGCATGCTGAAGGTGAGAAGACATTAGTATCACCGGATCGTATCAGGTGTGCTCACATGTAACGCCACACACAGGTACAGGTGCACCTTCAGAGTTATTAAATACATGCTTTCACGAAGGATAACAAGGATCTATCATTAGGTTAGAAATGAATTTTAATTTTGTTGTGCACAAAACTCAGAATAAAGCAGTTATGAAAGGCCCTGCAAAAAAAAGGTATGTTTTAATGAAATTCTAATGTACAAGAGGTAAACTGAAGCTATACCAGAAACAGCAACAGTTGTCAGTAATAAAGATTTCAGCTGACACCTCGTCCATGATGTGTGTCGGCCCTGCAGCAGCTGAAACACGTGAATCTGGTCAACCTGCTCGAGGTCTTCAGGAGAAAACGACGTCTTCATCTCGTGTTTGAGTTCTGTGAGCAGACCGTACTCAATGAGCTGGACCGACACCCCCGAGGGTAAGTCAGAGTGTCTGCTGCTACGTGTGTGTCATCTGTGTGTGTGATGGTTAAGATTTTAACAGAATCAATCTTTCTGTGACATGAGCTAAAGTCGATATTTACAGCAGAGACAGGTTTGAAGACCGACTCTGTCTGTGTCCTCGACGCAGTGGTGGAATAATTACATTTACTCAAGTGTTGTTCTGAAGTGCAGTTTTTAGTCACTTGAACTGGAGTACTTCCCCGTCATGCTGCGTTGTACTTCTACTTTGCAGTGTGTCAGACAGATTGTGCTTCAGGCTGTTTACCCGATAGTCTGTTAGTTTGATTTATCTGATGATACATTTAGTTGGGGTAAAACTCTCATGAAGAAATTGACTTTATGACATTCTTACATTAACTTAACTTGGCACTGCCTCTCTTTTTCAGGACGTCACTGTTTAACATAAAAACCAACCCTTTTCTCATGCTGTGTACTTTGTGAGAGAAAAACTGTGTACTTAATAAGTCCAGACTGCAGAGTCAGGGAGGACCGGACAAATCTCACTTCTGATATTCCTCCATGCTTTGAGCACTACTCATGAGGTCTGCAGTCACAAGATAAGATAAGAGTGTGATTTTTGCCATGTGAAATCACACAGCAGTAACCCTCGCCCACACCGGCTGGCTCCCGACCATTTCTCCTCTCCCTACAAGGCTGTGAAGCAGAAACTTTAGCTGCTCCTGAAAACAAAGGCGCTGTTGCTGCTCGAGACAGACCTGAGGTTACCGGGGTGACAGGAGGGCTGTGTAAAGCACCGCGTGTTTCTGAAATTGCTGGAATAATAGATGAGGAAAACATGACGATTAAATAGACTTTTAACAACCAATAATATCCCTTTGTCTGTTTTCTGTGCAGGGTCCCCGAGGCTCAGCTGAAGAGCATCGTGTGGCAGACTCTGCAGGCTGTAAACTTCTGCCACAAACACCATGTCAGTAGACTTTTAATTCAGAGCTCTGAGACTTTTCTACATTCACCTTTTTACCTACAGTTATTCTTGTCTCAAACTGTAAACTTACCGTCCTGGTCATGCAGTCATCCACTCATAAAGTAACTAAAGATAAACAGCAGGGGGCAAAATCCTCATGTTTAGTAAAGTAAAGTACAATCCTAATTCTTAATGCCTGTAACTGCTGTGAGGGGGTAGAAACACTGAAGAACAATCTTTGTTTTTATTTCCACAGCTAATATTAGAAGAAATTTATAAATTTCAGGGTGAAATGACACTGGGAGGAGGCTTTTTGACAACCACCATGACTTCGAAAAAATGAGATGAAATCAGCAACAATAAAAGGGTTACTACTTTGTCCACAGGGGGAAACGAAATTAACAGAGGCGTGAAGTTCCTCACAGGAGCTTTAATGTTTCAGGAACATCCTGAAAATATCTGAGTCTACATGCAAGATTTGTTTTTATTTATGAAACCCTTCACTGTTTAATATATTTATTACAACTAATTGTATTTTAGAATTTTAATCTGTTAGGACTTATTTGCTAAATCATGGCTTTGCTCATGCATTATCAAATTCTAATAATCGATAATTCAGTCTGCAGAATAGACTCGCTCTCGTCTTTGTAATGTCTGTGTTTGGTAGGGGTGAGAGAAAAAAACGATACAGCATAATATCAGGATATTTTGTCTGGTGATATATCGTATCATCTCATTTACCAATTATAGATTTTTTCAAATTAATTGCTAATATGAAGTCAAATCTATGATAATAGAAAAATAAAATCAACTGTTTGTCCAGTGAGGTTGGCAGAGGTGACATTTTAGAGCAGAACAAAGTTAGAGTAACAAATATATATATATAAGGTTTGCAAAATGCGCCACATGAAAATAAAATACAGCGTAAATAAGACAAACAGAAAGGAAAGACAAATGCTAAATTAGCTAAACAGTTGAAAAAACTGTATAAATTGCAATATAATGTATCTTAATGTCAAAAATCGCAATAATATCATATCGTGATAACGTCGTATCGTGGAGCCACGAGTGATTCCCACCCCTATTGTTTGGTATTGTGTGGTTAGTGTTTTTTTCCCCAGCTGATGTTTTCACTGAATCATTAAAAATAAATATACAAACTAGTGAACGATTCCTCTGACTTCTCAGATTCAAGTGGAGCGTTAGTCTGGACCCCATGAGTGAACTCTACCTCCTCTCAGGCTTCAGTTTCAGCATCAGTCACTCAGTATACGTTGTGATGACTAAAATGCATTATTTAGTTTCAATATTGAAACATGTATAGGTGTCTGATCTCTCGCTATTGTTCCTCCACGTCTGCTCCTAACCTCCCACCCTTGATCCAGCAGCCCCGTCTGTCTCTGTGTCATTACTAACAGACTCTGGATCATGTTCCCAAATGTCGGTGTTTCTGTTGCAGTGTATCCACCGAGATGTGAAGCCAGAAAACATCCTCCTCACCAAAACCGGAGTCATCAAGCTCTGCGACTTCGGCTTCGCCCGCATACTGAGTAGGTCATCCGGGGAGTCAGTGCATTTACGTGCGTTTAGTGTTAATGTGCCTCTAATGACTTATTCAGCACGGAACCTGGACCAGCTCAGGCCGATAGCCTCCTCACTTTCAATGTTTCAATGAATGCACAGCATAGGAGGACCACTCAGCCAGTTAGTGCGCCTCTGTGTGTCTCAGTGTGTCTCTGTTTACTCCTCCGGCCTCGGGTTTCGGTGTCAGGTTACCATACATTAACATGTAGTCATGTAGTCATTAAGCATGCCTTGTAATCCTTTCCTGTACAATGTGTGTGTTATTTGCTGTTCATTATTCAGCATCTAAGTGTATGGGTGTCCACACAAGTTATCATCACGTGTCTGCGTGTTGTGTTCTCAGCCGGACCGGAGGACGACTACACAGATTACGTGGCGACCCGCTGGTACCGGGCCCCTGAGCTGCTGGTGGGGGACACTCAGTACGGACCTCCTGTGGACGTGTGGGCTCTGGGCTGTGTCTTTGCTGAGCTGCTCCACGGGAATCCTCTCTGGCCGGGGAAGTCTGACGTTGACCAGCTCTACCTCATCCGAAAAACTTTAGGTACTCTGACGGAAAAATAATAATAGGAGTAATGCATAAAAAACACATAAATATGAGGATCAGTTTTAACTTATGTCAAAGTTACAGGACAGGATAGTAAAATCAAAAATTCATGTATTTTTCACCTAAAACATCAGTGCGTTATAAACTAACAGCAGTATTTTGAAATCTGTTCTCTGACAGACTCCAAGCCGGTGTAAAGACCTCGATGTGGTCCACTTTCTTGGTCTTGTGGAAGACTCTAGCAGCTCTAGTTGTCTGAATCAGCTGCAGCTGTTTGATTGATCTTTAGGAAAACCTGTAATCTTTAGATAGTAAACAGAGGAGACCCCAGGATGGAGCCTTGGGGAACCCCACTTTTAATTTTCGTCAGATTACTTCTAATTATATCACTTATTGATGTGTTTAGATTTGTGTAAGGAATGACTTGAAATGATGTGCAGCGATCAGCCGAAACATTATGACCACTGATAGGTGAATTGATTAGTATTGATCGTCTCTTTGCTCTATGATCTGTTGGGAAAAATGGGTGAGTGAGGATTTGGGAGACATGGACTAGAGCTGAACTGTGATGGTGTGTCAACTATAGACTGTTTATAGAACGGACGCCGTCTGCCTCCTCGCTGGGTGAAGCCACTCCGAGAACAGCGCCCTCTGGTGACGGGCTGCAGTATAGGTCATAAACCCCGCCTCCTTATGGAGCTGTGGACAAACTTTATAAATGAATGACACAGAATATAAATGTTTCTCCCCCCTGGTTGTGATGTTGACATGTAGTTACTGTCAGACTGGTTTGTGCTCAAGTCCTCTTTTTTCTGTACAGCTCCATTTTTAAAAGTTATTAGGGGGTTCATGTTTGCTATGATTGACACCTAATACAGCCTATGGGAGGACAGAGATTGAGTGGATTACTGGGGGGATGTGCTGTCCAAGATCTCCAGATGGTGTCCAAGAAGGATCTGTGGGATTTGTCAAATAACTGAATCTGATCCATGAAGGCCTCGTTTTACAACCTCCAGGTCTTAAAGGATCTGCTGCTGTTGTCTTTGGGCTGGATAATAACACAGCACAGCTCCAGAAGTCCAGTAGGATCTGGGGCAGACGTGGTGGGGTCTACACATGATGAGACAGGTGGTCTTGATAGTGTGGCTGATCATGTTAGAAGCAGGTCCTGCACTTTAATCTTTAGGGGGTCACAACAAAACCCTGGATTGGGTCCTGTATGAAAGCTCTGAGCCCCTTTAAACCCTTCAGTGATGTTAAATGTTGGTACAAGACGAAGTCTTTGAATGTCTCACTTCTGACCTCAGGTGACCTGATCCCTCGCCACCAGCAGGTGTTCCGCTCCAACGTCTTCTTCAGCGGAGTCAGTATCCCTGAACCCGACACGATGGTGAGGATCCTGTTTCTAATTCAAATGCACACAACATGTTGTTCATGCAGAGGCGATTAAGTGTGTTTGAGGTGAATGTTAACCTTATTCTGCTCCTAGGAGCCTCTAGAGAAGCGCTTCCATGGAGTCTCGCCTCACGCCCTCCAGGTTATGAAGGTAAATCAGTTTGACCTCCATGTGGTCTGAAATAAAACAGTGACCTAAAAGTCGAGGTAATTCCCGTACTCACTTAACTTTCTTATCGAGCGCTTCGAGATGACTCTGTGTCTGTGTTTGAGCAGTCATGCCTGGTGATGGACCCCTTTCTGCGGTTGTCCTGTGAGGAGCTGCTGGAGCTGCCGTACTTCCAGGAGGAAGGAGGAGCAAACTGGGGCCGCGAGAGCGAGCGTCCCGGGAGGCGACACGATAAAGTGTCCCGTCGCAGGCAGCCAGGGGTACGTATGAAAACTCTCCTTACACCTCAAATGAAGAATCAGTCCACTCTGCCCGTGTGTGTGTTGGACTCTGAACCTCTGCAGGGACTCGTTTGGTCATCAGGGCTTCAGTCTGGAAAGGTTTCAAGTTTTGTTCCCAGAAACACTCTACCTTTTAGCTGAAAATATCAGGTCCACATGAGCAGAAACAGACAAAGGTGGTCAAATCGTCCAGGTGTTTAATGTTTTCTCTCTTCTCCACAGGCCCAGTACCTGCCTCAGCTACCAAACAGCAACATCTCACCTGCTCCAGACGTCAAGAAGCAGGTGAAACATAAATATCACCTGCCCAACATCTAACGGCGCTGCTCCCTCACCTTGAAGAGAGAGACTCGTGCTCCTGTATGCTGTGTGGAATGATTTCAATACACTCAGCTTGAAGATGAATTTATTATTCTTGGTGTGAAAGTCAGAAAGTCTGTTTTTATTCTGTTATTGTTTGGCTGACATTATTACTTTATCTTCTTTATATATCAGACACTGATGAGGGTCTGTCTGTCTGCACACGCACTCACAGGACTCTAACCAAAGACAGCTGACAACACCTGCACCAGGTGTGATGGTCTCTGCATTGAATTATGGGAAAGGTTTCTTCCAAATCAACAGTGTGCCATCAACGCTTCAGCAAAAGAGCGACTTTTCTGGTCGATACAGGATACAAAATATTTTAAAAATGTTCAAATTAATCGATTTAAAAAGAAATCAAACATAACGCCATTTAGATTTTTAGATGACTTTATTTTAAAAATACAGAATAAATCCGTGCATTAGTTAGCTTCGTTGTACATGTTGTAAATTTTGTATCATAAAACTAAAAAGATACTGACTCTAGAACACAGGTCCATGATGTAAAAGACGATGATCTTTGTGAGGGTTTAATAAAACCTGCCATGACACCTGATCCTCTCAGTAACTCGATGAGTTTGTCACAAATTACAGCCGACGATCTTTAAGTCTGACATTCACTGGGACACTGTAGGACAGCGATACACCTGAACATGTTTCAACAAACTGACAGCCTGACACACAGCTTGACCGATCAGCTGACCTCAAACTCATCAGATTACAGATACAACTCTCGCATTACGTCACCGTGTCGTCGGCTGTAAACAAAGAGGGTCTCTGGGGTCGGAGTTAGTCCCAGAATAATCAGTTTACATTGTTTCACACACTTAAACTCAGTCATGTATTATCACATTTTCTCTGGATATAAAAAATAATTTACAACAAAACACTGAACCGAAACTTCAAGTTCAAACAAGAGGATTTCTACAAAACTGAAGGACACACTGACATCTAGTGGCATGTTAGCAGATTGCAGGAAGCTGCTCTTAAAAAGCCTTAAATATTTGTTTAGTCTAAATAATCATGTCAGTTCCTATTTCAGACTCTGCACATAAAGGAGAAGTTTACTGTTAACATTAAACGACACTTTCACCAGCACATAGACACACCCGATTCTAACACACTGGCCTGTAAACACGTCCACAGGTCTTTCTTTAAATGTGTGAGGTCAATGTGTGAATTAGAAACAGCATACACTGAAACAAGCAGCAGAGACACAGAGAGCCTCACAATTACTTAAAAATGGTAGAAAACAACGTTATGCTGCTTTATTGGCAGATTTACCGCCGGGGTGTTGCGATGATGTTGTACCTGCGAGGCAAATTAGCAAAGCTGCCGTACTCGGGACTGAGATCCACACTGTCAGGTCCACCAGAGACAGAGAAGGTGAAAAGCTGCAACAGTGAGACCAGGAAGAGGAAAATCTTCATGTGAGCCAGAGACTCTCCAACACAAGCCCTCTTTCCTGAACAAGAACAAACAAACGAGAGTCAATATGTAAAACAGGCAGAAGATAAAACTGTGTCCCATTATAGCTCATGTTAAGGTCCAAGCTTCAGCAGCATTATAGAAGTCAGTCAAAATGATCATGTGATAATAACGTACCTATAGCGAAGGCCAGGAATGCAGGATTCTTCTTAAATTTCCCGTTATGGTCCAGAAAGTGCTGAGGGTTAAAGGACCAGGGGGTCTCCCACAGCTCCTCTCCTTTTAGCACAGAGTGCAGCAGGAAGATGATCATCGTACCCTGTGGAGACAAAAACCAGACGGAGGACTTTGACTCCTCTGGAGTCTTTTTATGCTGGTGGCACACGATGAGATGAAACCACGGTACCTTGGGAATCGTGTAACCTCTGAAGGAGATGTCCTTGAGCGCACATCGAGGGATACTCATGGGGACAAGGTCCATGAGACGCTGAATTTCATGGAGGACTGCATCTGTGAAGTGGAGGGACTTCCTGTCCTCTATAGTGGGACTGCGTTCCCGACCAATCACAGTGTCTATCTCCTGCTGCACGCTCTCTGTACAGACAAAGGCAGCAGGTGTTTCAGGTCTTGATTGTGTTTCTGGTTTTCGGCACTGACAGAGTTTTTCCCTCAAACCGGTTTCTGAGACTTACCCTGTATTTTGGGGTATTTGACCAGAACATTCAGAGCATATCTGAGGGTTGAGCTGGTCGTTTCTGTTCCTGCGAGGAACAGATTAAACACTGTAGACACCAAGTTTTCATGATGAAACTCAGACGCAGACAGATGCTTTTCCTGTAAAAATAAAAAATGATAATAATGATACGACTGATATGAGAAGTCAAATATTTATATTCTATCAAACTTGACCTTCTTTCAGATTTAGAGTCTTCTTAAGTTTACCTGACTGTGTCTGTTGAGGAAGCAGTCGATGTAGTCTCTGGGTGAACTCGGGTCCAGAGTATCTTGGTGCTCCTGGATCTTCTTCGAGGTAAAATTCCTCAGCTCTTCAATCATGGCGAACACTTGGTGCTGCTGACCCGGGAGCCACTCCATCAACCGTGGGAAGATATTATACAGCTGTGTGATGTGGAGAGAAAATTACACTTTCGACTGTTTGTAAAAATGCACAGATCTGCATGTAGGCAGACCACAAATCGATTCTTCAGAAAGAGATAAAGTCGAACCCTGATCTTGCAGGATGTTGCTCAGATGTTACATCCGACAAATGAAACCGTTATCTTGTAGTTTCTGAGAATCGAACTTATCAACCTGTTATCGTGGTCGAGAGGCTGGTGCTAACCACATGCAAAAAAGGAAACAGACAACCCAACAAAGCAGACATCTTCTCTACTTGAAACGTGTGCGGTTTAGTAAACGGACCGATGCAGATCCAAACTTGTAAACAAGTTTTAAGGTTGGGGTGAAACATTAATGCTTCATGCAAAACAAATAATCTGATACTTTCTAAGGCTGGTTGGACAGACTGGATTTTTGTGTCACATCTGTAACCAAGAGCAACATTATCTTCTGCTGACAGTCATACAGACTCTCTTCCATTTGCATTTTTTTCAGTTCCTTCTTTGTTATCACCAAACCAACCTTCATGCTCCTTATATAACCCATGCACCATCTTCTCTGCCCTTACCTGACCCCAGGGACTGCTGTTGAATTTCAGGGTTTCTGTGATACTCTGCAGAAGGTGGAGGAAGTGGGTGTCATCATAGCTGAAGCGCTGACCGAACACCAAACAGCAGATCACATTCGACACAGCGCAGCTCAGGAAGTACGTGGGATCAAACGGTGAGCCTGGAATAAAAAACAGAAAAATATCCGTACTGTGGAAGCTAAACATTTTCTTTTATTGGACTGTTTGTTCACCTCTCTATCAATCAGGCAAAATATTATTTATAAAGCACTTTCTATACAAAAGTCACACCTAGTGCTTCACAGTTTATTAAAAACAACCACATCCACCCTACACTCCACAGCTATACAGTCATATTCACACTCACACCCAAAACCACACACTCACACTCACACACCCACAGGGTTCAGATGGACCAGCTGAGAAGAAACTAGATGCATGAGGCCAAAACCTACTTCCCTTTTCTTGTTCTAATGACCCAAGAAACATCAGCTCAGGTTGGTTACTACACTCTAAAAACACCAGGGTTGAAAATGGACCGACGACTTATTGGGTTATTTTGACCCAGAATGTTGGGTTATTCAAATTAACTCAACATTCTGGGTTGACTCAATAACTCTTTCAAGTTAATCTGATCTTCGAGTTAATTTGACTCATGATCTTGGGTTGAATTGATGCATTTGGGGAACTTTGCTTTTACAACATGTACCCGTAAAACTGTATTAAATCTACCCCACCCCTTCATTGATTTTTTTTTCTCCTCTTTTTAACAGTCAAGTGTTCCTCATTGCTGACTTTAAGAACCTTATCTGTTTGCTCTCTGTTCATGTAACCTCGCTGGTTTGGGTTACTGGAGTCTTGTTCTCATCTCCATTGCCTTCTCTTTGTTGTTCCAGTAGCTCATTTCTCATTTCTCATTTCAAAGCCCTGGTTCCTCAGTATGTGATGCAGACCTTGTTAACCTGGGCGACGTCTGAGCTGGTCTGGCGTTCAATGGTAACGCACTCATGGTCCTGAGGTACGCCATAGCGCTAAGGGTCTTACCCAAGGACCCACACTGGTAGATGTAGTTTGCGCCCTACAGATGTGTCTCTTGTTGGATTTGAACCTCAAACCCCTGGTTGGGAATTGGATGCTCTACCAGTTGAGCTACCCCAGCTGCGGCCAACAGGTCACTTTAATTGCCATTAGGCCTAGAAACCACATAGAGTCAATCGAACCCAACGTTCTGACCCAATCATTGGGTTACTCTCAGAAAAATAACCCATAATTATTAACCCGTTCAGATAACCCTCAAACTGGGTCACAATAGTATTCATACAACCCAAGAAATGAGTATGGATCCGAAAAATAACCCAGAAATTTAACTCAACATGTGAAACCCAGGAATTGGGTTGAAGAAATAAAAAAAGGAGTTTTTAGAGTGTACCACCTTAAAAACACACGTTTGAATCCAGCTGTGTTTTATTTGTTATTTCAGAGTTCAGTCTGCTTTTCTGTTGTGACAGAGCAAATACACTAAACAGGCGGTCGTTGTCGTACCTTTAGTATTCCTCATGCGGGCCACCAGGTGTCTGGCCTCCTCCTGTACCCACTCCTCCATCCCATTAGGCCCCATCCCAAAGTCTCGGAGCGTTGTCAGGGTGAAACGACGCAACTGTCGCCAGCGGTCTCCATTACTGATGCCCAACCCTGTGAAGACACAGTGAGGGTTAAAAAAACACCGTCACTCTTCCTGGCAGGTCCCACAACAGCATATTCAGAGACAGCGGTCCAGGCGCCACATTACCGTAACCCTTGGTAACTTTCATCGTGAAAGGCAGACATCCTCTGCCGTTGAAGTCATCTGATTGGTCCATCAGAGCCTCCGTCACTGTGTCATACCCCACCAGGACCACGAAACGCTGACTGCCCAGATACACGGTGACCACAGGCCCATAGCGTTCACTGAGCTGAAACAAACGAACACACCTCTGATTCTTGTTCAAACCCCAAACCCAGATCAGTGCAGGAATATGATCACATTTAAAACAGGAGGGAAGAAATATGAATAAGTTCAATAAAAGTGATATTTGTCTTAATTTACATTAAGGTGCCTCCACATTATCTCAGAAAAACAAAAACAGATGGATTATCTCTCAGTCTTCTCACCTTTTGCAGAGTTTTGAACGGAGCTCTCTTGTCCAGCTGCAGCAGGTTTCCAAAGATGGGCAGCCCAGAAGGTCCTGGAGGTAAACACCGCTTCTTCTTTCGGTTCTTGAGGTTGAACAGCAACAGCAAAACAATCAGCAGCCCGGCTGAGATCAGCGTGACAGACAGCTCCATAACAGCCACAGAGAGAAACCTCCAACTTCAGCCCTGTGAGTCGTCTGAGGATGAAGTTTCAGTGACTGACTGTGTGATGATTACAGCTGTCTGTCAAGTGGTCAACATTTCTGCCTGAACTCGCTCTGATTGGTGGAATGTAAACAACAGGAAATAAGATAAAAAGCCACACACACCCCCCCTGGTTCTGTGCGCACAGTCCTTCAGTATTTGTCCCTGGATTTAGTCCAAGTGTAACATTAATGGTTCATATTTTCTTCATACAGTGTGTGTGCTGTAGGAGATTATAAAGTTTAGTGTCTTATAAGAAGAAGAAGAAGAGGACCACCGTCTTTGATAATTCATATCTAACAGCTACAGAAGATGCTGCTCTTTCACTCACAGGTGAAACTTTATTATGATCCATCCAGGTCTTTTCCTGTCCTTAAAGTCCCACTCTGATCATTTTTTAAGTGTTCTCAGTGGTCTTTAAATACCAAAAATCACACTACCTGTGTCATTTTCAAGGGCTTTTCTTCTGCAGACAGAGCTCATAAACAATTCACCTCTGAGTGGTGGGCGGAGACAGCACACTCCTCTTCATGTTAGCTTGTATCCTAACATTACCAGTGCAGTAGAAGAAGCAGGTTTGTGGCTGCCATCCATTTTCCAACACTTAATCCTGTTAGGGGTCGCAGGGGTGTTGGAGCCTATCCCAGCATCTTCAAGCGAAGGTCACCTGTTCATTGGACAAACAACCATCCACACTCACATTCACACCTATGGACAAGTTGAAAGTGGCAAATGATCCTAACTCCACTTCTGCATGTTTTTGGGATGCAGATCAGAGTAAACCCACGCAGACACGGGGAGAACATGCAAACTCCACACAGAGAAACGCCCCGACCCGGATTTGAACCCACGACCTTCTTGCTGTGAGACGACAGAGCTAACCACTACACCACTGTGGAGTTTTGATGAAACCACTGATGACAAAATTGTTCCGCAGCAAATATTTGGTGTGAGATTTAGTTGTCAGTTAACAGAATTCTCAGAAGGATAAGACAAAATCAGCAACATGATAGGAGTTGGTTAACACAGTCAGAGGATGTGTGTCGTAGTTTTACTGACTACTCCATTTGACTCATCATGTGTGATATACGCTTCCTTTTTAGTCTTTATCTCTTCAGAGCAGGCTGTGAATATCAACCATCACTGAGGCACAGGCTACACTCTTCATCTCCTACACGTTAAAATAAGAAGCTGAAAAATAAAGTCTATCAGAAAAAAATCTCACTGGGATTTTAAAACAGTTTTGAGCTCAAATAGAGAGAATGAATAAAACAGAATATCCAATACGAAGAAACCAACCCAGGGGAGTGATCTCCTGACATGTATATGAAATAACTAAAAACACAACTTGTAGCCGTTATGAAGAAATCCATTTTTATTATAGAAATAATTCTCATTCAATTTTGTGGGAAAGTATGTAAAATAGGATTTTTACAAAGACAACAAAAAGACAAAAAAAGAGGATTCACTGTTTCTTAAGTTTTCGGTCTATTTGATCAACTGGTTAACTGCAAACATCAACAGTCCACCAAACGTAACTGGAGCTCCTCCTGTCATCGTGGCGTGGCGATGATCTTGTCCCTGCGAGGCAAATTAGCAAAGCCGCTGAACTCTGGGATGAGGTCTATACTGTCCGGACCCCCAGAGCAGGAGAAGGTGAAGTGCTGCAGCAGCGACACCATGAAGATAAAAAGCTCCATACGAGCGAGAGACTCCCCGACACAGGCTCTCTTCCCTGTGAGGAGACAGGAACATACAGATCCAGAGATGGGAAAACTGAGTGTAAAGGGTTAATGAGAACAGCGAACATCCTGGTCAGACATTTTTACCTGCAGAAAAGGGAAGGAAAGCTGGATTCTTCTTAAAGTTGCCGTTCTGGTCCAAGAAGTGCTCAGGGTTGAAGGTCCAGGGAGTTTCCCATTGCTTACCCCCTTTCAGCACAGAGTGCAACAGGGGAATAACGACAGTGTCCTGGGAGACAAGACGTCATTTTAGTAGGCCTGAACGATATATCGTTTGACTATCGTCATCGCGATGTACGTGTGTGCGATAGTCACATCGCAGAGCCTGCGATATTGGAGGTGAATGAACTCATTTAATTTCAAAGGTAACCGACTGAGATACACTCCATGTGACTCTGCATGTGCTGTGCAGCGATCCACCAATCGCCTTCGTCCTTAACTCAGTTGCCAATCAGACTCACTTCTCAGTTGCCAATCAGACTACCCTGCCAGCTGTCAATCAAAATCAGGGAGGAGAAAACCCACCCCTGCACATGTTCTGCACATGGAGGGAGACGTGTGTCCGCTGAGAATTACTTTCGGAACTTTACTCATGACTATTAAGCCCAACAAATAAGAACTGTATGGGTTTTAAATTGTACATTTCCGTGGACCACTCTACTATAAGCGGTGCGCGTTTTGCGAGGTGCATGCAATTCTCGGAGGACATGCGTTTCTCGGCACAACACCGCTAACAACAACATCAACGATCGCAAAATGAACAACGAACAAGAGAAAACCACCGAAAATGAAGATTTGTTGCCAAAAAGAAAAGGAAAGTCAGTTATCTGGAATTATTTCGGTTAAAAGTAGGATGATGTCGACCAAAACACGTGTTCTGTGTTCATCTGTGGCCACAATAACGTCCCAGCACAATAAAAGCTAAAAATATCTCTGAGACAGACAGAAGCCGTTCTACTAACATTCACAAAAAGAGGTGAGATCAGAGCAGATTAACTGTCCTCAAGATTTCAGCAGTGCAGCATAACATTAAGTGCTATTCAGGTCATCTGGTGAAAATACTGTATTTTTAATATCGCAATATATATCGCAGGGTTGAAAAAATCGCAATATTATTTTTTTCCAATATTGTGCAGCCTTACATTTTAGTGTATTTTTACTCTTTTCCACTCGTTGAAAATCACATCTTCTCACCGAGATTACCTTGGGGATGGTATAACCCCTGAAAGGGATGTCCTTGAGAGCGTAGTGAGGGAGGCTGAAGGGGACAATGTCCAAAAACCGTTGTACCTCATGGATAACTGCATCTGTAAAGGGGAGGGACTTCCTGTCCTCCATGTTTGGACACCGGTTTCGTCCAATCACTGTGTCAATTTCTTGCTGCATTTTCTCTGTGAGGCACAAATTGAAACGTATTCAGGTTTAAAACTGGAAATGAGGACGTATTCACTCCTGACAGAACCAAACCTGTTCAAGAAACAGAGCTCAGTGGTCAGAAAGAGGACTCTTCAGACCCACCTTGAATTCTCGGGTATTTGATCAGCACACTGAGGCCGTATCTGAGGGTGGTGCTGGTGGTTTCTGTCCCTGCCAGGAAAAGATTCAACACTGTAGAAACCATGTTCTCAAACTGGAACTCACTCGATGGCAAGTCCTTTTCCTGAGAAGATGACGCAGTAGAAGATGAACACACAGACCGAAACTCAGACTAATCATGTGATTCAATCAGCAGAAGGACAGAGTCTGATCTGCTCACCTGATCCATCCGCAGGAAGAAACAGTCGATAAAGTCTCTCGGGGAGTTGGGATCAAGTGTCTCTTTGTGCTCTTGGATCTTCTTCTTGATGAACTGTCTCAGCTCCTCGATATGTGCGAACATTTTGTGCTGCTCTCCGGGAAGATGCTCCATGATCCAAGGGAAGACGTTATAGAGCTGTGGGTTAGGGTCACACATGATGATTATAGGAGGACACCAGCTGAAAACCTCTTCAAGATAACCAGGAGCCGGTCTTTGTTGAGTCCACTTCCACCTACCTGACCCTTGGTGCTGCTGTTGAACCGTAAAACCTCGGATATGATGTTGAGAAGGCTCAAAAACTCTTTGTCGTCATAGTCGAAGCGCTGACTGAAGACCATACAACAGATGATGTTGGACACGGTGCAGCTCATCAGGAACGTGGGGTCGAAGGGTTTCGCTGTGGTAGAAGATCAGACTGTTAAAGTCAGGAGCAACTATTAAAGATGAAGATTAAAAAACTGCAACAAAACATGATTTTATCAGCCAAAGAGCACCGACAGCATGAACAGTAACTTAAAAACACTTAAGATGATGGTGGCTTCATTCAGTTCCTATTTATTCTTGTTAAATGTTGGAGTTTCTACGGTGGCCCTGAGGTGCAAAACACAACGGCAAATCAGAAAACACAACACAAAGAGAGAGAAAATACAAAAGTTAATGTCGTTGTGTTTTCTCTTTTGTCGTTGTGTTTTGCACCTCAGGGCCACCGTAGAAGTTCAGCTGGCTAATGCATGACGTCCACCTATCATAACAGACTCTCAGATTCACCTCTGAGGTCAAACAGAAGGTTTGCAAATATTTGGTAAAACTGATAAACCGATGCTTTGAAAAGTTATAGAGTTCTTTCTACTTTCTGAGTGCATTTGTTTTTTTGTTTTCTTTCCGTTTGTTTGTTTGTTTAGTGGAAGACAATCCAAATTAAAGCACTGAAAGTTTCCTGTTTAATTTTTCCGTTAAAAAGAATCAGAGTTAAGTCTCCGCGGTTCAGCAGTTATGTAACAGACTCTGTTTACTCTGCACACACACACTGCCATCAGACTGAGGTAATGATTAAAGAGAGCAGCTTAAAACAATCCAATAACGCAGCAACACTCTCCTCTGTTGGTGATCAACTTGTTTCATAATGTTGTTCGGTGTTTTTATTAAGAGTTTTAAGACTATATTTTGCTGTCAGAAGTCACACTGTGTATAAAAAAGGCAGTTTTATTTTTCAGTTTTTTAATCAACGTTAACTCTCAAAAGATCCTGAACACATTTACACATTTGTCCCTCGTGACAAAAACGTCAACCTTTGAAAAAAACGCTGTAAAAATTTTATATATTCATATTTTTTTTACCTTAAAAAGGTCATTTGTTTAAAACTACTGCAGCCTGAATGAAACATCAAATATTTTTAAATATTTTTTAGCTTTTTTAAATCTCTATAAAATACATTTCAAACAGTATTTTGTTATAATTATTATAACAAAATAATAATAATAATGATTTTGATGCATCACTATTTTTATTTTTTGCAGTGACAGTTTAAAAAAACACACATTTAAGGATCTTTTAAGAGTTAAATTATTCTTACTCAGTTTTGACGTGTTGAGCTGGTTTGGCAGCTTTTTTTTCTTCCAAATTTTCAGTCTGAGAAGCAGCTTGGATTTACAAAAACAGTTTCAACATCTTACAATCTTATTTCTGCTCTTAAAGCGACACGAACACACCTTTGAATGACTCGATCCGGTTTCTCAGGTGGCCGCTCTCTTCCTGGATCCACTCCTCCATCCCCTTTCGTCCCATCCCAAAGTCCCGTAAGGTTGACAGAGTGAAACGCCGCAGCTGCCGCCAACGCTCTCCATTACTGATCCCCAAACCTGAGCAGAAGACATCCTGTTAAACATCTATGCATGCAGAAATCATGGAAATAGCCCTTCATCCTGACAGAGGAGATAGGTTTGAGGTTTTACCGTAGCCCTTGGTAGCTTTCATGAGAAAAGGAAGAGGTCCTCTGCCCGTGAAGTCATCTGCCTGGTCCACCAGAGCCTCTTTGACCGCGTCATATCCTACTAGAACAACCGTACGCTGCCAGCCCAGGTACACTGTTATCACAGGACCATACGTTTCACTGAACTGGAAGGAGATATGAATATATTCATTATGCAATCAAAAATCATTTCTTCAGGTCAAATACTGCAGCATAACTCTGTTCCTGAACTTACCTTGACAAAGCTTTTAAAAGGCACACCTTTCTCCAGCTGTGGTAAGTTTCCTATGAGCGGCAGAGCAGCAGGTCCTGGAGGTAATTTATACTTCCTCTTACTTTTGACCCCGAACAGCCACAGCAGGGCCAGGATCAGCCCTGCGAGGATCACTGATGCAGACATGTCCATCCTGCCTCTCTGCTGAACTCTCTCCTGGTCTGCTCCTCTTTTATGCTCTCTTTCAGCCTGAGTGGAGATTATGTCTGAATGTCTGTGTTTATATTTAACCAAGAATTGGCAGGAGGGCGGCACTAGGTCACAGGTAGACCATGTGACCTCTTTTGTTTATCACAGTGAGTGCACCTTAACCTGGTTATCGCTTTCTTTGACTGAGCCAGTCCTACAGCGGCCTGTTATAAAAGGGGAACTGAGAACACAGAGAGTATTATCTTTAATAAGAAGAAACATTATCGATAGGATCTGTTGTCTGTGAGTTACGCCTCTGTATATGAAATGGTTTTGTAATGTTTCTGATGTTTGTTGTGCAGGCGCTGCCCACAGGAGACACGGTTCATGAGTGTGTTTGAGGTGAGAGACTCACACACAGTTTCTCAGAGGCTTCGTTTGCACATTCATGGCTTCATATGTGGTGTAGGAGCCATTTTTGTCTCACTGCAATACCAATTTATGCCAGCGGGTGGTGGGTGTGTTTTCTTTTTGTCATAAAGGTGGGAACTTTGGGTCACTGGGCAGGTGTTGCCGGACGGAAGAGCGCACAGTTTTTCAACCGCTAGAAGATATGCTTTTGGTACCGCTATCTCCGTTCAAGATGCATTGCTGTGGTGTTGACTTGGTATTTCTACAAAATGTGAGAAATAAAAGATCACATTAAGCGAACAAGGAGTGGACTTGAATTAATTGGACGTGCCAGTAAGTGTACTCAGCGCGTTGTTAAGTTTAGCCTGTCCTGCAGCCCCTCAGTGGCTTCAAGCTGTAGTTTTAATTATCTGTTTATTTAATGTTTGTGTTTGTATTCTCATCTGCAGCTCCTGAACACATCTGTGCATGAACATAAGTCTGACCCGTGACATGGTTGATTATATTTTTTGTCTTGGTTTTTTTTTTTTGCACTTTTCATATCTTGTTTAGGAAGTATCTGTTCTTGTCATGAGTTTGATTTTCTCCAAGATTCACTCTTTCATTCTTTGTATCTATTACATGCGAAGTGAAACAGTGAATCTGCTGCTGCAGTCCCCTGATGGTTCAAATATCTTTTTAGAGGAGACCTGGTCCAAGAGGACAACAACAAACCAACGGTTAAAGACACAAACAACCTGGACAAGCTGACACAAGTCCTGCCTGTCGTGGGCGGGACACCGTGATAGCTACCTGTTCTGCCACTTTGAGAATCAAAGATGTTGCACAAAAATCATGACGCTGTAAATATTGTTTTTCTCGACTAACTTTTTCTCATTAGAGGCCCTTGCATTTGTTCCATCAGCGTTGTGGATTGTTGCTTGTGCTGAATGTTGATCTGATGTAGGAGAAAAAAAACCCTGAGAGCACACAAGCACATGGAGCACATAAGCTGCAAACCCAGGAGATTATTTCTACTGTGCAACAAAATCTGAGATAAGCACATAGAGCCGCCATGTGGGCCCCGCATACCCGCCTCTTGTGCAAATCTGTCCCATCATCCCTCCTCCCAGAACCTCGGCCTGCTGTCCACAGCGACTCTCGGAGTGAGCCAACTATCCGCAGATGATCCAGAAAAAGAAACACAGTCTTTGTAACAGCTGGATTTATTTAAAGTACAACTTTAACGCTGCATTTTGTCAAGATACTCGAGGGATTTCCAGGACCACAGTGGGGAGGAAACTAATAACACTGAAGAAAATAGATAAGGAGGAAATATTCACAGAGTCTGGACTTTAAAAAAAGTACAAAATAAACAGAATAATGAGAAGTGAAGAGTGATGTCCTTTAAATGTTCACACATCTATTATCATTATTCTGCTTCTTGTTTCTTCGTGTGGCACGGAAAGAGTGATCCAACACAGACATGAAGTGTTGAGAGGAGTCAGGATCATGAATGATTTACCTGAGGAGCATTGGCAGAAAGCCAGGAGGGACCCATCCATTAATTAGACGTATAGATAATTTACAACAATGCTCGTCAATAATCAATACAGAGGTTTTTACTAGAATGTCTCTCAGTTTCTGTTTGTCGAGTCGGAGCTAAAACGCAAACCCCCCGCAGTCAAACGCATCAAAGTCCGAGTCTCCTTCAAAGTCGAAGCTGTTGAAGTGCGGCGAGTCCACGTCCTGACTGCAGGCGTGGTGGGAGCTCCCTGCAGAGAGCTCGGAGAAACCCCCTGCGCTGTTGGTCATTTCTGCGGATCTGCCGGCAGCCAGGGGGGACGAGGGGGAACAGGAGTTGAGGTAGCCCAGAGCGGAGGAGGCTGCTGCTCCTCCCATCAGCAGGCACACCGCCCTGACCGCACGGGCATCGCTGCTGTTGCCATGGCGAAGGCAATCTGACACACGATGAGGCGGGGGCACAGAACCCCGCAGAGATCTTCTCGTTACACCAGCTGGAAAAGTCGTATGAAAAATAAATAACTGTGAATGTTTCAAAGTTTGATTGGATTGTGACACAGACAGCCAATCAGCTCCAACATGTGAGCGACTCTCTAACGAGCTTTACAACCAACCTTGGTTTGGACCTCTCTCCCTGAGGGACCCGCCTCGTTCAGTGACCCTCGATAAAGGAGGCGTACCCTCACCCACCCTGGGTGACCCGGGTTCTTTATCACTGGACGAGTCAGGAAGGGGGTCTCTGTCGGTGATGCAGGGGGTGATGTTGTGCTGTCTCTGGAGGGTCAGGGGAGACATGACGCCCTGGAAAATGAGGCACACAGAAGGTCATTATACGATGGCCGAAAACATCCTCTGAACCCGTCCAAACTTCAAAGATATAAATCAAAGATTCTCATGTTTTAATGGAGTTAAAACCACAAACATACAAGTTTCAACAAAGAAACAAGAGGACCAAAACTGACGACTCACCTCTCTGACTTTCCTGATCAGGTTGAGCCACAAGCTGTGTGAAGATAAAACGACAAGTCATTACGTTTGAATCAGATCCAGGTTTGTCTTTCCAAATCTTATACGTGAGAAAGGTCAGATTACACCACTCTGATAACAGTCTGCTGTAAACACGTCTGACACCAAGTGGGACAAAGGAGAGCTGAATTTTAATGTTTCAGTGGGTCACTGTGTGCAGGTAACAGCTGATTGTGAGTGGGTCAAAGGATATCGGAGGGGTGAATGTGTGTTTGTGAGTGACAGAGGGAGACAGAGAGAGACACACTTGCAGTCCTCTGGGTTGTCGGTGAGCAGCAGCAGGAACTTGTTTTGCTGCAGGATGAGGGCGAAGCAGCAGTCTCTCCTGCCCCCTGGAGGCAGTTTAGGGAGGTCGAGGATTTCTCGTCCCTCTGCGATGGTCTCACAGTTGTTATGAAGAGCTATCACCTGATCTGGAGGGGACTCAGCATCCCGACACACCAGCAGGGATCCCTCCATGGTCAGCACCAGATACTTCTCCTTCCACTGCTTGAACATAAACCCCCCTACCAGAAAAAAAAAAAACAGACTTTAGTTTCTTTTTTTTGGATGAGATATGACTGACAGTCAACTGCAGTTTTTCTCTTTAATCACAGCATACTCATGATGACAAAGGTGTCACAGTGGTCCTGTGTATTATGATAAAAGTCTGTGTTTTTTTATCACTTAGGAAAATTTCCATTTTTAACTCATTCTTAATTTAATTTTAAGGAAAAATAACATAAAAACAGCTGTGTCAGAGGGATGCATGTCTTTAGTTGTGGTATTACAAAGTTTTTAACTTCATTCTGAATCTCCAGTGGCGTCTCTGCAGTGAGTTTTGTATTTTGTCCATTTGTCCCATTCAGTGTTGAATTCCAGACGAGTTTGATTTTTGATAAATTGATGTTAGGATTCATCCTGGATCTATGAACATTTAGCAAATTGACTATACAATCATTTCTCATTGTTTCCCAGGTGAGGCTGATGTGGCAGAGCTACACGTCTAACCTTTGGTTCAATGTCTACAGGCCAGTGTTTTGGGAGAGAGACGGAGGCTGCAGACCAGTTTAACCAGAGATGACCGACTTTTTCCACTTTCTCTTCATTCTCCAAATCAAAGTAAGGCCAACTACTGACACTTTTCTCTTTTTTTGCTTAAATACATATAACAATGATAATAATAATGATAATATCTGAATCACAAACCTGTCAAAAAAATAGTGTTTTCTTGCTGAATCCTCACTGAGATGTTTGCATGTTGATTCAATTATTTTCAAACTGTGGTGTTCTCATTCAGTCCAATATGAAATACTACAGAAAGTATCATCATGCAATAATAAAAATCACCTCAGTGCTGAATAATCACGTCTTTGTCGACAGCATTAAGAACTTAAACCTCACTTCTGTTAAACTGTATTTGTGTCGTGTGTGCCGAGAGTCTAATCTGTAGAAAAGAAAACAATGCTCCATTTTAAATGTCACTGACTTATCCCATTAACCTCACCAAGGACATGATTTCAGTTTCAGATTAGGATTGCTCTTAATCCATAAAGATATATAAAAAAAGGCACAAAGCAACAAATAGAAAAAAATGCAGCTGTCTGGGGCACAATTTCTAAAATTACTGGAGAGATGTCAGCTGAGGTAACTAATCACTAATATGAAAATAGTGCTTTAAGAGCAAACAACCATCTGGCGTATGTTGAGTTTTAAAAATGGATGATCTCTTAAAAGGAGCCTAAGCCTGTGGACGGTTCGAGGGACAAACTGTGAGTTTTTAGGACAGGACACACATGACAGTGTCCCAGACAGACAGACAGCAGTACATTGTGTAATAATGCTATTAGATAGAGAGCACAGTGTTGATGGATGGGGAAGATCTGCTCCAGTTCTTTATACAGCGGATTAAAGATGAACACAGGTGGATTATATGTAGAGGGGAGGAGGGGGTGGTACTTTTTTTTACAGTTGACATCATTAACATTGTTGAGGCTCGGTGCCACGCTCACAGTCCACTGTTAGGACAAACTGCTGACACGAAACTATCTGTTGTTTCCCTCCCATGAGCCACCAGGACGCCATCATCAAATAAAAATCAACAAGATATGAAGCAGATGTGAATAAAAACAGAGACATGAAACAAGCACAGAGTCCTGAATCCTGACTTGGCTCCAAAGACGAACATCTCGTCATTCTGTAAAAAGACATCTGGAAGAGATTGTGTCCCACAATGGGACCATCTAAGTGATATCACTCATCCCAGAGCTGTAGTGATGATGTGAGACGGCTCTCCTCCTCAGTCAGTGTGAAGTCAAAAGCCTTTTGAGCTCAGAGAAACATAAATACCAGGAATATCACTCCTTTGGGGAAAACTACTGAAACTAAGCACAGATTTATACAAAGAAACATGTAGACTGTTATTAATGCTGCAAGAACATTTTCTTCTCACATGTTCGTTTTGAAGGTTTATTTTAGACAAAAACTCTCTATCTGCACCAAAAAAAACACCAGAACCTGTCAGTCCTCATCTGATTTTTAAATGGAAGTAGGAAAAACTAAGACTGCAGTGCAAATTGGTAAATAAGACTTCACTACATGTTCACAAAAGAACAATCCTCTGTCATATACCTGAAAACACCAACTGTAGTTCATCACCTACTACATGTGGACAAAAACATGAAGGAGGAATCACAGCAGGCCTACCATATTTCCTGAGGAAGCCCCGATGAACGCCCGCAGTGCTCATGTCTGTAGTCATCACAGAAACTGACCGAAATGAGAGGCATAGCATAGGGTGAGAGAGAGAGAGAGAGAGAGAGAGAGAGAGAGAGAGAGAGAGAGAGAGAGAGAGAGAGAGAGAGAGAGAGAGAGAGAGAGAGAGAGAGAGAGAGAGAGAGAGAGAGAGAGAGAGAGAGAGAGAGAGAGAGAGAGAGAGAGAGAGAGAGAGAGAGAGAGAGAGAGAGAGAGAGAGAGAGAGAGAGAGAGTAATCCCCCGTGTTCAGGCCTTCCTCTCTGGTGTGAGTGGACCTGGTGGACTCTCTCTCTCTTGGTTATTTGCGGATAAAAATCATGTGAATCATAAACTGAAGGATCAAATAATCAGTAAATAAAACCAGAACGTGATTCTCATTCTAATTCCCAGTTACTGCTCCTGTCTGACAAACAAACACACGCACGCACGCACACCTCTATTTTCAGACCTGCACACACCATCTCTGTGATTAATAATAGCTTGTAATTAAATAATCATTAAACCTGTTTCCTTCTGTAATTTTTTGTTCTTGTGTTTTCTCCGAACTAAAGCTCGGATCACCTCCCACTCTGGCAGATTAACGCAGCGGGATTATTCTTCTTCCACAGCAGGATACTCGTTGTTGCAGGGTTGTAGACAGGGCCATCCAAGATGTTAATCTGTCCAGACTGAAATATGTCCCCCTCCAAGCAACAACCTCTGAGATATTAACTCTTTTTCAATGTCACATCTGCCAGATTAAACTCTCCTCATTGTATTTGCCTGTGCTTGCTCATCACAGTGACAAACACATTATGTAACAAGGGGGATCTAGGAGAGACACTATCAAACCATCACACACTCTGCGTGTCTGTGTGTGTTTACCTGATGTCCAGAAATGGTCCCATGCCGGGGGGTTTGGAGGGGATGAGTAGGGACAAGTAGATGACTCACGCTGACTTGAAATCCTATGATTCATAAAAATATATTTGACTCAAAAAGGAATTTTAAGTTGTTTTTGATTGCTACAGAATCTGAGCTTTAAAAAGTCTGACCTTGTGAACACTGAATTTACCCATGATTAAAGTATTATAGCACAACAGTTCAACCTCTTTGTTCTGCACAAAAACACTCTCAACTTTACCATGTTACAGTCACAATCAGGTATCACATGATTGGTTGCTCTGCCCAGTGAGGCTTCATGGTGCTGCAACCAAAACAACATGTGCATTCATTACTGTCCAAACTAGACCTCGCTCTTAAGAAAGGTAAAGACTGAGGTGGCAGAGGAAATGACTGATCTAGTTCTAATATGGATCAAGTTTGTCGCAAAAAAAGGACATATCCTTCAGGAGCAGAGAATAAAAAGAGGAAGAAGAGAAAAAACGCCAAGATAAAGGTATGTTTGCATGTCATAGAGTGTTAATCATAGATATTTGTGAAGGTGTGTGAATGATCAACAATCAATATTATTGGCAGAAATAGAGGGCCCCAAAATCAGAATTTGCTGAGGGCCCCATTGATGCTTGGGCCGGCTCTGGTTCAATGATAATGATCTCATTACCCATCAAAGTATTGCCTTCTCCGTCAAAGTTATCAATAAAAAGACTTCTAAGATCATCAATAAAGCCATCCAAAAGCTTCGATAATGTAAAACTGTAGACGGTGAACAGATACACTTACCGGTGCAGGTGCGGTCAACAGCCACTCAGTTTCCGGTATAATAACCCCTCTGGGCTGTTTGTAAACAATGAGAGCTGCGCGCGCAGTTTAGCAGCGGAAGTAGACGAAGGCGCTCAAATTTGTTAAACTCGACCAGAGATTAGCCGCAAAAAATCGCGGTTTCTTTTCCCAACACATGCTAACTCCGAATAAAAGTTAATGTTTTAAATTCGTGTGATATCAGCGGGTGCATATCGGTGAAAGGACAATGTTCGGTTCAGTCGAGAAACCCAAACTATAGCGACAACACAGAGAAGTTAGCATAATATTCAGACTCTATGAGGCGGAGTTACCGGCGTCCCTACACGGCGGCCATCTTACTCCTGCATTAATAATAAACTGAGACTCAACCAAACAAGTTCCTTTTTTTAGTGAACTTTGAATTTGGACTCAGGAGAGGAAGATGTTTTTCAAGAATACTGAACTTAAAAGATGATGAAAAACTGTCAGTAAATGAGGAGAGGAATCTGTGATCTGGTGGTTTAGGTTTCAGTGAAAACAGTCAGAGTGAAAGTGAAAGTATGTGAGCTGAAAAACAGACTCCATTTTGACAAACGAACAGAGCAGAGAGAGGAGAGGACGAGGAGACAGGGTGAGTGTTTACTCTGTTTTTGTTTTAATGTTAAACTCTTAATCTGTATTATCCGTTAATAAAATTGGATTTACTGACTAAAACACTTTAAAACTGTAAAACAAAGAAACCTGAGCAGACAAAGAGCTGGATCAGTTCTTCATACAGGAAACTGTGTACGTGCAGTTCTTCCTCCTCTTTGTTCAGACTTGTCTTTGTGGTAAAAACTAAAATCAGAATCTTTTTAGCGTCTAAATTCAAGTTTAATCCAGTCTCCTTAAGTTTTTATGAGAGTTCAGGGACCTCACAGCTGATTTTGTTTTTTACCTTGAATCAGATAAGGATCAGAGAGAGACCCTGCAGGGTGGGGAGACATCAGAAGGTCTTGATATTAAACCCATAGACATATATAAGAAAGGTTTATATACATATATCTATGATTAAACCTGTAAAACTCTTAAAGAGGGGGATGAAGCTGTTTTCAGACTCTGTACTTCCTTTCTGATTCCTCTTTTATTTTGAAACTCTCTCTTTATGTTTGTGTCTTACCTGTTTGTCTACTTTGTCCTCAGGTTGTATAACTTGGTTTCATCTTCCATGAATTTGCACAACAGAAGATGGAGAAGATGAGTGATTGTATTGAGGAAGAGGAGGACAGAGCAAAGTCTGTCATGTCGGACTGTCTGTCTATGAAGAGTGACCGGTCTAAAGGTGAACCTCTATACTTCCGTAAAGAACCAGGACCATCAGAGGAGGGCAGAGCAGAGTCTGTCATGTCCAACTGTCTGTCTATGAAGAGTGACCGGTCTAAAGGTGATCCTCTAAACTTCAGTAAAAAACCAGGACCCTCAGATTCACAGTAAGAAAAACACTTTTCACCCTCCAAACTCTCAAACAACAACAACTGATGTTCCAAAAACAGAACTCTTAAATCCTGACCCCTCTGTTTTCTACCATGATGAGAAAAATTATCTCTTCTGCTTTCAAAACTGTGATTTTCCTCTTTAACCTCCAACCTGGATAAAGGTCTGGTAAAGAAAAAGTCACTGAGCACAGATTTACTTATTATTCACCATGTTGATAAAAATGAAGGTGGTATAAAACAGCATTTAAAAAGGATTCTGACTTCTTGTATTTTCTGATTTGGTTCCTGTGTTTGGGACGTTTTGAGCCTGTTAGTCTTTGGACTGTGGTGTATAGACACCAGAAAACAGTCTGTGGATCAGAAAATACCAGAAGACCAAAGAAGAAATAAATCCTGAGAAATAAAAACTCATTCAGAGCATCTGTCTGTTATTAGAGCTTTAGATCTGATTGTTAAAAAAAGTTTGAAACTGTCAGAGAAAATCTCTCGACCTTCAAAAATCACAGTTGAGTTTTTTCTCCTGTCTCCACACTTTGAGGCAGCAGCAGCTGAATATTTTACTGTTTTATGTTAGAGAAAAGAGAAACTCTGGTTTAATAAATGTTTCTTATTCTGTATCTTTCAAACATGAAATGATAAAGAAAATAAATGTTCTTTATTTCCACAGAGAGACACAGAGATTTGGCTTTATGAAGAAGCTGTTCAGATATTTCTTCCCTGATCGAAGTAAGTCTGAACATCTGTCCTTTAAACCCTAAACTACACAATTTCTGCCTGAATTATTTTGATTATTTTAGCCACAAAATTGTCAGAAATTGTCCTATAACGTAAATTTACTAAAAACGACACAGAGAGCACTTCATTCATCCAGAAACCAACACAGAAAATCAGCCAGTCAAACTTTACCTTTCTCTGTCTGAAGTTGCTCTGAAAACTGCTCCATTGGTCCCAAAGCCATCTGTAAACCTCAGTGGAGGTTTTCTCACCTAGGACAGTTGTATTCTAGTCATTTTCCTTTGAAATAATCACTTTTTTGTCACTTTTCTCTCTTTTTGCTCCGTTTCTCTGCTCTGTTGTGTGTCTATCTGCTGCTTTCTTTGAGAGGGGGAGAGGGGACGGAGAGACAGATTTTCTCACTAAACAGCAGAAATGAAATAAAATGTAATCCCGTCCTCAGCTTCCAGAAACCGTTGGAGTTTTTCTGACAGCACAAACTTTCCCACAGTTACGGTAATTTAAAGAGCGCCTGTGTAAAGGTGTCGGCGCCGACAGACTGTGAGGAAAAGTCTGTGTGGATGAAAACTCAGCTGACTGATTTTCACAAAGACGTTTCAGTGTTGAGAAGTTTGGTTCATTTGATTTTCCTTCTCTTTCAGAAGATGGCGGTCTGCAGGAGGTTTTAGATGAACATAAGATCAGTCTGAAGGAGAGATGTGAACGTGTGAATGAAGGAAGTGATGTAACAGGAAGTAGTCAAACCCTCCTCAACAGGATCTTCACTGAGCTCTACATCACAGAGGGACTGAGTGAAGAGGTGAACACCCAACATGAGGTGAGACAGCTGGAGACAGCTTCAAAGATGAAGACCCTCCATGACACGCCCATCAGGTGTCATGAGATCTTTAAAACCTTACCTGACCAACAGAAGAAGGTCATCAGAGTGGTTCTGACCAACGGCGTGGCTGGTGTTGGAAAAACCTTCTCAGTGCAGAAGTTCACTCTGGACTGGGCAGAGGGTTTGGAGAACCAAGACCTCCATCTGGTGGTCCTGCTTTCATTCAGGGAGCTGAACCTGATCAGAAAGAAGCGCTTCAGTCTTCTGAGTCTGCTCCATGTTTTCCATCCAACACTAGAGAAGGTCACAGCAGAGACGCTGGCTGTCTGTAAACTTCTGTTCATCTTTGACGGTCTGGATGAAAGCAGACTGTCTCTGGATTTCACAGACTCTGAGGTGGTGTCTGACGTCACACAGACGTCTTCACTCAACGTTCTGTTAACAAACCTCATCAAGGGGAACCTGCTCCCCTCAGCTCTCATCTGGATAACTTCTCGACCTGCAGCAGCCAATCAGATCCCTCCTTCATGCGTGGACAGGGTAACAGAAGTACGAGGCTTCACTGACGCCCAGAAGGAGGAGTACTTCAGGAAGAGGTTCAGAGATGAAGATCTGTCCAGAAGAATCATCTCACACATCAAGTCCTCCAGGAGCCTCCACATCATGTGTCAGATCCCGGTCTTCTGCTGGATCACTGCGACAGTTCTGGAGGACATGATGAGTAGAAAGAACAGAGGAGAGCTGCCCAAGACCCTGACGGACATGTACTCACACTTCCTGCTGGTCCAGACTAAGAGGAAGAAGCAGAAGTATGAAGGAGGACATGAGACAAGTCCTCAGGAGCTGATGGAGGCTGACAGAGAAGTCCTCCTGAAGCTGGGGAGGCTGGCCTTTGAACATCTGGAGAAAGGAGACATCATGTTCTACCAAGAAGACCTGGAGCGGTGTGGTCTGGATGTCTCAGAGGCCTCGGTGTTCTCAGGAGTTTGTACAGAGATCTTCAGAAGAGAGAGTGTGATCTTCCAGAAAACTGTTTACTGTTTCGTTCATCTGAGCGTTCAGGAGTTTCTGTCTGCAGTCTACATGATCCACAGTTTCACAAAGAAGAGGAACACAGAAGCTCTGAAGACTTTCCTAAGAGGCAACGAAGACAAAGACAAAATGTTTTCTTCAGAGATGGTTTCCAGATCTTTTAAAAACCTGGATGACTGTTTCTCATCTCTGGATGTCTTCCTGAAGAGTGTCATGGAGAAATCCCTTCTCAGTAAAAACGGTCACCTGGACCTGTTTGTTCGCTTCCTTCATGGACTCTCTCTAAAGTCAAACCAGAGACTCTTAGGAGGTTTGCTGGGTCACACAGACAACGGTCTAGGAATGATCCAAAGAGTCATCAAGAACCTGAAGGAGATGAACAGTGAAGATATCTCTCCTGACAGAAGCATCAACATCTTCCACTGTCTGATGGAGATGAACGATCTGTCAGTTCATCAGGAGATTCAAGAGTTCCTGAAGTCAGAGAGCAGATCAGAGAGACTCTCAGAGATCCACTGCTCTGCTCTGGCCTACATGCTGCAGATGTCAGAGGAGGTTCTGGATGAGTTGGACTTAAGGAACTATAACACATCAGCCCAGGGACGACAGAGACTGATCCCAGCTGTGAGGAACTGCAGAACGGCCGAGTAAGTCCAGGTTTTATTCTCAGAATAGTGTAAATGATTCCTGTAGTTCTTCTAATGTCCACGTTACTGATGATGTTCTTCTTCAAATAGAAATCCACTTAAATATCAGGGAGGGGGTTTCTTTAGCAAAAACATGATCCTGGTGTCTAAAGTCCTGTTAGCCCAGGATGAGGTCTACCTGTGGACCCCTGAGAACTTGTCCTGATTGTGGAGGACCTCTTTGTTTTGAATCGTGTCTGTAATGAATAAAGTGGAACTTTCAGGACAAATCAGCGACAATATCTGAGGACACACAGAGGTCTTCTGATGATGGTATCAGTCCAGATCAACATCTCAGTCAGTTGTGGTGAACTTGAGTTTGAAGAAGGTGTCTGCAGCTTCTTCCTGCTGGTTTTCAGGTTGGAAATGATGAATCTGTTGTAAATGAGGGTGTTGACAGCATTGATGGTGAAAATAGAACTGGATCATTTTCTACACAGTGGCAGAACTGTCTCTGTACCATCATGTTCATCATTCAATATTCATCATCAATACAACCATGAAAACTAACATCATTTTCCACCACTCACTGGAGATTATCTGCTGGACTAGAACATATGAATGATGAGAACACAGGAGGTATTTGGACAGCAGCTCCATGAGTCTGAAAACAATGGTGGAGATAGGATGTTAATGTCTCTCTCTCTCTCTCTCTCTCTCTCTCTCTCTCTCTCTCTCTCTCTCTCTCTCTCTCTCTCTCTCTCTCTCTCTCTCTCTCTCTCTCTCTCTCTCTCTCTCTCTCTCTCTCTCTCTCTCTCTCTCTCTCTCTCTCTCTCGGTGCTGCAGGTTGGCACTGACACTAGTCTGCCTCATAACACCTCATAGCATGTAGAAACAGCCGTGCTCTTCCACTGTGTATATGGACACCATGTCTCTAAGGAGAAGCATCATCATCTTCATCATCATCATCAGTTTTCCATGGTGTCCCTTGGTTGTCATGGTGACGCAGAGTGAAGATGATTCCTCTAATGTTGAGGTGTTGGTGGGCTGTAACTCGGCTGCACGCCTCTGTTTCAGATGTTGATGTAAGTTGGTCAGACTGCTGCCTTCTGCTGAAACAGCCTTTAAACAAACACTGCAGCAGACTGGGGTTTGATCCAGGTCTGAGTCTGAGAGACTGAACCAGGTCTAAAGGACTAACAAACCGAACTGTTTTAGGGGGCAGAAAAGTCTGTTTTTGACCATAACTAGCATGACTGTAATTAGGTTGAATTAATGCAGGTTCCCATATTGATCCTCCATATTGATATTATCAGGACTCATTATTGATACCTCACTGCATGATTTAGTTAGGTATCAATATTTTCATTTTAAAAAAATGAAGAAAAAGAAAACACGTTCAAAGATGAATCTGTTTTATTTCCCCTGACTACAAATGTTTCTTTCTGTATGAAACACAAACTAGAAAAATTCAATCTGTTCTTTTTAAAGGAGTCATGAGAACGTACGCCCCCTAGAGTTCAAATAACCTCAGCCTTATCTTTGACCACAGCTCTTCAGGTTTAACTTTGTTTTTATTGTTAAACTATCATGAAGTATTGGACAATAATGTGCTGAGAGAGAGAGACAAAGAAAGAAAGAGAGAGAGAGAGATGACCAGAGCCCAAAGACAGAGGTTCAGTGGGTCTTTGTTTCTGTCTCTTAAAGGTCTCTCTGGATCCATCAGGTTTTATAAACTTGTTTCTGCTGCTGAAGGGAATGTTACATGGAGAAAAAAACTTTGATTGTAAAAACAAAGAAATCTTCAAATGTTCAGAGTCAAACCAGCTCTAACCTGCTAAAAAATGATTTTATCTGAACCAATCAGAGAAAAAGGAGCTGCTGTGATTTAGTGAGTCGTCCTCTGATTGGTCAACAGTCAGTGTCTCTCAAAAGTCTTACACTTCAGCAGGATGTCAACGTTTAATACTGAGAGGACCACTGATCCTCCAAGAGGTACTCTGGATACTAACCAATCACATACCAGGACCAAAAACCTGGTTCTCAGTCTCCTTCTCCAACCAGAACTCAAGAATTCACTCAGTCATAATGATCCAGCTGCACTAACATGAAGACAACACTGTTAGAGAACAGAAGGACTAAAATAAGTCATGGAGTCATTTGTCTTGAACATCTGAACAGTTTTTTTTTCTTCTAAACTTTGACTTCCTGTCTTCTCTCATGGCTGTGGTCCTGATATTAGTATCTGTCTGGTTAAAAACAGGCCGTCTGTCAAACCAAAGATCATGTTTGTTTTTGGTGAAGAGAAACATCAAATTACCCTTTAATGAAATATTGTTTAATATTTATGTTGTTACAGATTTACTCTCTGCGGACTCTCAAAGACTCACTGTGAAGTTGTGGCCTCAGCTCTGAAGTCCAACCCCTCCCATCTGAGACATCTGGACCTGAGTGACAACAAGCTGCAGGATTCAGGAGTGAAGCTTCTCTCTGCAGGACTGGAGAGTCCAAACTGCAGACTGGAGACTCTGAAGTGAGACACTATTTCCTTCTGATCTAACAATAAGATGTGACAGCTGCTGCCTTAGATTTTTCTCTGTGGTTTTTCCATCAACTTTGGTCGAGCAGTTTGAATTTGTCGTTGTAAAACTTCAAGACAGGAAGAAAAATCCGACATTTCAGAGTTGACTTTGAGGAGAACGATGGATGTAGAAAGGAAGCAGGAGAAAATCAGTCCCACAAATATTACACATGCTTGTAGAGGGCAGGAGCAGCACAGACTAAAGGCTGATACTGAACTGATCCACAGTTAATGTGATCACTAATGAATGAATGAGGTGTCAGAGAAATGATGAGCTGCAGATTGAAACCTGAAGAACAAAGTTAATCCAACTCTGGATATTTCATTTGGAAACTCTTGAAAACTTGAATTTCTTCTTTGCTCAGTCGTGTTCAAATGTAAAAAACCAGATCCAGATTTTTCTGCAGTTTTCACTTCAGTTTGTTGAACATGAACATCATCTTGTCCAGTTGGTCCATAAAAACCTCTCTGATCAATGATCTGTTGGTTTATTTAAGAGTAGTTTGGCAGTTGTTGACAGCAGACGGACAGACCCCTGAATAAACTCCTGACTATTTTAATCTTCATGAAGAATTCAGGACTACAAAAAAACCTTTGAGATTTCTCACAGGAGTTTCTCAGAATCTCACTAAAGTTTTCTGTTTCTTTAAAATTTTCTACACTGAAAAATTCCTCAAAAAGATCTTCAAAAAGTTTATAGAGGATTTTACAAAGTTCCTCAAGATCAACTCTGAAAAAGTTCTTCTTCCATGTCCTTCAGTGTTCAAGAACATTGAATCATTAAAAGTTTCTTCAGAGGTTTAATGATTTTTTTCTTTTTTCAGACTGTGGAGCTGCAGTTTGTCAGAGATCAGCTGTTCTTCTCTGGCCTCAGCTCTGAAGTCCAACCCCTCCCATCTGAGACTTCTGGACCTGAGTGGAAACAATCTGCAGGATTCAGGAGTGAAGCTGCTGTGTGACTTTCTGCAGAGTCCAAACTGTAAACTGGAGACTCTGAAGTCAGACTTTTTTCCTCCATTCAAACATGATCATGATTTGTTTGTGATGATGACACTAAACTGCTGACTCAGGACTGAAACACTGACCCAGACTGAACACCTTCAGTCCAGAGTAGATTTTCTGCATCAGTGGATTATTTGATTGACTCCAGTTCGATCACTGCTGAGCTCCAGTGAATTAAAACCTGAACTCAAGAAGAAAACTCTTTGTAGAGTTCACAGTGAGAAGCTCATTCAGACGGAAAACAGAAGCAGGGGGAGATTTGTCAGACGAGAACCATTCAAACTTTTGTTCAGGACAAGATCAGGGACTAGAAAAAACTCAGAGTTTAGTTTCTGACTCTGATGAAAGTCCAGCTCTGTTACTTTGAATTTTGACTTTGAATCTTTGTGGGAAAATCTGAATTTTATGGTTTATCTGCACTTTTCTGAAGCCTTGCTGTGTTTAGACTGAAATATGTGAACTTTGTAACAGGATATTGTTGGTTCAACGAAGTGAAAATATTCTGAACATCCTTTATTTCCCATCCGTCCTGAAGTCGCTGACATTTTCTGAAAATATTGATCTGCATCTACAATCAGTAAAAAAGTCTCTGAGTTTTTTATTTCACTATTTAATGTGTTTTTGAATTCACTGTTTCAAACTGACTTCCTGTTTGGTTCAGCTCTTTGGAGCATCACTTTTCTTTGATTCATACTTTCCAAATCTTTCCCCTGAACTCTACAGATTTAAGACATCAGGTTTCAAACTGGATCATTTTTCTCTAAAATCTCATTATTTTCTCTTTATTTAGGTTGAGTCTCTGCAGTTTGACAGAGATCAGCTGTTTTTCTCTGGCCTCAGCTCTGAAGTCCAACCCCTCCCATCTGAAAGATCTGGACCTGAGAAACAACAATCTGCAGGTTTCAGATGTGAAGCTGCTGTGTGATCTTCAGGAGAGTCCAGACTACAGACTGGAGACTCTGAGGTCAGTATAGAGTTAGAGTTAGTCTGTGCTGATCTCTCCTGTTCCTCTCCACACAGTATCACAGCAGATATTCAGTATTTCCTGCTGACTCTTCGACCCTCTCAGAGGATTATTTCTTTAGTGAAGCTGTGAGAACAGAAATCATCAAACCAGGAGTGTAAGAGTGTCAGTGATGAAAAAAGTGTCTCCTCGTCTCTATATTTCAGATCAAATGTAGAAATGAGACAAAATGAAACAGAAATGTTCAGTTTCTGCTCTGAAGTCCAGTTTATAGTTCTCTGTATTCAACACAGACTTTATTTCTCTGCTAACTTGTTGATTTTGAGCTCTAAGTCTGAAAACAGACAGCTGTTCTTTATACTTGTTATTTTCACAGCAGGTTTGTTCGATCAGCTTTAACACATTTGACAGGAATGATTTCTTTATTTTGATGATGTTGGTTTATTTGTGAGGAAACCTGCTGCTTTACACCATCACTTCTGGTCTGAGCAGGACTGAGACCTGCTGGTCTGTAAACTGGATGTTCTCCAGTCCAGCTGATGAAGTGAGTCTCAGAGCGGAAACACTGATCGTCTGTTTTTCTCTCCTCAGATGGATGTAACATCTGTCAGAGTGATGAAGAAGAGGATCATGTGTTTCCTGATGATCAGAGAGGTGGAGGCAGCAGCAGTGAGGGTGAGGTGAGTCTCTGACTGAGAGACTGACTGACCAATCACAGTGGGCGGAGAGGACTCTGGGAGCTGCACTTTGACCTGCTCTGAGATCAGCTCAGGACCTGGACTCTGGATATTTGATCTTTTCCCTCATATTCTGGGATCAAACAGTCTGAACAGGTTTGTTTTGTTGATGGAAACATGATCATAAATTTACACTTTGATTGGATTACTTTGTTTTTACCATGATGCAGCGCCACCCAGTGGAAATATTAAGAGGTGGAGTTGATTTATTTCCTCATATTTCAGGAGCAGGAGTTGATACCATGTGTGAGAGTAGATCAGTCAGAAGTTCTGATTAAACCCAAAGGTTTTTTCTTTCCTTTGCACCGTTAGAGACCGAATATAAACTGAAGGGAGAGGAAGAGAAGTGAGGAGAGATGGAGGTGAAGGGAGGAGGAGGAGGACAGGGTTTGGGGTTTGAACAAAAATCTGAAGCTTTATTCTTTCACTTGATTATTTTTATTCATTCATTTTCTTCTAAATTTTCTGAAATGATTGTAAATATTGACTGGAGGTAAATTGACCTTATTTTCTATTATTAGACATTATTTTCCGTCTCTTTACATGTTTTTGTTCTCATATCATCTTTGTGCTCATCAATAATCGATTCCCTCCTGTTTGGATGAACAAACACAATTATTAAACCATAAATGAGACCTGAGAGTAAAAGTAAAATGTGTGAAATATAATCAGTCAAAGGAAAGATTCTTGAACAGACACAAAATCATTATTTTTACTTGATTATGATGGAGAAGTTTTCCTCTGACAGACAAAAATAACCGTATTGACTGGAGTCTGGAAAAAGTGAGATCAGCATCTATTCAGGGTGAAGTCATTAACGTGGTCGATGCTGTTTTATAAACTCAGTGTTGTTGATTACAATCTCAGCTTCATAAATTGATGCTACAGTGGAGTGACTTCCTGTAAAATCCACTGGCTTTGTGAGACCGTCAGCTTTCAGGAGATCAGTTTGTGTTTCTGTGACACTCCAAAGCTTTTCTATCCCACAGAGAAGATCGGTGTGTTTTCAGAGACCTTCCTGATCCCATCCCTCCAAAATGAAAATAATCTGATGGTTTATGGATTAATTTCAGTAACAAAGTGTCATTTCTGTTGTTAGCCAATCAGAGGCTGTATCTGCCATCAGCTGACCTGTAAAGATCCAATCAGAAGCCAGGACAGCTCATGTCACAGTCTGCTCACACTACAGAAACATTAAACATAGAACTATTGTGAACAGATTTGTCCTCCTCAGCTTATCTAGTATCAATAGATCTATGCTCTGTCTGTGTAACACTATGTTGGTTCTTCATTTACATTAGAGCATTTTTGATTTCATTTCACCATCACAGCGTCATTTAAAGATAATAAAAACTTGATTTGAAACAAAACATGTTAAAAACATCAACTCAGCTTGTTTCATTCACTGTGTCCAATTGATTATTATGATTTTTAATTCAAACAAAAACTAGATTTGGTCTTTAAAAAGTCCTCAAAGTGAGTCTGAACAGTGGAGGAAGGTTTTCTCATCAGGGTGCTCCTATATTCAGGTCAATACGGTAGTGGATCATAGAGACTCAAAGCCTTGATTCAGCTGAGGCTGGAGGACGCTGCGTGAAGGAAAGTCGTGTGTTTAGTTGGTCTTAGTTTTTATTAAACAGGAACTTTGATTTGATCGTCTTTTCTTGGAGATCAAACTTCCTGTTGGACTCAAAGATGAAGTCTGTGATCCCCGTCAGGTTTGGAGACTTTAGTCTCACAGCAGAGTGACTGTGGCTCTGAGATGTTTGGACATGTTGAAATTGAAGCTTTTCTTTGAGGAAAACAAAGTTAATCGTGCAGCACAGTTGATTCATGTGTTTTTATTGGTGATGTTCTCTCTAAGGTTATTGTTCATTCAAAGTATGTGGTGGACAAATCCAAACATCTAACAAAAAACAAAGTAAAATATGAAGATAAGAGATTTCTGCATGACATCAACGATATTCTAGATTTAGTTTTCTAAGCAACAGGTGGTCGTCTCTTATAGGGGGTACTGTGATCCAGAAATCTGAAAAGGGGTTATTAAAGCAAAAGAAGAAAAACACATATACTGTATATATGTATACAGTATATGTATACTGTGTATATATATATCTTTCTCTCTCTGTTCGGTGAGTATGCTTCTTTTAACCCTCTCTTCAGCTTCTCCACACTCCAGAAAACTGTGGTCCTAGTGGGTTTAATTTGTTGTTTTTAAAATAAAGGGACACATCTGAGTAGATTACCAGCAGACCATGATCTGTCACCATGCCATCAGGTTACCTTTTTAACTAAAGACTCACCTCATGAGGTTTTAAGAGGGTCCTTCAGGCAAAGGTGCAGGTGTCATCAGTGCAGGGTCAGTTTTTCTTGTCTTATTTAGATAATGTTTCCTCTATAAAAGTGTGTAAAAAGTGTGTATACACATATTTATGGTACAAGTTAAAATGTAAAGTGACCTCACACTCATTCTGCATTTCAACATGGATTTATTTCTGAGTGTTAGGTTTCCTGTGCAGTGTTAAGGCTTTACATGTGTCACCAGAAGGGGGCAGGAGAGCCTGCATAATCCCTCAGCCCTCACATGTCTTTGTACTTACTGCAACATATCAACAGGTTGGGGGAACAGTTCTGTGGGAAGATAAAGCAGAAGACCAGGAAGTCCCAAAAAAAGGTTGGCAGACTTTTTTGCATCTGTGAGCTGTAGAGAAGCTGGGAGAGCAGCAGAGAGGTGTTTCCCATGTCCTGCAGAGAGAATCTCCTCTCAGAAAACAAGCAGGTTGTTTCTTTTCAACAGTCAGCGGAGACTTTCAGTCATTGTTAAAGAACTTAATAACTTGTGTCCATATGACTTGTTTTGTTGGTTTCACAACTGGAAGCATGTGCTGTTAATCCACTCTAAAAACCTTTAAGTCTCTAAGTCTTGGGGTTTGGCGAGTCAGGTTTGCTGGATTTTGGTGTGGCTTAAACCCAAACACTTGGCCCTGTGGAGCTGATGCCCATCCCCCTCAAAACCCAAACATTCACTCCTTCCAGACCCATCCAGCCCCAACTTTGTGTTTTTGGGTTGAACACCCCTCTTTCTTGTACAGAACCCCCTCGGTGACCCTCTCCCCTCCCTCCCTGCCTCTCTCTCTTTGCTTCTATCTGGGAGCAGTGAGAGCACCATTGCTCAAGCTCCCATTGAAAAGAGAGCATATACAATGGGGTCTTTCTCAGTCCCTCTCTGTCTCCATTAAAGACCCTGGGAACACAACACTGTCCAGCGAGCTGCTCTTAAAGGGCCAGCGAGACTCAGGTCTGAACAACCTGAGTCCAAACACCCCCATCATTTTTAGGAACAGGAAAAAAACACACAAAAAAAACAAGTTATTTAGATTACTGAGTTATTGAGTCACAGTCTACAACAGCACAACAAACCCTTCTGCATGACTGATGGGGATCAGAGTCAGCAGAGCTTATTTAGACTACAGCTGATGATGCTTCAGTCTGTTTGGGCTGCACCCGTACGATCAAACAAAGTCCCAGACATGCTGATTGTGTAAATCTCAGCCGTGTGGAGGGAAAGCAAACCAAAGAGTTTTGTAGATACACTTTTGTATGTCTGTCCTCTATTTACAGGCTGTTATTCATGACATTCATTTATGTGCATAGGTAAATTAATTTCAAAGTAGAAAGACAAACTCAATTCAGGAATTTACTTCATAAATTAATACTATTGGCCGATTAAGACATGTATCAATTATCTGAACTAGTTTAGGTGCAAATAACTGCATTGGTTTAATTTAACCATCTGTTTAGTATGACCCCAAAATAAACCAAGCTGTGTGTGTGTCAAACTCCTGAAATATCAGTTTAATGATGATAAAAATATGTTGACAGGCAAACACAGTTATTGACATTAAAGCTCCTGTGAGGGGGTTTTAGTCGTTTACTAGAAGAAGAACATGGGGATAAAGATTGATTACTCTGAAATGGTTTTAAGTCCTGACATCAACACAATTACAACAACAACGCTCTTATTATTATTACTTGGCAAATAAAACATGTAGGTTAAAAAAGTCAACTTTAGTGTCAAATATGCTGTACATGTTAAACACGCAGGACAGATGAAATTTCAGTCCTTTCAGACCCACGGTGCATAAGAATAAACTATAAAAGTATAAATATAAGAATAAACAACTTAGCTAAACAAAAGACCCTCAATTTACAAAATAATTTAACAAGATAAACAGCATGAGTATAAAGAGTGTAACAGTGTAAATATGAGGAACAAAGTGAATGGAAGAATTAGCCACAGTTGTATTTTCCGTTTTTAAGTTATCTCTCATTCACTCAGTGAGGAAACAGACCGGTTCATCTGTACTCCGATAATCTTATCGATCACCTTGTTTATCAGCTCTCAGGTCATTCTGCCTCCGAGGCGGGAAACGGCTGATTTACGGGCTTATTTACAACCTCTGGGGATCCGTGAGTAATTAAAAAGCGAATGGGGGATTGTTTAGAGACAATCAGCATGCCGCGGGGTTTCTCACATCCTCTGAGAAAAAGGAGGGAGACTCAGGAGGAGGAGGAGGAGGAGGAGAGAAGTTGAGTTGAGGAATTTGAGTCGTGTTTGAAGGGGGAGAGGGAAAAGACCGAGGCAGGGGGATGTCTGAGGGAGTCTGAGAGAGCCGGGGGACAGGAGAGACTTTGGACTATAAACTGAAGATTAAAAACACACAGATTCGATAATATTCCCATGATCGGTGGAAATAGATCGACTTCGTAAAACTTCGGATAGCTCCGGATAACTGAAGTTTCCTGCGCGTTTCTCTGTGCGCGTTTTGGCTGACTGTGATTTCGCTGGATGGCTCTCGGTGTCGGGATTGACCAAAACAACTCGACTAAGGGAAGAGGACTCAGTCGGAGGAGAACCTGTCTCCTTAGAAAGGGGAACTGAAACGACTTGATCGGATTTGCTTCGGTCTCGTCGGTGGATAATCACATTTTCTAACAGCGAAACTTCAACTTCGGATCTCTGAGATGCGGTGATGGAGTCGGCTTATTTTTCCGAGATGACTGCTCTTCTCTTTTCCACATGTTGTCCCTTCTCAACAAGAACCATGAGCTCATCTAGGTGGTCTGTTCTGATCCTCTTCATGGTTTTATCTGCTTGGAGACCGGCTGCTGCAGGCACACTGACAGGTAAGGTGAAATCTGTGAGAGTCCTAGCTCTCTGTTAGTTAGTCAACATTAAAAAAAACATCTTAATGAGCAATTAGCCCAGCCAGCCCTCTGCTTCTAACTCGTTAAATCAATTTGTTTTGGGTTTGTGAATCCAACCACAGCTGTGAGTGTGTTCAACATCTGGCTGACATGAAGGAATTCTTCACACCAATAAAAAACAAGATGATCAAAACAGTTTTAATGAAGACACTGTTTTATGAAGGATTTCAAGGTGTAGTTGCTGCAGGTAGACTTTTTTTTTAATGGAGAGCTGCTTTTGTTGACTTTGTTGACTGGTTTTGGTTGAAGGGTCATGTTTTTAGTACAGCTGCAGGATACATCCCTCTGCACACTGCATACTCTTCCTGGGAACAGATCCAAACAAGGAATCCAGACAGGAATCCCCACCAGTCATGGCATTTCCAGAGCAGTATGGAATTTTCAGAGTTGTATCCCTGGCAGGGAAAGGCTGAGAGGTTAAATAAATCTTGCCGGGAAGTGAGAAAATCCTTAAAGTCGCCCCAGAAGCCTGCAGCTGAAAGTCATGGAAAATTGTTTTGAGTCTCTGGAAATTGTACATCGGTGATACCCACCCTAGAAACCCTGCCAGCCATCATTTAGACCATCTATCTGAACTCTGAAATCCATCAGATACTTCAACCAGAGGATGAGAACATGGGGTCCCTGCAGGGGCCTCCACCTGTCAGCTCACGTGTTCAGACCATCACAGTCACAGCGTCTCTCAGACACAGGCAGGACAGACCCCGCTGTGATTTATAAGCTCAGACTGAAAGTTTCAGAGAGAAGTTTTCCTGATGCCTCAGTTCCTCTTTGGATGAAGGCTCAGGAGTGAGGGATGAGGAGGGGCTCAGGGGGGCGAATGCTTTGGTTTGTGAGTCAGAGTTGGTCTGAGTCAGACTCGGAGCAGTGAGTTGATGGATGGGGTACGGGGGCAAGAGTGGAGGAGAAAGAGTCGGGAGGGGAGGTGGCAAAATGTGTAGCAATGAATCCGAAGAATGGTATGAAAAGAAGGCTAAATGGGAAAAGGGCAAAAGGCGCGGCAGTGAATGGAGGGGCTGAAATACGCAGAGTTAAAAAGCCGAAAAACAGATAAAGGAGGGAGTGGGGAGGATAAATGCTCAGACTGTGTCGGGTATTTTTGGTATGTGCCTGTCCACTGACATTTAACATTTGAGCGGAGTAGGAGCAGAGAGAGGCAGATCATGAAAAAAGTGTGGGACCTCGAGGGAATTCAGGGGACAAAGGGGAGGAGATGGAGTAGTTGAGCACAAATGAATCATTGGAGACAGGCCCCACACATAAACACACACTCAGACACACACAGAGAGTTTAACTACAGCGTGCCCTCTCTGTCTACCTCTGCATTAAAAGGTTTACAAGCTTATCATTATATGAAAGAAGCCCGAAGAGACAGAGACAGAAAGTAGGGCTGTTTTTGTTCAATAAGACACAAAGTCAGGGTCAGGCAGATTCTTGAAAGAGCTCAGCCAAGCTTAAAAATAAAGGGAGGAATGACTTTTTACGCCAAAAAGCACACAGAGACAGAGAGGCGGTGGAGCAGAGACACAGCGGGCCTCTTCATTTATTGCACACTCCCTGAACAAGCATTTCTAATTCTGGGTTTGTGTTTGTATTTGTGGAGCACATTTACAGGATCATGGGTGTGTTTTCCATACAAGTAGAAGAAGTTCTGCCAAAATCTGCTTTTTACATTACAGGTCTGTTTTTACTGGCTCCAAGTACGAACATTTGCGTGAGATAGGTTGTAGTGGAGTCCTCTGGGGTCACGGTGCAGGGTCAGAGGTTGAAGGTTGGGCCATGAAACAGAAGAGAAGGGCGGGTTGACAAGCTTGAGAAAATCTTTACAGGCATCATCATCAGTCAGAGAAACAAGCGTGATTTATTCATGTCCTGAAATCCAAGAAACACAAGCCGAGTTTGCACGTTCTCATATCTTTGTCCACCTCATGAAGACGGTGAGAGGTCGGCCTCGTCTTCCTCTGCTCTGTAGATGTTCGGCTGGTTTGTGAGAGGAAACGTGTTTTTGCAGAACGTCATCAATCTTTATCTTTGAACTGCGAGCACGCCTCGACTTCCATGTTCTCAGGAGCACTTCTCATTTCTGTTTAATGTCTGAGGAGTCTGAAAAAGCATATTTCTGATGACCCTCCTCGACTCATTTTCTGGATGTTTAACAGACGCTCAGACATCTTGGCAGACGACCTGCAGGCCTATCATTGCTGTTGGAGAGAAACCTTGGATATTTGAAGTGTTTGTGTTGAGCTCTCTGTGCTCTGACACTGAGCGGCCGTCAGCTAACAAGGATCCTTTGTGCGTGGATCGGCTCTGTCCTTCTCAGGTCAGCCTGTCTGTCAGTCAGGGACACCAGATAAGCCGACTCACTCAAATAAAACCAGGAACTCAAAGTTCACCTGCTGCTATCATACCGTATTTATCAGCAGAAGCACACAGACTAATGATGATTTTACTTGATCTAACAACAACTCAGGTGACCAGATTTTACCAGAGAAAATTGTACTCCTCATCCTGCATCTTCCCCCTCTTTTTCTTAAAGATTTGGAGTTTGAGCGGAGTCCAACCACCATCATTTCCTCTCTGGGAAAACCTGTGACAATGCACTGCATGTTAAAGGGGACAGGTGGCGAGGAAGAGGACCCTCCTGATGTCATCTGGCTGAGAGACGGCGTGCCCCTTCAGTACTCCGACACCAACCAGTTCCAAGTCCACACTGGCAGCAACAGCTGGACCATAATGAGCACGCTCAGGTAGGCAGTGCTTTTCCTTCACACTTACTCACTTCAGGAGATTTACCAACAAAGGCTGTGAGGCGGCCACACCTGTCTGAAAAATGTCAATCATGCACCTGCTGTGATTGTCCTATTTTCCTGTTCGTCCACCTTATCTCCTCACCCTGTTAAACCAGTACCTTTGCTGGAGTAGCACGTCATGTACCATTGATATTAATCAGTGCTATTGTAAGCTCCATTACATTTATATTCTATTTATATATGTTTGTTTTAAAGAACATGTTCTGTCCCTTTTAATCGAGTCTGTGCAGTTTGAAATGAAGTAAAAAGGAAATGATTAGAGTGAGTTTGGTCCATGAATGTCTCCCTTCTGTATCTCACTTTAATTAGCATGTTTGTCTGTTACTTTAAATTTATGAAACCTGTTTTCTCTCCAACAGTATTGAGAAGGTCCAGCTGCCTGACATGGGCTCCTATCAATGCGCTGTTTTATCGGAGAGCCAACAGATTCTGTCTGAGGAGGGGGGAATCCAGCTGGAGGGTGAGTTCATCTTCAGCCACGGCAACAAAAATAAGCAGGTCCTCTTTGAGGGATCTGAGGTTTTATTTGGATTGGATTGAGTCCCTGATTCAGCTAAATCCTCCTCAGGTCTTCCTCATTTCTCGGTGGAACCCCAGCACATCTCTGTGGTGGCCAACGTAACCCTGAGCCTGAGGTGTGTGGCCCATGGACCTCCAGAGCCAGTCAGGGTCATCTGGCTGCAGGACGGCGCTCCTCTCAACTCCCTGACAGACCCGGTGGCCCTCTCGCCATCAACACTCAACCTCACAGGTATCGTCTTTCACCCTTTATTACCCCAGCGGGCTTAAGCTCCATGTACACAGCTTGGTTTAACCATTAAAACACACGGCCTCAGTCAACTCCTCTTACTTTGAAATGACACAGCCTGATGTTCAGTGACGTGGAGGAACAGTCTGGGGCTTTAGCTCCGAAATGTTTGGTCTATAAAGTTTGTGAAGTGTTACATAACTTCTGAAGAAGAGTGGAAAACTTTTTAGTTAGCAGTTGCAGGATAGTTCCACAATCATGTCTTTGGACTGATTAAAATGTTCTCCCTCAAAACCTACGCGGTTAACATCCACCAAACTTTAAAAGACCTTCAAGCCTCCTTTCCAGGTGTAGGTGCCATATGCAGAAGTGGTTAGGTTTGTGTGTGTTGACATCAACTGTCTGGGCTGCACCTTTCATGCACGTCACGAGGGGGTGTGGTCAAGGCGCGATGATTGAATGATTGAATGAATGGACATATAGTCACCTGGGTGCTGCGGCGGCTGCATGGAGAGGGGGTGAGTAGGGAGAGCGTATTTTTTGTTGACCGCTTGATTTAAACGTCAAACTAAGCCCATAGATCATCTTGCCTTGCCTTGCCCTGTCTGTCTGTTTGTGCGGCGTTGGAAATAAATGTGAACTCAATCGGAAAACACGGAAATGGCTTGTGGTTTGTGTAGCGAGTCACCAATGCGGAAGCTCCCTCACTTAGCCTCTCAGTGACTTTGTTTTCGTTCCTAGTCACTATAGCTGCGTCCGAATTGCCAAGTAGTAGTCGAAGTAGTAGTCGAAGTAGTATCTAGCATGTCCGAATTGGCCACCGGAGCGAGTAGCATGCTACTTCAGATACTACTTCAGATGCTAGACACGCCCACATTGTAGGTTGGTCTCGGTGCATCCTACGGGCATGCTACTGACCCAAAATGCACCGCGGGCTTCTTCTTCGTCCTCTTAAAAGTTGTAGAAGCGCATGTGATGCTAGCGCCACCAGCCGCTCTGCCTATTTAAATGTGTCGCGAACGCCGGCTGGCCGCAGCAGCGCGCACCATGTCGGAGCAGCAGCAGCAGCAGGCAGGACCGCAGCAGTACAGATGTAAGTTTCATGTAACTTCACACACTGTCCTAAAAAATGTGCGGTTGTATCTCTTTGTCATGTCATGGTGTCATATTTGCCCAAGTAATCATTTTATGAGCAAGTGGCGAAATCATGGAGGTAAAGCTCACTTATTCCATCATTAAACTGCACAGCTGCAGTACTACAGCCAGGCCCGCAGATGAGGGGCTTCAGTTACCACTGTCTGCACGGGCGCAGTACCTACTCTCTGCCTGCGGGGGTCGTCTTTCCCCACCGCTCGTCTAGTGTGTCCGAATTGGGCCAACGTTTTTAGTATGTAGGAGTAGGATCTAGCAGTAGCACGTAGCAGTAGCATGTAGTATCCGAGCGGGCAGTTCGGACGCAGCATCTATTTTGTCAACAAAAAAGGAGTACCAACACCCGAACGGCATATACGGACGCGATCACGCCACACGGTGTCTAACTGCAACGCCAGACTGATCGCAACGTGGACTTCAGACCGGTAGGACTGTATCACTCGCATCCATTCATTCTGTGTATGTTGGACGGAACGCAGTTTGATTACAGCGCATACAGCGCATCCATTGGGGAGCGCTGTGCGTGTGTGAAAGTCCGCTGAGACAGCCTGTCCTGCTCGTTGAGAGTAAATACCTGTGGTGTTTTCCGATGTTAATTGATGTGAAACAATCTGTGGAAAAATAAAACTATGCTGGGTGTATTGTGGATTCACTGCGCGAACCACTGAACTGCCGAATCTCAAAAGGACAATATGAGTGAAGCCATGGAACAAGTGGAAAACAACGAAACTGTGGTTGCTAAAAGGAATGTGAAACTTACTGCAAAAGCATTGGCATATAAAGTGGTAAATCTACAAAATGAACGTAAAACACATGTGAATAAAATAAAAGGCTTAATACCTGCAATGAAAGAGCTGATGAAACGAAAGGAAAATGTACAGGAAGTGAAATCTCAGTTGCAAACTATTACTCAGCTCCTTGATACTGCTGTCAACTTGCATCAAACAATAATTCCACTGTTACCTGAGGATGAAAAACTTAAACAGAATGATTGGTTCTCCAGTATTGAACGTTACAGCAGTACATTCAAGGATGATGTGATTCAGTGGTTGGATGAGAATGAACATGTTCTAAATATCGTGGATAATGATGAGGCCGCAGCAACAAAGCATGTGTGTGACCCTCAAATAGATGATGCTTTACAGGCAGCAGCACAGGACACAGGCCCCATCACACCTTATGAAGGTCCACAGGATGACGTGAACCCAAGTGATAGCATATCAAATGTGCAAAGCAAACGATCTGCAAAAAGTGCTGTGAGTGGAAAAAGCTCTGGGAGTGGTAAAAGGTCCAACGTATCAGGAACTTCTTCTGCTCGCATCAAGGCAGAAGCTGATTTAGCTGCACTGATGGCACGGCAAAAACTTTTACAGGACAGACATGCACTGGAAGAGGAGGAGCAGCAAATACGGAAACGCAAGGAAAAGCTCAAGTTGGATGAAGAGATTGCTGCACACTTGGCTAAAGTGAGCGTTCTAAGGGCTGCAAGCATATCTGGTTCGAAAAGTATTACAACAGACAGGTCCAATGCAATGAGTTCCTACGTTAAAAATGAACAAGAAACAACAAAGTTCAATGTCAATGCCACTCCTTTCATTCCTCTGAGGCTGGAAACATCTAAACAGCAATCGAAAATCATGGACAGTGACCCTGTGACAAGGCCTAAATCAGATGGATCGACCCATGCTGTTCACTTTCAGCCTCCCACTTTGAAGAGCCACTTACCTGATTTTAATCCTCTGCTCAATGCTCATAATGATCACTTACATCATGGAATCAGTCTTAATGTTGGGGATTCAGCAAGTCATGGGGAGCAAAACAATGTTCTTGACATCATGAAAAGACAGAATGAAATTACAACACTACTGATACAACAGCAGCAACATGCGCTCTTGCCTAAAAGAGACATCCAGGTGTTTGATGGTGACCCACTGCAGTTCCATACGTTCCTGAGAGCCTTTGAAAACTGTATTGAAAGCAAGTCCAACAGTCATAGTGATTGCCTGTACTTCCTCGAGCAATACACTAGAGGTCGTCCAAGAGATCTTGTGAGAAGCTGCCAGCATATGGACCCAAACAGGGGCTATGCTCAAGCTAAAATCCTATTACAAGAACATTTTGGGGATGAACAGAGGGTTGCTGCTGCTTATATGGACAAGGCGTTGTCATGGGCCCCAATAAAATCAGAGGACGTTAAAGCTCTCCAAGATTATAGCCTATTTCTCAGAGGCTGCGCAAATGCGATGAACGAAGTGCAGTATATGTTCGAAATGGATATGCCTGCTAACATGCTGACAATAATAAAAAAACTGCCTTACAAGCTGAGGGATCGATGGAGGACAACTGCTTGTGAAATACAAGAAAGACGTAACCAAAGGGCTACATTTAATGATATTGTCCATTTCATCGAAAGGCAAGCAAAGATTCTAACAGACCCAGTATTTGGAGACATTCAAGACTCATCACCAGCAGCAAACAGATGCATGAATCGAACCAGCTTAAAACCTAGATCTCGGCCAAAGGGAAGTAGTTTCGCTACAACAGTGACTACTGTACAGCACAATTACACAGCAACAAAAGGAAGGAGGCCAGACACAACCTCATCAGCCAAGAAAGTCTGTCTGTTTTGTGAGGGTGGGCACATGTTGGAGTATTGCTCTCGAATGGAGAAGATGACTCACACTGAAAAGATCACCTTTTTAAGGGAAAAGGGAATATGCTTCGGCTGTTTGTGTATAGGACACATCAGCAAGGACTGTCGAAAGCGTCTATCATGTAAAGTGTGTAGTTTGAAACACCCCACAGTGCTTCACATCCATTCAAAGGAAAAGGACCCAGTGACAGAAGAAGAACCAGGCGCCGCAGTGGGCTGTGCTCTGGTATCTAATGGGTTGACTGGGGCTGGTGGCCATGAGTGCAAGCTTCCTATAGTTCCTGTATTGGTAAAATCCAAGAAAGGTAATCATGTAGTGGCTACTTATGCCTTCTTGGATCAAGGTAGCACGGCTGTTTTCTGCACAGTAAACCTCATGAACAAGCTCAACCTCTCAGGAAAAAGGACAAGAATCCTTTTGCGGACAATGGGTCAGGAGAAGGTCGTTAACAGCTGTGTGGTCACGGGACTGGAGGTGGCCGGTTTGGACGGAGAGACGTACTGTGATTTGCCCAACACCTATACACAGGAGTGCATGCCGGTGCATAGAGGAAATATTCCGCGTCAAAAGGATCTCGAGAGGTGGGCATACTTGAGAGATGTTCACTTACCTGATATCGACTCCGAAGTTGAGCTGTTGATTGGAACAAATGTACCAAGGGCACTGGAACCATTACAAGTCATCCGTAGTGTGGACAATGGACCGTATGCCATCAAGACTATCTTGGGTTGGACTGTTAATGGGCCACTGGGGGGAGACAGTGGCGATGGAATGGATGTTGTGACCGTTAACAGAATTTCAGTCCTGAACTTGGAGGAGCTCTGGCAGCAGCAGTTCAGAACAGATTTCCCAGAATGTGGCTACGATGAGCAACCTGGCCAGTCAAGAGAGGACCAAAAGTTCATGAAGTTGGTCCAGGATTCAGCCAAGCTTGTAGATGGTCATTACCAGATTGCATTGCCCCTGCGAAGCTCCGTGACCATGCCAAACAACAAGAAGGTTGCCGAGCAGCGTGCTCTAAACCTGAAGAGGAGGTTCAAAAGGGACTCGTTATTTCATCAGCAGTATACTGATTTCATGAATGATATGGTCACCAAGGGATACGCAGAGCAAGTACCTTCAGATGAGCTGGCACGTACTGATGGAAGATTGTGGTATATCCCACACCATGGTGTGTATCACCCTCAAAAAGGAAAAATCCGTGTGGTTTTTGACTGTGCTGCCACTTTCCAGTCAGCATCTCTCAACGCTCAACTGGTGCAAGGGCCGGATCTCACTAGCTCACTGATTGGCGTCCTGGCCAGATTCCGGAAAGAACCGGTTGTGATCATGGCAGACATAGAGTCCATGTTTCACCAAGTAAAGGTGCCAAGGGAAGACGCTGATCTACTGAGGTTTCTCTGGTGGCCCAACGGTGACTGCACCCAAGATCTGGTAGACTTCAGAATGTTGGTACATCTTTTTGGTGCAACGTCCTCACCAAGTTGTGCTAACTTTGCATTGAGGAAATGTGCTAAGGACAATGAAGAACAGTTCTGCCGAGAGACCATTGAGAGGATTCTGCACTGCTTTTATGTGGACGATTGTCTGGTGTCGACGGCCAGTGAGGAAGAAGCAGTGGCACTGTATCATGACCTGGTCTCTGTATGTGCCAAAGGAGGCTTTAAGTTGACCAAATGGATGAGCAATAGCCGTGCAGTGATGGCAGCAATTCCAGGGGACCAAAGAGCTAAGGGCATGAAGGACCTGGATTTGGACCATGACCTGCTACCAGTGGAGAGGGTGCTCGGGGTGCAATGGTGCATCCAGTCTGATGTCTTCAAGTTTAGAATCCTGGTGCAGGACAGGCCCCTGACAAGGAGGGGGATCCTCTCTGTCATCAGTTCAGTATATGATCCTCTAGGAATCCTGAGTCCCATTGTTCTTTCTGCCAAGATCATCCTGCAGGAGCTGTGTAGGCAAAGACTCGGTTGGGATGACCCTATACCACCATCAGCTGCACAGGAATGGACGAGCTGGTTAGAGGAGCTCCATCAGTTAGAGCACTTCCAGGTTTCGCGGTGCCTTAAACCCCCAGACTTTGGTGAGGTCACTGTGGCGCAACTGCACCATTTTACAGATGCAAGTAATAATGGTTATGGTGTAGTGACCTACCTTCTCCTGCGGAATGCATGTTCCCAGATGCACAGCAGCTTTGTCATGGGAAAGTCCAGGGTGTCTCCTTTGAAGCCGGTCTCAATACCCCGTATGGAGCTCACAGCTGCTACAATGGCAAGCCGTCTGGACACCTTTTGGAAAAAGGAGTTGCACATCTCATTAATAGAGTCAACGTTTTGGACTGACAGCACCTCTGTGCTGAAGTACATCAGGAATGAGACTTCCAGGTTCCGTACCTTTGTCGCCAACAGGGTAGCAGAAATACTCAAAGTGTCAGATCCATCGCAGTGGAAGTATGTAAACACCCTAAGCAATCCTGCAGATGTGGCCTCCAGGGGACTGAGGGTTGACATGTTCCTGAGGAACAAGGCGTGGTTGTCAGGACCTGCATATCTCCTGCAACCTGAACGAGACTGGCCTGTGAGTCCAGATTGCTTGGGCGAACTCCTGCTGAACGATCCAGAAGTCAAGGCCAGTGTGGCAGTGAATGCAGTGCAGGCCTCAGAGGATGTGGATGCAACCACTCAACTAATCCATCATTTTTCCTCTTGGACCCATCTGAGAAGGGCTGTGGCTTGGTTTCTCAGGCTAAAAAACATGCTGCGGGGTCTCAGCCAGAAGAGGACATGGACTGACTCTGCGTCCACTCAGTCGGAGTCAGGGAAACAACAAAGACCGTCCTCGGAGCTTGGAAAAGGAGGGTTCAAAGACCTGGCACCGAGAGGTTTCCTCACGGTAGACGAGTTGCAGGTAGCTGAAAAGGAAATCATCAGGTTTTGTCAGAGGAAGAGGTTTCCTGATGAACTCTCTAGTTTGCAGGAGGGCGAAAGTGTGAAAAGGAGAAGTCACATCTTCAAGCTCGCTCCTGTGTCGGAGGATGGTATCCTGAGGGTTGGTGGTCGGTTGAGCCGAGCAGCCTTACCTGAAGACGCAAAACACCCTGCCATTCTGACCAAAGAGCTCCACATTTCAGACGTTCTCCTGAGACACATACATCAACAAGTTGGTCATGGAGGACGCAACTACATGTTGTCCAAACTACGTGAAAGATACTGGATTCCTGGGGTCAGCACAGCCATAAGGAGAATTTTGTCAAAGTGTGTTGTCTGCCGCAGGTTGCAAGCTGCCCCAGGGTGTCAGCTGATGGCTGATCTTCCTGTTGACAGGGTCTGCCCAGACGAACCTCCATTCACCAGAGTCGGTGTGGACTACTTTGGACCATTCGAGGTTAAGAGCCGGAGGAACATTGTAAAGAGATATGGAGTCATGTTCACCTGTTTGGCAATACGGGCTGTTCATATCGAAGTGGCTCCTTCGCTGGATACAGACGCCTTTATTAATGCACTACGACGATTCATGGCAAGACGTGGCCAAGTCCAAGAAATTCGATCAGACAATGGAACGAACTTTATTGGAGGAGAGCGTGAGCTGAGAGAGGCTATCAGAGGTTGGAATCAAGCTCAGATAAATGGTGTTCTTCTTCAGAAGGAGGTGAAATGGATTTTTAACCCCCCAGCTGGATCGCACCATGGTGGTGCCTGGGAAAGGTTGATCAGATCAGTGCGCAAGGTCTTGAACTCCATCTTGAAGTTCAAAATCTGGATGAGGAGGGATTACACACTGTCCTCTGTGAGGTGGAAGCAGTCATTAACGGCCGTCCAATTACTAAGGCCTCAACCGACCCTAACGACCTCGAAGCTCTGACACCTAACCATCTCTTGCTGTTGAAAACCTCTCCTTCCCTGCCACCTGGGCAGTTTCAAAGAGACGACATCTACGCTCATCGACGCTGGAGGCAGGTCCAGTACATGTCTGATTTATTTTGGAAGCGATGGACTAAGGAGTATTTGCCACAGTTGCAGGAACGTCAGAAGTGGACTGGTATCAAGCGCAACTTTGTAGAAGGGGACGTTGTGCTTATTGTGGATGAAACAGCACCACGGAACTCGTGGGTCATGGGAAGGGTTATCCAAACCTTCCCAGACAGAAGAGGATTTGTGCGACGGCTGCAGATCAAGACCAAGACCAGCTCCTTGGAAAGGCCCATAACCAAAGTCTGTCTTCTGCAGGAATCGGATGCCTGACTCTTCCGTTCTGGAAGGATAGTTTGATTGACTTTACTGACCGACAGCACGACATGACTTTCCTCCGTGAAGCTGTGTGTCTGAACTTTTGAACTTGGCTAGACTTGACTTGTGTTCCAGGAAGAAGAGCACATTGATGAACTGTATTGATGGACTATTACAAGAACATTGGTGGATTTCGTGGTTCGTTTATTTGTCATAGTGTAATTATTATAATGGTAATAATTAGGGGCTGGGTTGTAGGTGCCATATGCAGAAGTGGTTAGGTTTGTGTGTGTTGACATCAACTGTCTGGGCTGCACCTTTCATGCACGTCACGAGGGGGTGTGGTCAAGGCGCGATGATTGAATGATTGAATGAATGGACATATAGTCACCTGGGTGCTGCGGCGGCTGCATGGAGAGGGGGTGAGTAGGGAGAGCGTATTTTTTGTTGACCGCTTGATTTAAACGTCAAACTAAGCCCATAGATCATCTTGCCTTGCCTTGCCCTGTCTGTCTGTTTGTGCGGCGTTGGAAATAAATGTGAACTCAATCGGAAAACACGGAAATGGCTTGTGGTTTGTGTAGCGAGTCACCAATGCGGAAGCTCCCTCACTTAGCCTCTCAGTGACTTTGTTTTCGTTCCTAGTCACTATACCAGGGATTAAACAAAACAGGGTAATGACCACACTCCCCAGAGAGCCGGCCTGCTGGCACAATACCAGTGGATCCATTGAGGATGTGTCTGGTGGTTTTTGTGGTTGATGGGTAAAGGAAGAGCGGCGGGCACAAGAGGGATTGAAGGGGGAAGGAAAATAGATGGGCAGAGGAAAAAGGAAGATGAAAGAAATAAGGAGAGAAAAGCTTCTGTTCCTGCTTGAATGCAAACCACGGCTGCATGCCAGCTAGATGGTCTGTGTTCAGTCCAGTGGTAGGAGGACAGGCTGAGTCAGACAGGAGGAGGGAGGAGCAGGCGGCAGGATCTGTTTTGACTCATCGGAGCAGGCTGGCTGGTGCTGACCAGAGCCCGTTTGACGGTAACCTACACTCACGTCTTTGGTATGGACAGCTGCTTTAGCAGACCACAGGTTCAAACCAGTGAAAACACAAATAATCTTTCAATAGGCCCATAAAGGGAAATGGCATGAAGTACATGCCAACCATGAAGAAGTCCAGAGCAAAACACATGCCTGGGGCTCACAGTAAGAAGAGGTTTCCTCCGGTTCATGTGTGATGAGCAGTGAAGAAACCGAAGCTCTTTATCTGCTCAGTCCATCAGTTTCAGGAGCAGGTTGATAAGGTTGAGTGATTCCAAGTCCTTTGTATCCTGAGACAGAAATCTTTAAGAGATTTACTGCAACTTATGAGTTCATGTGGTAATTTAAAGTGACACAATAACACACTGTCCCTGTACTGATTAGAAATGTGCAAAAACGGGTCCAAAAGTCCTGTGCTGCGAACGAAACTACAGGAAAACCTTAAATATTGTTCCTTTCAAATATAAAAGTCATTCATGAAGTAAAACGCTTAAATATTTACACACTTCAGCTTCTACAAATCTTAAAATTTAATAATAATAACTTTATTTTTAAAGCACTTTTAAAAACAGAAGTTTACAAAGTGCTTTGACATACAGTCACAGAGCACATGGAAAAAGACATAAAAAAACAAAAAGCTCATTTAAAACAGAATTAAAGGCCGTTTTCATGTCATGAAGAACCCAGAAAATGCAAGAACCATGCAACATAAAATGAGGCCATGAGGACCAAAACAAAAACATGAAATAGTTCAGAAAAAGAAAATGCAATTAAATGGGGGTGTTGAAAGTGGAAACAGGATAGTCAAAATAAAAGACAATTTCAATAATGATAACCAAATAATAACAAGTAAGATTGATAATAATAGTAATGATAAAACAGAGCAACAGAAATGAGCAAGGGAAAAAACAATAAAAGGCCTAAAAGGTTAATTAAGAAAAGAAGATAACAAATAGTTTAACAAAAGCTAAAAACATAGTAAAGCTGAAATAAGATCGAGGTAGAAGAGAAAAGAGATGACAGAGAAACGATCAAAAATAAAAGATAATAAAAACGACATCACATAAAAGCAAATCTGTGAAAGTGAAAAAAAAGTTAGAAGCTTTTTCCCTTTTATTTTTTAAACTTCTTTACATTTCAAATCGTAAGTCTACTAAAAAAATCATCCCTCTGAAATGATCCTGGATCATCATCAGGCCTCATCACCATTTCAGTTCAAACACTTCTTCATCAGCACAAACACATCGTTGATTTTTGATTATGAAAATATGATTTAATACTCATATTGAAAACCAAACTTAAAGCCCAGTATGTCACAGTTTTAAATAGTTTCAGATTTTACTTCACAAGAAAGGGAAGCACTAAACTCATCGTCCGCTGACATCAGCACTGTTGGTCAACGCGGGGAGGCTTATGTGTTCCTCCTGGTGACCGATTATGACGGTTTCAGCTGACCGGGGGGGTGTTGTGTTGCGGTTTTCTGACTGGGAAGGAAAGAGACACAAGGGCAAGTGGTGCAATTTAGCGATGGCCTGATGGGGAGTTAATTCACCCACACAGCAGTGGTCATCCCTCGGCCCTCCCTTCTTTTCCTCTCTCACAATCCCTCACTTCACCCAGCGAGGATCGTACCCCCTGTTCTTTTTCCGGCCTCAGCACAATGGAGGCATGGTGCCGTCGGCGCAGAGCAACACTGCGTAATGCTGTGCGAGTGTCAGTTTGTGGCTGATTGACAATGTCAGGGTGTTAGATAACCGTGATAAAACTCAAATGTCACATGTTTCAGAGTGTGTGTGTTTTTGTTGTGGAATGATTCGAGAGTGTGTGTGAGCACGCTCTGAGTCACTTTGTGAGAGGACTCATTCTCTGTTGACTGTCAGAGTGTGTCACTCTGTTTGCCCCCTTCAGAGGAGCCGGGGCCTCTTCAGGCTTTTTTCACCTGGACTTCAACATGTCGGCTCTCTTTGTTCATGAATCTACACAGCAGAGAATATTCAACTTTGGCTGCTTTACAACTTTAGAACTGCTATCAGATTGTCAGATTAATAATGATACTTTGGTTTCAGATAGAGGAAAGTGTGATTCATGTACAGTTTAGTTCCCCATTGCAACTAAAGCATTCTGAAAATCTCCATAAAAGTGATCTGCATGTCTAAAAATGACCTGGGGCTGTTTGAAGGATTTATAACTGTGACCTTATGGGTCCTTATGCTGGAGAAAGTGAGATTTGGTGGATGTGAAGGCACTTCTTTGGACCTGGATCCGGATACAAACAGAGCTCAAGCTTCGCGTTCTTTAGAGCCTTATTTTTGCATTTTTGCATGTATCCTTGAGGTTTATGAATACATACATACATGTATATAAATATATATATATATATATATATATATAAGCGACTAAAAAGTTTGACTATGCGCGCAAATAGCTGTGAAACACCTGTGCTTCATGATTAACTCTTTTTATCTCAAAGAAAATCTGCCATTTTACTATGTCCAAACATCCCGACTCACAGCCACGTTATTCAGGTCTGTAATAAACTAAAGCATTTGTAAATCTGTCAAGATTTCAGCGAGTTAAGAATATTTTACTCACCTCCTTAGCTACCAGAGAGCATACCAGAATAGTGTACTGGAGTAAGATGGCCGCCGTGTTAGACTTTCTTATATATATATATATCTATGTTACGATAACGGGCCAGACAGAGCAGTACCACCGGAAACCGCGGGGGCAGTGTTGTTGCTGTCACTACACGATACGCATCTCTAAAGAGAAAAGAAGACAGTGGCGGGACGAAGCAAGTTGTCGAATATCACGGCAAACATCCTAAAGTTACTGGAAATGACGATCGTCGTCAGTTTCTCTCATCGGTACGACTAGAAAAAATAATTCTCCGTCCTCCACCGGCGAGGCATTTAGTGTCCTGACCGACCACTACCTCCTTCAACGCTGCCTCTGTTTCTGTCTCTTAAGCAAAATCTACATTATCACTATCTCCCCCACGGTCGCCATGTTTGTTTTTGTTTGTTTGTTGTCAGAAACGTTTGACTCCGGCCTGCCCCCTGGTGGATGTAATGGTTAACAGTCATGCCGACGTAGAGGACACATGGAAATATGTGGGCAGCGACGGAACCATCGTTTGAAACGTTTGGCGAGCATAAATGAGCCGTTGGTCCACAGTTTTTAAACGTATAAAAACGCCGTTTAAAGCAGGATCATCTCACTGATTCCCATCACTTCTTCTCACTTCGGTTTGAACTTTCACACTCTCTCACACCACCCTGCAGCATGCTGAGCACAGGTTCTTGGTGTTAGAAATACCCTGAATGTTCCTGCCTTACACGTCTATGTCGTTTCCGTCCAGGTCTAAACAGGACCAGCACCTTTTCTTGTGAGGCCCATAACCGCAAAGGTGTGGCCACCTCTGGATCTGGAACCATCACAGGTAGGCATCACATTGTCAGCCCTTTTTTTCCAGTTTGGTTGCAGGTTTTTAATTCATGATTATTCAGCATTGAAGTCTTTGTTTTTAACGAGTTTACTGTCTCTCTGTCTGTAGTTCTTCCATCCCAGCCTCGGAACCTGAGAGCTGCAGAGATCACCCCGACCAGTCTTCGAATAACATGGCAGCCTGGTTTTGGAGGCGACTACCCGATTGTTCGTTGTTCTGTTCAGGTGAGACGACATCCGCCAAAATATGAGGAGAGACTGAAACCTCTGCAGCTGTTTGACCTGCTTTTCAAACAAATACATCGCTCTTCCTTTATGCAGACTCGTCGTACCTTTTTGCAAGCCCAGTTTTAAAGAAAAGAGAGTTTGCTTTCTTCTTTTAACTCATCCTCTACCCTCCCTGTTTTATTCATGTACCAGTGGATCAGGTTTCACTCTGGGAAAGTGGCCTCCTGGACTAATCTTATGCAGCACCACTCCCTCTCCCTCTCTCTCTCTCTCTCCCTCTCTGGTGTGGCCACTACAGCTCTTAGCAGAGAGGAGGAACTTTTTCTCCTGGAGAAGGGAGCAGTGCAGCACCACCCCTAAACGTCTGGTTCTAATAAAGCTGCCCCTCATACCTCTTGCTGTTCTTACCCCCACCCCTCCCCTTCAGCCCTCCCTCACCCTCATGGGGAACAAGGCGAGGGGCCAGCCTCGGCAGAATGGGGCAAAAATCTGAATTTAACGGCTCATTGTGTGCTGAAGGGAAACATGAAAAAGCGAACTGTGTGGGGAGAAGAGAGATATGAATGTACTACAGAAAGAAAGACGGGGAGATGGAGAAAGAGAGCGAACAAAAGAGAGAATGAACAGACAGATGTAAAGGAGAGAAAGTCAGTCAGAAGAAACAGGAAGAGGCAGTGACAGCAGGTATTGTGGGTCTGAGCCATACAAGGGGAATGTAGTCTGAAGTGTGACTCAGGGCTGAGCTGTACTATCAGATTAAATAGTTGTTTACAGGCGGAGCGGTGATTCATGGAGTCAGGAATGGAGCTCATTCTCTTTCTCTCTCTCACACACACACACTCATTCACAGGATTTATTATTCTTTTGGATCACACCACGAGCTCACGCCATCACTGACCCAGCTTCTTATGAGACCTCTGAATTAAGGCTGCACGATATTGGAAAAAAATAATATTGCGATTTTTTCAACCCTGCGATATATATTGCGATATTAAAAATACAGTATTTTCACCAGATGACCTGAATAGCACTTAATGTTATGCTGCACTGCTGAAATCTTGAGGACAGTTAATCTGCTCTGATTTTACCTCTTTTTGTGAATGTTAGTAGAACGGCTTCTGTCTGTCTCAGAGATATTTTTAGCTTTTATTGTTCTGGGACGTTATTGTGGCAACAGATGAACACATAACACGTGTTTTGGTCGACATCATCCTTCTTTTAACCGAAATAATTCCAGATAACTGACTTTCCTTTTCTTTTTGGCAACAAATCTTCATTTTCGGTGGTTTTCGCTTGTTCGTTGTTCATTTTGCGATCGTTGTTGTTGTTGTTAGCGGTGTTGTGCCGAGAAACGCATGTCCTCCGAGAATTGCATGCACCTCGCAAAACGCGCACCGCTTATAGTAGAGTGGTCCACGGAAATGTACAATTTAAAACCCATACAGTTCTTATTTGTTGGGCTTAATAGTCATGAGTAAAGTTCCGAAAGTAATTCTCAGCCGACACACGTCTCCCTCCATGTGCAGAACATGTGCAGGGGTGGGTTTTCTCCTCCCTGATTTTGATTGACAGCTGGCAGGGTAGTCTGATTGGCAACTGATAAGTGAGTCTGATTGGCAACTGAGTTAAGGACGAAGGCGATTGGTGGATCGCTGCACAGCACATGCAGAGTCACATGGAGTGTATCTCAGTCGGTTACCCTTGAAATTAAATGAGTTCATTCACCTCCAATATCACAGGCTCTGCGATGTGACTATCGCACACACGTACATCGCGATGACGATAGTCAAACGATATATCGTTCAGGCCTACTCTGAATACTCATGTTGTTTTGAGAGTCATAGTCGAAGCCGTTCAAAGTCGCACCTGCTGCACTCACATGTCTGTTGTTTTTTTGTGGCTGCTCATTTGTTATTCTGCTGTTTCTGCAGTCTGATCTCTTACTGTGAAGCCCACCCTGCGTATTACTAACTGCAGCCTCAAACCTGTAGGAGATCTTTTATAATGAGCCAAGCTGCCGAGAACAATCGTCCAGATCTGCATCTTTAATGTGGTTTGAAGATTGCTGCAATGAAGGATTTTTCCTGGCTTGTGTTCCTCTTAAAATGTGTTTACCACCGAGAATTTGCAGAGGCAGCAGGTTTCTGACAGGAGGTTTGTTTGATGGCTTCTGCTTTCACTGCACCTTTTTAAGCCGGGGTCATGTTTAAAGCTGCAGTGAAGCAGATTTTTACACCATTTTTGGCTTTTATCACTTTAATGACCATCCCCCCACCTCTATTACTGCACACACCAACTCCAACCTCCTGACTTTTCCTCCACTAAACTCTGTCTCCAAACTCTGTTTTTTGTTCTGTGTGTAGAAATGAAAATCATGTTTTGATTACAAAAAGAGGAAGTTTTTTTTTCCAATCCTTTAAATGTACGTGATTGAATTTCTAACTTTAACCTACAAAAAGATTTTTTCCAGTTAGAGCATTTATAGTGCCAGTATTGTCTATTCATGCACAGTTTTTTGCACAATTGTTGTAATCAACTGCAGAAAAATGGTGATATTTGTTAAATTTAATGGATGTATTTGTTGCTAAGTTAAGAACAGTGTCTTGTTTGTGTTTTCAGACACCAAAGCTGATAACCCGCTCTGAACTCTAGTCTAAACAGCGGTGCGGGCCAAAACTCTTTTCAAACTGTTGTCTGTATTTTCCAGGCCAAGCATTCGGGGGAGCCTTACACCGCCGGCCCAGATAAGATGATCCACAACCAGAATGTGAACATCCCACCAGCCACACACTTCATCGGGGACCTGGAGCCCCACACCCTGTACGCAGTCAGGGTTGCCTGTCACAGCAGCCAGGGTCCGTCTGACTGGTCTCCCTGGGTGGAGCTACGCACCAAAGAAGGAGGTGAGCCCTCCAAGTGGAGAGATGTTTGTTTTCACTCTGTGAAGTGTGTGCGTGGGATCACCTCCTTTTAAGTGAGTCAGGGTCAAGGCTGTGTTCTCGGGCTACTGATTGAGGTCCAAGTCCAAGTCTCCTCCTACTCCTGCAGAGGACTGTAACCACTACAAGACAGAGGCAGAAACATGCATGGTTTAGTGACCTGTTTGGAGAGTTTTGGATTGTTTGCGCATAAATCATGTGCAAACTTTACTTTTTTGCATTTAAATACTAGTTATTTCATTTCTTCTCCATGCAGGGGTTAATGATTATAAATGTTGTACTGTAGCTGTTTTTAATGACTGCTTAAACTAATAGTTTTCAGTCAAATACTCAAAGAAAGTCACCTTCCTGACCCCTGGGGTGCAGGGTCTCATACTGAAAGATGGTACATTTAAAGACGTTCCCTTAATTATCAAGACCAGTCAGATGATCTTTGAAAGAGCTTGTGCCCCATGTCTAATTTCTTCTGCTTTTATTATGATTTTTTTAGCCTGTCAGGCACGTTGGGAACATACAGTCTGTTATTATAAGACGGAGTCTGTGAATCAAGTTTCTGTGCACCGCTAGTCATAATATTTCTTTATGTACCCGTTCACTTAGTCTGTGTTTATGAAGAGTACCAGACACGAGTCACTGTACCTCCACCAGCCCAGTTTCAAAAGTAAACTCATGAAGAAGAAGGCTGCCTGACTGGTCGTGAAGGGACAGAGTAGGAGGAGGCGGAGCCAAGCTGAGGAGAAGGAGGAGGAGGAGGGTGGAGGTTAAAGTCGCCTGAAAGGCCTCAGTTAGGGTTGTACCACTCTGTCAGTGTTTGAGTTCGAACCGAGGTGGGATTTTCCATGCCAGCTCATGCTGTCTCTATCCCTGGATAAATGGGAGTGGAAACAGAGTAGAGGAAAGATCTGCCACTGGAGGGATGATGGGGGCTTTCCATAGTTGAGGGTTCCTTCTAATTGAAAAGATTTCGACATAACAGTTCTCATAACTACGGAAAGTGAGAAGTGGATTTGAAATGCTTCTCCTTCAGAAAAGGACAAGAAGTTGGTTTGAGACCAAGCGAGCGTTTTCAGGTTTCAGTTCTTGGTTGTGACGGAGTTCTGGTTTTGTTTCAGGGGAAAAATCTCTGGGTTTTGTTTTCCTCTGGATTGTACTGCTGCTTCATTCCTGCACATGCAGCTCCCTCTGCACTTGTTCCATTGAGCCAGAGGATAAAAGGAGACCAAGATAAGATTTATCTTGTGGTCAAAGATAGTTCAGAAGGTATTTAAGGCCAAAGACAGGAGAGAGCGAAGGAGGAAAGGTGGGCCGCTCACAGAAAGCTCCCACAAGGCTCTGTTGTTGAGCCTGAATCTTTCTGTCTTCCACATTTGTTCCCCGTTAATAAATTAGCAGATTTATGTGATTTCATCCTGGCATAGACAGCCACATTTCTGCTCCTCTGTCTCCTCCCTCGTTCTCCTTTTTTCACTTTATTCAGATTTGTCCCTGTTTAATTTCATGTGAAGTCCATAATCGGTCCTCCGGGGCTTCTCTTACTATCATGTGGTGCAATCGCCTCGTTCTACCTCACATGCTCCAAACTGTTGAGTTTATTTCCTGCATCTTAAAAAGCTGAAGAATTTTTTCCATACTCAGTCTTTTTAACTTCACCCCCCCGTCTTTCATTTCCCCCCTTTTTTGACCCCAGATGACCTTTGATTTTTCTTTCCACAGCACACAGCGAGGCACTGTGGGAAAGACAAAAAATAGGGTTAATGGTGGTGGTGCATAAGGAATGGATGCAAGGGAAGGGGGTGCTTTGAGAAAACACTAATTTTGCTATTTTCCCAAAGCTGGCTATTTTCCCCGGGGGGAGAGAACAGAGGAGAGGGAGGCGGGGGGAGAGGAAGTGAGGTGACCCGCTGTGTCACTCATCTAATCCTAAAGCTACACTCAGACTTTCCTCTGTGTACTCTATCTATCAGGGCTGTAAAGGCCTACTCGACTGGTCGACTCATCGGTCGATACGACTCGATTTTTCCTGCATCAATTTACAGACTTCTTGTGCTGATATCAGAATATTTTCACCCCGACGAGCTAAACTGAGGGAAGGGTTTGCCGTTAGAGTCGGAACCACCCCCCGATTAGTCGATTTTTGGTAGAAAATTTCAGGGTTTTAGTCGACCAAAAACTTCTTTGTTTGATAAAAATCCAAGTATATATCATAGAAGCAATGACTGTATAGATCTGTGGTTGTACAGTTTCATGTGTTTCTGTGATACTAGATTGAATCCTGAGCTCTGATGGAAGTGAGTCACAGCGAAGCGGGTCATCACACACATGTGTCACATTTAATCCTGCTTAGTGCGACTGAAAGTTTTAGAGGAATCCATTTACTCAACAATCTGCTCTGCTGTCAAATCTAAACGAGGTGGATGTCCTTAAAGGACGTTTTCTGATGACACCGATATTTGAGCTGCTGACTGACCCGGGGATTGTTTCCCCAGCGTAGTGCTGCTGAGTTTGTTTTCATAAATGGATGTTAAATCCAAAGGTTATGAGTCAACGTTTGGCTCCAGAAAGACTCCTTTCCATCCACGTGTTGAGCCACACAGTGACTAACTGTACTGAGAGCAAGAAATGAGGAGACCAGAGAGAGCAATAGTGTCTGAAGCTGTCCAACATGTCCTTTCAACAGTGTGTCTCCTATAGCGGGATATAAAACAGTAGTGCGCCGTACATCCAGATGTTAACCTCTGCTGTTGTGAACTAATTGCAGCTTAAATTTGTTTGTTTCTCAGCATCTCGCCAAGTCTCGGCTGCTTTCATGAGAACAGGAGGAGGAATTTTTTCTCAGCAGTTTCATAAAGTGGGAGCAGCAGCAGCAGCAACAACCTCGGGTCCTCCTTTTCCTGGTTTTAACTTCTAAAATGTTGCAATGAGAGTCCTTCCAGTAAAAACTGCTTTTTCTCCTCCTACACAAATTTTTACATCAACAATTCACATCTCTGTTCCCTCGGAGTCGAAGCTCCATGACAGAAAAGAGAGTGGCATTACCGCAGAGAGGGCGGCGGTGAGAGGAGAGAAGCTGGAAAGAAGGAGAGGGGATCATGTTGGACGGGGACAGGGGGTGATGTAGAAAGGCTGAAAGCGATTGGGTAGGACGCAAAGAGGTGGAGAAGGAGGCAGAGAGACCGAGAGATGACTGGTCCTAGGTGGAGACGAACTCCTGGAACAAACTCCACTTCAGGGCTGTTTTTGCTGCGAGAGCAGGGACCGCATGTGGAAACAATCACCCGCCAAATGCTTCCTGATAACATCATCCGTAGACTGGGCCGTGTTTCCCAAACTCACAGTGACTGGGTCTGTGTGTGTGTGTGTGTGTGCGTCAGTGAGAGTGTGAGTTTGTGTGACTGTGGGCTGCTAAGAGGTTGAGAAGCAAAGACAAAGAAACCCTGAACTCTGACTGCAACAAAGGAAATAAGCACTGTCGTCTCCTTACTTAAGGGTCCTGGATTTCTGGGCTATTCAGAGCTTCATCCACACACACACTAACACACACAAACACAAATACACAAATTCCTCCTGCTATTTCTAGCATGTTACTCAGCTAAGTTTTCTCTCCACTCGGTCTTGCTGCCTTTTTTTTCCCCGTCTGCTCCAGAGAGCTGAAAAGAAAAGGACAGATGAATGAATAAAGCTGGGACAAGGATGGACAGCATGAAGTTAGCGACCTCAGCATGTGTCCATCTGAGTCCACTCATCCGTGCTTAGACACAGAGGGCCCTCTGGCTTCTGAACTCGGCTAATCGCCTCTGTCTCTGGCGCTCTCTGCTCGCCTTTTCATCCTAATTAAGTTGAATTCTCTAAATTCCCTGACAGCGTCTTCATCCAGCTGTTGTGCTTATCCACACCCTGGAGGCTCGAGGCTGTCAAAACAACACACGTCCTGGGTAACCCTCAGCCCACTGGCCCCTGACCAACAGGCCCACAGCAGCAGCAGCTCTGTTAGCGTTTATCTACACCCTCTGCTGCATCTTCACCTCAGAAAAAGAATCAAATCTGTGAACAGAGGTGGAGGAATGACTTCAAAGATTTGTCGTGTTTTGTGTTTCAGTGCCAGAAAACCCGCCTGTCAACGTGACCGCCGTTCTGAACGGGACGGAGGTGCTGATGATGTGGGAGGAGCCTCCAGGAAAGCTGAATGGAGAACTGCAGGGTTACGTGGTGGAGTACAGCACACCTGCAGCCCCACAGGTCAGTCCGGGACACCAGAACCTGGTTTATACTTCAGGATCAGATCTGTGACCAAGAACAGGTTCCGTTAGGGACCCACAGTTTTTCACAACCGACACGATCTCGATTCCTGAATTCTGATATCTGCTGATACTGATATTATTCCGATACCAGCGCTCTGTTAGCTTTACCATCATTATTATCATTATTGTTTGTTTTATATGAGGCTGTAATAAACTCCTCTCTCCAGGCAAATATACATACGTATTATTTCCTGAACGGAGGCGTGTCTCATCTGCAGCCAGCAAGAATCACTTATACAGTCATTTCAGCAGACAAAGTTAAAGCAAAGATATAAAATTTTGGTTGGATTGGAAATTTCTGATCCATGAATTTCGTTGGTATCAGAACCTGATACTGGATCTGATCGGCCCCAGCAGGTTTATGGAGCTGCTGTGGAACCTCCTCCTGATATTGATCGTCTGCTTTGTTTCCGTTCTCTGCAGCTTGTTGTGGATACTGGATTGGACACTGAGCTGTCAATCAATCTGTCCCTCCCCCTGTCCAATGTGTCATTTAGAGTGTGTGCTTATACAGGGGCGGGGCAAGGACCCTGGACCCCCATACAGACCCTTAATCTTGTCGAGCCTGGTGAGTAATAACTTTATACTTTGACTCGTGAATCTCTGAACTGAAATGTTATTTTATGACTTTAAGAGATTTTTAATTAAGATGTTGTTTTCTATGAATCCTGCTGCTTATTTCTCCAAACAAACGTGTTTTTTTCTCACTCTGAATTCAGTGTTTTGACTCGAGTTCTCCTTTTTTTTTAATTCCCACAGAAATGGAGGAATTTCGAGGTGAGTGTAATGACTGACTTTGCTCATTCAGACCCACAAATTTGCTCTTCTGTAACCTCCCAGAGGGGCATGTAATGACACAGTGACAGTCGAAGTGAGCTCATGAGACTTCTCTGTCTTACTCTCGGTCACTGGGTTCCTGAGAGATCCTTCCTGTGTATCTCAGCAAAAACAAGGAAGGAAGTGAAAAAAGAGAAGAGGGGATCTCAGGGAGACCGAAAAGGGGAAGAGAGAGAGAGAGGGGAGCCGGGTGAATGGGGGAGACGCGTCATAAATATTTATAACAGGCAGGAACAGTGTAGCATCTCTGTTTGCTTAGTCTAATAGAGCCAGACAGACGATTCAGACAACAAGAAAGGCAGATAAAAAGAGAGAGGCAGGGAAAGTTGGGGGAGGATGAGTGTGAGAGAAAGAAAGGGAGGAGAAGTGGAAAACAGTGGGTGGAGGTCGTGAGGGAATAACATAGTTGGTGGGGGAGCAAACAGAACGAGACTCTAGGAAACAGGAGGTGGAGACCAAGTGGATTAGATGATCCAGTTTGTTGATTACAGATTTAATTATAACACACACACACACACACACACACACACACACACACACACACACACACACACACACACACACACACACACACTCATCATAATCATCAGTGTGTGAGAGAATACAGAAACAGCTGCTGTTGAAAACTTCTGAACTTGTTTGTTATTTTTTGTCACCTTGGTTTCTCCATGATCCTAAACTCTCTGTCTCCCTAATTTAACTGTCATCCTTCTCTGTCCACACCCCTCCTTCCCTCCCTCCCTCCTTCCCTCCCTCCTTCCCTCCCTCAGGTCCCTCTTCTCCTCAGGCCTTTTCCTGGCACTGGTGGTATGTGGTGATGGCCATCGCCGGCGCCGTATCCATAGCTGTGCTGATGGCTGTTTACGTGGCCAAGCTGCGGCGCAAGGAGACGCGCTTTGGGTGCGTAGGCTATTAGCGCTCCTCGTGGGTGGAAGGGAGGGACGGGTTAGATGTGCCAAACCAAAGTTTTGAGGGTTTTTTTCGGCTCCTTGACCCAGTTGTTGCCTCTGTTCTTCATGCATTCTTTAGCATTTGGATGGAGTAGAAAACATCTGTTTTGCCGTGTTTTCTGCCGTGTTTGTACATGCTCTGGAGGAGATCTGTCATGTGATCTGTTCTGTGTTGTATGCTGCATGTGTGCGTTCACAGGGAGGCGTTTGAACCCATGATGGAAAGCGGAGAACTGGTGGTCAGGTACCGTGCACGCCGCACCTACAGCCGCAGGACGACTGAGGCAACATGTGAGTTCCCCGCTCTGCTGCCGCTGCATGTTTCTCAAGAAGATGACACTGTTTGGAGTTTGCACCTCACTGTCCTCTGAGCAGGCCCGAACCTGCGCCTGTCCCCGGGACACAAAGCAATATGAACAGAGTAGCATAATGGCATCTCCTCCTTCGCCCTCGGCCTGGATCCAACTCTCGGCTAAGAGGATATATTTTTCTGTCACGACACACGCTGACGATCCTGCTCTTCTTTAGTCGTTCGTGTTGTTGGAAGGAAGGGTTCAGGATTACCAATGGTCGATTTGTTCCTCACAGCTGTGAAAATAACCCTGGAGTGTTGAGTCAGCTGACAGACTCCTCAACAACACTGGGAGCTTCACACTTTTGACTCACCGTTTCATCCTTTTATAATTCAGCCGGTTCGATGTGCAGGAAATTCATTTGAGGGGTCTGCTCTGTGAAATCAGGAATGAACTGAATTTGATCTGACCAGAATTCATTTCAGGCATTTACAAAGAGAGCAGAGGAAGGAGGTGAGAGAGGGAAGTCAAGATAACAGCAAACTGGAGAGGTTGGCGGTGTGGGGGGAAAGGATATCATTTCATAAGCGGGTGACTCTCATAGGAGTGGGATTTCAAACTGAAACAGCCTGTAACAACAGATGAGGTGCTGCCTGACTGATCTCACTGGAGTCAAAGAGGGTCGGCTCACCTCTGGGAGGAAGGTGGGGTTTCAAATCCAGGTGCAGCAGCTCCTCATAGAAAGGTCGCAGTGGTTTGTGTGCTGTCATGATCACAGACACAGATATGTTACTGTAAACACACACACACACACACTCACATTTCACACAGCTGGCTTACATTCAAGCCCTGACACTGTCCCTGGTGTGTGTGTGCACTATATCTGTCTAGACCTCATACACAAGTCTCAGCTTGCCACAGCCGTGAAGAGGACGAGGGGAAGCAAAACAAAAAGTACGAAAAAACTTGTTCAGTGAGTAAAATGAGAGCGGCTGAGGGGACGAGATGTGGAGATAGTGAGTGTGAGTTTGCTGGGAATAAAGGAAGAGGTCAGATCGGGGGGATTTGGGTGGGATTTATGTTGCTGTCGCTGACCAGGAATTTGGGCCAATTCTCCGGACATAGTTCAACTCTCCAGTTATTGCACGCATTGACTAATAGGCGGTCACGGCAGCATATGTCAGAACATGCCTGAGGAGTGAGCGCATTGTTGTCCGGCGTGTGGCAGATTGATCGTGTAGCAGCAGCAGCAGCTGGAGGGGAATCTCAGAGTTTGTCGTTGTCGACTCGTCATATTCTGGCCCAGATGTGAAAAACAGAGGTAACGTCTGCAGCTCCATCAGCTCAGCGACAGCCAGCTGGACCAGGGATGTGGAGAGAAAACTGAACCAGATTAAATCCTCTGACATCAACCTGGTTCCTGGAGGATTATGTGCTCATGTGTCCCACACCTAAAAAGTGGTCTGCAGGGATTGTGAGGCTCCATGACAGATTCTCTCTGGAGGTTCAATTAAATCCAACTTTTGTTCACTTTTGGGCCTGCCGTCATTTTGTTCATATTATATATCATATTTAGTAAAGTTGTGTATTTGGAAAACAATGCTAATGAATATGTCACTTTATGTTTTTCATTTTTCCCACAAGAACAAAAATATTTAATCAAATTTTTGAAGCTTTTTATGTTACAGGATAAAAAGGCTTGAGTGCACGTTTTTTTCTTGTTGTTGTGTTAATAACACTTTCTGCGTTTACAATCTTTTCTTTGCTGCTTATTGCTTCATTAAAGTTCCTTGTTTTTCCCCCTCAGTGAACAGCCTCGGCATCAGTGACGAGCTGAAGCAGAAACTCCAAGACGTGATGGTGGACAGACACAAACTGACTCTAGGAAAGACGCTCGGGGAAGGTGAGCTTTGTTTTGTCCTTTAAAGGTGTGTCAGGAGCATTTCTAGGACAGATGGAGTTAATATTTACAGAAACAGAGCAGGGAGTGGCTGAACACTTCAAGTCCATATCATCGCTGTCTGATGAAAAACTCATATCTCCACTTTTAGCGATCTGGACTTTTTTCTATACATGCACAGTCCATAATCCTCCCTAACAACCCAATGGAAAGACATTTTATAACATCATCTTTTCAATAAATATCTCCATCGGGTGTTGGAAGTGTCGAGAAAGCACGTATCTCCCACCCTGACCCTGAGTTGTCATGTCAGCAAACAGACTTTACACTGTGACGGACTCATTACAGTCCAGGGTGATGCTACACTCATGTCTCATGTCAGCGTTGTTTACCTGGACGTTAGATTTCTTGAGTCGAAGTTCATCCCCAGAGTCAAAGCTGCAGCTGTTTTCTGTCTCTTTCTCCGTCTTTTAATGTCTCCACTGGTATTTAAGTGAAATCAGAGCCAGAATTTTATTGAAAACCAATTAATTTAATAGAGTAAGAACTCAAAACACATTTTTCAGTTGGTTTTTCAGAATACCTGCATTGGTCACAGACACTAGTGCATGTTAAATTTTGAGTCATGACTCAAAAAGGTTGAAAACCAAAGCACTATGTGGAAATGTAGGATAGCCGGCTATCAATAGTTTATCGACATAAACAGGATACTTTAAATAACCGAGCGCATTATGAAGAAAATACTAGAGATTTCAATTTCAGGTCCTAATTGTGTCTAATTACAGTGTTTTGGGTTTATTCTGTAAAATAGTTAATGAATAAAATAGTTTTTTAATGTTCCTGAAAAAAAAAAACATTTGGAGATGTGTGTTTTTGATTGGACAGCGACGATATACAAGCTGAATATACCGTGCTTGTTCTTGTTCCACTTATCTCCATTCACACAGGGTTATATTTCTCTGTATGAAAACGACTCTAACAGTAATTTACTGTTTGTTTTTTAATGAGAAAGTGTTTGATGTTGTTTTTGTGTTTCTTCCTGTAGGAGAGTTCGGCTCTGTGATGGAGGGTCTTCTCACTCAGGAGGAGTCTGTTCTCAAAGTAGCTGTCAAGACGATGAAGAGTGAGTAGACAGTTAAAGTACTCAGAAATCACCACAATGAACCCCCTTCATCGAGGACACACAGGCTTTTTGACGGGCAGCCCCTCGGGTCAGAAATTAACAAGCGTTTTGGACAAAAATTTCACTTCTTTATCAGAAAACAGACAAAGACGCAGCTTGTAGGAAATATTGGCCGAAGGAGCGTTTGACCTCGTGTAAACCGCAACAAAAAAGTAAAGTCAATCATAAAACAACTGCAGTTTTCAGAGCAGCTTTGGAGTCTGAAAACAGAATCTTACGTAAGATTTCTGCCAGTTTGGTGTTCTGACATCATTATTCATTCATATAATCAGTCATGAAAGCTGCAAACATGTAATCATTGATGATCTGATAACTTCAGAAGCCAAAACACCCTTTGAAATGAAATTATTTATGACCCCGCCATTGTTTGCTGTTCGCCTCACACGAACCACATGGTCTCTCTTGTGTTCTGTCTTTCCTCCAGTCGCGATCTGCACCCGCTCTGAGATGGAGGACTTTCTGCGAGAGGCCGCCTGCATGAAAGAGTTTGACCACCCCAACGTCATGAGGCTTCTGGGTAAGTCAGGATTCATGAAGGCTGGTCGTGTCAAAGGTCGGGCGACAGCCTGTGGTGATGGGTTTGAGATTACTTTAAAGGTTGTATCAGGAGAAAAACACGCCACAAACTTCTGCAGCGCACTTAGTTTTGAGCAATCTTTGATTAAAAATCTCTAAAATTAAATCCTCAAACATATTTAGTGAGAAAATCCAAAGTTAGATAAACAACCTGTTTTATTTTCACTGTAGTTAATTCCAGATTGACCTGCTGTTGAGAGCGGGAGTGAAAACACGTCTCGTTAAAGGTACAGAACATGTATTTGATCTGTGTGTGTAAGACTCAGCTGCTGTGTTTTCACAGGTGTGTGTCTGCAGACTGTGGAGAGTGAAGGTTACCCCTCCCCCGTGGTCATCCTCCCCTACATGAAACACGGAGACCTGCACAGTTATCTGCTCTACTCCAGGCTGGGAGACTGTCCCGTGGTTAGTCTGATTACAAACAATAAAAGCACCGAGTCAGCAGCAACACTAATGAGCACATCCAGGCAGTCACACACACACACACACACACACACACATTTCACACAGAGTCTCACAAAGTTTAACTTCTTGATGGTTCTGGGCTTTAGAAGTTCACAGAAAGGTCCGTCAGCAGAGCGCTATCCAAAGGTCATCACAGACAGAGTATTTGTTACAGCGCGCCCCTCTGCACGCGTTTTGGCCGCACGCACGCACACACTCTGAAGTCATGGAAACACACAATGTGCGTCGATTCCTCAGTGTTTGTAGTTAATGGATGAGGTGGTTTTTTGGAACCCAGAACTGTTACTCAGTAAGTCCCCCCAGATCTGGGTTGAGAAATGCGAGCCTAATCAAAACAAGATTGCTGCAGAATGTTGAAATATCCAGTTCGGCGAGCGTTCACAAACACAATGGTGCTGAACCTGATTCTTCCCACAGGAAAAGGCTGTTAGTATTTTTTTAAAGCAGGGAGCACTCGGTTCACTCTCAGAGAGGTGGACTCCAGCGCCCCCTACTGTTCAGAAAGTGACTGTTCCTCTTTGTGCCGTCCTGCAGTACCTCCCATCTCAAATGCTGGTGAAGTTTATGACCGATATCGCCCGAGGAATGGAGTACCTCAGCAGCAAAAACTTCATCCACAGAGACCTCGCTGCTCGCAACTGCATGTAAGCACAATCCCAGATTCCTCTTCTCGCTCTCTCGGTTCCTGTTATCACTCCTTCTTTCGTTTTCTGTCCTTACACTAAGAAGTTCTTATAATGAGTTAAGAAACCCTGAAAAGAAATAACACTTTGATGCTTTGGACTTTAAATAAAGTAAGTGTACGTGTTTATATGCAGTTTCCTCCAACAGCTCTGAGCTTTAATGCAGATGTTCACTAAACCTCTGGTCGTCTCTGTAGGCTGAACGAGAACATGAATGTATGTGTGGCGGACTTTGGCCTCTCCAAGAAGATCTACAACGGAGATTACTACAGACAGGGCCGGATATCAAAGATGCCCGTCAAATGGATCGCTATCGAGAGCTTGGCCGACCGAGTCTACACGACCAAGAGTGACGTGGTTAGTATTGTTGGAGGGGCCCATGTGCACGTGTAAAAATAAATGTGCGTTCTTGAGAGAATTGTGCGTAAAGTAGGCTGTCCTCAGGATAAACACGGCTCTGTTCTGTCCTCCGTTCATGTTTGACTGCTGCAGATTCATGTTTGAGTAGAGAGAGGCTTCAGACCTCCTTAACTCTTCCCCTCTCTCTTCCTGCGTCCCTTTTAATAAATGTCTCTCTTCCCCCTCCCCCCCTCAGTGGTCATTTGGAGTCACGATGTGGGAGATCGCCACGCGGGGCCAGACTCCTTACCCTGGGGTGGAAAACAGTGAGATTTATGATTATCTGAGACAGGGAAACCGTCTCAAACAGCCTCCAGACTGTCTGGACTGCATGTAAGTATCAGTCCTTCTCCGCACACAAACACACAGTCTCGTGTGTGTATAATTAACATTCTCATTTTCATCCTCTTCAGATACTCCATCATGTTCTCCTGCTGGCTCCTGAGCCCAAAGGATCGTCCGTCATTCGAGTCTCTGCGCTGCGAGCTGGAAAAGGCCCTTGAGGATCTGCCAGACCCTCAGGACCCAGATGAGATCTTGTACGTCAACATGGATGAGTCCTCTATGGAGCTCGGGGCCGTTGGTGGACGTGACCCTATTGGAGGGCCGTCCCCTCTCTGTCTGAAGGGCCTTGACTCTGTGACCACAGCCGAGGTCCATCACCCAAACCGGTACGTCCTCTGTCCTCAACACGAGACCAATCGGGCCCTCAGTGATTCCTTGGAGAGTCTGGACATGCCGGTGTCGTCCTCCACGGCCACGCTACCCCTACAGCCCTCCTGCCACTCCACCCCCAACCCCACCCCAGCCCCCACACCAACTGTGGAGCTGATGGAGGACAGGGAAGGGTCCAGGAAAATGCCGTGGCAATGATGGTTTCACTCTTTAAACATGACTCATCATCACTGCCAAACTGTGCCATCCTTTCACTCCAGACCCACACCCAGACCGAGCCTCTGCTGCTGACTGTACGAAACCTCACGTGCCCCTTTGTACGTCATTTGCACAAATATTGTCGCACTCAGCTGAAAGGATTGGATCGGCGTTATTTCCCGTGTTGGCCCCTTACTTCTCCAATACTGGATGTGATTCGTGTGATCAGCGGGAGGAACTCGGCTTCCAACGATGAGAGGACTGTGAGCATGTTTGAAAACACGCTCCGCACACTGCAGCACAATCAAAGAAACAAACACCCTGTCGTAAAGCAATAATACAGACTTCAACTACAGCTATCTTTGTCCTGGTGATTAAGCTAAAAACATCTAAAGTGTCTGTGAAACCAGCTCACACTGCCAACTACAGCCGAACACACTCAGGAGCTCGAACCGTCCATGGAGTAAGCGCTGATGTGGAGGACTCTCACCAGCTCAGGAAACGTCCTCTGAATCAGGATCTCGGCTTCTCCTGCAAACCAACCTGCAGGATTTGTATGAAGGAGCCTCTGAGGCCCCCGTCAGGTCGAGAGGAATGACTGTTTTCTGGTTTTTATGATCAAAGTTTGTGAAGGATCACATGATTTTTTTAGGCCGATGTTGTTGCGCCGTAAACTTTTAAACCCTGTTGTTTTTGGTTTCCCACAGAGAATCGTAAAAGTGCAAATTTGACTCATGATATCTGAATTAAGGGCTCCTTCACCCGACATGAAGAGACTGTTTTCATATTAATACTGCAGAATGACAGTAATTAGCTAAAACTGCCTTCTTTATACAGTTTCCTGTGAAGCTGCCTTATTTGAGTGACCTTCATCCCATCAGTTTAGACTAGGGGTCGACTGATAATGGTTTTTTAGGGCCAATGAAGTCACTGATTAGGAGTTCATGAAGATTTAAACTCTACAAAGTTTTAAAACTTTGTTGAAATTCTTTTTGACAATAATTCAAACTGAAATGTTCAAAATAATTTAGAAATTACCCTGTTTTACTCACAGTACAGTTACGTCTGTTTAGCCTCTCAGATGATGTTGTAGTGGAGGCAGAGGGTTTGGACAGAGCGGTGAAAGAAAACAGACCCAGAGGGACACTCACAGCAGCAGTAGTGCACTTTGTAGTTGACTAATTTTATCAACTATCTTTTCAGTAAAAAAAACAACAGATAAAAAACAGATGTCAAATATCGGCCCTAAAATTGTCTCAGACCGATCATTGATCTGCCCCTAGTTTGAGAAATCTTCTCCAGGTCTTGTGTTGTTGTTGTTGTTCTTTTAGGACCATGAGCCAACTGTCCTCACTGACCGGTGAGACACCTTTGCATGTCCTTTAAAAATCTGAAGTCGTAACTCAGGAACCTGAGACTGAGCAGGGACAGAGGTACTGTTCACACCAAGGGGGTACGAATAATCAGAGGTGGATTAATGGACTGAGGGAGTCGGTACAGACGGTGGGATAACCTGAGGCGAAGGGCAGGATAAGCTCCTCACCTTCGCCTTTGACTCAAGCACAGTGTTATTACAGTTGTAATTGTTTTATGCGTTTTTTTTAAGTCTTCAGTTTTGCACTAATGTTTTATATCAGTGTATGTTTGTTTGTTTGTATATCATTTTTGTTTCTTCGTGTTACGTTTGTAATTACTCTTCGGACACGCTGTAGATGCCTCGTATGAAATCAGCCGACATGTAACAACCCAGAAAAATAGTCAGAGCGAAACCTGTGAAAGTAAAGCAGGGCCTCAAACTCCATCCACAGGGTAGAGATGGGAAACATGACTAACCTCATCATCTTACATCATCCTACCACTTGTTATTCCAGGATGTGTTTGTTTCTTGAGGTTTAGCACTGTAAATAGAAGTCTGTTACACGTAGAGTCGAGGATGAGGACACAGGGAGCAGAAGCTGAAAAGCAAATTAAAGTTTGGACATCCCAACGTCTGCTCCGGAGAAACTCATCAGCTTCAACTTTGCATCATGTATGCACTTATTTTTATATATAAATCTATTTCATACCAGTATCCTAATTTGCCATTGGAGTGGATTTCAACACACGTTTTTGGAGACCATTTGTCTGATTGAGTTGCTGTTTTTTGTTGTATGCATTAAAGGTACTTTTCTATGTAAAACAGATAGAGAAACACCTCTGGTACTGTACGTTTAGAGTAAGAGTCAAATATGACGGTGAACCGTGAGTATGAAACGATACAATAAGGGCGTATTAAACACTCTGGTCTTTTTAAATGTACTCCAGCTAAAACTCATGATCCTCTGTGACTCCTCTGTTCAGCCTTACATCTTTGAATTTCATGGATTTGCCTTCAGTGCCTTTACAGAGCCAGTATTTTGCATTACTCAAGATTTGTGACTGATTCTCCTGGTGTGCTGAATTAGGAGAAGACTGTAAATATATATCATTGCCTTTATATTGTCATGATTTGTAAACAAATTTTTATACCGGTCCTGCAATATTTTGTATAAGAAATAAATTTTTTCTTCACGACAGAAATCTTTTTTGATTTTTAAAGTGCACTTGCTTAAAAGTGTGGTCCAGCTGTGTTTGAGCTAAAAGAATGAATGACTGAAGGATAAATACACAATGATCTTTTGAGTTTGGTTAGAAATGTGACTGAAAGATTGGTAAAAAAAAAAAAGACTTTCATACTAAAACTGTAAATTATTATCATGCTATACTATGACATTTTTTATCATTCAATACTATGACTTTTTCATACTAAATTTTGAAATTTTTATCATAGTATACAGAGACATTTTTTATTATACTATACTATAACATTTTTAACACACTATACCATGATATTATTTTGGAACTATACTATGACTTTTTTCATGCTTAGATTTTATTTTTTAACATAGCATACTATGATCTTTTTTTATTATACTATAATATGACTTTTTTTAACATACTTAAATTTTCAATTTTTATCATTGTATAGTACGACATTTTTATCATACTATACAATGACTTCTCTTCCATACTAAAATTTGAAATTTTCATCATAGTTTACTGAGACATTATTTTCATCAGACTATACCATGATATTTTTTTAATACTTTACAATGATGTTTTTTATTAAACTTCACTGACATTTTTGTAGTACTATACTATGACATTTTTCATGCTCAAATTTTATACTTCTATCATAGTAGACTATGACCTTTTTCATTATACTATACTGTGACATTTTTATGATACAAAGCATTTTTTTCATTCTTAAATTTAAACATTTAATCATAGTGAAGTATGACATTTTCATCATACTATCCTATGACATTTTTATGATACTATGACATTTTTATCATACTTACATTTAAGATCTTTATCATAGGATGGTTTGAAATTTTTTATTATAGTATAGTTTGACATCTTTATCATACTATCCTAAGACTTTTTTCCTTACTAAAATTTGAAATCTTTTTTTATCATACTATACAATGACACTTTTATGATAATATTCAATTATGTTTTTTCAAACTTAAATTTAAAATTTTTACTAATACTAATCAATTACATTTTTATCACTGTATACTATGCCATTTTTTAACATACTATACAATGACAATTTTATCATACTTTACCATGAAATTATTTTGGAACTATACTATGACATTTTTCATGCTCAAATTTTAAATTCTATCATAGTATACTACGACCTTTTTTGTCATACTAAACTATGACATTTGATGATACAATGTATTTATATCATTCTTAAATGTTAAATTTTCATCATAGTTTACTGAGACATTATTTTCATCAGACTATACTATGACATTTTTATCATACTATTCAATTAAGTTTTTTCATACATAAATTTAAAAATTTTATCATACTACACATTTTTACATTTATTTTATCATACTATACTATGACTTTTTCTAACACACTATACCATGATATTATTTTGGAACTATACTATGACCTTTTGCATGCTTAGATTTTATTTTTTTTTATCATAGCATACTATGATCTTTTTTATTATACTATAATATGACTATTTTTAACATACTTAAATTTTCAATTTTTATCATTGCATAGTATGACATTTTTATCATACCATGACATTTTTTGACATACTATACTATGACTTTTTTCCATACTAAAATTTGAAATTTTCATCATAGTATACTACAACATTATTTTCATCAGACTATACTATGATGTTTTTTTAATACTTTACAATGATGTTTTTTTCATACTTAAATTTAAATTTTTTTATTAAACTTCACTGACATTTTTGTAGTACTATACTATGACATTTTTCATGCTCAAATTTTTTATTTTTATCAAAGTGACAATTTTATCATACTATACCATGACTTTTTTTTAATCATACTATACTATGACCTTTTTCCATACAAGTTTTGGAATTTTTAATCATAGTATACTATGACATTCTTTTTTTACTAAAAATGATTATCATACTACACTGTAACATTTCTATCAGACTATACTATGATGTTTTTCAAACTTAAATTTAAAATGATTATCATACTACATTATTACATTTTTTATCATACTACACTATGACATTTTTTAAATCATACTATAGTAGGACCTTTAACAGTATTTAAAAGGAAGATTTTAACAAAATACACCATGACATTTTTGAACAAACTTTCCTTTGACTTTTTCATACCAAACATACCAAATTTTTTATCATAGTATACTTTGACATTTTTTATCATACTATACTATGACATTTTTTTATACTCTACCATATCTTATTTTCTCTGATTTTGTTATAAAAGTATACTTTAACATTTTTAACATACTATACTTTATAATATAATAGTTGACTTAGATTTTTTTGAACATACTACACTATGCCATTTTTTTCCATACTAAAAATTATGTTTTTATCAAACTTTAATATGACATTTTTAATGATATTGTACCATTTTTTTTTAATCATACTATACTGATGTATATAACATACATATTTCTCTGGATTCTTTTTTTTCTTTTGTGGTGAATTTAAATCTGTTACCTGAGCTGGTATCACCTGGGGTCATTCACACTAGCAGCAGTCTGTGAGTTGGTTACATGAACCATAATAGGGGCTGGGCGGGTCTTTTGACTGCGGTCATTTATACCTGGTATTACTGATCCTCCTGAGTGATTAAATGAACGGCTCTGAGTGCGACAGTTCTAAGTTTGATCTGCACTTTCCAGCTTCACATGCAAATAAACGAGGTGCTTTGTGTGAGCGTTAAAAACACTGAATAATGATAACAGACCATTCAAAGTCATGACCAAGACATAAACAAGCAGCAGGGCGGGGCACATCAACACTGAGTGGTGATAAAACTTCAGATTTTTGAAGACGGCTTTTCTCTGAGTTACAGTCATCTCCATGAGGTAAAAAGATTTAAGAAATAATATATATTTTAATTTAAAAAACCTGACCACTCAGACCATAAAAAGAGAAATTTCAGGTTTTGTTGGTCTGGTGTTTTATTTTGCTCATGTGTCCTGGACCCTCGCCCTCTTTTTGTAGATTTATTCCTGTCATGTCTCATGGAAATCCTGTTTTTGATTATTTAAAGTCACTAACCACAAAGACAAAGCTGGGTGTGCAAAAGAAATGCACATGATAAGTCTCTTAAATTTTTATAATCTACACCGAGGAGGACAGAGAAGGTAAAGATCAACAAGTGTTCATCTAAGTTCACAGTTAAGTGTTTCAGCAAGAATAAATGTGTTTAGTGTTAAACTAAGAGGAGACAAAGAGACACAACTCCAGTGTGTCTTTATTTCTATGCTCCATCTCTAACAACATAATCAGATGTTGCGGATGGGGGTCAAGAAGGTGTGTGTGTGTTATGTGTGTTCTTTGTGTACATGTAAGCCCGTGTCTTTGTCTGGAGACGACCTTGGAGAGTTCTGATCCAGAAACAAAGAAACAATGTCCGAGCAGCTGTCTGCATGACATCCAGGAGTGGAGACATAACAGCCTTCCAAGGTCGGTGTTCGGGAGCCAATGAAGATAAGTTATCATAGACGCTCGTCCACAGAGGCTCTCACCAGATCTGGAAGTCTCTTAAGATGAAAAACTTCTCGTCAAAAATCACCTGAGACATATTTGAAATAGAAAATGTGCAGCAGATGAGCTTCATTTCATGAGGACGTAAATGAGTAGAAGAAGGTCAAAGTTATAATGTAAAATTGAATCAAACAGAAACACACTTCAACTCCAGCAGCAAGTCTCAACAGTCAAAAAGAAGCCCCGCCTCTGATGAGGCAAGAAGCCAATCACAATGCAGGATTTGGGGTTAACTACTGGTGAGGGACCCAGGGCCGCCCCTGGATCCGCCCCTGTTAACTGTGCTCATAATATGAACTGTTGGCTGTCTCTGCTCTCTCACTGCCGCCCTCAAGGTCAGGAACATCTACAGACAAGCTCGTTTTGTTCCTGTTCTGTTCTGGTCTCTCTTCTGACCAAGTTTTTTTGGACCTTCAATCACTGAGAAGAACCTTTTTGGTCTCATGGATAAGGTCTCCATTTTTGTGCCCAACAGTGAAGGGAGAAGAGTTTACTCCAGAGAAACGCTGCTCTCCCTTCAAAAAGTGGGCAAAGGCATCGTTCACCCAATCCCACAGGAGCTACAGCAGAGGAAACGAGGATGGAGGAGACGAGGATGCAGAGCAGGAGCACAGGTTCAGGCCAAGAGAAGACAAGCTCTGGAAGCACAGGCCCTCTGCTCCTCTGGAGATTCTGGGAGACCTGAACGGTCAAATAACTCGACAGAAAAGCAGGCTGCAGTGAGGACGGGAGCTCTGAGGGTGGTGGACTGTAACTCTCCAAAAAGAAGGATAACAGGGAACTCAGGGGTCACAGCAGGACTCAGTGACATTTACAACAGGAGGGGGACACCAGCAGAAGGTCTGAGACCCGGAAACAAACCAAGAGGTCTGCTTCACTGGTTTTGTGTTTATCTTCCTCCCCACATGCAGAGACCACCATCAGACCCCTGTATGTAAATACTTCACAATCTTCTTCTGAAACTCCACCGTGGAAATCTGAACTTCATCCTGCTGAACATCAGCAGAGTCAGATGACCGTGTATCAGGACAAACTTTGGGACGGTGTGTGTCAGATATCAGTGCTGGGTTTCTGAGTTAATGACTTTGATTATATCTGAAACTGTTCAGGTTATCAGGAGCAGACACTGAAATATACAGACACCAGGAGAAAATCCAGAACTGAAAATCCTTTTTTTGTATTTTATCTTCGGTGCCTTTAGAGAGTCTTTCCAAACTTTCCAAACACGTCATTTAAGATGCAGTTCGACTGTGAGTCTTATAGTGTGTTTAATGAAAGGTTGACTCTGTGTGTGTTTACGACAGACTTTAGAGCTGGTTTATAAAAGTGTTTTGATTCAGAAATAAAAACTCTGATAATCAAATTTCTCTTCCATTATTTTATTCATTCAACCACCATCAAAACAGAGGAGGGATGTTACTCTTCTGTTTAAAAGCTCACAGTTTGAGATGTTCAGGTACAGGAGAGGAATCTTCTTAAAAGTGGATGTATGAAATCTGGACGTCGCCCTCGATCTCCAGAATGTCGACCTCACTGAAGGACTGCAGGCGGTGGACGTAGTCAAACAAGTGCTGCCCGTTCACAAACACCTTAAACCTCTGATTCCCACAGCGGACTGACATCTGAGGAGTAAGGGTGAAAGTATTGAACCCTGACTCACCAGGTAGTAAGAACAAATGAGGCAAAAATCTCAAAATAAACAAATACTCAAAATAAAACTAAGCTTAAAGGTACCAGAGTACTTACATCAAAGTACTGTCCCTCTACAAAAGGGTTCATGCTGAGCTCTCTGTCCTCCTTTCCCCATTTTCCTCCCATCTTCGTGTTTCTCACCACTATCCCCTCTCTCACCCGGGGGTTCATGTGGAAGGCCACGTCTCGAGTTCTGCTCACGATGAAGTTAATGCTCAACCTGGAGAACCAAACCCAGGGGTGACAATCACACAACAGCAAGTGTTTCAGCATGAAGACTCATGAACACACAGGCTCACCTGTTGGCTCCATGGGGCACCATGCCTCTGATGATGACGGTCTTTTTAGGGGACATCCCTCCTGGGATCTGTCCTGAGTACGGCACAGGCTGAAGGTTCAAACAAGATCAGAGTCAGAAACTTTGACCTAACTCTGACTGCATTAGCTGGACATGTTTACACTAAAGGTTCATTAAAAAAGCTGAGATAAAGTGATGGACTACTCCGCACAATAATCATGTAACCACTCAAACTTCCGGGTGAATTAAGAGTCAGAGTAGAGTCAACTGAAACAAATAAGCTCTTGTTACCCCAAGTGCAGAATGAACATGTTTTATTCAGCTTCTAGTATTAATACTGTACAATTCGACAGTTAATTTTAAAGGTGAAGTTAAAATGATTAAACTTAGCAGGTCCAACTGACCATTGTATAGGTTTAAACTACTTTTTAAGAGGAAAACGATGATATTCCTCTTTATTGTAGTTGAAATAAAAAGAGCAGTACAGATACTTTTATTTTTAGGTTATCTACCGTTTCCACCGAATTAACTCCATTAATGAGGTTTTGTTTCATACAGGCAGTATTTTACTTTGCTGAAGTTCCTCCTGTTGACCACTGGAGGGCGGTAATCGCTACTGTAAACCTGTTACTTTAAGGGTCATCCTGGTTTTCTATTCAGTTATTCAGTGGCCAACAAACACAGCTTCCGATTATTACTTTCAAAATAAAAGGCCGTTTCATAAAATAACTGAAAATTAAGCTATTCAAAGAAATCTTACTTACAGGGTTGTAGACTGGCTGGTTACCCATCCCCTAAAATGATATAAATAAATGAAAGTGTGAATCTGAACCATTAAAAGTAAGAAAACCTGCGTCAAAGTTCTGTCTGTGGTGTACTTACAGGCAGGTTTGATCCTGGGAATCCTCCCTTTAGAGGAAAGTAATGATACAAATTTAATTGTGCTTTTTTTTTTAGTTGGTTTAAGGTCTTAAAGAAAAAACTGTTGCTTCATACCCCCATCCCACCTCCCATTCCTCCTGGATAGTCGCCCTGTAAGTGTGCAGAGGACAAAATAAGTGAAATGTTGATTCAATAATTTATTAAAAATAACCTTGATTAACTTAATTCATTTTTTTTTTTCATACATTAAACAGACACTATCTTTGATTTTAGTTCAGACTAAATAAAATAAAATGAAATTCACCCCTGGGCAGCCTCCTGGATATCCTCCTCCCTGCTGTAAAGTGGTGAACACATTTAATACAGTTTGATCATTTTCATTTCATTGAGAAATCATTAACCCAGAAGAATACTTACACCCATTCCTCCACCTGTCCCTCCAACCCCACATCCTCCCATCCCACCTGGATATCCTCCCTGTTGAAAGTGACGACAGGTTAAAGATTTATTTTAAGTGTCTCATCATGAAGAAAAACCTGTTAATTATACATACTGCTGGTCCTCCGCCCATTCCTCCTGGATATCCGCTCTAAATAAAGGAGAAAAGATCAAATTCATTAAATTTAAATGTCTTTTTAAGGATTACGACATCTGAAGAAAACTCAGAAAACATACCCCCATATCAGCTCCTGGATATCCTCCCTGTTGAAAGTGACGGCAGATTAAAGATTTATTCGATGTGTCTCATCATGAAGAAAAACCTCTTAATTATACATACTGCTGTTCCCCCGCCCATTCCTCCTGGATATCCGCTCTAAATAAAGGAGAAAAGATCAAATTTATTACATTTCAGTTAAATTTTAAGGTTACGACATCTGAAGAAAACTCAGGAAACATACCCCCGTACCAGCTCCTGGATATCCTCCCTGCTGAAAAGTGATGAACATGTTAAATCCTGTATAACACTCTACTGAATTACACATCGATTCCTTTATTGTGCATGGAGATGTGATTAATAAATAATAACCAGTTTTTATAGTTAGTGAAAAAAAATTTCAACAAGACAAGAAGACAATGAAGAACAACAAAGACGGGTTAGGATCCATGAATCTATGAATGTGGCGGAAAAGGATTTGCTAGCATGAATAAATAAACAAATATTTATAGAGAACATGATGAATTTGTGAGAATATTTAATTTATTATCTGATTCAAAAAGTGGTACAATTAAATACTAAAGCAAAAAAATGAAATATAAAACAACCTGGGGGATGTAAAAGAGATCGTTAAATGCCTGTTAAAGACTTTGCTGTTTGTTTTTTTAACTGTTATTCGATTTTATTTGACATGTTTGAAATAACAACATCAGTTGATACTTACTCCCATTCCTCCTCCAGTTCCTCCCTGAAAAGACAGAACGATAAATGAAGCTTGTTGTAAAACTCTGTTGTAAAGTCTATGAGACCTACTTAGAGAGAAATGATTAATTCACTGCATGTTTCAGAGTGTGGTTAATATGGTGTCCTATCATAGGATCAACAACAGTGTTTTCTTTTAATAATTTTCTTTCTTTTTTTCTTTTTGATGGATCTGATTTCTTGAGGTCTTGGGGGCCTGCAGCCTCACCCCGATGACGTTAATCGTCTGGATGGAAACGTCTCCTGCGATTTGAATCCCACAGACTCTCTCCACAGGGTGACGATGTTTGAAGGTGTGAAAGTCTTTCCCGTTGACTTTAATCTGCAACAGAAGAACATTAAAACCATCACTCCACAGTAAACAGTCTGGTCTCGTACGGCTGTGCAGGGCTCATAATAACCCCATAAAACTGTTCTACCACCCCTCCTCATTCAGTCTGTAGAATCTGCTGAAAACTCTGTTTGCAAAAATGCAGAATTGCAATAAGTCGTATTTACAAAAGATGCAATTAAATGGATTCTGCAGCATGAAAATTCATCATTTTTCTTGGTCAGCTCAGCAGGTGGAGGTCAAACAGAAGGAGAGGCGTGGATGTGTTCAAGTGCTTTTTAAGGCTTATTATAATTAGTGTTCAGGCCTGTCTCCTGAGGGCACCTGGAGGTTCATGTGTGAATGTGAGGGGGTCTTGGTTGGTCTGACCTGGTAGCCCTGTGAGGTGACCATGATGACCAATTCAAAGCCCTTTCCTTTAGAGAACGGCATATCATGGATCTTCTCCTCGGACTGCCAGGATCCGTTCTGACGAGTGTTGAAGACCACCTTGTCCCAGCCGTCAAAGCGTGGGTTGAAGTGGAGGGCCACGTCGCTGGACTCGGACGGTCCGCAGAGCAGGTTCACAAAAAACCTGTGAAACATTAACGTGAAGTTAACCAGAGATGGTCGGGTGGTAAGTCGTGGAGTGACAGATCTGTTAGTTTAGTGTCAGAAGTGCAAACAGAGCAGGTGTGGCCGACTGTAAAAAACTGTTTCTCAGGAATGAACCGAGTTTACTCTGCGGACTCTTGATGTGACTCTGATAACAGAAATCTCTGTGATGAAAAGTTTAGAGACACTTTTTAAACGGTTGTATATAATAATCATATGGGACGACTGAAGGCGGTTTCTAATTTTCCATATTTTCATTTACATTAAAAAAAAAACATCCTGGTGGATTTAACTCATAAAAATGTGACTCTCTTCGAACCAGTCGAGTCAATTTCCTACAAGATCAAGTTTCCCCCTCAGTCTTTTTTAGAGTTCAGAGTTTGAGAAACATGTTTTCTGTTTTCACCTGGTCATGTCCTTAGGGGTGGACCCCTGGATGTAGATGGACGATCCCTCCCTCAGGCCTCCATAAATCGGCCCCAGATAAGGAATACTCTGAGAAATGCACAAAAAGAAAACCTTAACCTACTCGGCAGTTTTATACACATATAATATAAAAGTACTTTAAACATCAAAAAAACTGTTACAGCTTTATTTAATATTTACACTCATTAATGTGGACGTATGGACCAGAAATCAGCAGAATAAGGAGATAAAATCAGTGTTGTGTTGACAATATTATCAGAGTTATTCACTTTAATTCTTAGTCTCATAGTTCTCCAGTCTGTGACGGTATAAAAACTGTGAACAGAACCAGACTGACAGATTTGATCATCTGTAACCTTTAAATTCAGCAGCAGTGTGTCTGGATACTTACAGGGCTGTAGACCGGCTGGTAGCCAGGAGGAGAGACGAACATGACTGTAGCTGCAGCAGATGATGATGACGATGATGACGGGATAGAGAGTCAGGAGGGTTCGGTCAGGATCTGGACTCTGGTGGAGACTCTGTTTTATACAGTCATGAGGGAGGTACCAAACCCAGACCTGCATCACTGTATTTACTTTAGAGTTACACGTTCACCTTTAACCCGGCGGAGGAGTGGCATTTACAACAAAAGATGGATTGTGTGTTTATGTTTGAGCTGTACAATAAAACCTTCAAGAATGAATATTTAACGAAAAAGACGGAAGATAAAAAGAGAAAAAATTAAACCTTTAAATTAGGATGAAAGTTCATAAAAACTCCTGAGACGGTTTGGTGATCAGAGAGTGGAGCTGCTTTAAACTGTTTTACTTTTTAACCCTTCAAATATATAAAAAGTAGATATTTTCATTACTTGTGAAATATGTATATAAGTACCTTAGATGTGTACTTAACCACAGGATACAAGTGAATGTATTTGACTGTCTTCCCACCAGTGTTTCTGCAGCATTAGAATAACTCTGGGCTGACGTAATACAGACAGAAATCTTCATTTATCTAAATATTTTCTGTCATTTTTCCAGGTGTCAAAGTTTTATCAGTCAAAGTCCACGTAGGAGACAATGACACATGAGTTTTGTTTACTTTCCTCTGATTTCAGACTTCAGTGAGTGAATTATTAGAGATCCTCCAGCCGAGCCCGTCCACCTGAGGCCAACAGAAACACAAATCACTCCTACATGTACAGCAGTTTGATCTGCATACTTCATGGAGGCCGCGGGTTATTGCAGCAAATACTTCACAAAATCAACATGAAGTCAGATAGGTGGGCCGACCGCTGTAATAGTCCTGAAAAGGGTGTTTCCTCTTTAAAACTAAGGAGTGCACATATTTGATGAAGATAAAGCCCAACCTGTGAGAAACAGGCGGAGAGCCCGGAACATTCCTGGAGGCTCACAAACCTGAAAATTATCAAGTATGTGGAAGTATTTCAATGTACAGTTTTTTTATCGGTTCAAAGTTATTCTAAAAAAACACAAATATGTCTCCAGACGCTCCTTCAGATCCACAAACTGCACTAACTTTCTCATGACTCAGTGTTTCTTCTACATTCATTACATACTGAAATTTCACATGATCATTAAAATCAAAATGTGTTTAATGTTACGTAACATGAACGTAACAACGTAGCTCCTTGAGGAACAGGCTGTAAAACAGAACAGAACGGACGCCGTCTGCCTCCTCTCTGGGTGAAGCCACTCCGAGAACAGCGCCCTCTGGTGGCGGGCTGCAGTATAGGTCATAAACCCCGCCTCCTTATGGAGCTGTGGACAAACTTTATAAATGAATGACACAGAATATAAATGTTTCTCCCCCCTGGTTGTGATGTTGACATGTAGTTATTGTCAGACTGGTTTGTGCTCAAGTCCTCTTTTTTCTGTACAGCTCCATTTTTAAAAGTTATTAGGGGGTTCATGTTTGCTATGATTGACACCTGATACAGCCTATGGGAGGACAGAGATTGTGCAGCTCACCTGGGGATACGCTGTTTGAGCCGCTACTGCACAATGTTGGCTTCAAATCTGTAAACTGGCAGAAAGCGGAACCAAGTTGTCCGTAGTTTATACAGACTACAGGAAGAGCATCTCGCCATCTACATCTGTAAAAAACTCTAGGGGGAAACAGTGTAGACTACATTTGTAAAGACCTCTCATGCATCCCTGACCCTGACCCAGCGCACACACAGACACATTAAATGTATAAAGAGGCTTCCATGTCATTGAGGACTCACGCTCCAGTTCTCCTTAAAATAATCTGTTTATTATTCTGTATTGAAACACAGGGTTCAGTCAGAGGACACTCAGTCAGGTGGAAAGTCATGATCTCCTTCAGCTCCGTCCTGTCAGCTGCCTCTGTGAGGACCACAAACTTCATCAGAGTTAAACCGATTAAAACTCCGACAGGGAGTCATGGAAAATTAACACACACACACACGCCGCAGAGAGCGTGAGTTTTAATGTGATCTGTGAGAGGCAGCGCGACACAGAGCTGTCCGGGATCAGCGCGTCACACACGGGGAAATAACTCAATTGCTGAATTTCCTAAAAATATCTAAAATAAAATCCGAACGAGCAAAAACAAAAGCGTATTTTCCCCTCCTGACTGCAAACTGGGCGTTTTCTTCAGTGTGAGACGATGAACTCTCTTCTTCAGTATCATCATGTTTCAGTCTTAGAAAGTCACGTCATTTCTCCAAAGCCTTAAAGAAAAATAAATATACGTATCTATGATTCATGTAAAAGATGTCTTCTCATCAAAAGGCCTCGAGGCCTAAATGTGACTCAGTCATACAGGTGACACTTTTCATGTAGACATGAAATACATTCACGGTTCATGTTAACGCACTGACAAAAGGGATGTGGTACAGATGTGGGCCAGAAATACAGACGGGCTAAAACGGTCGTCTTTAGAGGATTTCAATCTGCATATAAACAACAAAATATGAACCATGGCGTCCTCCTCCTCCTCTGCTGCATGAGTGTAAATCAGCTCTATCTTATATGGCACAGGGACACCAGTGGAGATAAGGGACCACAAACATCCAGGGATAAGACTTCAGAGTGCAAACTGGGTTAGTCTATTCAGCTGATTTATAGAAGTCACCAAAGCAGATGAAACTCTGTGTGTCCTGTTAAATCAGTTCTCTTTGACCATAAATCTCGTTTGAAGAGGACCTGAAATGTTCGCCTCCTCCTTCTTCGTTCTGCTGAATCATTTTCACTTAAACATCAGAAATCAAAGATCACATGGCAGCAGCCACATGCCCAAAAGTCCCAACCTAACACACACACACACAAACCCATAAAACCCGAATCAAATCAAAGTGTTCAAGCTAAAAATCGAAACCGTCTGGTTGCTCAGGAGGTGACATCGCTATAGGCACTATGACGTTTACAGCAGTAGCAACGGAGAGAGAGCCTGTCGTGTATAAATGCATCGATATGTAAGGCAGTCTATGTATAATTTACACCAAAAAAGGCCATGTAGTGTTTTCAGAGCAGAGTCAAAAAGGCGGCTGGCTTCTCCAGTCTTCAGAGTCTTCCTCTGCTTTTCTCTACCCCGCTATCATTTCGCTACAGGTGGTACAAAAGTGTAGCCAAAGTGTGCAGTGCTTCAACAGAGGAGAGAAATATGCAGACAAAGGGTGAAACTAAGGCAAACAGAGATGTGTTCAATCTAGAAATGTTTAATCTGTCCTCACTCCTCCTCTCTCCTTTCTCTCCGTCAGACAGAAAACCACGCAGGACGTTATCCCAGCTGATCCTCATACTGCTTCCTGAAGCAGTCGCCAGCTGGGAAGAAGTCCCAACATCGCTCCTGGTACATCTTCCACACGTATGATTCCTGAAACGCAGAAGAGGAGACGTTTCAAAATGAGACAGCGAACAAATACAATTTGTTTCACATCTACTAGAGCTGGACGGTTTTGATTTTGGCTTCTCATGATCATAAAAACATTATAATCAAAGTCAACAGACTGGTGTTTGTAGGAGGATAACTGCAGGGAGGTCGGCTGAGGGAGTAAAGCTCTTTGTGGTTAATTCTTTTTGTTTTTAAAAAGGTTTTTGAGAAACTTTAAAAGAGTCTTTTGTTTTCTGGCTGTTATTAGTGGGTTTTTCTTGGATGTTGTAAGTTTTACAAGAGTGCGTGTAGATTGGTAATTATTTTTATTTATTGTTTTTATTGTTATCATTATTTTAACTTACTACTGTTACTATTTTTATTTTTTTACTTGTTACTAATTCATTTCTGTCTGTTCTTATCAGTTATATTTAAAGTTAAGTTTTGAAGTCAATAAATAATCATGTTTACTAATTGTGATTTAAAAATAATCGTGATTATTATTTTTGCCATAAGAATAAAAATAACTCTATTGATTATTCAAAAATAATCGTCCAGCTTTAACTTCTACAGAGTCGATACATCTGAAATCTGACTGACCTGTCCTGTGTGTTCAGTTTCATCTTTATTGATGAGATACATCAGGAAGAACCTGGAAGAGAAACGAGGAAGAAAAAAAGAAACAAAATTCATGAAATTGAATATTTTAATTTCTCAGATTTCTCAGGAGCCAAATTCCTGAACAGCATCAGCAAATAATCTGAAAGTGAGAATCTCTCAGTTTGACTCTTAATGTCACTTTATGATGCTGTGATTACAGAGGAGAAGTTCAGGAGGTCTTAGATCTACATAGAGATAAAACACATAGATATACGTAGATGATATACTTAGAGAAGGTTCACTGCTGAACTCTGAAAAGTCACTCACATGTAGTTGGCTAAGTTATGCTCTTCTAGAGTGTGTGTTTCAAAGCCGTGCGGAGTCGTGTCAAAGTAGTCACTTCCTATCCCACAGATGAAACACTTGGTCTACAGGGAGAGAGAAGAGAAGAGACTCTGGATTAAATAGATTCCACTCCTGAAGGTGAGGGACAGCTGAAGGTGAAGTGAGTAAAGAGAGCGTTGAAATCCCCCTGAAGCTCATTATTCTCTTACCTCCATGTCCTCTCTGACCTGCTCCTGCTGGTCTCTCAGCTCTCCAAAGGCGTCAATGATCAAACCTGACAGACGGACAGACAGACGGACAGATGGACGGAGAGGACATTTACAGAAAAAGACACTTCTCTTTAGGATAATCAAACTAAATATAAACTGTTTCAGAAACATTTTATCACATATCTGAGACTGAAAAACAGAAAACTTTAATATGCAGGAAAAAAGGAGGAAAAATCAGCTCCCTCTCCTCTGTTGGACCCGTGTTTGAGGTGAAGCTGAACGCCTGAATGATAATCAGAAGAAGAAGAGAGCGTACCCTGGATGATAGCCAGCAGGATGACGATGACGAAGAAGAAGAAGGTGATGTCAAAGACCACTCGGTAGAGCTCGTATTCATCTCCAGCCGGGTCCTCGATTTCATCTCCGATGCCTCCACCGGCGCGCACGCCGACGTACATGTGGAACAGGTAACACTGCAGAAGAACGAGGACAGGTGATGTTTTCACCTCATATTAACTCAGTCGTCTCTAAATCATGTTCTTCTGCTCCTCACTCACCGTCATCATGTCGTCACACTTCATATCCGGCTCGTCCTCATCCTCGCTCATGTTGTAAAACTTGCGGAAGAAGTTGAAGGCGACCACCGTGTACAGGTAGACCACCACAGCCAGTAAGCCCACCGTCATCACCAGCTGTTGAAGGTAAACAGACGTGTCGTTAAGTGTGAAGTCTCATCACTGCGGTGGTGGATTTGTGAATATGAGTCTGCAGACCTGTTTGCCGTTGTGGGTCACAGAGGACAGGATGGTGCGGAGGGTTTTGACGCCCATGGCGATGTCGAGAAGATGGCAGGCGAAGAAGAAGTTGTTGTAGTGTCCGAGCAGAGACATCAGCATGTACCAAACCAGGTAGAGGAAGGTCTAGGAGACAGAAGAAGGATATCAGGTCAACCGCACAGACTACAGATGATTATTTAATGTCTGAACAACAACACGACCATAAGTCCTGAACTCACATTATCGGTGAAGACGACTCCAAACTTCCAGATCTGGTATTTGACGTCGATCGATGTTATCCTACAGGGAGAGGGACAGGTTAGATCAGTTCATTCGATTTTATCAAACAACTCCAGCTGTGTTTTCGTTACTGTGACGGTTCCTACCAGCTGAACATGGAGGTGTCTGGTTCAGGCTTCTTCTCATGGGTCATGGCGCTAACATCCAGAGAGGCCAGGTCCATACCGAGCAACTCGGCGATCCTCTCTCTGCCGTAGATGTCACCGTATTTATCCAGGACCTGGAGATGAAACACACAGATGTGACTGAAACATCAGATTATAATCTCTGACACCAGCCGTCAAAGATGTTTGTTAATCCTCACCTTTCTCTTGACGAACTTGTCCCAGTAATTGTTGGGGAAACTCCTGGATTAGAAGAGAAAAACAAAGATAAATTCTCTCTTAAGTGTTCAGAGTTTCACTGAAGGGTCTGTGTCCTGAATGATGGTGGGGGTCTCTTACGGAGTGTTGAGCACCAGTCTGTCCCACTGGCCCTTGATATCGTCGTCTTCAGGCTGCTCGGTGACGTAGACGCCGTCAAACTCCAGCTTTCTGGCGAGCTCCTTCTCTCTCTTGAAGATGACCAAAGGGACCTGAAGGAAACGGAGCAAAGCTGCGTTAATCTAACGCCACAGGTGGATTATTCTGGGTTAGGATTAACACGCCTTAAACACGGTATTTTACCTTGAGGCAGTTATATCCGATGATGCAGAGGAAGGAGATGATGGTGTGGACGATACCGAAGAAAGCCATAGCGGGTTCCATGTAGCCTGTGCTCTCCTCCAGGAAGTAATACAGAGGACCCTCTTCATCATCATCTTCTCCACCAGCATCATCTAATCCAGATCCATCCTCTTCAGCACCGGAGCCTTCAAACAGACCAGAACCCTCATAATCCTCCTCGCCTGGAGGACTTTCAGACACCTGGAGGGTCAGACGCAAAATTCGATCAGGGTGAGCTTTAAGGACGAGTGTTTTCAGGAGTTACACAAAGTTTTATAGTTAAAGATAAATATGAAAATAAACGCTGATATTCTCAACGCTGAGGCACAGACCTTGTAGAAGAGCAGGATGAAATTGAGAGCGAAGGCGATGAACAGAGCCAAGAACCGGAGGTTGTAGAAGTTGCGAGAAAGGTAGTTCTGAGGGTGGAGAGATCGTTAAAGCACCGACGGAGCAGAAAACCAAGAGAAAAGCGGCTGATTCCAGTTTATCGGACGACAACGATGAAGCAAAATAACTTTCTTTTGTCAGGGGAGTGAAATTAATGTTGCTGTTACAGATCTGCTGTGAGGGCAATAATGAAAACAATGAAAGGACGAAGTCTCCTCAGACGTTCAGCTGCAGGAATAAGACCTGACTACCCCCCCCCTCCTTTAAAACTGCCTGAGCTTCATAAAAGGAGGTCATGAAAAACACAAACAGCTGATTATAAACATAAACACTGTTCATTAACTCGCTCAAACAGACGGCTGTCTGCCTACCATGAATTTGATCCTCTGAATCTCCAGTTCGTTCCAGAGCTCGAAGCCCTCCTCCGCAGGCTTCTTGTCCTTCTTCGCTTTGGTCTTCATGGTTGTCTCTATGATCTCCTCCTCCTCCTCCTCCTTCACCTCAGGTTCAGGCTCTGGTTTCTCCGTCTTCTCTCCGTTTTCCGTGCTGAAAAAAGAAAAACAAATACAGGTAAAGACACTCGAGCCTTTTATGTTTTTGTTTTCTTTAGGAGGTTTTGATTCTGACGACTCACTCAGCTTTCTCCGTCTCTTGAGGAACCTCCTCTTCGGTTTCCACCTTTTCCTCCTCTCCCTGTCCTCCTACTGCAGCCTCCAACTGTTTTTAAAACGATTGTCGGTTAATTAAACGGTTAATGGAGGTTAAAGAAATTCAACATCAGTGAACAAACAGAGCACATCACCAGTTTCCTCTTCAGCAGCGGTGTTCCCTCAGGAGTCGGAGGCTCTTCAGTCGTCGTCTCACCAAAGTCTCCAAGTCCTCCAGGAGTGTTAAACCCAGGCAGGCGTCCTCCTTCCCTGTCCTCGCTCTCCTCCTCTTCCTCCTCTCCTCCTACGGCGTCTAAAAGGTCGGCCCCACCGTCTGCGTCTTGGACATCTCGAGCTCCCGGTTCAGGTGGTAGATCCCCGTGGACCTCGTCCTGCGTTGGATCTGGCATACTGGCGAGGATCTCCGTGACGGTCATCTTCTTGGCGCCCTCCACTAAACCTCCACCGAACAGCACCTTCCAGATGAGCGTGAAGAAGCCCTTACAGATGCTGTAGACGAACATCAGGATTCCCATCACGATGGTGTAGATAAACGTAGCCAGACCGACCACCATCTCCTTCACCGTCATCTTTCGCAGTTTACGGTATCGGCGCCGCAGGTTACGGAAGGTGAACATGTCAAAGAAGTTCGACACGCTCTTTAAGAAGTCGGCGAAGGCTGAGGTCGACTCTGGAGCTTCACCCTCTCCGTTGCCCTCCTCGCCTTCTCCGGACTCTCCTTCGTCTCCTCCGCCCTCCTCCTCTTCATCATCTTCCTCTTCTGCACCTTCGCCCTCCGGCTCTGAAATCGAGGCGGCGATGTTCATCTCAAAGATGGTGTCCTCGCAGAAGTTCACAAACATCTCCATTTTCTCGCTCTCGCCGCCCTCGTTGACCACGTCAAAGATGAACTGCCGTTTGGACTCCCTGACCTGAGGCATCTCCCACTGGTTTCTGTTCTCCTCGCTGATCTCAAAGTAGATGCGCTCGATCTTCCTGCTGGCTCCCATGATCTCGATGCGGCCGAGGAAAGGGCGGAAGTAGTTGAGCACGCTTTCCGCCTGCTCCAGGAAGTTCTGAAGGCGAGTGTCGTGAGGAACGTGCTCCGACAGGTTCGTGAGCAGAACGGCGATGTTGAAACCGATGTCTTTGGCCGGCTCCTGGAAACGATCTGCAAACTCCTCAAAGTTGATCATTTCGTTCTCGTCGGCCTCCGAGCAGGAGAGGAGGAACTGGATCTCTGAGGGAGAGTACTGCTTCTGGCTGTCCATGGCCTTGGAGAAGTCCTTCTTGGATATGAGCCCACGCGGGTCCGTCACGTAGTCCCGGAAGGCGTCAGAGGCCACGATGTCTTTGAGCTTGAGGAACATGTCGAAGAACTTGAGGATCATCTCCACATTGCTGGAGGACTCCACCAGCATGTCCACCATCTGCCTGGCGATGGTGCCGTTAACCACGTTACCTGAGAGGAGTGAAGAGTGAGAGAGGATCAGAAATGTGACGAAAACCAAAAACTATCACCAGAGAGGTTTGGAGCTCGTACCTTCAAGCAGGGACAGAAGCATCACCACCATGTCCTTCTGCAGATCCAGCAGCTCTTTCAAAAGTCCAATCTGACTGGAGTCCTGCAACAAAGCCAGAAGAAGCAGCAGCACGAAAAAACAAACAGCGGAGAAAACAAGAATTTTTAGACGTGAACCGACTGAAAACATTCATGTCAAGATTAAAGTTTGAAGTGAGGAGTTGTGAGGCAAAGAAACGGCAGGAGACACTACCTCAGAGTGTGATCTACTCCAAAAATGATCCTGGGTTTGCATTTTTTAAATAAAGAATATAAATTTTAAATAAAACACTTTATAAACTTCATATGATGGAATGAAAAACTGCCACTGACAAACAGGAGGGCATAAAAACAGGGAAACACATGATTCTGCGAGACAGCGCGTCCTCTCCTTATCTAAGAGGGTCTGCAGCAAAGGGAGAACAATCGCACTCATGATACTGATCAGTCCTGAAGACCAGCACCAGCAGAGACCAAGAACCACAAATAATCAAGACTTTAGTGTCTTTAGTGGTTTCCAGGCTGGTGGAGATCTGAAGGAAACTACAGACTCACATTCAGGGGGAACCTTTAAAAACTCCACGAAATGTCAGAAATCGAGAATGAAAAAGACGTGAGACAGGGCGTTACGATCTGTGAGGACCCGCATGAAGTTTAGAAATGAGATAATCGATAATTAATCAATGATATATTTGAGTGAAGCTCTTTCAAAACCTAAAGCAAACAGTGAAGCAAATACAGAGCATTCGATCATGAGAGTCTTTTCCTCAGCTGACTTTGAATTTGGTCAAATAAAGAATCGACACTTCAGATTAACTTCAGATTAACTTCAGATTAACTTCAGATTAACTTCAGATTAACTTCAGATTAACTTCTACGAATTATCCATGCAAAAATGAGGATTATTCCCCGTCAGCGTTTATTCAAAGAGTCTCTTAATGGAAGGTCACTGTTGGTTTGACTGAGCAGCTCGTTAGAAAGCAGCGATAATGCTCATTTAGTCATGAAGATGATGATGATGATGATGATGAGGGATTAGGTGAAGCAGGTTTCTATGAGTGATGAAGGTTTTTCAGCTGCCAAGTTTAATGATCTTAAAAAAGCACAAAGGGACTCTGAGTGAGATGGCGGTGAGACATGTATCCTTACGCCGTTTCGTTCTGCTGCGTCAGGATGCATCTACCAAAGTTTGAAATGAGAATAAAAGAGTCATCCTTCAGTCTGGACAGTATTTCACAGTCTTATAGCAACACTGTCTTCATTTATTTAACTAGGACACATGAACCATCACCTCACCTTTTAGAATACCTCTGAAAATATACTGTTGATAAAATTATTTCTGATCTGTATTTCTGATCCGCCATATTTGAAACCTTTTTTTAAATTACAGTTTCCTACATGAGAAAACCTCAAAAACTATAATTTCAAAAGTACAAAAGGTACAAAAAAAGGAGAATTTCCACGTTACACAGCAGCACAGTCACACACTGTTAGGTTAGTTAGATCACACCGGTTACAGACTGCAGACCAACAAACAGAGTTAACACACATTTATTAAAGCACAGACACATTCAAAGCTCCGGTCAGTATCATGAAATAAGAAGAAATTTAGAGGAGTGAAAGAAGGAGGATCTGTTTTCACTCAAACTGTCTCTGCTCTCTTAACTGAAGTTCATGTCGTTTACTGTCTGAGTTTCTCTGTATGTCCACATCTACGTATAGATGTGGACATACAGGAATCCTCTCCTGCAAATTTGTGTTTGATTTCGGTTTCTGTCCAGATGATGTGATGCTGCAGGTTCAGACCTGAAGTATCACAAACACACGTTTTTATACTCCATACTGTGTCTCCTTGTTCCTATCACCCTTAGTTATCTGTCATGTTAAGTCCTTTAAATACTTAATGACTCAGTTAAGAGGCAAAAACAATCTGACAAAGAGAATTGGGGGGAAAAGGTCGTTAAAGATATAAAAAAAGGAAGAAATCAGGTTATAATGAGAATAATCAAATAAATACATACTTTACTCTGCGGGAACCATGAGAAAGACAGTTCACAAAGTTAGTTCAATCAAAGAAATAGGATTCAAATATATAGAAATAATCTCTGTTTACATTTTTAAATTCATTTGATAAATATATTTTTCAGTCAACTGTCAAAAAACAAATTATTGGATCAATTAAAAACATTATCTTCTGAATTTTCCATTGGAAATATAAATGAATAACTCTGAGATGTTTGCCAAAAACAGGTGAATCATGCAGGTGTGTGTGAGGTTTCTTACCTGAGCGAGTTTCATCATCATATGAGCAAAAACGTGGAGGAAGCCGACGACAGCGTCCCACAGTCTGCTGTGAGCCAGAGACTGCTGGTTACCGGTGCAAGGACCCTAACAGAGAGGAAATACAAAACACTTTAATTATGAGGCACTTTGTCTGCTACAAATATACGAGGTAGTTAATTATAGCTATATAAAATACAAGTTAGTTAGTTAATTAGAATAATATTAAAAACTAGTAAGTTAAAGCTATATAAAATACTATTTAGTTAGTTAGTTAGTCATATAAAATACAAGTTAGTTAGTTATGTATAAAACTAGTTATTCAGTTATAGCGATATAAAACACAAGTTAGTTAGTTGTAGTTATAAAAAATACTAGTAAGTTTGTTAGTTAAAGTTATATTAAATACTAGTTAGTTAGTTATTATTATGTAAAATACTAGTTAGTTATAGTTATATAAAATACTACTTTGTTAATAATAGTTATTGAATACTAGTTAGTTTTAGTAATATAAAATACTACTTTGTTAATAATAGTTATTGAATACTAGTTAGTTTTAGTAATATAAAATACTAGTTAGTTATAGTTATATAAAATACTACTTTGTTAATAATAGTTATTGAATACTAGTTAGTTTTAGTAATATAAAATACTAGTTAGTTTTAGTAATATAAAATACTAGTTAGTTATAGTTATATAAAATACTACTTTGTTAATAATAGTTATTGAATACTAGTTAGTTTTAGTAATATAAAATACTAGTTAGTTATAGTTATATAAAATACTAGTTAGTTATAGTTATATAAAATACTACTTTGTTAATAATAGTTATTGAATACTAGTTAGTTTTAGTAATATAAAATACTAGTTAGTTATAGTTATATAAAATACTACTTTGTTAATAATAGTTATTGAATACTAGTTAGTTTTAGTAATATAAAATACTAGTTAGTTAAAGTTATATAAAATACTAGTTAGTTAGTTATAGTTACATATCTTGTCAGGAAATATGTAAAAATGATGGATTTCAGCATGGTTTTTAGGCCAACCCCCAACTTGAAAAAGTGATGAACTTTATAATGCAGTAAGGAAAAAATACGACCCTTTATTCGCTTTCTACTCCAAAATAAAAAATAAAAACCTGCTCCCTCTGATTTTTTCTTCTGCATGATCTGATGAGTCATCTTAAAATACTGTCTGTAAACATGACTCAGCATAGAAGATCATTCTCACCTGTATATACTCAGTCAAGCTGTTGAAGACCTGCTTGGCTACAGTCATTGCTTTGGAGAAATTCCTCTTTCCAGGCTCATCAATGATGTCTTTTCCTGAGTAGTACCAATAAAAGTCACTGATGGACTCCTGCATGTGTGGAGAAGGAGGAAGAAAAGATGAGACTTTAGAAGTCTAGTTAATCTAAAATTATACTCAAGTGTACGAGTGTAATGCCTAAAGGTCTAAAGCTAAAAATCTCAGTGATAACTTTTTTTTAATGCTTTTAGGATATCTTCTAACAAATTAACTTTAAAAATTCAACCCATGTAGAATAAGATCAGAGAAGCAGGAAATCAGAGAGACCTGCAGTCGAAGAAGGTAGTCCACAGTACAGATGATCACATTGATGGTTGTGGTGCTGCCCGTCTGAGTTCTCAGGTAGTTCTGGAAATCTGAAAACAAACGAGAGACAGAAGAGTGAGTTCGTCAGAAACAGACCTGAAGACTCTCCGAACTCGAGACCTGCTGAGCGTTTTGTCTGGAGACTCACCGTTATTGTGGCCCTCACAAAGCAGCTGGAGGAAGCGGAAGAGGTCACACGTGAATTCATCGTCCGCCATCACTTTCTCATCTGAGCAGAAAGACACAAGAGACGCTTTTAACGCCTGTGTGGACAGGAGTCTCCAGTCCAGGGTCTTTGTGAACGCTGTTAATCTGCTGCAGACATGTTATCTCAGTCGAGTCTCTACAAACTTAAACTTACCTGTTAATTTACCTTCTTCACCTCAGATTAGGTTTAACATTGTGGATTATTATAAAACAGCGTCACACACAATCAATGAGCAAAATTTAATCAACAGGTAATTAGACTTGGAGTGTGAATTTGATGACGATGGAGGATACAGCGTGATGTTGGAATGTAAGTGTCTGTTAGTCGTGGTAAGTGTGTACACACACACACACGTGCGGTGAAATCAGTGAAGATGTGAGAACCATCACTTCATACCAATCCTCTTTTTTTATTAATAAATGTTAGTGAAAACCACAAAGACCTTAAAGTGCACGTAGCAGCAGACAAGAAGTGCTCAGACCTCCATCATGACCCCCAAACTTTTACCTGCGTCTGGCACTCCTGACACTTTTTACAGAAAACATCAACTCAACCAGAATCACGAGAAATACACAGATAAATGTAGACAAAGACACAGACGGATGGATGACAGACATGTATAAAAGCTGAGGAGACACAAACGTTGACAGTGGACACAAAAGGACAGAGATAACCCTGAGGCGCACCGTCATGCTCGACAGATCTACTGAACTCAGCAAAAACACTTAAAACAATATAATTTAATGTAATTATATTAAAAGTTAAAACAATAATCATAATTAAAGGCCCTTCCTGTTGTTGTTAAAGGACAGGATGTTAACTACAGTATGTTGTCATTTCAATATCACCCTTTGAGCCTCATTTATAAGACGACACAAATCTTAAAGGTCTCCTCCGACATGCACTCAGATCCTCCAAGCTGGAGATACTGTGTTAAAACCGGACATGCACGCTCAGGTGTGACCCCCGCTGATTCATAAACAACATAAAAAAAAAACAAATTTTAAGTTTTGATTTTCTTTTGACAACAGACATGGACACAGTGAAGAGGGATGAAATCTACTGAGTAAACCAAGCGAAGGGTGGGGATCACATCTAATGAGGTCGGCGTGTTAGGAGGGGGAAATTCATAACGAGTTACCTTAATTTTGTACATGTACATGAACAGATTTAAACCCATCTACGGTAAGTTACTGCTGTTTGAGGGGGAAAGTACTTTAGGCATGGAGTCCCTTGTGCTGCTGCAATTCATTTCAGAGTTTGTGGTTCACAGGGTCAGTGTTGTTGTTCTCTCTGATCTACTTCAGAGAACTCACAGGGAGAGGAAAACCAGGTTACTGCTTCCATTCCCTCTGACCGCTGACAAGACTGAGAGTGTTGGAGTAACAGTAGATCTGTGACTGAACACTCAAAGAAGAAAAATACAACTTTACAATCACTTCAGAGATACAGGAACATTTGTATCATAGCTTCAAAGTGAGAGCAAAGTTTTATTTCTCTGAATCCTTGAGTGTGAAATGAAATGCATATTTAGTTCACAGCAAGGAAAGACTATTGAGGTAATAAGAGCTTAAAGAGACAGAGAGGACAGAAGAGAGTGAAAAAAGAAGGAGAATAAAGAAGATCAAAGTTTCATTTACCCCGTTCTAGGTTCTTATCTGAGAACCGTGAGGGCAGCGTATTGACGGGTACAGAGGAAGAACATGGACATGAGGGGTAAAGGGTTGAAACAGGCAAAGTGCACAAGATGTGGGAGGGGGAGAAAGACAAAGAGAGACGCAGTGAGTCCAGAAATCTCATGGCTGTCAGTGGATAAACAGATCATCAGCATACATCAACAACAAAAGTCAAAATGCTGTGACTAAATTCAGAGTGTCATGGCTGTAACTCTGTGAACACACTGACATGAAAACATACCTGCAACCCTGCATCCACAAACCAGCACACTCAGACACATACAGATGCAAAAGAGAGACAGACTACATACTGGAACTGAAAGTTTGTCAGATCTGATCACAAACCAATGCAAAATAAAGAAGACACAGATTTGGAGGTGTGTTTGAATGTGGAAGTGTGTGAAACACTGAGCTCAGGTACATGAGACCAAAGTGGAGCTGCAGGTCGTACTCACTCGTGCCCTCTTCTGAAACCATCCCAAGGCCCTCAGCCTTGTTTTGTCTCTCAAAAGCGTTCAGGTCCAAAACACTGTAGACAAGGAGTCAGGAGTCAGTTTTACAGAGTGAAGACCAACAAACGTTCTAGTTCAGGGTAGAATTAATCAATACTCGACAACAGAGATCTGAGCAGTGAGAGTAGAAGAACGTGAAGAGATTACAGACCTGCAGGTCTGCATCAGAGCCTGAACGCTCAGGAAGAATCCCACATCCTTTTTATCCTTCAGATAGTCCAGCATCCTCTAAACATGCGAGAAGACAAAAATACAGAAAAGACAAGAATGAGAGGAGAGGTCGACTCTAAGTGACAGAGAGAGGGTGAGTACGAGAGTTAAAGTCAGGTGTACATTAAAGTGCTTTGGCTTTACTGACCTGCTGTACATCACTGTTGCCTCCATTGAGGATGGAGATTCCCAGTTTGAGTGTGGAGGAAACCATGGCTCCTGGTTCACCTGAAACAAACAGAGACATCCATTTTGACATTAAAATTAGAGATGGATCCTCTGTAACAACAACCAGTAATAATTTTAATTACTGTTCTTAACTGGCATGTTTTCAAATCTCTTAAAATGATCTCCACTGTTTTTTTTTTTACTTTTTCATATTTTACTCCTCAGAGCTCCTCTCAGTGAGGGGAACGTGGCGTCGATGTTTTCCAGAAGAAAGTCTGAAGTCTAAAATTTACATTTATCAGACCACATGAAAGTTTTCCTCTTTGCCTCCACCTAGAGAGGTGAACAGCATTCTGGGTCATGTGTGCATATGACTGCAAAGTGCTGTTTAACCTGCATTTCAGGATGCAGTATTGTAGCTCCTGTGTTCCCAGATAGTGGCTTTTGTAAGTGATTTTGAACTCATGCAGTGACTTCCAGTACAGAGTTATGTCTGCTTCTAATGCAGGGCTGAAGATCACTGGTGTTTAGTCTCCTTCCTTTTATAATTATAACTATTATTAAAATTTTAAATAATTTCTGACATTTTTGTAAAATGACCCAAATAAATACACTTTACTGTCTGCACATATGTGTGAGTGTGCATGAGGAAACGTGTGAGTTGGTGGTGATGCTGTGATAATCCGACTACCTTTGCAGGCACTGATCATCTGCAGCACCATCTCTGCAGCCCCGCGGTTATGCAGACGGGATTGCTGGTACAGAAGCCTCTGTTTCTCCATCTCCTTTTCCTGTGGAGCAGAGCATTAGGGACACAGCTGTAACCCTGCCAACCGAGACTGCACCGCCCCCCGCACTCGCTCGCTCACACTCAGACACAAACGCAGTTTCATCCTCTGTGCTCATCGACGGGAGAGTTTTAGATTAACCTATCACCAAGAATTTACAATTTGTGTTTACTCTTCATAACCTCTGTATCTTAACACAAACTGCTAATGCTGATGTCAGGTAGAGATGATAGATGAACACAAACATGGGCATCATGAGGAAACTGCCTCATATTTACACAGTAATTTTAAAGTTCTCTATTTTGAGTCTGATCCGGTGGAAATGCACAGAGAAAGAAACACACACACATACAAAAGAACACACACACACTCACACACGTTCTCTTCCATTTTAACACAACACGTGTTAGTGAAGGTGACATTTATTCCAGCTCTTGACATCATGGCAGCAAAAATTCAGAGCCAGCAAACTCACATTTTTCACACATTCTCACAAGGAAGCGACAACTGATGTCAGAGAAATACACAGCATGCACACTCTGCCTCCTCCTCCTGTCCTCAACCTGCAGCTACAACTCCTCATGACTACCAGTCTGCAAAGGCAGCTGTTTTTACTTGAAAAGGTATTTTTTATAACTTATATAATAATATTTACATTATTTTCACAGTAGAAAAAATATACAGTGGCCCTGAGGTGCAAAACACAACGGCAAATCAGAAAACACAACACAAAAAAGAAAACACAACAACATTAACCATTGTGTTTTCTGATTTGCTGTTGTGTTTTGCACCTCAGGGCCACCATACAAAATACATCATAGGCATTAACGTTTGTAAAATCTAAAATAAAAACATGTTAGTAAATGAAAATATATGATTACAAACATGTTTTTAGTCACTTACACATATTCACACGTTTAACATTTTTTAGCTTTAACAGTATGATACAGTAAACTTCTATATTACACCTCCTTTCATTGTCTTTGCTCTAACAAACTCTCCTCTCTTTAACATCCTCTGTTACCAAATAATCAGCACAGCCTCTGAGAAAAATCATCCTGTAGACAAAAGAGGTTAGACTTCACCCACCCACCAAACACCATGCATGAAGCCCCACCCAAAGCACCCAGGTCTTAACCTACCCCTCCCTCCCTCTCCCTCCCTCCCTCCCTCCCTCATGGGCCTAACTGTGAGTTTTAGATTTGACGGAGACACGTTTCTCTGGTTACAGAGGATCTGATCTGACAGGAGAAGCCTGTTGTGTGGTGTGAAGGATGTCGTCTGTGGTTCCAGCTGTTAGTGTGGCTGCAGATGTGTCTGTTTATGTGTGTATGAGAGTGTTGTTCGGACTGGAGCAGTGTGTGTGTGTGTGTGTGTGTGTGTGTGTGTGTTCGGCTGACTGTGCAGGCTTTTACTGTAGTCCTCGGTGAGCACAGAGAGGGAGACTTGTTAGCGCTTTCCAATTCAAAGGGACGTCGAACAAATTCGGTTACTTGTCAGTTGTTAGATTTCAAACTGGAGTTATCAGGTGAGTCCAAATAGATGAACACATATAGCAGGTGAGTAAGGGAGGATGTGAGTCGGGAAAAAAAGTGGTGTAAGTCTGTGAAAGACTGACCACAGAAGATCAGCACAAGAGAGCTGGTTCTACTGTTAAAACCTTCTGGTTTGACTTTAAATCAGTTATAAGAGTTTTCAGTGAAGTCTCGGACAGAAACACCCCAATATGGGCAAAATAAGAGACCAGAAGAGAAAAAAGATGTAATACTACGTCTCTATAACTCCAACATCACAGTGTCCAAACCTGACTAGGACATAGATCGATCAGTTATTTGTAGGGTTATTGGTTTTGGGGGGATGATGAGCAGGTTATGGACATAAAACATGTTAACATAAACTAGATCACCAAACAGACTCAAGATTCTCTGCTCGTCAGTGTTACTCGGAAAAGTTAGTTCTCTGACTGTTTGATTCTTACCGGCCGTTAACTACAGCACTGATAAAAACTTATTCCCACAATCTAAATTTATCGATAAGTTTAAGTTTAATAATCTCTGGATTTTATAGGTTACAGATGTATTATATAAGCTAAACTGTTTGTCTTGGTCATTCTGCGACATTCTGTTTTGATTTATTATTGTTGACAGATGTTAAACTGTCACTCCCCCGAGCTTAACGAGTGGCCATCATGAGGATAGATGGATTTCATCTGTTCAACCTTCAGGTTTGTAAATATTACCTTTCATTATATTGATCTATGCACAGAGTAGAACCCCACCCTAATGACCTGAACAACACTAACCCTAACTTTGGGCTGGGCTATAAACCGAAAATTTACTGATAAATAAATAAATAAAAAGTTGGTTTTTGATGTGTGTAGGTAGACTATGGTCGCTGTCCTACGTCAGAGATGTGACTCCACCCCATCCAGTCCGTAACAAAGAGGGAAAGACAGGTGAGGAGATGGAGGACGGTTCAAAAGTTTGAGCGGCTGAAGTAGACGAAGTTAATGTTGGAGGGGGTGAGCAGCTTGTGGAGTAGCTATCGTCCATTTATCGTTATATTGATTTGAGAACATATCGTAAGTAAATATGTTGGACCGTTCTGGAGCCACTGACACTCTGAGGCACATCAGGATTGGAAATTGTGATTTTGAAATTAAACAGCTGGCAAAGACTCAGTAGTTTTGTTTTGACCTCGTTTGGTTGTCTTTAGCTGCACCATCTCTCTGCACTCGTGTCATGCGGTTTAGAAACTTAAACAAATTGAGTCCACAACGGATCCGACTGTAGGGCTGAGTCCAGCAAAGGCATGCACAGGTCAGTCGGTCCACCATAGCAGGAAAGAGACAAGGTGTGTGAGTGCACAAGAGAACGACAGGAAGAGAAATAAGTGGGTGGGGTGGGGGGATGTGCCGAGTGTGATGTCATGGTGTGGTCACTCAGTGCGTGGGGAGTTGCTTCTTCGCTGACTCCCCTGTCTCCCATCCCCTGGTCCCCCCATACCATCTCTGTCTGCCGCACCTCAAAGGATGGCTCCTCCCCCTCCTGTTCTCCCCCTTCGTCCTCCTCACCAATGTGGCAGCTCTGGAGGAAGACGACAGGGAGTCAGGGACTTACAACAGGATTACATCAGACTGAGCAGATTTCACAGTTTTGTCAGACTGTCTTTACTTATGATTTATTCTATATCTGCTATATTCTGGACAAACAATTCAAATTTAACAAAAGGAGTAAGAATTTAAGTTGGTTTTTATAAAGTTTTTATATCAATAATCACAAAAACAAGTTGACATTGTGCACCTAGGTCGCTGGTTGTCTTACCTTTGCCATAATATCAGCATATGACATATAGAGATGGTCAACATCAAGTTTACTGTAAAGAGAAAAACGCAGAGCAGGAGTCAGTGAACGCCTCGTGAACCAGATTACAACAGGAAGTCACAGAGGAAGAAAAACGCTCTTACAGCTTTTCTGTGAGAGCTGTCCGGCTGAAGTGAAGAATCAGCTGATGAAGGGGGTCAGGCTTGGTCTCTGTCTCTTCTTCCTCTTCCTCCTCTTCCTCCATGGCTTTCTAATTCGATTATCAAAGACAACACGTACCGTGATTTACCCGGACGGTTAACGCAGGTAAAAGAATCGATGCAAAGAAGACTTACTGATAAGTCGTCGATCATCTTGTCTTCAAATGAGTAACCCTCGGTCTCTAACCAGTTGCGTTTGTAGGCGTCCAAGAACATGTTGGTCGCCCGGTGTCTGTGAGAGGAGAAGTAAGCTGAGTGTCATTTATAACTCCTTCATTATTTTAAAGAGAATTACATTTTTAAATTTAAAGGTATCATAATCATTACGTGGGGATGTTGTATAAGGGCGTCATCCTGAAACAGGCCACCACAGCCCTGCGGCGCTGTTTGGACAGCAGTTTGTGCCACACCATTTTCTTTGACTTGAAGGGATGCTCCGTCTAACACGAGAAAAGAACAACTCTTAAAAAAACCCTGAACTTTGTTTACAGTCACAAGTGTTCAAACTTGAGTCAAACTCACCACTTCAATGTGGTAAAGGACAGCAGACACCTCTTGGACCCTTTTCACCACCTTCTCAGGGACTTCGGCATCCTCGGCCTTACCAGCCATCTCTTTGTAAAGGGACATCTGCCAACGCATCGCCGGGTCCTCCACCTGGATTTAAGGGTCGTGAGAGTTTTCTTTAAAAATGGATAATGATGGAGAGTTTTATATTTGTTCATTTGCATCGATTGTCGACTCACCTTGCCTTGCAGATGAAGATTGTTGTGCAAGAACTCCCTCACCTCCTCATCCGTGTCTTTCTACAAGAAAAGACACGAAGATCACATGACATGAGTACAAATATTTCAAGATTTTGTAAGAATAGAGTACATCAGCAAGTCAGTGCCGAACAGTACCAGTGAGTATCTGATCTTGGCGAGATTAATGAGCTCCTGGTCTGCAGGAGAGCACATATTCAGGCCGATGGGAAGCAGCTTCTTCAGCGCCGCTACGATCAGGGAGGTCTGCACGGAGTAGCGATCCCCTCGCCGCTTCTTCTTGGTGCGCTCCTGCTCCGAGCCTCCGGACTAGAGAGAGGAAGTAAAGTTCAGATTCATCCTTGTAGATTCACAAGCCTCTATGCCTCAAACATCAAACATTTTGTTTTCAGATATTTTTGTGACATTAGAGGCAAAAACAGATTTAAATGCAACTACTTCTACGACAGAAAGGAAGAGTAAACTGATTCACCAACTGCAGAGGAGAGACTTAAACAAATCACAACATGCTTATAAAGTGAATCAACTACGTGGAAGTCATTATTTTCACCAGCTGGAACAAGACAAAACAAACAACTGCATTTTCTTAAAATCGTAGACTTTTCAGAGGGGGGTTCAGGTGCTTCACTGCTGCATCAGCTACACCGGTTACACACAATGCAGCCTCTCTGTTAGTAGTGCAATGGCCAGACAGGGTGTGATTGTCCACTGGACAGCACAACAAACAGCAAAAGTTTATGGGGTCAGCTCCGTCGCCCTGGAGCTCTTCTCACACACTCCTGTCCTGAGGCTGCCAATGCTCATTACTGACTGTTGTCTGGCCTCACAGCGCCCTCTCTGCCCACCCACGGCGTGCATGGTCTGTATGAACGTGGGTATAATCGCTCTTTGGGCGGCGAGAGAGGCATTGTGACGATCAGGTAACAGGAGCTCACTACACCGAACAGCAATGCCCATCTGAAAGCCGAGGAAAGGAGGTTTTCTTTTATTCTTAAAACAACCGTAAAGAAAACATGAAACAGTGAGTGGAAATTCAATGACCTGACAATTTAATGATGTCAATGAATTAGACATGTAGGGGCGAGTTCAGTTAGTAAAAATGATAACAGCTGTCTTTAGCTAGCCTCAGCCCTCCCTCAGCTAGTCACACTAACTGTTGAAATGGCGAGTACATATACATGGCTTTATGGTGTGAACAGGTACTTAACACAAAGCCAATGATAATAATGATAAAAAAAGAGAAGAGTCCAGCGCAGGAATTTTACCACCAAAGCTGAAAGAAATCCAAGCGTCAATAAGAAAACTTTGACACCACAGGTTGCACAGCGTGGGCTCCACAACCGTTTCCAACAGGGACCATCTAAAGGCAAACTGTTGATTAACAAAGGGGGGAAACAGGGTGATGGGGCACGGTTGAAGGAGTATCAGATACACAACCGAGCTCCATGTAACCTCACAGGCTACTACGAACTACAGCAACAAGCTTTCATCAAGCCACTCCAGACCCCTACTCACACACATACAAACACACACACACACACATGAGAGACACAGACACACATGGCAAACACACACTCTCTCACAGTATCATAACATCAAATTTACACTAGGGCTGAACGATTCATTGAATTTAAATTGAAATTGCGATTTGAAATGTTGCAAATTAGCTAATCCCAAAGACTGCGATATTGAACATACATGAGGTAACACGGCTAAATCAGGGCAGTGACAAGAGGGAGCGGCGTTGAAGCGAGCGGCGGCTCGTTCAGTGACAGAGCAGAGTCTGTAATAGTGAGCCTTAGTATGAAACCGATATTCGTGAAATGTTGATTATCAACGGGGAAATATGACAGTAAGAAACACAGCGACACTAACAACGACAACAACATCACAGGAAAGACATCACACGTTTCCTCAGTGACATAAACAATAGTGTTGCCCTGGTGACAGACTGACAGGCTGCAGGTTGTAGAGAGAGAGAGAGAGTGGGATGGATTTTATTTTATGTGATGTGAAGATGCTCTAAATAAATAACAAAATATTCAAAATGTTAAATGCAGGAAGAAAGTGAAGCCAGACTTAAAAATGTGTAGTATTACGACACAACGACAGATTTGTGACCAAATTAGACTGTGCTGTGGTGTGTGTCGTTGTCTGTGGTGCTGCAGTTTTGAGTCTAATCCAATCATAGCAGTTTAGACTTTTAGTAGTTAACGAAAAAAAAAGGACAACCTCAAACTGAAGCTTGACTGGATGAAATTAAATCGCAAAATCAGACAGAAAAATCACAGATAGATATTTTCCCCAAATCGTTCAGCCCTAATTTACAGTAAACAATAACAAATATGTCCTACTTACAGAAAACAGTACAGTACCATTTTAAACATCCATAAATATATAAACTCTTTAGTTTCTCTGTGACTCTCCTATAGGCAAAAATGTCCCTGATGGTACATACAGTCTGACTGGATGTACCCTGTTTTTGTGTGTGTGTGTGTGTGTGTGTATGTGTGTGAATATTGGGGTCTGTGCGTTTGTGTGTGTACTCCATGGGAGAGCTTGATGAAATGTTTTTTCCCCAAACCCAGGGTGCCATGCGATCAGCACAGCGCTCGTGCACAAACACAGGCTAACCTCTCCATCTCCGGCCTAGTGGCCCAGCGTCCAAACCCCGACCCAGGATATAAGGAGAAAACACAGTTAGCAACACTCCTATGACTACCTGATCAGAATGAACTGCCACTTTAAATGTCCTTGAAAAAGGGTTTTATTAGTAAATGCCTTAACCATTAACCTTATCACACATATGGGAAATGCTTATTGATTACAGGACTATCATTTACCTCACAAACTTATCCACAAATATTTAAAAGGAAGGAAATAACTGCTGCAAATCAAACCAAGGGGGTTCCCTTTAACTCCTCCCTGCTCAGAATGGGTGATGTTAATGCAATATTAATTATTAGAGTTTAGTTTCTTAATGAGTTAAAATTTAAGATGTGGATAAAACATGTAAAGAAATACCAGACTACAGTTCACTCTGATTTTTTACGTTTGTTCTTCTCTCTCACCTTGCTCATCTTGCTCTTACTGTCTGCAGTCAGGAAGGACATGTTGTTGATTTCGTTCATCACCACAAAGTTCTGCTCCTCTCGTTTGAAGTTCTGAAAATCCCAAAGAAAGAAAAATGTTTGATGGTAAATGAGAAACAACACAGTAGAAAAAACAAGTTTAAAGAATACAAAGAACTCACATGTGATTTCGACCAGAATATGAAGACTTCTCCGACCATCCTGAAAAGCTCCTCTGCGTCTGGGTCCGGACAGGTCAACCACCTCGCCCTTAAACCAACAGCGACAGTTACAGTTACTTGAACTTAAATCCAAGAGTGTGGCTCATAATTAGTTCTATATATACTGTATTTATATATAAGTTAAGGTACCTGTTATTGTCCACGTAGCGGATGAGTAAGGGGTAGAGAGCGTAAAGGTCCCGACACAGCACGGCAAATTCATCTCTGATGGTCCCATTTTCACTGTCAACCTCTGTTTTGCCCTCCATGCGCAGCTGATCCTCCTCGGCGACCACCTTCCCAGAGCGCTTCTTCAGCTTCTCCATGGTGGGGATGAAGTGTGATTTCAGCATCTCTGGTTTAGCTCGACTAACGATGGGCTGAGCGAAGACTGGACGGGAAGACAGGAATCATGGCATCATTTCGAATGGTGAGTGAAGACAAAATGAGAGTGACACTTTTACGATTCACCTTTAAATGTTCAACAGAATCACTATGATGTTTATTTGAACAAAAAAGATGATGGGAAATGTCCAGCTGACCTGCCAATCTCTTCATCCAGGAGGCCTCATCAATACCCAGGTTGTTAACCACGATCTTCATGATGCTACCCAGCAGATGGTTCAGCTGCTCAGAGGTGACAGCGGTGCAGATCTGACCCTCCTGCTCGGGGAAATTCTCAGGGCCCCTCTCCCACCAGCGCGGGAGGTAATTACACAACATGGGCAGGGTGACCTCAATCACATGCGGCATCTCTGTGTAACGAGCACCAGACTCAGCCAGGTCATGAATCTCCTTCATCAAGATCTCAAGCTCTGGGATATCAGGGCACAGCTCCTCTACTTGGTTTGGAAGACCCAAAACTGAGGAGAGAGGTCCACACAGATTAAAAAATAAAAGTAACTGTTTATTTTTTTTAATTGAGAAGGTTGATTAAAATATAACAAAATGTGAAGGTCATGTTCAAAAGTAAGAGGACAAGAAAAGTGCTCGAAAACTCACTGGATCTCTCCCTGGGGGTCTTGGTGGTGTAGACAGAAAATGTGTTGAACTCGTTCAGTATTGGCTCGAGGAAGGCCACTGGCATAGCAGCTGCTAAGTGAGCCAAACACTCACCGAGAGCTGGTCGCTGTCTGCAAAGGAAAAAAAACATAAAGTTCCCATAAACTGTTTCACAATACCAACTAAAACAAACCCGATCAGAAACAGTTATCTCTTAAAAAAGGCTCCTTCAGATACTCGCGAAAATAAGTGCTCATGGATGAAGAGTGCTTAGACTATTAGACATTTATTTGATAAATGTAAATCTGAGACGAAGACTTGTTCTCGGACTTTGTTACTCACTTCTCTACATGTGGAGTCTTCACTGTGCCCAGAGAGTAGATGCTGCACATTAAACGATAGCAGGATATTTGCAAATCGTCCACTGTGAATGAAAACATGAGAAGCTCTGCATTAGCTCAGCTCAGAGACAGTTGTTTGTGTTTCTGCACAATGAGGATAAATAATAAAAACCATCACTCACATATGACATCGTCTCCAAACTGGTGCTGGGCGATGTGGTCAAACAGCGAGGTGAGGACTGGCAGCAGGGCGATGGTGGTGTAGTTGATGTTCTGGGACACACCCTTCACCTGAAGAAAACAACACACCAAGATCCAGATGAGCTCATCAGAAAATATAATCTGAGGGGACTAAATCATGCAGTGTGAGGCTCCCTCTGACCTGGTTTCGACTGGACACTTTGCCCAGTTTTAGATTCTCAACCATCTTTTCAATGTCATCTGCAGCACTCTCAAAGAACTGGCGCAGACCGGCCTTGACAATCTCAGGGCCGGATTTCATAACAGTCCTTGAAAAAACAGAGGAGTCGATGCACAAATTGATAGAGTTAATGTTGGATCAGGTCACTTTAATGTCTTGTGTTATAAATGGGTTTTGAATTACCTGGCATCCAGTGATCTTGAGAGGATGTGTAGACAGTTAACCACTGCACCTGCGTCTGTACCTGAAACAAAACAACAAAGATGTGTTATCAGACTTTTCCCTGTCTGTCTTCAGTCCTGCTCACTGTAGATTCACTTTTAACACAGGAGTTTACCTTAAGGCTACATTTAAACAGAAAATAGGGCAAACACTTATGCTTATAGAGCGTGTTATAAAACAAAGACCAAACTCAAAACAACAGTACAAACAAATACATCACATCATATTGCTGAGATTTTTCTTTACTTATAGACTTGAGTACATTGAAAAAGCTGGATGAATCAGTTCAACTTGTTCTCCTTGTTACTGTGTCTCATCTGGTGCTGGTTGGGGCAAAGTAAAGGACAGTGTGAAGTGTTGGCCTGTGTCAGGAGAGCAGTGTTTCAATAAGACCGACAGACTATTGAAGATATACTGTATGTTGCAAGGATCGACCAAAATGTTTATTTTTATAGGGCTGATACCGATTATTGGTTATTCAGGAAAACGGTATTTAAAACCGATATTTATTTGCAGTAAAAATGTATATTTTGGGCTTATTTTGAAACACGTGCTTTTATTTTGAAATGGCAAAACAACCGGAAGTAGCGCATGCTAGCTCCATACGCTTCACAGAGACCGAGGAACACTCCTAGCCGTGGTGTTACCTGCTAGTTTGTTACTTTAGTTTTATTTTTCTACGTTTCATGGTGTTTGTTATATTTTGTCTTTTTTTTGACTGTGAAGAGTGACTCTGGGGAATGACTGCCGTTTGTTGAGAAGCAGGCTATAGTGATCGGTATTACTCGTACAGTCTATGGTATTACTTTGTGTATTCATTATCTGTGACGGCTATAGTGCTAAACAATGCTATTTAAGAAATGATTACAATTACTGACGTTGGCTTTTATTTTTTTTTTACTTTAACTTTTAGCTCGGAACATGAGTCTCACATTCATTCGTTTTAAAATAAACGTATTTTATCGGCTATCGGTGGAAAAAACGTCCGATGCTGATTAAAATGCTGAATATCAGCCGATATTATCGCCGTGCCGATTATCGGTCGATCCTTCGCATGTTGAGCAATACAGTGATATCTGACCCCGTAACAGACACTCATGCTCGTATCCCGCCCGGTTACTCGTATCAAATGTAAATCTGGGTTTTTTAAAGCAACACAGTAAACTGTAAAATGGCGAAGTTAAATGTATAAGCAATGCATCTGCAAAAACACACTTTTATAGACCCAGGCTGCAGAACACCAAAGCCAAGCAGAAGCTGCACTAAAGAGAAATAAGCATTAGATGAAGAAGTTCAGTAAGGAGAGACAGAAAGCTCTGGTGGATAGATGAAACGTGAAACTGTAATACTGCGTTTATGAAATTAGTACGTTAATGAGGAGAAAGGACAGAAAAGGAAGTGGGGCAGATCTTAACGTAATCAATTAGACAAAAAAAAACAGATACACATGGACAGGGATGGCGACAGGGCTTAATGCCACCATGCAGATTCCTTACCAAAAAGGGAAACTCTGTGCCTCACCAAAGCAGCCAACTTACAGAAGATACTGAGGCAGAAGGAGAAAAGAGGAAACGGAGGGAGAGGAGGGTAAGGGCAAACAGGGCAGGAGAGATGTTTGAAGTGACACATAAAGCAAAAGGGAGGTCAAGGAAAAAAAGGAAACTGCACAATAGGAGACAGATGAGGAGACATGGACCAGGGAGTAGACAGACACTGTCACCTCCAAAGTATTAAACTGAAGAAAAGGTACAGAGTAAAGAGGTCACAGTCTGCTGGACTAGATTTTCAAACCTTTTCTTCTTTTTTTATACCTGGCAATCATCTCCTTCTCCTTGTTAGAAGAATGCCCACCACTACCCAAGACTTTAGCAGGAGTAGAGAGGAAGTAGAGGCAGTGGTTCTTGAAGTACTGGTTTACTAGAGGCAGGAGGATCTACAAGGATAGAAAAAGCTTTGTAGGAGGCTCATCTTCAAACAGTACATTTGGACATGAATGAAAAGAGCATCATTTTGAGACCAACTCATGACCTCTACAGCAGCTTACCTTCGCAAAGAATTTAATCTCTTGCTCATGCGGGGACTTTTCCACTCTCCCACTGCTGACCACGGCCTCTGTGATTCAAGGAAATTACATTGAGACGGTTATCAGTCAAAGCTGCTATAATAGAAGAGTTGAGTGTAAAGCCCTCCAACAGAGTCTCAAGCAACAGTACCAAGATGAGCAATGAACTCCTGGGCGATGTCCATCCACTTCAGCAGCTTCTGGAGGAAACCGTAGGCGAAGCGCTTCTCAATGGAGGAAATGTCCTGCTCCATGTCCTTAAGGCCCCTGAAAACGGAGAGAATAAGGAGGAAGAATTAAAGGACTAGCATAGAAACATGTATCCGAGTAATAAAAGAAGAACTGGAATTAACCTTGTTACAGCATATCCGTTAAGCTGGAGGAACTTGAGAAGGTCCTGGGCCTTCTCTCTGTCTCTCGCCTTCTCTTTAGCCGTCAGGGTGTCATAAGGCACAAGCAAAGGATGGGTGCCGCCACCTACCGAAGGAGAAAACAGCTGTGTTTTCTTTGACTCCACAGACTACAAACAACAGAGTCTTAGTCTATCACATGTGAAAAAAAAGGACTGTCTTACCTTTGGCCTGGAGCTCCAGTTTCTTCTTCCTGCCCCAGGTGTTGTGATAGTTCTCAGCCAGCTGCTCAGCCATACTCTGAACAGATCGGGTCAAAAAAGATCAATCTTCGAGCTTCTAATCGGTGTTCAGAGTAAATATGTGACTTTACAGTATCAGAGAGATACTCACCTGCAACTCTCTGGACAGGGCCATTCCTGCGATGTCTATAGGCTGAGGGTTGTACCCGTGACTCGGGTCATACGTGGCCTGAAAACAGATATCGTGCCATACTTAATTCTATGTAAGGTCAAGGAGCTGTGCTGGGCATCACAGCATTAGTCCCAGAGTTAATAACAAGTTTGAAACAAGTTCAGTTGGAGGTCTATCCCTGCTACAAACACCGTTTTATAAAAACAGGACTCTTCCCTGTCCTACCTGAGCAGTTTGGGAGATCTTGCGAGTCGTTGCCTTCTTCTCAAGATCGTCCTCCCCATCCCTGGCTTTTTCCAAGGTCCACTCCCACGCCAGCATGGCTTTGATGGATTCTTTGATTGGCCAACGGTAAATTTCTTTGTCCTTGAAAAAAGAGGGAAGGGGATTTTAGGGATACTGTTCTAATAGAACTGGATTCCTCAAAAGAGAATTTAAGCTTGTCCAGACTTTTGGACTTGTGCGAGAAGATCATGAACTCGTTACCTTCTCGGAGAAGGTTTTATAAGGCCGGAGCATCGGGTGAGTCTTGGCGTTCTCATCTAATATCTCTCCATAGGTCCAGTTGTTTTGAATCTGTCAAGTATTAAACCATTGAGCTAATGTTTAGTAGAAGTAACAACACTTTCAAATAGGTAACAATATGATCGACACCTTTGCTAGCTCACCTTTTCAAAGGCCCACTTATCATGAGTGTGCTCTGCATACTTGTTAATGAAGGCATCCAGCCTCTCTGGGATGATGGTGCTGTGAAGAAGTTCATTTATGATTAATGAGTTAAATCAGGTTAATCCAGGTTAAATTAACCCTGGATTACCTCATTCCCAGCAGTCTTTAATCAGTCTCTATGTAACTTCTATAAATAAAACATTTACACTTTTTCATGTCTCATTTCTTCTTTACCATTCAGTGAATTTTTTATTGAAATCAAGATACTGTCTTATATTAATACTCTTTTTCCAGGGGACGTCTGTACAGATGTATTTTCCTGCTTACTTAGTGGTTTCCACAGGTTTGGGATCAAAGTTGCCCTCAGCATCCACAGAGGCTTTCTTCTCAGTGTGGGAGGAGTAACTGGCATCCACATAGTCAGGGGGGATAGCTCCAGCTATAGCACAGAGGCACGGCATGGCGATCTTGAAGAGCTCTGCATCAAATTTCTAGAGTTTGGAGAACTCAGGTTAGTGCTCACATGAGCTGAACCACTGCAGTCAATTTTTACATCAATACATTCATTCCCCACCTTGTGAGCCAAAGACTCAAAGATTCCCCAGAACAGTTTACGGGAAAGATGCAGCTCCTCCTCTGAGGTCACGCCGAAATTAGCCCACCCATTAGGCAAGCAGTAATACTTCCAGCAGCGCTCATAGTGATTCGTCAACAACTGGAACAATTAAATTACAGAAGAAAACAAAAAAAGGTTAAAATTTGGTATTTAAAGTACTTCCACCACCAGATGATTTCTCCAATCTGTGTTTGATCAGTCAGCAGTTTTAACGAGATTGAGTAGATGTCCATGTATACAGAAATGTATTGCAATCACACAAAAAAAACAGAAAAAAAGAAAGATGCAAAAAAAAGTACAATAAAATAGAAGAAAAAACAATTATTCCAAAAAACAGAAAAGAAAAAAAAAAGTTCTAAAAATTTTTGTAATTGAATGCTTTACGCTTCTGTACATGTACTCTGTTTAATATTCTTCGAATTTATGATTTTGTCTGTTTCAAAAAATGATATAAGATAAATACTACAGACATATAAGACAACAAACCTTGAGAGGCATCTTTGCATATTCATTAAGGATGGGAACATCAAACACGAGTCGTCTGAGCAGATGCTGCAGCATGGACGGTCGAAGGTACCTGAGAGTAACATTCGAGTTTCAGGAGGAACGTTTCAGGAGTTCAGGAGCACAAAATCCCCAAAAATATATGGCGTTAGAAAATGAGGATTAAAACTGACTTGCAAAGTGACATGAGGCATTCCTCAATGACGTCCCTCTGAGCCTTCGTCAGGGCTCGGCCACGGGACAAGCGATAGATGGTGTGGAGCATGGAGTCAATCATGATGGCCCGGTGGTCAGTTCCAGCGAACAGTGGGGCACACTTGGTGAGAAGAGGCAGAACAGCTGAGCAGAGGTAGCGGTTCAGAGCCAAGGCCATTTCGGTGGTACTGAACGCGACCTGTCACCATAGACGAGAATAAAAGGACACATGGTGAGTCACGTCAAGGATTCACGCTTCTGAAGCTGACTGGTTGTTTTTCTTTCCTACTCACTGTGTCCAGAGAGGCTGCAGCCCTCATGTCAGGAAGGAAGCCAACCTCCAGCACATGGAGCAAGAAGTCCTGGTTTTCAATACCGTACACTCTGTCAAGGAACAGCACCATGGAGGCCTTGTGGTCCGGCACAAAACTGGCAGACATCTTTGGCTCGATAATCTGACCCTCTGTGGTTTAGAGAGAAGACACTGGGTAAGAAGACGAGAACAAAATATCCAAGAACAATGAGTCCACGCATGTGTCTTCAGATCTGACCTTTGCCATAAGCAGGAATCTGGACGGGCAAACTGATGACTCCCACCAAGTCCTCGATGGGGACCAGAGATCTCAGGATGGCCCTGATCCTTAAGGCCTCACCCTTTCCTGCTTGGATCAGCTGTGAATATGAACATTTAAGACATGCTGTGTGAGACTCATAGCTACTCCAAAAACCACATATTGAGGTTCTGTGCCTGTAAAAAAAGCGGTTCTGCTCACATGCATCTCCGGGGCGCAGCGACCCAGCAGATCGATGAGGGCCGAGTAGAACGACATGATGGCGTTTCCTAAATGTACACGGTTTTCCTCCTGCTGTTCCTCACCACCAAACCTATTAATTAAAAAACATCATTTTAACACAGATAGTTTTAAAGTAAAGGAAATATCCATTTGTTTCAGTGCAGCTTGAGCTCATTTCTGTGATTTTTAACAGCTTGTGTTCATACTTAATGTCTCTCGACTAGTGTGTCGGTACATACATGAAGCGCCTATCTTTCTTGACAGTGGGTCCATCTCTTGCTGGATCCTCTGAGATCTTGATGGCCTCTTCCATGGCAGCCAGCAGACCATTCCCACCCTCTCCTCTCAGGGCCGGACCGAAGCACTCAGGCCGACGGATGAGCAGACGCACCACAACGTTGGCGTTCTCCTCGACGCTCTCTCCTGTGAGGAGGAAGTGCGCAGCAGTTGATCACAGCGGCTCACATTAAAAATCTACAAACACAACAGAAGTATGAGGTATGAGGGCGCAGACCGTTCACAAAGACGGCAAAGCGGAGGAAATCCAGGTATCGCTCTCCTCCACAGGGGTTCCAGCCGATATCAGGGTACCCTTTGGAGAGGAGCATCGGACACATCTGCAGTCCACAGCCGGCCAGGTATGTCACCACCTATCAGCAGATATGACACATTTTCAGCGAATAAGCACACTTAGTATTTAATCATATTATGGTTTTGTTATAAGTTTAAAGTTCTCAAACCATCTCCAGGTCTTGTTCTTGGAGAGCCAAGGCCAGCTCGTTGTTGTCGATGCAGGAGGCTGCAGCCACGTCCAGAGGTGTGGACCCACGCATGCCTACAAACGCAAAACAAAGAGTGAGCCTACGTTTGGACTCAAAAATCTACTGAAGGCAAACTAAACATCTAAACAATTCCTTTATTCCTATATCACTTTCAGTTTTTCAGTATTATAAATGAAGACAGGTTAGGCTGAGACTGACCCAAGCCGATGCCGCTGTTCTGGAGCAGATAGCTCAGATGGTCGAACATGGAGCGCTGGTTCTGTCGGCTGATACGGCAGAAGTAACACAGGAAACGACAACAGTTTGTCACCATCTGGGGGAATCGGATCTCCTGAGAAGAAAAGGTAAAATATAAAAAATGTAGGCTGAGAGGTTTCCCACAATGCAGCACACCTCAACCATGAATTCAGGACTCCAATAAGCCTCCTAACTATACTGATCAGACCAGGTAACGTAGGTTAACATAACATAGAAGTTACCTTTGAGTCTCCGCCGCCGCCCAACACGTTGACCATCACCTCCATGACGGTTTCATGCATACCAAGAGCTCTCATCAGATTGGGGTGCTGGTAAAACACCTTGTTGTTCATGATGTTCCTAAAAAAACAATCAGGACAAATTTAAGGCTCTAATTCCATGTAAATAAATTTCTAATAGAATTCCCGTATCCCATTTTTAGTGGGCCAACACTGACCCGATGCTTTGGATCATCAGTCGCTCCTCCTCTGGGCCCATCTGAACGATAAGAAGTGAACGGATCTGTCCCAAACACTCAAGCAGGTCCATCGTGTCCTGGACAGACACGGCGTTGATGGCGTAGGCTTTGGGCAGCGCTCGGATCAGCTCGCCGAGGCCGTCATACTGCCTGTGGAGCAAGCTGAACATCAGACGGACCAGCTCGGGGTTCTGGATGAAGGACTCCTGGGCCCAGTGTATCATGGTGTGGGAGATCAACTCCTGAAGAGTGCCTAGGTGAGCAAAGAGAGGCGGAGTTTATGTTACATGTTTATGTGCGAAGATTTGAGTATTCTGGTTCTGGAAAATCATCCCACTTACTGAGTTTTGGTTCCTCCTCCACCTCAGGCTTCTCCTCCTCTTGGGTCTTACGCAAACTTTTGATCTTGTCAACCAGACTGAGGAGTCTGCCCCTCAGTGAGGCATCCACCTCCTGCTCCTCGGCCTCCTCCTCAATATGGATACCTATAGATTATAAAGTATAACTTATCATTATTTGAAATAAATGTCAATGACAGCTGTGAAGTCAAACCAGATCTTTAAAGAGCTCCTCACCGCAGTGAAGCAGGATGTCATTGTGAAACTCTCCCAGAGTGTCCCGGATCTCCTCAGGTACCGGACAGTCCTCCTCTTCTGGACACTGTTTGAAGTTTGTCAGCAGAAGAACCTTTGAGGGAAATGAAATAAAAATCCCATCAGCATGTAGTTTCTGTTTCAGACACAAAATAATGACTTTAAAACTAAACTTTCCATGAAATTTAAAAAAAACCAAAAAAAACAAAAGGGATTTGTGAAGATCAATGATCCCGTGCCTGGTCTTGCGGCGGTGAGCGGAATTCACGGGTCCGTCTGGCGGTCTCAGCGGCTGACATGGTGAAGGCTCTCATTAAGCGGTTGTAACGAATACGCTGGTTGTTCTGGATGTCGTGGACGAACTGGTCCGAGTACGCCACGATAGCCTCGACCCTGTGGCGAAGCTCACAGTCGCAGAAGTACTGCAGGAGTGTGCACATCTGTGAAGGTTAAAAAACGATAAATAACGATTAAAGACGATTAAAGATGGAGGAAAATGTAAACATCTTTTGAACATCAGAGAGTCTTTAAATAAATAAAACTGACCTGCAGCTTGACAGACTCTGGAAGCTTCATTTGGAGTAATCCTTCTTCTGGACCCTCATCTTCCTCTTTGGGTTCAGCTTCCACTACCTCTGCCTCCTTCTCCTCCTCTGCCTTCTCTCCATCCACCTTTCCTCCTTTGGCCTCTCCCTCCTCCTTCTCCTCTCCCTCCTCTTTCTCCTTCGGCTCTGCTTCTGTCTCCTCATGCTCGGCTTTTTCCACTTCTTTCAGCTCCACCTCCTCATCACCGACCCCTTCATCCTCAAGCTCTGCTTCTTCATCTTTCTCCTCCTCCTCTTCCTCCTCCTCCTCCTCTTCCTCGTCACCTTCTCCTTCAGCAGCCCCACCCTCCTCTGCTTTCTCTTCCTCCTCTTCCTCCTCCTTTCCGCTGAAAACGTTTGGATCAATCATCTTGAGGATGTGTTTGGAGTCCTCGTCGTTGAAGATGCCCATGATAAGAAGCGTACTGATGAGCTTCAGGATCGGAACAAAGTGGAACTCCACGCTGCCCCCTACTGGATCCCGCATAGCCTGGCTACCATCCAGCACAGCCTCTGTTAACATGCTAATCGCCTTGGTCTTCAGCTCCTGATAAAAAAGACAAAAAAATCAGCTACAGCCAAATAAAAATTCTTAACATTTTGGAAAATTTCTGGTCTCTTACCTGCAGCGGGAAAATGGGACTGATGGTGTAGAGGTCAGGGTCTGTGCCAACAAAGTTGATGGAGGAGAAATGTAGTTTGGGGCGTAAGCAGGTCGTGAGGCCAACACCTGGGAGAGAGTGGGCTTTCTTTGCATCAGGGTAGAGGTGGATGCTCAGAGTCTGCTCCGTCATGGGGACGATAAACTCTCTGTTGGTTCCCAAACGTGCCCGTTTGGCAGACTCCAGGTGGATACTGATCAGCAGATCATAGTAGCCGCTGCGCAGAGGTCCAGGCAGGTAGGTGTTCTCGATGGCGTAGAAAAGCTGAGATTCATCGACATGGCTGCACAAGGCATGAGCCACACGATTATTACCGAGAGCGCAGACAGCACAGTAGAGCATGAGGGTGTGGAAGTGGAACTTCATCAGATCCTGACGCTCCGACAACTCCAAGATGTCAATACATCTGAAAAAATAATGATCAAAATGAAAATTAATGCAGCGAGGACAAAAAAGTCAAAGGGGATTAAATCTAAGGTAAACTGCACAACATTCACAGAAAACAAATACTGCATTCTGCTGGCATGTGGTTCACCTGTTCTCCTCTGGGATGTGCAGAGCCATCATGGTCAGAGGTTCGGTACACTCCAACACCCAGCCCAACCTCTCGTTAACTTTGCCCACTTCAGGGTTCAGGAAATGATTGGGCATACGACTCCAGATGACCGGGGTCAGCATCTGAACATCCAGCCTGGGAGGGCACTGGGGCACAGGGTTCTTACGCTCGCTACGGAACATGGCGGCTGAGATCGGCATTATGTTCTGTAAGCAAGAGGGTCGAATAGTTCAGACAATCCAAAGGACCAATTTATAATATGATTACTTTATGGTAGAGGATGAAGAATGAGGGGGAAAGACATGAACAACAAGGTCGCTGTATCTCTATATCCAAGTGTGAGCGAATCTCTTTCCTGACCTTGAGTTTGCCCAACTCCAGCTGCACAAGGTTCTGATTGGAGGGCTGAACAAAGACCGCAGGAAACAGCTTGGTGTTGGGCTCCACCTGAAATAAAACACTTCTGGTTTTACAGCTGCATAACGAATGAGACTCATGCAGACTTATTTGAGGTGGAAAAGGAAACATATATGTGCACAACCTCCACTGAGTCGTCTTCCTTACCTGGTAGAAGGTGTTAATCTCTTTCCCATTGGCCATAAAAGTCATTAGACCCGTTGCCAGGTCAACAAAACAGCCGACCACCATGTCCTCCTGGCTGAAGCGGGTCTGCTGAGTGCTGACCAGGTCCCCTCCCCAAACCATGTAGCAGTTACTGTGTTTCATACTGAAAAATAACAGCAGTATCTGTTATAAACTTCATCTATCTTTACTTTTCCCGAAACGGTCGGCCTGAACTGCTTTGTTTACCTCTTTAAGTAAAACTATGCTCTTATGAATGAAATCAAACCTGTCATGTATGTTGCCTTTGTCATCTCCCACGGTTACAGTGACACTGCGCACTTTTGTGAGGTCAAAGGTCGGATCAAACTGGTGGTAATCAGGGGTGACCCAGCCAATCCACACCCCAGAGGGCTCCTGCCCAGCAAATATCCTCACAGAGTAGTAATACTGAAAGAAATGTGCAAATACAACTCAGAGTTTGTATATTTGACGTACAGCAGGCTCAGCATTGGTATCTGGCTTTATAACTCACAGTGGTGGTACTCTGGATGATCTCCGGGTCGTCTCTGTCATCGGGGACCACATCCTCCACCAGACGTGGAACCGTTGGAGGGGCAGGAGGAGGGGCAAGAGGTGTCATGGCGGCCTTCTTGGCCTTGGAGAAGAATCTGTTGTATAAAGAAGATCATTTTTATTCAGTAAATATTCATGAAAAATAGTTATGAGATCTTAAAGCTGCACCAGACCACTTAAATATTCATGTCAACTTTGAAGAACTCTACAAACTTAAAATGCAAGATCAGTGAACTGCAACGACCAAAAAGAAAAGAAAAATCACCAATGTGCTGTTTCTGAGCTGGTTTGCAGTTTAATATCAAGTATAATACTATCTGATGACAGCAAACCGAGCCGCTGCACTGAGTTTTAATGACGTAAATTGCTCTTCTGTTTGTTTTGGATGGATTAAGTCTCATATAATAATCTGTTCCCTTAAAAGGCTGCAGGCTTGTTCTTTTTCGGAGAGACACACTCACCCTTTTTTCTTCTTCTCTGACATCGTGTCCTTTTCGTTCTCCATGGAGACCTCCTTCGGCACAGACGGCTCCTTCTTATCCTCCTCCTGCTCCTTGCGGCTGGCAGACTTTTTCAGAACTTCAAACTCCGAGTCGGGCTCCACCACGATCACCTCCTCCTCAGGTATGGTGAGAGCACGAGTGAGAGGAGTGGTGCCTGCTGGGATCTTGAAGGTCTCGTGGAACTGGACAGGCATGCTCAGTCTCAGGAACATCATATCAGTGTTGGCATTTTGAGAGCCGAATGTCCTGTGGGTGAGCTTCAGGCATGGAGCGCTGTCTACTGTCCCGTCAACACGGGAGACCTGGGAAACGACATGATTAAGAATAAATAACCTGACCTTTAAATTGAGGATTTATTAAAGAGTTCATCAGTTATTACCTCGATATGGTTGTGATCAGTGGGTACAGGCACAAACTGGGGCAAACTTTTACTGAACCACATGGTAATGTCTCGTTTCATATTGATGGCAAAAGGTTCAAATCCCTCCTGTAGGCCACAGATAGCAAAGTAACGCAGGCTGCTGACGTTCTGACCGAGATTAATCCTCCCGACCTGAGACAGGCCCAAGGCGCACACTGGGATAAAACCTGGAGGGGGTGTAAAAACACAGAGAAGTTTTCTAGATCTAAATTCAATTCAAAGTAGAAAGTGATGCTGATGCTGACAGTTTTTTAGTACCTTCCCCGATTTCAATATCTTTGAACGCCATCTCTGAGCCCGAGTCACTGATTAACATTTCTCCGTTGAGTGTGAACATGATGTTCATCTCAGTCAGGTCAATCATACAGCCGACTACATCACCAGACTGCCACTGGCGACCGAAGGGTTCGTTCCCGATGTGCCACCTCTGAGCCTGGAAAGATCAACATCGATAATAAGGTAAAGTGTAAAACTTCAAATCAAAATTAAACAAACAGAAGCACATGAGATTTGGTAAAAATAAAGATGTGCTATTACCAGAGCTTTATCTAATTTGTAAATTCTTTATTTTATTTAATCTTATAAGATAATTAGCTATTTGTACAGAAGAGGATTAGGGCCGATCAGAAAAAAAAGGGAGAATATAATTTTTTTTTAATTATTATTCTGAGTTTAAAGTCAGAATTCTGACTTTTTTTCTCAGAATAATAATTTAAAAACAATTATATCTAATCTTTTTTTTCCAGTGGCCCTAATCCTCTTCCGTAGATTTGGTAAGGAAAGAGGATTAGGGCCACATGAAGAGAAAAAATAAAACAGGAAGGAGATTAAAGTAAAAATTTTGAGATTACAAAATGTAGTGAATAATGACGAAATTTCGACATTAAAAATTTTCAAAATTTTGAAATTAAAGTCGATATTTAAAGATTAAAGTCGACATGAATGAAGTCACAATTTCTACTTTTTCCTAAAAAATTTTGACTTTAATTTTAAAACGGAAATTTCAAAAATCTCCCTCCTGTGATTTTTTTTCTCTTCTTGTGGCCCTCATCCTCTTCCATAGATTTGGTTTATCAAATCTGTGTGTCGTCTTTATCCAAAAGTACGTGAACTTAAGGGCAGGAATCCACGTTTCTAGGGACACAGTTTCCATAGTAACCCTAACCTAAAAGACCTCAGGTTCAGTTAGAGATGGATCTGCAGACCGGGACTGACCTTGTTGCCGTTAAAGACGTAAGCCAGTTCATCGGCTCCTAGCTCAGTGTCAGAGCGGACGCTTGGACGAGCCCAGCCCACTCTCATCTCCCCGGTGGTTACAGCCTCAAACTCAAAGTACCACTTCCCTTGGGTGACAGCGTAGGACCTCTCTGCCCTGAAGATCCGGATCTTGTCACCCCGAGTGTTCTCAAGGCCATGGCCAGCTGCAGGGAGGAGAAACAGTTGATGAGGCGAAGGATCAGCCAGGAGCGGGGATAGTTATTTTGTGCGGCACGCAGACTCACAGCTTTCCTGATCTGGCGGCTCGATGTTGTAGCCATAGCCAATGAGGGTGCGGACAGCGTTGTTGACACTGTCTCGGTTTGTTTTCTTAGTTCTCTCATCCAGCAGGTTGTACGGTACCAGACGAGGGTTTCTCTTATTTATGATGTCCTGAGAAAAAAACACAAAACTTACTTAAAAAATGAAGGAAAGTATCTGTGACCTTTTCTGAACAGTTCTCACTGAAGATTAGGAAGGGATGGAAATGTTCACCTGCACAATACTGTAGGTCCATCCCTGCCGAACACGGTCCCTGGCCCAAACATTATGCCCATTTTCTGCCAGTTTTTCTACCAGCTGGTTCTGATTTGGCGTGAGTTTGACGTGGTTTAGGTCAAGGGGGGCAGGCTTGTATCCATTGGTCATCACATAGCTACAAGATAAGGAGATGTATATATGTCAATATTTACAAAGACAGTTATAGAACAGAGAGGAAGGAAAATAAAGAAATCAGAAATATTTAGACTTGACGTACGTCTTGGGCATTTTCAGCTTCTTGAGATTCTCCTCTGCTTTCTCATCACCCATACCAACGTGACAACCCAGAGCCAAGAGAGTCCTAAAAACAAGAGCACAGGTGTCAGCGGGTCCTCCTGAACAAACTGGAACCTCCTACAAAACCTAAACTGGGAACTCACTTTAGAGTCTCGCCAGACATCTGCAGGTTGTAGTTCCTCTCTGGTTCAGGCAGACTCTGGAAGTCCACCAGGCAAGGATGGAGTTTCTTGTTGTCATCCCTGAACTGTGGAGGAAGTTGACGGTAGAGTTACAGCTCAATATCTAACGTGTCATTTTGAAATATAATTCTTTCATGGTCCAAGAATCAGAAATCATCCATGACGTTGTCAAATCAGTGGCTCTAAACGTTTGCATCTGTAATGGAGGGAAAACTTCATACTCACAGTCCCGTAGGTCCAGCCCTGCTCAATACGGGTGACAGCCCAGAGCTCGTGGATATTCTCCGCCAGCTTCTCTCGGATTCTCTCCAAATGGGGCGGCAACACAATCTGTCCGACAAAGAAAAATAATAAAGAAACCAATTCACAGATATTTCCACAACCTGATCCAGGTCTGATCCGAAGTTTTGGATTTACCTGAACGGTGTCCACGGGGCAGGGGGTGAATGAGGTGTGGGTGAGGGACTGGGTCGGACCCAACAGGTTGCGCACACCTTCAAAGTCGTGTTTGTACTCCTTGATGGGTTCGATGCGCATCCTCTCTCTGGGCAGCAGAGCCTCGTAGCACGGAGCGTAGCCCGGCGGGGGCATGAACTTGAAGTCTCCATGACGACCACCGAGGAGGAACCGAGCCCTGAGGTGAGAGACGCAGAGTTGGGCAGAGATTTTTACACACTGCTTAGGTTTATGAAGTGAATAGCACTCTAAACTTTATAAGTCTTTTAATAAGAAAAACATCGATCTAATATCTGTGCCAGTTCCTGGGACTTTACCCCCACACCTCCTTCCACTTATCAGTCCATTTCCCATTCACTGCATCTCAGCGCTGTTGGCAATCACTGAATAAGACACTTGAAAATATCTTGTGAGGGTAGAAAGGTGATTACTCAAGAGTTAATCCAAGGTTTATATGACGCTGGTTGAAGTCAAATAAAAGAAAATTGAAGGGTGAAGACTCTGTCAGTCTTCACCCTCTTCATGTGTCTTTTAAAGGTAGACACGAGATAGACACAGATACTGTTAACCGTTAAAACATAAATGCATCTCATTAATGTTTAATTAAATTGAAGATGAATTTGAAGAGCAGATTAAATCTAATCTGGTTTATTCTCACTTGACTCCAGCTGAGAAGCTGATGACGGGGAAGAAGAGGCCGTCAACGTTGAAGTTTTCAAACATGCCCTGAACCGGGTGGCCGTTTATACGGAAGGAGATACTCGGCACGCTCAGATCCAGACAGCAGCTGATGACGTCATCTGCAGCGAGGCTGTGTGCGTCGGGTGAAGCCACCTGGCGCGGTACCGTACCTGCAAGGAAGTCACATGTCAACATGTAAATCATTCGGCAAAACTTTAGAGCAGACAGGTAAATTATAATCCTCTTACCTGACCACAGACACAGTCCATCAAAGCCGTAGGAGTAAAGGTCGTCTCCCACCCCGTTGCCTCCCCAGCCCTCTCCCCCTCCAGGATAGGGGCTGTAGCCCTCAGTCATAGCCCAGCCCACACGCAGGTGGGTAGCCTGTGCGGTCACAAAGGGTTCCACATAGTCCACCATCATCTCGTAGTACCACTTCTTATACTGCGTGGACCCCTCACATGTACCTAGGAAGATGTTGGGTCTGACACTGAGGCGGGAAACGGAAAACAAGTTAATATCAAATTTACAGAAAACAAACAGGAAAGACACTGAGAACCTGATTTTTGCAGTTTCAATCAAATCAAAACTAAACAGAAGCAGAAGTACCTGGTGACGTAGTTCACAATGTTGGTCTGCAGCAGCAGGTCACGACCCGGGAGCAGGTTTTCAGTGATGAGGTTCTGATTGGACCTCACAGCAACACCATTACACACACAAAGAGAGCGCAAGACATCCAGAACCTACAGGCAGACAGGAGAGTAACCCATGACAAAAAGAAACTGTTTCAATCTCAGACAAAAACAAACTTTCCATCCATTTTTCTGACGGTGAGAAAAACACAAACCTTGTGGTTCCTTCCATGTTTGTCCAGGAGAGAGATGATCGATTTGATGTGGTTCTCCTGGATGATGTTCAGAACCTCAGGACTTTCAATCAGCACACAGTACAGCACCTCAAGGATTCCTACACAGACAAGGAGGAGAGAAATGATCAATGACTTCCATTAAAAATAAAAAAATATATTAATGTATTAACATTTTTATACACTTTTATTAGACAGACCATTTGTGTACACGTCAGTTTTAAAAGGTATGCACAATGAATGATAGGAGCATATCTGATACCTGAAGATGCCTCCAGTCGATCGAGCTTACTGACCAGCCAGTCCAGGTTGTCACAAAACAAAGCACAGTTAGAGCGATTCCCCCTGATCAGTGAGGCTGTTTGGGGGAGACAGAGACACTGAGATGTTACTTTCAGTACAGACAGAATTCAGTAGATTCCTCTCAGACTCTGTAGAGAGATAATTTTACCCAGCAGCTCATAAAAGAGGTTGACAATCTCCTTCCAGGACTCTGCAGCTTCTTCTCCGGCAAATTCAGAAAAGTGGGCGGCGGTGTTGTACACATTCAGGCGGTCGATGCACTCGAGCACGATGGTGATCATTCCCTGGAAAAAAGAAAAAACAAATTTTGTAGTTCGCCTCCATGGATCAGGTTTTAATCAGCAAAATGTCTTTGGAAGAGACAGAAACGAGTCCAAGTGAAAGTTTCATTATGCACGGTAAAATCTGTTGGTGGACACAAACGTCTGAAGGTGGAGTGAGGTGGTGGTGCGGTCAGAGTGTTCAGTACCTCCTCTTGGAAGAGGTTCTGCCTGTTGCGGAGAGAGCGAAGTTTGGTCTGCTTCTCTTCATGCTCCAGTTCCTCCTCAGGAGGACGGAAGTAGAAGATCAGATCCTGGAGAGAGAGGATGACCCCCTCCAGAGGAAGTGATAAAGCACCTGGAGACTTGTTCTTCCCACTAAGTGAGTCCAGACCTCTGGAGGATCAAACACACACAGAGAACAGCAACAAGAGCAAAATCAGGAGATTTACTCGTCTGTTTGAATTTTCATGTTTAAGATCAAAATCAAGAGTTCATACAAGAAACAAGCTCCTTTAAAACAGTGAACGTCTTTTGGGGGTAAAAGAGGGGGACTAGTTTTTTCCAAATACACAAACTCACTTGATGAACTGCCTGAAGAGACCCATGGTGCTGTAAATCATTCGAGCAGCCTGAGACTCTTCAGTTTGGGAGCGGGAAACAGTCAGGGCGTCATCCATGTGACCCTCTTGGTGCAGAATGACCTGAGCACAAAGACAACACAGAGGTTTTTATTTTACACAATAATCTCCAATTTTACTCTCTCAGCTTCTGATGTTAGAATAAGTTTTTTTTTTTATATTGATATTTTACCTTCCTCTTCATCATTCCCAAACGAGCAGCTTTGGCATCCAGAGCAGCGTATGTGAGCCACAGGCCTGTGGACACGTGCTGAACGAAGCACATCGACTCTCCATACTTGATCTCTGGGATACCCATTCCTTCAACATCGCGCTTCTGAGCCACATCCACCTTCTCCTGCTCAAGCGGACCACGACAGAAAAGAGAGACGGAAGAAAATCAGAGGTGAATAAAACACAGAACAACAACAACAACAACGACGACAACAACAACAACGACAACAACAACAACAACAGCCGTCCAGAGAGAAGAGAAATGAAACTGTTGTGACTGACCTTTGAAACACGGAAGGAGAAAGCAGATAGTTTTGTGTTTGCCTTCTCAGGGTCGACCACCAACAGACCCTTTTCCTCATCCAGACACAGGTACCGGCCTGTGGTGATGTGGCGAATGCGGAAAGACTGCCCCCACTTCATGTGACTACCGCTCCAGCTGCAGGGAGAAAGCAAAAAATAAGTATAAACGTTTTATTTTTATAGTTTTTTTTTTCAGGAACAACAAGGACATCAGAAAAATGATTAAGTTGTTATCCCAGATTTATCATTTATCCTCTCTGAAGAAGTTTCTGTTTCTTATTCTGTTTTTTTTTTTCAATCTTCAAATCTGTCAGCAAAAATATATATGGCACAAATTTCACATCATGACATTCAAAGACAATCACCTGATTCTGAGAGGCTCCAACCTCCACAGGGACCGAGCTTGACTGCAAACAGAGCCGCCTTCATAGTGAGCCATCCTGTACCAGAGTCACAGAGGACACACAGTTGGTTTAACGGTAAAAGATAAAGAGGATATTTCACCGCCCAGATCTGCTCTGCCTCCTTTTTCCTCCTACCTGCGCTTTTCTTCTCCTTCCTCTGGTGTAGCGATGGCCAGACACTCGTCCATGTGACCGTGGAAGAGCCTGAGAACGTGACCCCCCGTCAGATAACCTGAGAGGAAGAGCACGTTAATATGTATAACTCTGTAAAAATGACAGTTTTTCTGTTCTGATTTCTATGAGCTCAAATTTGTCCAAAATGTCTAAATTCAATCAGATCTGTACCCTCAGCGAGCTCGCATCCTGACATTATTGGGTTCATGTTCCAGAGTGTCTGCATGAAGGAGGCGTCTACCATCAGATCTCCACTGGCGTAGGACAAGTGCTGTTGATAAGAAGAGCAGAGAACAACATAAAGTTTAATATAGCATAAACCTTTAAAATCCTCCACTGTGTGACAGAACAACAACACCACGAGGAGTCTCACCAGGTATCTCTCAGAGGACACGCTGACGAGGATGAGGTCATCACCCACCCTGACCTTTTCACCTTCTGACCTCTGTTTAGAAGCTGGATGAATGGTCCACCAACACGCCTCACCTGGAATAAGAAAAGGAAACATCTCCATTTTCCTCAGATTTTACCCAAACCTCCTAAAACTCACTCAAAGATCAGAAAACCAAAACTCTAATTTACCGGTGGAGTCTTCTTGTAAGCCCACGTCAAAAGCCAGCTTGTCTGTGAGTGATCTTGATGTCGTCAAACAGCTCAGGTACTGGAGAGGAGTTTGACATCGGACATTAGAAGGACGACGATTCACAGAATCAAACCATCTTTTTGTTAAGTAAATTTTGAACAAAGTCTTACCATGCCTGAGTGGTTGTGTCTCAGAAGGATGGCATGACCGTACAGTAAGGTACGATGGCCTCCACCTTGGGACGACTGAAGGGAGAAGAAGAAGAAATATCAATCAGGACAGACTTCACCATGACATTAAACCTTGATCAGAGGAGAGACTAGGACGTGTTTTAGAAGGGACAGAGGTCAGAAGATTTAATTAATTAGCAACAGTAAAAGCTGTTACTTCATTTAAAGATGAAGATTTCACACAGAACAATGAAGGCATGTGAAAAACTCAGAAAATTTCCAACTTCTGTGAGTCATTTGTAATCAAAGATGATCAGGGATGATTCACAAATTAGCAATGACTTTTTAACCAAATCACACAGTAACACAACAAATTCAGGGTCCACAGGAAAATGTAAATCATAGTTACCAGGCGTTAAAAGATTAGGCTCACGATGATGTGACTGATGAAGTTTGACGTGATGAAAAACGAGGTGAAAACTTTCAATCAAGTCATGACAGATTTTCATCTCACACAGGAAATTAATCCATCCTACCTTTTCTCAACATCCAGCAAGGATGCAATAAGAAAACACAATTACTAGAACATTTAAAGATAGATAAGCTTATGCATTCATTTAGGTGGGCTTACAGTGAGGCCTTCTGTAGGGTCGCCCACAAAAACAACAGGCAGGTTTGATGAGAGAATTAAACCATGAGGTCCACATTGGTGAGAGGTTTGGACAGAGCTGCTGGTGTTTTGGTGTGATTTCTCAGGTGTGTATTTGATCGTGTGCTTAATTTGCTGTCTTTTCAATTCAGGCATTTACATTTAGGGCAACGTAGTTAATAGTGACGTTTAGTGAGATTATTCCAATCAGGGTCCTCATGAGTACAGAACTTTAACATTACGTGTGCATCTGTGTGTTTATGAGTTTGCATGCGTTAAAAGTGGGGGAGGCGTGTCAGGAGATCGGGGGGTGTCTGGTTACCCTCCTCTACTGCGATAGAGGTGGGCTGGATCCTCGACTGTGCCGCATGCCGTGCTATTCTCATTCGCTTGCTCATCATTAGAAAGGTCTGGCTCATCCACGTCTTTCAACTCCTGTGTGGACAGAAACGTCTATGAGCAGCTTGAGTAGAGTTACTAATAAAACGCTGCTTGAAGAAGACTGGATAGAGGACACAATCAGCATGCTAACAGGGCATGCTAACTAGGTATCCCTATTTTATCCTTGGAAAGAGGGTAATTTTGTTTTTCTGTTCTGGTTTTGAGCATCACAGGTTTCTACTCTTCAACTGGCTGGCTTCTACATATAATATCCAAATTAAAGATGGACCAATATGTAATTTTTAGGGCCGATATTGATACCAGTTATTGGTAATCAAGGAAACCGATAACAGATATTTAGAACCGATATTCAATTGCAGTAAAAACTTATATTTTGGCCTTATTTTGAAACACGTGCCGAGGAGCACCTCTAACGGTGGAGTTACCTGCTAGTTTGGTTCTTTTGTTTTGTTTCTCCATGCTTCACGGTGTTTGTTATAACTGTGGAAATGTGGTTTTAAGAGAAGTGTAAGTTAAAAGATCTTATTTTTGACAGTAAAGTTATCTGTGTTGGCTACAGTGCTAAACAATGCTATTTAAGTAATGATTAAAATAACTGATGTTGGCTTTTATGTCGTTTACTTTAACTTTTAGTTCTAAGGTGTTAATAAACTTCGGTGAAAGGAACAGGAGCCTCACATCCAATCAGCAGCGGAAAACATACCGCTCTCTTCTCTCTCTCCCTTGCTGTGGAACTGCACCTAGAAACTTGAGTATTGATTGGCTGTCTGTGTAGCCAATCACTGGGGACTGTGGGCGGGACATTATTACACAGCCAATAGTGGTGACTTCTGGCAGAGAGAGGCGGCCGTGTAAGAGCCGATTATTGTAAAAAAGCTGAATATCGGCTGATTTTATCAGCCGTGCCGATTATTAGTTGATCCTTAATCCAAATCTATAAAAATAAGTTATTTTTGCAGCTGAATTAAATTCTCTTGGACAGCAGAAATTTGCTTCTTAACTGAAAAGTCAAACAAACACTGCTGAAACAATGAAGGATAACAACCAAACAAGGTAGGGTTATCTTTATGACAGGGTTATCAATAAAGAAAAACATACTTGTGATAGGTTTGCATGAAATGAAAAGAGTGATGCATGGTGACTCCTCGCTGAGTCTTTTTGTTGAGTTGTAACAAATGCAACTATTAGTGTACAACAAAAACTAGAAGCACATCAAACACTGTACACTCAACACAGACGCGTCTGTAAACTGCTGATCCCTCAGCTGTTTTTTTCTTTTCGATGAAAGCTATAGCAACAGATTTTGACTCCACCAGCTGCTGACAGACAGAGAACCTGGAGGAGAGGGTCTCATAGATGCTAAATGAATCAGCACTTTCTATTCAAAAAGACATCTAGTGGGCAACAGGAAAGGAACAAGGACATCTGTTGGGGCTGGGTGGGATGTGTGTTACAGGAAATCATACGTGTTCACAGACATACCCATTTGTCCAAATCGACTGCCTGCTTGGCAGAGAGGAAGAGGGGCAGGGAGGAATGAAGCGTGAGATACCGAGTCAAATGAAAACCAAATCAAGTAAAAGGCAAATAACAGCTCCATCTTTTGTTCTCCATGTAGTCTCAAGGATTATGTTGAGCAGCTTCATTAATGGGATTAAAGCTAAATGGCAGTAGTGTGTTGATGTTTAAAGACTCAGGCCCTGATTCTGTGCAAAAACACATCGTCTGCAGCTGAATCCTTTAGAGAAGAAATGAATAACTTTTACATGAATGAGGAACCTTTGCTTTTACCATTTCATATCTCACAAATCTGCAAAACAAAATCCTAAATCTGATTTCAATAAAGTTTGAGCTTCTCCCTTTATTTACGTTTCTTAGTCCTACCTCAGTCATCTCCACTGTGTTGGCCAACATCTCCTGCAGAGCGCGGACCGACAGGGACTGCTCCAGAATGAAGCTGCATATGGCCAGGTCTGGGGGCACATTCTGCACATGCATGAAGAGCACAGAGGTCAAACAGAGTTTAAAAATAATAATAAATTAACCAATATAAACTTACAAGCGAAAGGGGAAAGTATTCAGCATCTTACCTGAGCATTGGAGGTGGTTTCCAGGAAGCAGAGACGGTTCCCGAAGCCCTCACAGGACAGACACAGCTTAATCTGCTCCTTCAGGACGGAGGCAGTGCACTGCAGTACGACCTGGTCATCCTGCAGCAAAAACACAGACACTTAAGGTTACTCTTATTCATGGAGTTTTATGCTCCCACTTATCTCGGCTTTAACCACAACGTAGTTTCACAGCTGGTGTGTTCTGTAATATCTGCTTTTTTATTGTGGAAAACATCCTTTTGTGCTCCTGTGAAAGTTTCTTTTATTAAATCCAGCTGAACTCAGGACTTGTCACATCGCTGAGTAAATCACCGGCCTTTTTATGGCTGCAGTTAAGGTGTCAAGAAAAGGTTTGCTCGCCTCAACCGTCACGTGTTGGCAGACTTTACAGATGTGATGTAAACTTAAACAATATAAAGTTGATTGAAACAACAGGAGCATCTCAACAATGAAAATATAATGAGAAAGTAAATAAATAAACACACAATTAATTTTTTTATGGAGACCTAAAGACCTTTTTATGAACTTTGCCAAACATGGTCAATTTAGTTATGCAGTTCATTAAAGTGAATATTGTGTCTCTACTGAAAACAAAGCAGCAGATAACTCATTTAATGACCTACAAGGTTATCAAAATAAGGACGAGTGGTTTGAAGAAGACAAAGCTGACACGCTAAGAGCAGCTCTGATGATGAAGCGCTGGAACAATATGTACGCCCGACCTCCACAATCAGCATGCTAACAGACAGTAATTTGTTGCTACTTGTCAATGCCTGCAGCCTGCAGAGAGTGGTGTAAATACAGCGATAAACACCCCCTCCCCTGTGAAACCTACACCTGACACTCGGCATTCTCAGCTGCTCCTTCTACTCAGTCATTATGCAAGTGGATCCATCACTTAACCTGGTTAATATTCATCTCTACAGTTCTGCACTTTTTCCTGACTTCTCTCCCCTTCCACCCCGACGACTCGTGAATCATCCTGTCCCCTCGTTCTTGACCTGCCTGCTGTCTTCTCCCCCCGGTGATTCAGCACCACATATGTGTCACGAGAAAGTGTTTAGGAGAGCAGGGAGGCACTTCAAAGTAAGACAGCAGAACAGGAGAGTTTGCATGTCGAAGTTTATGACACGAGAAAGGAAAATGTAAAGTGACCTCACAACATCTACTACTTTCTAATACCCAGAGGCCTATAATGTTTCCTTGGCTGTAGAGTGTCCCCTCTCCTATAGTTGGGCTATCATCTATCTCGCCTCAGCCCTGAAATGTCGACTCCGTCTTGTCCTTGTGTTCCCTGCTTTGCACTCTGGAAAGTGGAGCAGTGTGCTCCCTCCTCCTCTTCACTGCAGAAGTGAGTAACAACACTCAATATGAAATTGTTTCTAAACCTGAACACAAACCAAACAAACAGGACTTCTCATAAAAATGTGCAAAACAGAGTTCAATACTGAGACCGTCACACAACTTCAGGGCTGAGTTTCAGACGTGGATTTCTGTTTCATCAATCAAAACTGAATGTTGAGGTCACAGAGAAGATCAGATGAACAAGGCTGAACAAAAACAGGATTAATTGGATTGAATTTAAGGAAAGCAGGAACATTTCTAACTCTGAAGATCCATTAAGGAGATGGGTGAGCGCTGGTGGATATCTAAAAGCAGACTGAAATGACGAGTGACTCACTGCTCCCAGACAAGATGTGTGATCAGATGACAAGAGTGCGATATATGCCCCTACGTTATACAGCGGTCCACCAAGAGGCTTCCTTCTATTTCTACAGCCACAGTCTCAAATAGCAGATTCACTTTGCTTCAGTCACTCTACCTCTGTTCGACAAGGAGGAGAACTGAGTCAAGGAGAGCTGCACCAGACGGACTCAGAGCCTCGGACTCGTGATTTCAGAGGATTTTAAAAGCTGTCATAAACACAAACACAAAATCATTCAAGAAGAGGACATCCAGAGTACAGGCACCTTGGAAGAGTATTGAGGTCGTCACTGAAGTTTTATGATCACAATGATAAAGATTGATGCAGACGCTCAACACTTCAGATATCTTTGTGCACATTTGATCTGTTTTTATTGATCATCTTTACAAATGTTAAACGGGTTGCCTGTTAAAGTCAGAAACAGTCTTAATTACATCGTCAAAATTCAGCTGAGCGACATGAGCCGTCGCCAGGTAAAAAAAAAACAGATGGGGCAGGATGCCAAACAAAACTGTAAATCAATCATCCTTCCCTCCCACATAAAGGTAAATTAACAGATATTCAAACTCTTTATTTACTTTCGCTCGGTTTCTTTAAATATCTATTTTGAAGTTGTGTTGTTACCAAAGGTGGGAGAAAAAAATCGATACAGCATAGTATTGCAATATTTTGTCTGGTGATATATCGTATCGACTTATTTACCAAGTATCGATTTTTCAAATCAATCGCTAATATAAAATCTAATCTATGATCATCGGAAAATAATATAAAAAATAATATCAACTGTTTGTCCAGTGAGGTTGGCAGAGGCGACATCATAGAGCAGGAGAAAGTTAGTACAACAAAAAAAAATATATATATATATATATATATGTATATATATATATGTACATACATAACGTTTGCAAGATGTGCTACATGAAAATAAAATAATGTTTAAATAAGACAAACATAAAGGAAAGCCAAATTAGCTAAACAGTTGAAAAATTGTATAAATCGCAATATCGTATCGTGGCCCAAGTATCGTGATAATATCATATCGTGGGGCCACTGGTGATTCCCACCCATAATACATATACACATGAGTCCATGTGTATATGTATATATGCTTTATGAGCAGGCTGCATAACTAGCTTTTCCTTTAAGGATGATAAAGTTGTCTGAATTTTGATTCTTGAATTCTGACAAACTTCCATCTCATTATCTTTGTCATCTGTCAAAACGAAGCCATTTCAAAGCCTTCTGTCTAAACTGATATGAGAACTGCTGTTGATTTTTGTCACAGAGACAAAAGAATAATGAGGGAAATTCCAAATCCTCATTTAAAGTGAATATACAGAAGGTACTGTATGTTTCTGCAAAGCCATAATAAAAAAAACAGTTTGATAAATTTGTAGAAACTGTGCACAACTGTTGTCCAAGTACAAAAGAAATAAAATTAACACTTAGTTAATTCTCTAAATCCGTGCAACTATTTCTGAGCCATGAGGAACTGGCTGTTTCCCTGCCAAACTGATTAAAGGATACGACAAACACAAAAGCTTCAGCCAGCGCTCTGGCACACGTCTAAAACTCATTATACCACCTCAAGTGTTAAGACGTTCACATTTTTAATAGCACTCTTTCAAAACATCAGCAGTCGTGTCCTTCCAAAGTCACAGCGCGTGAATCACATCTAATCTCATCACGTGAAGAGCTGACTTAGAGACCACACCACCCCCTGGGCTTAGCTCATGCTCATATTAATAGAGGCAGCTTTCAGGATTTGAAGATTGTGTGCCTGATACATTAATGTAAGCCACCGCATCTCCTGATTATTTGTTAATCTCACATGATCGTAACTGATGAAGCCAAGACAGGTAGGATCATCTGAGTAAGAGCCAGGATGAACTTGTCATTAGCCACCTGACCCTCTGATCTTATACCCCGGCAGCGGGCGAAGTCATGTACATGAAACATATTTAATTCCCCAATCAACATGGCGCGTATAGAGTTACAGTCAAACCATTTCTGGACTTGGCGTCCGAAGTATCCGGGCTATGTGGATGTTCGGGGTCAGAGGGAGAAGTAGAGACAATTGGATCTAAAGCGACAGACAGTTACACAAACAAACACACTACTGTGCACAAATAGAGGCACGTAATGCAGCAGAGATTTACAGCCAGGGGCACCGATCGCGCCTGAAAGCAGACACCTTTGTATACTCTCTGGGGCCATCTGATGGTTCACATGCAGACAGAGGGAAGTCAGGGTTCCCCAGACCAGCAGGCACACCGCCCGGCCCCACAGCGACAGGAAGCAAACAGACCAACAGATGCAAAATGGTGAGAGATCCCTGCTCCCTCCGATCTGAAGTAAGGGTTAGGACTAATTCTGTCACCGTGAACAAACAGAGTGTTAGAGGGTTCACTCTGGTGAGCAGGGACGTCTGTTTATAAAGGCAAACTATACATGAGAGAAGAGCATTTTATCACTATGGGACATACGAACAACAACACCCACCTTATGGTGATGAACATAAACATTTCATTAAGTTTTGACAAAAATGAAAAAAGTAGGAAAGATATTCGCTCTCCAGATCATTAGCTCTTCAAACAGCACTGTTGTTTTCTACATTTGTCTCTACAATGATAACAGTATAGAGTAAACTACATCAATAAATCATCCTCTGCCCTCCACCACACTGATACTGCATTTATGCTCGGCTTTAATAAGTTTTAAAAGGTGAATTTTCTCTCCTCTCGGTAAGATGTTTCTTCTGCAGAATCAACAGCTGTTCACATTCATATGCATGCAGGCGACATTTCAGGTTGACTTTTTAATGTTTGTGCGTAAATATAATTTTACTAATTAATCCTTTGAACCATATACTCAAAGTCTGAACAAGCAGACCGCCCCGTTCTTCCTGTCTTATAATTAAATCATGTTTATCAAACGGATTACACACATTCACTCTTTCTCAACAGCAGCACTGACTCTTGCTGCCTGGTCCTCTGGTTAAAGTGTGCTGATGCAGGGCACCCCGGGACATTGATTATATTTCTGCAGACATAAAAGAGTGAGGGATAGCACATTGCACACTGTGTGGGTGGAGGAGAGAAACAGTTCAATACGGCAGAGTGGGGAGAGCTGATGGGGTTTCCCTTTGAAATCTGGAAGAGGCCGAACAGGATCTGACATCATGGACTGCAGTCCGATGAGCATCATTGGAATTGGGGTTAATCCTAATCCACAATATCTCCAAATATAAATGTTTTCAGAAACTTTGAGCCTTTTTCCGAACAGCCACCTCCAGGCTTTCTTCAAAAACTGCACCATCAAACTTGATAAACACACCGCCTCCTGCACCAGTGGCAAAGTACGGCAAATTCTGAGACGGTAATGTAAACAGACTGACTATAAATCTACACTTCACAACACAACCACACACTGCACTGTAACACTGAACTGCTCTCTCTGTAAAAGTGGATCTTTTGATGTAACACACTGAATAATCCTGTGTTTCTGTGTGTAAGTCTGTTAAACATGTGTTTCTGTGTCAGCGTGTATATTTATCTTCGTCTCCTACAGGGAGCCCCGCAGAAAACACCGCCTTTAAGAGTCAACACAGGTACAGTTTTGCTCCACATAACTCATCACGCCTCTTTCTACTACAGGTCACTTAAGTTCTGTTGTCTCTTCAGGAAAGTAAAATACAGGCTGTTAATCTCTAAAGAGAGGCAGCAGTGAGGGACCACAGATTTGTTCTCTGGACAAGAAAAAAAGTCAAAGGATTTTATCTGAGATTTTTTTGGTAGCTACAAAATTTGGAAAATGTTTCGACAGTTTTTTTAATACTTTAATAAACGTACTTAAATTTGACCCATTTCGGTATATTAATAAATATTTAAATCATGGACATTATTCAAACTATTTTAAATATTTAAGTGTTTAAGAAATCGTCACTTTTTGTAGCTAAAACCTTAAAAATCGGGTAAAGGCTCATTTATGCTCAACGTTACATACAGATCCGGTGCTTTGCGCTCTTTTCGTCTGTATTTCGGCACATATCCTTGAAGTTTACGCATACAGGCCAGACGGAGCAGTACCACCGGAAACCACAGAGGCAGTGTTACTGCTGTCACGACCCGAACCGCATCTCCAGAGAGAGACGAAGAAGAAAATGGCGGCAGAAATCCTGAAGTACTGAAAATGACGATACTGCCTCTGATTCTGTCTCCTTTGCAAAATATACATTATCACTATCTCCTCCACAGTCACCAAGTTTCTTTTTGTTTGTTGTTGTCGTCCGAAACTTTTGACTCCGGCCTGCCCCCTGGTGGACGTAATGGTTAACATCTATGCCAATGTAAAGATCGCAGTGATGTAACCCTCGTTTGAAACGGACGCGTACATTTTCATACGTATGGCGAGCACAAATGAGCCTTTAGCCATCTGTCTGACAGTGGGACACCAAATATCAAAGTTTTTACTGCATTTCATCAATACATGATTTAAGGATCAATAACATTGGCTCAATGATAACTCGATAAGGGATCGTTTCCTAACTCTAAATGCAGGATCATTACTAACCTGTCTCTGCTTGTTTGTCTCAGCTCTGAATTACGTCTCATGAGGTACAGATGACAGAGTTGTGCAGATAAGTTATGAAGTGCAAAAGTTATAGGTGGACTGAGACTGAAAAGTTGTTAGGCTGAAGTGAATCAATGTCCATAAATCTCTGCACTGACTGCACACAGCAGGTGAGGAACATTTGAGACACGTCCAGGTTCTGCTGCTGCTGTCTCTCTCTTTCTTTTCTCTTCACCGAGATCTCCCACTTACTCTAAATCTTCAAAAGGTCTCACTAAACTTTCATTATTTTATTGTAGTTTGATTTTCTTTCTCTTTTCCATTCCCTCTTCTTCTTCTTCTTCTCTTCTCCGGGCCTTCCCCTTCAGCCCTCTTCTATTTTAAGTGGCTGCACCTGTCACTATCACATTCCCTCCTTCTGCTGACCAGCAGATACTTAGAGGTCTTGCTTGAGGTACTTAGGAGTCTAACTTGGAGAAAGACAGAGACTCTCTTGCCCATGGGGAAGGCATTAAGCATGGGAAAACTAGCTGATAACTTGTACTAACAATGAGTGAAATAGAAAATCAGACTCAGCTAATCACATCCCAAACAGATGGTGATTTAGATACAGACGTTTGAAGCAGACACATGACACCCAAACATCTTAAACCATCTTAATGTTGGGCTCTCTGGTGTCTAAATTATTTGGTAGCTGCAGGTTATTTATAATCCTGTCAGATTGTAGTTTGATTTTATTTCTTTATTGTCTCATTTTCACTCAAACGAAACTACAGCCACTCCAAACTCTAACAGTGATGATTTACAAATCCCTCTCTAGTGTTAACTTCACTCACACTGTGTTTTTACAGCCTACACTCAGGCTAAGTCATTCCTCATTGAAAGAGGACGATCGTGAAACAATGAGAGCTATTAGAAACACGAGTAAAACAGTCAATTTGTCAGTAAGTCTGAGAAAAGTAGTTTCTGAAGCAGCCTGCCTGTCAAAACAGGTGTAACCCATAACTTAATGATAGGACTTTAGGAAAACAGAGCGATTACTCCTGAGAAACAAGAAACCAATCAGTTCAAAAAATACCCTGGAATGTCTTTAAGCTAACGTGAGCTAAAGGAAGTGTTTCATCTTAACATCACAACAACAAACAACAATTACTCTGATGAATAAAGTTTCTTCCTATCAGCTTCACTTAAGCTTTGTTTCAACACACTGAGGTAACAACAACCACAATCTATTACAACAACCACAGTCTATTAAGATCATTCAAAAGATGGACTCAAAAATGTTCCTATCAACTGAAAACATCATCATCACATTATATCCTGCTATCAGCCAAACCAGGTTCCTACTTTTTCTAATTATTATTTTGAGTTTAAAGTCATAATTCTGAGATTTTAGACAGAATTCGGACTTAAAACCCATAATTATATATATTTTTTAATTATATCTGACCTTCTTTTTTTTTTCCAGTGGCCCTAATCCTCTTCCGTACTTTTGACCCTTGCCTCTAAGAGATGTATCATCATGACCATAAAGTCCTCGTGAAGTTTGCCAAAGTAACATCATGGTGGGAAGTAACAATCACAGTTACCAGGCAACAACAATATGACACCCTGCCAGTGCTAAATAACACCGAATGAACCAAGAAAACTTGAAGAATAAAAAGTAACAGAAGGAAGAAAAAATACTGTCATCACTAAAACGTGAGAATTAAGATTAGCGGCGAAACCTTTTTGGATATGAAGAATCTCTATTTTCCCAAAGGGGCAATTTGGATTGCACACAAGCATCATATCACAACCACAGCAATACACACAATAAAGGAACGAAAAGTCCAACACTCCTAAGAAGTGCAATATCAACTATTCCTGTAGCTTACTCTTCTTGATAACAGTTTTTCTGTGTTTAAAGCACAACCTTCAAACTCACTCTAAGGGGTTATTATGTCTCTGCATTAACTTGAATCAGGAGTTTGTCTGATTATTTATATTGAAGATAACTGATGCTCATGATCCACTTCACCAAAAAGCCTCAAAACTGTCGTGGGAAAAATAAAAACAAACCCAGAAAACCTTCACGTGGGAAAGATTCCTGGAACCTGGATCTTTCCTGACGTCACATGACAAAGCTGATTATCTCTTGCACACACTAAACAACTACCTTCATAAACATGCACACACACACACACACACACACACACACACACACAATGTGATTTACGTAACAGTTGTGTCATTTTGCAGCACCTGGCTTCTGAAGGATTCCTCTCTCTGTTTATGTCTCGTGCCTCAGAGACCAGAGCAGACCAGACCACCTGTTTATTGTGTAAACTGCCATGACCAGACTAACAGGTGCTGTATGTGTGCCTGTGTGTGTGTGTGTATGTATGTGTGCGTGTGTGCTCGTTGCCCTGCTGAAGATGTGTTCATCTCCTGGGCTCAGCACTTCCAAAGCCAAGCTTTGCTTGCACCCTCCTCACTGACCTCACCCCTGATGGTTATCAGCTGCCATCTCTAAAGCTGCTGTTAGTGTGCAGGATATCCTGTTTGGCCACTGATGTGGAGGCTGGAGCACCAACTACATTTGGACTAATGCTGTCCATGCTTTCTTTTAATCATTGGGATTGAACTCTTACAACTTTGAAGCGATGAAATTCATAGATACACAAAACACAATGTAATCCAAGAAAGAAAGACAGAAGGTGTTAGCTTAGCGTAAAGCTGAAGATACTTTGCAAAAACGTCTCCATAATGCTGTTGGGAAAACGTCATCAGAGGGGAATCTCAATAACAAATGTTATTAAGAAGCTTGTAACCAGAGCTGTATCTGTTATTTCTGGTCGACTATAATCTGAAGCTCATTCACATATATGTGGTCATCATTTGAATTTGGGTCATTTAATACGTCTATTATTCTGAAAGAAGTTGTTTTGGCATCAGCAGACCTGTCAAAATATAAAGATTCTTATTCACCCGACACACGCACGCACGCACGCACGCACACACACACACACTCAGATACACTCTCTCACATCTGCACACCGAACCTCCCGGAGGATGTTGGCAAGTAGGACACAACTCTTCTGGTTTCTCCCTCCTGAGTGTGTGCACTTATAGTGGCACACTATAAAAAGAAACTGCTTTTATAGACCGCGGCTTGAATAATCCTTCACACACTCGCCTGCGTAATTCACACCACAATACGGCATTGTGGGACGGTGACACAGCTTTCCATTGTCACCGACTTCAAAAGAGCTGCGCCGATTTATAAACTCCTGATGTAGTTGTTCCGAAGATGTTTTCAAAAAGCGCATTTTAGCAGGTAACTGTCTGTTTGCTATTGCAAGCTAAGCCGGCCTCTTGAGAACTAATGTGGGGGCTGAAGTGCTCGTGGGAGTTTTTCAGGGCAGACGCTGAATACGAGCATCCTATACCTCAACAGAGGGCACCCACTTAGTTTGAGAGGAGAGGATCTCGGTGACCTGAAACTGTGCAGTACAACTATTACTCAGTGTTGTTGTGTGAGCTCCAGGCCTGTGCCAGGTTCGACTACACAATAAACCCAGAATATGACTGAGCAGCTCTGCAGAGTGATTTGTGGGTTTGGCCTTTGTGACGCGAAAACAATCACTGGTGAAGTGCTAAGGAAGGGCAAAACGTATGAAATATGCCTGTCTGTTCTCGCTCTCTCACCAAAGGTCCCGTCCTTTTCTGCTCTTCTCTTACTCTGACAAAAGTCCTGTGGGAAAAAAAAAACACTGCAACGACACAGCTTGGTTACAAAAGTTATCCCACGGCCTCTGAGCAAGAGCGAAAAACCTCAAAATCACAGAGAAATGGATAAAAATAAAGCCACTGACAGGTTACACCGCTATCACTTTTTAGCGCCTTCCTCAAATAGACAACAATCGCTTTTGCAAACTGCAGCACACCTACACAGTCAGTTATTTCGCTGGAGGAAGGAGAGGCAGCCTGGAAAGCCTCCTGTAGAGTCGACAGTGCCATTATTTAACCCAAAATCTAGCCAACGGGTGTTTCACATGAAATAGATCTTTAATGTCTTCATTCTAAAAGACCTAAAGCATGTTGTCGTCATTAATGTGAGTGAAAAATCTCAAAAAGGCTAAATCAAGATCAAATTATGTGGTCTTCAGGGACTCAGAATATAATGTCCTTTTCGTCATTTTAAGTGTTTCCAGGAGGCCGTAAGATATCATCCTCAAAAACAGAGCAGTCACAGAAAGCCACATATTTCTCCTGATGTCCTGAAGTGTCCCTTGTTTTAGGAGGAAACGTAAAAGCAGACTTTTTATTTCACTTACTTCTTACAAGTTTGTGTCGTGACCTCCAAAAGACTATTTTGAAGGACTGAGTTTAACACCTGCTGGAAAAAAGGGGGTAGAGAGAAACTTGCTGTGAACCTCCCTGACCGTAAAAAGATTCAATCAAAGCAAATACATGAGTACAATCTGCTGCCCCAGCTGGTCCACATGAGGTAAGAAGTCCACTTTCATCACGCCTCCCACCTCCGATATAACCCAGGGAAAAACCCCAGAAGAGGGAAACAGCTGACTCACACGCTGTCTGCCATCACTGGGCTCTAATGAAAAGCCCGATAACACACAGACCATTTGGACCATGTTTTAATTGTAAGAGCCTCGTCGTGAACAACATCACAAGCACTTACATTTTTAGCCCTGTGGGGATTTAGCCCCTCTGACCCGAACAGCGTTTGTGTCAGAGCTAAACCAACTGATGTGCACAAGACATTAATAATTCAAATAGAGCCGCATTGTTTCCCCCTTTGAAGTGTTGGTGTGTAATAGTTTCATCCTAACTGAGATGCTTAAAGTAAAGGACAAACCCAGCGAAGGCATCCAGAGTGTTCAGCCTATGTCTCTCAGTACATTGTCCCGTTTCTGGAGGGAAGCAAAAAAAAACTCTGTTGATCATTCGGTAATAGAAACAACAGCTGTGTTACTCTTTAATGTCTCGTGGATCTTGTGGCCTGACTCCAAAAGCTTGACAGGAATCCTGCCCATCAATACGAGCTTCTTCCTGAGTGCTATCATCTGAGCTGTGGAACGGTTCACACAGCCGACTCAATTTAAGTAACAGCCAGGTTAAAACTGCAGAAACAGTGACGCAAACTTACAGTTCTACTTTAAGAGGAATTAATTTAACTGAACAGATAATCTGTATATTTTAAACATGAGTGGTTTTCCACTTCCACTGTCAGACGGGCAACAACTTAGTAAAATGCCATCAGAGGTTCAGCTGGAGTACGCTGTGGTACTTAGGAACACAAACTTAATATAAATGTAACATTATATTCAGAAGTACGCTAAAGTTAGTCTGTAATCACCTAAATATGATAACCAAGCTTTTCATGTCTCCCCTTCCATGATGCCATCATCTTGCACCCAGGGTTTCTGCAGGTTTCAACAAGTCAAATTTAAGACTTTCTAAGACCAGAATAAAAACAATTTAAGATTCATTTACATCCATACTGGCAAAAAGTACAAAAGACATGAAGGGAAATTGGAACATTTTAAACTAACTTCAAATCAATCTTTATTTGTAAGTAACATCAATAGATTTTTAAGACCTTTCAAATTTGTATTTAAGACATTTTATGAGGTTTTAAGAGAATTTTAGACATTTTTAGGCCTTGAATTCAAATTATTGGATATTAGACGTGTTAAGACTTTTTTAAGAGCCAGCAGAAACCCTGGTGCACCGCCACACCGATGTCGTACATGTTTTTGTTTTAGTGAGCAGATGGAGGGAGCCAATGTTTTGATATTTCAAACTTGATAAAGAGAGGATCATATCCAACATACATCACCAATGAGGGGCAAGCGAGGGAGAATTTCCATCTTGAATCTGAGTACTTGATATCACCAGTAATACCCTCTCTAATACACTGTACCTTTAATATCATGGTTTTCAGTGTTAAGCTGCTGGTTGCCATGTAATAGTTTTGACCCAAGCCGTCATTTAAAGGAAACCAAATGAGAAATTAAAGTTGAACACATTTGAAAAGGTGGACCGAGTCCTTTCTTCTGCCAAGAATCAAAGATTTTTCCACGTTAAGAAAGATAGTGTTTTACTTTAAGTCTCATCAGCATCCAATTATTCAGGCCATCATGCCATAGAGACCCCCTTTTTGAACCTGCACAGCTGTTTTAGGTCATTTTCAGGGTCCCCCCCTCTGAGTTCGGAGTGGATCTTTCTATGCAGTGACTGTGTGTTGGCTTCTCCAAGGAAGACATGCAGCCTTTGGCCAGCTGTCCCCTGCAGGATCTGGGTAGTTTGGTTCTCTGCCTCCTCACCCCACACTGACAGGCTCTACTTTCCTCAGATAAAAATAGATAACGATGCTAACAGATGCACCAGCCCCTGTCTATCTAACTGTGCTCACACAGACATGTTAGCCCATACACTGTTACCAACCTACTCTTAAGCCCTCAATGCTTTTGATAAAAGAGATTAGTCCAGACAATGAGCTGTGTATTTCAAAAAGATCAAAACATGATCGTATAAGGTCGATTAACAGCCAACATTTCTGCACTCACAAGAATCAATCAACCAAATTTGAAGGGAGCCACTAATAAGCAGGTCATGGCACATTCAGGGCACCGCCTCAAAAATAGGCAACTGTATGCAGAAGTGGGCCTTGGCTCCAAGAACTGCAACCACAGATATACCTTAAATATCCATCGCCAGAGAAGCAAAAGTTTTAAAAGTGGAGCAACCGTAAACCGCAAGACACAGAGGGAGCGACGAAGTTGATGCTGGATGATCATGTGTCACTTTAAGGTGAAAGAAGAAAACGGTTATTGCTTTTCTAGTTTACTTTCTTGTTGCTCATAACCGTCTCTTGTCCTAAACCTCCTGTTTCCCTCTCCAGCAGAGAGTGCAGGATAGCCCTTTAGAAATGAAAAAAGAAGTAGGACTCACCGTACGCAGGAACTGAATCTCCTCCTCTCCCTCTCCCCCTTCTGCCATCCTTCTCCGAGGGTTATTCGCAGCTCCTCAGGAGAAAAGAAAAAATCCTTCAGTGTCCCCTCTTCAGGTTTTTTTTAATCTATATGCTTTGTCTCTCCGTTTTTCTCTCCACGTTGCACCTCTCTCCTTCCTCAGCTGTACCCCTCTCTTCTCTTCTCTTCTCTCTCTCTCTGTCTCTCACTCAGTTCCTGTGTGTGTGGGTGTGCAGGACAGCATGAGTCCTGTGACTCTCACGGTGTTGTGAGAGAGAGTGACAGGAGGCAAGGCTCTCCCCAACTCCTCTCCTCTCTCTTACTTTGCATCCCCCAGCAGAAGATGAGGGAGGGAGGGGTTCTGCTAGGTGGAGGGAGGGGCAGGCACCTTATTATACATATACACTGCTCCCTTCCCCTCATGCCACCATATTGGAAGAAGTGGGACACTCCTTTACACCGTCTGACACACACACACACACAGACAGAAACACACAGCTCTCTGCCCCTCCTTTCACATGTCTGATGCTATAAAAGGAAAGTGGGGGACGGCCGAGCCATTGGAGGGCTTGCAGCAGGAGCAGAACACATTCAATCACACACCTGAACTCCTCAAAGTGAAGGAGGCGAGTGCACGCGACAAAAACCTCCTACAGAATCAGAATTAGGAGTTAATCTATAATGCATAACCAGTTTGTCCTTTATGTTTTGTTCAGGTGATGATGAAGTCCAGCACTTTGAATCAGTTATTGTGATTTCTATGTTTGATGTTTGGCAGAAATGCATGATGGAGGATTTTTGGGAGCCTATTTATGATAAACATGATCAGCAAATTGAAACTAGACGATTCTTTAAAATGAGATTTCAATTAATTATAAATTTTTGTCACTAGCAATGTGAATCACAGCTGAAACTAGACTTCAAACATCCTTGGGTAAGATCATCTGCTTGATCAGGATTCTGGACGGTAAAGGGTAAGTTGATTATTTAGCCTGAACAAAGGTGATTTTATTTCAGGAGATGAGAAATTCTGCTTCCTAATGGAGTCTAAACCTTTTACAATGACAAGAAAACCTGGTGCTGAACTTCACTGAATGTTTGGCACATTTCTTTTTTTACTACCTAAACCGCCAAGTCGTCGTTGTCAGCTCAAAGGTGCAGAATTTAGTAGCATTAAGCAGAACAGACATGGTAGAATATTCAAATGTATGTTTGAATTAGTTTATATTCTCCTAAATATAAAATGTTTTTGCAAAGCAGTACTTTGTGTGTTGTTTCGTACTCTTGAAGGGCATTGCTGCTTCACTCTTGGAAGGGGTGAGCGAAGGAGCTTTCCAATTTACGATCTGACCAGTAGATGTTACCAGATAGTCCTATTTACCCACATTATACATTAAAATTAATTACCATTCATTATACTGTCCATGCATACTCTTTCTCAATAGGTTATGCAGTCTAAACAAAAAATAACTAACTGACAAAGGCCCAAAGTAACTTAAGGTCTGATAGATCAGAGCAAAGTCAAACTCACAGTACTGCACATTTTACTAACGGTCGAGTTAAAAAGACCCTGAGATGCTCTGGCTTTTAATTGGTTCCACACACGTTTACACTCACGACAAAGAAACTCAGATTTTAAACAGAATATTGACTTATTTCTTGACATCTCTCTCATCTAAACAGTCTCCACAGGATTCTGTGTTTCATCAATTATCATAAAGATCTGTGTGATTATATATAAAGCCTATACCTGTAAAACACAGAGGACATTTATTTACTTTAGCTCCTGGAAGAAATATTTTTTCTGCTGCTCTGTGCACAAACATACACACAATACAAAAATCCAATAAACACTGAAGCGTAACTGAAACGTTTCTTGTCTTTGTGTTGTTGAACATCAAGAAACAAAATGTGTCACCTTGGGTGGGACAATTTGTGCTTGGTATTTTATTATTATTCTTACTGATCTATTTAAATTTCCAGCAGCCTTTAATAACAACATTACGGCTTTATTTACCTGTACATTGAGAGATGTTAATCTAGCTTCTCTGTTGGTCTCCTTACAATCTGAGTCATGTAGCCCTAAACAGATTCATTGCATCCTGTCACAAAATGGCCAGTATGAACAGAAATATGATTTTTCAAACTTGTCTATTAAAGCAAGTGTGGGACAACATGCTACCTCCGGATTTCATCATCACTAAGTGGACAGTCAGGTACATTCCTAGAGGACATTGTGGGCATTTACTGTATGAGTGCCAGTGTCACACCCCTCTCGGTCAGAACAGGCAGCAGGGATGCACCAGACAGGAAAGCTGGAAGTCTGAGCAGAAAAAAGCGCCTAACAGACTCAGTCAGAGAAGGCAGACAGCTTCATATACAGACACACGTCCTTACCTCCACAGGATCCATCTGTTATCCTTCGGCATGCTCTCCTTCCCCCTCATCTATCACAGCAGTAGCAGCGGTAAAGGTCTGAAGGTGTTCTGGGACGCTGCTGCTCGCCGGGATACAACTCCGTCCAGTGGGTTAACCGGAGAGGCGAGGAGGGGCGGGGGAGAAGGTAATACGCCACTAGAGCAGAACTAACATGAATTCTGGGAGCATGAGTCCTGACTCAGAGGAGACCTGCTGGTAACGTCTTTCTGCCAACTCATGAATCCAATAGTTGCAGTTGTGAAGATCCACCTGCAGAGGGAGACATTATACCAAAATAAAACTCCTTAAAATCTGACAGGCACCTTTAAATTATCACATAAAAGTGAACAATCACGACAGTATACTGAAAAACAACGGTAAGATGGCATGACAGGCGATTAAATTACGGTTAAATACACCGAAGCTTTTCATTCAGCGGGAAAATGTGAGCTTTAGCCTGAAAAAAAGACCGAATATCATTGACTCAGCCAACAATAAAACACGGATATTTGCTAAAAACTACAGAAAACGTAGGAAAAAACGTTAAATTCCTGCTTTAATGTTATTTATGTCGTGCTAATACCGTCTTAATTCATCAATTTGCTGTTCCCTCCAAGTTTTTCAACAGCCAGTGTTTGCTAGCGTTCTAAATTTACACAACTTCCGTTTTCGACAAAATAAAAGCCTAACGGCAAATTACCAAACTAAATATTAAGATATGTTATAGTGAGATATGCAGTTTTTGATGATAGTATTGTATACTGTTTAAATGAGGTAAATTCACAACATTATACCAAAGAACTCTTAAATTTGACCGACATCTTTGAATTATCACATAAAGTTGAACAATCACGACACGGTACTGAAAAACACCGGTAAGATAGCATGGCAGGCGATTTAATGACGTTTATTTACACTGATGCTTTTCATACAGTGGGAAAATGTGAGATGTAGCCTGAATAAAAAACCGAATATCATTGACTCAAATCTGGGGTGAGGACAGCCAACGACGAAACACGGATATCTGTTAACTACGACAGACAACTTAAGAAAAAAAAGCTAAAATTCCTGTTTTTAATGTCACTTATGTCGTGTTAATTTAATCTTAATTCATCAATTTGCTGTTTTCCCTCCAAGTTTTTCAACTGCCAATGTTTGCTAGCGTTCTAAATTTAAATAACTTCCGTTTTCGACAAAATAAAAGCCTAACGGCAAATTATATTATATAATACATATTAAGATATATTATGTTAAGATATGCAGGATCTTATTTTCCGTCATGCTGATAATACTGTATACTGTTTAAACGAGGTCAATTCACAACAACAAAAAGGTTGGTCTCAACTTGTCAACGTAGTGCCTCAAATGTCTCAAGATTGACCAGCTGACTTCAGTTGACTGCAGCTCTTCCTGTTTAAATAATGATTGCTTAATGTTACAGTAAGATTAGCACATTGCCAGGAAAGAGCCCTAAAACCTTTTTTTTTTTCTTCTTTTATTGACAGTTCCATGCACCACGTTGAAGCCCTTCAGTGATCTCCTTTCTGATGCAAATTCAATGCAATCTAGGTGACTTGGCATGCAAAGACTGAAGGAGTCATGCTCTGTGCATCTTTCTCTGCTTTTGAAAACCATATCACTCACACTCCCTGCCTGCCAGCCAGTCTGCTTCCTGCAGCAAAGAAGCCACCTCTGCAGACTTGAAGACATTAATGTCCCCTGTTTGGTCGCCTCTTCCTCTTGGTGTGTCGAAACAAGGGATGCCTTTGAGTCTCTCTGTCCAGCTGCACTGCCACATTCAGATGCACTAACACTACCTCCCTGTGTAATCACTTGCTACCCTGAGAAATGACAGAAGGAGTTTGGGGAAAAAAAGAAGAAAGGGAAGAAATCAGGGTGGTAGACTTGGGTTGGGAGACCCTGAGAGGACAAATGTGGTTCAGAGACACCTGACAAGGTACAATTGTGTCATCAGTTGTCTGATTTTTACAAAGGACTGTTTTTTCTTGCGAAGTTCAGGCAATACCCTTCAAAACTGCGTAAATGTGACATGTAAGGTGTGGCCTACTTTTTTCTGTGTCGATGCTCTGAAAAGAACCACAGATGTAGCTTCCTGGAGTACACTGATGGCGCTCTGAAGATTGCTCATCACTATTTCTTTAAGTTTTTTTTTTTATCTTTCTCTACGGCTACTGCATTTGTATGCACAGTTTTTTTCTCTCTCTTTCTCCTCCCCCCCTTTATGCTGAAACACACACACACACAGAAACTGATGTGAGTTCCCCTATCTGTCAGAGCCAGTTCCTCCATGTAAGATGCTGGCTTGTTTATGTTGGACGAGGTGGACTGAATGACTGTTTCTCGAGCTCTACTTTGAAACTTGTTTGATGCTCTTTCTTTTGACATGCCTGGTTACTTTGGAGGAGGAGTTAGCTTGTTTTGTAGCTGATTTGTGGTTGATCGATACCCTCAGATAGTGCAGAGTGAGGTTGACTCACACATAGAGTGACAAGCAGGGTTTAGGTGTGGAGCTTTTTCTCTTCTAGTCAACTTGCGGTAAGTAGGCAGCCCTCACCCCCAGCAGCTCGATGTCCTGTGCCAGCTCTCGCTGTCCTGGGCGCATAAATACATAAGGACACAGAGGAGCAGAAGGAGGAGGAGAGGGAGGAGCAGGGCCAACCATGGAGCTGTAGGGACACGCTCAGATGCCCGTGCGGATCATCAGTGGAGGAGGAGTGCCCCTGAGGAGAAGAGTTCTGCAATGAACAAGACCAGAAGGTAAGTTCAAGAGAAAAGACTCGGGTGCATCAAAACTGAGAGTCTGGTACATTCAAATCTACCCTCAGCTCAGTTTCTTAGCAGCTTTAGGTCTAAGTATGTGTCAGCAGCAACTGTGCTGTGTGCAGCAGCTATGTGTGATTCTTGAGGTTTTCAGATGCACTGTGGTTTTCTGCAAAGGCTCTTAACACGTTGGAGACAAAGAAGGGTACAAGGTTTTATTTTGTTCTTGGTGTTGGTCTGTTTTCTGCTTCTTAGTCAAGAGACAGCGAAGAAGAGGTTATATGTTGAAGAGATGTTGCACATATCATACAAACACAGTCAGTAAAAGTTTGAGTATCTGACCTGCATTATCAGTGAATCAACATATCAGGTTATTTGTGTGTACTGCACACAAGCGAGATCAGACATTCAACAGTCGTGCGTGCCTGTTAAGCGCTTCAAGCTCACCTTTCTGTCATAGATTTGCTGTTTTTGTTCAGGTATTCAATTTTTAGTTCAATGTTATTTTTGCATTTGATCTGAGAGACGTCTCAGAGACTTTACACTTCACCGCTTTTGGAGCTTGTGTTTTGTGTACATATCTATTCTGCAGTAGTTGTGACAGCTCTTATCAGATTGACTGGAATGAAGAGCGTCTGTATCGAATGTTAAGGTGGCCGAGCCTGTGTTGTGTTGTGTTTGATTCAACCACCTGCGTTTAAGGAGGACTGATTAAGAGTTTGGTTATCTTAGCATAAAAGCTTTCAACCGCTCGTCTTGTATTCATGTGTCAACAGACTGGAATGTGGACCAAACTCTAGATAAAGTAAATCAGAATTCATAACCTGCCCGCTCACTTTTTCATCAGAGTTTGGATGAGAGAGTGAAGGAGGACGCGCTCTGAATCAAGTTGGGTCTGGGAATCGATCCTATGATGACCATTGTAACTAGTACTGGAGATTCTGTATGTGGGGCGCCTACGCTACCACCTACAGCAGACCTCTAAAGAGTTTGTGTAATAGATGATTCAGTCGTATGAAGACAAATTGTTCTAGAGGAGAATTACTCTTTGACTGAATTACAACATCTGCTCACATTTTCAAGTGAGTCTTTTTCTTTTCTCAGATAGGACAGTGGAAGAGAAACGAGACGTGTGATTGTAACTTTCCTAAAAGCATGATCATGACATGGAAATGAGTCATGTTGATGAAGGTGTGTGTGAGAGAGTCAGAGGGGAGTCTGCACCTCCACAGAAGGGTGTGAAGCGCAGGAACGGCCTCACCGTCCCAAACCGTTTCTCAACATCTTTTCCCGCTCCAAACAGCTTGATGAATGTTTGCTGCTATTTTCTGACACTCACAACAAAGGCTGGTACAGTGACTTTATTAATGGACCGACTGGATGAACTGCTCATTGCAGTGGATGCATCCCCCTTGATGCAAAGAGGGAAACAAGAACGCAGGTTGTTAGAGGCTAGAGCAAGAGAAAAAGAGCAGCACACAAACAAGGCCTTCAAAGGGTCCCTGGCTTCAATTAATCAATTAAGGAAAGAAAGAGAGGAATTTGCATATCCCCCCGCCAGTGTGAGAGCGAGAGAGAGGGAGAAAGGGGAGGAGGGAACTGGATCCGCGGCCAGGAGTCCTGACACAGATGGGAAAGAGAGTGGGAGAATGATTTTCAAAGAAAAAGGAAAAGCTGTTTCCTGAATGGCTTGAATAGAAAAATGGTGAAGGAAGAGGAAAAAAGTGGGTGAAGCAGGAGTTGGTGAGGAAGTGAAGATAGGAAGGTATACCCCGAGTCAAATCAGTGACACGATGAAGCAAGAACAAAGATCACCAGTGTTTATTTACTTCTTTTTTAAAACCTCCTCACTTACACACAGATAGATGATTTTACGTTTACTTGCTTTCTGCTTCTGACTGCAGATGATAAAACAGGACCTACAGCTGTCTTCAGATCTGCACTGAAGTCCCTAAACTCTTCATATATTCACCAAAATCCTTCAAACAGAAATAGAGAAAATAGATCAGTGACTGACTGCTGTGCTCTGTGTTACCTGCTCTGTACTCTGGGGAATTCCCTGAAAATACTGTGACATCAATAACCTGACTCCTGTCAGCACTTCTGTTTGTTGTAGCGAGTTCGTCTTCTCATATATGTGTGTGACTGCTCTGACAGACCGCCGCGTTCACTCTGAGTCAGTGAGAGGGGCGATAGCACGTAAAGGGCACTGAGATATGGAAAAAAAACGTTCATCACAAGTCGAGAAAACAAAACAGTCAAATGAACTGCAATGGTGTCATAATGAAGCCTGTTTGTTTCAATTTATTAATATAGTTTGCACTACATTTAATAAAAGACAAATAAAGCCTTAAACATATAATGTATGTATAAATGTATAAACATCAGTATCTGTAATTTAATCGATGCAAAAACCCAAATTACTGTTTGTTATGTAAAATCAGCCAACCAAACCAAAAGGGATGGTGTGAGCTCCACTAACTTAAAGGTTTATTGTTGTTTTTGGTCAAGAAGAAAAGACACTTATAGATTATTCCTGTTAAGAGCTGAAGTGATGGTAATTTGGAGCGATCACTCAAGTGTCCGGGTATTTTAGTATTTTTATCGACTCTTTTTGTCCCGTTCCTTAAAATTGGGTTTGCTCGAATGAAATGAGAAATTTTCCTTTTTCAGTCTAAAGCACGAACACAGAATCTGAGGAAACAGTGTCTCATATAACCTCAACTTCTCCTAAAGGAAGGACATTACATAACGAGTGATGAGAACTACGTTCTCTGCTGGGCATTAATGCAGAAGCATCATAAATGGCAGAGGTCTGGATCAGATGAACCCAGACACCTTGATTGTTTGCTTGTTTAGTTTTTGTACCATGAAATTGGTACATGATGTGCTGTTTAGTGTTAGTGTTTTGAATTCAGAGGCCGGTCAGTGTAATGAGGCGAAGAGGAGGAGGAGGAGGAGAACAGGGGTTTTGTTGCCCAGCAGGTTTCCGAACCAGCCGTCTGGAAATGGACTACCAGGGTGCACACAGATGGGGTCATCCCTGACATCCCCCCTGAAGTCTGGGGTTTTGGATCTAGACATGGTTGAGAGAGGAGTGTATAAATGTGAAATGTGTGTCTTTTTGTGAAAACTGTGACAGCTGAGAAACAGACAGGAGAGAGCTGGAGGTATAAATAGATCTGTGAATGTTGTATCGCAGCATAAAGCACAACAAATGTCTTTGTGTGACTGCAGTGTGAATTTGTGTTGATTCTGTGTGTGTGTCTGTGTGTGTGTGCGTGTGTGTGGGCTAGTGAAAGGGATGCAGGTCTGGTCATTCAGGGAACTTACCGCCATTTCTCTGAACTCACTGTTTCCTGGTAATGTCATCACATTAGCGACTGTATATAAAAACGACACAGACTCGCTGTGCCTATGGTACACGCTGTCTCTTTGGATACACATGCACAACATCTGAAAAAAAAACACACACACAACCAACAGTGAATGAAAAATGATCAGAAACATGATCAGGTACCATTCAAACTGTGATTTTATCTTTTTATACTTTGATAAAGGGTAGAGAGTCTGTGGTTGTGTCTTTCACGCTGGTGCAGCCTGAATGTAAATTGTGAAAAAGAGTCACTTACTGGTTATTGTGAAATGCAGTAAGACATTGCTAAACTAAACCCCTGATCTGAAGAGGAAGCACAGTTTTTGCGCCCTGAAGCGAAGGAGTCCTTCTTTTGTCTGAGTGAGTTTAAAAACGTCATTTTAGAGTAAATCCTCAGACTGGAGCTGCTGCTCTGTTATCCTCCTTTTCTGACGCTTTTCTTTTGCTCATGTCACCTCTCTAAAAGTCATTTAAGCTTCACTTTATGGACAGAGATCATTCATTCATTCATTCATTCAAATCTCAAAGACCATTGCTTAATGTTGTCACTCTTTCCCTGACCTAACCAAGTTAAATTGCACTGAAAAAGTAAAGCTGTTTCATATTTCATTAAAACTTCGGATTATAACGTCACCAAATAGATTTCCCTTTCTCTCTGTGAAATTTCTTTTCGTCGCCCTGTTTTTACCTTTGAGTAACTCTCTCATATGAACCGATTTTAGTTACCTTCAGCTGCAGACTGTGCAGCTCTGTTTCTGAGTGACATCCAGGTCCTGAGAGGAACTAGTTTCTGAGGAAACACTGAATTACAGGGGCTTACAAATCAATTTTACTGTAATATGACCTCATTCAAATATTACATAACATTGGACTTAATCAGCCTGACTTTCAGGTTTTTGGGTTGTACGAGCATAAGTTTAATTTTAAAGGTACATTTTGTGTAGAAATGGGACCCTGAGGTGAAGTGATAGCAGCCTTTGACCTTTTGTGACGTATCAAAACATCAAGACGTCAAACACCTCACTGTCACTACGACTCATCTTCATCTTCCAGCCTGCGCGCTCTGCACATAGACTGTATATACTACGGACAACTTGGTTCCACCTCCCGCCTGTATACAGATTTGAAGCCGAAAAGTTCTCAGTAATTCTGCGTTTTCTCTCCACTTCCTGAAACCAACATTGCGCAGTAGCGTTGTACGCATTTGGCAGGAGAGTCACTGCGAGTCACTGTGATGACGCTTGGCTCAAACAGCATACCCCCCCGGGTGAGCTACGCAATCTTCGTACTCCCATAGGCTGTATCAGGTGTCAATCATAGCAAATATGAACCCTCTAATAACTTTTAAAAATGGAGCTGTACAGAAAAAAGAGGACTTGAGCACAAACCAGTCTGACAGTAACTACATGTCAACATCACAACCAGGGGGGAGAAACATTTATATTCTGTGTCATTCATTTATAAAGTTGGTCCACAGCTCCATAAGGAGGCGGGGTTTATGACCTATACTGCAGCCACCAGAGGGCGCTGTTCTCAGAGTGGCTTCACCCAGCGAGGAGGCCGACTCTGTCCATTCTATGTACAGTCTATGGTTACGAGTTTGTCCATTCTGTGGTATGTTAGAAACATAGACTGTATATAGAATGGACGCCGTCGGCCTCCTCGCTGGGTGAAGCCACTCTGAGAACAGCACCCTCTGGTGGCGGGCTGCAGTATAGGTCATAGATCCCGCCTCAGCCAGTCATCCTTAAGGGGTTTAACCATTTTGGCTTCAAATCCGTATACTAGGGGAAGGCAAACTGATCGAAATACTCGAGCACTTAAACACTAATTTTAACGTACTCATGAACGTCGACTTGAAGGATTATAACAATGACTTCATTGTGTGATGAAGTGATAGTTCCTGGTGTGAAGACGACAGCAGGCGGATTTCCTCTTTGCAGATCTTTGTTTTTAAAGAAGTTAAAGTGAACTTTAGGATGTTTGGTCGATATTAGCTGTAAGGATTAGTGGGCGGATCAATTTTGATGGAAACATTTTGGTAAAGATGGTTCAGACTTGCAGCAAAGTCGTCAATAATCTCAGGTTTTTTCGGGGTTGTTTTTCCTCAGATGCTGACCTTCGCTGCCCTCCCACTCTCACTGTTGCTCATCTTATTTCTGCTCGATTGGTACTCCCTGTTTGTGCCTGACACTCACTCTTTCTTCCTTTCCTCTTTCAGGAAGCCAAATGTGGAGAGCCCTGGAGTGTTGAAGAAAGGGAAGCTGGTCCAAGGGAGGAGGAATACATGTCCCAGTCCTCAGGACATCACCCGGGCCCTGCAGAGCCCCAGCTCTGCTCCCAGTGCCAGCGCTGCCAGCCTGGATGAGCTCATACAGCGCTGCCTGAACTGCTTCGGTCAGTCTCTGTCTCTACGTGTTGCATGTGTTTCCAAAGTTTGTCATGTGACTTTACTCTTTATCACAACAGGTTATATAAATGAGGGATGAGGGAGAGTGAGAGAGGATCCGGGGCGAGTGAGGGAGAGTGACTGAAAAGGAGAGAGACAAAGGGCAGTCTCATACAATCGGGCTTTGTTCTGGTCGGCTTCTGGGGCCAACTAACCATTCCCATGCAGTGTTACACTAAACAAACCCCTCTCTCTCCTCACCTCTCTCAGGGCGAGCTAACCAATTATACCTCATTGGTTTTCTCATCCAACCCCCCCAAAAAAACATCTGAAACACCTGTCTGAGTATCCAGGTAGTTCATGTTATAATCACAGAGGTTATTTCGCCATTTTTAAAGGCTGATAAAAGACACAGACATCTGCTGTTGTTTGTGCTCTTGTGTTTGTTTTGTTTCTGGATCTAAAAAGGAGGAAAGTCTGATGTTGGTTATGTGTAAAAAAGTGTCTTCACACGCCCCTACATGTACGCATCTTTTGGCCATTATCTGCGACACCCACCAGTCGACACACTCGTCTAGACACCTTCTCCGTTATTTGGCTTTTCTACCCTTGTGTGTTTGTTTATCGTACAGCTGGAAACAGGCGGGAAAACACCTGCTGCGGGCTGTCAGAATTAAACCAGACATTCACACTTTGAGTAAAATAATCCAGTCTTTTTAAAACCTGCTTGTTTCAGGTACAAAAAATTCAACACGACAATCTCAGACTGAACTCAGACTGAACTGACCTGCTTGACCACCGAACCAACAAGTTCTGTTGTTGCTGTCTGTTGTCGCGTTAACCCTCCGTGTGTGTGAAATGTGCCTCTGTGTGTTTTGATGCAGATTCAGACGGGAAGCTTTCCAGCCCTCGAGGGTCCCAGTTGGTCCACATGACCCTGATGATGCACAGCTGGGTTGTGCCATCTCAGATGTTTGCACAGAAACTTCTCAGCATATATCCTCCAACGTCAGTCTACTTGTCTGATCACGTTCATGTGGATTAATTAGTATTTCCCTCTTATATATGTACATTCTTATATGTACTCATATCAGCACTCTGAGTTTTTGGATCCTTGACTTTCTTTCCCACTTATAAGGATTGTCCGTCAGACAAGAGGGGACTCAGGCGGGCCCAGGTTTGCCACCTTATCAGGTGAGTTTGGGAGTCAGGTGTATGAGTGCATTACAGAACTGGTTATCCCGCTCTGTTTGAGAATGGTAAACATATTTTTTTGCTTCATGGCAAGGCGGTGGATAAGCCAGTTCCCAGCGGTTTTCGAAGCAGACCCCCTCCTGGAGCAGACCATGGGGGACCTGTGGGCCTTAGTCCGGTCGGACGGGGAGGAGAGACACTCCCAGCTCATCGACACCTCCTGCCTGTGAGCTTCGATTTGATTCAACTCGAGGAGCTTTAGTTTGCATATGTATCCATGTTCCATCAACAGAAGACTGATCTCTGTCTGCTCCTCCGCAGAGGCCCTCATGTAAACATATTCCAGGCGCCGTCGCCCTCTGTGAAGAAGAGGAAGGTGTCGCTCATCTTTGACCACATGGAGCCGGATGAGATGGCTGAGCACCTCAGCTACCTGGAGTTCAAGAACTTCTGTAACGTTTCAGTAAGTTTGACGAACAACTTCTCCTCACTGGTGTTCGGACTCTGAGCAGGACTGTTTTTAACTCCCACCTGACCTCCTCTAGTTCCTGGACTACCGAAGCTACGTGGTGCGAGGCTCGGTGAGGGACAACCCTGCTCTGGAGCGGTCTATCATGATGTGTAACGGAGTCTCCCAGTGGGTCCAGCTGATGATCCTCAGCAGACACACGGCCCAGCAGCGAGCTCAGGTCTTCACCAAGTTCACTCACGTGGCTCAGGTAAGCAGACAGATGAGTCTGAGATCTGGACTTGTTAAGTGTTTTTGAGGAGATATCGACTGTTCGCTCCTTTATGGTTGTTTATTCTGGTCCTTCCTCGACAGAAACTTCGAGCTTTGCAAAACTTTAACACTCTAATGGCGGTGACCGGCGGCCTCTGTCACAGCTCCATCTCCCGCCTTAAAGACACCTCCAACCTGCTGCCTCCTGACGTGACTAAGGTATTTCTAACATTACACCACGTGGACCTCCTGATGACCACATTTTCATCTTTATTCCTGAGCTTCACTGTCTGATTTAATGTTTTTGTTACTTCTACCTTTAAGTTTTGTCAAATCTGAAGGTTTTAGATTTTAAGTCTCATCTTCAAAACCAGAAGAGAGGAATAATTCTTTAAAGAACATTCAGTAAAGATGAGGTTAAGTTTTGTCCTCCTGACCTCTACAACAGGAAATAAAGGTCGCAAATGTTTTCGTCTTATTTCTTCTCTTAACACAATAAAAATTTGCTGCGGTATAAAAAAAGGGCAAAGCTGCTTAAAACACTGATATAAGAATGTTTTATTTATAAATGTATACAGAATTCATCATCTAAATATGTCTTTAGGGCTGGGCGATATGGGAAAAAGTTTATCAATATATATTTTTTTCATATCAGTCAATATTGATAAATACCACAATAAAAAAATCACGTCAATTTTAAACGTTCCCTGTTACTATTAAATGAAATTTGACAGTGTTCATTGGTAATATTTTTTTAGGGCTGGGTGATATGGCCTCGAATCAATATCAGGATATATTGATCAGTTCACCTGGATAGCAATTAACAGAGGATAACTACTCCACAAGCTGCTCACCCCCTCCAACATTAACTCTGTCTACTCGAGTGAACCGTCCTCCATCTCCTCAACTGTCTTTCCCTCTTTGTTACCCACTGGATGGGGTGGAGTCATGTCTCTGACGTAGGACAGCGTCTTAAAGGGACATGAGACCATAGCCTACCTACACACATCCAAAAACAACTTTGATTTATTTATGTTTTTAACACTAATTATACTGATATTGGCAAAATGATGTCAGTTATTGTCGTAAATTTCGGTATCTGTAAATTTTCAGTTTATCGCCCAGCCTTAATATCAAGGGAAACTAATTTTTGATATATATTATTATGATTTTATCGCCCAGCCCTATATGTCACTTTCTAAATCTAACATGACGGACTCACTCCTGTCTTTGTCGTCTTCAGGCCCTCAGCGAGATGACGGAGCTGCTCTCATCACGCAGCAATTACAGCAACTATCGGCGGGTTTATAACGAATGCACTGGCTTCAAGGTTCCCATCCTGGGGGTTCATCTGAAGGATCTGATCTCGCTGAACGAGGCTCTTCCTGACTACGTAGACGAAGACAAGATCAATCTGAGCAAGCTGCAGCACCTGTACAGCAACATCAGTGACTTGTTGGCCATTCACAGCAGCACCCCGCCTTTCGAGGCCAACAAAGACCTCCTGCATCTGCTCACAGTACGACACACTGCTAACTCCTAACTTATAAAGATCTCGTCAGAGTCATCTGAAGGTGTCTTAAATCACGCTCTCTCTTTGCCTCAGCTTTCTCTAGATTTATACTACACAGAGGATGAGATATATGAACTTTCATACACCAAGGAACCCAAAAACCCCAAGATCCAGGTCAGTAAAGGTCCATGTTTGTCTTTGAAGTATCTGTTATCTAACAACAGCAGGCTTTGGTTTGTGTCTGTAGAGGAGGGACATTTGTGTTCAGTCTGTGGGAGTAAAACTCAAAACAAAAGCACACGCTCAGTGCACTCTAAACTCGGCCACATCAAAGTCTCATACGTTAGGGAAGCGTATCATGTGGTGGGTGTGCTCTGCTGTTTTTTTTCGTGTTTCTCACATGTGAAGTCTGTTGTCTCATCACTCTAACTGTCGGTCCACAGCCCGTGGCCCCGGTCAAACCACCTGTGGTAGCAGAGTGGGGTTCAGGGCTCACACCCAGGCTTGACCCTGACACCATATCTAAACACGTCAAACATCTGGTGGATGTGAGTATGGGACTCTGCAACAGCCTCTCGTCTTTCACTTCCTTATTACTTGACATGCTAAAGCAGAACTAAGCAGCCGGTCCTGACAACTGAATATCCGATCGCTCTGTCGCCCCCTGCAGTCCATCATGAAAAACTACGACCACAACCAGGATGGTTACATCTCTCTTGAGGACTTTGAGAAAATAGCAGCCAACTTCCCCTTCTCCTTCTGCACACATGAAACTGACAGGTGGGGAAGCTGCAGAGGCCCCTCTGAGGGGGCGCGGAAAATAACTGCAGAGTGAAAAAATGTACAAATTTATTCAGATTATCAAAAAACTAACTAACTCATCTTTGTGTCACATGTTGGAAATTTCTCCTCCCAGGGAAGGACAGATCAGCCTTGAGGAAATCACCTCTTACTTCATGAGGGGAATGTCTGTGTGTGCGAAGCTAGGCTACAACTTCAACGACGTGCACAACTTCCATGAAACCACAAATAAGAGGCCGACGTTTTGTTACATCTGCGGAGGATTTGTGAGTGTCTGTTATATCCTCTTTATTTCTGTATCAGTGGTTCAAACTCTAACACAACATATTTATCATCTCTGACCTCTTGTAGCTGTGGGGAGTCATCAAACAAGGATACCACTGTAAAGGTAAGCAGGATGACACCTGAGGTTACTAAAGTTAGACAAAAACTAAACCTCTTTTTGTTCGTGAGTTATAGTCTTCATGATTCTCTCTCTCTCTCTCTTTCTCAGACTGCGGGATAAACTGTCACAGACACTGTAGAGATCTGGTGGGAATGGAGTGCTCAAAGAAACATAAAAACCTGTCCGGGTCCTGCCCCTGCACCCCGCCTGACTTCAGAACCAAGGGCAACAGCTGGAGTACGTCCTTTCCTCATCACACACAGAACTCTGAATTTCCAGCATATGATTTGACTTTCACCTGGATCGCTGATGTCTGTTCATCTCCACCAGGTTCAGAGGAAGAGGCCTTCATTTTCCCCCAAAGTAATGAGTCAGATCTCAATAAGGGACCGTCTGCTTGGTCGATTAACACCAGTGACTCTACGCTGTCAGACCGCTCTACTCAGACGGACCCGGGGGTGTGGACGCCTGAGAAAAGGGACCAAAGCGGAAACCACCACAACTCAGTTCTTCATGGATCCCCAGAGAGAAAGGTGAGATAGAGCGACAGGATGACACTTTCTGTTAAAGGTGGGGTAGTCAGGATCTGAGGAAGCCAAACCAGAGAGAATCTTGAATGTAAACTCTACCCCTCCCAACCAGTTTTCCCCTCAGCTCCTCCTCTCCAAGCCCCGCCCACAAACAGACGCTCCTGCTCGCTCGTATCGTTCCAGTTAAATTCAGATATAATGCAGATAAATACTTCAGATCATTACAAATGGGGCCCAGTCAAGGTGAAAGTCAAAAGCATTGGTGCTACTGTAGATGCCAACAGACTACCAGCAAACACAATGTTTGCAGGACTTCTACAACGAGGATAAAGTGACATAGTCCAGGACCCGAGGGAGGACAGTTTAGCGATGGCGCTACAACACGCTACAGCAGGTCCGTTTGACAAGAAACACTTCTGTTACAGACACTTGTCTTACTTTGTTAAAGCGGTTTACCTGTCCAGCAGAAAGGTTACAGGGTCACCAAGATCCCCAAGCGTCCCCCATCGTTTATGTTGACCCGGCTTTTTAGCTCTTGTCCGGTCTACCTCCGTTTTAAGCGCCCGTTATTCCTCCAGAGTCTCCGGTATTTACGTCGTTTTCTTGCTTGTGTCGGCAGTCGTGGCCAAAGGAGGATTCAGACAATTTTCCGAACTTTCTGGTTGGTTTCTACTGTCCGATATTGTAGCACGCTAACTTTGTTTGGGCTCCTGAACGACACGGGGGAGCAGCGTCTGCCTCACAACCAATCAGGTTAGAGGAGGTGGAGAACGGCTTTGTTTACAGTCAGAAAGAGCGGACCGCTCAAGTATAAGAGAACACAGAGATATCGTTATATTACCAAATGTCATCAATAACTGATAACTATTGACCGATATTTAAGCTTTTTTGTAAATACGACACAAAAAATAGATTCTTCTTTAACGTATTCCTGCCGACCCCACCTTTAACTGATTGAACCTCAAGCAAAAAGAAAAGAAAAAAGACTTGTACTTACATTTATCTCTCTTCTTTTGTATTTCAGGCAAACACACTCCCGCTGAGATCCCGAGGCTCCTCCATGCCGGTCTCTTTCCTGCAGGAGAAGATGGAGGAGTTACATCTCTACAAAGACAAGAGCCGAGAGCCTGACTGAACATTTCCTCTCATGGACTAAATATCCAGACACCACCACGTTTCTCACAGACCTCCGTCTGTAGCTGGTGTTGAACTGATCAAATTCACTGCCATTAAATATGAGTACCAGCAAACCATGCAGGGGACGATCTCATTTTTCAGCCATGGTTGTGCCTTTACTTTGACTTTGTCTTTTCAGCTTTGCTCATTGTTTAGAGTTCAGACAACATTTCTGGAGCTGTAACTTATTTGCATCTTGGTGTGTTTGTAGCACTTGGGTCTCATTTCTCTGGTGCTAAGATTCAATGCAACCTCAAGCCATAAGGTCTCAAAGATGCTCTGGTCCTTTAAACACATTAGAAACATAAAGAAACACTAACCTCGGCAAATAAGAAAAGGATGATTTTGACCTCGGCAGCTAAGGCGACTCAGCCCATGAGTTTGGAAAGTAAACCAACAACCACAGGATCACATCTGTAGACATCAGACCAGGAGATGACGGGAGACGACTGGAGCATCTTTGGACGTGCTACCATGAGACTGAAGACCTTGACGTGGCTGTATTGGATGTTTTTTCTCTAATGTAGAAAATTTTATTCCGCACTTCTGTTTGGGTGTATTTATGAAAGGTCAAAGAGCTCATCATTTCTGCATCTGACAGTGTAAGAAACTCAGAGCAGCAGACGGCTGCTATCCACAGATAAATCCGAGAAATTTACTCTCACCGAGGAAACATTTTAGACCTTCAAATTTCTCCTGATCAGGAATTTTTTAAACATTTTGTTGAGAGCTTCATTTTCTCTTTTGTGAACAATTTCAATCATTTAGGTGAGAGAAAACAGGATAATTAACTTCACGGAGCGATCTTTGAATAAATGTACCCCGACAGAGATGAACTCTTTGACGTGTTGTTTTGAACTTGTTTAAAAAAGGATCACATTGAAATCTTCAGGCATATACAATTGCTTTTATTGTATAAAGACAAGACAACAGTTTGGGTAACTGGTCATAATCAGGTTTTGTTTTCAGGTAGAAAAAAATTGGGTTTTACAACAAGGTTTCAACTACTGGACTCATGAACACCAATCACAAAGGAATTTAAAAAAAAGAAAAACCTGCACAAACATCTACTTAAAGTGGCAAAATATTCTTAATCAAAAACTGGATCAAATCTTAAATACTACTGTATCAACACCTATAAAAAATGTTTTATGTTTGGATGCTATTGGAGTAAATAAAATGTGCTCGCTCAAAAACGGAAAAAATAAAAGAGCAAGACAGAAGAAAGGGTAATGAAAGTAAAAAGCATGCATTTTTGTTCTTTGTTAAGCCTCTCAAAACAAGCAAAATTATTCAGCCTTTGCTTTAGCTTCCCTGTCTCTTCCCATGATTCCTAGAAATATATGATTATTAACTCTTCAATCTGTCGCAAATGTGGAGCCTGCAGTTCTACAAACGTCCACATTCGATGCATATTAGATAACATTCATTAAATGTTTTGATAACCTATCATCTACCAGCTCACGGTCACTGCTCGGAGTAAGACTTCATTCAGTAAAAAATGAGAAGACATCAAACTGTATACAGTTTTATGTGTACATTAACTGGTGAGGAATGAAGGCTACTGTGTTAGACCAGACAGAGACAGGAATGGGTGGGGACACTTTTAGTGAAGACTGTACAAAATCGATTTGCTGTAGAGGTCAGAGTGTCCAGGACACAGGTGGATGCAGGGATTATGAAGGGGGGAAGTTACTGGGATCCAGAAGACGAGCCTTGGCTGCCCTGTCCAGGGTAGCTGCCGTACTGGCTGTAATACTGGTTCCACTGGTTCTGGTTCTGGTAGTATTGCTGCCACTGCTGAGCGTACTGCAGGGACAAAGACACAAGTTAGAGTGTGTTAGGTTCATATCATCACTGTGCAGAATTTGAGACTTTCAGGTGGAGTCCGAGTCCGTTCGGTTACCTGCTGATATTGCTGGTTGTAGTTTTGTTGCTGCTGCTGCTGCTGTTGCTGCTGCTGCTGCTGCGGCTGCTGCTGCTGCGGCTGTTGCGGCTGTTGCTGGTGGTGGTTGTAGGTCTGTGCAGTGGTGGGTGTCTGGCTGTAGCTCTGGCTGTATCCTGGATACTGACTGTAGTTGCTGTAGTAGTTCTGGTTGTAGCTGCCCTGGTTGTATCCTTGATTGTAACTCTGGCTGTAGCCCTGGATGTACGACGAGAAGTTCAGGATGAAACAACACAACATTCAGAAACCTGGACTCAGTTTGTTGACTTTTTCGGTGACTCTAAATACCTGATTATATCCGCCTTTGTTGTAGGGAGCCGGACGATTGTAGCTTCCTCCGGACTGCTGGCTGCGGTTGTATCCACCACGTGAATCAGAGCCGCCGTCACGGTAACTGTTTCCCCAACGGCTTTGGTTGTAGCTGCCACGGTTGTAACCTGATGATCAGCCACAAAAAGGAGATACTGTTATTCACAGGAGGACAATTTGTTGTTTAACGTCATGTGTTAAATATGTACCGTATTTTTCAGACTATAAGGCGCTCTTAAAATCCTTAGTGCGCCTTATGATCCAGCGCACCTTGTGTATGATTACTTGTGTTTACTGACGGTTTTATGTGGTACAGTGCGTTAAAAAATCTGTCGAAATGTGTAAGTATGACTTCGGTAAACAACAAAGCTGCTCGATCAAAGGATATTCAGAGCATTACGTTAACTGTTTTCTAAACTTTCACAAAAGTTGGTATTAATACTTAACAGCCAAGTACCGCTAACAGCAACGAGTCTGACTTGGATAATGATGAGAGGGATCTGGGCGCGCATGATGCTGAAATCACACAGCTGTTTAACTGTGCGACTCAGACACTGAAGGTGAAGAATTTGATGGATTTGTGGAAGAATGAATCAATAAGAGCATATTTTTCTGTACCGGTATTTGTTGTTACAACTGAGTTATAGTTTGATTTACTGGACTGTGTTGTTTTGCTTGATGCGCCTTATTGCCCAAAAAATACGGTAATCAAATTAGACTTCTGGAATCGTGTTTAACAGCCAAACTCTTCTTGTGTCCCTGAAAACATTCGCCTCTATGATCGCTAAATCCTGTTGCCTTATATGATCAGGTTAGTAATAATGCATCAGGTGGGTTTCCTGCTTCGCTCACCTCCTCTGTATCCACTGCCTCCATCTCCACCGCGGTTCTGGTAGCCACCGCGGGATCCATCACGGTTGTCATACCGCTGGAAGCTACCGCCGCCGCGCCCACGGAACCCGCCCTGCCTGTTGTCGAAGCGTTTCTCAGGGGGCGGGCCGGCTTTGCGGCCCTCGTCATTGTACTGCTTCAACAGAGTTTCTGCCTCTTCGCGCTGGATCTCAACATACGTCACCGCCTCCAGGAAGTCGCAAGCCTCGGGGAGAGTAAAGTTGGCTTGGGGGAGTGACAGAGGTGACCACAGGAGGAGGAGAAGAGAGACAGCCCATCCAATAAGAGACGGATGGAGAAGCAGAGAGAAGGAGAGAGAGAGAAATAGAGGGGCGGGGGGTTGTAGTGAAGACCAGAGCAGTCACACCACCGAAAGACAAAATGAAAAACAATTACTACCACACAGGGAAACTGGGAATCAGAGAAATTCAAAAGCAGATAGATGAAGTAGATGGCAGGGTGAAGGGAACAAACATCACCTCCAGGGGAAGATGGAGGAAAAATTTGTTTAAGCAGACAAAGGAAAGGAGGGGAGGGGGGTAAAAAGGACAACTAGGAGGTTGGTGAGAAGAGGAGACAGCACTGCAAACCGAGGGTATGTGATTTACTGATTACAAACTGGATTACTACTTATTCGGAAAAAAACACCCTTTTCAGGAAAGTGAATTATGAAAACGGGACTAAATGACCCGTAAAGGCCGAGTCTCAGTTTGCAGTGCATTTGAAGTAAGCTCAATGGGAAGTGGCAAATCGAGGGCAAAAATAAGGAATAATCAAATTCATGTGGACTGTGTTTAACAAATGTCCAGGTCTGATATCTGGCCAAAGCCTATGATGAGGGAGGGGGGGAGGGAGCATCTTCCAAGTTTGATTTTAGAGACAACACATAGAAAAGTAAAAAGTAGATCTGGTGTTTTGTTGTTTCCACAGCGTTCCTACCTTTCATTTCTAAAACAGCATGATCGGGCACATCCTTCCCCTGCTCATTGGTTTGCTTTAATGTTCGTTCTTTTAAATCCTCGTCCGTGGGACAAATTACAATAGCCTTGCGTTGAAAACCTTCAAAAGGACGCATTTTTCGTCTCCTTGCTGATCCATAAACATTTGTCTAGCAATGGTGACAAGAAAGAAGTAGAAGCTTGTTTGTTATTGTTTACTTGTAGTGGCTTTCCACTGGAAGGAAGCTGGAACCCTGTAATAACGAAGTGAGAGAGGTTTGGCTTGGTGGTCAGTCTACGCTTTTACTCAGTTTCTAATGGCCTCTCATCACTCCACAGACTCACCTCTCACGTCCGGGTGTGTCCAGGTGAAGAGTGACTGCTGATGAATGTTATTTCAGAATCACAGGAGGACCCAACAAACGCTGACTGACTACACAGGACCTATGATCGGGTAACCCACTACATCTGCCTGATCATTTCAGACCCTTTGTTTAATGTAAGGGTATTTTTTTTTACCTTCATGCAGTGACAATGTGGAAGTCAGTAGGATATTTCAGTCATGTCAGCTCCATCTGAATCTTTTGTAAAAAATTTTTTTGAATAGACTTAGTCTTCGTTTATGTTCTTACAAAATACGGAATAATCTGAGTGATGAATATAGGTAACTAGACCAAACTTAACCCCTCATAATAGCATTATAATACAGATACTTACATGAAAACCTAATGTGTAATTATGAGGGTTGTATGTCTTTTCATGACATACTTGATTAAATCCCCACATTATTAGCCATCGTCAGAGCACTTTGATCACATACAGCATCAAAAATGTTTGATTCCACTGTAAAATACATAAATTTATCTTTAATCTTGTTCGTATTGCCTCTCTGCACTCCAAAAAAACTACTGTTTAATAATTCCACAGGAATTGATTGTAACACACCTTCAGCACACTCAAAACAAATGATAGGAAGAGTCTGTAACCTGCGCCACCTGAATCAAACCGAGGAAACACCAGCACTACCAGTTTAACCATTTTAACCACAAAGCTCCGAGTTCACACACGAGACAAAAAACAACTTCCAACAAACTCCTGTTCGTTTAATTTTTAACCATCTTCCTTCTTACATCTTATTACGGTCAGTTCCACAACAATGAAAACATCTGATTATGAAAAAACATCATTACTGTAATCAGTGAAATTATTTCATAACCTACAGTTTTACTTTTGTTTCTTCACTACTCTTCGCACCAACAACTGCAAAATCAACGTTTACCCTCGTCTCTGATCCGTCCTGTCTGCATGACTTTCTGATAGCACATCTATCCTCTACGGGAGCATCTATGTTACTGACATCTAGCTATTCTCACGGGTCCCCCCAACTCTTACCTGGACTTACCTCGTCTTCGTAAGAACTCTGGTCCCAGTAAAGACAACAACAGACAGATATAACCTACCTGCACATACTCACAGTATCCTCAGAAAACCCAAGTACGCCATCAGACCCACCTACCTGTTTTCACATTTCCCACAAACCAAGAACCTGAAAATCTAAAGCTGTTAGTCATTACTTACCTTCAGGGCAATTTATTACAAAACACACTCAAAAGTTCCAAGTATCTCACTTTAAAGTATAGCTTTAAAAAAAGCCACCAACTCTGCCTTATTAAAATTAGCAACAGAAGGTATTTGTCTTACTCACCAGTCAGAGCTTACTTGTTTCTCAACATCTTAACATAGTCATGGTTTACTTGTACATAGTTGAAATTCACAAGACAAACAATACTGTAGTATGACAAGAAATAGCAAGTGCAGATAAACTGAGGGATGAGAACATGAGATATTCTGTCACTTAAGAGAGCCATTTATCATTTCGCTTTACAGTACATGACAATCAAATGACAAGAGGGTGTTCAATGCTTCTTCTACTCTATAATACACAGAGCCCCCCTGAAAGATAAATAAATAGTCCATTAGAGAGAGTGATTATCAGGGCACATTGACTGACTGTGGCGAGGATTTGATCAGAGTGTGTGTAGAGGGCAGTACCTGATCTAGGATGTAGTTGCGTCTCTTGCGAGCAGCAATCTCGATCAGCCTGTTCAGACACTGGGTGGCCTGCTGTATGAGAACATCCCAGCGCCCGGCGTAGTTCTTCTGGCGACGCAGGCCCATGACCTGCACAACGATTCAGCCGGTGAGACGATGAGGAGTGGGAAAATCTATTGAATCTGTGATGTTTAGGGCTGGTTGTAGGATCCTACCTTCATCTTGTCCATGATGGCATTTGTCCCCAAGATGTTGTACTTCTTCTCAGGGTTGGTCTCAGCGTGCTTGATGGCCCAGGTGGTCTTTCCACAGGCAGGCAGGCCGACCATCATCAAGATCTGAAACAAGATCACGATTCAAAATTGATCTCCATGTTTTTTAAAATAATCCCTTTAAAAAAAAAATCTGCCTCAGTGTCTTTGACCCAATTTCATATAGATTAAAACAGAAAACCGTGTTATCTCTTTAACTGAAGCTTTTCCCCACCTCGCATTCAGACTTGGTCGCCGGCCCTTTGGTCCCTCTGATTTTGTCCTCCATGTCCAGATTGTGGATGTAGGTGTATCCCTCTGGTGGGGGGAAGTACGGCTGTGGCTTCTGTCCAAAGTTGAACTCGACAGCACAATTCTTCACCAGGACATGAGGGAACAGGGCGCGACCTGCGAGGTCCTCCTTCGTTGTCCGGAAAGCGACACCCAGCCACACTCCATTTTTAGAGAAACCGATCTCCACCTCGTTTCCACTTTCAAAGTCCTAAAAGTTTTGAAGACACAGAAAAGATATCATCTGTTTCATTTTGTCATTTTAGCACTAATCGTCACATTCATTCAATAGTTCTGTTTTAGTTGAGAAGTAATTTCCATGTAGAGAAACACCCCGAGCTTCATTTCTTGTATGAAAAATGTTATAAAAATGTTCTACATAACTTATTTTTACTTGTTTGTACTTTGATATCAGCTACACTGGCAAAAAACTTTTTGTTATTAATATTAATACATAACGAGCTCTGCATATACTCACGATGTAACAGCCGATGACGTCGTTTTCACCAAACTTCTCACCAAAGTCTGCAAACTTGCAGTCAGAGGATTTCTTTCCTGTTCCTCCATATCCAAAAGAGAAGGGCTCCTCACCTGAAGTACCACAGGAGAAAATCAGTCAAGCAAAGACCCTCTCTCTTCTCTCTTCTCCATGTTAAACATTATCCTGAATTTGGACACTTGCTCCTCTTACCGAGCTGTGTGCTGCAGTGGTTAAGTGACCATCCGATTCTGACCACATGGGGATCCGGCTCACTGCTGGGCAGGTGCTTCACGGGAATCTCCTCGTTAAGCTGAAGGACAAGAAGAAAATCTGATCAAAATCCTGCAGGTTTAGGGTGATATATTCAAACAGGCATATAAACAGAGACTGTAAGTGTCATAGAGTATCTATGAGTATGATGAACCGCTCAGTTCTGAAACAAAGAAACAAAACCTCCTGAGTTTCATGTTGACTCAGAAACATTTCAAATGTTTCACAAATCTACCCGCACTGTCAGAGATAAACATGTTTTACTTTGTTTCTATGTGTGAGGCTCCAGTCTGTCTAGAAATTAGACTGACAAACATTACCTTCATCTCGTAGCAAACACGGCCCCCAGTTACACCATGAGTCGCTCTTGCTCCAGCCCACAGGTAAGCGAAGCCTTCGATGGTGAGTGGATACCCGCTGTAGCGATCTCTGGACACTTTGAAGTGCAGATCACAGTTGTCTGAGGATTGAACAAAAACAACAAAAACATTAAAAACACATTTATTTGTTTGTTTGTGATGACTTCTCATCCTTCTGTAAGAGATATCTGCAGTGTCTAAACAGCATCTCTGTCTGCTCAATGTTTTAAAAATTAAAGTGTGCCACTGAAGGTTTGAGTAATTTCATTTAGAGCTCAGAGAATCAGAATAAAGTCCTGGTTTCAAGTCCAAAGGAGTGTAAACAGGTTTTCTGTTTTTACTGCATGTAGCCGAGCAAACTCCTGAATTCATAAAACTGAAGCTGTTAAAAAGGCACATGGTCACAAGAAGCACTAATGATGTTCTGTAGTAAGTTTCAATGGCTGTTAAAACTATCATCATGTAAAACCATAAACCTGAACCTTGGAAAACAATTATTCTAGTGTTTGGTGTCTTAATTGTACTCTAAAATTAATATAACCAAAAGAAAAATCAAGCTCATGAAGAATTTCTGCGATTTGGGAATTATTCAGCTTTCAATCACAGATAGAATTGGAGAAATAATTTTTCATTACTTTATATGTACGTGTGCATAGATGCATTCGATATATTTACTCACAGGTGTCGATTGTTACAAGCGTATCATCGATGTTCTCTTCTTCGTCTTCAGCAGGGGGCTGTGGTGTGCGGGATCTGGACAATATCAGCACAGTATAAGATTAGCAGATTTAACCGATATTTTAAAAAATTAAATGATTGGAAAATAATTCTCCTTAAAAGCCTTAAATCACACTTTTTTATCTCATGATAAGTGTACCTCTTGTCTTCACGGTGTTCGTAGTAGCCATACGTCCTGCTCTCTTCATATGGTCTTTTGCGGCTGTAGTGGTCACCTTTATCAGACTCAGTCTTCACTTGTTCGGCCTGAGCTGCTCCATCTTGACCTTGCTGATGTTCAGCCTGCTCTTGTTCACCTGGAGCCTCGATGTCTTCTTCCTTCTTCACCTCCACTTTAACATCTACGATGAAACAGACAGTCAGCTCAGAGTTCAGTGAGACAACCTTACAGAGAAGAATAAACCTAGAGTCCTGTTTTACAGTTTCTGTTTTGTCTGTACTCTTCTTGTGTTTTATGATCTTTCTGAAGAACATTAATTGTATGTTTGAAACAACAAAAGGTTTTCTCAATAAGTGAATGTCATTAATATTTCAGTGTATGGCATTAGTATTCTGAACCTGATGCAGACGAGCATTACATAGTACTTAGAGATCTAAATGGATGTGCTGACAGGAGAGTAGAGTGCATTTCTTTTTATGTCCTAATGTTTACAATCTTCCAATCTATCATTATATGAGGCAAAGCATTAAATCAACTTAGACTGTGCATGTTCACCTTTCATTTCAGTTTATAATCAATAACAAGTTCTCTTTGAAATTCTTGATCACAAAAAATAAAGTCTTAGTTTCTTAAGAACAAAATGCGCGCTGCAGACACAAATTTGGGCTGGACTGAAAATTACCTTGTACTTTCATAACCTGCTGCTGCTCAGGTTCTGGTTCTGGCTCAGACATGGGCACCGGCTCAGGCTCGGGCTCGGGTTCGGGTTCAGGCTCGGGCGCAGCCACAGCCACAGGCTTTGTTTCTTCCTCAGACATCACTTCAGTTTTGCTGATGTCGACATCTGCTGTGAAGTCCGGCATGCTGTGACCGGATTCTGAAGTTGGGTGGCTCTCATAAGGTTCGCCTTCTGCTTCGTCATCCTCGTAGTAACCACCTGAATCTCGACCCTCATCTTCTTCTTGAAGGACATCCCCCTCGCCCTCGGCTTCACCATCATCATCATCATCGTCTCCATAATCTTCAGCTGCCTCTGAAATACAGAAAGGAGATCAGGAAGAACATTTAGATGATGATACTTATTCAGTGAACCATTTTATCATTGACAACATTATTTTAAATGTATAATACAAGTGTTTATTGTTTTATAAATATTCTTCCTTGAGCTGCGTCACCCCGCTGTAGTCCGTAATGGACTGGACTGAGGTCTCGCTACAAACAAGCGGCTTCTGGAAGAGAGTAGGTGAGTTGTGTTTAGTCTCTTTGCTAAAGAAATGAGTCAAAGTTAAAAAGATGTTTGGTGGCTAGCACTATGGCTGGGACCCTAAATGTACTGTTGATGAAGTTAGGTGCCGTTCTGAGCATTATTCGTGGCTATAGAGTGGCCTAAATTAATTTTACGCTGGAGTATCCTTTTAAACCAAATTAAAAAACAATAAATAATGCTAAATAAACTTTAATATATACACACAATGTTGTGATTTGTGATGTCCATACTAAATAACAGCAAGATTCGAAGTGTGAAGCATGGATGGTGGCGTAACCTTTCTTCTAGCTTCTCTGAACAGCTCACTTTGAGACATGATCACAGCCTGATATCAGGATCAATAAATAATTATAATTCCAATAATCAGATGTCTGATCTTTACAATAAAAACTAAAAATGCACAAGAATACTAACAGTAGAATCGGTGGAGAGCTGCAGTTTCCCTGCATTGCTCGGTTGTTATTGATACTGTGGTTGGTCTGTGTACATCAGCGCTCGGATCATAATAACAGTGAATAACCGTAAATGCACCAAAACAAAGATAAAACTCCACCTGCGGACTCACCCTGTTGGTCTTCGGCGTCCTCCACATCGTCGTCCTCTTCGTTCTCCGGGTCTTCCTGGTAGTATTCGTCCCCCTGGTCCCCCTGTTCCCCCTGTTCCGGAGCTCCAGCCTGAGCTTCAGCCTCCAGAGCGGATTTCAGCCTCACGACCAGGTCCGCCTTCAGGCCTTTGGTGTCCAGGCCGCGGCGGTGAAGCTCCTCTTTCAGCTCGTTCACTTTCAGTTTCTTTACGTCAACACTCATGGTGCTTTACGTAGGTTTCGGTGCAGGATTATTTGCTGCAAAAGGAGAAAATGACCGTTAAATTTGCGTTCATCCAAAAACACTAACGTCTAACTCTGGAATCGATCCCCGAAGGCGGCAGTTTATCCCAGGAGCTCCGTTAGCTTAGCTTAGCCGGCGGCGCTGGGTGGATCCAAAACACCCGTCTGCTCCACACAAACACATATAAACCCTAAGACACATTAAGTTTAACTTGCATTTAGCCGAATCATGCTTTACATACGAACCTGCAAATAAGATATCTGTTAAAACTGATATCTGCTTAAAGTTGACGCGGCTAAACTTGTTAGCCTACCGTTAGCTGACGAACCAACAACCGCCGGAGAAGTTCGTTTCTCTGCGTGTAGACCGACAAACTGCAGACCACGGGACTACTCCGTAATGTGGACAAATTTCACAATATCGTATGTTTTGCTAAGTTAAAAAGTCGCGGTGCAAAATAAAACAAATTGAATCGAGGCCTACCTCTTCTCACGCGAGTTGCGCGGGCCAGTCTGTCTGATGATAGCGGGTTAGGAGAGTCAGTGCTGCCCCCTACCTTCATTAACCGGAACTACAACTCAAACCGGAAGGCAACAAAACTGGCGCAATAAAATATTCATGATTTAAAAGTTACAGTTTCTGTTTCATTATTAGAGTACACAGTTGAAACTGAGCTAAGCTAACACTGAAAAGACAAATATAAAGTGACAGCAGTAAATTTACGTTGTTAGTTCGTGCTATTTGGAACAGTCGAAGAATATTAAGTGTGATATTAACGTTGAAGGGATGTCGGGTAATGTGGTCTTCTGTACTTACCCGCTCAGCCATTTCAACCTACAACTGAGCCAAAGCGTTGGAACAAGAGTTATATGATAACTTAAAGAATTTTCCCACTGATATGAACAGCTAAAAATATTTTTAAAAACGAAATAAAACCCTTGTGAAGTTTTGCATTGCATAATTTATTTTATTTATTTTTATACTTTTATGTTTCTGTTCTCTTGTTGTTCACTATCTACTTTTAATTTATCGCCCTACTGTTTTTTTCTCCCCCTGTCTAAACGTGCATTTTCGCTTTCCCATATTGTTAAGTATTTCTCACTGATATGTTATTTCAATATTGAAATTACTGTATTGAACTGATTCTGCTTTGTTTGGAATTGTAATTTTGTTAACTCTGAGTAAAGCTTAAAGGAAGGAAGGGAAAAAAAGAGAAAAAAAAACTACAACTAAGCCACTAATTAGATACAATTTCTGTTCAACCTTCTGAAAAAAATTCAGGGGATATTATAATTTTAATACATGCTCTTTAGTTCAAGTATTTTGCAGTCAATTTGGGGATTTGATGAGAAATGCTGTCACTTATTTTCTGGTAACACTGTGCAGATACAGAAGTCTTAGCATCAGTTTATTATTATTTTTAAAATTTTTATAATTTGTCTATTTTATTCTTGTTTCTTTTTCTTTTTAATCTTAGCATTGTACAATTCATTACTATTTACAGTTCTCCTCCTTTATCTGTTCACCTTATTTTCTGGCTCTTAAATTATATATTCACTTCTTCAATCACTGTATAGATTTATACATGTTGGTGAACTGTACTCTTCTATAGCCTTTGTTGTTTACCTTCTCATTTTGGGATGGGGGTGTATGTCATGACCTTCATTGTTTATCAACATGTTCTGCACATGAAAAATATTAGTAATGTTAAAACAAACAAACAAAAAAGATACAAAATCTTTTGCATTTTTTTTGTGAAGAGACACCAACTAACAACAGACTTTATATTATTTTATTTTACACATTTTTCTTTTTACAATTCATCACATCAGATGTGCATGAACCACACAAGGATTCACAGTATAAATACAACATGACATATCCATTTATATCAAGAACAATCTGTTGATGTTAGTGGATATTTGTTTTCTTGCACCTTCTCAAGCATCGAGTACTCAATTACAAGAACTGTACAAAGTGTCAAGTCACTCACAGCAGTAGAGATGATACCCGAACATAAAAAAAATATTATTTTGTGAGTGATTGATGTCTGCAACGGTCACCAAAACGACACAACCAAATATTGTTAGTCTTAGTAAAATATATTTCTTTAAGCCACCACTGCTCTCAACTGTAAATCTCTATACATGGTGAACTTGATATGGAACATGCACAGTAAGCCATAGAAATACACTATGAATATCATAGCAATCCCCCTTAACAGCTAGCTGCTCAAACATGAGCTAATTACAGCATCCAAATCCACAGAACATGGATCGGCTTAAATTCTCTTCAACCACCTCAATGAAGAGGAAGGAGAGTGTCAAGCAGGGGTTTCATCAGCCTCGCCAAACAGCGAAGAACAGGGTCATTTTTTTGAGGGGACAGGAAAGGACACCAGTTGCCTGTTGACCTCTCTCAACTGAGCGTCTAAAGTCTCTGTGGTTAATGTTAGTTCTGCTAGCTGAGTCTGTAGGCTGACGAGGGTCTCATTCAGCTCCTCTTCTTTGCGGCGAGAGTTGGCCGCCTGTCTGCTGTACTCAAGGACCATACATCCGCCACCGACAAGGAAGATGATTGCTTCTCCCAGCAGCTCTGCACCCAGCTCTGCAGCCGATTCTTCATTGAGTGGTTTAATGGTGGAACCTCGAAAGCCCATGATCCGCATCTTTGTTCTCATCTCAATCCAGTGGTACACTGTGAAGACAAATATCAGCCAGGTCTCTGTCAGACTTTTCAGTAGAGGAGAGTGGGATAAGATGATCACTCCATCAAGTCAATCCTAATTTTGTCTCGAACTAGTTTATCTGCATATATTTCATGATGTTGTTCATCCCTGCAAACCAACAGAATGAGTGTAAACAGAACCGTAATCTTAATAATATAGCAGGACAAAAAAGGTGGTCTCCTACGGTCAACTTACCCCATAAGTTGACCATATAAGTTGACCCCCCCCCCCCCCCCCCCCCCCCCCCACCACCACCACCACCACCACCACCACCACCACCACCACCCCAGCCCTCCCTCACCTTCTCTCTCCCTAAATAACAGTCACTTCTTCATATTTATTATTCGCTATTCAACTGGTACAATAATTCTTTTTAATATTATTGCATATAACTGCTAAAAAGCTGTTTTATAAAACAACATTTTTACATGAGAATGTCTTTGAGTGATTCAGAACATTCACAGCTGTATTTTTGAAAAGAAAAACTAAAACATTTCAACGATCTGAACTGAAACTCTGATCCTCTCATCAGACTCCTTTAGGGGTATAATTAGAGGGACTAACAGACGTGAGAACATCACCCCTGTCCTGATTTTAAATTTTTTATGTTTGTTTTTAAAGCTCTTAACGGCCTCGCCTTCATCTATTTAACTGAGCTTTTAACAGTTTGGGAACCTGGTAGAGGTCGTCAAACCCACTTCTGCTGGAGGTGCTCAGGTCAAAACACAAACACTGGGGTGACCGAGCCTTTTCAGTCGCTGGTCCCAGGATCTGGAATAAGATCCCCACCAAAATGAGACTTATCTCCGACCTGGGCCTTTTCAAATCCTGGTTGAAAATGTGTTAATTTATGCTGGATTTTAATACTCAGTAGCGTGGTGACACTTTATTTTATTGCATTTTATTTTATTCTTTTTATTTATTCATTTTTATGTATTGTAAAGCTCGGTTCACAGAAAGGGTTGTTGTAAAGGGCTGTAAAAATAAAGAACATTTACATTTGTGTGTTTTTGTTCACTACTTCTGTTTCAGGTAAGCAGTGTTCTTGACATTATATTAAAAAAAATGCTTTACCTTCAAATATGTCAGTGTCAGGAGCGACTAAAAGCGAAGAATGGTGTCCCTAAACATCAGAGTTAAAGCAGCAGCTCAAAGATATTTTATCAGTTTTCTAATTTTGTTAAAAACAGACATAACCGCTGAGTGTGGAGAACTACTATCAAAAAATACACATAACCTCTTCAATGACAGGAAAGACCCGCCCTCTTCGACATTTCCTGGTTACTATTGGTCGACAAGATAAAATCACGACGATGATTGGATAAACGGTTCAAGCGAATGCAATCCTATTGGTTGTTAGGCGCCTGCCCGTTTGTCCCTGCTCAGTGTGTCTTACATTCATATTTAGCGGTCACTCTCAGCCATTTGCTCGGTTACTCACGCTGTGCCGGCGGGAGGCAGACGTAATTTTTAAAGAACTCGCTCCTCCGGGCTCCTGCTTTTATTCGGTTCGCCACAGGTTTACTCATCTGCCTCACTCCGAGGTAGAGGAGCTTGGCGATTGGAAAGGCACCGACCACCATCTTTGCGGAAACGCCTGTCCTCTGTAGGGCGGAGCACGTTCGAGACGTGATGACGTAAATGATCGCTTAAACAAGGCCGTCCCCACAGATATGTATATAAACGCTAGATATCTTACGCACGCTGTTAGCCAATGGACACCGACGTCCGCGTATGGCGGCCATTTTGCTACGGTTAGCTCGCCCACTCATATCCTTCCAGTCTACGGTTCATGTAACGTTTAAATAACTATAGATTGGTTAATTTTAAACCGATTTTCAAACAGTTTGGTTTGTAATGAACCTCAGCGTTTTAGTTATCAGAATCAGAAATACTCTAACAATCCCCAGAGGGAAATTGCTTTCGTTACAGTTCTCCATCCACAAACACTGTCACTTAGACTAAATAAATAAATACAAAAAAAGAATAGGTTGTCATACAAGAAATTAAAATCTTGATTGTGGTCTCAGCCTTGACAAAGCGACCAAAAGTTAGCCCTTGCACGCAAATAGCTGTGAAACAACTGTGCTTCATGATTATGTCTTTTTTTTTCTCAAAGTAAATCTGCCATTTCAACATGTTCAAGCATCCCGACTCATAGCCACGTCTGTAATAAACTAAACCATTTGTAAATCTGTCAAGATTTCAGAGTTAAATGTATTTTTGAGAATGCAGACTTCTCACCTCCCGTCAGCTACCATAGAGTGTGCCAGAAAGGTATACTGGAGTAAGATGGCCGCCGTGTAGGGACTACTCGAGTCATCTAGCCTTTCTTATAGCTATCTATATAAATATAATTTATATATAAATAACGAGGACAACGCTTTATCAGTTTGATTACCCTTCTGATTATTTATTATATCCGATATAAAATTACAAAAAAAATCGTCCCATGAAGAGTCAGTTTACTAAAGGGCCACTGATGCTGCGATTTTGTCCTTGAATCTAGAATAAAATTTCCAACATCATTTAAAAACAACGTAGTTTTCCGATTAAAACAGCAGCCCTTGTCAAACACATATTTAAACCCTCTTTTCCAGTCTCTAATATTAAACAAAAGCACTTTGGTGGTTCATTATTTCTCATTAAATATCTGATCATGCATCCAAAAAGGGAGAACTAGTCTTATACGCAGTAGCTCACATTTCAGGCTAAATTTAATCAAAATTGTGTTTTTGATTAAATCATAAATACGTTTTTAAGTTTTCTCAATAGACATCGTTAAAGTATACGGCCTTAAAAAATGTGTCAGAGTAAAAATGAGTATGTTCTCGCTGACAGCTTAATTGTGCTCATATAGATTTTATGAAGACTTCCCATAAAAAAAACACGTCAAAAATGCGACTCATCCACGCAGGTATGTTCCACCTGTGCCAGCTGTGAGAGGAACACCTGGCTCGGGTTTCAGCAGCAGCACTGTGATCCAGAGGGGCTGGACTCTGAGCCAAAATAACTCCACACTTCACGCAGCTATGACTAAATGTCTGGAGCTACCGAGAAACACAGGAGAGAAACACAGACTAACCCCAGAGTTCAGGAAGACAAGGGACTAAAGACGGGGATCAGCTGTCCTCTCGGATTCGGGACTAAGAGGGACTCAGAGGTTCACGTTTTGAAGGTAAGGGGATTTTTCCAGGTCCTCAATCTTCGCGCACACACTCAGACTTCCTCTGTGAGAAACTCGGAGAGATGTGAAGCTGTTTTATTGTAAAGTTGTGTCGGTAAACTCGGAGTGGTTTGTGTGACTCCTATGAACTGCAGTGAGTTTAGTCGGTTAATCGATTGTTTGTTTTGAAAAGTTATTTCGGTGTTTCTTTTTCCTCCATTACGAAGTGGCTTGAATGCGAGGAGGAGCTTGTTCTCAAACTAATGAAAATCAGATGTTCTCATTCCTGCCTGGTATGCCTCTTAATCTGCAACCAGAAAGGAAAGCTTAACTCCAACAGAGAGCTGCCAGACATGGGGATATATCACTGATGTGCACACTACTTAATAATAGGTTACTTTAAACTAACAGACTTAGTTCTGATGGTGGATTTGAGGTTTTATTATTTTCATAGTCGTGATCTAATTGTGATTTTATCTCAATCAGTCTTTATTTATTTATCAGTCTTTATTTATAAAGCACTATTCATTCATGATCATGTAGCACAAAGTGTTTTACACAGAAAAAGGAATAAAAGAAACAAAGAAAATCCAAATTTATCCCAACCCCTCATTCCCACCCCACGATCTAAAAGAAACAGGATTAAAATGGATCAACTTAAAAAGGGCTTGATTTCACAGAAACAATAATGTGCGCAATGAGGAAATGTTATTTTAAAACTCAAGAAAAGGAAACACTTAAATCTAAAAACAAAGTAATATAAAATAAAATTTAAGAAACAATAAATAAAATGAAATAAAAACAAAAATAAAAGATACTAAAATAAGAGCACCAAAATAGCTCAATAAAGACGATCCAGTCATTAAAACTAGAAAGAGATAAATGTTAAAATACTTCAAGTTAGTGATATAAAAATTAGTTCAAAGTAAAACTGAAAAGGTATGTTTTGAGTTTGGTTTTAACATCATTAAGTTTAGTTTCAGTCCTCAGGTCTTCAGGTAAGCTGTTTCATAGACGGGGCTGTAGTAATAAAAAGATGTCTCACCGTCTGTCTCGGTTATAACTGTAGGTCATAATGTTAACAGAGAACTTCCTGAAAACCTGAGGACTCGACCTGACTCAGAAGGTAAAAGCAGATCAGATAAACAAGATTAAGAGCTTTAAAAACCAATAAAACAACCTGAAAATCAATTCTAAAAGAGAATATCTGAATCAACATTATACTTACCAACACTCTACAGGCAATAATATTAGCAGAGAACATTTTATGAATGTTTTTAACAGTGTTCAAAAAAAAAAAAACACCAAAACAAATCTGGTTAGACATAAACCTTTTCTTGTGTTTCCAGCCTAGTTTAAACGTGTTAAACTTTCATGGCCGATCACAAAAAAACTACGGCCCGCAAACAAACCAAACCGTCTTGTTGGAGCAGGATTTAAGTGGCATGTATCCAACATGTGTACTCTACACTGGGTCTCCGTCAAAACCAGCCGGGCTACATTGTGTGATGCACTTGCTGTAACCTGTTTCCATACAATTTGTACATACTGTCATCAGAGTCTGACTGTTTCGTACGAGTAAATCCACGCATGCATACACATGTAAGCAGGCAACAACACAGGCCTGTTTGTCAATCTTTGGTAATGGCCTTGCTTTGCACTCAGACAAGAGCTTGACACCCTGCGGGGAATAGACGGGGCTTGAAACTTGGCAGAAATGCCTGTTATGTTGTGTACCGCTGAGAGATTCCTGAGTCACATGCTGTGCAGAACAGTGTCGCTCCAGAAGAAAAGAGGATAGCTGGCATAGTGCGAGAAGTAACGATGGCAAAGAACAGCTTGGAGCTTTAGCGACCAAATGTAGAATGGCGATTCTTCGTCTGTTGTTCAGGGATTAGTTATCGTTTTATCCTGTAATTGATAGAGTTTATAAATCTTTAGTGTATAGAAATAGTCATCGTCAGCTCAAGAGGATCAGTAAAGCTGCATTCTTAAAGGCTGTTGTCTTTGGCACTACAGTTACTTTCATGAATAGACTGTGTCTGTGTGTGTTTGTGTGTGTGTGTGCATAGGCATGCCTGCACACTCTATTGTGTGTCTTTGTAGGTAGAAAGGGTAGGCTCCTCAGTGACTAACTAGGTCGACGGAGCGGGCGAACAGGCATCATAAAAAGAGATATTTTGGGTGGGGTGAAGCTTGGAAGCAGAAGACGTGATTAATCTGGAGACGGTTTGCAGGTCAAATGCCAGCACAGAATTGATCACCTGACTGTTTTTAAACTGAAGTGAAAAGATTAAAACACAATTTATTTCATCACTTGAGTAAATCTGGAGAACTTGATTTAACAAATATGTCAGTATTAACAACTTATTTCCATAATGCATGAGTGTGGTCAGGAAGGCATGGGTGCACATTCTACTGTGTTACGTTTATTCAGAAAATATCATTTACATTTCTTAAACTCAGATGCTAAATTTAAGATTTAGTCGGAAAAATAATGGGAACAACCATTCACAGAGTAAAAAAACAACAAGTCTAAGTTTGGTAAAAGTAATAAGTTTCTCCCCAAAAAATGGTTCTTAAGGAAAATGCAAATACTCAAAAAACTGAACTTAAGTGCTGTAGTGAAGTAAATTTAACTAATCTATCCAAAACCTGAGGTGACATGTTTGTATAAACTTTTCAGATTACACTTTCTACAGAAACTGAAGATGAAACCGTCAATTTAACAGATAATCCTCTTCGACCCGGCGGTGACACCAAGTACCAAGACTCCCTTAAATGATTACTCAATACAGACGCCTCCCTCTTGTATCTGTACAATTAGCTTTAATCCAGGAATGTCAACATCCCATTTCACTGGTTCTCATCACACGAGATAGTGGTAAGCCAAAGTAAATACCTTTGAAATCATATTTTTGCATGAATGGGACTTTTGAATAATGATTCTCCAGACACTTTAATTAAAGATGGGCACTGACCCACTTTAAAAGTTTTTATTTACTTTGACCCGTGAGACCGTGTAATACAAGGGTTAGAGTTACTCACTGTGGGATCGCTGGGAGTTCCTTTATTTGTGGGATATTATTCAGTTTGTGTAGTCTGCACGATGATAGACTTAGACTGAGGTTTTAGGTATCCGAGGGAAAATAATAAAAGCAAACCCCAAAGGGAAGTGTTTTGTTATGTCAAAGGAATGTCTGTTATCATTCAGTCTCCGCCAAGTTCCCCACCAAGAGCGAACAGGGAGACTATGGGAGGAAGGATATGAAGGAGGACCAACAACAGTGAAACAGGAGGGTAGGAAATGAAGAGATGAAATAAGTTAAAGAGAACGCGGGGAATTGGAAAGATGTGTAATCTGGAATTGCTGGTGAAATATATTAAAGGAAGGGGAAAGAGGAAAGGACTGCTCGCTTCAGTCCGGCACGCCCTCCCATTCTGCAAACTAACAATTACTGCGTTATATCCCTGAATGTCGTTTCTGCTTCCCACCATCAGGCCTTTTCATTTTTCAGAGTATTTGTTAAAGTTCTGAGATCCTTAAAACATCAAACTGGAGTTCACAAAGGCAGTTTAGGTAATTACCCACTCATGGTTTCTGTCTGGGTTTAACCTGTCCGAGGAGCCAGCTGACAATGTAATCAGGCGCTGGAAAGAGACTGGGAAGAAAAGGGAACATGAGGTTTTTGAAGAAACGTCTGTTTAGAGGGAAACCACAGCGAGGCAGATCAGAAAGACTGGAATAGAGGACGGTATAGCTGCAGCGGCCACCAGCTGTCAGCTCCTCCAAGATGATTAATGTCTGAGTTTCAACACGTGACCGTGAACAACCCTCACGACAAACTGGGTGTGTCCCTTTAAGGTGTAGCTGTGACACTTGGTACTCTGTGTAATAACTTCTAAAAAATTAAATCACTCACTGTATTCTTCTCCTTATACGCCCCCATCCCTGAAACCAAAAGCCGGGCCTTTGTCTTTAGTTTGTCTCGCTGCATTTGCAGAGTAGGAAGATGAGATGCAAATGGTCCTTACAGGCTGTCATGATGAAAAAAAAGGGTATTACTGAGAGAATAAATCCACCGAAACACCAAATAAACAATAACAGAACAAGTATGAAGGGAGTGATACAACTGAATTAGTAATTTAGCTGTGAGTTATCCTCTAAACAAAGGTGATAACAACATCTGATAAAGGGATGTTTTATCTGATGCTCGTTTTATCTGCCTTAAACTTCACACCGCAGAAGTAACAACAAACTTCATGAACTAATCAGAAAACAAATTCATCAGCAGGATAAAGAAGAAAACTGTTTAATTCAGATTATGTACGACGGTTCAGTGAAAGTTTGCTCGTAAAAGCGGCAAACCCAGACTATCATCAGGGAAAAGAAAACAGGAACTGTGCAGAGGAGCGAAGACTTAAAGGGGTAAATGAATCACCAGGCTGAAGGGACGAGTCAGTGAGTGAGAGACCTGACCTTTGTGAGTCAGTGAGAGTGTAATCTCCTTTTGTGTGAGCTGCTCTCGACAGCAGAGATAAGTGTCCCGGGCTGTGTGAGTCGAATGCCTCACTGGGAGGAGCGGCGAGGAATGTGAGTCTGTTACCAGGCCTGATTGAGAAACGACGGATACAGAACACACTGTATAAAGAGGAGTCGTTATTATCTGACTGAGAACTCTCAACTCTTCAATTTGATGACCTTGTATAACATGTTTTCCTCTTCGGGCTTTATTTACTTAATGAGAAGGAGGGTCATTGTGAAATCTTGGTTTAGGTTCCTCCAGTTACTGTTTGTGTTTCGTAAAAGACGCTCAAAGTGATTAATTTTATGTTGTTGTGTCATTGTTAAAACGCCTTTTTGACTAGATTCATCATAAATTTCCTTTAACGGCACAGTGAGTCAAAATGGAAACATCTAAACAGATTGTGTTGAAATGTTCCCTTACTCATCCCTTAAGAATAAGACGCCTCTGTCAGTAAGTTTATACGACACTCGAGAAAACCGAATTATCGCCTTATTCCGATTAAGACCGGACAACTGAGGTTCATGTAAACAACTTAGTCTGACTATAATCAGAGTTTGAGAACTTCAATGAAGACACTCAGATAATACGATTGGAATTCGATTTTCTCTATCATGTAACCAGCGTAGTCGGAGTATGATCGGAAAATGCATGTGCGCCACATCCCTGTAACCCCGTAAGTAGCGTTCGTCTCATCTTTAGAAAAAGTAGCGCGTCCATCATGGAGGACAAAAACAACGCTGTACGATGCTCCATCTTCTTGTTTCTCCTAAATGCCAAGCAGCAGTTGTAGACACTTCTGACGTCTGACACCGACCTGCTGTTGTTGTTGACGGTTGTATGGGGTCGGAAACAGCGCCGCTGAGAAAGACCCATATTGCCCCCTAGTTTTGGGAAGGAGGACACGTTCACGTCAATAATTCAATTTTCTCAGCGGACAAGGAGAGAAGTCCGATTCAGAGAAAAAAAGACGAATTATGGGCTTAGTCTGATTAAACTGTGCATGTGAACGTACAAGTTACAAGTTTGTCCTTTCTGTGATGTGGTAGAAATATGACGATGCACGATGACAGCCTCCATGGAAGTGGACCTGATACGATTGGCTTATTCTGAGTTAACAAGCACAATTGATTTTATAAGCAGAGGATCTTGCATGAACTTACAGATACTTATCAATACTCTGTTTCACTTCACCGCTCAGTTTTGCAGAGCGCACACCTTTGGGCAACAAACATTCCTTGGCCTCGTTTTAACGCAGAGTCATCACAGCAGAAGAAACACTTTCTAAAAACCATCAATCACACTTCTCTCATGACTAGTCTTGCACTTGCCGTCAGCGTCACATTTTTCTTGGTGCGTCTTATCAGGTCATAATGTAAGAAAAGAGTTTTAGTTTCTGTTTTCAGAGCAGCAGACATGGAGACACCACTCTGTGAAAATGTGGTTATCACTAAGAGAGGAAAATGCAGGGGAGGCTTGACAGGAACAGTGAAGGAGAACAACACATCACTGTAATTTCTTTCAAAGTAATGCCTTTAACCCGACGAGAGCAGCGAACTGATAATAAAGAGTCGTGTTTGAGCAGCTGTGGTTTGTCACTGAAGTAGGGAAAAATGCTGAGTGTTGAGTTCACACCAAAGTCCGAACAGTTGAATCATCAGTGACAGTAGATTCCTTGTTCTCTGGAAACTGACCTCACTTTCTCTCCGTCTGTGTCAACATGCTTATAAGGGCAGAGTTCGGTGAATAAAGGTAGGACTGAGAATGTGGGAGGATGGGTGTTTCAACGGACAAAACATAAAAACATAGACTCTTAAATAAAAATCACTTTTACAGATGAAGGCCACATGAAGAGTTGGTGTTTACTAGAGCTGTAGTCAACTGAAGAAATTCTTGGTCGACTAAAACCCTGAAATTTTTTGCTAAAAAATCGCCGAATGGTGTGTGTGTGTGCGCAAAAGAGTGAGACTTTTGTGTTATGATTTGAAATAAGTCAGTCTGGGAGGGACTTGGCGAAAATAATGTAGCCTTTTTTAAAATAGATTTTTACCTTAAATTAGCAATATTTATCTTATAACGACATCAAACTAGTAAAGATATTTAAAAAGTGAACCCATTTGCAATAATTTAGTATGATCAAACTTTGGTAACTATAGAAGTTATTTTTGCGCTTGCCTTATATTCGGACAACATCTTGTTTCCGCCTCCGATTTTGCTCCGGTGTGACGTCATTTTCAGCTCCGACATCTGACTTCCGGGGGGGGGGGGTTGATGCGGCTCGGCAGAGCGTGGCTTGTTGGAGTGACATTATACTGATATCAGCATAAGAAGGCAATTAGACACAAAAGGCAACTTGAAACGCTAACAATAAAAACAAATATTCAGGAAACCACCGGACGTTGAAAAATATGGACGCTCTTCAATCTTCCTGTCATCTCCAGTGGGCTGGGCGAATCCGAAATGGTGAAAACAGGGGGGATGTTCTGAGATAAGCTGTTACCTGTGAAACAGAGGTGCTCTGAAAACACCCTCCTTATGAAATTAACCATTGACTGTAAATTGATGTGGAAAAAAATCCAGTCGACCAATCAGAACTTTGGTCGACTCAGCATGTATCGACTACTAAGTCGACCAGTTGACTTTACATCCCTAATGTTTACCCTGAAAATGTCATGAACTACAACCTTCTTATGATCTCTCCTCAGTACTTAAAGGTAGACTCTGTATTTTTGTGGCATTTAGAAGAAGAGATTCGATAAATGATGGAAAATAACATTTATAAACATGGTCAATTTAGTGTAAAATCACCTGCACAGAACAGATAAACTAGTTTAACATTTAGTGCACCTAATTCACCATTTGGAAGACAGAGAGGAGAGTGACTGATGTGTACAAAATAATCTGTATTGACGGTAAAGACTGATGAATAAAGAATCAATAATTTAATCAGTACATTCAAAAATCTATCTTGTCCTCAGTATCGGTTACTCAGATGTGATTTTGCGTGCGTATTTCCCACCTCAGTAAGGCATGCTGGGATTTTTTTGACCTTGTCACGATTAGTTATGTGACCGGTGTGAACCAGCTGGCCTGTTTTCATACAAAGCTGTCAGGGGAATTAGTGAAGTCTGTCGTCATCATCCTGATTATTATTGTTTGGAATCATGATTGAACAGGCAGAACATGAGTGACACTGGCGTCTGGCGTCTGAACACCTGGCACCACAGATGACAACGTTGAGTCAGCAAGCAGGGCAGAAACAAACCAGGGACCGAGACAGCAATGATGTCAGTGCGGGATGTCATGTTCGGCATAAATCATTTAAAGCATTCCAGCGAGTGATTGTTTTTTCGCAACTTGTCACAGTGTGAGGAAATGTCAACATGTTTGGACCTGACGGGCATTTAGGTTATGTGCTCAAATGAAGTGTGCTTTCTGCCTGAGGGTGAGAGAGAGTGAGGAGTGTAGCTGAACAGGAACAGGTGAGGGAAAAAGTTAGCGTCAAACTCAAAATGATGGACGTGTAGGAACAGAGGGGGAAAAAATGTAGGTGAAAGAAAAAATCAGAGTCTGTTTGTATGAATCTCTGCGTCTGCTTTATTTCAATGACGGCAGATTTTTTTTCACTTCTTTTATGAATGAAAATCAGTCTCAAGTGAAAAACAGGATTGAATTGTGATGTGTGTGTTGTCTGTTCTGTTTTTCAGGAGCCAAACGCTGCAGCTGTACAGCCATGAGCTCACAGGCCACCTTTGGCAGCAACTTGTGATGTGAGTTTCCCAAAAGTCCTTGATTTTTTCCTGTTTTTTGTGCACAGGAGAATTTTAACATGAAGTAACCGTCTCTGCGATGTCTGTCTGGTTCATATTCAGTCCAGAGCTCACAGGCCTCCTTTGGCAGCAACTTGCTGTGTGAGTTTCCCAAAAGTCCTCAGATTTTTTCCTCTACTTCTACTTTTATACGTATAAATATATATATGAAGAGCACTTACTTTTAAACCATGGTGGTGGGTGCAGGGGGACTAAGATACGCCCCCAAATTGTGAAGAAGCTGTACAGAGGTTTGTTGTTGCATGTCAAAGAAAAGGAACAAATTTGAACAAATGTTTATGACCTGAATGCATCGCTGGCTACTGCTGACGAGTTATCCAAAGAGTTCAACACCCTGATGAGAGAGGCCTCGTCCAGCGACGACAGCAAGTCTGGATCGCAAGTATGCACAAACACACAGACTACATATATATATATATATATACGTATAAATATATATATGAAGAGCACTTACTTTTAAACCATGGTGGTGGGTGCAGGGGGACTAAGATACGCCCCCAAATTGTGAAGAAGCTGTACAGAGGTTTGTTGTTGCATGTCAAAGAAAAGGAACAAATTTGAACAAATGTTTATAAAGAGTAAAGAAGTAATATTTTCTTGATATGATAATTTTTTAAGAGTTTCCTGAAACATGGTGTTATATTTTAAGGTACTTATCCAAAAAAATATTGGCTTAAAATATCATGAAACTAGATTTACATTTGGACCTGGGACAAGTCCCCAAAGCGACTAAACTACAGTTATGTTAGCATATGTAATCAGTCACTTCCCACCTAAATGGACAATTTCAGAGTCACTAAATACTCCAGTAGGGTTGGGTGACATGGCTTCAAATCAATACCACGATATATTGATCAGTTCACCTCAATAACGATAAATGGATGATAACTACTCCACAAGCAGCTCACCCCCCCCCACATTAACTTCGTCTACTTCAGCCGCTCCAACTTTCTCTCCGTCCTCCATCTCCTCACCTGTCTTTCCCTCTTTGTTACGGACTGGATGGGCTGGAGTCACGTCTCTGACGTAGGACAGCGTCTTAAAGGGACATGAGACCATAACCTACCTACACACATCCAAAAACAACTTTGATTTTTTTTTTTTGACACTGAATATACGGATATGAACAAAATGAAGTCGGTTATTGTCATAAAAAATCTCAGGAATCTGTAAATTTTCGGTTTATCACCCAGCCCTATACTCCAGCACAGAAGTCTAGGCATTTCTAGTAATATTGATCTATAATAGATATTTTTTCTCCTCAGACCACCTCTACATTTTCCAAACCAACGCCCCCCCAGCCCACCATCTTCTTCTCTACCAGAGAGTCCAGCGGCAGCAGTAATGGCAGCTCCAGCTCTCAGCCTTTCTCCCCGAGTACATCAACTTTCCAACCAACAGACTCCGTCTTCTCCAGCAACAAAATCATACCACCCCCGCCTGTCTTCTCCACCAGCCCTCTCTCCTCCCCAGGTATCCACAGACGGGCACACTCTCCGCTCCCTCGTTCCGGATCTGACAACTTCTCCTACGGCCAGCAGAGTCCCAAACATTCGCCTCACACCCAGAGGCGTAATTCCCCCTCTCGTTACGACAGGAGCCCACGGGGTTCAGTGAGCTACGCTGATAAAAGCCCAATTCCGAGCCCCACGGCTCTGTCTTTTGATCAGTCACCTCGCTCTTCTTCGTTCCATCCCTCGAACCTGCTGAGCCCGTATGACAGCGGCTCAATGGGCCGAAGATCGCCACGGCCGGAGAGGAGCCCCTCTCCTCTGTCTGTGAACCGTCCGGTGTCCAGCACTCTGCCTCGAGGTTACGGTGGTTTCAGGACACCTGGTGAGTAAAAAAAAAATGAAAATAGAAAAGAAACTGTAAGAAAAGGAGAGGATTTTAAAATCAACATAGATGCACAAGTTTCCTGCTTTCATATAACAAAAAAACACAGAGTCCATCTCTTCTCCGATGAGTTAACCTTTCTTAAAATGTCTGAGTACACAGTTTAATAATCTTACAACTTTGAGACGAAGTAAAGAGACACTATAGTTACTAAAAACACTTTTACACAAAACCCGGTCACTCTGTTAATCTGTCGGAGAGAATTTGAGAGTTCACAGTTTGTTGTCACAGTAGATGTTGAATTCTGTATCTGTACAAATATATTATGACCGTATAATAGTGTAGTATTTTTCTCTGTATGTTCATGCACGTCTGCCTCTGCTGATTTCTCTCTCTCTCTCTCTCTCTCTCTCTCAGATGAGGGTGTGCAGCGGCAAAAGAGCCCTAGCAAGTGGAATGAAACAGATCTGGACGTGTCCTACGAGAGGAAGCCTCACCACACCTATGACAGTTGGTTCATGTTTCCGTCTGTTCAGTATTTTATGAGGACCTGGTCTGGGACCTGTGACTGAGCTAAAACAACTCATTAATGACCCGTATCTCTGTGTTTTTTACTAAATCAATCCCTCTTTGCTAACAGAGACAGAGTGGGTTCGGCAGTCTGTGCCAAACAGCAGCTGGAAAGAGTCCAACCTGGACGGCCCTCCCACGGCCTCAAGCCCCAAACAGGTGGGTGCTGTGACCGCAACACAGGTGGGGTTTTATGGTTCGGGTGGAGGCTCAGTTCAGACACCTGGATTCCCCTGAATTTCTAGAAGAGTCACCAAAGAACATGATGGTAGTTACACCCCTTGAATTGTTTCTCAAAGATAAGAAGAGGGTGAATCGCTTCACTGAGTTTGGGTGTGTTGTGGCACACCTATCTGTTAAACGCTTGGACTTCAAATCTCAATTACAGCTAGGGCTGAGCGATAAAACGATAATGATTTATGTCAAAAATTATTTTCCCTCAATATCAATATAAAACATGGTCAATATGCTTTTCATTAGTCAGCATTCTGCCATGTTTTGGTAGACTATACGAATAGCCAATGAAAAGGGGAGTTTCTCCGGGTCCACTTTGCGCTGAACCAATCATGTTCTGAATTAGAACCAAGTATCAAACAACTGTGTTGTAGCAGACAGCAGCTACACCCAACACCCCATGGCGCCTTTGCAGCCGAAACAGCCGACCATCCCGCTTTCTCTAGTCTAACACAACGCCTTACGACAAAACGCCAGAGACACAAAGACCTCACAAATGCAACAGATTATTGTATTGCAAAAGACATGTGACCAATAGACACTGTCAAATTTCATTTTTAATATTGTGATATATATCGATATCGACTGATATGAAAAAAATACATCGTGATTAACTTTTTCCCATATCGCCCAGTCGAATCACAGCATGTTCCTTTTTTTAGTTTGGATGGAGAGACTTCAGCTCAAACTATCATCTATTAAAAGTCTCTCTTTTCTTTTCCAGGACCGCCGCTCTAAACCCCTCCAGTATGCCCACGCCTCTCTTCCCCGTAACACACGGATATCAGTACCTCCAGATCATTCGTCCCCGGTCCACTCCCCCTACCACCCTCAACCCATCATCTCCCGTATCTCCATCCCCCCGACTTCTACACAAGCCCGTCCACGCAAGCCCATACCCCTCTCGGTCATCTTGCGTCTTCAAAACCCTCGCTGGGGAGCCATGGCAACCCACCACCCCAGAGTCTTGGGGGGAGAGGGTGACATGGATCCGTACCACCCAGCTGTGCCCATCCCGAGGGAGTTCTTCCACCAGCCTGTGGTCCAGCCTCGTCAGCACCCTCATGAGATGAGACAGCCGGTCATCTACACTGATGGTATTGGACACGTTCACTAAAACTCATGATGATCCAGGATCAGGATCTGTGTGAACTTAGATTCTGTGTGTTTCTGATCTTTGCAGTGCTGAACCCAGGGGACATAGACGCAGAGATAGAGCGCCTAGACTTTGTTCATCATATGCCCAGAATTTCAGAGCATCCCAGCAGGCCAGAGGGCAGTGCAGAGGTCAGCCAGGGTGGACCTGCGGCTCCTCGGCCCCTCAGCCCCACCAGGCTGCAGCCGGTGGTGGCCCCTGAAGCCCAGAGTCAGGTGGTCGCCGATGTGGAAGAGCTGCTCCGTATCCGGGCAGAGATCCCTCGAGCTCTGAAGAGACGGGGCTCTGTGGACCAGTCCGGGCCCCTGAAGAAGGCCTCTCATTACCAACCGAACCAGTACAAGAATCTCATCGACAAGCTTTTTCGCAAGAGGGAACAACGGCAGAGGGGGGAGCACGGCAGCGAGACCAGCAGCTCCTCAGATGGGGAGGACTGCGCCATGCCTCCTGCACCTCCACCTGCGTCTCAGGGTTCATTTCGGATTCCTCAAGTAAGACATGGACCTAAAAGGACTTAAAAGTCAGTTTTATGCACCAAATATGAAAGAAACTGGATTAAATATCCCGTCTGTCCCCACAGAGCTACCACTCCATCCTGAGGCGGTCCAACCGGGACCGTAAAAGCTCTGGGAGGAGGGCTCGGCTCAGCCCGCTTGTCCTGCTGCTGGATGGAGCATTGGTTGGAGAACTGGAGACGGTGCAGAGGGCCACACAGGAGGTGTGTGTCCATATGTACAATCTATGCTCATATTTCTATACCATCACAGGACGGTCATCACATTCATTTCTGTTCCTGTAATCCTGGCAGATGTTTTCTGGATTTTCTGATTTAGCTGATGACTCCACTGTCTCCATGTTTTCCACAGATGAGTGACCCGAGCCAACCCAACGATGAAGGCATCACTGCTCTTCACAACGCCATCTGTGGAGGTCACTACAGCGTGGTGGATTTTCTGATTCGTGTTGGAGCCAACCCCAGCGCACCAGACAGCCACGGCTGGTAAATATTTACAGACTCTCAAACTAAAAAAATCTCCTGCAGTCTTAAAATAAAGTCTTAAAATATGAAGTTTGAAAGAGAAATCAGGTGTCATATATACTTGTGCACACAGGACTCCTCTGCATTGTGCAGCGTCTTGTAACGACCGTCCTCTGTGTGAGTTTCTGGTGAGGAATGGAGCGGCTGTCATGGCGATCACCGAGAGTGACGGGGCTTCAGCCTCCCAGAAGTGTGATCCTTATGCGGTCGGGTATGAGGAGTGTGTGGGCTTCCTCAGGGGTAAGACTATTTCACGAATTCTTTCTCTATGACACTGCACGGTTATTTTAAATCATTTCTGAGTGTATACGCCTCGGTTAGATCAAACTACCTACAGTCAAAGTGAGTTTATCTTCAGTGACATAACACTGATAAAAAAGGTTCTGGTATCTCTCTCATTGTGATGGCAAGCTCTACACTAAATATAAAATATATTAATTGCAATACTGAAGTATCTGATTGGTCTTTTGGCTGCGAAAGTCAAACAACACAGTAGGATCTGCTGACACAAACGATTTGGAAGTTAAAAAAAACAGATTTTCTCAAGAAATGAAATGAAAACAAATTCTTGGAACAGAGATAGTCGCACCTTCACTCCCTTTGGATATCAGTGCTGGTTACATCCTGTCAGCAGTCCAAGGACTCTTCATTTAAAGAGTTTAGTCAGAAAACACAACAGCATGAACCAAAACCAAAAAGCAGAGGTACATTTTTTCACTTTTGCTGTTGTTTTTTGCACCTCAGGGCCACTGTAGTTAGTTTTTAACCTGCTGTAAAACCGACTGAACTTAACCTTTATCTCTTTTTATGACCTTAAACCACAGCGTCCACTTCTTCTGTACGGTTACTCTTGATGTTCAAAGCTGTTAATTACCGGTTGCAAAAACAGCCTCAGATTCTTCTTACTGAGATTATTTGACTGTTTAAAATAGAAATATGATTTTTTTTTTGTTAAAGTAAAAAATGAAACTCAGACGAGTAAAGGACATAATCAGCCAAAAAACAAGATACACATCTTTGGATTCCTGGAAATGTTGGTAAGATTTTATCATAACACTCGTTCTTTCCTGCTGCGATGATGAACACCTTAAACTTGAACTTTCTGTTTCACAGAGTTCAATAAAAAGTGTTAAATATAAAGCGTTTTATACTGTATGTGTCCCACTTTTTAATATTAGGTGCAGAAGAGGCCATGGGGCTGGAGAACAGTGGGGTCTTATACGCTCTGTGGAACTACCCAGCCCAGGCAGCTGATGAGCTGAGCTTCAAAGATGGAGACATGGTCACCATCCTGCAGAAACCTGAAGGCTCTGATTGGTGGTGGGCTTCCCTCTGCGGCAGGGAAGGTTTCGTACCGAACAACTACTTTGGGGTAAGATACCGATTCACACACATTCATGTTCCTGATATTTAGAAAGTGAACTCAATGTTTGTTTGTTGTTTTTTTTACAGCTTTTTCCAAAGACGCGGCCCAAAACTCTCTGCTAAGAGTTATTTGATCATCAGGAAAAAGCCTCAAAGGCTGCGTCTGTGTGATTCTGAAAAGGCTGTCCCGCTGTAGGACACAAGAAGAAGAAGAAGAAGAAGAAGAAGAAGAAGGACTCTCTGCGTTCAGTTTGGTCTTTTTCTCATAAGACTTCACGTTCACTGTTACTGCTGTAGGATGTTTTCCCGGTGCAGACGCAGCTCTGCACTCTGCTCCACATTTCTGTCCGTATCTGTTGAACCGAAGGTTGTAGAGGAGCCGTATCTTACCAATTTACATTCTGTCTCAGTGCTGGTTAGTAATCAGTGTGCAAACAGTGCAAACTGTATATGTTCAGCTTACTTATCAGAGAGGTCAATGTAGCTGCTGTCAACAAACTCGAGCTGTGATCGTTGGAGAAGGGTTAATCTTCGGTCAGACATTCATGACTGGAACATCGAACGGGAGAAGAAAGGAGCCGAGAACTTTTTGTTACACATACTAAATATAAATAACTACTTTGTCAGGAAGTGTGTTTGTCATTAGTGTTATTTCTTTCTCTCTGTACTTTGACTTTAACTAAAAATTCTCATCACGGCTAACGGACCCTAACGAGTTTGACACTTTAAAAGGACTTGGCGGTAAACTTCACATACTCGTAGCATTTCTAGAAGAAACCGAACAGCGCCTGGATGGTTTCTTAGTGATTTAGGACACCGACATGAGTTAATGTCCCTGGTCTCTTGTGGCAGAAGAATGAGCGTTTTGGATACACGTGTTTTTTATTACAGTTTTCAGTGTGTTTGCAGGACCCCCACTGTGCACTCAGCTCAGAATCCCTCCAAACCTTCAGACGTCCAATAAAATCATGAGTCTCAGCCTCATTTGTGTTTGTCTTGTGTTTATGGCACAAAGTAAGAGAGTGAAGTGTCTTTAAGTGACCAGCAGGTGACGCTGTACCATCAAGTATTCATTCAACAGCAACAGAGTTAACAAATGACATTTCTCCAAATATCATTTATTTAAGATTTCTGAGTTCCTGTTTCAACCTTTTTTAGGTTCCTTTTTTCCTGGTACTCTCCTCCAGTTTACAGCTCCTAATCAATCAGTTAGCTGCACTATTATACAAAGATCATTACTAAACAGATATTAGACATGATTAATACTTTTTTAATTAAGACTGAATTCAGTCTTTTGATCTGATCTCTTCCCCAAAACAAGCTCACTGTCAGGATTGTTTGAATGTTATCTGGGATGTTTATCCTTTTTGAATTCTGTGTCGATCATGACGTGTGATTATCATGAAATACACACATACATAATTTACTCACACACTCTCTGGTGTGAGGCTGTGGTCATCTAATTCAGTGTTTCTAGATTTTCTGGTGAATAATTCAGGGGATAAGTCGAGTCAGCCGTCCACAGGCCTGTGGCAGCATACGTAATGTTCTGCTGAAACAGATCTTGGATCACAGTGCAGACGGGGAGAGTGTGTCTGTGTTTAATCTGTATTCACTCAACATTAGATTTGAGATTATTCCACATCTATAAATGCAGAGAAAATAGTTTTAAATTGAATTCATCAGATTTCAAAGGGAAACAGAGACAGAGATCAGTCGTACAGCACAGATTCCTCAGCAGAGATAAAATAAATTTAGGTCAATAATCATAAATATGTTAGCGGCCCTTTTTTTTCCTTTTCTGACATTTAAAAAATGAACCTGAGAGGAGAATAATTTTAATTTGCTGCCTAAATTCTGATCTTTGGTTTAAGTGCTCGCAAATTACAGATAAATAATCAACGACGAGTGGAAGCGAGTGATGTTGATTTAGTCCACAGGGTCACGAGGAAAAAGGTTTTAAATCCATCGACTTTAATGAAGCTATCCAAACAGCTCCAGTATGATTCAGTGTTGTATTATCTTAAAATACATCTTCAGACTAGTTTGTTAAATATTCTCTTCTCTGAGTCTCAAACACAGATGCACATTTGCCGCTCTCCTCTACTTTCCCCTCGTTGCTCTTTGCACTAAGAAGAATTGCTGCAAAACATGACTCCGCTCATGCAGAACTTATTTGATGCCTCATTGAAACCCCGTTATAACCAAGCTGGAGCAAAATGGACTTATTGACATGGTCTGCACCCAGGTGGTTCAGTCAGGGCGCAGTTACTTACTCGCCTGGTCTGCAGAGTGGTTACACATTTTTATTTCTGTCTCATTCACTTCTGCCTCACTGCCCCCACCACCTCTGACTACACACTGTGGTTTCAGAGAGGAGAGCCATTATGGAGAGGGAGGGGGGCCATCAGAGTCTGAAAAGGCCTCTTGACACAACAGGCCGGCCCTAAACGGCTGCAGTTAAATAAACACGTAAGAGCAGCGTAAGGTAAATTACAGAGCTGAGGAGTATGATTGAAGAATGAAATATCTGTCTGAGCGAAACACGCTATTTTCTTTCTGATGGGACACCTGAGACAATCTACAGACCAGCCAACACTGTCTGTCGAATCAGCTCTATTACATCAGCCCGCAGAAATCACAGACGACCGCCTGAAATCTGTGACATTAGGAGGAGCGTGACTCAGAGTGACGGTGGAGTAGTCGTACAAAAACTCTTGTATCTATTCATCAGGACATGGTTGGAGTCATGGCTGGGGTAAGCAGTGAAGACATGAGAGCCCAGAGGTCATCAATGTTGTATGATCCTGCCTTTAAAGAATTGAACAGACGTCCCTCTCAGTTAGACTTCTGAGGAGGTTGGAAATATCTTAACACTGTGATCTCAACAAGAGCGATGCTTCATTATTTAGAGAGAGTAAACTAGTGTCAGTGTGTGTATACGAGTGTTTTCATGTGTCTCTACACGGCTGCTGGATCTGATCACACTGCATGCCACGTCTGTTCTCCAGCAGTCCAGACTAGAACTGGACTGATGTCTCCCTTAATTTAAGAGTATAGTATGTGACAGCCAGCACACTGCCTTAAAGGGAGACCCTTTGAATGTGTGTGTGCATGTGCATGTGAGTGTGTGTATGTTGGCCTGCATTATTGCATGCATACTCCACTCTCACTCAGACACTGAGGTGAGCAGACAGATCCCTGCAGAAACATTCAGCTCTACTGAACCCATCAAACAGTGCAGCGAGGGCACAAACTCAAACCGGGGAAACAAACAAAGTACGAAAACAGACACAAAAAAAACTCTGATTGAAAGAAGCGAGAAAAAAAAGTCTATTTCATTTCTGTGTCTTCATTCTTTCCCTACTTTCACTATGCTCGCCATCTCTGTGCTCCCATAGAGTAATGAATAATAGAGGAGTGCTTGTCCTCCCTCGCTCCCCTAGTTAATCAGAGCTCGCCTGGCTGCCCTCTTCTCTGCCACTCCTCACTTTAATAAATCATTCAGGCCTTTAGGACAACAAGTCTGTCAGCGCAGGCTAAGCAAGGGCCACGCTGGTAAAGCCCCCGCCATCTTCACTCTCTGCAGCCTGCTCCTCATCCTCGGCCCTGTCACACAATCATCTATTTTTTCCTCGGTGTCCTTCACCGTTGATAGTTCTCCATCTCCTCTGTCCTCTTCTTACTGTTTCGTGTCTTAATCTGTCAAATCAGACGGGTGAGGAGGAGTTTCTCTCCCTGCTTCAGTCCTTCTCTCATGGGAAACCCTCTCTCTGCTACAGTTCAGCCCAATGCGTAATTTTCATTCTGCCCTCTTCACATGAATGTGTCCCAAATGGATGCTGCAGCGTCATAAAAGAGTCAACTACAGGGACATTTTTTATGCCATCACATCTTTTCATAATAACCATTAATAACTTATTATGCAATGGTCGGGGTTTTGATTCACAGCATCAAGGTGCCTTTAGGCAAAGCTCTTAAAGTTAGAGTTAGAAAACCCTCCTCAAGTTCTTCTAAAGGTGTTAGTTTTTCAGAGTAATTTTTTTTCTGTTTTTGGAATAATTTTATTTTCTGTTTTTTAGAGTACATTTTTTTTAGTTTTTCTGGACTAGTTTCTTTCTGTTTTTAGAGTATTTGTTTATTTTTTTCAGCCTTTTTGACTATTTTTCTGCTTTTAAGAGTTTTTTTTCTTTTCTTTTTTTTTTGGACTATTTTTTTCAGTTTTTTTAGAGTAATTTTTTTCTTCTGTTTTTCGGACCAATAATTTTCTGTTTTTCAGAGTAATTTTTTTCAGTTTTTTTGGACAATTTTTTCTTCCTGTTTCTCAGACCAATTATTTTCTGTTTTTCAGAGGTTTTTTATTATTATTATTTTTGGGGGATTTTTTTCTTTTTCTGGTTTTTAAAGTTTTTTTTCCTTCTATTTTTTTCAGTTTTCACGACCAATTTTTTTTTTGTTTTTGGACTAATTTCCCCCCTCTGTTTTTCAGAGTAATTTTTATCTGTTTTTATGCTTTTTTTTTTTTTTTTTAATAATTTTTTTCCCTCTTTTTTTGACTTTTTTTGACTCTTTTTCAGAGTAAATGTTTTGGGGGTTTTTTTTTTTTAACAAATTTTGCTGTTTTTCCAGACTTTTTTTTTTGCTTTGTTTTTCAGACTCATTGTTTTTCCTGTTCTCTGGGATCATGATCATTTAAAAACAGACACTTTCGTCCCCCTCTGCCTGATTGATTGGAAGCAAACATGGTCCACTTGTTTAGTTTAATCAAGTTTTACTTTCTTTGGGTTTGAGACACTGGGAGATACTCCTTCAAGTCAAACAGATGGAATCATCAAAAATTTGTCAGGATTTGCATACCTTATGTTTAACTGATAACAAGCTTTACTCTCATTGACCCCGTAGTTTAAATTATCTAGTAATTGGAGAATCAGATGATTTGGGGCGGACGCAGTGGTTAACTTTATCTGATTGTATGAGATTCTCACAGGATTTTGAAGTACCTTGTTTAGTCAGGAAAAAAATAGTCTGAAAAACAAAAAGACAAAAAAAAATTAGTCTGAAAAACAGCCATGAAAAAAATACCCAAAAAAACATTTTTCTATTTTTTGTAAGTGAATGCAGTACACTTCAGTAGAAATCAAAGGAGTACGAGTTAAAAGCTTTCGTTCGCTGACTTTGAGGTCATCTCTTTGATATCATTGCTTCATAAATCTTACCGTCTGCTTCTACTGCACATATTTTTAAACCAAACACCACAACAGTATTTGTGAGCGGCTATTAATCACCAATTCTAATTTTTTCCTCTTTTTTTACATGTCTTGTCCCCTTAAATGAAAACTCTTAAAAGTTTGCACGTGTGCACGTGTGTGTGCTGGATGGACACCAGTATGTGTGTTTTCTTGCTGTCCGGTCTGATTAGTAGCTACTCTGCCGTCTCTTTAAAATGTTCATAACGAGGTGCCGCTTCAGTTCACCGAGAGGTTAATGGATAAAAGGAGGAGGATGTGGGAAAATGTGCTGCATCTGGGAAAAAAATGTATCAGAGGACGGCAAACAAAGCGAGGAAGGGAAAGAGAGAGAGAGAGCAAGGACGATGGAGCGTGGAGTACAGAGGAGAGCTGTGAGTTATGATCACTTGTGTGGTGACCTCGGTTAAGTAGTGCAGTCTGTCTTGCTGCTGTGATGTACTCTATATCAGGGAGCTCTGCCAATGAACATGGACTGTGCCAAAACTTGGACATTATGACACATTCAGATATTAATAGATAACACACCTAGAATCCCACAGAACAAAATCAACTTACTGCTGCAGAAAAACCTCAAATACATAAAAAGAAGTTCAAGTTTTTCTCTTTTATAAAGTCGAGAATCATCCAGACGGTTTTTAATGTCACATTAAAGCAAACAAGACAATCGACACCGAGATATCAATAGATTGATATGAAGGAAATTTGATCATAATTTTTTGTAGGCAGAACTTGGAGTTGTAGGAGACACATTTTAAACTTATAAACATGTTTAAAACAACAGATTCCTGATAGAAACAGACACATTATACTTATTCTGAGATGTTGGGTTAGTCACTAAACTTAAAAACATTAGAAAAAGTTTTGCTTTTAATCTAATTGTTGAAACATTTTGCCTAATGAAACAGTTTTTATTACCGAGCAGCATCTATTTGCCACCATCTGGTGTAGGTTTGTCGTTCCAGGTTTGTGAGTCTGTTTTGCACATCCCTCCTGAGGATGGATGTTTAAGAGAAATGAAGCAGAGCTCTGAGCAGGCGGCTCTGTCCTATTTCAACAGGATGGAGCTGCTGAGGTAATCACAGTCAGCCGAGCCAGGGGCGGAGTCACATCAATAAACTGGACGGCACAGTCACTCTTTGGGTGGTCACTCTCCTGAACACCCTTCATACTAATCTCTCTCTCTCTCTCTGTCTGTCTGCTTTTGAATATCACCAACATTGATTACCTGCAGACTTAAAAGAAGGAATAGGAAAATGTTACGTCTTTGTCACTCATTTAAAGTCAAATTAAGTCATTTCCAGCCTAAATGGTCTGTTTGTACCAGACTGTCATTGTTTCAGTCAAATGTGGCCTAACCCGGGGATTCCACTGGATTCAGAACAGCTCCACTCCGCTCCGGACCGTCAGGCGGATCGAATACGCAAGCACATAGCATCCACCGGATCCAATCTGCCGCCACCATCGGAGGAGAAGCTCTAGCGATATTACCGATAGTTCTCACGAGACTGAACGAGATCTCACAAGATCTTGTGTGTTTTATTGACATTGAATGAGATCCACCGATTGGTGTATATGAACACCCACATCCCACAACCCTGGCCTCTATAATATCCTATTATCAAGTTAAGAACTGTTCAATGTATGGACTTTATTTTATTTTGAATATTAACATAAAGTTTAACATAAAGAAGAGAAGCTGATGCAGAAGTGCCAAAAACTGCAGTTCCCTGACTGTCCACTAGAGGCTGGCTTATAGAAACCATCTCTCTTTTTCCTTCACAGAACACCAAATTTAGAAAAAACACAAGAATATATATGTGTGTTTTTCTGTTATGAAAATCCCTGCATGTGTGGGTTCAGGGTGAGTCTATAATGTGACTGTGTGTGGGTGTGCTCGGGAGTCTCACGCTGAGCTCTCTCCCTTTTGATTGCCCTTATTTCTCTTACCATTTCTTTCCTTATGTAAGATAAATAATTCAGGCCTCCAGAGGCGGGAAGTGCAGAGAGAACATTCATGGAAAAAAATGAAAGAGTCATGAGAGCCCCGACTTTCTCCATGTATTGTCTTTCAGTGAAGCACAGAGTACAAAGGCAGTATTTCCCCTGTAGTGGTGCATAAACCCCACAACGCACACGAACACACACACACACAAACACACACACACATCAGTCCTCAACAAGACAGAGTGGCTGTATTTGCATTTTGCCCAAAGTGCTTGGCACACAAACAGGATCTCTTGTTATCCTTTGTCTAATAGATTACATCTTACTAAACTATCAGTAAAATTGTGTCACAACAAAAATAGAAACAAATAAAAACAGCACCCTGGATGAGAAACAAACAGTTTTTACTATCTGAATACATTAAACTCAATCCACTAACTGCAGATACAGGCCTGTCCAGCAGAAATGATGGTCTACATCTCCGGTGTGGTTTATTTCTTCCCTCCACAGAGAGCGTTGGATTATCTGTGTTTTTCCTGTTGAGCTACTTAACACCTCAGGCTTTCTGCTAATACTGCACCTCCCGCTCTCTCCCCCCTCCAGGGTTTGCTGAGGTGGCCGTTCAAGTAGAAATGTAGAGTTGCTAAAGGGAAAACACGAGCGCACTTAAAATATCAAGCCTTGTTTTATTTCCCTGCAGCTTTACTCGTCAGTAGAAACGCTGTTTCCGGACTTCATCTGGAGTTTGGTTTCTGCCTGCATGTGATGTCGCTCATCTCACTGCTCGCTGGTTAAAGCCTTCTCACCTAGAAGTTGTCTCAATCCTGGGTTAGCTCATTATTCTCAAAGCGGCTTGTTAAATGATTGGCAGGTAAGGCGATAAGAGTCTTACTCTTGTCTGGTGACACTTTCCTCAACATCAGACGGTGAAGGGAAACGCAGGAAAGGTTACAAACCCGTGGATGAGAGCAACAGTTAGAACTGTAGATTCAGAAATGAGAGAGTGAGCATTCAGAGGCCCTCTCATTGTTAGCATAGCTGCACTTTAACATACAACTGTGCTCATTAGGGCTGTAATCAACCAAAGAAATTCTTGGTCGAATAAAACCCTGAAATTTTCGACCAAAAATCGACTAATTACTCCCAATTTCCACCGCATCTGGAGCGGCTATGAAAAGGTTGTATCCACCGATCGTAGCTGATCATAACCATTCAAGTAAATGTGTCAATTTCCACCGGATCGCCGGACTCCGCAGCTGATCTCAAGAGTTCTATTTTTTCCGGACGCCGGAGCATGGCGGATAAATTCAGCACAGATTAACCCGTGCTGGAAAGGAAGTCGGGCACATAGACAAAATAAAACATCCGGCTTCTTTTCAAAATAAAACACTCTGTGTTTCAGGAGGATCGTATTTCACACCATGCAAACAGGCGGAGACGAACAAGTGAAAGGTTTTTACACGTCATTTCACCCTGATGACACCATGGATGAGGAGATGCTGATTCTAGAAGTCTAGAAGTAGATTTCCTCCTCTTGAAGGACACAATCTACTGCTTTTATGGTTAACCTCTGTGGCTAAGAGACAACTCATTATCGCGCGATTGCACGTGAATCGGCGGGTTCTTGTGAGTTACCGCTGTCCATAATCCACCATGAAATTCGCCTCACAAACGGATCTGGTAGGAATTGGTGGACGGCGAAAATCGATGCTCTTCCAGATTGGAGCCGTTCTGGATACAAATTGGTGAAAATTGGGGGTTGGGGGGGTTTCCGACCATGACGGCAAACCCTTCTGTGGTGGGGGACGATGCGACTCGGCGGGTGAAAATATACTGATATCAGCACAAGAAGGCAATTAAACACAATGAAAGTTGAAACGCTCAAAATAAGAATAAATATTCAGCAAACCACCGGACGTTGATTAACGTGGAAGCTCTTCAATCTTCCTGTTATCTCCAGTGGGTTGGGCGAATCCAAAATGGTGAAAACAAGGGCGGTGTTCTGAGACAAGCTGTTACCTGTGAAACAGGGGTGCTCTGAAAACACCCCCATTAGCACTTGGTACGTTCCTCCTGATGAAATTAAACAAAGACTGTAAATTGACGCAGAAGAAAATCGAGTCGACCAATCAGAATTTTGGTCGACTCAGCACGTATTGACAAATAAGTCGACTTCCACTGAGCAATAGACAGTTATTCGCTGCTAGTTTTCTTTAGACCTAAATTCAATCGTCTAGATTCTGTTTATTTTTAGACGTCTATTAGACCTCCTTTAGACCAAAAAACGCTCAGTGGGCGAGGACTTCACAGCTTCATTTCTCATTTGTTCTCTCACTATTTGATAGTGATGATTTTGATGTTGACAGTGTCCCTGAAGGACTGCAGGCTGTTTCAGCTTGGATTTGTCGTCTCTATCTGCACTACAGACAATACAAACATCATCCTAAAAACACGAGAGCGGAGGATTTATTGGACAAGGACACAGTCAATGTTTGAGCAGACTCAGACATTCAGCATAACGGCTCTGCTAGAAGAGCACTACAGCATGCACTAAAAGATCTACTGTTTACATCAAAAAAGAAAAAAGAAACTGTCCTTTCAAAAAATATCTTCATACTAAAATGGAAAGCCTCCGTAAAACAAAAGCGTGTTACAGATTTATCATTACAAAGTCTCTGGGTTGATTCAGGTCACTCTTAAAAATGTTCAGGCTGCAGGTTTTGCAGATTTTGCTGCTTATCAATATCTGAGTTTGGACAGTTTAAGAGGTTTTTGTGAGCCACATGAAAAGAGTAATACCAACAGTATCTTTATCTCCACCCTCCCCCACCCAATCAATCCCTCCATCTCCTTCCCTGTCCCCTCACTCTGCATGCTTCAGCTGAGAAGTAAAACACAGAGATGAAGATGGAACGGACAGAATGAGAAAGAACTGGAGGACTAATGAGAACAAATGAGAGAGGGAGGAGAGCACAAAACAGAGGAAAAAACTGAGTGATGTGGAGGATGTGCTGAGAATAAGGAGAATGTATTGATCCCTGCTTCATGATGGACTAAGAGGCTGCTTATCACTCTGACAGCTAAAGACAAATGGAGCATCAGATGGGCAGCTTTGTGGCTGTGCAGACCGGCGGGGAAAAATGAAATACAAGATCAACAAAAACAAAACAAAAAAACAGCCGAAAGGTTAAACCTTTTCGAGAGGAGGGAGATTCTAGCTTAGAGCCGTGCACCTCATTAAATACTCAGCGTAAGCCCTGTGGATTTCATCGATTGCTGGTGTCCAACAATGCTTGAGCTTTATTGTGCAGCCTCCACTGAAAGAGGCGAAATGAGCATGAGCCCGGAGCAGGGATGATTGTTTTTGCATCTTGAGTCTATTTCTGACGAGAGATCTTAATGTGGGCTGGCCCAGGAAGCTAAAGTGGGTCATAGGGTGAAGCAGACATGAAAGGGCTGACACTAAGTGGAGTCATCCTTGCTGGGGGGCATATCACTGCCTCCACTCTGGTACATACACACAAAGCCACTGCATAACACCAACAACCCTTCTTCTTCTCCACCTCCCTGTTATTTTTGCCCTGGCTCCTCTGTCCGTTTTTATTTGGTGTTCTCTTCATGCAGAAACATCAAAATGGATTTTCATCTCACATTTGCACCTTTCAGCACGCTGCGGGTTTTACATTTGAAGCTGGTCCAGAATCCGGAGATCCACCTGCATCCAAGTAAAGACACATTTGTGCTGCAAAAGCCAACTCTAAACCCCCGCTACATCCCTACTCTTAAACTAGGGGTGGGAGAAAAAGTCGGTTCACATAAGTATCGCAGTTTTTTGTTTTACGATTTTTAAATCGACATTTTTTCTTCAAATTTAAGAATAAATCATAAAAACTGACTTACATGTGATGTGTATTTTGGGGGGAAATGTGGTTCCTAGAATAGTCAGTAGTCAATCATAATCATTCAGCTGTTTCACCGGTGTTAAAAATGCAGACTAAAAATCAACAATATCGTAGAATCACAATTTAAATCGAATCGGCATCTAAAAAATTGCAAAAGAATCGAATTGGGAGAAAAGCAGATCGTCCCAGTCCTATCTTAAACCAAATCCCAGTTTCAACCCCTGACTCTTTTAAGCCTCTTCAATGTAAGAAAAGGCGAAGTGTCCTCCTCACCTCCTCTTTTCTATCCTTATGGGGGCTTCAGAGTAAAAACACAAGCTGAGGTAGAGGAACAGCAGGCTCTAGGACCCTGTGTTTCTGCCGTAAATAGGCAGCAGCAGAGCCGAGGGAGGAAAAGAGAGAGAGAGCGAGAGAGAGAGGCAGAGAGAGAGAGGTGTAGGAGGAGAGAGTCGAGGCTGTATTTGGAAAGTCAGAGAGAAGCAGAGAGAGGCAGGAGAAAGTTGACATCGTGTGAGGTGGTCTGCAGCCGCAGCGAGGATAAAAAGAAAAGACCTTCTTCCGTCTGAGAGGGTGAGAGAGCGAGCTGAGGAGGATGAGAGAGAGCGAGGTGTGCAGGGGGAAGGGGAGCCTGCTGTGACAGACAGAGCGTGCACAGTACTGCTGCCTGCCTGCACAGGTGTAAGAGGTGCATCTGTACGCGTTCACAGCCGAATCAGCACAGCTCGACGGAGGGACAATGACATGTTTGAGTGACTTCCTCTGAATCTCAGCGTTCACTTCACCTCCTCTGAACCCAAGCACGTGAAAGGACACACTTCACGGTGTGTACACCTTTATCAGGACAAACGCAGCGGATACTCACCAGCAAACAGCTTCAGTCAGAGGATCAGTGAGGGACTGAATCCAGTCCAGTGGATGGTCGAGACCGGGACGCTGACTGTCCACGTTTCTTCTCGAGGACTCATCCTGAGGACAGCAGAGATTCAAACAGAAAGGTGAGCAGATATTTAAAGGAGCAGACATGACCAGCCGATGAAAATCCAACCCCCACATCTTCCCCTGATTCCTGGGTTTGTCCCCTCATTACCTCCTTTAACCCCACTGTGGAAAAGGTTTGGATTAAAAACAGCCTGTTCAATAATAATAATGCAGCTCCATCATCTGTTATTGTTTTATCACTAAAAAATAATGATTTATGGAAATTGTGTCACTAATCTTACAAAACAGGTTAAATATTATTTTTTGGCTTCTTATATACTAAAAAAAAAAATGTTTTTTTTAACACTACTTGTGTCTGAAATTCTTCATTTTGGCTTTAAAAAATAAAATATCTTTAAAAGACCGAAAAACAAAGAATAATATTCTGATGGTGAAAACACTTGACACCAAACACTGACCCTGCAGAGTAACGCTAATCCTAAACCTCCTGGCTAATAACTTATTATCTGTGTGGTGTTGAAAATCTCCTGGCAGAAAGGTGAACCGTTTTTTTCCTTCTCTTATAAAAAAACAGTTATCAGATCCTGATAAAACGTTGTTTGTGCTCTTCAACTCTATGCAGCTATCACCTGAATTATCTCCAGAAAATGTAAACACCGTTTTAAGAGTGGCTTTAATTTCAGGAGTCCGTCTTACACTCTGAAAACTAATATCTAAAAACTCCATTTTGCTTCGATCAGATGTGTAAATCTCAGTAAATCTGTTTTTCCAGCTTAGACCAGCTTGTTATCATAAACACTCTTTAGTTTCTTCAGGATTACAAACGGTGCATTCGTGTTTTCTTCGTCTTTTTGGTCGTATGTTTTGAGATATAAAAAGAAGGAGTCAGCTGCTGCAGAGTAGGACAGCAACAACAACAGCAGACCCACACACGCACGCACACACACACACACAGCTCTGCTCCATTGTTCGTGTTTGTGTTGCTGTGATATAAAACCACACTAAAGCACGCTCACACAGTATCCCTGAACCTCGGCATAGTTCTCTTATTCTCTATATGAGAAAATCTTGAAGTCTCTCTGACGGCATGTTTTTGCTCGACATCATCCCTGATTGGTTTGTGCTGATTTTGGCGCCTCCTGTGGATGAGACATAAATTCCTCTTTGCTGATTTTGTCCTAATAAATGTTATTGGTGTTTTTTTAAATGTTGAAGTCTGTCTCTCTGACTGACATCTTTTCCCTGCCCGTAGTTTTTGACATTAAAAATAACTATACAAAAATATTCCTTTATATGCTGATGGTTTAATGTGTTTTAGCGGGTCATAAAGAGGCAACAGTTTTATTTTCATTTTGTTTTATAACCAGATAAAACTCCTCCAGGGGCTCTGAATGAGAATGATGCGGGGGTGTGATACTGTCAAATATCTGGATAATATATCTTGAATTATCAGGGCGACTTGGTGGTGATGGCCTGGTGGTCGAAGTGCCCCACATAGAGGCCATAGAAAAGCTCAAAACAATCAAAAATATCATTTCAAATTTGAGGGATTTTGCTGATTTACATAATATACAACATGTTGTGAAAAATGTGTAAAACAAAATTGTCCATATGTGTTAGTTCGCTCTTGGTTAAAAGGTTTAGGATAATGTTAATGATCTTAATAAAAGCAACTTATCTGAGAAAAACAAACTGTGAGAGTATCAGTAAACATCTCAAAGTGGCCCACAGGATCTGCTCTGTGAAATATTAACCAATAACCATCCAGAACCATCTGAGAGCATTTTCAACTAGGACTCTTTAAAGTAAACCGGGTCAGGCCAAAACCCTGCTGAAGTTTCCTGAGTGTGGTTTTGTAGTCGACCGCGGACTCCCGTAGCTTTTTATTTTCTTCATATTCTGTGCAGTCGTTAATTTACAGATACCGAAACAAGCTAGATGTGGAGACTTTTATGTCTTTTACGTTTTTGAGCAACATCGATTGATTGTGAAGCTGTATGGAAGACAAAAGGGGATCTTTGTTAATTCAGTCTAACAGGAAGCCGTTTACTTAGTTTTTTTGCTGCAGACAGGCAGGCAGCTACGTTCCCACCGAGCATTTTTCGGTCTAAAACGACATTTATTAGATGTTTAACAGTCCTTAGATGTCTGGGCTTAAATCTGTCTACCACTGACCTAAAAATGAACGTTTTTTAGCCGTCCAATAGAATAAACTTCACTCTACGTTGATCAATGACTGTTAGAAATGTTTGAATCCAACATTTGGCCATCATTTATACAAATTACAGTTGTTTATTACATAATATTTAATAATTAATGGATTAAATTCTATCGTCTAGATCCGGGCTTAAATATAGACAGATTATAAGACGGGCGAATTTTTGTCTAAACTAAAACGAGACGTCTAATAGACTTTTAAGGCTGAGTGGGTTAGTTTAGCTTGTTGTGAAGTGTGAACGAACGCTGCATGTGTTCTTAATGTGCATGCACAGTGTTGTGAGTGAGTGTGTGTGTGGATGTATTTGGATGAGTGAGATATTTGATATTGTTATTTTGTAAATGTTGTTAAATGTAAGTTTAGATGTTTTCTCAGACAAATGAGTCACTCGCTGTAAGCTCAAGTATTAGACTGTAATGGTTTACCTTGTGTGTGTGTGTGTGCGCACAGCCTATAATGATGTGTGTGAACCTTTTCTTTTTGTCATCACCATTGCACACTCTTTCTCTCAAACACACGCGCTAATGAACTCATGCAGGCGCATATAGGTCATTAAACCACAATCACGCTGCTGTAAACACAGTCTAGATGACATCTGCAGCCAAATGATATTAACAGTGTGCGCGGAATAAAACAACCATTTTTATTTGACAAAAAACTTCAGTAAAACATGTTTTTTTATGTTATTACAGCAGAAATGAACAGAATTAATAACGTATAAAACTAAACTCTGTCCCAGAAAGTGAAGGCAACATATAACCGATAACTTGTGTTATTTGGAGTGTTAACGTGTGCACAACAAGCCTGGAACTGATCTAATCTCATACATACAACCAGTGCACAAATTCATACATACATGTAACCTGGGAAACAGTAGCTGTAAAAGACACTGAGGCACGCGTCGCACATGGACACACACATACTTCAACACATGCATGACTACACAAACAGCACAAGAGTTATAGGCGGCTCCACACGTGTGTCCCATGTGTGTCCACAGATGCTCGAAACAGAGCGCTGAGTACAACTTACAAAACACTCTGCAGAGATGCTGCTGGAGCCATTTGCAACATATTGCAGATTCTCATTTCTTGGGCCTCATTGCACACAAGCACCAGCTGTGCGAACAGAGAGTGTGTGTGTGCGTGTGTATAATGTGTTCAGTTGTGTATGTGAGCATGTAGGAGGTAGGAAACAGAGAGCTTCAGAGGGTTTGTTAACTATATTTATGACTGAAAGGGAGCTGTGATGCAACGCTGCAGAGGACTGCATGTGTGTTCATGATGATGCATGTGTTTGTATATGAAGGAAACCAAATCAGTGTGTGTGTGTGTGTGCATGTTAGTGTGTGTGAGAGAGAGAGAGAGAGGTAGGAGCAGCAGGGCATACAGTGGACCTAATAATGAGCTTACGCTGTCAAACACACATTTCTCACCGGGGGGTGTTGAAGTAAACCCTGCGCCTGGCTTGACTGCACTCATTTGTTATTATCGGGTGATTCTGAGGAAATTATCCATCCTTTTGCTGTTTAATGTGACACTAACACATCCTCACTGGAAGGCACGGCTACGCTAGAATTATCCCATCCAGTTATTATCAAACCTCGCAGAGGAACAGAGCTGAAATGGCAAATTAGCCTCTGCTTCATTTATCCTACACCGAGCGCTCCGCTCTGTGCTGAATTTGTTTCCATAGGAACATGATGGTACTTGGGGCTTCACGAGCTGTGTAATGCACTCTACGTCTCCGCCTGTTCCTCTGCTTGTCCTTTTTTAGTCCGTTTCCTCTCACATACTCCGCACAGATCGAGGAAGAGACAGAGAAAGTCCAGGAAAAAGGGTCTTGAAATGAAATCAATGGGACCACTTAACCCTTAGTCGGTTTTTCCCGATGTTTGTTCAGCATAACTCAAAGTAAGCTCTGGTCTTATCGGCCTGACATCGCTGTTCCTCAAGATGTCTTTTTATTAGAGCCCAGAGGCGTTTACAGCTCCAATTTCCTGCAGCCACTGTGTCGTTTATTTTCTTTGTGTGTCTGTATCTGTTCAATCTGCAGTAGATGAAATGTTGGAGCAATTGCTTCCATCTCCGTGTGTGAGTGTTTGTGTGTGTACAGTATGTTAACAGACACAGTCAGAATGTTTACATGACACTCAAGAAAACCGAATTATCGCCTTACTCCGATTAAGACCAGACAACTGAAGTGCATGTAAACACGTTAGTCTGACTATAATCCGAGTTTGAGATTGGAGTTGGAGAACTCTGATTAATGGTCCGTTCGAGTTACCTCAGCAGTCAGAAGTCAGAGGAAGCGCTTGCCTTGTCTGAATATAAGGCAAGCGCTAAAATATCTTTCGTAGATGTAGCCATCTTGTTTCAGGCCTCCGATTTTGCTTTTTTCCGACTTGGTAACTGAAACACTGGGAACTCGGGTATGACGTATTTTAAGCTCCAACATTTGACTTCCGAGGCAACTCGAACGCAGCATAAGACACCTACAATAATACGATTGGAATTTGATTTTCTCTACCATGTAACCAGCGTAGTCAGAGTATGATCGGAGAATGCATGTGCGCATAACTCCGGAACAAAAACACCGGAAGAGGAGTAGCGTTCGTCTCATCAGTAGAAAAAGTAGCGCGTCCATCATGTAGGACAAAAAACAACGCTGTACGATGGGTCAGAAACAGCGCCACTGAAAAGACCCATATCGCCCCCTAGTTTTCGGGAGGAGGAAACGTTCAGGTTAATAATTCGATTTTCTCAGCTGCATGTAAACAAGGACAAGGAGAGAAGTCCGATTTAGAGAAAAAAAAAAAAAATTATGAGCTTCATCCGATTAAGCTGTGCATGTAAACGACTGAGTGAGTGTGTGTCTAAAAACACAGATATATCCTCAGAGTCAGCAGCAGCAGTTATCCGCTCTGCTGCAGGGATTTACAGCTAAATTTCACTTTGGTTGCACATTTCCATATCTGAAGAACAAGATATCTTTGAGCACAAAGTGAGCTTTTTTTTTTTTTTAAGTTTTGCACAGTGACTCTGCAAAAAGTATTGGCTGAATTTATAAAGAAAGGGAGTTAGATCAGAAACAGAGAAGAGGTGGAGAAGTAATGGAAAGAAGTACTGAGTGAATGTGTGTGTATGACAAAGCACCGGACTAAAAAGGGAAGAGATAGAGAGGGAGGGAAGGAGGGAGAGAGAGAGGGAGAGAAGAGCAGCCCTGCTAAAAGTGTTGGCGGTGATTTGCAGTGGCGTCCTTGCAACCTTTCCTCTACCTGACTGGATGTTTTATGAGTGTTGCAGAATCAGAAAAGGAGGCAGGCTTATAATACAGCTGACAGAAGTCTTTTTATGGTGGATGGGCTGCTGAGGTACAGGACGGAGGGGGGAGGTGGGGGTGTAATAAAGCTGAGTGCATCTCTCCTGGAATGAAGCTGCAGCGATTGGAAAGAGAGGGCAGAAGAGAGGGGGAAACGCTGATAAGGTGTGAGTGAGCGCGAGTGCATCATATGTCCAGATGCATGTAAGTGCGTGCGTGCGTGTCATGAGGTATGGTGGCCGAGAACCACCACTGCTGCAAATAAAAAGGAAGCCACAAAGTAGGTGAGCTGTCAGGGACCAATAATGATGATGCACCGGTGTTTTACGATCTAGGCAAAAAACGACGGCGAGAAGACGAGCAAAGAAGTTCGTGGAAAGGTTATTGTTTAATTTCGCTTTGTAAACTTTTAAATGTGTCATGTGGTTAGACCATGTCGCGACTGAGTCGATATGAAGTTGAATTGGAGGATGTCGTGTAGCGTTACCTTCAGTTCAACTTCATATAGACTCAGGCGCTACATGGTCTGACCAAACGACACATTGAAAAGTTTACGAAGTGAAATTAAACTATAACCTCCCACTTCTTTGCTCGTCTTCTCGCCATCATCTTCTGTGCCTAGATCATAAAACACCGGTGCATCATTATTGGTCCCCGGCAGCTCACCTTTGTTGTGGCTTTTTTAATTTGCATCCTTTTATTTTCGCAGTAACTTTTTTTTTCCATCGCCACTTTTTTGCTGCGTTAACTTCCATTGTGGCTCTTTCTCTTTTTTTTTTATCTGTACCGTTTCTTTTTTTGCGTCAGTAACTTCTGTTGTGACGTCTTTTTTTGGCATCCTTTTTTTATTCTCAGCAGTAGCAGTTCTCAGCCACCGTAATGAGGGGGAGGCAGTTTGTTCGGCGCCGTGCTGACGTCAGTGAGTTGAACGATCACTCAGCTCGTTCAGAGTAAGAAGTCCTCCATAAAGAGCTGGGTGAAGAGGAGGTGAGCGGAGGAGGAGGAGGAGGAGGAGGGTTTGCACGGTGAAGCAGTATCGGCGCACAGAGAAGAAGAAGAAGAATGCAACCCTCAGCAGCAGCAGCTCCCCACCAGCCCTGCAGAGAGAGACACCCAATTATCTGGGCTTTTTTTTCACTGTGCTGAGCGGTGAAGCATGCAACAACGAGTCATTGAAGCGCTCTCATGCCTGTGAAGCACTCTGCCATGCAGAATGAATACTTACTGATGAGATATTATGTAGTCTGTTGAAATGACACTTAATATGCATCCCGCCCAGAATGGAAATACCCTTCACACACTCTCCGAACAGAGACTTTTTTTATCCCCTCTCTCACTTGTCAGCTCACGGCGCTCTGTCTCTCTCCACCTCTCAGCGATGATGTTCTAATTTTAGATCCTCTCGGTTCAGGATGCATGAGAGTTTAACTACATCCTCAAACACTGCACCTCTAGGTAATGTTTTAAGTCACTTATCACGTCTATGTCATGGAGTAATCAGGTGCATATGTCCAACCCTCCATCCACCGTCTAAGCTGCTTATCTTTGGGGGTTGGAGCTTATCCCGGCATGCAATAGGTGAGAAGTAGGGTAGGCTGCAGCACTGTGAATAGGTCAGCTTGTGCTGAACACCTTCACACCTAGCAAGTTTAAAATGTCCACAAAATTTAGAAATCACCTGCAGGTTGTTTGTGATAAATCCTCATACACTAAAACGCCTAAAAGAAGGAAACAATCTGGGAAATCTGTGCATCACAGCTCTATTATTCTGGTTAAACCCTCTGTATCTACTCTCATCATAGTTCTACTCTGTCTAGAATACGTTTTAATATTCTAGTATACTGTAAAATAAGATAAGGACGTCCTCCTGAGGTTACTCCAGCTCATTTGTGTCTTAGAAAAAGAAATGATCATGGCTTTAATAAAACATGTGTACCAGGCATATAGAGTTTCCTGCACTGCAACATCAATCATATCATAGTTCACGTAAAGTCATGCATAAAACATACATGACAACAGTTCTGTTGTGTTATTTGCTATGCTGGCGTTTAGAGTTTTTTTATGGCTGCAGCAGCTCCACAGAAGGTCTGAATCAGAGTCAGTAGCTGCGCTTACATGGGCACAAATAATCTGAATAAATGCCCCGATCAGAATAAAAACGCCTCAAGTAAACACGTTGATTGGAAGATTCTGATTCAGTTCGGCTCAATCGGAAAGAAATTGTATTCCGATTGAGAGCGTTGGTTTATGCCAATTGTAATTCCAAAGCGCGTCCATGTAAACACTTATTCTGATCGTGACTCTCTAACCTGACGCGGTCTTCACTCTTTAGCCTTTGTTTTATTTATTGAGGTCAGTTCAGGAGGTTTCAATATAAACACTCTGACCGCAGGTGCCGTGTCTGCTCCTCCGATAACATAACAAGGTGTACACACAGCGTACTGACGTCACATCTACAGCACAGTGCAACCTTTGACAGAACAGTAAAATAAGTACGCAAGGGCGCCATCCATTGACAACATTTAACAGAGGGGAAAAAATCCTGCATTAGATAAAGTGAGCGACTACCGCGTTTGTTGGTTTGTTGACAGCACAGACGGAAATACAACTCTTCTTCTGTGATTGTTTTAATGAAATCAGACAACTCTGAGCATGTCCAAATGCTTCTAATCTGAATAAAGCTCAGTGCATGTATACACACGTCATGATCGGATTATTTGACTTTGCATTCATATAAACAGCAGATTCAGATTATCTGATCCCTAAAATTTTTAATTGGATCAAGAATTTTTCCCCATGTAAATGCAGCTGCTATTGAACAGAGGTACCATTCTGTCTTCACTTCAGTGTTTATGTTGTATTATCTAAAAAATTTCTGACACCAAAACCCTAAGAATTGACACCAGAATGTCGACTCAGTTACTGATCGAGTTTGAATGGATTTGAAGTGACAACACGGGGTCAGAGGAGAAACATAAAAACACGACCAATAAAAAAATAAATAACAGCAACAATGTAGTTGGATGATTAAATTCTGAATGTCATGCTCGGCCGGTATTACAAGCTCCTGCAGAGAGATAAAGAGATGGGTTCAAACTCTGAGTAGTTTTCATATGAAATGTAGAGTGTTTCACAGCATGGGTGGCAACCTGGATCAAACCTTTATACCTATGTGACAAATCAGACAGGTATGAAGGTGCGAGCCCGTCTAAGAGTTCAGAACAAGTGATAAAATCTTTAACCAGATCCTGAAACTGATTGGAAACCAGTAAAGACAAGCCAGTTCTTGTCTCTTGTCTGAACCAGCTGAAAACCAGTTTCTTTCTCGTGATGTACAACACCCACAGAGATGTTCCTGATGAGGTTCCTGTGATGGTGCTGGGAATTATGATGTGCTGCAAAAACAGGATAAAGGAGTTAATAGATGACGTTTCTCTCTCAGAAGGCCTAAACAACTATTTTTGTGCATAAAACATCCAAAAATAGTCCTCCTGTTTAAGACGTTTTGTCGTCTCAGTGACGCTGGACAAACAGATTCCAGTCGAACACAACCTTGTGTAACAGCAGGATGGTGTGTGTGCAGAAAAAGTTAGCGTGAGTCCAAATATTTGGAGTGACCTTCCTCTTCTTTTTTTTAGATCTCCTTGTCCTCGTCTCGGAGGCGGATAGAGAGCTTCCCGACTCCTCGTCTGTCCTGAATGAAACCTTTTTAAGCTGGATGGAGTACATTAAAAATACATGTCCCCAGGGAGCACTGCTGTGGAGAGCAACAAACCTGGAGCCATAAATCAACAGAGGAGGACTTTGATTTATTCATTATCACTTCCTGCTGAAACAACAGAGTAACAGGCATGTTGGCAGCCTGCTGACCTGCGGATGTGCACCGTAGGAATCTATTTCTGGAGCCTCATTGCTTTTACAGATTAACTGCCCTCAATTACGGCCCCAATCCGTTCATTGCGCTTCTAGTTCGACTTCCGCCTGAGGTTAGAGATATTCAAACACTCATCAGTGCGGTCATCTAAAGGCTGCTCTTTGGTCTGGTTTGAGAAAACAGTGTCAGTGCACAGTTTTCAGACGGCTGAGGAGTATTTTTGTTTTTCTCTTTAGAATAATCAGATCATAAATTCCTGTTTTTATCTGGAACAGTTCAAAGACAACAAAATCAGCGCTTTTTTTCTCTGATACCAAAACGCTGCGCTCGGATTAATTCTTCTTCTTCTTCTTTTTTTCCTCTTTTGAAAAAGACATTTTCTAAGATTTCCCAAGGGCGAATCGCTCTGAAATCTCTTTGCCAAGTCTTTTTTTTTTAATTAGCCAGTTTTGTGCTAATCAAGGTCCCCCATCATCAGAACTGACATTTTCATATGTGAGAAAGAAAGTCGCTGACATTAGCATATTCATGAACACTGACACGCTCAATCAAACGACATGGGAGACGCTGCAAATCCTCAGCCGTCAAGTCCTGGAACAAATAGCTTTTGACATGTGAGGGAAAGAGGATCTTGAACCTCTCCATGTAACTCAAGAGCGTCCCACTGCACACAGGAGCGGGCCGACACCGTCACACTGAGGATATTTCACTCCTAAACCGGACATGTGTTGTTGACCTCTGAACCAAAGCTCAGATAAAAAATTAAGAGTAGGATTTAAGATGGATTATCACTGAAACACTAAAGCCAACAAAACAGCTGAGACTCTGCTGAGAGGCGCTCCGCCGACCAATTTGTAGATTACTTTTGGTTGTTGATGCGGCCGCCTCTTGTGTGTTGGGTGTTAAAACGCAGGAATGGAGAAACTAGATGAGCTGGAGCACCCTCTTCTGGGAGAAAACCCCAACGACAGCCGGGCAGCAGGGCCCGGGCTCGGGGCTGGGGCTGGACAGGCCCCCCCGGGTGAGGTCTTCAAAGGCTTCTTGGTGAAGTGTGAAGAGGACAGAGCGTACCCCCCTTTGGCGTGGAGGAGCTATTGTGGACATCCCCCCGAGCTTCAGCAGCAGCTACTGGATCCCTGCTCCTTACCTCGCACACTGGAGTCCTATTACCCGTCAGCCCCAATCTGGGGCCACACAGACTCCCTGCTCAGTAAGGACTACCTCGAGACCACCTTTGTTGACATCCGGCCCGGTTCCACGCTGGAGAGGAAGCTCCTGGCTGAGACGCAGGACTACAACAGTCTGACGTACAGCATGGATGATGAGGACGACCTGCTTCCAGACTCTGACGTGAGAACGAAATCCACATTTATATTCCACGATATCTAATCTAGTAATCATCATAGAAATGATCACTGTAGATGTTAAAATCGGGGCTCCATTTGTGAACTCTTAAAAGGTGTTTTAGCAGAATAGAAATGAATCGAATAGTCAGACATGTATTTAGGTTTAATGTTCACTTTGAACGAGTCTCTCACTTCCTACTGCACCGCCATACTTCTACAACATCACAAAGCAAACAAACTAACTAACCACAGACGTGTTTTTGAAGAAGAAGAAGCGAGGCGGTTGTTTTGTGTACAAAGAATCTGAACTAATAGATGCTTATTAACGGTAAAAACACAGAAGATTCAGGATCATATTCAACACTCATCATCACAGGAGTTCATCAGTGAGAGGAATCAGCAGGTGAACAGTTTAATCTAAAATCTGACCGCTGGATATTTCCTCATATTCCCATTTTTACCTGACACACATTCAGTCGGTTGTAAACTCTTTTTTTCCTCTCTTATTTATTCTCATCTCGTCTGTGTAAAAAAGTCAGGCTTAAGTTTGTCGTGTCATCCCAGAGTCTTAGGAACATGTTTAAATAAAACTGAAATAACAGAGGCAGGAAGAAATGCTTTATAAATAACTGAAACAATATGTACTCAAACAAAACAAAAAGATATCTGACGATCTTTTCTTATTAAACTCCAGAGAGACCCTCGCATTCACAGCACACCTTAAAATAGACATAAGAGCGCTATATTTCAGGCTTACTGTCAAAAAGCCAGATTACATAAAGCTGCTCTGCCTCTGTGCTGCAGGTAATGATACTACGGTAGTGATGGAGGATGCCAGCTTTATTTCACCGATGACTGATCAGCCCACTCTGGAGTAAAATGCAAATGAGCCTTAAGACTCTAACAGTGGTCATGTGATGTTCAGGGAGTCAGTGTTTGTATGTATAAGAAGACGTCGCTGGTGTTGTTAAAATGATCAGAAGTCCTTCAGCACAGTCCAGTTCAGTCCCCAGGTTTGGACTAAAGGACTGGGGAAAGTTCAACCTCAAAGTTTTCAGCACAAAATGACTGTTTTTGAAGCTCAGTCTGAACGCAGTGGTGCAGAGAGGTGAAGGCGCAGCAGGCCTGTGGGAATCAAACCTTAAAGTGACCTCAAAGAGGCACGACTCTACATCTCTTTGTTCCACTTCAAATGTTTAGTTTTAGGCAGTGCTTCATTTGTAAATCATAAGGTGCAGGAACGCAAAGTAAGACAGCTCCGGGGTGAGGAGACGGGCACAGGTCCCGGAACATGTATAGAAAACGCGAAGGTTCGATGTCAGGTGGTCGGATAATTCTAATGGTGAGCAACAGCAGGATGGAGACGGATAACTTTCTTAACAGCACTTTTACTGTTCAGCCATCTTGTCATGACCACAACATAACCCCAAAACATCCTGGATCACATGTCACACCACTAATCAATCAGAGGCTAGGACCTCAAAGTCAATGTAACTGAACCTCAGAAACACATTCTGCATAATCTGCTCACCCTCACAAACGAACAGCCGAAGAGAAAAGAATACCAACTTGTAAATATGTAAATATGAACCTGTCAGCACTCTGTAAACAGTTTTCTGTATGAAATCTATGAACACCATTTTTTTAGCTTAACTTAAAGACAGTTAACTGTAATAGTTAACAGAAATATATGAATTGACTTCACTGTTACAGCTAACATATAGGAAACGTGCTGAAAACGACATGTAAATGCCCACTCTCCACGCTGTGGGACTTACAATCCTTAATTTTAAATAATATCAATGATATAAATGTCATGGTGATCATTTACCATTATTTTAGTCTATACTCACAACACAGGCAAATGCCCACATTACCACAGGTGGAACTTACAGTTTACAGTCAGCAATTCATTTATCAACAGGTCTAACATTGAAAAAATAGAGTTATTGATAAATCACACAAATCCTCCATTATTATTATTCAAAGTTTGGCACGGCGGCCTGTTAATAGACAGTTTACTCACCATGTTTAGTCCAAAACATCACGACCATGTCCGGATTCTCCTCCTCGTCTTTTTTCGGGTTTTACTCCGTGTGTCTGTGGAAGTTCTGGGTCCTTCGGTCACCTCCCGTCCCTCAGTCCTCCCCTCGGTCCTCTCTCCTCTCCTTCTCGATGTTTCTGCTGATGTCGCGGTTCCCGCCTCTTTCTCCGGCTGTTGTACCGAGCTAACTGATGCCATGTTACCCGCCTGTCGGTGGTCCTCCTGGCTGACTGTTAGCCCTGTATCTGGCTCCTGCTCCGGCAGGCGGTGGACCTAACCAGCCTCCTGCCCCGGCTTGGTTAGCAGTCGGTGGACCCGGTTAGCTGTAGCAGCGCGAGCCTCCTGCTGTAGCCGGTTTAAACCGGTAACATGACCGTTAAAGCTACTGCTCTCGTCGCCGCTTGTGGAGGCTTTTCTGACTCGTTTTTAAGTGTCACACAACTCTTCCCTCTTATTTTTTTGAAAAAAGACGGTAAGTTTAACTGTCTTTTTTACATGTTTGCATTGGAATTGTGACCGTGTTTTCCTCTCTGTTCGTTCCTCAGATGTGGGTGTGGCGGATTTCAAATGTTTTTTTTTTTTGCGTCAGGGGCGTGGTTCTGTGTCGAGGGCGTGGCTTGTTGGCTTGGCTTTTCAGTGCATCAACAGTTTTCAGACTCTTGCAAATGAAGTTAAATCCTAATAAACGACATAAAATTCTTGTAATTTGTTCTGTAAATTTATAAATGCATAATATTTTTTTTATTTTAAACATTTTTACGTATGTTTTTTTTTATGTACCGGAACACAGGGAAGCCAAAATTATAAAGTGCAGGATCTTGTTCCAACAGAATCCAGCTCAAATTTACAGTGGCTGAGAACCGACACTTCTGCAAATAAAAAAAGATGCAAAAAAAAAAAGTTACAACAGAGGTTACCGATGATGAAAAAAAAAGGGACCAAAGCCCGCTGCAAATAAAAAAAAGAAAGAAAGAAACTGCAGATTTTTAAAAAAGCCCTAACAGAAGTTAATGACTCACACAAGAAAAAGTTACTTACTGTGAAAATAAAAGAATGCAAATAAAAAAGGCCACAATAGAAGTGAGCTGCCAGGGACCAATAACGAAAAAAAGCAAGGGGTCTGCGTACTTATTTCTATAAGTAAAGTAACCGAACTGTAAGCAACTGAACTTGGTTCTCCTCTTGTGGGTTTTCTTTTGGGGCGTAGTGGGTTTCCTGTGTTAACCAAAACTAACTAACTTTTTTTTTTTTTTTTATTGCATCGGTAACTTCTGTTGTGGCATCTTTTTTTTGCATTCTTTGTTTATTCGCAGCAGTGGCGGTTTTCGTCCACCGTGCAAATTAGCCCCTAGTTTTAGGGCTGGTGATGGCCACCTAAAAGGTCTGAGTCGACTAAAGGCTAAATAGATGTCCTTATAGAAATCAACGCTGCAACAGATCAAGATAAAATCTTCAGACAAGTTACTCAACATCAGTTTTATGAAAATAGCAACAACCAGAGCCCCTCCAGATAACCTTACAAGTTAAATATATAACAGTGTACTCTGTTTTCTGCCTTTTGAATCCTGTGAAAGCTGAAAAAAAAAAAAGCATTTCTGCTCGCTGAGTAATTCGCTCAAATCCATCTTTGCAAAATGTGTAATTATTTCACATGCAAGAGTAATATGACAGGGTTGGCATGAGAGAGAGAGAGTCAGATTGAATATGCAGCAGTTAGAAAAAAAAGACACGTGAGTCATGAAGAGCCTGTGGTCAGCAGAGCCAGAGCACATCCAGACTAACCCCATTCAGTCACATTATCTTACCGCACCAGCAAAGTTTTACAGTTGTTACGGAGGACGAGAACACCACATATCCAAACAATAAAGAGCATCATAACTGCAGACTTAGAGCTTATTGTCTTTGTTGATTTAGTGCATTATTTAAAAGGAGTCTTAAAATAGTCGCAGACTCTCTTGACTGAATGACTGAACTTGAATTATGAAGCTTTTATGTCCCTTACTTTAAAATAGAATCAGTCTGGAAGTGCTGCAAAGCTATGACCCACAAATGCATGATTTTAATGTCGTCAACTTTTATTTGATGTATGCAAACTCTTATACCATGAATACAAATCAGGCACATAGGATAGTGTTCTCCTAAATATCAGAATCAGCTGTTTTAGCAGGTTTGAAGGCCAACGAGCATTAAACACTGCTGTTAAAATAAACTGTTATATAAAAGCTTACAAAAGGTACAAGCTATAATCCCAAGAATGATAGATGTGTGTTGAAAAATAAACATTTATTCATAATATGTGCGTTCAAACAGTGATTTTCTGTGCTAATTAGGAAAAACAGGTTCATGAAACCACCTAAGACACACACCGTTTCAAGAACAAATGTTTAAAAACTCTGAAGAGGGTTTTGGTGGATGAAGCCGTCTGAGAGATAAACACAGAAGGAAACAAAAACCCCTATAAGAACTTGTCCTGTTTTAGGTTTTCTCTCAAAAGTAGAGTGCGTTAAAAATAAAAATACATACTGTATATATTTTTATAGTTAAAGTAGGACAGCACACTCTTTCACCTGAGCTGAACCTGAGTACACTCTGTTCAAATCCCAGGACTCGTCCATTGATGACTTCAGTGATACAGACAGTGAGAGCAACTTCCCTCTGATGATCCCTCAGGACTACCTGGGTCTGGCCTTTTTCTCCATGCTCTGCTGCTTCTGGCCCCTGGGCATCGCTGCCTTCTACCTATCACAGAAGGTACAGGGCGCGCACACACACACACACACACACACACACACACACACACACACACACACACACACACACACACACACACACACACACACACACACACACACAGTCCTGAGCTGACTAAATACAACCTGGCACTGGAGTTCACAGCCAAGGGTGATTTGTTAACCTCTGCTCTCTGCAGCGTGTTTAGATTACCAACAGGTCGAGTGTCTTAGAGTTTAGAGTTTAGTCTGGGAGGGATTACAACTAGATTTGCAGGATTATGTCACCAGAGCTTTAAAACAACGCAGAGCTCAACAGGAGGAAGTTATGAAGAAGAACAAGTGCAGGGTGGTTTCATACTTTTAGATATTTTCAGGATGAGAACTCTCTGTAATGGTCTCTTTGGGTTTCTGTGCTGAAACGTCACCTCATTGTCTCTGTTTAGTGTCTCATGTTTATTCTCTAATGGTCCCTATAATTAAACCGATCACACCTGATTTACCAGATGTTGCAAACAGCTCCAACTAAGACCTTTCTGGGCTGATAGGTGATAACTTTCACCTGTGTTTTAAGAAAACAAACAGATCACAGAGAAAAAGACACAAACTTGCAGAATAACTGTGTTTTTGACGCTGAATTTACCATTTAAACCCTCTTGTTAATGGAAAAGGGAGCAGTAGAAGGATATTATCCATAGAAACCTATGATTTTAGTGGCCAACGCTACAACATTAAATCTTCAATTTATGCTTTTTCTGTCTCCAAATATTCAATTTTATCTGTTTGTTCAGGAAAAGGTTAAAAGATCTTGATCTGCACGATGCATCTGCTTCTGAGAGTGTTTTTAGACATCTACTCTGTGAATGACTGACATGAATCCAGAATATCAAGATGCACAAAAGACAGAGAATCAGACACTCAGTCCTGCAACATGATATCTGAGTTAGTGTGGACAACACGGAGCGAGTCAAAGTAAACTGCAGAAAGTATCTGATCATTCAGTGTTACCTCTGGCAGCGTGGTAAGTCCCCTCACATCTCCCCCAGCGTTTGCAGGCACCCTTCCAGCGGTGCAGGAAGAAGAATCCTATTAATGCTTTTGCAGAGCGAACGGGCCGCCAGCTGCAGAGGCCTTTTGTTCAGATCAATGGCCTTCATTACGGTTTAATTAGAGTCATAACAAGAAGCCCCAAGGTGATAGATTTCCTATATTGTTGAGTGCTACCTAAAACAGGGGTCAGAGTCAAAGACAAGGACTAGACGGAGAAAGTGATGAATGAGACTCGAGTGCTGGGTGTGATTCTCAGATGGAACATAATACAGGAGGCTTGGAGTGTGATTGGAATGAGTGGAAGAGGGACGAGGAGGCCACGCAGGACGTTGACAAATGATGATGAATGTCCTTCTCCTCCAATCCTTATCTCACTGTCCTCTCTCCTCCCATTCTCAGACCAACAAGGCGTCGGCTCAGGGGGATTTTCAGGGGGCCAACGCCGCGTCTCGCCAGGCTCTGTGGCTCTCGGTGCTCTCCATCGTGTTCGGGATCATAACGTACATCTGTGCCATCGCTGCGTTGATTTCCTACCTGTCTGGGAAACCGCCATAAGAGCTACTCTCCACACAGAAACAGACCTCCTGCACATATCATGAATATAATAACCACACGCCAACATATCACCTGTTCATGTAGATTACTCACAGTCTGTGTCTCTCATCCTTAACAGCAGTCATGTTTTTCTACACCAAGCAGGAAACGGAGAGTGAAAACACAACAGGAGAGGAGCTGCTGCGGAGATTATAATCACTTCTAATTGGATTAGGAAATAATTCAGCTCAGAGGACAGTCCCTCACACATTTAGATGACTCCATATAACATAAGTTAGTCAGTATTACTCCATATAAGATATTCAGTGTGTACATGTGGTTCGTTTTGTCACCCCATGACTCAAGTAACTTCCATCCTCCCGGTCTGTGCCGTAGTTTTCATCATGTGTAACTGGTGTGAAAAAAAAATGCAGATGTTATCACAACACTGTATATATCACTGTCAAGATAGCAGCCGATGAATAATGTGAAGCAGGAGAGGAAGAGGGGGGAGTCTGAGGTCTGATCCGCCTTGGGGGAGCAAAGTGGATGGCAGAGTGCGACGATGGAGTCTGCAGATTTATGAGAAGGTCAAAGCAAGGACGTAACAGCGGCTAAATCCTGATGGACCTCGCTGTTGGGGGGGAGGCGGCTGAGCCAGCAGTGTCGCTCATGGAGTGAAAGCCGGTGATGGTTTTAGAGCCCCAGAGATTCAGTTCTAAAATATCAGGGGTCAGTAGCAAGATGCCCTCGGAGAACTCAGAGTATTTGAAACTCTCTTGACTGGAGAGAGAAAAGGAAGCGGTTCACATCTCCATCGATCAACACCCTGATTTTACCCAGAAACCCTCACTGCAGAGAGGACTGATAGAGCTTTCTTTGAGACATCTTCATGTTAAAATCCAGGGGAAAACATTTAGTGCCATTCAGTAAGGAAATCAGCATGGAGGTGGAGTGTGGGAGCCTTTAAATAAAAAATAAAAAACAACAGTGGCTCTGGATATAGAAATGACAAAGCTGCTGCTATATCAGAGCAAGAATGATGACTTAGAGAGGAGGGGGGGTGCAGACCTGCGATGAAAAGTGCCAAAAATATAAAAGAAACTCTAAGGATGATCCTTTCATGAGCTGTTCCATTTATAGACGCAACCAGGCTGCTCCTTCACGCTCCCCAAATATAGAATCTGCTGTTTTTTTCTTTCTTAAAAAAGGAAAAAGAAAAAAGACTGAAATCCTGCAGGAACCTGCTACTCTGCATTATGACAAACTGAAAAACAAAAACTTATGGAAACACGTTCTCACTTTTTTCAAAAGGAGTAACTAAGGGTGAATGTGATGCAAAAAAAAAACGAAGATGGAGTTTAAAGCTCAGTGATGCATGAGTCAGTGAAATCTCCATTTGTGCACGGCAACTTTGTAGTTTGTCATGCACAAACCTGCTTCAAGCTTGTCCTCAGCCACGCCCCGTACTTGAACCTCAAGTCTTGCAAAAACAGCTTTGTGACAGAAAAAAAAACTAACTCTGGCCATATTGGTTTGAGCTTAAGCGTGCCATGAAAAACTGTGAATGAGATAAAAAAAAAAATCCAAGGCTGTAAGGGAAAGTTGGCGTTTTCTATTTAGATGTATAGTTTTTATAGAGTCCGCACTGAAACTTCGACTAACTCATATCAGATCTTTTGTTTCCTGCCGACTCGGTGTTGTAACGAGACTTAAGCTGATAATAGGATACAGTACTCGGTATTTGTAGACACACCTTTGTTATCTGTGTCGGACCCTCTTCAGCTTTCACTCTTGATGTTCTGTGATGCAGCCGCACCGGCCCGGTCCTCACGCTGCATCATTCTGACAATCCTGAACATCCCGACCCCACCGGACCTTTGTGTCGATGAGAAACGACCCTTTGTTGTTACAGCAGAATCACAACCTTAACTGATTCATTAGACGTTTGTCACAAGACGGACTCGGGTCAGTTTGTGTCAGCTGTAAGTGAAGTGGACAACTTTCCTGAGTGGATAAAAATCACAGGCTGTGGCATATTAGAGTTATTCCTATAAGAGATACTCCGTTTTATTCCCGGTTCTTCACATCCTTGTATTACTTGTAAATATTAAACTGAGAGAAAATAAATGCACTTGTTTGACATTCATCTGTCCTGTCTTTATTCTGCACTCTGACTGACAGCTCCGTGTTGTGGATGTGAAATCCACCTCTGAAGAGAAATAAAGCAGCCCAGAGCAGTTTCAGACTATTTTATCAAAACTTTAATATTTACTTCATTAGAAAAACAAAAGACAAAAAAAGATGATCAGAGGGTTTTGGAGTATCGACGTCTGACAGAGTCTCTGTAAAACTGGAAGATCTTCTCTGAGGCGCTCTGACTGACTGCGATACACTGCTGCAGCTGGAAAAGAGAAGAACAGACCATCCTTCAATATGGTGTAGACAAACATAAACATCATAAACCTCCATGTAAGAGCCAGAATATATTTGTTTAGGATATGATTTCGAATAAGTACGTCACTGAGGGGTGTGGTTTTGGGATGTTTGGCAGGTTATTAAAATCTCACTGTTGTAGTCAGACAAAGGTTTTTAGTCAGCGCTGATTGTCTTTCACCGTTTCACTCATACCGTTTTAACCTCATATCATCGCATAACTTTTTCATTCGAAGGCAAAAGTTTTGGCCCTGGATCAGAGTGTTTTCGTTTCTTTTTTGGAACAATAAATCACTTTTTTTAACACTCAAACTGGACTGATAATTGAACGAGTCACAGATGGAAGCGAACCTGAACCTCAGCGGCCTTTTTGTTGAAGGAAAACAGTCGCTACACCACATCTGAACCTCTAAATTCAGTGTTTTTGGAAACAGTACAAAGATGGTTTCGTGTTTCAGAGTTTTTACTGACCTCGTTCACTGAAAATGATCCTTTGGTTGCCGACATCAACACTCTGTGTTCTTTACTGTCAATCGCGAAGGTCATTAACGCTCGACTTTCCTGGTAAGAGAGGATACAGAGATGAGCAAAATTAAAGAATGCAGCGAGGATTATGAATATGATGGAGTGATTGTAAAAATTAGTAAAGAGAAGAGTGATTTTGAAGTAGAAGTATTTTCCTGTCCATATCAGAGTGCTCTGGGGTGACCTACCTTCTCCTGTGCTGCTGTCGGGTCCGTGATGATTCGCCCCTCTGTGTCGATGGCGCAGGTCACTCCACAGAAAAGGCAACTCATGGGCAGACCTGCATCCATCAGAGCCATACAGGCTGCATTCAAAGAGCACGACAAGAGCTGGAGAGCAGTTTAGGATGTTTTATACTTTACATGTCCAATCAACTCAGAAACTAAAGACAGCAGAGAGTTTTAGTGAAGGATACTGAGCCATCGTCGTGTAACACCTGGAGGATGAGAGTGAGGGAGGAGCGAGGGTGAAGAGACAAGAGCAGAGAGGCCTCACAGGTTTCTCGCACACACTGCTCCTGTGATCGCTCCCGTACACCTGATAAAAAAAAATAAAAGATCTGATAAAGACGAAAACTTCCAACAAGCTCATTCAGTCCTGTCTCTAGTCCTCACATGAAAACTTCTGATTTGATTAATTTTGACTTAGCTGTTATAAATATTTGTAATGAAGTTATTCAGTTAAACTTTAAAGTGGGAGAAACTAAAGAATAAAAAGACAAACAAGTTTCATCCCATAAACATCCAGGAGCTGCTTCAGACTCTTCCTCACTCTCCTCAGGCTGATAAATGAGAAATGATTTTTCCGTCTGGATTATCACTCACTCGGCAGTCCCACTTTGGGCTGCATCAGCACCTCCAGAGTTGCCCGGTCATAGATTTCCTTGCTGACTTTGACTTCGGCGGGTCCGTACACTCCGGCTAACACACTCGTGTCTCCTTCACAGAAGAATAAAAGAGTGAGTTACAGATACAGGACGGCAACAAATGAGAATTAATGGAGAGAGAAAATCTTTGATGATTCAAGTAAAAATGTGAGAAAACGAATGAAAGATCATTTAAAAAAGTGGTAAAAAAACACGGTTGTCAGCAGGTACAAAGAGGAAGAAGGGCTTTAATGATCGGGTGTTTTCATAAATGATTAATGAACTTATTATACTTATATTATATGTACTTATTTACTCTAGTTATGTTCTATTTTTTTGTTAATATACTGTAAACATGCTGAAGACTGACTGGTTATTGAGTTAAGATGGAGGGGTACGCTTTAAAAAAGCATAATGCTGCATCCTACTCCTTTTCTAACATGTTGCGTTCACATTGTTATTATTCATATTTTATTATTTTTACTATAAATTCTCACAGGTTTTGTTTGTTTGTTTTCAGTTTACTTTCTTGTGTTGCACATGTTCGAAAATAAATAAATAAATGAAATGAAAAAGACAGAAGTCAGAATACATCTGTAACATGTACCGAAGATACAAGAAGTTTCCTCCTCTTGTATCAAACATAAGAATAATCCCCCATGAAGCTCACAGATTCAGATTAATAATTTACACAGTTTATAAATAATCATGTTAACAAATTGAGTATTTAGTAAAGAGAGGAGCAGAAGGTTCATGTCTGCTGGATCAAGATAACATTCTGAAGAATCTCTCTTGGATTAATAATAATTTCTTGAGGTCAGTTGGAGACGTGACAGTATTACAATAATCCATGTAAGGAAATAAGAAGCTATAATAGAAAGAAAAGTGAGCAGAGGGATTGATCAGGGGACAGACTTTATTGATTATACCGAAAATCCTCATTGACCTTTCACAAACTTGACTGATGTGATTGTTCTACTTTAGACCCTCATCGAAGACAACATCCAAAAAGTGGAGTGGGGTACCTGAGAGATTTCTGTTCCATTAATTAATATTTTGATAAGATTAGTTTTTGTAGCAGAAGATCATGAAGTTTCATTTGTTTATATGAAGAGTTAGTTTATTAGTCAGAAGATAGGAGGTTCCAGTCAGCCTCTGTAAACTCAGACTCGAACCTTCAGCATCTTCACGTTTCTCTAAACCGGTTAAAAACAGTCCTGACCATAGACTGGATGTAGAAGTTTATAGTATATAGTAAATACATTGTATGGTCCTGACCTGGTCTCCCGTACCGCCGCAGACTAAAACACTCAGAACCGCCTTTAACTGTCGGTGTTTCGTGTTCCGGTCCCGGTCTTACCTTGGATGAAGGATGCCGAACCGTCAGGTCGGGACAGTAAACTCTGTTCACAGCCGAACTCCCTCAGAGACACACCTGAAGACCCGTACACCTCCATCACGCAGCAAGGTTCAGATGGACGTCGCAGTTCAGTGACGCAATCTGTTTTCCCTGGCCCTGTTTGATGACGACGATTATACTGCTCTCGAGACTGTATTTTTTTTTTTTTTTTTGTTTGTTTGTTTGTTTTCCATTATTACATTTTACAATATACCAATGTTGTTTTACAAGGGATTAAGGGGGGAAAAACTAACTAAAGCAAACATTTAAAAAAAACAGTAAGAAAATAAATACCAGGTACGAGAAAAGATAAGTCGCCCAGACGATCAACGATCCTTATGATATTTGTCCAAAACAGTCTGATCCTTCTTGCTCTTATTAATAACAGTATCACAGTATTGCTTCAGGTTATTAAGAAAGAGGTCAAAGTTTGGTTTAGAGTCAGTCCATTTTTTCTTGTGTATGTGAAATTTCTCAAGAAAAATAAGTAACTGTACAAAAATAAACTTTTTTATTGTTCCTTATCTTTCCCTTCCAACAAATTACGATGATGTTCATCTTTTCGTCGTTCTGTTACCTCAAATATAAAAGTATTTACATGTAAAAGCAGAACTATGGCTCCACAGAAAAAAATCTTTCGGTCAAAAAAATTATCAGTCTTAAAGTATTTGAACAAAACTTTTATTAATGTATCCATTTATTAATATCAGCGTATTTTACGAGAATTGACTGAAAAAGTATTAATCTCGAAAAAATGAATAAAACGTTTTGTAGTTCTTCGTTATGACCACAAGAGGGCAGTAAACTGTAACAAACTATTTAACAACACTGTTCCTACCTCTAATATCACCGTTTAAAACGTTACTTTGAAAAAAACTTCGACCATAACGTGTTTTTTGTGATTTATAGACGCGTCCTGTATGTTTTTATTTTAGAGATATTAATGTTATTTACATGATTTATAGCTAGCGTTAAGCAGTGCCGTCTAAACTTTAAACGTATAAAAGATATTTTTCTCATCGGGGACTTTTTACGGTCATGGAGATGATTTCATTAATCCGTTTTATTCTGAAAGCACTGACCGGAAAAGCTCTTCTTCTGGTTTTCTTGACGATGCTGCAGTCCTTCGTGGTGACCGCTAGAAGGTGGTAAAACACAAAACTGTTTCAAACTAATTTGCCACAGTTTTTTAAGCTTGGTGTTGGTCTCTTTTTTATTCACTTTTTTTGTTTTAATCCCAACCACGTTTTAAACGAATAGTTAATAAATAAAATAACCATTACACTTTATTCTATTCCCTAGTTTGCATTATAATCGGCCGTGTTATCGCTTCAAACGATGTCACAAAATATTAAATTTTTACCCAGAGTTTTGTCTTTTAGGCCCTGCAAGAAACCCCCTATAATTTATTTTAGGTTGAGGAAAAAATTGTGCTATGTGTCCTTGTTTCGTGAAATACTCACAGTACTTGTGTTTGTAGTATCATTATGGAGTAAACCAGGACAAAGAACTGGGATTATCGAGAGTAATGTGTCTGAGAGACGATTCGCAGGGTTAAATTAACCCTTTATACCCTCAACAAACCTGCAGCCAAAATGGCGCAGGAGTTCGGGGGGTGTGGTGAAACGACGTGGGCGCGAGACGATGTTTCTGGGCGTGTTGGAGGGTGAGAGGAGTGTTTAGAATAATTGACATTAATTTATATGTTTATAAACTGGTTTAACCTGAAGTTATGTACTGTCAGGTTTTGTTTTGAAGGACAAATGTCTGAACTATTTTACTGCTGGGAAAGATTTCAGAAGAGTCCGGACAACTTACTTAAATGTTTTTATTTTTAAACTTTAAATAAACAGTTTGTGTCTTTTATTTTCTACCTGGAAAAGTGTGATGAGCTGCTTTAAATATTCTAACATACATGAAGAATAGTCTGACATTTGGTCTGACATGATTTGTGTTTTTGCAGACTGCACTGTTTAGTTTTGAGTGAACTGACCCTTTAAAGGATCATATGATCCTGATCTCAGTGTGCGGAGTCAAGCTTATTCATCCTCTGATTAAAACTTCTGGTATGATTGTTTTCTCCCTAAAGTTTCTGAGTTAAAGGTCACAGAGTAGTTGTTAAAAGAAAACCTCAACTAAAAAGTTCCTCCACAAACCAAAATATAACTGTTTCTGGTACTAAAACTTTTTTTTCACATTTATTTTTTCTTTTAATAAATTAATATTGATTCCTTTTATACCATAAAAATAAACAGATCCATTAGTAGGAAGTCTGTAATTTTCTATATTTTTTAAAAATTCCTTTTTATGCCTTTTCTTTGAGCTCAGCATGAGAGTTGGGTGATCTCTGTCCTTTTATGTCTTTTTATGGTCCTTTTATGAAAACATTTTTGTTGTTTGTTTTAATATTAAATTTTCATTTGTCTGCAGGAAGATGCATGTGTCTGTGTGCAGACAGTCAGATGGCCGCATGCGCCTGGAGTTGTGCAAAGAGTGTAAACTTTACCACTGTCCTTTCTGCCAACCGTCCGTCTACAAGCCCAAAGGAGAATATGCGAATGTTTGGACACATGTAGAAATCCACAGGATGAGGGCCTTAAAACATGGAGCTAAGATTGAACACATTATTAAATCATATGCTTCTCTGTTATTATAGAAAATCTTCACCTTCATGTTTTTTTATTGCAGAGTACAGCATCCATGTGTGCCAACTGAAGTGCAGGAAGGAGAGACATTATCACTGTCCGTACTGTCAGAGGACCATCAGTGCTCGGAAACTGTTTGAAAGTCATATGGACAAATGTGCAAAGATGCAGAAATTACCTGGCAGTAAGGTTTTAGCTCAGCCTCCACCTTCAGCTCCTGCTCCTTTAGCTCCTCCACCTTCAGCTCCTGCTCTTTCTGCTCCTGCTCCCTCAGCTCTCATGGCTGGCCGGCCTACCATCTTCCTGGTCAACCTAGCTTCTCCTGTCAGTCTGGGACAGTTTCTTGCTACCCCTGGCCCTCCTCTACCACTAAAATCCACATCAGGTCCATCCCCAGATCCACCTCAATCCTCTACCCAGTCTAAATCCACACCAGACTTGCTCCTCGCACCGCCTGAACCTCCTGCTCAGCCAAAATCCACAAGAAACCATCTCTGTACCATATCTGAGCCTCCTGTTATATCAAAATCCACACCAGATCCAGGCCTGAGTCCTTCTTCAGTGGACCAGCTTGTTCAACCAAAAACTACAGCCAATCATCCTGCAGCTTTATCACACCCCCCTACCTCTTCAGCGGTCCATCCCTCCTCTTCAATGGACATCCCTGTGAAGCAGACAGGACCGATTCTCCGTACACTGAGAAAAATCAAATGTCCGTTGTGTAACCTTCACTTAAATAAAAAGAATCTGAGAATTCATAATCTGAGGAGACATTTAATCTCTGAGCGGGACATAACAGCTGAACATCATCTGAAGAGTCAGTGTATCGACTCGAATAACGGGGTCTACGCTGTTGCAAAGGCTTTCAAGGCCACCGCCGTACCTCTGCATGTCATCATAAAGAAATCAGGCGGCGCTGACATCATGACGTGTGAAGAGGATCGGTGCAAGTCCGTTTCAGGTTTCCGGAAGAGGAGCAGCTTAACTGAGGGTCAGTGTCCTCACCTGCGCTCGGTTGATTTCTGCTCGACTCGATCAAACACAGTAGATCTGAATCCAGAGGTGTTGGAGGAGCTGGTTGCCCAAAAAATGATCAGAAAGGACGTCGTCGCCAGGTGCCATGAATATCGTGACCAAGCCTCTCAGAACAAAGCCCCGCTGGTGGCTCTTGTGGATCTCGGTGGGAGTCACTGCCTGTATTTGTCTGTGTTTGAGCCCCACATGTCCGAGTGCTGCAGCTCAGGGAGATTATTTGTGACTTTCACTTTGAAGAGCAGGTCGTGGTCTTGTGTTTGTTCCAGAGGGAGGGTTCCCTGTTTGCACAGAAGCCTGGCTAAATGGTTCCTCTTCCAAACAAACAGAGAGTTATTCTCCTCTACCGCCAAAGAAGATGCACCCTTGAACATTTCTGAGCTGATGACTAAATTACCCGCAGAAACTGGACCTGAACCTGTCAGTCCACTAAAACAGACAGCAGAGTACATTTACAAACAGAAGAAACTTCCCTCCATGTTACCTGAAGAAATAAACTTGTTTGAGTCAGAGACGAACTTTCAGAAGAATTTGATTCCTGCTGAAACAGTCTGTAAAGTCTGCCGAGGACAGGTGCGGCTAACTGAACCGGTTCTGATCACCGACAGAGCGAGAGTGATATCTGAAACAGGAGTCACAGAAGGTTTGTGGACATACACGCGTCTGTTTAACCTGAAGTTTCCCCCTGTGGGACTATTAAAGGAACATCTTGTCTCTTATCTAATTAACTTGGATGAAACTGCTTTGACTGTTGTGTTGAAAGTCACTCAGGGAAAACTTCTTCTGTCCTCCAGATAATTCCACTTTTATCAGAAAATGTCCCGAGTGTCAGATGGTCTACCGTTACCAGGAGTGGACTGAAGGTCTTCACAACTACAACAATCTCACAATACTAAGTCTGCAGCTGTGCATGCTCCTTAGAAACTTCATCAAGGTACTTTGTTAAAGGAGTGAATCCTCTGTGGGTTCGTTTTTTTCCCATGATTCTCAGAGATGTTCATTTGTTTCTCAAAGATCCACGCTGCTGATGGTGGAGCGGAGGTCCTGAAACGGACAGAAGGCGTCCAGTCTCCTTATGCCATGGACGTGCTTCAGGGTTACATCCACTTTGAAGTTCTGACAAATCACGACCGTCACTCTGACGTCATGATGGAGCTTCATCAGAAGGGGATGTTCAACATGGCAGGTGAGGATTTCCTGTGAAGTTCCTCTGTGTGGGTTCATGTTCCTGCAGGTAAACCCTGAGAAAAAAGGTGACATTAATGCTGGATTAATTTATGGACAATCATCCTTAAATATTTCTGCAGGGATTGAGATTAAGGACCTGCCTGAATCCTCTACTGGAGACGTGGAGATGAATTTAGAAGATTTCTGGGATAGGACCTGCTTGGAGATTATTCAGAGCAGCCTGGAGACTCGTAAGTTTAATGAGGACTCAGACAAATGAAGTAGAAGTGACAGGTGTCATTATCAGGTGGGTAATATTTTTCTGATGTAGGGAGTCTTCTCCACGCTGCTGCCGTGGACGTTAACCTAAAAGACGCTTCAGTGTCTGCAGTCCCGACCGTCTTCACTCCGGCTCAAAGGAAGAGGTTCTCCAAACAAAGAGCGGAGGAGTGTCACAGAGCTGTGGCCAGATTTCTAGTGAAAGGATTACATCCTGTGTCCACCGTGGAGTCTCCGTGGTTCAGGTGGGTTTCCTAATCCTGGATTTGGTTGCTCACGTGTGATTGAACATCCTCTGATGTCTTTTCTTTCTTAGAGAGATGACAGAACTGCTCAACCAAAAGTACCGCTTACCCTCCAGAGATCATCTCATCAACACGCTGATCCCTTCGTTGTTCTCTGCAGAGAAGAAAAGTGTCATCAGAGAGCTGCAGCAGGTGTCCGAGGCCGCGCTCACCTGTGACCTGTGGACGAGTGTGACCCACGATCATTACAGGACTCTGTGTTTGCACTTTATAAGAAACGGGCAGATGGTGCAGAAGGTGCTGCGTACAAAGCAGGTGTTTGACCCTCAGATGGACACGGTGGTGGCCGAGCAGATCGGTGCTGTGCTGAAGGAGTTTGGTGTAGCGGGTAAAGTGGTTGCCATGAGTTCAGGAAGCTGAGATGTTTCGCTCAGATCCTCAGTGCTGCTGCTCAGAAGGTTTACTCCTGCAGTCTTGTGGTGAGCCTGGCGTTGAAGATCCGAGCTGCAGTCATGTGGTTGAAAAGTTCCTCCAAAGTTCTGCAGGAGAAGCAGAAGCTCTTCAGTGAGTTCAGCCTTTTTCCTCTTTATGGCTTCATCTTTCAGAAGACATGTGAAGGTAAACACCAGTTCGTCTTTGTTTTTCTCAGATCTACCTCAACGCTCTCTATTGCTCGATGTTCACGCCTGCTGGAACTCACTCTACCTCATGGTGGAGAGATTCGTGGAGCAGTATGCTGCCGTCCAGGCCACCAGAATGGACCCACGGGTCAAACCATTAGCTGAGAGGAATATGTGAGTAAACTAGTGTTAGGTCTAAAAACCTGCCCAAATACCTGAAAACATATAAAGAAGAGAAAGACAATGGTATATACTCGAGGAGAATGGACAGAGATAGTATCAGGTACAATCTCAAAACCACTCTGAAGGTATTTCTGTCCCGTCTCTGTTATTTAGGGTTGTCCCTGGTTACACAATGTTTCTAAAGGATGGGGGGAAAAATATGTGCAGCAACGTAAGCACTCTCATAAAACATAATAATGAACAACAGAGAATATGTGAGGGTCAAGGCGACATTGTTGCATCAAGCGAGCTCCTCCTGATAGGAGCGGATCCTCCTCGTTACTTCCCACGATTCACAGTGGAGGATACATCACCCACACACACACCTGCTGATGGGAGAAATGAGGTCACAGAAAAATGAAGAAACACTCATGTGCTGTGTAATAAAGCTATTGGAGAGAGAAGTTAGAAAACACTCTTATATGGTGTGTAACAAGAGGTCAAAACAGTTCATACTTGTAGTAAACTCTTACATAAGAATGAGAGTAAAAATGATAACTTCTATATACATTTATGCACATTATTCTAACAACTAGAAAAATGTACAATTAGAAAAATGAGTTAATTTCATTCAAATAATCTGGTGAATATTTTACCCAAATTGATGATCACTGGACAGCAGTGGAGTTCATCAGGACCATGAAGTCTCTGTACATGTCTACTCTCTGTGTCTCAGCTGATAAGAGTCCGTCCTGCAGTCAGATATTTCCAATCCTGAAAAAACTTGAGACCCACTTCAAACCCCGAGGTGAGGACTCTCCCTTCACGACCACACTGAAGGAGACGGTCTGGGATGAGCTGTCGACGTCTTACAAGGTATGTCCGACACTCTCCACCGGTGGAAAAGCTTAATCTCATCTTCAACCCTTAACACCTCAGAAAACAAAAATCATATAATTATTATTTTAAAGGTCAGAAAAAAACACAATGAAGGACAAACCTTTAAAAATTAACAAAAGTGTGCAATCAAGAAGCTGTTATTGACTTCAACCTGCAGGGAAAATCTGGCCAAGACATCAGAAAAAAAATATATATAAAACTCGAATGAGTAAATTACAATCCTCTGAAAAAATAGAAAGGGGTTTAAAGTAAACAACTTGATCCCTGACACCTCAGATCATTTTGGAGACTTGGTCAGAACAACAGAATCCCATATTTGAAGATAAATACGTACCTCTGATCAGATCTTGCAGAACAAAACATGCAAGTGTTGACTTTCCTCTTTTTGTTTTTATCAGAAATAATCTGAACTTATCTGTGGTTTTTGGGTCTGTCTACTTGATTTCAGGATGGTGATACCTGGAAGTTCCTTCAAGAGTCGAGCGCCATGGATCCAAGGTTCAAGAACAGCATCGACTCAGAGGAGATCTGGAACAGAGTGAAAAATGCTGCGATTAGAGCTTCAACCTCAAGAGAGGTACTGTCTTCTCCTCAGTCATTTTATACCTGATTATAATCAACATTTTCATGATCTTTCAGACTCAAGTCTCTCTCTGTTGCTGTCAGCTGTCTCACGGGTCAAAGACACGAGTTTCTGTTCCTGTAAACTTAAAGATGATGGAAAAACTCCCTGGTCTGTTTTAACGCCTCATGACTGAATGTTAATCTTGTGTTTTTCAGATGTCAGATCCGGAGGAGCACAGACTCTTACAGGAGGATAGTGATGAGGTAATTTCACCTTTTATTCACTCAGAACTCAAACGTTCGTCGAATTCAAACTCTGATTTTTGATTCATCTTGAATTTTCAGACTGTGTTTCCTAAAAGGCCGAGGTTAACGGCATTAGAGGAACTTTTTGAGGAGGAGGACAGAGCCCTGCAGAGCACTGAAGCAGCTGACAAAACCCTCTCGATGTCTGAGAGAGTTCAGGGGGAGATCGATCTGTACAGAAAGCTGTTCCCACATCACAGGACGCTCTGGCCTGGTGGTGGGAGAGACGAACCACCCTTCCTCTCCTGTCCCAAGTCTCGAACTCATACCTTTGTGTTCAAGCATCGTCTACTCCACTTGAGAGAGTCTTTTCAGCTGCAGGAGACACAATCAGCCGAGAGACGTTACACGTTCTTCCAGAAAAGGTTGATATGCAGATTTTTCTACAGAGGAACAGTTCGTAAACAAAGATAACAAACACACGCAGCATGAAAACACGGGTATCTGCTGGTGTAGAGATCTGTCAGGATGAAAGTTTGCTGATGGCTGCTTCAGTAAAACTTTTTCATATATTTGTGAATCCTGTTTCTTTTTTATCTTGCCGGACGACTGAATTAACAATTTTTACAACACGCAAATTAAAAAGTTTAGTCAATATTCTGGCTTTTTGTAAGTTAAATGTACTTTGTAGAATCAGTCTCTACTGAGAAGCATAATCAGAGTTAATGCAGTTCTGTTGTAATTGTATAACTTTAGACACTTCAATCATCTGTAAAGGTATCAAACCAAATTAGGTAATAACTACAGCAGCTGAGCGACATAATCAGGACTGAAACAATCAGACTCTCGTCTGCTTTTAACAGACTGCAAACAGGAAAGTCTGCTTCGCTTTAACCCAACTAAATTTTTATGACTGAAGAGAGAAGTCAGACATGCGTGGCTTCATCCTCTTAAATTACTCTTTAAAGAATTATATTTTAAAATAAATTTGACAGATACAAATATTAATGTATTGTGTTTTTGCTTTAGCAGTTAAACATGTCACATTAAACAACAGATGGACATTATTACCATGTTTGAGTCAATCTAAGGAGACAAATGTCAGCTGTAAACTCAAAGTATGAAGTAAAACGGCAACTAAGGCCTGAATGTTACACATTATTAAGATGGTCATGTTTATAGACTGTTCTATCTATCTATCTATCTATCTATCTATCTATCTATCTATCTATCTATCTATCTATCTATCTATCTAAATTTAAATGGCAGCAGCTTCCACTTTTATTGAATAGTATGTAGGTAAACACTGTATTTTTATTTTACGCGGGTTCCCTCCACTCCACTGTTGCTCAGACTCTTATTTTGAAGGTGTGACCGGATATGGGGTCTTTTATTTTTCTCCTTTATGTTGGTATTCGACCTGGGCCGTGAGGTTACGGAGGATCCAGGACTACCTTTGACTTCTTTAGTGAGAACCAGTCAGTCTGCTGTTGTTACTCCTGTAATATCTTCGGATTATAATCCTCGACAATCTGCTGTTCGGCCTGTTTTAATCTGACTGCTGTAACAGACTGACCTCCTGATGGCGGCTGTGAGGAGCAGCATGAACAAACTGTATGGACTCTGTTTCCATCACGCAGCTGGACTGAAGGCACCGAGACTGCTCCAGAACCGAGCCTTCAGAGTCGGGGTGAGAACAGAACCGAGACTTTAGTCCTGTTAGTGAGATAGTCCGGAATAAACAACGATAAAGGTCTTTAAAGACGTTAAAAAGGAGCACAGGAGCCTCGTAAACTGAGGCCTAACGCCAAATAACGTGAGGTTATGTTAAAATGATGAAAGACAAAGTGTAAATATTGTTTTAAAAGATGAAATTATTCTGTTCGGGTCGGGAGTAGAGATGGTTAATTGTAAAGGATTCCTAAAATCGCGAGGTTTCATCTGTTATCGCGATAGGATTTAAGTCAGCTACGTTAACCACCAACCTGTCAGGTACAAACACACACAGAGCAACGACCTGTAGACAAACTGTTGGTCCTAAACTTCTTTAAATTAAAGTGTTTAACAGTCAAAGGTACAGGTGACTCTTTTACTCTCGTTCGTGTTTGTTTGTTGAGCCAAAAAGCCGGCTGCAATCTGAGCCTGCTTCACTCTGATTGGACGAGAGATGGGGCGTGAGGAGGACACTTCCGGGGTTTTAGTCAGAATAAAAAAAAAACTCCACCTGCTGTTTATTAAAGGTGTCAGTTTATATCTATGTATCTAATAACAATATCATAACTTGGATCATTTTCTGTGATTAAAACAGAAAATGTCGAGTTTTTACATTTTGACTGTTTTCTATTAAACCTTAAATATCCTGTTAATGTTTCTGAAAATGATGATGATAGTGTTTACACTGTTGAAATATGATGAACCAAAGAGCAAAAACTACGACAGAGTATTAGGGCCACATTAAAAAAAACAATAATAATAACACTTCGAGATTAAAGCCATTAATTTACAAGAATAAAGTAATAAATTAAGTACCTGCGAGGATAAAGACAGAATAAAGTCTTTTTTTTCTAACCATTATATTGTTTAAGTTGACAGTTGTTGAAATAAGAGCCATTGAGCATTTTCTGAAAATAAAAATCAATATTTTTATAATTTCTCAAACAAGGAGAAACTTTATCTTTTGGCACATCAGCACCACATTATCATAATTATCATAATGATTTTATTAAGACTTTATTCTCATTAGTAATGACTTTGTTCTCCTAATGAACAATTTTAATCTCAAAGTCTTTTTTTTTTTTTTTATGCTGCCCTAATATTTCAAATTCAACTTTATTTTTATGTCACTTTTCAGACAAAAAATGCAGTTCAAAGTGACTCAGAGAGGCCAAAAACAACAATTAAACAATAAAATCCTCACTCACACACTCGCACATACACACACACAAGCGCAAACAGTGTGAGAACTTAAGAACTTATATATTGTTAGAGAGACATGACCTGACACCTAGACATGATGTGAGGAAAGAGCTACATTTGGGAAACACTGGAGATAAAAGATAAAAATGGTAAAAGGAAAGAGAGTAAAACCTGATGAACTAAAACAAGAAAAAAATATTAACTGAACAGATAAGTAAGAGCTCTTTACCATATATAAGGGGTAAAAGAAGTAAAAACCTCTATTACAGGAATTCAGAAAAAGACTAAGAAAAGAGACATTTAATAAAATGATGTAAAATAAACATGAAGAACTTTGATTAAAATGAAAATTTGCGATCAGAAAAATATAAAAAGATAATTAGTGATAAGCCGGGTTAAAAAGGTGAGTCTTCAGCCTCTTCTTGAAAACATCAACAGTCTCTGTGTCACTCCGTAATAAAAAGAAAAAAACATTTACACAGATCTTTTTTGTGGTTGCAGAAGGGTGTTGAAAGAAGTAATAACTGTATTTGCGGTAAAATGATTCATAATCATGTTCCACTTAGTCTTGGTGAACTTTTGTTGACTTTCTCTGTCTTTGTGGCGTCTGGTGTTTCTCTTTTTTTCATAGTCTGCTGTTGAAATAACTTCTTCATTTACTCCTCCAGGCTGTTCACCACCAGCAGCCGTTCGACTCATCCCTGGAAAAGCCACAGTTTCCTGGAGCCTCAGCTGAGTTTGTTGATCACCTCGAGTTCATCCAGCCCAATGTTATCTCTGGAATCCCAGTGTACCGGGTGATGGACAGACAGGGGAACATAATCAACCCTTCTCAGGACCCGCAGGTAAAACTAACTCACCTAACAAACCACGTCATTGAGGGTTCAATGATGTGAGTTTTTGCTAAAATGTTTTTTTTTGTTTGTTTTCAGCTCTCCAAAGAGACGGTCTTGAACTTTTATCAGAAGATGACTCTGCTGAACACAATGGACCGCATTCTCTACGAGTCTCAGAGACAGGTGTGTTTTCTTATAGCAGTTACTGATTTAACCCTGGGGCGGCTCAAAGCTGATTACGGGTTTGTTAAATTGTCTGTTTTAGGGTCGAATCTCCTTCTACATGACCAACTACGGTGAAGAGGGGACACACATCGGGAGTGCTGCTGCTCTGGACCCAAATGACCTCGTCTTTGGCCAATATAGAGAAGCTGGTAAGTGTTTGAGAAGAATAGTTTTCAGGTTCTACGGAGGTAGCTCTCCTTAGGATTGCACTTAACCCAATAGTTAGTGTTTTTGTAATATTGCTGCAGGAATTTCAGAACTTGTTAAAATGATTCAGCATGAAAATCAGTGAGTTTGTGATCTCGTTTTGAAGCAAAAGCAGAAAAAAAAACTTCACAACCTGAGCATGAACCCTTGAAATGAGTCTAGAAAGAGGTGCAAATGTTTAACAAAATGATTTTAAAAGGGAAACAGAGCTGTCAGGATTAGTTTTGGATTCAGATACTTCAGATACATCATCACATAAGGAAGAGTACACATCTCTATGATTCGTTTTGACAGCAGTATCCAGGATTAAACGCTGTGATCTTATTCATACATTTGCTGTAGAGCTGCAGGTTTCATCTGTGCTTTAAACTTTATCAACTACACATCACTTCAGAAGAACTTCCACCTTCTACCAGAACTTCTTCTGAATTTCTGAAGAGCCCATCTTCATTGTCTAACTTCCCTTATTCTGTTCTTCCTCTGAAGTAACGCTGTGCAACATGCTTTCTCTACTTCTTGCTGCCATCTTTGTGTTTCCTCTGGACCTCTGCTCCACTCTGTTGCTTTCTTCTGTATCCATGTAACCTCTTCACTAATGAGTTCCCTGGGTATTAACGTTGTCATAACTCCCTGCAGGAGTGTTGATGTACCGCGGTTTTCCTCTGGATCTGTTCATGGCTCAGTGCTACGCCAACGCAGACGACCTCGGAAAGGGCCGGCAGATGCCCGTTCACTACGGCTCCAAGGATCTGAACTTTGTCACCATCTCCTCTCCTTTGGCCACTCAGATTCCACAGGGTGAGTTCTAAACACGTGTTTAAAACCCGAGGACAAATACACACGAGTAGATGTGTATTCATACCTCGTATGTTTGTTTCAGCTGCTGGAGCTGCTTATGCCGTCAAAAGAGAAAACATCAACCGAGCTGTAATCTGTTATTTTGGGGAGGGGGCCGCCAGCGAAGGGGACGCACACGCCGGCTTCAACTTCTCAGCCACCCTGGAGTGTCCGCTGATATTCTTCTGCCGTAACAACGGTTATGCCATCTCCACCCCCACCAACGAGCAGTACAGAGGAGATGGCATCGGTGAGGAGCCGTCTTCTGGTCTTGTGAAGTATCTGTTTCCAAATCCTCAGCTGCTGTCGTGTAAACATGTCCCTATCCTCTCTTAATGAACAGCTGCTCGTGGTCCAGGTTACGGCATGCTGTCAATCCGCGTCGATGGCAACGATGTCTTCGCTGTGTACAACGCTACTAAAGAGGCGCGCCGCAGAGCTGTGGCTGAGAACCAGCCCTTCCTCATCGAAGCAATGACCTACAGGTGAGCTGACCCTGAGGGGGCAAAAATGAACTCTACCTTACCCCCAATTTCCACCTTCATCCTGATCGTCTCCTAAAAGGTCATATCCTCTGATCGTAACCATTCAAGTTAACGTGTCAATTTACACCGACTTCTTTCCGTTCCACTGCGGATCACAAGAGTTCTATTTTTTCTGGACGCCGGAGCATGGCGGATAAATTCAGCACAGATTAACCCGCGCTGGAAAGGAAGTCGGGCACAGACACAAAATAAAACATCCGGAGGATCGTATTTCACACCATGCAAACGGGCGGAGACGAACAAGTGAAAGGTTTTTAGACGTCATTTCACCCCGATGACACCATGGATGAGGAGATGCTGATTCTAGAAGTCTAGAAGTAGATTTCCTCCTCTGGAAGGACACAATCTACGGCTTATATGGTTAGCCTCTGTGGTTAGAAACAACTCGTTATCGCGCGATTGAACGTGATTACTGCTGTTTGTAATCCGCCACGAAATTGGCCTCACCAACAGATTCGGTAGGAATTGGTGGACTGATCGGAGCTGTTCCGAATTGGGGGTTAGTGTCGGATCTACGCTGTAGCTCTGCTCAGAAAACAATGCTGACTGAATCCGAGTTTATTATGTTCGATTTAGAGCTAAAAATGGGAAGTAGAGGTAGATTATGCTGCGAATATAACAAAAAAGAAAAGTGAGTTCACATCAGAGGAGGCAGATTTAAAGGCTGCTGAGACAGAGGATGGGGGACTGATACCGGAAATATCTACCACTAAGCAGACCAGCGACCACTGACAGGATTTGCTATCTGGGTCGGTGGTCTTCTGAAGAGGTGCAGAGCTATAATGGCCTGTCTACGTTCTGGTTACTAATGTGGGTTCATTCTAGTTTTTAACTTAATTAAAATTAAACCAGTCTAGTCTAATGTAAATATAGAACCTAATAAAAAGCTTCCTATAAACAGTGGCTTTGACTTTTTAAGTCAGCAGTTATGTTGTGGGTAAAGTGTCTCATGAATAAGAAAACCACATCCTTTAAGTGTCTGCAGTTATTTTCAGTGTCAACATACGACCTTCAGCGCTGCTCCGGGGTCATTCATTAACATTCAAAATAAATAATAGTTTGATTTGAAGTCGCTGCCCTGAAAATGCTCCCCATAAAAGGGCAAATGGAGGATAATGATTCTGTTGTGTCTCCAGGATCGGTCATCACAGCACCAGCGACGACAGCTCAGCGTACCGTTCAGTAGACGAGGTGAACTACTGGGACAAACAGGACCATCCCATCTCCAGGCTGAGACACTACATGACGACACGCGGCTGGTGGAGCGAGGACGACGAGAGGAGCTGGCGCAAACAATCCCGCAAGACGGTCATGGAGGCCTTTGAGAGGGCTGAAAAACGCCAAAAACCCAATCCTGAACTGCTGTTTTCAGACGTGTACGAGGAGATGACCCCCGCTCTGAACAAACAGAAGGAGGCCTTGTCGCGTCACGTGCAGCAGTACAAAGAGCACTATCCACTCGACCTGTTTGATAAATACCTGCCCTGAGAAGGTGGAACAGGATCTCGGTTGGTGAAGATTAAGACTCGGATAGAAGTGCTGCACACTCGTAGCTCTAGTCACAAAATCATAGTTTTGATATGACAAGTCATCTCTTCCTTCACATCCGGTGGGGGAGAGGGGAAGATTGTGCTTTCAGAAATATCTACTACATGCCTCTGGGTTTGGTGCCTTAAGTTATAATAGATCGACTGTCAGTTATTAAGCTCCTCTTGAAGTGCTCAATCACAATTTAACCACTTGAACTTCACAAATGACCTTTTTTCAAGTGCAGTGAGAAAACGTTTGTTGTTGTTTGACTACAGATGCAGAAAATAGAAACCAATAATCCAAGCAATAAACCGCTACAGTTTAACCCCCTTTGTGTAGGTGTCCCCTCTCTGTAACGGTCTGTTTAGGTGGTCGTGGTCTTTTAAAGGCATCCTTGTGTATCATTAAGGTGACTAATTCAACTTTCCTGTGGTGGTGGGTTTTTAGTGTACATACTCAAAGTTGAAGTGGGTTTGTATGCTGTAATGCTGTTACACACTCATTAACAAAGTGGGAAATCCCTGTAGGGTTCGTGTTTTATGTTTGCTGTTTTGAGGAAAATAAAGTGTGTCTGTTGAAATAGTTTCTGTGTGATTTCTTTTATTCAAACTCATTAGAAAACAGTCATTGAGTTAATGATGAGAGAATACATGAGTGAAATATCCTCGTCCTCCACAGTGAAAGTGGCTGCGTTCATAGTCTCGCTCCAAGCATAACTCTGCATGTTTAAAGGTGGGGTGGTCAGGATCTGAGGAAGTGCCATTTTTTTAGGAGAAATCTTAAATGTAAACTCTACCCCTCCCAAGCCCCGCCCACAAACAGACGCTCCTGCTCGCTCGTATCGTTCCAATTAAATTCAGATACAATGCAGATAAATACTTCAGATCATTACAAATGGGGCCCAGTCAAGGTGAAAGTCAAAAGCATTGGTGCTACTGTAGATGCCAACAGAAAACACAATGTTTGCAGGACTTCTACAACGAGGATAAAGTGACATAGTCCAGGACCCGAGGGAGGACAGTTTAGCGATGGCGCTACAACACGCTACAGCAGGTCCGTTTGACAAGAAACACTTCTGTTACAGACACTTGTCTTACTTTGTTAAAGCGGTTTACCTGTCCAGCAGAAAGGTTACAGGGTCACCAAGATCCCCAAGCGTCCCCCATCGTTTATGTTGACCCGGCTTTTTAGCTCTTGTCCGGTCTACCTCCGTTTTAAGCGCCCGTTATTCCTCCAGAATCTCCGGTATTTACTTTGTTTTCTTGCTTGTGTCGGCAGTCGTGGCTAAAGGAGGATTCAGACAATTTTCCGAACTTTCTGGTTGGTTTCTACTGTCCGATATTGTAGCACGCTAACTTTGTTTGGGCTCCTGAACGACACGGGGGAGCAGCGTCTGCCTCACAACCAATCAGGTTAGAGGAGGTGGAGAACGGCTTTGTTTACAGTCAGAAAGAGCGGACCACTCAGAATTTCAAATGTTGACTACACAGACATAAGTACGAGGGAGTATTGGGGCCACATTAAGAAAAAAAATTAGGACTTCAAGATTAAAGTCATTAATTTACGTGAATAAGTCATGACTCACAAGAATAAAGTTGTAGTAAATCATACCTTAGAAGAATAAAGTCATAATTAACTACTACTACTACTATACTCATGATAACGTGGTGCTGATGTGTCAAAAGATAAAGTATCTCCTTGTTTGAGAAACATATATTGAAGTACATTTTCAGGAAATGCTCCATGGCTCTAATTTCATCAACATTAACAAAAGGTTTGAATATAAGGACTTTATCCTGACTTTACTCTCTTGAGTGATTACTTTATTACGACTTTATTCTCTTAAGTATTTTATTACGACTTTATTCTCGAAGTCTTACATCTTTTTTCTTAATGTGGCCCTAATACTCCGTCGTACATAGGAGAACACAGCGACTGATATAAAAAGCTTTTTTTATATATACACCACAAAAAAAAGATGCTTTAACCTGCCTACCCCACCTTTAATATTGGCTCAGCAGCTCACAGTAAAAAAAACCTTCAAATCCGACTAAAATATCTTGAAAATGTACAAACATTAGATGAAAAAGTAGCTCCTCTTTTACTCCTGCCCTGTTTAACAAGTCAGAAAAGGGCTGTGGATGCCCCTCCACAGCCTCTTTATCTCCTGCGGGGAGCGTTTGTGAATCAAGATGAGATCTTTATGGACGCACACATTCTCACGGTCCGCCTCTTTGAGGTCAAAGGTGTGGAAGCCGGGGTGTATCTCAGGAGAAACTCCTATGGCTTTAAAACACATCCCTGTGTAGACGTCATCGATGGGGTAGAAAGGGATAACATGTGAAACTGAATAAAGGGGTCTGAGTAGAGCTCCAGAAATAAGAAGTCCACCTCCCCCGACGTACGCAGGGTAAGGTCCGTCATAGAAGCTGAGAGGGATGTAATATTTGCTTTTCGGGTCCCTGATTGGACTTGCTGTGCTGATGACGTGTCCACTATACAACTTAGAGGCTTTTGTTGAATCCAGAGACTGCAGGTAGCTGAGTAAGAGCGGTGTGTTGACAAATACGTCATCATCTCCACTAAAAACAAAGTTCACATGTGCACAGTGTTGAAGGGTCCACTGCAGGAGCACGTTCATCTTCAGCGTCAGGTTTAGGAAGGATTCCTGGAAGTCCCACTGCAGGATGTCCCCAAAGAGTTGGGATTCAAACGACAGGAGTGGGCTGAGGTCGGGGTCGTCGGCTTGGTGACTCCCCATGAGGAACACTGTGCGAACTCTGAGCCCACTCTGCTTCACCCCCTCCTCCCCCCAGGTCTCCCGCACAGCCTGCCGCCGCTCAAAGTGTCCAGGAGTCGACTTGATGGCAAAAAGCAGCAACTTCTCACCGTTCTTATCCCCACCGGCAGAGACGCACTTCTTAGGTACGTTGATCAGGACTGGCGGGGTCCTGCAGCCCATGCCCTGCACAAAGTCCTGGAACAGGAAGTTGTATAAATTGAAGTCGTGCACATTGAGTCTTAAAACCTCTTGATGTACCACCTTACAGCTCGACCAATCAGAGTCACGTCTGGAAGAATTTCCTCCAATGCCCTGATTCTTGAGCGCCGAGTACAGCAGACGGTTCCAGTATGCTCCATTTTGAGGTATGGCCTGTTTAAAGCTGTCAGATATGTTTTGAACTTCGAGATGAGGCACAGTGATGCTCTCCCGGACCTGGACCTGGTTCTGGACCTGGTCCTGAACCTGGACCTGGACCTGGTCCTGGATGCTCAGAGGCCCCTCTGTTGGTTTTTTGTTAATTGCAGCTCTGTGACTGTGGGTCATCTCCAGATGAAGGGAGGAGTAGAAAAAGACCAGCAGCAAAGAGACCAGGAGAATCATGGCAATGAAGCTTCGTAAGTTTCTCATTGGTTCGAGACGGTCCGGGTACCTGGTGTATTCTGGTCTTTAGGTTTATGTGGACCCTCCCAGGTGAAGCATGGGACGTACCTGAAAATTAGAGGTGGAACAATTCACAATCAAATCAATGTACTACACACCTGACCTTCAGCGGTGATGTTTTTGACCGAAGTTGGAGACCAAATATAAAGGCGGCACATTTACTCAAATAACACCTAATACCAAGATTTAAAGGGATATTCAGGCGTAAAATTAAGTTAGGGTCAAACACACCATAACATCGAGTTAGACACGCCCTCCAGAGATGAATGTTGTCGACCGCTTGCTTCTCTAGTTTTACCAACTTTAGTAACGACCGCAGGATAGCAATACAGAGAGCCACGCCCTCAACCAAAATGCCACTCTGTAACCACAAATAATGCTCAGAACAGCACCTAACTTCATCAACAGGACATATAGGGTCCCAGCCATAATACTAGACACCAAACATCTTTTTAACTTTAATTTCTTTAGCAAAGAGACTAAACACAACTCACCTACTCTCTTCCAGCAGCCGCTTGTTTGTAGCGAGACCTCAGGCCAGTCCATTCCGGACTACAGCGGGGTGCCACAGCTCAAGGAAGAACATTTATGATCATTTCTTCATTTCTTCATCATTTCTTCATGGAAATACAATCAGAGATGCTAAGACAGAAGAACTACCGCGTCTGCAGAGCAAAATGATTAATATGATAATTATTACTTCAAGGAAATGATAAAGAAATTATCATAAATGTTCTTCCTTGAGCTGCGTCACCCCGCTGTAGTCCGTAATGGACTAATGGACTTAGGGCTGGGTGAGAAAACGATAATGACATATATCGAAAATTAATTTCCCTCGATATCAATTTAAAACATGGTCAATATGCTTATCGATTGTCAGCATTCTGCCATGTTTTGGTAGATTATATGAATAGCCAATGAAAAGGGGAGTTACTCCGGGTCTGATTCGTGCTGAACTAATTGTGCTGAATTAGAACAAAATAGCAAACAACTGTGTCGTAGCAGGCAGCAGCTGCACCCAACCATAGCACTTTAAGCTGACAGCACTGTCGGTGGAAAACAAAGAAAATGAGTGCTACCCCCGACAGAAATGACCATGAAGGCTCAACAGATGACCACATCAATGTCAACGACAACACTGGCGTTAGGAAAACGTCGGTGGTGTGGAGGTATTTTGTTTTTTTGAGGTCGGACATGAAGCAGAGTAATGTGGACTGTAAATTATGTCGAGTACATGTTCTCACAAAGTCGGAGAATACCTCAAATCTTTTTCACCACCTGAAGCAGCGCCACGCCGCAGAGCACGCGCAACGCAAAAGGTTACAAACCCCGAGAGGAGCGAGGAGCTGAAACAGACGAACATTCAGTCCGCTTTACGACAAAATGTCAAAGAGACACAAAGACCTCACAGATGCGGTAGATTATTGAATTGCAAAAGACATGCTACCAATAAGCACTGTTAAATATCATTTTCTATATCGTGATATATATCAATGTTGACTGATATGGAAATATATCGTGATAAACTTTTTCCCATATCGCCCAGCCCTAACTGGATTTCTTTGCCCACAGATCATCAGATAGGGGCCTGTATGTTCCCAAAGCTATGATAAAACAGGTGAAGGTGCGTTTGGTAGAAGAATAGCTTCTTGTATTAATTGTTTGTAACCTCGTTTTAAGATATTTCAGGACAAGTACTCATTGTTTCCAGAAACTGATGTAATGAACAAAAGTCTTTTCAGGCTTCAAATCTTTCTGCACGGCCAAGGTAAGTTTGTTTGTATAACACCATTCCTAAGTAAGGCAAGTTCAAGGAAATGATATCAACAATGTGATTGACACAATGAAGTATGAATAGCAAAACCAACGCGACAGGTTGAGCCAGAACAGGTGCAGAACCCAAACCTCCTCATACATCAGAGAGGAAGAGTTGGTTTGGGGAAAATACACAGATATAAAATCACGAGATTAATAAATTACTTTCTACTTTTTCTCGACATTAAATATCTGTTATTTTCATCCTACTCTGACTTATTTAGCAGCTTAAAAATCCCAAAACTCAGTGTTTTCAGACGGAGGGGTTATTTTAGTTCCTGTTTCTCTCTTTAGTACACCGTGTGCATTTATATAAACAGAACTGTAGTTTTTCTCAGACTTGTTGTGTACAGCAGGGACCGTTGAATTTCTGTTACTTCTTTTAAATAAAGACACACAGGTGCTGCTGAGTAAACCGGCCTCAGGTGGGCTCTGTGTGCTCAGACAGGCTCGCCTGCAGCGGTTATCGTCCTGCTGGGAAACTGCAGAAACATCTCCTCTGTCCTCCCCAGTGTTTAATTAGCAGCAAACCGGCTTTGAGTAAATAACGTTCAGGATCGGACCAAACAGATCGAGAAATGCCCTGAACATAGAATTCACAAAAAAGTGACAAATAAGCTTCATAATAGAAGTAAAATAATATCGCTCTTTGATGAACTCAAGTCTCGACCGCGCAAAATATTTCTTTCTCACTCAGTTCCTGTCCAAATCAGTTTTCTTTTTCATTATCTTTACAAGAACACAGAGAGAGAGAGAGAGAGACCACTAATATGCATAATCTTAGTCTAATTAGCACTTTCAACAAATTAGACCGATAAATACTCACGGATTAGGATTAACGCAGTCCGAGGATTAAGGCAGGAAAATAGTTTCCAGGATTTTAGAAACTCCAGCAGACAAACACGGACTTCGACCTCTATTAGTTTTTAACTCACAACTCCTTGGAGTCAGAGGTTACCTGCGCGTGTCAGGCGTGTAATAATGAAGTGTTCGCGAGACACCACTGAAGAGGGGAAGAGGAGGCCACGCCCAGGATGCTGTGATGAAGTCAGCTTTTATTCAGAGGTTTGACAACAAATACCACAAATAATCAAATCATTTGAGAGGATGAGGGGAAACATGAACACAGTGTTCAGATCAGTAAAGCTCTTTTGGATGTATTGCATCTCATGCAGGCTTTAACAAATGTGTGTTTTTATGAAAGCCTGGGTGGGGATGAAGGGTGACGATAAACATCCACACAAAAAAACCTTCTATGTAAATAAAAACTTCTGCTGTAGTTTCACTCGACATGACAATCCATGCAACTGTTCACAAAGGTTGGAGGGTTTCTTTCACCCTCGTTAGTGGAATAAAAGCACTTTTAATGGAAATGACGAGAAACAAAAATCAGCAAATTCAATGAAATTTCTTCTAAAGCGTCAATTTTAATCACGTCTAGCTCTTTGCATCCTGAGAACTTCTCAATGTAAGGCAGAGGGGGTATTCGCTCGAGAACAACCTCAGAAACTCTCCGCCTCGCTGTTCAGAGATTGAGATGAAGTGCTGCTTAATTAGAGGTGCCCTGATTGACCTACAGTGTACCTACAGTACACTCGAGCACTGAAGAAGAAGAAGAACCAAAAGCCAATGAGAGCGCTGGGATGGCGTTTTGGTCGGTCTCGTTTGTTAGACACACACTCTGGAAAAAAGATCCTGGAGCTCAAAGTGTTAGTAAGTTTGCATCCTCTCACCCCAGTAACAAAAATAATCTGTTAAAACTTTATTATTATATTGGCGTGCTGGTATGTTTCTCTTATTGCAGCCCATTATGACTTCTTTGATTTGTGCTGGGCGATCAACAGTATCAACAATATATATAATTTCTACACTTTGTGCATTGTGCACTCAGGAAAATAGTGTTAAATACCATAAATTGGAGCACGAGTCAAGCAGATTAAAAAGGCAAGAAGAAATACTGCAGATGGTCGGAAAGAAACAGAGTATCTGTGAGAGAGTAAAGGGGGAAATGGTCAAAGAGTTAAAATGGCTCCTAGAATGAGAGTGACAGGCTCAAGGCAAAGAGAGGGATGCAAATCGCTTGTTGAGGATTCGAGGGCGAGCAGGCAGGAAAGTCAGCGAAGGTCACTCTCGTCATCCTGTATGGTTTTCTTGATGCGCAGAAGCATGGTGGTGAGCCACTGGTCCAACCGTGAAATGGTGTCGAATTCTTTCACCTGAGAAACACGGCGAAAAATTCAGAAATGAACAAAAACTGCTGAGTTTTGGAGTCAGGAAAAAGCCATGACAAAGACCGACACTGATGAAAATATTGGAAGTCAAAGAAATGATCTGTCCCTGTTTGAGGAAACTCACTGAGTCAGTATAGGCGTCCACGTTCTGTTCTTCATAGGCATCTAGAAGTTTCTGGAAGGGAAATGTTCACGTTAAACTTCTGTACGTGAGAAAAGCTGCATCAAGACAGGAAAATATGCAGATAAAACAGGTTATGACACACGGACTGTATGTCTGTTAGCAGTCATTACAAAACCATCACATTTAATTTAAACATATTTCTATTTCAGGGGGTGGGAGGTGGCCCTGAATTGGACTAAGGCGAGGGCAAAGCATCTTTATTTATTTAACACATTTAATTCCAAGAAAACTCAATGTGCCTTAAAAAAAAAAAAAAAAGAGCAGCATAAAAACAAAAACAAAAAAAAGAAAAAACAATCAAAAGCAGGAGCTACAGATAAAGTTTAAAATCATTAAAAAGAGCTCAGCCATGAGCACATGAACAGAAAAATGTTTTTAACCCCGAATTAAAAGTGTTTACAGTCGGGGTGAATGTTGTAAAGAAACAAGGCTGCTGTAACAATCCTCCTTTAGTTTCTGATTAGAAGCAGACAGATAAGCCGACTTCATCTTCACAGCCGCGCTGAGCGACCACATCAGGGGGAAACAGGAAACTAACATGTTACCCACTGAACGGTTTGTTCAGTCGAAAATGTCTTTGTCTGTCTTAGAGATAATAGTTTATGTTGAAAACCTTGAACGTGTGATGAAGTGAATCCTACCTTCAAAAGCTTGCATTCTCGAGAGTCTGAAAAGGCCGGAAACATTTCTTCGTACTTCTGAACAGCGAGCTGATCGACAAGAAGATGAATGTTAATAAAAAAGGGTTTGTTTGACTCTCGCTGTGCGTGGATACCTGACCTGTGTTACAACTTACTTTAGCGTTCAGCATGTCGACACAAAAGTGACAGAGCGCCGCTTTGAAGAAGTGATCCTTGGCACTGTATTTCAGGAGCGTACTGTCCATCGCATGAGTCCCAACCTAGAAAAATACAACTGATGGTTCAGACTGTCTGATTTAGACCCTGTGGAGAAACTTCGGCAGACTAAGATCTCTGAGAGACAATTTTTATGGTAGTGCTATACTCTATATGTATGTATTTAAACTTCTCATGCAGTCTATGGATTTTGGGTTCATACAGTTTCAATGTTTTCCAGTAGGTGGCTCCACCTGCATTAAAGGCAGGAGTGTTTCCTTGTCTCTGATGTCGCTGATTAGAGGCAGGTGTGTGAGTGTTTGTGATCAGTGAAAGCATACAAATCTTTGACCGTCAATTTGTTTTTTTGCACTTTTCAAGGATGAATCTGTATCTTTTCATGCAATTGTGCATTTTGGAACTTATGCTGTAAATAAACTCATGGTGGATTATTATTGTAGTGGACCCGTGGAGCCTAATTTTATTATTGACAAGCGGCCTGTGAACTCGTCACTCAGGTGTTGAGCCGGTTTCAGACGCCTCTAGGCTTGTAGGTTTATTGTTTTTTTCTAGTAAGTCAAGACAACACAATCTCAAACACACCTGTTCGTAGATCTCAATTGCTTTTGGATACTGCTCCAGCTGAGCTGCGTAGGTTGCTACTTTCAGAAGGCACTTGTTTGCTGAACTGAAAAATGAATGTGTAAATTATCGGTCAGTTCAGCAGTCACACAAAATTCAAAACGTTTCATTAGAAACAAAAATATTGAGGAAACAGGTGCATTTCAGTGAATGAGAACATCAAGACAGAATCTGATTTGAAATAGTCACCTGGTGGATTCTTCACCTTTGTAATAATCTGCTGCCTGTTCATAATGAGCGATGGCCTGGAGTGTATATTGAACAAAAGCATGTTAATGACAGCTACAAGCACAAGGTTAATTAAAAACAGCATAAATAATTATTAGTTCGTCTTAAATCTTCGAGTTAAATCTTCGATCAAAGACACTGACCTTGTCGATGTCCACCAGCTCTGTCTCGTATATTTCTGCGATGGTGATGTGATGTTTGGCTGCGATGGTGAAGCGCCCCTAACAGATAAAAAAAACACATGAGGGTAGACATCAACACGTTTAAAAAGTTCAGAGAAATTTCAAATGTTTTAAGCAGCTTTTATCGTTTTCACAGAAACAGCTGCAAATTCATAACCTCACCATGTCGGTGTAAATCTCAATCGCTCGATTTAAGCAGTTTATGGCCTCTGTTAAAAGAAATAAAAACACTCAGGCATAGTGACACATTTCATGGACATCACCCAGAGAACTGATAAAAACTGAAGAAGAAAGTGAACACTGGCTTTTTTACAAGATCATAAAATCACAAGTTCAAGGCCAGCGCCTGTTCAAAACTGTTCCTGTGATTAAAAGTGGGTTTGACTCAGTAACTTCGTCCTTTTCTTTCAATTTTAAAGAAGTTATTTGCCCGGAATTGTGTGAGTTACCTGCACCACAGCAGGAGTAGTGAATAGTTACGTTATTTCAGTATTTTTTTCTATAAAAACCTTCATAAAAATATGTGACTGTCAAGAGGACAAGATAGGGCAGCTTGTAAAAAGAGTGATACTAGTCAGCACTTGTGGCTCAATACCCAAGGTCAGTGGGGAGTAATAATTACCTTGGGGATCTGCTTTTTTGAAGGCATTTCCAGCATCTATGAAATTTGTTGCAGCATCATGTTTGCCCTGCATCTGGAGGTGAAGGCGGGCCGCCTGGGAGAAAGCGTTACCTGCAGCTGAAAGGAGAATACTTCATATTAAAGGAGGAACAGTCTTTACAGATTTAGCCATAAATTACACTTGTCTATTATAACTGTATTTGTCATTCTTACCACACCAGTTTTTGGCCATTTTGTACATGTTTGCAGCCCTCACATACATGTCACAGGCCTCCTCCATCTTCGAGGAACCCCTGTGTGAACGCAGAAGTGGTTAGTTGAGAAAAACTAGTGCTGAAAGTAGCTGAAATTTTCATCCCCAGTCCCATTGGCAGGTTGATGTTAAACACAAAAGCAATAATGTTAAAAGTACAAACAACATGACTAAGACAGGAGAACAATGCACTGACAACATACACATAATATACATTAACAACGTACACAGACCAAAAACTAAGTGACCAATAGTAAGGGAACCAAAAAGATTAAAGGAGAATTGTAAAGTGCTAAAATGCTAATTAGAGTGTCATGTGCTAAACATGTTTGTAATGCCATTTGTTACAGTACAGCTTCTTAAAGTGACGAGTGCATCAGTGCGAAATTACATTGAACTGCACGATGCGCGGTACAGTGCAAGGTTGAATTGAATTGCATGATGCCCAAAGCACACGACTGCACTAGCAGATGTGCGTCTAAAATTGCTCATGGTTTGTATATATAAATGTATCATGTATACCCTTTAGTAACAAATTTGCATACATGACTGAGAATATGTACGCCAGAACAAATTAAGAGTGATTCCCCAAAGCAATTAGCCAATTGGACATGACAAACAAACAATTTTAGAAATGATTATGATGGCGGGTCTGGTTTTGTGTTGCATATTGTGTATACACTTTTATATTATCTCTTTATTTTTTACTTATTTTATCTATTTATCTCTTTATTTTTACGTATTTTATCCATTATTAATCTACTCTTCCTACTTAATGTGCTCTGGAGTTACTGTGAAAAACAGCAGTTTCCCCCTGGGGATGATTAAAGTATTTCTGATTCTGATTCTGATGTGGTGGACATGAAATTTACCCTCAGGACCGACTGTCTTTGCGGGAATTAAGCAGCAGGTGGCGCTAAAGAGAGATTAAAACTAATGTTTACTGTGAATACACGGCTTTAGTGTTTATATCAAATAACTAATTCTGCTGACAACTAACTAACATGACAGAAAAACATACTCCAAATCACATTTATCGACCAATATTCCCCACAGACAGAGTTATAATATTAACTCACATGTTATTTTTATATTCTGTCAGCTGATTGAAGAGAACACCGAATAACACTACAGCTTTCATATTTCCATTAACAGTTAAACATTAGTCTTATACCAGCCCCTTTTGTTAAATATTAGTGTTTTTATCTCAGATGTTTTTATTAACAGATGTTTTTCCTCCTTCCGCTTACTTGGCCGTTAGCCTTCTGGACAAAAATTAGCTCCCCGACAAACTCACCCAAACATCGCTCCGAAAAACGACTGCGACGATCTCACTTTCTTGTCTGCCTCCGCCATTAAGGCTGTTGCCTCCTTATCTTTCCCGCTGTTGTCCATTTTTGTCCTTGTGTGGAGGAGAAATCGGTGAAATCTGAAGTATCAACAAACGTGCTAACCAGTGTTAGCAGCAGCAGAGGGTTCAGTTTGCCGTGTCACATCATCAGCCGCAGAGCGTCACCCCCGTCACGTGACAGGGGAAAGAGTACTGCTGCGTTCAGGTACTCTACGTAAACTCCGACATCCACCTTCGACACAACGTAATGTTCATTCAACTAGAGCTTTCAGTCGACGATTATCAATGACCAAGACTGTAATCGTCAATAAAATGCTTGGATTGACAAAAACTAGATTGCCAAACTCGTTTTTGTTCACTGAAATAAAAATAACAATAAAAACGAGGGTTTACTAAAAATCTGACTGATATTGAATTGTCTTTTAAAAACAACCCCAAAAATCCTATACATGCAAACGGCTCATTTTAGGTCTGTTTTTGAGAAAGGTTTTACTTTTTTATTTCATGTAGTTTCATCTATTTTTTTTAGGTTTGATGGACTGTGCATTTATTATACATTACCTTTTTTACCCTCGCGGATCTTCCAGTGTTACAGGTTTGAACCAACAACTTCAGAAAACGAAACTGAAAATAATTAAAAGTAAAGGAAATAAAAACAAAAACGAATGAATGTTCAAAACTATTATCTCCTTTTATTTTGGTGATATTTAACTCGGGTCTAGAGACATGCCACAACTGCAGTGTCATATATGACTGTTGTAAGTGGTTTGTTTTTAATGTAGCTTCCATTTTAATTAATGATATAAAAGCAACATTTCATTACTTTTACTGTATGAATTGAGATAATACGTATGACCTCATTTGATATAGGCTAAAAATCTCAGCTGCAGCTATCAATGTATTGTTCATCAAACTAAAACTCTTCATTTCTGTCAGGATTTTTAAGAACACTTATAAAAAAAAAATTGGTACGTTCTGGTCATTTCTACTTCTTCTCATTTAGTGTATAGATGATGTTGTAACAGAGTTGGGTTTACATATAAAATATCTAAGAAAGTCCGACTTGATAAGGGAGGGCGGAACTGAATCTCTTGGTTGTTTCTGAAACCAGAACAGAGAGCCTTCTTTCATTAGTTTCCTTGCGGCATTTCTGAGAAATCATGATGTCCTGCTGGATGATTTTCTCGCCTTTTCCCTTTATGGCTGCTTAGTGACTGCTTAGTGTGTAAAAATATCATGTCTTATTTATTGAGTAGATTGTGTGGAGTTTGTTCTTCTACTTTCCATGGTGATGGTTTAGCTGTTTGTTCACCTTGTGTCTTCTTGATTATGGTCATAATAGAACTAAAGGATAAAATATACTTACCATTCACCCCTTAAACATTTCATTTAAATTATGAGAGTAACAAAGTCAGCGGTGACCTGTAAAGTTTGGATCCTCCCTGTTTCAAGAGTTTCTCATAATATATAACATTATTCCAGATTCTGAGCAGCAAAGCATTACTAGAATATATGAGTTTTGTAAACACATGATCATTAAGGTTGGGCATGCACAATCTTTCACATATCTCAAAAGCTCCAGTTCACCTTTCAGATTTTATAAATCAGCCCGGTAGTTCCAGATCCTACAGACAGGTTTCTGATATTCTCATTAAGCAGTGGTTAATGACGGCCACCACAAGAAGAAGTCCTCATATTCTGAATGTCCCAAATTATCACAACTTATGCAAAACTATGTAGGTCTTTGGTCCCATTGTTTTCCCTGCACACAGGTTCATTCAGCTGATGGTGTAAGTAAAGCATTATCAGTAACCACATCAACATTAATGCTACCATACACAACACATTAATACCCCATACTACTCATGACAAAACCAAGTATTAATCAAGAGACTGTTTGTTTCACCTGGTAGCCACTGCACCTCAATGCAGTAATATTTCTCATCTTTTTCTTTAATATTAATTTTTTAAAATATTGCTTTTTATACTATCAAATGCCATATTTTCTCTGTTTATTGTGGGAATAAAAAGTTCAGAGCTGTGATTACTCTGTATATGATGTGTACAAAAAAAACTTTGGTCACAAGTTGTTATCTTCTATGACTGAGGCATTATCTTGCAAGAATAAGTTACATTCTTGTTTGCACAACATAATAATCTTGAATACACAAGTGATCACCTAATGCACACAAGATATTGACATTGTGTGCACTAGAGTATTTTCTCATATTAGTTATTCAGGGATCATAATATAATGCGCAACAAGTAAGTTTTGCCACCAGATCAAGAATAAAAATCTATGGAAAAGACTTATTCCTGTAGGATAATTAACTTGTTCCCACTCTATAATAACATGAGCAGACAAATTATTCAGACAGCATAATCAGGCTATTATCGTGTGCATTAGTTAATATTTTCTGTGGACGAGTTATTGAGTTATGTGCATAATAAAAGGTTGTATTTTTGAGGACTTGGGGGTCTCCGCACATAATCTCGACAAAAACAAACATCTAAAAAACATTTTTAAAAAAAACATGCTCTGTCACCAGTAGGTGGACAGTCACGCTATCCCAGTTAAAATCAGAATAATTATTGATACGGTGACCGAGAGCCGCCGCTGCTGCAATTAAAAAAGAATGCAAAAAAAAAGAAGCCACAACGGAAGTTACTTGTGCAAAAACAGCAACAACAAAAACAACAAAAGAAACCGAAGCAGGCTGCAAATAAAAAAAGAAACGGTGCAGATTAAATAAAAAAGAGAAAATAAAAGGATGCAAATAAAAAAAGCCACAACGGAAGTGAGCTGCCGAGGACCGATGAGGATGATGCACCGGTTTTTCAGTTAGTTAGTTTATTGTCCACAAGTGGAAATTTGTCTTTAGTCTCATCGTGTACAAAAAAACAGATAAACAGCAACAAGAACAGCAGCAACAGACACATAACAAATACACATGAAACATCTTGGCAGCAAAAGAGGGAGGACAACCGTGGCATGTACTGTACATAACATTTTACAATCTGAGCACAGAAGACGACGATGAGCAAAGCAAAGAAGTAAGTGGAAAGGTTATTGTTTAATTTCACTTTGTGTGCTTGTCAATGTGTCATTTGGTTAGGTGCCAAATGTAGCACCTGAGTCCATATTAAGTAGAACTGGAGGATGTCGGTGTAGAGTTAGCTTCTGTGAAAACTGTTTTTTTGTAAATAAATGTCTTACTCCTTCACCCATGTGCTTCTCACCTTCACAAACTCCATGAATTGATGCCATAGACCTTATATAGGACGCTGTCTACCTCCTCGCTGGGTGAGCTACTCCGAGAACAGCACCCTCTGGTGACCGGCTGCAGTATAGGTCATAAATCCCGCCTCCTCCGGCAATCCTCAAGGAGCTGTGGACAAACTTTAGAAATTAAATTAAACAGAATATAAATGTTTCTCCCCCCTGGTTGTGATGTTGACATGTAGTTACTGTCAGACTGGTTTGTGCTCAAGTCCTCTTTTTTCTGTACAGCTCCATTTTTAAAAGTTATTAGGGGGTTCATGCTTTCTATGATTGACACTTGATACAGCCTATTGGCATACAAAGATTGTGTAGCTCACCCGAGGGATACGCTGTTTGAGCCAAGCGTACAACGCTACTGCGCAATGTTGGTTTTATGAAGTGGAGAAAAAACACGAAATTACAGAGAGCTTTTTGGCTTCAAATCTGAGACTTTTTTTGGCGTGCTATATTATCAAGACAGTTATATTTACACTCATTTTGTTGGTTTGCAGGGATGAACAACATCCCGAAATATATGCAGATACACTAGTGAAGGACAAAACTATGGCTGTGTCCGAAATGAATCATCACAGCAACTCTTGCGCAGAATGCGCACAACACTACTGCACGGCACTGGTTTCAGGAAATGAAGAAAAATCCCAGAAATAACGAGAGCTTTTTGGCTTCAAATCCGTATACAGTCGGGAGGCGGAACCAAGTTGTCCATATTATATACAGTCTATGGTAGTGATCTAAAATATGACAAATGGCTCACCCTACCCCGCTCTCCCCTATTGAATTTTAGCCTGAGGAAAAGGGGAGTAATGCCTAGATAAAAGCTGTGGAGATTGCGATGTCAGACGATCGTATATAAATCAAGAACATACTCTTTATGTAAACATGTCAGAAATAGCCCGGACTTCACTATTTTGTCACTGTCTATATGTCAACAACTCGAACAAACAAATATGTGAATGCGACGTTGAGTCGCAGATTTCAGTCAGGCGAACGGAAGCGTCCTGTTTCCTGTCTGTAGTTGGGTCCTGTACAGCAGCCCGTGCGAGGCTGTCCTGGAGACCCCGCGCTGCCTGCACCTCTATCGTCTCGGGTGAGTTTGTTACATTGTAGCAATTTCACTATAAATCTGAAAAACCGCTACAAAGCTGCGACATCCGCGCGCTGCTGCAGCAAAGGCGCAAACTGCACCGCTGTAGCGAGCGGAGCAACGCGCCGCTGCACCGAGCCCGCAGTTAGAGTCATTTTCTAGCGAATTCCCAAGCATTACCCCCCTGATCCAAGAGTATTCCAACATTAACTCATTTGGGCTTGCAAGTACGGACAGATAGCTCGCTACGCAATTTCGTTTAGACTTCCAAACAGCGTGTGCTGCGCCGTCCCAGCTGATTAAAGCTGCTGCTGCGCCGAATACGAGTCTAAACTGAGTCACTCGGTGGTTTGTTTTGAATGTCAAAGGCTAAAGCTAGCTGTACGGCTGGATATTGTTGATAGCAGGGTTAGCTAACTAGGCTAACCAAATTCAACCCAGATGCATCTAAATGCTGGAAGTAGAAGCAGAACATGAACTCGAAACCACTCGTTTATAATCATTAAAACCTTAAATCTCTCTTGAGGCCATTTTATATCGCATTTAGTTGGAAATAGTAAAAATATGCAAGCCAGTGTGTGTGAAAACATCAGCTAGCATGTAGCAAGCCGCTCGATGTGTTTCCATTCATCTCCTGCGTACTGACTCCTCTCTGACCGAGTAATGGCTTCAATCTGCGGCTTCTGAGAGCGGCAACCGGGGATATATCCCCACCGAGAACAAAACAACACGTCTGCATCGAACCCGAGTCACTTTAAGGCTCCGTGTTTGTCAAAGTGAAGCACATCTTTTGTTAATTCGGAGGTGGATTCAGTTCAGCTCACCGCAGATATTTCCAGGCTGAGTGAAGAAAACCGCGCGTTTTCAGTTTGTCCATTTCAACCCTGTTACTGCGTTTATCTGTGGACATTCACCTTTGTTTTAACTCTTCACTTCTCCTTTACAACTAAACCTCATACTTTAGAAATAGATATAAATGTGTATGTTACTGCTAATGCTGACGGATCAGTGTTTTACACCAAAGGTTAAGAGACTCCATCATTTGCATTGTGAATGTTGTGATTATTTATGTTTAACTATGAAGCCTCTATGTTTGTTTATCCTCACATCATTACTGACAATGTAAGCCAGGAAAACTGGTTCTGTCAGAGAATAATAGACACCTGGCATCAACTGAATATCATTGATTGAAAAGACATTTCTCACAGATCAGGTGTCATGTAGTTCAAAAACAAATAACAGGTAAAAAGTTGGCCTTTTTCTACTAAACAAAAGACAAAGAACATTAAATCAGGGCTGCTAGGCTTTGACATGTTGTTTTCAAAGTTGTGAACTAAATGTGTTACTTATGTGAATGAATACAGCACATACTGAAGATACCAAGGGTTCATTAATAAGTAAAAAGGAATATGTGAAATAAATAAAAAAATGTTGGGAAATGAAAGTGTAGAGGGACAAACGAGCAAGCAATAATAAGTAACAGAAAATAATAATAGAGGCACAGTGGTGATGATTTTCCAGGATGAAGTAACACTGATAATTGAAGGTGTGTTAATTAGGACTCAATATCTCTTTATTGTTTGTGTTTAAATTTTTCAAAGAGAATAAAATAGTAACAAAATTATTCTTTATTATATTGAAGGTTAAATTGATCTCAGTTCAAAGCTGGTTAAAGTATCAAGTCTCAGTATTAATGTGATATATGTCCCTTTTATATTGATTAAGACACTCTCACAGTGTGTATTCAACATCGGAAATAGGTTTATTCTCTTTAAAAATTACCTGTGCACAAAGTAAGAATGATTCATGGGGCCAAAGCTTTGCTGAAATGATCCTGAGCATGCCATTTAAAGTTCATGAAACAGTTGTTTATCATAACAAAACAAAATTACTTATTTTTGTACATAAACAGAGAATTTTTTTCTATTTTTTCAAAGGTTGTCATTGGATTTGAATGATTCCTGCATGTCCAAATAAAACTATGAATAAGACCTCAATCAAATCATTCAAAGCCCCAACAAGAAGCTTTCATATCGCAAATTTGTGTGTCTTTGTTTGTGCGATAATAATTTGTATTCTTTATTAATGTGTCATTTTACAGGAGATTTTTTTAATTATTTGAATTATTAATTATTATTCATGTACTTTTGAGTTTTATTACGAAACAAATCGTAAATGAAGTGTTTTATCTGTAACAGTTGTCATGGATGATGAAGACGGCAGGTGCCTTCTAGATGTAATTTGGTAAGCTCTCATCGACTCTGCATTTTATCACCAGCGAGCTTTTGTTTTGCCTTGTATTCATATGAATCACATTGTTCTATCTTACAGTGACCCAGAAGCTCTCAATGACTTTCTTCATGGATCTGAGACCCATGTGAGTACGAGAGTAAAACTTGTAAATTAGAGTTTAAATTGTTGGGTTTGTTGGTTGATGTGGTTCGGAGTGTGGGGATCTTACGAGGTCTGTGCAGCACTTCATTAAGTCACTTTCAGATAACATGTCGATACACACTGAAACCCACTACGCCCCTCACTACTTTATTTTTCATTTAACTGCTTTCCTTGCTTACTCGTTGTCTGCTTTTGATGGCACTGTTTTTTTTAGTCTGCCTTTCCTTATATATAAGTAATCCAAATACTAACGCTTCCAACGCTGTGCTATTCTTATCACTTTGCCCCTCAGTCACTTGTGTTTTTGGTGGTTCTTTACAATCTGGGTTCTCTGGACTGTGTTCTTTCCATTCTTGCCCTCCTCCTCTGTTTGATGGTCCTTATGTTTCTCTATCCTGGTGGCTTTTGCCTGCCTGTGTGGGTGCTTTTGGTTTCTGTCTGTCCTATCCTGGGTGGGTGTGTCTGTAGTTGGACACTGACGACCTTTTGGATGGTTCGAGTGACCCCTCCACCTCGTTCTTCTCTACCACTGGGGTGAGTAAAATCACCCATCCTCTTCCCTCTGGTTTCTATCCATTCATGAAGCATGCACCTCCAAGTACCCTCCCTTTTCCACTAACAGATCAACAAGCTTTAATTTCCTGCAAGGTGATGAGAGGTTTCTGTGGGAATTTCATGTTTGTGTTTCACTCCTCAAAATCAGGCATAGCTCTGTCAAAACTCACCCACCACCTGGTCTCAGTTTTCTTCTCTCCTTCCCTTTCCTTAAGGGCCATGTACCAGAGGTCCAGCCCGCAGTCCAGCTGTCGGTCAATGAGCCGGCAGGCCTGCCCAGAGTCAGTGTGGACCTGGACTTCCTTGAAGATGATGACATCTTGGGGGGATCCCCAGGTGGCGACGGTGGAAGCAATGGCATCGGGACAAATCACGAGCCTTGTGACATCCTGCAGCAGAGCTTGGCTGAAGCAAACATCACAGAGCAAAGCTTACAGGAGGCAGAGGCTGAGCTGGATCTGGGCTCCTTTGGAATTCCAGGCCTTACACAGGTGGTTCAGACACTGCCTGATGCCAGCCTCTCAGGGGCTGGGGGCACCACTGTTGGTGTAGGCATAGGTGTTGGTGTTGGGGGAGCAGCGACAATTTTCCCTGGGTCTGCCCCGAGCACCACAGCTACTCCTCCTAATGCCACGGCAGACATGCTGGGGTCAGTCCTCGCTCAGCAGGGCCTTCAGCTCCAGCCCCAGGTGATGAACAAGGCCATTAGTGTTCAGCCGTTTATGCAGCCTGTGGGCCTCGGAAACGTGACGCTTCAACCCATTTCAAGTCTTCAAGCTCTTCCTAATGGGAGCCAGTCTGGACATTTGGGTATTGGACAGATTCAGGTTGTGGGTCAGCCTACAGTCATGACTATCAATCAGTCTGGGCAGCCAATCCTGGCTAAAGCCATGGGTGGGTACCAGCTGCACCAATCTGGGCCAGAGGTATCAGCTACTGGTCCTCAGGCAGCACTTGGAGGCTCAGGGGGTGGACTTCTGATACAAGGCAACAAAACCACTTTAGGATCCCCAGCTTTAAACGGACCAGCTGTTTGTGTCAGCAGCACAAACAGCAGCAGTGGCGGCACAATGACTGCTCCTGCAGGGCTTGTGGGTTTTAGTGGCACCTCTCTTAGTTCAGGAATTGGACCTCAGACGCAAACTCAAGGCCAAATCATGCAGAACGTGATCATTCAGCGCACACCAACACCCATTCAACCCAAACCCCCCCAGGGGGGAGCCATTCAGCCTAAAATCTTTAAACAGCAACAACAGCAGCAGCAGCCACAACAACAAACACCACAACCTTTACAGAATGATGCCCACAAGACTCTCGGGCTGCAGCAGGTTCCAGTTTCTGCGGCTCAGAATGTAGCCTTTCTGACTGGAAAGCCAGGCTCTAACGTTGTCCTGAGCACTCAAGGCACAACACAAGGCCCTCAGTTTCAACAGACCATATTCAAACAGCAAGCAGCACAACCATCCGGCAAACCCCTCAGTGTACACTTGTTAAACCAATCAGGCAGCATCGTTATCCCCTCCCAGACTGTTCTACAAGGTCAGAATCATCAATTTCTCTTGCCACAGCTACAAGCTGGTGGACAGATCCTGACCCAACACCCTGGTGGTCACATCATAACCAGTCAGGGGCCTGGTGGACAGCTCATTGCAAACCAGATTTTGACAGCAAACCAGAACATCAACCTGGGCCAGGTATTAACTTCACAAGGTCACCCTGGGGCTGCCCACATCCTCTCTGGGCCCATTCAGCTTCAGTCCGGTCAGATGGGAACGCCAACCCTCTTTCAGATGCCGGTCTCATTGGCTCAGAGTCAAAACCAGACTCAAACTCATACGGTCTCAGGTCATGCCCAGACAGTAATACAGGGCATGCCGATCCAGAACTCCCTGACAATGCTTAGTCAAGTAGAGGGGCTGAGCCCTGCTGTAAGTCTCCAGCCAGCCCTGCAAGCCCAGCCTGGTGGACTCCCCAGCAGCAGCAGCAGCACAGGAGCAGCGACCATGACTCAAGGCCAGCCTGGAGAGTGTGTGACTGTGCTGGGTAGCTCCACAGACCAGGCCGCTCACCCCACGCAGCAGCAGCAGCACATACCGCAGTCCTCTATCCTCGCCATGCAACCGTCGTCTTCAGTGTCTGCTGCTTCCACAGTACCCTCCTCTTCTCCGTCCATGTCCGTGTCCACCTCCTCCTCTGTAACAGCAGTGGGGCTGGTCCCCCCTCAGGCTCAGCACAGTCCAGGGAGGTTACTCTTCACCAACCAGGGCTCGAGTATGATCCTGAGCCCGGAGTCTCTTCAGATGTTCCTGCAGCAGGTCAGTGTTTCAGGATTCGCTTCAATTGCGTTCAGTTAACATTGTCTCTAAAAAATGAATAACATGCACGGAGTGATATCTCAGTCTGACCTCTTTGGTTTACTATTTTACTCCCCCTCCCCTCCAACTCCCTTTCTCCTCCCCTCCTTGGTCCTGAAACGGTAAATACACTCCTATCAGGAGCAGCACCACCAAACAGAGAATGAGTCCACCCCCACAGTGGGCGTACCAGCGTCTGTTATCGTCAGCAGCAACAACATCACTGCTCCGGCCCCCGCTGTCCATGACAGCCAATTAGCTGACTCTTGGGTGGGTCAGAGCCTCAGCCCTTCCCCTGGCCCCTCCCACATAACAGCAGTGGTAAAGCAGGTAGAAATGCCCCTTTATGTCAAGCCCCACCCACTTGTTGCTGCTGCTGCTGCCACAATGTTAGGGATTCTTACCTTTCCCCATCACTGCTCTCTACTTCTCTCCTGCATCACTCATCGCTTTCACACTTCCTGAGCTCAAATTTTACTCACTGCTTGCAGCTTCTGTTTGTTTCTGACATCGCTCTCTCTGCTGTATGTAAATGCATTTTCACTCCAGTTGTCTTTAAAGGGATATTCCGGCGTAAAATTGATTTAGGGTCAAGAACACCATAACACAGAGTTAGACACCCCCTCGAGAGATGAATGTTGTCGACCGCTTCCTCTCTAGTTATACCAACTTTAGTAATGACCGCACGATAGCAATACAGAGAGCCACGCGCTCAACCAAAACGCCACTCTATAGCCAAAAATAATGCTCAGAACAGCACCTAACTTCATCAACAGGACATATAGGGTCACAGATATAGTACTAGCCAGTCCATTACAGACTACAGTGGGGTGACGCAGCTCAAGGAACAACATTTATGATCATTTCTTTATCATTTCTTTTAAGTAATAATCACCATATTAATCTTTTTCACTGCAGACGCGGTAGTTATTCTGCCTTAGCGTCTCAGTCTGATTGTATTTCCATGAAGAAATGATCATAAATGTTCTTTACCTTTCCTGTAATGGACTGGCCCAAATAAGCGGCTGCTGGAAGAGAGTAGGTGAGTTGTGTTTGGTCTCTTTGCTAAAGAAATGAGTCAAAGTTAAAAAGATGTTTGGTGTCTAGTACTATGTCTGTGACCCTATATGTCCTGTTGATGAAGTTAGGTGCTGTTCTGAGCATTATTTGTGGCTATAGAGTGGCGAGTGCCGGTCTCTCTGTATTGCTATCATGAAGTCGTTACTAAAGTTGGTATAACTAGAGAAGCAAGCGGTCGGCAACATTCATCTCTGGAGGGGGGGTCTAACTCACTGTTATGGTGTGTTTGATCCTAAATTAATTTTACACCAGCATATCCCTTAAAGTGTTGTGTGTCAGCCACTGTGCTCTTTGAATAATCAACTACATGCACCTCTAACAGAGTTTGTACTACCAACTAAGAGCCCACTCATTTTTTTTTTAACTTACTGAACTAATTTGGAATGATCCTTTTTTTCATTTATTAAAACAGAAAATAAAAACCATGTTCATGCTTGATAGAGGAGCTGCCAAGGTGTAAACTCGATCCTTTTTTACTAACACTCTGCTGAATGAAATCCAAGCGGCTCACCTGGCTTGATAGACTGAATTAAACTCACCTTCATCTGCTGCATTATTGCCCATCGACTTGATTAGTAACACCACACCTCTCTATCCTGCACCTGTCATTTAGACTCATGTACTAAGAGCGACACAACCCGTGTAACCTTGTCTGACGAGTGTAATGATCCCACAACGATGATTACATGCTCCCCTGATCCCAGTCCTTAAAAATCTCCGGATCACCTCCTACTTCACCATCACGGGCCCTGCAGATCTTGACTTCTTGCTTCTGTGAACTTATTTTTCTTTTTTGGCTCGCTAAATGATCATCGTGGCCTTTTGTGTCTAATCTGCCGACCCTTTTGTTGTTAAATCTGCTCTAAACGCTAGTCATGTGTTAGTGAGCTTCTACTACTTTTGTGCGAATTATAAAGTCTAACACTTTTTGGTGTTTGTAGTTTTGTTTCTGGGTTGGGCGATATTTCAATATTTTCTAAATTCAGAAAATGCAAATATTTTTGCTATAAAGAGTTTTTATTATGCTTATTTACACCTTAAAACAACATGCAAACAAATCCCACACACATTCAGAACAGAAACACACAACAAAAAAATCATCAAAAAACTTCTTTTTAAATTCAGTATAATTATAAAAATATGATCATATTGGTGTGTTTCTGCAAATTAACATTTATACCAATTAAGATATTTTTTTGAAGAGTTTTGTTTGTTTTATTAAAAATAGGAAACAAAATCATTTATGAAATCCTGATTTAAACTTTATCGCCCAGCCCCGTTTTGTATCCAGACTCAGATTTCAAACCGTAGAATAAGAGAACAATTAAGATCTACTCTGCATGCACCGTATTGTTTCTGTTTCTGTGCTTAATGTTCTGATTTTCTAAATACTGTCTGATTTTTTAAATTGAATTTATTAAGCATATCAGTATTTTGTGGTTCCAAATCCTCAGGTACCCTCTGGTGGACCGAAGCAGCCCCTGAAGATCCAGGGCATGTCCCCTTCACCGGCCCTGACCAGTCACACTACAGCGCCTCCTCCAGTAGCAGAAAGCCCCCAGCCTTCCCAGTCCCCCCTCACTCTGAGCCAGCAGATCCAGTCACCGCATCACCAACAGCAGTCGCGCCCTCCCTCTCAGCCTCAGCCACAGACTCAAACCTCCTCTCGCTCATGCACACCTTCCTCTCATCCCCCGCTCTTTATTGTCCACAACCAAATTGCAGAGTCCTCTCAGTCTGCTCCGCAAGGCCAACCACAGCAGGCGCAGGCCCAGCAGGCGCACATTCAAGTTCAGCTTCAGCCTCAGCCTCGGCCAGCTTCCCAGCCTGCCCCTTATCAGCAAGACATGCCACCTGTGTCCCAGTCCCCCAAACCTCCCCCTGTACCACCTGCACAGCACCAGTTTACCGCTCCTCCTGTCAGCACTTCTGCCGCTGCTGTAGTCAAAGCCCAGGTTCCCGTCCAGGGCCTGACAGCAGAGCAGCAGCACCACCTGCAATTAGTGGGAGCACAGATTCAGACCCTGTCAGGCATCGCCCAGCCCTCACCTCAACAAAAACAGCTGCTGGATAAGCTGCACCAGGTATCGTCCCGGAATATTTTGGTTAAATAAGAAGCATTTTCATTAAGGTGGTTCATTATGAATTTCTTTTTTGTTAAATGTCCTTTTTTGTTGTTCTCAGGTCCAGCAGAACATCCTGCTGCAGGCTAAACAGTCTGCACAGTCCCAGCCTCAACCTCAGCCTCAACCTCAGCCTCAAGCCACCAGTCAGTTCAGCTCTCAGCAAGACGTGCCTGTTGACAAAGTGGTGCTTGCAACAACTTCCAGCACTGGTACACCTGCGCAGCTTCTGTCAGTGCTGCAGCCCGCATCAGTGCTTGTCAAAACGCCTGCAACAGGTCGGCTGCCGTCCCTTTAAATAACGCAAACTGACAGGCTGTAAAAAAACGTTGATGTATTTGAGTTTCTAATGTTTTGTTTCTGTTCTTCACAGCACCAAGTGACTTACAGGTATTCTCAGGAGCCCAAGGGCCAGCTGGATCTATGGTGAATCAGACTGTCACTCCTGCTAGCCTTACCCAGCCTGCCCAGGTGGGTCACATCAGGGTTTTTTGATGTATTTGAACTGGTCAGACGTTTCCCACCACACCGTTCTGGGTTTTTAAAGCGGACTGCATCAATTGATGAGCACTTTTCAAGTCTCCCATGAACTACAATTCACACCCACTCACACATATTCATGTGCTGATAGCACAGGATGCTGTGGGGAGTATCTTTCACTATTATTAACCCCATTCACATACACTTAAGAGCAGTCGGGAGTTTAGTGTGTCCCCCCCAAAGACACTTTGATTGCAGGGACTAAACCACCAACAAAGACAGTCGACTCTGACTCAGAAACCAGGGTTTTTGCTGGGTCTTAAAAAGTCTTAAAACATCCAGTAAGTTAAATTTAAGGCCTTAAAATGTCTTAAATTCTCTTAAAACCTCATAAAATGTCTTAAATACAAGTTTGAATACTGATGTTACTTACAGATAAATATTGATTTAAAGTTGGTTTAAAATGTTCTGATTTCTCTTCATGTCTTTTGTACTTTTTTGCCAGTTTGGATGCAAAATGGGTCTTATGTTGTTTTCATTATGGTCTTAAAAGGTTTTAAAAAGTCATAAAATGTCTAAAATTCTCTTAAAAACAAATTAGAACAGTCTTAAAAATATTTTTATGTTAGTTAAAAATGTTTCTTTAAACTGTTCCCATTTCTTTTCATGTCTTTTGTACTTTTTGCCAGTATGGATGTAAAATGGATCTTAAATTGTTTTTATTTTGGTCTTAAAAAGTCTTAAATTCGACTTTTGGTGAAACCTGCAGAAACCCTGTAAAGTCACCTCTGTTTGATCTGATTTTGTCTCAGGTTCAGCCAAAGCCGGGGGTGATCAGCTCAGTAGGAGGGATGACTGTGGGGAAAGGTGGGATGCAGATCCAGGTGCTAGGAACTAGTCTGACTCAAATGCCTGCTCCACAGCCCCCAGCTCCGGTACAAACTCAGGTAACAAAAAAACAAAAAATAATGATGCCTAAAAAATAAAAATAAAAACGTACTCTACTATTTTAAAACCTAACCTTTATTCTCCATGTTTGTTCACATGGTAGACAACAACAATGAAGATGCCTTTCAGTGCAGAGCCAAGCAAAGAAGCCAGGTGTGTGTCCTGCCTGCAGTTCACCGTCTTTTCTCGAACTCGCTCATAAATCCGTTTTTTCTAAATCCTGTTTCTTTCTTCACATCCGACCACAGGATGCTGGAGCAGCTGAGGAAACAGCAGGGTTCAGTGCTTCATCCAAACTACAGCGCTCCTTTCTGCTCTTTTGAGGACACACTGCACAGACTGCTGCCTTACCATGTCTACCAGGGAACTGCCAACTCTTCTCAAGACTATCAGAGAGGTAATGAGCGCCGCAGCTCACACCGAGGAGGTTAACAGCTCCTGTAAATGCTTGTAAATTTACACTCTGGCTCCTCTCGTTCACAGTGGATGATGAGTTTGAGAAAGTGTCTTGCCATCTGCTGAAAAGGACCCAGGCGATGCTGGACAAATATCGCCACCTGCTCTTCGCGGAGTCAAAAGTAAGTTTTTAAACCAGCTTCATAACCCGTAACCCTTCAGTCCTCCTCTCCTGAATTGATTTTGAAGTTTTTGCGTTTGATGTTTGAACCTGAGCAGAGACTAGGCCCCTCGGCAGAGATGGTGATGATCGATCGGATGTTCATTCAGGAGGAGAAGATCGCGTTAAGTCAGGACCGAGTTTTAGCCAGAGAGAGACCAGGTACGCTCCCGGAGTCTGTCGACACTCACTGTCCTGTTGTTGCCCTGATCTTTTTAAACAGTATCATGTTTTTCTTTCGTTGCAGAGGAGTTTGTGGCGAACGCACGTATTTTGGAGGGAGTACTGTCGTCCCAGCAGAAACCATCTTCTGCTGAGCCCGCCCCTGCAGGTGGAAGTGTCGCAGCTGCTCCCGCTCCAGCGCCCTCCGTACATCCACCTCCTGCGTCAGCCTCGGCTCCTCTTCCAAAAATTCCTCCAAATCCTCCGACTGCAGCCACCCAAGCTCCTGCTCCAGCTTCGACTCCCACTCCCACTCCCGCTCCCGCTCCTGCTCCTCCTCCGACCTCGGCGCCTCCTGTCCCGCTTTCCACCGCCCCTTCCGCCACCCCTTTCCCCCCCACCAAGCTAGTAATAAAGCACGGTGGCGGCGGAGCCTCTGTGTCCTGGTCCAGCAGTTGCCCCCCTCCTCCGGCTCCGGCGACCAGCCAGAGCTCCAGGGTTCCGGCGGCGATGTCCTCTCTTCCCTCTTCGTCCCTCAACGCTAAATCAGCTGATGACGACGTCGACGCTCTCCCGCAGAGAACCAGCAAACCGCCTATGAAGACCTACGAGGCTCGCAGCAGGATCGGCTTGAAGCTGAAGATCAAACAGGATCAGACCGGGTTCAGTAAGGTGGTCCATAACACGGCCTTGGACCCTGTGCACACACCTCAACCTCAGCAGAGCAGCCAGTCCACGCCGCCACCGCCGCCGCCTCAGAGTCAGCCGCGGTTTGAACCCGCTGTGACGCACTCAAAGTCGCACCCTTTACCGACCCCTTCAAACACGGTCATCAGAACTCAGTCCCCTGTCTGTACGGCGCCCTCCGCCTCACCGGTCACCACGACGACCACTCAAAGTAACCAATCGCTGAGAGGTAGTGTGACCCACAACGCCGCCCCATCTTCCACCTCCACCTCCTCCCATACTTGGTCATTCTCCACGTCGTCTTCTTCTTCTTCTTCTTCCTCCACCCAAATGAACGGCACGTTGGATCATCACGGCGGCGGAGGTGGAGGAGGAGGAGCCAAACACAACTCAAACTCCACTGCCACTCCCTCTCAGACCACCTGTCGACTCCCCCTTCGCAAAACATACAGAGAAAACGTCAGTCCCCGAGTCCGACCTGGTGTCCCTGGGGGAGGAGATGAAAGTTTCACCTACCACAGACCGACGCCGTCACCCCCCAGGCACGAGGCTTCCTCTCCGCCCTCAGAAAGGACAGTGATAGCGAGCGTGAAGGTGGAGAAACGGAGCAGGGACGCCTCGCACATTCACACAGAACCAAGCCACGAAACAGGCCGCTATGGGAGTGCAATGACGGGGCTGGACGAGATGGACGAGGTGTTTAACCGTGGGATCAAAACCACGCAGCAGCATCATCTTCCTCAGCTCCTGGAGAAGGACGGGACGAAGGAGAAAGGGGAGGAGCGCGCTGACCAAGAGAAGGACGTAGGGAAATACAAACGGGCGAGCGGAAAAAACAGACACATGGCAGGTGGGACATTCAGAATGGACCAGCACGCCCCTGGGCCTCCCTCTCCTGAGTCCTCTTTCACTCGAGACTCTTTGCTTCCTGCCAAACGCTGCAAGTCGGACTCTCCCGACATGGATAACGCCAGCTTCTCCAGCGGCAGCCCCCCCGACGACTCTCTAAACGAGCACCTGCAGTGCGCCATCGACAGCATCCTGAACCTGCAGCAGGAACCTTCTGCCCGCGGACAACACATGAAAGGGGGCAACAGCAGGCCCCACCAACACCAAAGCCAGCGCCCGGGGGGCTCAGCAGCCTCATCCCACAGACCCTCAGTCCCGCCCTCCTCTTCATCCTCGTCCTCCTCCTTGGCCCAGCACCCTCAGGTCGGTGGTCGAGGCCATAACGGCAGCCTAGTGCCCCAAACTCAAAGCAGATAACAGCCCCTCAGCCAAAGGCCAGACTGACAAAAGGGGAACTGAGAGACAGACGTGGAGGCGGGGGAAGAGGGGCACTGTGAACGCAGTAAAACTGTAACTCTGCCAAGCTGTGTGTTGGTTGTTTGTCCATTTGAATTGTCCAGACATTTCTGTGTCGTTTACAGCCTGAGCTAGACCTGCGGTCAAACGGCGAGAGCGTGGTCACAGGTGACACTATCTTTGTGAAGTGCAGACATATTTCTGTTTGTGTTTTCTCAGCCAAGATCGAGCGGTTACATGAAACGGTCATCTCTCTCTCTTTGTCCTCTAACCTTCTTCTTCTTCTTATTATTATTATTATTATTATCCACTATTCATACATTCCTTTAAATCGACCCCACAGCAGATCATCTCCTGGTTTCAGCGATGAGACAGTGAGCATCAGGCAGCTAAATCAAGCAGATCAGAAGTCAGAAACTTTCCTTTGGTCGGATACTTAGAAATTGGGGAATCAGAGTTTATACTGCAAAACACCGTAATACTTGGTGTCTTTGCAAAATGGGATTTTGGCTTACAGTAAAATGCTGCCCCCACAGGAGAAAGTGGAACAAGTTAAAATGTTAAAGTGTCCACCTCTAATAGAGACAGACTATTTCTGATATTAAATAATTAAACATGCTAAGTAGGGATGTCCCGATATGATATTGATATCGGATATCGCTCTGGTATCAGCCAAAAAACAAATATTGCATTTAATATCAGCTCTCCGATACAAGCAGTCCATTCCAGACTCTTCTCTGGCACCTCAAACTACCAACACCCGGTTCCAGCTTGTAGAGCCCATGTGATCACAACAACAGTGTGTACTAATGCTGCGTTCCAGTTACCTCTGAAGTCAGAAGTCGGAGCTGAAAATGACGTCACATCCGAGTTCACAGTGTTTCAGTTACAAAGTTGGATAAAAAGCAAAATCGGAGATGAAACAAGATGGCTACATCTACCAAAGTTAATTTAGCGCTAGTCTTATAGACAAGGCAAGTGCTAGAGTAACTTTTGTAGATGTAGCCGTTTTGTTTCCACCTCTTGATTTTGCTTTTTTCTGACTTGGGAACTGAAACGCTGGGAACAAACAAAGTTAAAAGGAGTCGGAATTGATGTCGGCTGTGTGGCAGAATTTTTCGTTTAAGTTCTAAAAGTTTGTGCCAATATCGAATCAATATCTGTATCGGCTGATATCGAAGGCTACAATATCTGTATCGTATCGGAAGTAAAAAAAAACAGTTGTATCGGGACACCCCTAACGCTAAGCTGAGTTTCGACACTCTCGGTCTGTAATCGATCATGTTCATCAGAAACTCCCGCAGCCTGTAACTGAATCAATATTTTAAAGTTTGAGAGAAAATTCAGGGTTCTGACAGGATGTAAATAAGAGTGAAAGGACTTCAGTTCTGCTCCGGCTCCAACATGATTTTCATGGTTTCTTGTTTTCAGACTCACACACACACATACCCACCCTCTTGCTGCTCGTAATGTCAGGTTAGGACATGAGGTGTTCAGTCAGCAGGGGGCAGGCTAGTTTAAACGGATGGATTTACCTGTTCTCAGTCTGTTTTATCTCTCTCTCTCTCTCTCTCTCTCTCTCCCTGCCTCCTCCTCTCTGTGTCGATCTTTTTCGCGGCCTGGTGGACAATTCAAACACAAACACAGCACAAGCATTAAAATGGAAAAAAGGAACAATAATAATGTACAAAAAGACTGTAAGAGAATTTGAAGTATAGTATTACAGATTAATTTTGTATTGTATTTATTGTGTATAATGACACTTTTTAAAAAGAAATGTACATTTAGTAAAACTGTAAATTAAACCTTGCTTCTTTTATGAAACATTTCTCATCCTCCTGTCATTTGTGCAGCGGTTTTGTGGCGGGCGCATTCCTCAGCATGACTAACGGTGACGGAGGAGTGCGGTATCAAAGTTTAGGAGGGGATGGTGGGGTGTGTTCTCCATCCGGCAGCCAGCAGGTGGTGCATCGAAGTGGAAAAGCGGAGTGTTTGTGTGCTCGGTCGCCATAGAGGGTTCACAGAGTTTGGGAGGAGCAAAAGAGGATAAAGCTCTCGACTGTAAAAGCATGACCTCTTACTGTATAAAAAAAAACACTAAAAACACAGAGGAGGTCGAGGCTGGAAGAGTCCATCACGAGGTTTTGTTTGCATGAGTACTCTGAAGTTATATCATGATTTAAAAAAAAAAGACTCCACCCAAATTTTATATTCAAACTCCCCCCCACACCTCCTCCTCCCTCAGGTCCACGCCCTCGGACCACAAGTCAGATCATCCCTGCCCTGATCCGAGGGTTAGAGCTGCCCAAAGTGTTGCCAGGCATCCCTGAACGAGGAGGAACACTCGAGCAAAAGAGAGAGAAAGTTCACTTCAGCTGTGGGGAGTGCTGCTGCTGCGAGTGCGTGTGTGTGTGTGTGTCTCAGTGTTTGCCTTGTGCTCTCTCAGCAAGCAGACTGCAGACTCCTGCCAGATCTGGAGCTCATCTGAAATACATTAAAACCCTGGAGGAGAAGAAGAACGATCCTCTGTAATCTGGGCGCTCCACTCAGGGCTCCTATTTGCTGTCAGAGGTACACCCATACATGTAGCTGCAGCAGCTCTTCTTCTTCCAAGAGACTCGCTGTTTTTTGTCTCCTCAAGTCTAAATATTTTCCCAGCTCTGGAGGGCAAGACTGGAGAGACGGGAAGAAGGAGCCGAGGCGCCTAAGGAAGAACAAGAAGAAGAAGACTGTCTCCACTTGAACTTGGTAAATAAAAAACTTTATTTTAAAGTTTTAAAATCAGTCAGCGTGTTTCCTCACGTTAGTTTAGACCTCGAGTGAAGCTTTGTTTGAACTTTTCCAGCTCTCATGGTGTCATTTCTTCATTTAGAGATTAAATCTGATCTTGTTCAATCCTGCATGAGTCCATCAGGGATTATTTTGTCGGTAATCTTTCAAATCTAATTTAAAAGAGTGTAAACTGACTTTTAAATGCACCGTTAGACTGGATAATCTGAGACAAATCCATGTCCTGAAGATCTTCAGAGTTCGCCATCTTGTTGAAAACTCTTTCAAACTGGTCTGGTCTTGTGACTTGTTCAGACTTTGTCGCTCATTTGTCTTTTCTGTCCTCGTCTAAATGAGAGAATCTCAGTCTGCTGATGCACGTCTCACCTTTGACTCTTTCCTAATCTGGCGTTTTATTAAAAAGGTCTAAATAGCTTCTATTTGTGAGCTCCTCTGTGTTTTCCTGACATGATCACATATCAGAGGTTGAGCTGCAGGGGATGGCAGGAATGTCTTACTCATTTCACTAAAGAAATGAGCTGTGCCTGTGCAAATCCTGACGCTGGGTTGGGTTTGCAAGTTTTCCAGCCTGAGCACCAATTTTTTCCAGGCATGCACAGACAATACTTGGCAGCAGAGTCTCGTTGGGCTGAAGCTAACTGGAGATTAAAACAAGAAAACTAAGAAGCCTATAGACATCTGGATTAACTTCTTTTTTTTTTCTCCTCTGCGTGTTTCCTCGTTTGTCTACACCTCAGGGGCGAGAAGCTATCAGTGCGGCAGCTGCTTTCAAAGAGGAGGAACTCCACCTCGAGGTAGATATCAGCCCTATCATAACTCTTGGAGTGTGCAGAGGAGTTTCCAAGCACAAGTGAGCAGCAGTTCACGTAAATACAGGAAACACCTGAAGGTTTTCGAAGGTTCACAGGATATACAGTCCCAAACAAGAGCGAATCTCAGACACTGAAGATCTTCTCAGCCGATCAAAATGTCACGCTGGGGGAGGAAAGATGTGAAGAAGACCCCTGAGGTGATCCGCACTGTGACCGAGGGGCTCAAGTCCCTCTATCGTAAGAAGCTGCTGCCTCTGGAGCAGTACTACGGTTTCCACGACTTCCACTCTCAGAGCCTGGAGGATGCGGACTTTGATAACAAACCCATGGTGCTGGTGGTGGGTCAGTACTCCACTGGAAAGACCACCTTCATCAAGTAAGACCATCAAACAGACACCTCATTCACACACAGATTCATTCACAAACTAAAGCTCTCCGTGTGGCCGACAGGTATCTACTGGAGCAGGATATTCCCGGGAGCCGGGTTGGACCCGAACCCACCACCGACTGCTTCACCGCCATCATGCACGGAGAGGTCGAGGGAGTCATCCCCGGGAACGCCCTCATCGTAGACCCCAACAAACCTTTCCGCAAACTCAACCCTTTTGGAAACACCTTTCTGAACAGGTGAGAGCGCTGACTCGGTTCACAGAGTGTTGTGTAATTTTTCCACTGAGTGAGAAATCAAGATATCCGTATGACATGAGAGGAGAGGAGAGAAAACAGGGAAGGCGAGATAACCGACCGTTTTTTAGCTCTTTGGAATTTCATGTCCCTGCGCCAAATTTCAGAGCAGGGAGGCACTTTCCTTATTTGTGGAAAAACGGAGACGAGGAGCGATATCACCCGAGAGGGCGATGAAAGGTCTGCGGCGCTCAGACAGGAACTGTAATGTACGCAAGTTCAAAGACAAGGTCAGAGGGTCTCCACAGCCCCTCGGGGCAAAGACAAACACATGAAGTCACGGACTTTGTGAGGCTTAGGTAACCCGTTAGAGAAACATTCGAGTTCTTTTCCTCGTCTTTGTTTACTGTCTGAGACGCCAGATTTCTTCTGTATGTTTTTCCACAAGTGGGAGCCAAGAAAAAAAAGTCACACATGTTGGACGTGAAACTGCTGTGGGTTTATTTGAGAAACACGGAGAGAGACGCACTCCTGTTAGAGAGGAACTCCAGCAGTGTGATATTTGACGTGAGGTTTTCCGACCGTGTCCCTCTTTCCTATTCCAGGGTGTGTTTTTCAACATGTTTGCGTCGACTTCCCGTTCTGTGGAACGGTGGGCTCGTTAAGCTCATAAGCCACAGGAAGTGGCGTTGTTTTTCTTAGCCACACTTCGTTAGCGGACCTTATTGTTTGATTCTGGCAGAGGTGGGCATTTTCCTTCAGGAAGCCCACCGCATTGAGAGGCCTGTCTGCACACACAATGGTCAGGAGTGGGAGGGGTGGAGGGTGTGGAGAGTGCAGCTCCCAATCTGGTCCTGGGATCACACTGGAGTCTTTGATAAGAGTTAAACGTTCCTCACATGATTGAATTATTCACATATTTTCCTTCAGAGTTAATCGGATTTTTTCTTTATGATCTTCTGACTCCTCTCCTCTCCTCAGGTTTCAGTGCGCTCAGATGCCAAACCAGGTTCTGGAGAGCATCAGCATCATCGACACCCCGGGGATCCTGTCGGGTGCGAAGCAGAGGGTGAGCCGAGGTGAGAAAGGTGGCAAAGACGGCAGAGGTGAGGAGAGGGAAATGTGGGGGGGGACCTGAAGTGACACGCTTCCTCCTCCGACGTCAACTCACAAACTCATCTCCTCCTCGACACGCCTGGCTAACCCATGGGACCAGTTTGCTCTGTCACAATAACAACACTTGGCAGCAGCAGCAGAGCAGACATCCAACCACAATCAGAAACAGTCGCTCAAACAAACTCCATCAGCAGCAGATCTGGAGGAATCTTAACACCACCGTCATCATCATCATTTCATCCTTTCACGCTTTAAATTACTCATTAAACTCCAATCATTCTGCATGAGTCACTAACACGTTTAAAGGGTCAGTACACCCAAACTGAAACCCACCGCTCCTCTCAGATACTTCGTCTTTATCAAGTTTTTTTTGTAGATATGCCTTCATGAGAAATTTGTCTCCACCCTGAAAGCAATTTAGTTTGTGGATTCAGCATTAATGAGTCTTTCTAAATGAAGTGATCCAGTTTCTGTTTGAGAGACAGAAGGAGAAGTGGTTCCAGTTCAGATGTTGCTGCAATCACAGCTGATTTTAAGGCAATTTAGAGACAGATGTAGTCAAAGAAAACTACGACTAAAGGAGTTTTAGAGACGTGTATGTAAGTGTCACAGAAAGCCTAAAACTCAGGAGGTTTCAGAAGGATCTGGATCACATCAGAGGCATTTATGGAGACTTTTGTTAAACTTAAACATCAGGAAAAATACTGAGTGAAGGATCCTCACATGATATTGTCAGATTTTACTTATACTCTAAATAAAATATGTCTGTAGCTCATAAAAATACTGAGTTGACATCAGAAATTAAACATGTGTGTGTGTCATCCAAAATATGGCTGACGTGTCCTTGGACAAGACCTAAGTCAACATCTTCAAAGTCCGGAGGGGAGTTTGGGTGAACTGACCCTTTTTATTCTGATAATTTTGGAAAAGCTGGAAAAAAAAACATTAAATTGGATAATTTTTAAAAGACCTGAACAGATCATTTCTCGTTTAAAGTAAAACTTTTAAAGCCCGGTGTCTACAGATGAAGATGAGAGGTGAAGAGTTTGAGTCTGCGTCCCTCTCCTCGTCGCTGTTTTTTCGTTAAGTTCATTCTGCACATTCGTATTTATGAACTTCTCAGTAAATGATCCTTTCTTCATCCTAACAGGTTATGACTTCCCAGCCGTCCTGCGCTGGTTTGCGGAGCGCGTGGACCGCATCATCCTCCTGTTTGACGCCCATAAACTGGAGATCTCAGACGAGTTCTCCGAGGCCATCGGCGCCCTGAAAGGGAACGAGGACAAGCTGCGCGTGGTCCTCAACAAGGCGGACATGGTGGGCACCCAGCAGCTGATGAGAGTGTACGGCGCGCTCATGTGGTCCCTGGGGAAGGTGTTTGGCACACCGGAGGTTCTGCGAGTCTACATCGGGTCCTTCTGGTCGGAGCCGCTGATGGTTGCGGACAACCGTAAACTGTTTGAGCTGGAGGAGGAGGATCTGTTCGCCGATATCCAGAACCTTCCTCGCAACGCAGCTTTACGCAAACTGAACGACCTGGTCAAGAGGGCGCGCCTGGTCAGGGTGAGTTTTACAGAAGGGTTATACGGACAGACTGATTTCACATCGATCTGATCTTTATTATTTTTTCAATATTGCAACAAACAAACGAACATCAAACAAAACAGATGAAATGGAGGTCAAAAATAAAATAAATACACAAAAGAAAAATAAATAAAGGAAAATAAAAATAAGACAGGCAGGTCAGTTGGCAAGGGAAGAAAGTTAACACATCTGTCAACCAAAACTATCAAATTTTTCATTTCTCATATCATCAGACATAATCTTGGTGATCTGGGAAGTTCGTAATTTAACGATTTGCTCATATAGTCAATAACTTTTCTCCCATGAGAGGAGGATCTTAGAACATTCCCATACTGCACGCCCACACTTCCAACATCGATCATTATCAATCAAATCCACTCTGTTCAGTCTTGATGATGTAAAATAATATCTATGAATTATTTCATACTGGATAAATTTGCCTCTGGCTTCTCTTCTGTGTTCTTCAGTGTCGTAGAGGATCCTTTCCCGTGTTTCTTCATCCACGTCGCTCTGATCTTTCTCTCTCTCTCTCTCCCTCTGAACTCCAGGTCCACGCCCACATCATCAGCTACCTGAAGCAGGAGATGCCGTCTGTCTTCAGGAAGGACAACAAGAAGAAGAATCTGATTTACCAGCTGCCCGTCATCTTCTCCAAGATCCAGCTGCAGCACAACATTTCTGCAGGAGACTTCCCGGACTGCGCTAAAATGCAGGTGAGCCTGAGTTCATCTGTCTTCCATACTGGGAACATCTGGAGAGCAGGTCCATATAGAGGAATCTGCTGCTGCTGCTTCTTATCATCTCCCCTATAACATTTTTCTGATTTGAGCTGAATCATGAATCTCTGGCTGACACTTTTTTATCCCCTCTGAAGGAACAACTGATGGTTCACGATTTCACAAAGTTCAAAACCCTGAAGCCCAATCTGATGGCGGACCTGGATGAGTTACTCTCTGCCGACATCGCCAAGCTGATGCCCCTCCTGCGGCAGGAGGAGCTGGAAGCGGGCGATCAACCTGGCGTGCAGGGGGGAGCCTTCCTCGGTACCCGCTGTGGACCGTTTACTCTGGGCGACCCCTTTGCTGAAGAGAACGGGGAGGGAGGCGATGAGGAAGAGGAGGATTGGGTGGTGACCAAAGACAAGCCCAAATACGACGAGATCTTCTATAACCTCGCTCCTGATGAGGGGAAACTGAGCGGCACCAAGGCCAAGGACTGGATGGTCAGCTCCCGTCTGCCTAACTCAGTCCTGGGTCGCATCTGGAAGCTGTCGGATGTGGACCATGACGGCATGCTGGACGATGAAGAATTCGCCCTCGCCAGCCACCTGATCGAGGTCAAGCTTGACGGCCACGGTCTCCCACCTGAGCTCCCGGCACGCCTGATCCCGCCATCCAAACGCCGACAGAAAGGTTCTGACGCATGAGAGAGAAGCCGCTGAGAGAGACTCTTTTCTATTTACGATCTCACTTCTGCTCCTGTTTTGATTCGCTTTCGTCTTCTCTCAAACACACACGGCGAAACGTTGTGTGTTTTTCGACGACACGCAGCTTTTTCTTGAGCCTTGCACAAACGGGACACGATGTCTGAGAGCACAGGAAGGTCTTTGGAGAGGAGAACAAGGACCTGTTAACACGCCGCACACGTCTGGTCGCTTCTTTCCTCAAAATTTGCTTTTGAGATTTAGAAATATATCTTCTTCTATCTGCCGAGCACCCTCTGAACCAGCAGTTTTAGTGTCTATTTTCTAGATAATATGTTAAATTCAGCATTCCTTGAGAATTAGGATTTGAAGGGCACAGTATTAAAGAGGTGACTTTTTTATGTTTAAGTCCGGTCATTCCAGTAAAGTTATCATCTGCAAATGTTATATTTGAACACTCGTGTTACTCGATGATTCAAACCAAGTATTTTGAACCCAAACTGGCAGCACAAATCTCATAAACTGCTTTTTTTTCCTGCTTTACATTACACCATTTTTGTTAAACACTCAATATTTTTGGTTTTGTATTTGTCGCTGTTGTTTTGTATGTGCAGGAGCGAGACCTCAGTTACATTTTTCAACTTTTCAACTCGACTGAATGAGTGATATATTTACTGACTACTGTGCACAGCTCCATCAACTGTTCTTATGTTAACTATTAATGTAACCAATAAAATTCTCAGACTGTGACTCTCTGGCCGCGTCGTCTGTAAATTTACACAAATAGACAGAAAACCATCTGAAGCCTCAATGTTGATGTTTGATGAAAAATATTCACGTTTAAATCTGATTCAAGAAAAAGTTGGAGCAGAGACGATAAACACTGAAAGAATGTTGCACTGTGAAAGAAAACACACCTGGATCATCATCTCTCATTAAACTTCTATGGTGGCTGAGAACTGCCACTGCTGCAAATTAAAAAAGAATGCAAAAAAGAAAAAAAAAAAAGGAAGCCACAAGGGAAGTTACTGATGCAAAAAAAAAAAAGAAATGGTGAAGATTAAAAAAAAGACACAACGGAAGTAAACGATGCAAAAAAAAAAAGTGGTGATGGAAAAAAAAAGATACTTACTACAAAAATAAAAGGATGCAAATAAAAAAAGCCACAATGGAAATTAGCTGCTGGGGACCAATAATGATGATGCACCGGTGTTTTACGATCTGGGCACAGAAGACGACGGCGAAAAGACGAGCAAAGTTCGTGGAAAGGTTTTTGTTTGATTTGCTTCGTAAACTTTCACCGTGTCATGTGGTTAGGCCATGTTGCGCATAAGTCGAGATGAAGTTGATGCCGATGTAGTGTTAGCTTCAGCCACCGTAGAAAAACACCGGTGCATCATCATTGTTGCTCCCCAGCATCTTACTTCCCTTGTGGCTTTTTTTATTTGCATCCTTTTATTTTTGATGTAAGGAACTTTTTTTCCCCCCATTGCTTCCTTTTTTGCGTCATTAACTTCCGTTGTGGCTTTTTTTTTATTTTTTTTAATCTGCACCATTTCTTTTTTTATTTGCAGCAGGCTTTGGTTTCTTTTTTTACATCTGTAACTTCCCTTTTTTTTTTTTGCATTCTATTTTTTTTTTTTTTTTTTGTATGTAGCAGTGGCGGTTCTCGGCCACCGTACACTCTGTCACCTGAAACAGCGAAGATATGATAAGATCACCTTCTAAAGAGTGAAAACGGGAAGCTAGTGGTCGGGTCGGGCCCACGAACAAAACGGCACTCAGACCAGAGAAGGCGCGCGTTTTTTCTAATTACTTTGCACTAAAAACGCGGATATTACTGTAATACTGTCACTACACAACAGGTGACAACGCCTCTTAAGGACAGGGTGTCACACCATAGCTGAACCCACGGAGTGAGAAACTCCCACGTAAACAGACAGAGCAGGTCTGTGTTACTCACCTCAGTGGTCCTGCTGATCCAGGTCTGTCTCACTGACCCAGACTAGCTTCTTCCCCTTTTAAATACATTTACAAAGTTAAATTACCTCAAACTGCTCACAGAAAAGTTCGTTTCTGGAGCCAAAGAAATGTCTTTACGACAACAATAAAACGCGCTAAAACACTACATAATGGCTGCCAAAATCAACAGAGAATGAAAACTGTCCAGCTGCTTTAAATTTACATTAATTAGAAACAGTTTAGTAACAGAGTAATACAGAGGATATAGAAAGACCAAAAACAGAGACTGGATGACTGTAGTCTTCAGACCCTCAGGCAGCACTGAGTAAAAAACAGACATGACCTTAGAGTGGAAATCACTGCGTGGACTCAAAACATTTCTGAGGAAACAGAAACTTTAAAATCTGAACAGGATCTGAAAATATATCTCAAACCAACAAACAGACCGACTGTGAGGGACTGGACTAAACTAAATGAAACTGGATTAAACTGGAATGATAGGGTTAAACTGAATTACACTGGATTAAACTACATTAAACTGAGTTAAACTGGAATAACTGGAATGAAAGTGTTAAACTGGATTACACTGGATTAAACTAGATTAAACTAGACTAAAATAAATTAAACTGGGTTAAATTATTAAACTATATTAAATGATTAAACTGGAATAAAGAGAGTTAAACTGGATTACACTTGATTAAACTAGATTAAACTAAACTAATTGTTATTAAACTGGGATAACATGGATTTAAAAGGGTTCAGTGATTATACTGGATTAAAATAAATCAAACTGGGTTAAATAATTAAACTGGATTAAACAGAGTTATTACTCTTATAAACCAGGTAAACTGGATTAAACTGGGTAAAACCAGACTAAACTGGATTAAACTGGGTAAAACTGGACTAAACTGGATTACACAGGGTTAAACGAGGTGAAAACTCTACCGTGCACAGTGAAAACTATAGAGAAGCACACGGGGGTCTTAGATGGTATGGGGATGCATAGGCGCCCGCTGCATGGCTGTTTCAACATCTGGGATCACGGCCTCATTAAAGCTGAACAGTACACACACGTTTGCTGCCATCCAGACAGTTTTTCAGGGAAGACCTTGCGTAATACCACGAGAAGATGCCAAACTACATTTTGTACTGATTTCAACAGCAGCTCCAGAGTCAGAGTGATAGACGGGCCTGTGTGCAGTCCTGACTTCTCACCCATTGAAAACAAAAAACACCCCAAAGGAGACCCACAACATTTCACTTTCCAAACTCCAGAAACAGTCCCACCTTTTTTTAAAGTGTAGCTAGAATCAAACCTAAAACTGAACATTTATTCTTTGTTTTTAAATAAACAACTTTAGACCAGTTGTCTTTGGACTACTTTCACTGAAGCAAAGACTTTAAATGATCTGCAGACGATCAAAATCTGTATTGATCAACATTTTCTCAGTGAGCCGGCTCACATCAGAGTGGAACACAAAGATTAGCAGAGTACGGAAACACTCGGTCACAGTTGAAGATAAAGTATGTGAGGGCATGTAGTGTGAGGACACTCATGAGAGAGTTTGTTTTATTTTTTATCAAGCTCACTCTGTCTCTCAGTGACAAACCACATAAACAGTGAGTCACCCTCTCCCCTGCCAAGTCCCCATACCACCATTTTCCGAGGCTCTCTCCCCCTTACTCTCACCATCTGAAACTATTTGCCTCTCTCTCTCTCAAACAGGAACACATTAAAAAGTCCTGTTCTCCTGATCCCTGCTGTTCAAGTCCACATTTACTCTCTCTCACTATCGTCTTCGTTTTGGTTTTACCCCGAGTTAACTCTGTGGTATGAGCTCAAATATGTGTCCTGTGAGTGTGTTTCACATAAGGCGATCAAGCTTTGCAGGAGAAGGGGTGGTCTCCCGCCTCCCTGCTCCACTCCTCTATGGAAAGAAACACAAATGAGAAACAGAGGCAGAGCAGTCTTTTCCTCCCCTCTCTCTCTCTCTCTCTCTCTCTGGCGTACAGTGACTCACATGTGAAGAATGTGGTGGGCAGGACCAGGAGTTATTAATATCTCCTTTCCTAGGGTCCGCTAAGTTTCCTCAGGCTCATGCACAGGATCTAGACACTGTACCTTTATGCAAGTCTTGGACAACATCCCCCTATTTGGAGAATTCCCGAGCTAGACCTGCAGCACACCACACCCTCTTCTGCATGTAACTGAGCCTGAGAATGAAAGGGGGAGGTTGTTCGAGAAAAAAAAGTCAAGTGAGGTGAAAAAAATCCTAAATACTGCTGCTTTTTTCCATCACTCCTCCTGAATGATCACAGATTTTAATGATCGGAAAATAAATTCCCCACGGCGGTTCGACCAAAGCCTGCCTGTTACATAATTAGCCTGCGCTGAGTCATAAAACATCCCCAACATTTGTCGTACAAATCCAGACACACTCACTGCTTCCACTGCGATGAGGTGAGCCCTACAGGCAGCCGGAGCTACAGCAGAGGTTCCCCGGCACTGCGAGGCACCCCCAACCATAAGGATTACTCAACAAAAACCGGGGTCTCCTCGTACGTCACCCAGTGTTTACACGGGGAATTCCTCTCTTGCAAACCTGCTTTAGGAGAAAAAAAAACTCAGTCATGACTCTGGAGAGTGGGGACATCTGGTGGAAAGAGGATTACTGGCACCTTACACTGAAACTGCACAGTCCTGAAACTGAAGCCTGCAGACGTAAAACAAGGACTTTTAAAGGACAAACTGTGTGGATGTTGGAAATGTTACTGAACGTGGTGATTGTCGAGTCTGTCTACACTGATCCTGAAACGACAAAGCTTTCATTTAGAGCAACAAACATTTTCAAACTCAAATAAAATAACAACTTTAGCAGTCAGACAGAGACATCAGAAGATATTACAACTGAACCCTATTACTTTTGCACGTTTTAAAATTTGATTTAAAGTTCAGGAAAAATATTCAATCACATGATAGATATAACAGCTGTTTTTGTTTTAAGGTGGTGGGTGAGAATTAGAAGTTATCGGAATCAGAAATACTTAAATAATTCCGGGGGGAAATTGCTTTTTGACACAGTAACTCCAGTGCAAATAAATAAGAGATAAATAAGTAAAAATAAAGAATATAAACATGCACAAAATAGTAAAGTAGTAGTATTATGAAAAACAGTCAGGCCTTATAATTTTAAAATGAAGTAAATATACTACTGTAAAATACTATTTAAATTGGTCTGAGTTTTAGACACAAAGTAAAAGACTTAAATAAAAGAGTGAAAAACAGTCAGATGATATTTGACATTTTATTTTTAATCCAAAGTCAGAGCGAAGCATGTTGTAAACACCTCAGGAAGATACATACAGTTAAAAAAAACCCTATTTTATCTGACCCACCACAGCATGTTGGACTTTGACTACATGACTGACTCAAAACTTCACACTCATGTAAGAAAATACAGCTGTCAGGCAAACTTGGCGTTAAGTGTGAAAGGGAACATTTTATCACAGAGTACAAAATATATTTTCCCTCAAATCCACCAAAAAACACATTTCCTGTAAAGGTCTGAGACGTTCCCCGCTCCTCTCCACAGTTCTCTCTGCAGTGTTTGTTTGTGTCGGTTCGAGTTCAGAAACTGAAGTGGTTTTTAATATCTTTGATCTGTTTCATCATGTCCCCGATCTGCTGTCCCTGTTCTCTGAGGACGTCCTGGACAACCTTCTTCTGCTGAGCGTTGAGTGAGACCGTTGCCCTGGCTGCGGGTGCGTCCTTATCCACCTGTGTCTTCTGGTACTCCGTCTTCATGTTCACCTGTTTGATGGAGTTGTCCAGGTGCTTCAGCTGGTCACTGATGGTCTGCAGCTCCTTCCTCATGTCCTTCTCACTGTTTGACAGGATGGGGAGTTGACTTTGCAGGCTGCCCAGGACTTTCTTGACCCTGTTCATGATGGTTTCCTGGCGATACTTTGCGTCTTCGTACTTGTCGGCCAACCTCTCGGCCGCCTCTCTCAGGCTCATCTTCTCCTCCCTGCACAGCGTCATCTCCTCCAGCTGCTTGTTCTTCTGGCCGGTCAGGAGTTTCACCCTCCTCTGCATCTCCTCTCGGGCCATGTCCTGCTTGAGGATGTACTCCTCACGAAACACCTGCGTGGCTCTGCTGAGGAGCTGCAGGCACTCTGGAGGCGGCGGCGACGTTTCCCTGACCCCAGCCTTAAGCACGAGAGGGTTAGTGGAGCTGCGTGCCAGGATGTTGCGGATGTGCTGCTCGAAGGAGTCGTCGGCCAGCCCGCGGAGAGGGGAGCTACCGGATCCTGGACCTGGATGTGAACACAGCAGTGGAGGGGAAGGAGGACGAATGGAGCTCAGCAGAGGCAGCAGGATGCACTCGTAGCTGCTGGTGATGCAGATCATGGTGGCGCCCAAAGACAGGTCAGACACGATGAGAAAGCCACGAACCGGAGCAGACTGACTGGTTGGGAGGGGTCTGGTACAGAGAATGTGTTCTACGATGCAGCGCTTCTCCGCCGCCAGCTCCTGGAGACTGTCCTTATCCTCCTCTCCGGACTGGAGGAACTTCTGCAGCTTGTTGACCCAGATCAGCCCCACACCGTGGACCCCGGCTTCATGGGTGCAATGATACCGGTGCTGACACAGGGGGTCTCTGTGGAGTCTGATTGGACATGTGAAATCAAACTCAGGGGGGTCCTCTTCCTCTCCAGAGGCCACTTTGAGGGTCAGCTCCAGCTCCACACACTCAAACACATAGAGAGCCGGTATCGCCTCAGATCCACGGATCCACTTCTCCACGGCGCCGGTCTCGTCCTCATCCTCGGACTCCAGGACCACACAGTGATACAACGTGCCGGTCTCCGTGGCGATGACTAGGATGCTGGGAACACAGGGCAGGCAGAGGATGGCGCAGGCGTCGTAGCCGTAGTTGTCCTCCGCCGCAGGATACATGGGCAGAGGTCCAACAGGTCTACTCATCCTGACCCCGTTAGTCTGGCAGGTGTAGCTCAGGTAGGTCTCCCCGTTCTCGTACAGGATGTAAATCGGGTAGACCTGCTGGTCTTTGGAGCAGAGTCCTGTCAGCTGCCGAGGTGGGGCTGAAGGAGGTCCGAAGTCGAAGGCCACGGCGATCTCCCCCAGAGAGGCTGCGTAAGAGCGGGCTGGAGGGTGGACGCTGCTGTCGTCCTCAGGCTGGGACAGGGACAGGACTTTGGTGGAGGTCTGCGGAGACTTCAAGCTGTAAAACCTGATGGTGTAGTGAGTGAGAAATAGAGGTTATGATAAACAATCAGGCCTTATCATGTCAATATGAAGTAAATATCCTCCTGTAAAATAAATACATAAGACATGCTACGTAGGGTAAATTCACCAAAGTAAAAACAAACAAGATGAAAAGTACAGTGATGTATAGGGCCATGGTGAGAGGGAACACTCTACCAGGACATATCATCCAAGAACACGACAAATACAGATTTAAAGATCCAGTAAAAGAACATTTATTCATCAAACAGCTCCTTATTTAGATGAAGCTACTTTGTAGAATCAATCAGTGTCCTCTGATTTAATCAAAATATCTGAAGTCGGCTTAAATATTGGGTATTGTTACTGTAAATTAATTCAATTATGTGGAACGTATGTTGATATTTGAACATCTGATAATTTCAGAAAGCTACACTGTGAAAGTAAATAAGGTTCAGTCATGTGTATGTTCTTTGTATTGTTCTAGTTTTGTTGTTTTTTTTGTCTCGTTGGCTGTTGTGGGTTGTTGGGGTTATTGACGTTGTCTTTGTGTTTGTGGCGTGTTGGTTTTTTTGTGTGTCTTTGCACTGCCATGGAGGGCTAATTGTAAATGTAGACTCCAGGAAGGATAGCAACGGCCTTAGCCGAAGCTAATGGAGATCTAAATAAATGAAATTCAAATTTAGGTTGGTTTGGGTGCACTTTTAATAAAAGATTTTAAACACATCGTAATTAGGGGTGGGAGTAAAAAAATTGATTCATATAAGTATCACGATTTTTTGTTTTACAATTAAAAATGTTTTGGTTTTTTTCAAATGTAAGAATTTTGCTGCGTTCCAGTTACCTTGGAAGTTAGATGTCCCAAGTGGGAATGATGTCACACCTAAGTTACCAGCATTTCAGTTACCAAACAGAAAACAGAAACAAGATGGCTACATCTGCAAAAGTTATTTTAGCACTTGCCTTGTCTGAATATAAGTAACAACAAGGTAAGCACTACAATCACTTCCTTAGATGTAGCCATCTGGTTTCCGCCTCCGATTTAGCTTTTTTCCAACTTGGTAACTGAAATGCGCGGAACTCGGGAATGACATCATTTTCAGCTCCGACATCTGCCTTCCAAGGTAACGCAAACGCAGCATAATTCTTAAAAACTGACTTACATGTGATGTGTTTTTTGGGGAAGCACAGTTCCTGGAATAGTCAGTAGACAATCATAATCATTCAACTGTTTTACTGTTAAAAATAAAGACTAAAAATCGAGAAAATCAACAATATCGTAGAATCGCAATTTAAATCGGATCGAATCGGGAGAAAAGCGTATCGTCCCAGCCCTAACTGTAACAGACTCAAATAAATAAAAAGCTGTCAAACCTGATGGTGTTGTCGGAGGTGAGCAGCACCAGGTGCGGGTCTTCGGTCTCGCTGGGGTACCAAGCCGCCTGCCGCAGACTCACGGAGGGGGAGCTGGTGAAGAACCGCTCGGCCACCGGGATGGTTTTGCAGTTGATCTGGTTCCGTCCACCTTCGAACTCGGACCTCTTACCCCACCGCTGAGGGAGCTCCAGGACCGAGACGCCCCTCTGTCCGATGAGGGCGACATGGTGCTGGGTGGGACTGAGTAAGACCTGGCAGACCTCGAACAGAGGAGGGTTGATGCAGAGCAGGGTCTGACAGGTCCCCCCCTCACCTGAGTTTAACTGCCGTAAGTTAGTGGTGTAAAACACGCGCTCACTGTCGTCCCAGATAAAAAAGTCACCACCCAGACAAAAGGTCAGATTTTTAGCTACTCCTCTTTCATTCGAGTCCAAATCCAGCTTCTCTCGGATCTTCCTGAACACGATATGGTTTGGTAGATCATCCCACCAACGCTCCGCGCCGAATGCCGCCATCTTCTCTTCCGGAAAACATCATCATGTTCTTTTTCTTCGTTTTAATGGCGGTTGGCAACCATTTTAAGGAGCATTACCGCCACCTATTGGACTGGAGTTTGGCACAGGAAATTAAGCAGAAATAAAAACCTATAGGGGAGAGTTGGGTAAGTTGAGCCAAAGGGTAAATTGGAATTAGTCCTGATAGTATGGGGATCACTCAAGTCCATGTCATGAGTATCTTCCTCATCTGTGAAGGCTCAATAATGCTGAACAATATCTACAGGTTTAAGAGCATCAGGACTCCGTAGTTGGAGTCACCGCATGGTCGTAATATCACTTATCCGTGAACTGTCCTGAGGTCTGATGGATCAAAATTCTAACACTCTTTTGGAAAGGACAACTGGACTTACTTGAGAAGTTTCGCCTTAGGCAGTTGTCCTTTCTACGAAAAACTCAGAATCACAGATGCTGAATTCTCAGTTTTAAACAATAGGGGAGAATGGGGTAAGTTGAGCCACCCCCTGTTTCTTGTAAATGGTCAAAGAAATTGATCATGTGACCAAATATTTAGGAGATGGGCATCAATTCATGGAGTCTGTGAAGGTTAGAAACACACAGGTGAAGGAGTTAGACATTTATTCCAAAATAAAATCATTTTTCACTCTGTAGAGTGAATCTAGTCTGTCACCAGTTTGATTAGAATTGTGTTCAGACCAAAAAAAGTTCATTTAAATTTGTTTTATTCATCAATTGTGGTATCTATGAGCTACAACATGAGGTCAAAAACCTAACATAAAAGTCCACCATTATGGGTTAACTTACCCCATACACGGGGTAAGTTGACCATAGGAGACCACTTTGGATATTGTACAGACGTCGTCCTGTCTCAGATATATTCCAGTATTCTTGCCATATTTTTAAAGTGTACCGGAAAACATCTGCGGCTGCGCGGTTGTTATGTTTACGACAGCAGACGTAAAGCGTGTTCAGTGTCGTATATTTTGCAGAATCACCATGGCGCTGAAAGAAACCGCAGGTCTGTATGAAACACTGAAAACAGAGTGGAACAAGAAAAACCCAAACCTGAGTAAATGTGGAGAACTGCTCACCAAACTAAAGGTCAGTCTGAGCTCCGGTTTACCTGATTTTAGTGTGTTTTTAACTGAGAATATAACCGAACAGAGGCGTTAGCTCTGTTAGCAGGTGAAGCTAAGTTAGCCAGGCTAACGCTGTGAGGTTTTAGTTAAAACTGTGAAAATAAAGGAAAATAAACTAAATAATGAGACTTTGTGTGAGTAGATCGTGTTTTTATCTGTGTTTTAATCCTAGTAGATGTCTGTAACCTCAGTGTTGAAGGTTAAACTGTGTCAGTGAAGCAGATTTATCGTCTGTTATTCATCATAAATCTCTTATTTTTCTTCTTTTTACAGATTTCTTTACTGGATCTGAACTTTTTACCAACATCAGGATCTTCTCTGACCAAACAGCAGCTCATTTTAGCTCGTAAGTATTATCACACACTCACACATTAGGGGTCTGAATATTACTTTAATGACAGTTATCTTAATGACTTGAAAACCAAACTCAAAACAAACCTTTTTAGTCTTTTAACTAAATTTTTATATTATTAACTTTGTTTAAGTGTTTTAACATTTATCTCTTATAGTTTTAATGACAGAATCATCTCTTATTGAGCTATTTTGGTGCTCTTATTTTAGTGTCTTTTTAGTATCTGTTTGATTTCATTTATTATTCCTTAAAATTCATTTAATGTTACTTTATTTTTAGATTTTAAACCTCAAGTGTTTCCTTACCTTGAATTTCCTCAGTGTACACATTCCTTTTTATTTGAAATCAAGCCCTTTTTAAGTTTGTGCATTTTAATACTGTTTCTATTCTGCTTTGATTGTGGGGTGGGAATGAGGGGTTGGGGTAGATTAGGGTTTTCTTTGTTTCTTTTATTCCTCTGCTGTGTAAAGAACTTTGTGTGAAAAGTGCTATATAAATAAAGACTGGTCGATTGATTGATTGATTGATTGATTGATTGATTGATTGATTGATTGAGTAAGGCCGGAGGCTGACAGAAAACTTGGACTTGAGTTTTGCAGTGTTGATGTGTGTTATTAAGTGATATATATTGTTTGTATGTTTTCTCAGGTGATGTTCTTGAAATCGGAGCCTTGTGGAGTATTCTCAAGAAGGACATCCCATCGTTTGAAAGATACATGGCCCAGCTAAAATGTTACTACTTTGACTACAAGTAATGTCAGCCTTTTGTTTTGATTAGTTTGGGGTTTCTTATATTTTCTCACGTGTTTTACTAACCTAGCTCTTTTTAATTTTGTCCTTAGGGATGAACTGCCTGAAGCCGCTTACATGCACCAGTTACTTGGACTGAACCTGCTGTTCCTGCTGTCACAGAACCGTGTGTCTGAGTTTCACACAGAACTTGAGAGGCTGAGCGCACGAGACATTCAGACCAATGTTTACATCCGACATCCAGTCTCTCTAGAACAGGTACACTGGGGAGCACAAATTAAGGGTCAGATACTGCACTGAGTTTTGATTTGTTTGATATTTATTACTTAGATGAACAGGTTATACTCTCTTTCCGTAATATGAATATTATATTTTACTCTCTTGGACTTCACAGTACTTGATGGAGGGAAGCTACAACAAGGTGTTTCTCGCCAAAGGCAACATACCTGCTGAGAGCTACACCTTTTTTATAGATATTCTGCTCGACACCATTCGGTAAGATATGCACGGTATAAATTCTCCTCTGACAGGAAACGAGTAATCAAAATACACCCACCCCCTTTTCTTCCTAAATTTCATCTTCCATGTCATGTACCAGGACTAACTGATAAAATTCACTGATAATTAAGAGATCGCGTAAGCTTCAACGTTGACCTTTGCCGTTGCAGGGACGAGATCGCAGGTTGCATAGAGAAAGCGTACGAGCAGATCCAGTTTGGTGAAGCCACACGTGTGCTGTTCTTCAGCTCACCCAAAAAGATGACAGAATACGCGAAGAAGGTATGTGGGATCTCATTCTGAACAATATATGTCATAATATGTCACATTGAAGTATTATCTAGTATGTAGTGTCATTCATAAAGGTTTAAAAACAAACAAATCAGACATTTATACTACATGTATGTGTTGCATTTAGATATAAAGAGGGAGGGTAGATATCTAACATGTTTTTTGATTATGTATCACAAAGATGGAGATTTTCACTAAAGAGGGTTAAACATACTAGGAAGAATTTATGTAAATGCCTACATGTTGTCAAGATTTCCCTATTTGGGTATTTTCACCATAAATGATTTATCGTCATTTTTAAATAGTGAAGGTAGAGAAAATCCTGACTTTGGGATTTACTGATTAATTTAATTTTGTCACTGTGTTTCATGAGATCTGCCCTTTTTTCTTTGGACAGAAAATCTCCTCAAAGATTCTCCCCCTAACAAAAAGCCAAAAGCTGATTATGTATGTCATATCATTTCAGAGGGGATGGAGTTTGAGCCAAGACGGCTATTACTCTTTCACCAGTCAGCAGCAGCGGACAGAAGAGGTGACCATCCCCTCCACAGAGCTGGCACAACAGGTCATCGAATATGCACGACAACTGGAAATGATTGTGTAATCCGCCCCCAGGAACGCACTCAGCCATGTACAGACACACTCAGATACTCACGCCGCTGATGCAGTATACATCCAGTCAGTTCAAACACAATTTCCCTGAGGATTATGAATGCAATGTTTGCCAGAGTGGTTGAAAATTTGCCCATACCTCATACATCAATCTCCTTTCATTTTCTCTGGAGGTTCCTCTGACTGTCTTCTTTTATTGTAAGATAGAAACACCAAAACTACCACAAGAAAGTAGCTTTTTTTTCCAGCAACTGTAACACATCTAGCTGGTCTGGAGACAATAAAGAGTTAAAATTTTAGTTACCTGTTTGGTCCAAGAAGTCATCGGTTCGTCTCTGACTCGAGCTTGCTGTGGAATAAGCCGGTGACTGAAAAATTCGAACTTCCATCGTTCACGTCCAGAAACTTGTCGTTGATCACCACCGTATTTCGTTGCCTGTAAGTTACAGTGTCACAAAAATCTCTCAATACACAACATTGACATTTCCAAATGTAAGCAAACTCTTTTTGTATACAAAGTTCATTTTTTCCCCTTAGTAGAGCTTGCAGAAATGTATTGCCCTTGCCTTGTATCCTAGCAACTGACGAAATTGCCATTGAAGTTTGTGAGTGTTTTTTTAAATGGTAATACCTCTTCCTCCCTAGATGGTTTATAATCCAGTTGATCTCACAATGCAAACCTTTGTCTGCAATAAATGAATCAGAAAATAAACTTTTTGAATGACTGTGTGCAGTTTTGCTCTATTTTGTTTTACACTGCAGTTTCCTAAGGGAGCAAATCCTCCCTGAAAAGTTACTGATGGGAGGAATCTGTATTCTGACAGACAAGAGAAAGAAACACGTTATCCGTACATTTTAGTAAGTTTAAATATGTGTAAGTCTAAGAGCATTTCCAATCCAGCCATGAGACCCTTGTTTACATCACCAACACTTCATAAGCTCTTGTGATTTTGGTTGAAGGTTTGGTCTCCTTTTCATTGAAATAAATCCTTACTGTTTAAATCTGGTCAATCGCTGCACTGTCTTAAAATTAACTTTTTGTGATTGATATTTGTTGAGCTAGATTTCTACTTTTTCATCATTACTGTGGGGATCATTGATGACAATGATTTATATGTCTGTTGACAGCACAGACCATCCCAAAATACTTGCTTGTGCATTCTTGTAATCAAGATAAAAACTTGGATAAAAATCTCAAGTTGAGAAGAAAGCCTCCAAAAGGTTTGTACTTCTCTTTCTAATTAAAATAAGACTTACAGAGCACCTTTGGAGCAGTTTCATAGTGGGGCTGCATGGGGTACAGGTGTGCTTTTTTTCTGTTAACTGGCTCTATGCACTAATCCACAACTTCCTGAACTGAAGACAGCTCTTTATTTCCTGTCTTACATTATTGGATAAACATGATTAATCCAGGTGTAACTGATCAGTATGACTAATCAGACACACCTGGATTTTAAGAGGCAGATATTTTACCCCACAACTAATTTTAGACCCTAGAGCTCCTCAAAAGCCCCCTAAATCTTGGGAAATGTTTCGGCGGTCTGAGAAGCACTTTTGTATGTATTGTATTTAGATTTAACATTTAGATTAAGATTTAACATTTAGAGTTAGATTTAAGATTTAGATTTAGATTAAACATTTTTAACATCATTTAACATTAAGATTTTGATTAAGGATTTGGATTTATATGTACATTTTTATTTATATTTAACATTTAGATTTAGATTTATTTTTCATGTCAACACATTTTTAACAAATAAAAAGAACATGCTGTTATACATGAATTTCAGTCTCAGATGAAAGAAAAAAAGGCTAAATCTTGACAAAATGTCGCCTATTAAACAGTGACTTAATTTTACATTCGGTGCCCCATACTTTTAAAGACCAACATCACACTTGGATTATAAGATTTAAAAGCAGACCAAAACAGGGCTCGTCCGGGATTTGAACCCGGGACCTCTCGCACCCTAAGCGAGAATCATACCCCTAGACCAACGAGCCGTACGTGATAGCGCTACAGCACCACCATCACTTTTATAATGTTGCATTCATGCTCCTTGGGTGTACATAAGGCTTTGATATGTACTTTGTAGTTTCAATCTCAGCTTTTTGTGGCCTCTAAACGGATCGTCTGCTCTAATAGACGCTCAGTTACTTCTACAAATGCTCACATAGACTTACATTGACCACCGAGGAAGAAGGGCAGCGGTTTACAACAGGCAGCGCGATGTCGAGTTATCCTAAAGTTACCAAAACATAGAAAACGGCGGAAAAAACAACACTGACTTCAGATACAGCTAATAGAACCGATTCTAACTGACAGGACTTTGGCCAAAAAAAAAGAGTTTGGTGTTGAGACGGTTTCTGGTAATGTTGAGGTGCTGTCCAAGGTGCTGAAAACGGCACCAACACCGGTACCAGATCAACCAAGATCCCGAAGGAAACTGGACCAGAATGTTCGTCTAACTAACTGTTAAGCAACTCTACAATTCCAGCAAAACAATAACATCTGAATCCAAAGAAAAGTCTCATTTAATAAACAGGTCATGATTGTTAAATCTCTATTGTTTACCATGCTCTTAAATAATCACCCACTTTTATATCATGTATTTATAACTCAGTTTTTACTTAATTAAACTTATGGTCGCATAAACTTAACACTCTAAAAAGTAACTCAAAGGGCCTTTTGATTTAATACATGGATGCAAGTTAATAAATGTAATTAGTTAATTAAGATAAAACCTTCCAAATTGCAAACTTTATTTTTAAAGTTGTGATCAAATAATAATGTTGGTAATAACATCAAATTAATTTTTTATATAATTTATACTAAAATTTAATTGTTGGTGGAATTAAAACAAAATTCAAAGTTGTTGTAATTTAGAAAAAAATTAGCTCGATAACCTCATTTCTTATTTTGTTTTTTGCAATCTCATGTATACTTTAAGATAATAATAATAATAATAATAATAATAATAATAATAATAATAAAAGAAGTTAATTGAAAAAGCAAAACAAAAGCAAACAAACAAACAAAAAACTTGAAGACAATGTAATTGGAGCAACAGGTTTATTTTTCCATTGCTGCTACTTCAAAAGTTGGGTGCGTTATTATTGTAATTAACTACACAGCAAATAAAAGTACTTTATAATAATTTGGTAAAGCCAGTTGGAGTAACTTTAGTTTTTATGAGTTGTCAACTGAAAAACTTTCCTTTAGGCAAACCGTTATTAAATAAGCAGTAGGGGAGACCGGGGCTTGTTGTCACACTTTTTACATTCTTATATATTTCTTGGAATTAATGCATCATATATAAACAAAATGTGTACCACACGAAAGATCAAAGTCTCAGGTATATTTTTTGTATTTATGTAATTTTCATATCTTGTTTTAGCTCAGAGTTATAACCAATCAAATCGCGAGTGTGAACATGTGACATGTTGCCCCACCATCAGGTAAGTTGTCTCACTACATGGGGTAAGATGTCACAGTGGATTCTGCAGCTTATAAAACAAGGACAAAATTATTGTTGTTCTATTTTTTTTTATTTGAAAGTGAACATTAAAGTCAGACACAGAAAATGTTTATCATTGAGTTAAAGAAAAAGTCATTAAACAAACGTTAACATAAAATATCATAAAACATGCTCTGGAGTTTGAAGATCTGTCTGACTCTGTATTTGGCTGAGGTGAATGTTTTTCTTTTGTAAATCCTGACCATGTTTTTTCGCTTTCTCCTCTTCTTTAAACCACTCTGTTCTCTGTAAAAATAAAGTCATGACAACTGCTGATAAACAGACTCTCTGTGTTAATTTTAATCCCCTTTAAACATGTGACAGCTAACCCCAGAATGACTGAGCCATGTTGCCCCAAACTACCATGTTTGTTAATTCTAGCTCTAGTTTAAAGTTAGTTTGAAACAGAACAATGACTGAGGTATGACAGGATGACTTGCGCCCTCTGGTGGCAAAGATAATTGCAATGTGACAACTTACCCATGTGACAACAAGCCCCGGTCTCCCCTAACATAGTTTGTTGGTTCGATGTAATTTCAAATGAAGTTTTCACAACTAAGAGAAAGACTGATGTAAACTGTTGCGTTGATTTAACATTTCTTTTTAGAGTGTACAGCCCAGATGCTGTCAATGATTGATGCGGATGCGTTGGCACAAGGCAGGTAGAGTGAGAATGGGAATGAGCAAGGGAGTGATTGGAGCCAGAGAGAGAGAGAGAGAGGGAGAGAGGAGGGAGGGAGGGAGGGAGGGAGAGAGAGAGAGAGAGAGAGAGAGAGAGGGAGGATGCTGCCAGCGGAAAATGGCTGCTGCAACCTCAAGCCTATCCTGATACACCGAAACGACATCAAGGTGGGGAGAGAGCGCCGGAGCAAGGGAGTGAGGAAGAGAGAGGAAGATTAGGAAAATGAGAGCAGATAGAGGGAGAATGTGAGCGAGTCTGTGAGTGTTTCATGAAAGGAGGATAAAAAGAGAGAGAGAGAGAGAGGAGAGGAGAGGAGACCCTGGGGTGGGCTGCTGCAAGCGGCGGGCAACACCGAGCCATGGAGGGCGAGTAAGTCCTTACATTTTCATTTTTTAACATTTAGACTCAGTCAGCTGCCAACACGGACAGAGAGAGAGAGAGAGAGAAACGCCACCGCCATCAATGTTCAACCAATTTGGCTTCTTGCACAATTATACTCACAATAGTCGGTGCTCCACAATTTAGCAGAGCAGCCGAGAATAAAAACACCATTACGTAGTCTTGAATCAACAGCATACACCCCATTTCCGATTGATCCTCTCCAATATGTGACAAATGTTGAGACATCTACGTGGAGACTTGTGCTTTTAGACGACTGGCACATGATCTAGTACCAACACGGAATATTATAACAGGCCTATAATGAGGAAAAACAACAAGAGAAGCTGTGCAACATCTCCGAACTGTAACTGCAAGATTGGCGATTGGTGAAAACGGTCACGAAATCACTGAAAATGTAAAATGTATGGGTGAAAAAAAGGCGAAATATGGCGAGTTTGGGGCCAGCATCGCGTCATTCAGACATGGTTACAGTAAAACGAGGGAGGGATGGAGGCGTTGTGATTTTTATCAACGTGTCTCGGGGTTTCATTATGATTTTTTAAAGCCAAATTTTATGAATGAAATGTGATTTTTTTTCTCTCTCTCCCTCATCCTCACCCCTCCTCTCCTCCTCCTTCCCTTTTCTAATCGGCCCCCTCCCCCCATCTCTCGTTTCCTCTCCATCATCTCACCCACTCGTTCCTTTCCTTCCTTTTTTTTCCCTCTCACGCGATTTGCTTTTTGTATTTTAGTCGAAATCTAAAGCCGACCGCACAGCGCGATGTCAATCCAGCCCTGATGTGTCCCATTCATAAAAATATAACATCATATCAGGGTGTGTTAATGAGTGCGTGCAGCAGGGGCAGAATAGAGGAAAGAAGCGTCTGGGAAGATGATTTCACAGATTTAAATCATGTTTTACTTTGATTTAAAAAAGAGACGCGTCTGTTGCGGATGCGTTACGTGCACATGTCGGGCTGCGTTGCTGAATTATTCAGCCGATTGGCGAAGGGCAGAGCTTCTGTTTGCAAGAATGCCGGGGCCTCTGATGGCGAATGGGTGCGTTCATTGATACATCTATCTGGGAAACACTCATTCCTCCTCCTCCCTCCTCCTCCCATTCGGCTCCTTTTCTTTCTTTCTTTCTTTCTTTCTTTCTTTCTATCCGTTCGCCCCTCTGTTGTCTACCTTTATTCTCGGCGCCCATGACAGTCACACGTTGAACTCCACGGTTCCCAGAATCTGTTTCAGTCCCATCTAGCTCTCAATCATCTATCTTTTTACTGTCATGCTAATTCCGATCGCGTTTACCTCGGTCACGTGTGCGTGGATTGGCGAAGATGATGAGCTGTCACCTTAAAACGCCGCATCTCATAAAGACCGTGTTGTGGATTTCTCGTCTTCTTTGTGTGTTTTTCACGATGCAGTAAAACTGTCACACAGCTGAAATCAATCCTTTATACACACACACACATATATATATATATATATATGTTCATCACTCTGCTGCATTTGTGTGTGTTGTGGAAGTTGAGCTCGGCGTCACCTGAATGACTGTGCGTATCTGTGCGTAATGTGCGCGTGTGTGTGTTGTGTGTGTCAGTGGTGGTTTAACCAGCCTTGGCCTCTGCTCACTCTCTTGGCTTCCCCTGACAGTGTGCGTGTTCGTGCAGTGGTGATGACACGTGATGACTCCAGTGGCGGTTGGGTGCCCCTCGGAGGTGGCGGCCTCAGTCAGGTGGTCATATGTAAGGGGCGGAGTCACGAAGGCAGGGGGCGGAGAGAATACATCATTCGTGGAGAACGGCTGCGAGATCGAGCAGTGAGTGTGTGCGTGTGTTATGGCTGTCTTTGGTGCCACGTTGCTCCTCAACACCACCTAAAGACTGTAGATTCATGCTCTGTGATTTCTGAAGGTGTGTGTTGTGAGCGGTGATATAACTCTGTCTGTGTTGCTGGGACTGCTGCTGTTTGTGTCCTCAGCCAGTGTTGGAGTGTGCGGTGCAAAGAGGGTTAGTGTACAACAAGGTGAACCCCATCTTCCATCACTGGAGGGTAGAAGATCGAAAGTTTGGCCTTACGTTCCAGAGCCCTGCTGATGCCATCTCCTTTGAGAAAGGGCTGCAAGCTGTTATAGACAAACTGGACAGAGGTAGAGACACACCGAGACACTAATCAGAACATTTGTGGTGTTTGAATCTGGGGAAAGTCCTAACCTCCTATTTTTTAATTCTATCAAGGCTCCGACTCGCCCTCATCCTCCACTCCAGAAGAGGCCGACACCGAGGATGATGGGCAAGCAGTGAGTATCTGAGCAGCTTATTTAAAGGGATATTCCGGGGTGGAATTCATTTAGGGTCAAACACACCATAACACCGAGTTAGACACCCCCTCGAGAGATGAATGTTGCCGACCGCTTGCTTCTCTAGTTACACCAACTTTAGTAACAACCACAGATAGCAGAAAGAACAATAATCAAACCTCAACCAAAACGCCACTCTATAGCCTCAAATAATGCTCAGAACAGCACCTAACTTCATCAACAGGACATATAGGGTCACAGACATAGTACTAGACACCAAACATCTTTTTAACTTTGCCTAATTCCATAACACACATCACTTGTTTGTACGGAGACCTCCGACCTGTCCATCACCAAGTGCAGCGGAGTTTCGCAGCTCAAGGAAGAACATTTATGATCATTTCTTCATGGAAATACATTTAGACCAAGACACTAAGGCAGAAGAACTACCGCGTCTGTAAAATGATGAATATGATGATTATTACCTCAAGAAAATGATAAAGAAATGATCATAAATGTTCTTCCTTGAGCTGTGGCACCCCGCTGTAGTCCGTGATGGACTGGCCTGAGGTCTTGCTAGAAATAAGCGTCTGCTGGAAGAGAGTAGGTGAGTTGTGTTTAGTCTCTTTGTTAAAGAAATGAGTCAAAGTTAAAAAGATGTTTGGTGTCTAGTACTATGTCTGTGACCCTATATGTCCTGTTGATGAAGTTAGGTGCTGTTCTGAGCATTATTTGTGGCTATAGAGTGGCGTTTTGGTTGAGCGCGTGTCTCTGTGTATTGCTATCGTGCGGTCGTTACTAAAGTTGGTATAACTAGAGAAGCAAGCGGTCGACAACATTCATCTCTGGAGGGGGTGTCTAACTCGGTGTTACGGTGTGTTTGACCCTAAATAAATTTTATGTCAGAAAATCCCTTTACGATAAAACAAAGGTGCATGTGTGTATTCAAAGTAAGGATGAGCGGTCAGTGAAGAAACACAGAAAGGCTCAGTAGTTACCTTCGCCATCCCAGGGCCACTCCCCTCCAATCACAGCCTGTCGTTCAGCACTGCCTCATTCAGCAGACCCAAGGTTCAATCATGTCAGCTCTCGTCCACCAATCCTACCCCACAACATCATAGTGAGGTGTCTGCAGTCCGCTCTGCCGTCTGAGAGGAGAGAAATGTCAGAGAGAAGACAGAGCCAAGAATGCTGAATACAGTTATTGTCGTTTTTGACCTGTGTAATGACAAGCAGCCTCTGCCAGTCCCATACAGGAAGTGAGTCCTCATCCAACAGTAGGAAGGAGATGCTTCCCAAACCCATCACCATAGTGACGAGTGAATCTTCATCTACCTGCTTCGTACGACCAGAGGAGTTTAGTTTTGGATCCAGCCATGCTGTAACCACGCAGAAGCCTGCTCAGGTACCATCGTCACCGGTACTTTACCTCACTACTCCATGTAAACATGTGGGTTTCAGGGTCTAGTTTATTAGGGATGGGAACTGATATGATTTTATCGATATCATTGCCATTAAAGATTCTGCTTATCAATTCAATTCTTGAATGATTCCCTTATCAATGCTGTTCTTTGAATTTAAAAAAGTAGACTAAAGGTTTTCAATGTTAACTCTGATAACAGAAAAAGATGTATGCCACCTGCCAAACTATCTGTACAACATTTACTTGATCTATTAAGTCAAATCAGGGTGACCATACTCTGGATCTCCAAAAAGAGGACACGGCTACACGGGGTGGAGTTGCACGCAAAGTTCTGAGGGTTTTTCTGGTCGGGTCGAGTGTTTTTTACACGCTTCTAACTCAGTTAGTCCACGCTACACAAACTCAAGACTTGTTGTCGTCTTTCTTGGTAAAATGACGCCACGCTTTGGATCGTTCCTGCCTACTTTTCGTACCATCCGCCATGTTTTTTTTCTCAAAGTCTCTGTTCTCCTTCGCGTAGACTGCCACTCACAAGACCGTTTTCCAAAGCACCCGGAAGAAAAGAATCGTTAAGGGAATCATTAAAACGATGACGATGGATTGGACCATTTGGAACTGGTTCTTGATTCCCATCCCTTTAGTTCATGTAAATCTGGTCCACTGGGGGGTAAACTGGGTCACATTTTCCTTTAGTTTCCCTTAGTTCACCTGTTTCAACCACATAATATATTATTCTGACTCTACATGTCACTCTGGATTTTATTTAACGTCTGTTTGAAATTAAAGATGTTTTTAAGAAGAATTCGTAAACCTGCAGATCTTGAATCTTCGGTACACCGTGTTCCTGACTCCTTCAGTAATCTTGTACCATCTCCACAGATCCACACCAGGCCGGGACAGCACCAGCTCTCACAAATGACCGCCGTGTTGAACCCCCCGGCACCTCCGCCCCCGCCTCCCGCGCCGCCGACTCCCCCTGTGGGTCCCCCGGCCTCATCCCCTCTGTCCCCCCTCTCACCCACCATCTCTCTGCTGGAGGAAGGAGACCTGCGCAGCGTGGACCCTTGCAAAGATCTGTGGGGTTCTCGAGGTTATGAGGACTACAGGCGGGCGGGGTCTCCCAGAACTATGGTTGGCGGGCTGACTGGGGGTGTGGTCGTGGGAGGTGGAGGTAGTCTTCAGGACAAATCCGAGCTGTGTGTGGTTCGCTTCGAGAAGGACCTGGCAGGAGTCGGGACCACCGGCTGTGAAGTGACAGTCAACCTGGACAGTAAAGCTTCCCAGCGTCTCTCCTCATCGTCGCCCACCTGTATGTCCATGCCCAACGCCGTGTCTGGTGTGTCCTCAGGGGCCGGCTCACCTCAGGAGACAGGCAAGGGCTCGCCCTCTCCTTGCTGCATCCACACCTCACTGGCCACGCCGCGGTCGCGGACTCATAAGAGAGGAGCGGGGGCCAGCAGCAGTTGCGACACGGGGGTGATCTCCCCCGACGACGACAGCCCGTGTCCTCAGGCGTCATCGTGCTCGTCTCGCTGTGTGTACTGCCGCTCTGTTTTCAGCACTTCGGAGAATGGGCGGGGCCGCTGCAGGGACGCCCCGGACCCGGCCCTGCGATGCCTGCGCCAATGGACCTGTGTGTGGTGTGCAGAGAGTCTGCTCTACCACTGCATGTCAGACTCTGAGGGGGAGTTCTGGGAGCCTTGCTCATGTGATGACTCGTTGGGGGGTCACCCGCACCCCCTTTGCTGTGCCCGCTGGTTGGCCCTCCTGGCTCTGTCACTCTTCGTGCCCTGCATGTGCTGCTACCTACCTTTACGCGCCTGCCTGCGATGTGGGGAAAGGTGCGGCTGCTGTGGGGGAAAGCACAAAGCGGTCCGATGAGGCCAGGTTCAGGGGTGGGAAGGGATTCCTGAACCAAAGAGGTTTGGGTGTTGTGAGGACAGAGCACCTGTAGGGGTGGGGAAGGCGGAGCTTGTGTGGACCTCGACCTCTGATGTGGCCCTCCAAAGCCCCGCTGCATTCTGCTCTTTCTCCTTCAAACCTGGGGCCTTCCTCGCTGAAGGTGCACTTGATCTGACGAGGCTCTGCGGGAGTCATCCGGGGCCTTCACAGCGGATTTCCTGATCTGGAGTTAAACAGTCCGAGACTTTGATCACAGGAGGAGAGCGGCAAGGGCAAAGATGATGATGTGTACACTGTTTCAACTGTCTGTTTGTTTTCTTTTCTATAGAAAGAAAAACACAAAAACAGAAGATGTTTATATATATGATTGATATAATTTTAATTGGTATATTTTATTAAATGTAAAACATATTGACAGAATCCCCCAACGGCACACACACACGATCATCACCTTCACAAACATGAGATCTTGGGGAAGTTCTTTGTTCCATGTTGGCCTGTTTATCCGTCAGATGAGCAGATGTCACCCTTTACCTCTGATTTTACCTCAGACACGATTCAGACCCTCGTTAAGACAAACTAAAAGGGGAGTTTTAGAGGGGTGGGGGCGTCTCAGAAAACTTTTGAGTAAAAATGCTGAGAGACAATTATTTTGAGGGGAAGTTGCAATGACAACCACAAAGACTTAAACGTCCTGATGTGATCCGTTCCGGTCCTTTTCGAAGCAAACGCAGGGTTATTTCTGTTCTTTAGAGGAAATCAAACTTTAAACACCTTCGTCATCTTTCCATGTATTTTTAAGATTCATCATCAATCATCCCGCCATCGTACTTATTCAATCAGTCAAGGTGCTTAAAAAAACTGAGGCCTCAGAGTGAGTCTGTCCTACCTTAATGTACAAAAACAACCGTACAGTCCCGACCCCAAAGAAACACAAAGCAGGACCCTGTGAACCCGTCTCTAGGCCTTCGAACGAGACGCCACCGAAACAGGAGGGAAGACCAAGTGCAATGAACGACGTGTTGAGAAAGTATTTTTGTACCAGTTTAGACAAAAGGAAAATTTGGTGTTTTAAATGTGTTATTGTGTTTGATAGTCAAATGAAAACAGGGCCATCGACTCGTCTTTGAGTCCAAATGGGGGGTGACTTCTAAACGAGGACTCTTGAACTTGAATCAGAGGTCGTGGTAGGTCTTAGTTTGGATGCAGCAGCGGCGGCAGGTGTGTCTGCTGAAAGTTGCTTTAAGCACTGAGTCAAATAAGCTGCTACTTTAAATCTCCTCCTAATCATATTCAAATGTTCCTGCTGACGATTTAAAAGGAGGACTGACAGAGTCCTGAAAGGTCCCGGTTCACCCAAAGGTGCTGAAATCGCTCAAGTGTGCGAGGAAATCCACCCCGAAAACCTCTCTGGTTATATTTCTGTTTACATTCTGCTTATTTGAGGTAAATTTTTGATTCCAAGGAAATAACTGGCAGGAGGTAGATTACACACTTATTCCACTTTGATTGTTTTAACATGAACATCATTATTTCTGCAGACATCTCACGAAAACTAAGTCCAAGGGTCGTTGTTGGTGTCCTCACTTTGCAAGGTAGGATTTCGATCACGATTGGCCCCTTTATCGATATTTTCGACCTTAAAACTGAGGCTCTGAAACCCCCCTGAACTTTTGTTTACCTAAATGAAGATTCACGCTCACTCCTCGAGTTTCTCTGAGATGCTGAGGGGTTTCCAAACAAATGTAGAAAGCAGGGTAGATGTTTATCACACGGGTTAAACACGAGAAATAAAAGACAACAACTCAAAGTCCTGATGTTTTTATCTTCACAGTGTTAGAGACGGCGTCCTGAAATGAAACGGTTCTGCTACGATCTCACGTCCCAATCACCTGGTAGACCTTGAAATCCGGCGAAACCTTTAGTGAGCTTCGTCGGATTATTTACATGTTAGGTTTTGAGAGGAACTGTTGTCCAAAGTGACTTTAAACGAGTCGGGTTCAGATCTGACTGCTCACACACTACGTGACCCTTGACCTGTCGGTTATGGGATGATTGTCTTCAACTCACGGCTGGTAAAAAAAGAAAAAAAAAAGAGGGAACTCACTTTAGGCTGCTGTTCCCCGAGTCAGACACGCACACAGTCCCCACAAATCTGCGATGCGCACATAGACCTGTGCACAGACACACACACACACACACGCGCGTTCACTCGATGGTGCAGATATACCGAACAAGTAAAGCCATTGCACACCGTTTGCTTCTTCTTCTGGTTGAGAAATGTTGTTGGAGTCCAGTACTGACAGTCATGCAGGCCCCATTCTGACATCTTAATAAATGTGCCTTTTGAGTTGAGTAATCAATAACTTATGATTAATTTGAAGTAACTCTGTGTTAGGTACTCTTTTTCTTTTTTGGGTTTTTGATTTTCTGCCAATGTGCATATTTTCAAATGTACGTATTTATTAGTTTCAAAGTAATTCTTGAGATATTACCTGTTTATTTATTTATTTATTGAGATATTTATTCTGATTCTTTATTTTTTTGGAGACAGGTTTTTATCTTCCGTGCTGTCTTACTTCTGACTTTGTGCCAATGTGCTGCTTTGAAGTGTTACATATCGTGGGTTTGTATCATTATTAAACCCTCACTCTATATTTTACAGCAGAGTCTCTCTCATATATGTGAACCAGACTGACTCACTCGGGTGGAGGATTTCTACTACATCTGCTCTGCTTTAAGGTGTTGTAGTCAGGATCTGAGGAAGTTCCAGTTTTAAGGAGAAATCTTGAATGTAAACTCTACCCCTCCCAACCAGTTTTCCCCTCAGCTCCTCCTCTCCCCTCAAGCCCCGCCCACAAACAGACGCTCCTGCTCGCTCGTATCGTTCCAATTAAATTCAGATATAATGCAGATAAATACTTCAGATCATTACAAATGGGGCCCAGTCAAGGTGAAAGTCAAAAGCATTGGTGCTACTGTAGATGCCAACAGACTACCAGCAAACACAATGTTTGCAGGACTTCTACAACGAGGATAAAGTGACATAGTCCAGGACCCGAGGGAGGACAGTTTAGCGATGGCGCTACAACACGCTACAGCAGGTCCGTTTGACAAGAAACACTTCTGTTACAGACACTTGTCTTACTTTGTTAAAGCGGTTTACCTGTCCAGCAGAAAGGTTACAGGGTCACCAAGATCCCCAAGCGTCCCCCATCGTTTATGTTGACCCGGCTTTTTAGCTCTTGTCCGGTCTACCTCCGTTTTAAGCGCCCGTTATTCCTCCAGAGTCTCCGGTATTTACTTTGTTTTCTTGCTTGTGTCGGCAGTCGTGGCCAAAGGAGGATTCAGACAATTTTCCGAACTTTCTGGTTGGTTTCTACTGTCCGATATTGTAGCACGCTAACTTTGTTTGGGCTCCTGAACGACACGGGGGAGCAGCGTAAGAGACATAAGAGAACACAGAGATATCGATATATTACCAAATGTCATCAATAACTAATAACTATTGACTGATATTCAAAGATTTTTTTAATATACACCACAAAAATAGATGCTTCTTTAACGGATTCCTGCCTACTCCACCTTTAACACTCAAACAGGGACTCTAACGCTGATGCTCCTCCCTCAGTAATCGGTGTATAAGTGTGGGGTGAATGGATGAATGTGACTTGTGGTGTAGAAGCACTTTGAGGTCAGAACGTCTAGAAAAGTGCGATAAAAGTAAAGGACATTTCTTTTGGGGGGGTGACATTAAACATAGTGAGTGGTGTTTGTTTAGAAATGATCGTATTTAATTTCATGGAAGAATCACGGTGAGACATTATTTTTATTATTATATGAAAAACTTTATTCCAAAAACTTGAAGTCTGGTGTCGTTTCCTCGATGCAGAGTCACCTACTTGGTCGAATACATGTGTTGTCTTTTATGTTTGAGGATCTCCGTGGAGGTGAGGGTCAGGTCTTCATCGCAGACGTCACAGTGGTAAACTCTCGTCAGACTGGACGCTGAGGAGGGGCCCTTCTTTTCACCGTCAGGCTCTGAAACCCCCAAAAAAACCCAACACTTACTCTCACAACTTCAATTCTTTTCAAATCAGCTGCTTGATTTAGTTGCTCGTGAGTCTATTTAAGGTCACTCCAAATGTAGTCCTCACCTTCCTCCTGCTGTTGCTGTTCTCCTGCCGGCCTGCAGGAGGCCTCGTGCTGCATACGTTCCAGTGGAGTCAGAGGCATGTAGAGGTCACAGTTAGGACAGCTCCAGAAGGTACGTAAACACTCGCTGTAGAGATCCTTAGAGTCCTGAAATTAATCACACAGGAGAAAAAAAAGATTTGTTTTAGTTTTACAGGAAAGTTTCAGTTTATCTTCTTGCTCTGTTCCAGGTTTGAAACCGGTCAGGACAGCCAGAGCTTCAGTTTGAGGCTGAAAACTCACAGCCAGACAGTTGTAGGTGAAGAAGCTCGTGACCCGCAGACCTCCTTTAACAGGGTCGGGTTTGGCCTCGGCTCCTGGGAACAGCGGGTTCAGATCCAAACCTTTCATGTGAGACGGTTCAGACTCAGACCGTGGGCCGATGTAGAGGTTCTGGGTCTGGAAAGCAGTGAGCCTCCGTAGGCTGTAACTGACCTGGACAGAAGAGATTACTGATTGTGAAGGGATGGATATACAAAAACAGTCAGAGAGTTTGGGTCAGCACCGCATCAGTACCTCCGTGTAGAGCAGGAACCGGACCAGACCTTCACTCAGCTTTTCCAAGACTTTGCGGGACACGCCCTGGACCGGTCCCCCTATCATGCTCTGTCCCAGCTGGGCCAACAGGAGGCGCTCCCACTCAGCTCTGAGGGTCAGAGCCGTGGACAGAACCTTCAGGGCCTCCTCCGGCTCCCTCAGCTCCAACTCCAACCAGCCGTCCACCACCAGACGAGTGCAGTCGGCGTTACTGTCCACGAAGTTCGCCACCAGCAGAAGAGCCTAATGAGAACACGAGGGCACAGAGAGTTACAGAAAAGTGTCAGAGGAAGAAATCAAGACTAAAACAGGACTATAAAAAAGGGGACGTCCTAAATCTGGTCCTGACCTGCAGAGCTGGAACTCGAACACAGTTTGACAAATACGGCTTGTTGGTCTCCAGCAGGGTAACGAAGGCGAGCAGCTGGTGCTTAGTGCTGTCCCTCTTATCAGGACCTGCAGAAAAGAGAGAGAGAGAGAGAGAGAGAGAGAGAGAGAGAGAGAGAGAGAGAGAGAGAGAGAGAGAGAGATAAAGATGTGCAAGAAGAGCCACCCTCCCCAGGTGAAGCTGACCCTCCTTAATTATAGCAGAAGACACACAGCCTGCCCCTCCCCCTCCTCACACACTCACTGCCCCGTCTCAGCTGACCTCTCGACCCTCAAGTTTCCGCCCTCACCAGTAAAATCATGACGACATTTACTTTCAAACATATTTATAATAAACAAGTGACTTCTATACTAACACAGCTGACAGAAAATATCTAATAAACAGGAAAAGTTCTGTTAGAGGGACGGTTTAAGACATTTACCCATCTCTCTGTTGTCGTCTTCAGGCACGTGTAAAACCTCAGGGTCACTCGCAAACACACTGGTTGGGTGGATCACCACCCCCTGCTTGTTCCGTGTGTGAAATACCTGCACAATAAAAAACAGAAGTAAAAATATCACCTAACAGATCTTAAAAACACGTTTAGATGATCTGGTAACTGAACGAATCAGGAGGTCTGACCTGGTCTGAGTCCTTGCGGGTGGTGTTGTGTTCGTCAGGCAGAGCCAGCTGAGGGTAGAGACCTCGACAGAGCAGCAGCTTGAGTAAAGCCTGCTGCCGGGAGGACAAGTCCTGACTGACGCTGACGGCCTCCTGCAGCTCTGAGACGTTGTGACGCAGCTTGAACTTCACCTCCTGTGTCAGAGTGAGGAGAACCACAGTCAGACTAAAACATGAACTTCATGTTTCTCCTTTAAAAAAACTAAACTTCTGTCTTTTTAAACTCCTGAATTCTCATGCAGAGGTTTGAGGTTGTCAGCAGAAAGCTCTAAGGTCACCTGAATGTCCAGGTTCTGTTCGGATCCTCTCTTGTCCTTCTTGCCTCTTCCTGCTTCCTCCGTGTCCGACCCTGAGGACAGCTCTCCTTCCTGTCCCTCGTCCATCCTCAGGACTTTCCTCCTGCTGCTCTCCTGCTGCTCATGATCTCTCTTCAGCTGATGCAGTTTCCTCCTCTCCGTCAGCCTCTCCCTGCGTTGCCCGCGGTCACTGCTGGACGAGGAGCTGAACTCTGATTCCAACAAACCGTGACTCTTCAGCAGGTCCTGTCGTCCAGAGAAGAAGGTCACATTAAAAAGTGGCGTTTGTGTGTTAAAACTCTAATACTAACATGTTTTGGGTGTGAGGACTCTGCCTTGAACTGTCTGCGTAGGTTGACCATCTCATATAACCGCTGCTCCTCCAGTCCTCTTCTTCTGCACCACTTTCTCGAGCCGCCGCCTCTCTCTCCTTTTACCTTCAGAAACAGACATAAACTATCTCTCAGTGTCACAACTGTTTGTATTAAACATTCATTCCTGAATGTGTTATGATGACTAACCTCCATCCATGCATTGAAGGTGTTGAGCAGGGTAAAAGGGTCTCCCTGGTTGCTATGCAGGGGCTGGCGGGCCGTCGCACAGTCCGGGTTGTGTTGAGAACTGCGTAGAAAAGGTGACTGAACGCTGAGGGCGGCCGCCACGGTCAAGACGGGCTCCACCAGGTGAAACAAAGAGCCCAGGACCAGCATCTTCCCTGAACGACAACAACACACAGATGTTTGTAAACGAGGAACACACAAGAACGATCCAATCAAACGTGAGAAAGCAAAGGTGCGATGTAAGAGGGCGTGTACCTATGACCACATCCACAGGAAGCTGTGCCAGCAAACTCCCTATTGAGGTGAGCTCACTGCGGCTGTCCAGCGCCCCCTGCTCTTTCAGATACGTAACTGCAGTTTGGATACTTGATGCTGGTGGTGGATCAATGAAGACAAAAGACAGCGGATCTCCCAGACACATACTCTTCATCTGCAGAGAGAAAAACAGGCGTTAACAAATCTGGAAGTTTAACCGCCAAGAACTGAAGAACGTTTTCTACCTGAAGGATGAGGGAGTCCAGAGCCACCCTGTGGATTTCAGGAACAGGATACGGTGCAAAAGCATCATAGTCCGACTCAGCGTAGAGGCGGTAACACACGCCTGGACCTGTACGACCAGCTCGACCTTTCCTCTGCTCTGAGCTGGCTCTGCTGATCCAGAACTCCTGCAGACGCTGCATCTTGGCTTTGGGATCGAAACTCATTTCCTTCACTTTCCCTTTAAAATAAGAAACAACAGAAGAGTCCATCAACATGAACATCTCCCACCAAAAGAGTAAATTTAGCACCTTAAAAATATTAATGAGATTTGATTTTAATAAGACTTGATCTGTGAGTCCGGCTAAGTAAACTCCCTGCAGTGATTGGTCTATCTCCTCCGTACCTGAATCTACCACGAAGCGAACCCCGTCTATCGTAACTGAGGTTTCAGCGATGTTGGTGGAGATGATGCACTTTCTCACCCCAGGAGGAGCGATGTCAAACACCTGCAGACGAGCAGAAACGCAGAGTAAGAGCTGAGAAAACACAGAAAAGACCCGACCTGCTGATATTACAAACCTTATCCTGCTGGGCGATGGAGAGCGTGCTGTGCAGCGCCAAGACGATCCAGCGACGTGTGTGTGTGGCGTAAATCTGACAGGCTTCCTGGATGGTGGAGATTTCTGCCACGCCACTGAGGAAGATCAGAAGGTCTCCTCGCTCCTCCGGTGGGTAACGCTGGTCGATGCCCTGTAAGATGCGAAGGTAAGGTCTGGGATCCAGTTTCTCTGAACGTGACGGCTGCTCTTCAGGTGGGATGGGCTGGTAAATGACCTGAACATAGAAACGGAGAATTGAAGACAGATTCACGTCTAAGAAGATCCTCAGTCAAACCCTGATGTGTTACAATTTAAAACAGTAAATGACAGTTTTTTCTTTGTTTGGCGAATTTTAAAATCTCTGCATTGGTTACCTGTGTCTTTCTAGAGTCTCTGCCAGACCCACACTGTTGTTGTTGTTTGTGGTTATCACACAATAATTTCCTGGATGGTCAAACCCAACACCTCATCTTAGGCAGTGATACAGGAAAGACTCTGTGCTCACCTGAATAGGAAACAGCCTCCCTGGTACCTGCAGCACGGGGGCGCTGCTAAAATAGTCGGAGAACAGTTTGATGTTGATGGTGGCGGACATGAGGATGAGACGAAGGTCTGGCCGTTCGGACACCAGAGAGCGAAGGACCCCGAGGAGGAAGTCACAGTGGAGGTGTCTCTCATGGACTTCATCCACAATCACCACCTGGTACTGAGCCAGTGTCCGGTCCTGCTGGATCTGTCGGAGCAGCAGCCCCTCAGTCAGGAACGACAGTTTGGTGGCTGTGGTGCGGGTGGTCTCAAAGCGGATCTGGTACCCGACCTGCAAAACACGACCAGCGTTAGTAAATGAAGTCAAGTCACAGTTTATTTATAAAGCAACTTCAAAAGACAGCAGTCAAACAAAGTGCTGTACATGAGATAAATAAAAGAAGTCAATAAATAGAAAGATAACAATAAAAAAATAAAATTAAAAACAGTCGAATAAAAAGAATAAATAAAATAAAAAGAAATGATTCCTGCAGGAGAAGATAACTGATGTTAGATGTGTGTATTATTATTATTATTGTATATTGTACTGAATTAATTAGATCTTGTTCAATCAAATCAATCAAATTTTTATTTATATAGCGCCAATTCACAACAGTCGTCATCCCAAGACGCTTTCCAAAGAAAAAGAGCAGGTCTAGACCACGCTCATCATTTGATGAATTATCAAGACCCAATCCAAGATGGGATTTGGCTCATCTTATCTAACATGAGTGACTTCCTTTTAAAAGACAGAAACCTTGGGAAGGACCAGACTCATGTTAGACAGCTACCAAGCCGCTGCTGAGTTAGGGAGGAATACAGAGAGATAAGGGGGGAGAGAGAGAGGAGTAGAAGTGAGGGCAGGGGGAGAGAAAGAGAACGAGATAGAGGGAAGGAGAGAGAGTAGAGAATGAAGGTGAGTGAGAGAGAGGGGACAGCAGCAACATTAAAACAACAACAACAAGATCCTCTGAGGATCAGGAATCAATGATCAGTTTGTTCTGGTCGAACCTTGGATCCGTACTGGTTCAGACTCTCAAAGCTGACCCTCTTGGACAGAGAGATACAGGCGATCCTTCTGGGTTGGGTACAGCCGATGTTGGTGAACCCTGCAGACAGGAGGTACTGGGGGACCTGAGTGGACTTCCCACAGCCCGTGTCTCCTGCCACCACGACCACAGGGTGAGTCCGGACCAGTTCGATGATCCGGTCCCGGTACTGGAAGATGGGCAGGTTCTTCTGGTCCCTGCGGATCTTGACCAGTTTCCCAAAACTCTGTTTCTGACTGAAGTCCAGGAAGTGAAGGAGGGCCAGACGGAGGTCCGAGACCTCCTGACGGCCTGGACCTGAAGACCTCTGTCTGCCCCGGTTCTGTTCAGTCTTTCCCAGCCGCTCCTCGATGTCCCGGGTACAAACAGAGACATTAATCCGGTACCGAGCATCATAGTCTTTAGGGAGACCGAGGTCCACTTTACCAGAACCGGACTTTCTCCGGTCTGTCCCTTCATCTCTCCCGCTGGCTCCGGGTCCAGACAGTTCCCTCTTAGTCTTGAACCTCTGGAACCGGTCAAAGAAAGTCCAGAACTCTTTGTGTTCGGAGGTTCCGGCCTGGATGTAGTCATGCTGCCGGAAAAAGATCTCGTCCAGTTGGGTTCGGCACTGAGGACTGTCCCAGTCCCAGGTCCTCCTGTCCCTCCTCCGGTCTGAGTCCATCTCTCTGCCCCCCTCCAGGTTTATCTAAAGATCCACATTTACCTGCAGTTAAGGTCCAATAAAGACCCACCGGACCGGTACCGGAGGGGGAGGTCTCTCTGTGTTTCAGTTACAATGTCACCGGGTCACAATAACGACGAGTCTCAGTTATAAAAACAGTAATAATTAGATACATTTTGTTTAATCCGATAATAATATACGGTAAGAAAATTACAGCTGATGAATCTTGTCTGAGATAATTCAGCTGTGAAGCCCGGGGGAACAAAAACACTGTCGCACCATTTCCGTACCGCGCATACAGAGACTTCCGGCTTCCCGTTTACTCCGGAAGAAACTGAAATAAGGTAAACAAGTCTGAAATGTTTAAAATAAAAAAGTCTGAAATGTTTGAACTAAACAAGTCTTAAATGTTTCGATAAATCCTGGACGCGTGTTTAAAGAAAAGTTATTCCATTACATCAAAAAATCAATAAAAATAAAGATAACAGATAATGAAGTGACATTAAAAAACACTTAATTCAGCTTAAACGGCCAATTTCACTCAAAGTTAAAGAAATTCAGTTCAAATTAATAAACAATATTTATTCTGCTGCTGAAACTCTAAAGAAAAGGTTTAATTTTGAAGTTAATCCATGTGTTTTTTATATGATGTGTGTGTATATATATATATATATATATATATGCAAAACAATTGAAGACCTCTTCTCTTGTTCGGTCACAATGATTTTTTTGAAAGCTGTTTTTAATCGATGGTTAAATATTGGGATTAATGATTCTCCGTTGGTCTCTGTTGGTCTGTCAAAAAAGCTATCCAAAATTGTGAACATTATTTTCATTTTGGGAAAATATCATATAGAACTAATGGAACAACAGCAAACCCACCAAAAACAGATTTAAGAATAAGTTTAAAAACTAGAAAACATACTTAAGAGGAAAATGAGTCTATGAATAAAGTGTATCAGACAAGGTCTTGCTCTTTAAATTTAATTATATTTCTTTAACACGTTTAAAGGACTTTTTGTTGAAATGTCACCCCCTGTTATTATTCTTATTTTATTGTTTACCTTGTTAATGTGTGACGGGTTTGTGCTGTTTTCTGTTCCTTTAAAGATGAGTTCTTCAAAGATTGTTATGTATTTCATTTCAAATTGAAATGTACGACATATTGTTAATTCAAATAAAGATTTATGGGGGGAAAGTACTATTAAATCATGAACCCCCATAAAATCGTTCTTTTATTCATTGATAGACACCAGAAACTCACCTTATGGATTATTATGGCTAATTTGACAACAAGACATTTACTCAAAGCTCGTGCACACCGAAGTACATCTCGTAGCAATATGGCAGTCAAACTACAAAACTACCTGATCGGAATTTGATGAATCTAAAACACAAAAAAAAAAAAAAATTTATGGGGAAAACACTTTAATTTTTGAGCTCCTGTTTAGACACAAGTAAGCATGAACAAATGAATTAAAAAGCTTGAGTTTAAATTAGAAAACTTTTATTTAAAAACATCTGCTATAAAATACACATTTACACATCTTTAAGAGAGGCTGTCCTAACAGGGGTGCGGATAGCTGAGGGATCACATTAAACATTAAAACCAGATAAAACCTTTTACTGCGTTCTGAGCTAGAAAAGCAGGTCACATTTGTTCAAATGAAATGATATTCACAATGAGGGGAGTATGCTCTGAAAAGTGAAGAATCACAGTAACTTTCAGGGACCTCTGCTGAAGGACAACTACCAAGCCATAGGAGGTAGGATGGACTGAGCTGTCGGTCTTTATAAACTCAGAACAGAGGAAACAAGAGAAAGAGAGGGGTGGGATATTCTTGTGATGACTGAGGATAAAACTCACTAGAATTTACATTTCATACGTGTAACAATAACATCTAAAATCTATTTCCTGTGCAGCAGATAACATTGTTCTCCATCAAATACACTTCAGACACGAACATAAACAAGAAACACAAAAAAATAAAGTCATGTATTTACAGTTTAAAAACATTTCATCAGTTACATCCTCGTCAAATCATCGAGGATATGAACTGCTCTTCAAGAGAATGGGAGATCTTCCACGACAGCTACAACATCAGCAGGAAGAGAGTCAAGAGTGATGTTTCACCGGAGCAACAATCTCTTATCAGTCCACGTTTACGTCCAAACTTTGGATCTTATTAGTCCACGTTGCAGGAACTACACTCCCGTCTTTTCTTTGATCCAGCCACGGTATTTGGTGACCGTTGTGTAGATGCCAGGTTTGTTCCTGCGGGCGCAGCCGTCTCCCCAGCTGACCACTCCTGCCAGGAACATGCGGTTGCCAGATGGACTGGACAGAGGACCTCCAGAGTCCCCCTAAGAGAACACAAACACACAGGAACATTTAGAGAATTCAAACACTTCCCTTTTCTTTTATTTAGTCTTTTCTACAACCAAATCCGTCCCTGTGCCAAATCTGTCTGAGCCTGTTCATGTGGTAACCCTGAGTTAAACCGGCGCCCTAATTACTTTTCATCTCCATACATCATTTATGGTTCTTGTGTTCTCGGTGTGTAAGTGTTTCCTCAGACAGATAGAGAGAAAGCATGGAGGAATGGGGTCATTTATCACCTGACAGGCATCGACTCCTCCGCTCAGCACGCCAGCGCACAACATCCGAGATGTGATCTGCCCATCCATCAACTCGTTACACGTCGAGCGGTTGATGATTCGAACCTGGGCCTTTTGGAGCACGGTCGCTGCAAATCCTTCATAACAAACACACACAAGCAGAAGAACACTGTTAGTTTTTGAAACACTCTTCACTTCTAATCTCCAGGAGCGGTTAATTATTAGGACAAAAAAGGCAGATTCATTTCGGGGACTCACCTCCTTCTCTCGTGGCGCCCCAGCCTGTGATCCACACAGTGTTCCCAGTGGGAAAATCATGTTGGGGGGATGGCAGGCAGATGGGCCTGATGTAGTCGGAGTAGGTGATGGGACTGTCCAACTCCATCAGAGCGATGTCGTTGTCAAAAGTGTACGCATTGTAGTTCGGGTGGGAGATGACCTGCTTCAGGTTCCTCTTCACCACAGCGCTCCCGATCTTTCTCTGCATGTGGAGACCGAGGTAAACTTCCCACGTGCCGGGCTGAGAGTATCTGAGGAAACAGAGAATTAATCAAGGTGTTCATTTGACTTCAGAAATAAAGTCCAAAACCTAACCTGAGGTGTTGAAATGGTTCGCCTGGCAATGCTGCGTGCTACAGCAGCTTCACTGTTGACAGCTCAACTCAAGTGAGAAACGAACGAATCACTTGAGGAAGTGATTCAGTTCAGTACGTTCACTTAAAAGATTCGGTTCTTTTGAACGAATCGTTTGCGAATGACACAACACTAGTTCAGGAGAGACTTTGGTCCATTCCTCTTCACAAAACCGTTTCACTTCAGCAATATTCTCCGGATGTCTGGTGTGAATTTCTCTCTTGAGTATTAGTTTAAGCAGAATGAGTTTGTCTGTTGTGACTCCGATGAAGATCAGATTTTATGTCCAATTTATGCAGAAATCCAGGTAATCCAAAAGGGTTGACATACTTTTTCTTTCAACTGTATGTGTTCAGACCAAAGTGATGTTGTTAGTAAAAACACAAAGGTGTAAGGTTTCCCTTACATGTGACAAACTGTTGACAGAACATTTCAAAGCTATTCTCTCTTCATGTTCTCAAGGATCGATGGAAAGTTTGAACATGTTTGTGAATTTTATCGGATATATTTTAAGATCTTTCTCCCCCAACATTTCGGTGTGTATGCTACACTGTTCAAAGAAATCAAATATTTCAGTAACAAAAGACTTGAATGAAAATAGTGTTATGTCAGTTTTTTCCTGTATAATAAAAAAAAAAAAAAACTTACCTTGTCTTTCCGTCATCTTGCACACAGTGGGCAGCGGTGACCAGCCAGCGTGGACTGATGATGGACGCTCCACAGACGTGACCATAATTCTTGATATGAAGGCTGACCTGCCAGGGAAACTCCCCCTCCTCTGTATCCTGACCGCCCACGATACGAGACGTCTTGAACATACTCCTCCCGCAGTCTGCAAAGTAAACAATCAATCACTCGTGGTTTTTTTCTTTTCCTGTTGCAGCTTGTTGTGATGCCTGAGTGGGTGGAAAGCTCACATCTGTTTTGTTATGCAAGATACAAATGCAGATGGAGATAATGACTAGTTTTTAATCGGAGATGAACAACAGGCCCGCCCTGAGGGGGTTTCAGAGACGACGTACCACAGTTCTCCTCATCAGACCCGTCTTCACAGTCCTCTGTCCCGTCACATTCAGGGTTCACCTTATCGATGCATTTATTGTTTTTACATTTGTAGGTGACCTCAGTGCAGCGAGTGTCAGCGGCTGAAGAGAGAAACAGAGAAAGAGGGATAAACATCTTATAACTGAAGGACCAAAGTGAGGATAAAAAACTGGAGTTGATGATATTTCTTATTCTTACTTCTCCCGCAGTCGAGCTCGTCTGACCCGTCCCCGCAGTCGTCCCTGCCGTCACAGCGACTCTTCGCTGAGACACATTTGTCGTTCTTGCATGTGATCTGTCCAGATTTACATCCACCTTTAAGAGGAGAGACGCAGGAATTAGAACACGCACTCCAACGTTTTCTGGTGCTTAAAGGGATATTCTGGCGTAAAATGAATTTAGGGTCAAACACCAAGTTGGACAACCCCTCCAGAGATGAATGTTGCAGACCGCTCCATTCTCTAGTTATACCAACTACAGAGAGCCACGCACTCAACCAAAACGCCACTCTATAGCCACAAATAATGCTCAGAACAGCACCTAACTTCATCAACAGGACATATAGGGTCACAGCCATAGTACTAGCTCCTCCTCCATCCAGGTCTTACCGCAGTTTTGTTCATCCGTGCCGTCGCCACAGTCGTCCACGCTGTCACACTTCCAGAACATGGGCTTACACAGGCCGTTTTTACAGGTGATATCCTTCGGGCTGCACTCTGAGAGGAAAGTTTGTTTCTTTAGACATGGAGAGACGCTGAGAAAAAGTTAAAATCTGTAATGAAGCAGAAGAACTTACTGCAGTTCAGTTCATCGCTCATGTCTCCGCAGTCGTTCCATCCATCACACTTCAGCGCCGTCTTAATGCAACGCTTATTTCTGCACTGGAACTGCTTTGGACAAGCTGGAAATGACAGAGCACATATGAGAGACGCTCTCCTGAAGCTGAGAAATAATCATGGTCTGAGAAAAGAAGAGTCTCTTACGATCTTTGACGTCGATGGCCTCGTATGTTGCTTCAAAACCTCGGTCCACGTAGGAGGAATCAGACTTAAACAGAACCTCCATCTTATTGGTGTCGCTGGTTTCAGTCACTGTCCCGTCAGGATGCTCTCCACACAACCTGGAGAGGAGATGAAAACACAATTATACGTCTGATCTGATCTTTGAGAATAACTCCTCTGTATCTTTTATACGACAAAAAATGAACTCACTTCTTTCCATTGACGGAAACGTAGTCTTTGCGACAGTCCTGCTTGTTTTCCTGTCCCGGCTCGGACAAGAGGAACTTTTTAAAAGTCAGCTTCACGGCTTTACCAGCTGGGACCTTCAGGATTAAAAGAGATGAGAGAGACGTCAATATAATGCAAAAACAGAAACTGTATAATCGCAGTAAAGATGATGGAGATATCTGACCTGAATGGACCACTGACACAGGGATCGAGGAGGATAGTAGTTTGGGAAGTTGGGGGATGTGAAGCGTCCACTTTCACCCATCAGCTGACCACCACATGTTGTTTCTTTGAAAGAGAAATCTGTCAGCATGAGACATCAAATCAGAAGATTTAACTCCTGACTGAGTGGGACACACTCACCTTTACTTCCTCGGCGGACTTGTGAGACCGTCGCTCTGAAACCGGGGTAGTTCTTCTTCTCATTTGTGGCCATCGTCACCAGCATGACGTTACGGGAGGACATGAAGGTCAGAGGTTCACTGGGCGAGTAGTATCCGCACATTCTGATGGAGAACGACACAGAGAAGATGATCATGTTAGAAATGTTCACAGACCCATTTGTCCAGCAGAGGGCCTTACAGACAAGATGAAGACCTCTCTGAGATTCAGTTCTTCATCAGCAAACAAAGAGAAACTCACTCCTCCATGACTCGGCTCTCGATGGCCACCAGGGAGTCGTAGATTTTCACAAAGTCGTTCTTGCAGTTTTCTTCCAGGTGCATGGTGTCAAAGTCCAGTTTGATGACGTGGTCGGGGTCGGCTCTCAGCTGCCACTGCAGGAAGGAGTTACTGGGATAAGGGCGGTGAGGGAAGCCGGGGGACTGGATCTGGTTGTTCTTATTGGCTCTTGCGTGCTCTGCAAAGTTTAAGAAATCTGACACACAGAGAAACGAACAGTGAGGAGAGTTTAATGAATCTCAAATCAACTTTTATTGTATTAATGTTGCAAAAACACATGCAGCTGTGACCAAAATCTGTACTTTGATGCTTTCTTAGCAAAAAACAGAGAAGCAGTAAACATCTCACTTTTAGGAACGTAAACCCCGAGTTTTTTATTTCTAATCTGAACATAAAATATTATTAGAAATTAGAGAAAACTTTAAATGATGGATGAGGAGAAGAACTTACTGCTGAACTCTGTCGAAAACAAGCGTGCGTCAAGAGCTGCGAGAAGAAACAGAAACAAAAATTACAAACAAAAACGTATATGACAGGAGAGTGATAACTGTGGAAATCAAAGAGTCCAAAATGAAGCGGGTAGTTTGGTCCTACCTGAAGACACCACGTCGTCAAAGACCAGAGCGTTGCCCGGTCTGTGGAGGGTCCGCTGCTCTTTGTCCACCAGTTTGTCCATCGTAGACATGGCTTTGTCCACGGAGGCCTCCTGACCAGTGGGGACACTGAACTCAGAGAGGTAGTAGGCGATAATGCTGCCTTCACTGAGGGTGATCAGACAAGAGTGAGTAAGTACAGGAGGTGGATCGAAGTCGAAACACATAAACTTCAGACCTGAGTGTTGGATTTCCCCAAATCCAACTCAAACATCAACATCTTGATCTGAATCTTATCGGGAACACCTTTTTATCCCAGCCTCACCTGAAAGCCTGAACCGTCGAACCGACGTAGTATTTGGACAACTGTGGACTTTTGGAGTAAATGACTTTAAGCTGAAACAGAGAGGAGTAAAATCACGATAAAGAACGAACGATGGTTTATCAAAAAGACCTTAAAACGATGTCTATCATGCAGGTGGATTTCCTTTCTCACCTGTGAGGTCACCTGCTTCGCCAGCGCCCTAAACTCAGAGCTGTTTTGGTTCTCGTAGGCGTCCTCGAAGACCTGGTTGGTGATCCTCATGGAGCCGCTGTACATCTTCTTGACCCGCAAATCTTTGCGGTCTGCAGGAAAGAACACACAGAAAAGACCAGATATGAGATGTTTCCCATTTTACCCCAAAGTTTAATCCATCTTAAACCTTCGTAACAGGAAGTGATCTTACAGTGGAAATGCCAAACCAGAAGTCCGGTCATGAGTGCGATGACGGCGGCGAAGACCACCACGCCGATCGCCGCCCCGACTTTCCCTGGACCCCTTTTCTTCTCGAGTTTTTTGTTATCTGCAGCCGGCAGGAACTGAACGGAGCTTTCCCACTCTTTGTCCTGAGAGAATGAATGAATGAATGAATGAATGAATGAATGAATGAATAAATGAATGAAGGAATGACGGAGGCTCCTAATGAGTTAACAAACAATCATTCCAACCATTTCACTGGAGGGTGAAACATGTTGATGTAAATCTACCAAACCTTTTTCCTTCAGGCTGTTTTGATGAACATCTGCATTCACACAAATATCTTCAATCCTATGAACCCTCAGTCTGCAATAAAACATATTATATGTCTATATTCTGTACACATGTAAATAAGACTCATGTACATATCTGTTTTTAACTCTAAGTTTCTTTATCTTTTAATTTCTCTTTTGTGTTTGTATCTATGCTGCTGTAATTTTTGGAATTATCTTATCTTATCTACTTTTTACTCGCCTGCCTATTAGAGCCGTGCCTTTAACATTATTTGGCTGCATGCAAATGAAGCTTCAGTCAGCTGTTAGCTAACCTCAGGTTAAGTGCTGATTATATAAAATGATTCTTTTTGGATTCAGTCAGTTTGCAGATATACGACTTAATTCATGGTATTTTTTTACACACTTTTAAATGTCACCAACAACTATTGTAATGTCAGTTTTTATCAATATCATGCAGCTTGGATTCATTGCTGCTAAAGCCACACAAAAGCTTTAAGGCGGTTCTGTCAGAAGTCGCTGTTTTTCCTTTATCTGAGTTGATAATCAACTTAGAACGAGTGACAGCAACACGACGAGTAGGTACTTGTATCTTATAGGAATGTCCGAGTCTGTGGTGACGAACACAAAGAGGCCCTGAAACTCTTTTCTCTTTCAAAATCTGCTTTTTTTCCACTTCCAACTCTGCAAATAAAATAAAAAAACAGAAATCTGAGTTTCAGTTCTTGTTAATGAATGAGAGGGGGACTCGGTGCATGAGTCACAGCTGTGCGGTTACATTTCAGAGGTAGACAGAGAGGACGGGGGGAGGGTACAAAGGTTTCACCATGTCAAATCCTGTCAAACCTGCTGGGAGCGAACCACTCGCAGATCTGAAGAGGAGCACAACAAGCTGGTTGAAATACCTGCTGCTGCTGCTAAGATAACATTTAAGGTCACCGACGAGTCAACAACTCCAGCCACAAACACACACCAGGGGTTTTTACGGCTTTTAAAACACGGCGTCTTTAAAAATGAGCCCACAAGACAAAGAAATATAAGAGTTTTATGACAGTTACTTATAACCAGGTGAGGGTTTGGCGTTTCTTGTGTAAACCTGAGCTGCATCGAGAACTCAAGCCTTTAAATCAAGTGTCTAACAATATAGCTGACGATGCATGCATAAAGCAAGTGCCTCCTTTTAAATCCTAAATAGTTTTACATAAACATGCATCATTCTTTCACTGGGTGAGGGTTTTTTTTTTAAGTTAAAAGCTAAATTTTAAATGGAAATCCACCTTAAATACAGATTTATCTACTCTTGCTCTTAGGTTAGCATTGTAACATAACTAAAGCAGTGTTTTTCAACCAATCAATCACTTTATCGGTCTTTTCTCAAGTGTCTGTGCTGTCATCTGCAGCCCCAGGTTTCACACATGGTGAGCGTGAATAAACTGAGAGACTATATTGTCATTGCAAAAAGTGTATTTGGTGTCATTTGGTAAAAGTTTGGTGGTGTGCCTCGTGATTGATGTCCCGCGGCTCAAAAAAAGGTTAAAAAACACTGAACTAGAGGACTAATCCTCTGAGACTGAGCGACCCTGTGCAGATCACAAGACTGAGGTGTTGCCGAGTAAACAGGAATACATTTTAGTTTATAAAGAGAAGGACTTAAAGTGAACAAGTCACAACAAGGCGGAGGAACCGGGAGGAATTCAGGAGTCAACCCCTCAGTCTCTGCTGATGAAGCTCGAATCACAGAGAGGTTCACCTTCAAACCTTTATTTTAGAGAGATTTATATAATATTTATTATATTTGTTAACATGCAGATTTTCATGTTAGAGGAAGACACCACTATCATTTTTTTCACTGTGCTGCTTTCTTGGAGATGGGGTGTGTGCCGCCTGCAGAGGCCTGTTCGCCTCATAAGCTGAATATAAAATACCTCCTTTCAGAAGAACAGAGTAAAGACTCTGGAGGTGTTTTTTAACCTTTAACAGCTGTTTTTTTCCTCCTCTATGTAAAGATGTTTGTCTTTCTGTTGGAGCAGCTGTGTACAGTGACACCCAGCCCAGTTCTGTCATGTAGGTCCATGTGTGAAATGAAAACACAGGTGATCTTTCTCTGTTTGAGTCAGACTGGTTTCATTCCTCTTTGACACACTTTCTTTTTTAGAAGTGTGTCTCTGGATAAATCTGGACACCTTAAACACACACTAATATGAGGTCATAAACACCTCTGGTATCTCTCAAACACTCAACCCCAAGATAAGGAGAGTTTTATTGCTTCAAGTTTGTTTGGGGTCTTACCGTCTTTGGGGTGTATCTCAGTCCACTATCCATGTAATCCATCAGTAATCGATGTCTGGACCAGGCTAATAAATTAAACAAGGACACCTGGAGCACACCTGTCCCCTCCAAACACCTCCTCTTCTTCTTCTTGATTTCTTGTCTCTCCTTCACTTCTTGAAGCACCAACAGGCGGTTTGTGGAGGAGGAGGTGAAACTGTGGGCCTGGTCGTCAAAGACAATCCCTGTTTACCTGTTCACCTGTTCACGGATCCACGAAATACCGAGCAGTAAAAAACTGACTCCAAAAACTCAAATAAACGTCCTCAGATGAGTCTCTACTCTTGAATTGTCCTCTTTGGTCGATATCTTCACTAACCTGCCCCGGATTAGGTCGCCCACCTGTTCTCGTGAGTCCTGACGGAGGGAAACTGAGGAAAGGACAGAAGAAGAAAAAAAAAAAAACGTTTTCCGGGAGCTTCGGGTTTCTGCAGGTGTGTCTCCGCCCCCGTAAACACACCTATGCTGACTTCCTGGTTACCGGGACAGGTGAGGAAGAACTTTAGAGATTTAAGTCGAGAAGTATTTTTGGAAAACTAGTCAAGAACAAAATATTTCGGCTATAAGAAGTTGTTATTCTTAAAGTTATGTCACAGAAGAGCCTCAAATTTAGACAAACCGGTGAATTAAATCGGCGTTTCGACGATATCGTGATATCAGCTAAACTGAACCATCAGGTAAAATGAACCATTTACGGTTTTAGCCTTAAACTTCTTTAAATGTAAAATGGTTCATTTTGGCTGCAAATAATTTCAATTTGTTCTTGATAAAAAAAAACAATTGATTTGATCAATTAAATGTGATTAAATGTGGATTTGTCATGTTTCAAATCCAGACTCAAACCCACCTGTTCAGATTGACACACTCCCTCTAATTTACCTTGTCATGTTTTCACACACACACACACACACACACACACACACACACACACACACACACACACACACACACACACACACATATGTTTCAACATTCTGGGTTTCTGAGGGTCTATTTTTAGAGTCAGTCATGTGACCTTATCTCAGCAGCATGTCTGTGCAGCAGCTCCACTGTGACTCACCCTGATTCATTTTTACCTCCATGATGAGCCATGAGTTTCTGTGTGAGTAAACATGGAGGGAAATACCACAGACCTGCGGACACTTAACGACACCATAAACCAAAGTCAGCTACATCAGGGACTGATCCGGACTTTATATCCTTAAATGAAGAGACTGTACAGTAAAAACCTCATCCTTCCTCACTGACTGAACCTCAGATCAGCTCTACAGTCTCGACTAATATCACTATTTTAAATCCAGGTGAAAACTTTCCTCTAAAAATCCTGCAGTACTATAATTTATTATATGTTGTTACTACAGTGAATGTAATCAAAGTTCTTGATGTTTCTTTTATGTAATCTTATTAATTATCTCTGTTCTTGGTCTTTAGTTTAACTCCCGCCTCAGAGGTTTTTACTTCTTTTACCCCTTCTTTTTTATTTCATTTTTTTATCTTTTATCTCCAGTGTTTCCCAAAAGTAGCTCGTTCCTCAGGTAATGTCTCTGTGTCAGGTCATGTCATATCTTAAATTCTCACTCTGTGTGTGTGTGCCTGTGTCTGTGTGGGTCCATGGGTGGGTGTGTGTTTCAGGTTTTATTGTTGTTTAATTGTTGTTGTTCGTCTCTCTGAGGCACTTTAAACTACATTTTGTTGTCTGAAAAGAGATATACAAATAAAGTCGAATTTGAATGTCTTTTGTTATCGTTTAAACTTGAGTTTATGCTCGTTTTAATAAGCTATCACAGTTTCTAGTTTGATTTTCAGTTGGACATTTCTTTTATTTGTGTGAAACACTCTGAGCTGAGTATGAAATGTTCTGTAAAAATGAATCTATCGACCCATTTTACTTTATTTTTTGGTAAAACATGAACGTTAATGTGACTCATTTTGGATTTGGAAGTGTTGACAACACATAAAAACTGAATTAAGTTGTTTTTTCAGCTGGTTTTGATATTGTAATGGTAGCCGATTTCATAAACCAAACATCTGCTTGACATGATAATTGTACAGTAATTTCATGCAGCTTAATATTGAAGCCATGACCCATCAGGTGACTTTACCTGATTCTTTAGTTTCACACATGCACTTCCATCCATCCACGAATAAAACAACATCTCCATATGGAAGTTGTGAGTTTATTGATGTGTCCCCCCTGTAACAATAAATCGGTTTCCATTGGTGTCAATCAATCAATCGTTTTAAATCACTAATATGCATATTCTATTAGTTCCCGGTCCCCTCCCACAATCAAGCAGGCAGTTACAAGATTGAAGCTGTTTGGGTGCATAGTGAGACAGTCACATACAGAGATACTGTCACGAGAAGAGAGAGAGAGAAAAAAATAGAAAACAAGAAAAAAACAAACTTAAAAATATATATCATCATATCATTTCATCAAGAACAATGCACACCACAGGTAATCCTCTGGAAAAAAAGAAAAGCCATGATTGCAACATCAACTTTACAGGCATACAAAGACAATACTAAGAGAGAGAGAAAAGAGGATTCTAGGATTCAGTTCACTCCTTTTCTACCTGTAAAAAAATCACAAGCTACTTTTTTCTCAGGAACCAGCTCTCCAAGCCTTGTCTTTTCTGCGTCTGTCTCTGCCTGTCTGTCTGTCTGTCTGTCTGCACAGCCCTCCAGCTCCAAGATGTCTTCAAAGTGGCTCGTATTCAGGGCCGAGCTAAACCTCGACTGGGGACCTAAAACAAAAAACTCAAAATACAGAAAGAATTGATCTTTGACAACGACTCCCTGAAACATAATCGGCTACAGTCTGCGTGTTGGTGTATTCAGGCTTGTTTGGCATTGCCATCACATTCACCAACCCTGACTTTACGAAGGGGAAGCTGCTTGTTCTGATCCATCGGACTCATCTATGCTTTGTGCAAACATCACCCCCCCAGTTTTAGCTTTCTTTGTACTTGGTCTTTCCTCCTGACGAGTTACAACAAGAGACGAAAAAATAAAAATAAAGGCTTGTTTTCCAGAGCGGCACGCCAGCGCCTCCTTTTTTGAGCCACAAAGGAACCTGGGAAATACAATACATTCAGCTCTGTAACATCTCAATAGGTTTGTCTGTTAACTTCGTCTGTTTGTGTGTTTTTGAGCTGAGGGTCTGTGCACACCTTCTCCTCCTCCATCCGCTCTCTCTCACTGCGTGCCTGCAAACACGACCACCAAACTAAGAGCCCTAAAACCGACCGATAACCTCTTCACTGGGAAAGAAGGTGGAATAAAAACATCTACTTTATATATATTTATATATCTAAAATGTATATGTATATTTTGTCTGTTTATAATAACAAAGAACAGAAAGTAAATAGTCCATGATTTCATTTTTTTCTCATTTGTCGTTTCACTATACATTTTAATTGGTACAAAGAACCTTCATATACAAGCAATCTATTGAGAGGAAAAAAAAAACAAAAAAATAAAAAATAAAACACCAAATCTTCTGGAGAAAACCATCATGAATGACACTTGCATGATGGGAAACTAAAACCAAGTGTCTGCTATCCTGCTGCGATGACGGCTCCTCAGAAACATTTAAATCTTCTTTAATTTGCTGTTAAAAAAAAATAAAAATAAAGAAAAAAGTCTGAAGAAATGTTATACATCTTGATCTGAGACAGCTGTATTGATAATTACAGAGAAATCTGCAGAATCACATTTTCCATAATAATGCAAAATGGCAGATACATCATCACCGTATTCAAAAGAAAATGATCCAAAAAGAGAGAGAGCTCTATAGTACAATAGTCGCAGTAGTAGAAGTAGTAGCATTATTCAAGGATTGTTTTCAACAAACCAGGAAATGGAGTTTGGATGTATGCAAATGATTTTAACAACAGCATATGTTATTGGTCAGTAGTATGTTCCCCCTCGGCGCCCTCTGTAGGCTCTGGTTAGATCTGCATCTGCTCCAGGTATTTGTAGGTGGGGTTTTCGTAGCCGTGGTTCTGCATCTTGCTGAGGTGGCGTTCCTCTGGTGTCAGCATGGGGTCGACCTGAGAGAGACAAACAAACGAGGTCAACAAGGACACGACACGCTGTGTGAGGGTTTTCAATAATCTGATTTAACGTGACTTCTTTTACATTTTTAGTAGTTTTTAAAGCTCTTAATGGTCTTAATCCTTCTCATTTGTCTGGTTTGCTTTTACCGTATGAGGCCTGAAGGAGCCCTCAGGTCTGCAGGTAGTGGTCTTTTAATTGTCCCCAAAGTAAAAACAAAAACATACGGTGAATCATTATTCTAATATTACAGCCTACCTGCAGACCTGAGAGCGACACCTACTGTTCATATTTTTAAAAGTAAACTCAAGACCAAACTTTTTAGTCTAGCTTTGAGTTGAATTTCTTTTTTAAATCTCTTAAAATTACTATTTTATGTTTTATTACCTCTTTTTTTTTTACTTTCTTTTATTGTTTGATTTGAAAACTGTTTGATTTGATTAACTTTAAACACTTTTTTACCTTTAAAATAATTTATCTTGGTTTTATCGCTTTAGTCCTAGGTCTGGTGTTTTCTAAGTCATCTGTAGCAAGTTACCCCAAATTTCCACCTCATCTGGAAAGGCGGCGATTTTTGCCATCCGACAGTTCCTACTGGATCTGTTTGTGAGGCGAATTTTGTGGCGGACTACGGACAGTGTTAATCGCCAGAACTCACAAGAACCCACGGATTCACGTTCAGTCGCACTATAACAAGTTGTCTCTATAAAGACCAACAAATAGACATATAGGTCTGTATTTTTATCTTTATTTTATTGTTTTTAATGCTTGAATGGACTGAACTTTGTGCTACATTCTGTGTATGAAAAGTGCTTTATAAATAAAATTTGATTGGTTAGACGTGTCAATTTAACCTGAATCTGATGTGTGTGTGTGTGTGTTTGTGTGTGTGTGTGAAGGGTGACTTACCTCCACGATACCGTGACTGATGGTGCCGTATTGCCTCTTCCTCAAAAGCACCAGACTAATAACAATCACAGTTGCTATGGCCACCGCGATCACCAGCAAGCCAATCAGGGCGCTGTTCCCGAAGCTGAAGTCCTCTCCCAGGGGGCGGTATGACTCCTGATAGGTAGAGGAGGTGAGAAGGAGACAGACAGAGAGAGGGAGAGAGAGAGAGAGGAGACTTTCAGAGTTTGTCGTTGCAGTAACAACAACAATGACATTTAAATGTTTTAATGTTGAAGAAAATAATCCTCATCCAGGCAGAGAAAAGAGTCTCTGAGCTCATCTTCTTCATCACAGTTTCATTTAAGACCTCTACTATTATCATTATTCTTCAGCCTCTGTATTTCAGTGATATTGATTTCCATTAACTTGATATTTTTGGAAAAGCTGCAGTAGGTGTGCCGTGCTCTCTTTGCTCTAATCAGCATTGTTGTTGCTGAAATCTGTGTATCCAAGCAACTGTAGAGGAGGAATTATGTCATTATGGAGACAAAATCAGAGCGCTCTTCTCGATACGTGATCGAGTTTCTCCTCAGAATACAAACCTCTGACTTTAAACTGATGGGAAATAAAACTGTATTGGTAAACAGGGTTCAGATCAAAGTTTGTCAAACTCAGGAGGAGCTGAAATGACCTTCAGTAAGGTCGTCGACCTCCCTGATGATCTGATCGTGAATGGGTGGTCCACATGCATGATATGTGTCTCTGTGACAGTGTGGAGTCAACATGTACACACAGTCACAGTCACCTACACTCATGTTCACGCTGTAATGACGCACATATGACACAGACTAATCATATGCAGACAATCACTGAGGAGTTCCTCCTGCTCGTTCACACACAGACACTGAGCACGCTCAGTTTGTGTGGATTTCATTCATTATATGAACCCAGATTTCCAACGTGGACATTCGTTTACATTCACATGATAAACATGCACTCATGCAGAAACAACCAAAACGGATTAGTCTCAAACAAAAAAAGAGGGCTGGGGGATTTCCAAAGCTGTGTTTTTCTGATTCAGGTATCTCTGCACACTCCCACACTCCCTCCTTCTGTCATCCATCTCGCCCCCACTAGTGAGAACTACAGTTCCCCAGAAAGCCCAGAGGAGGGCGTCACTGTACTCACCAGCTCATCATCATGCATAACGCGGACTCTCTCTGCACTGTAAACCACTTCTTTAACATCCAGAGACTCATCAATCACCTGTCAACACAGACAGGGGAGCCCAGGTTACACTCGCCACAGTGTGTGTGTGTGTGTGTGTGTGTGTGGGACAGATAGGGAGAGAAGGAGAGAGATAGAGTGAGAGCGTAGTTAAGTTTAAAGGATTATCTGTGTTTGGGTGTCTCGTACAAACTGGAAGGAGAGAGGAGGGTTTGCAAGCATCAACAACAGATTGTTACATGTCTTTATGAACAGACTGTTAGTTAGTCATTACTGAGAACTCTGATCTGAAACAAAATCTACAGGATGTGGAGAGACAGAGCAGTCCTGAGTCTCTCTGTCGTCACCTTCATTTGTAGTCATAACCTCAGATTGCTCCGTCTTAAGACGACTGGCATTTCCAAAAAGGAAAAACATGCATGCGGTCAGAAACTGGCATGATTCATATTCACGCGCACACACACACAAATACACAGCTTTGCAGTTGGTGTTGGATTAGCATGCAAAAAGACAGCTCACATTCATCAGCCAAGCGTCGTTTGAGAAAAGCGATGGTGAGGTTGGCAAAGGAAAGAAGCATGCGATGATGACTGCAGAACAAAGTGTGGAGCTGATCTGATGGAGGGTTGGCTGGCAGAGGCCGAAAAGAGGAACGCAAACAGCCCAGAGTGAGAGATAGTCGTAACTATGACAACATAGTTACTGGAATAATCTGGCTCATTAAAGCTGAACTTCAGAGAGCTGTGTCAAAGCGCTGTGCGTACTCATCCGGTTCAATTATTATGACTTCAGCTGTGGAAGTGACACCAAACTTTCCAGGATATGGATGTTCTCCATCTTCTGCTTTGACAGAGCTCCTCTCAGTTCAAGTGTTCAGCAGTTAAAATGCTTAAAGGCACAGACAGAGTGACAACAGTGAAGCTCTTACCACGTTATTGCTGACCTTGGGTTTGCTGTTGATGATTCTCTCCTCCGCACCGATCAGACCGTCCAATCCAGACATGGCCGAGCCTGTGGAGGTGAAGAGCCGCCGTCAATATGAGCAGAGCAGCACAGAAACACAAACAAACAATGGTGGTGGTGGTGGTGGACAGCTGCACATCGCTATCCGGCTCTGCTGTCTCGGTCTCCTTCGTGCTCTGGTGAAAACAAAGCCCTTTCTTCCATTCAGCACTGTGTGACAACATGACGATGACCGTACATTTTCAACAGAGGCTCTCTCAGAGTGGTGCTGGAGACGACGCTGATGTTAAACCGACAACTACTGCCCTGATTCCTGAAGAACTGGGTCACTGGAGAAGATGTCTATAAAAATCTAACTTCATGGTTTGTCGAAAATGGCGTAAAAAATGAAATGAAATAAAAATAAACAGAATATTACGATGGAGTATCAGGGCCACATTAAGAACAAAATTTAAGACTTCGGGAATAAAGTCGTGATAAAATAATTTCTTAGGAGAGTAAAGTCAGAATAAAGTCCTTATATTCTAACCTGTTGTTTAAGATGACAGATGACAGTTCGTGAAAATAAACTTCAATAGATGTTTCTCAAATAAGGAGAAACTTTATCTTTTGGCACATCAGCATCACATTATCATAAGTATAGCAGTAGTAGTTCAGTACGACTTTATTCTTGTAAGTAATGACTTATTCTGGTAAATTAATTACTTTAATCTCAAAGTCTTAATTTTTCCGAATGCTTATTTTTTTTCTTTATGTGGCCCTAATACTCTGTCGTAGAATATTAAATGTTGAAACTGGAAAATGTGAAATATAAACGCTCATTTTAAAGTTTAGGTTTCAAAACAGTCCAGACAGAAGCAACAGAACACTGAAACAGCTTTAGGAACAGGAGACACTCAGGAGTAAAGATGGGAGGAGGTTCACCACAATAATGATCATGATGATACAGGAAACCATCCACTACTGTTCCCAAAAATTATTAGACAATTACACTGCATTAAAAACAGACAGGACTCTGTAGTGAAAATCGCCACATGGCCTCAAATCACATTCAAAACAGTTCTTTGAGAGCACCATTTATCACCGCATTCACAAACGAGGTTAAAAGGAAACGGGATAGAAACAGGATCCAGAAAGATTTCCAAATTTGACCTTCTGTTTAGTAATCATGGACACCACCACATCCTCTAAAGATGGAGAGACCACGCAGATCAGAGTCCTCGATGGTAGAGGGGTGTGAAGGCTCCACTCATTCTGAATGATACATGGAGGTGACAGCATGGAGAAAAGTTCTGCTGAGAAACTGGACCGATACAGTCCTGACTTTCCCCCCAAAACCAGGACCAAGGAGACCCTGAACTGTCGAGCAGCTGAAATCCTCCATCAGGCAAGAATGAGACAACATTTCCCTCTCAAACCTTCAACCAACTGTTGAACATGTTAAAACTGTTAAAACTGTCTTCACTGTTTTGGAGCATTTTGCTGCACTTAAAGGTGAGTTAGGTAGGATTCTGTTAAAGAAGCATCTTTTTGTGGTGTATTAACAAAAAAGCTTTTAACATCAGTCAATAGTTATTGGTTATTGATGACATTTGGGAATATCACAATATCGCTGTGTTCTCATATGTCCGTGTGATCGACGTTTTAAAATTTAAATAAAGCCGTTCTCCACCTCCCCGACCTGATTGGTTGTGAGGCTGAAGCTGCTCTCTGATTGGTCGTGAGGCTGACGCTGCTCTCTGATTGGTTGTGTGGCACGCTCCACTTCCCGAATAACGTTCGCTAGCCCAAACAAAGTTAGCGTGCTACAATATCGGACAGTAGAAACCAACCAGAAAGTTCGGAAAATTGTCGGAATCCTCCTTTGGCCACGACTGCCGACACAAGCAAGAAAACAAAGTAAATACCGGAGACTCTGGAGGAATAACGGGCGCTTAAAACGGAGGAAGACCGGACAAGGGCTAAAAAGCCGGGTCAACATAAACGATGGGGGACGCTTGGGGATCTTGGTGACCCTGTAACCTTTCTGCTGGACAGGTAAATCGCTTTAACAAAGTAAGACAAGTGTCTGTAACAGAAGTGTTTCTTGTCAAACGGACCTGCTGTAGCGTGTTGTAGCGCCATCGCTAAACTGTCCTCCCTCGGGTCCTGGACTATGTCACTTTATCCTCGTTGTAGAAGTCCTGCAAACATTGTGTTTGCTGGTAGTCTGTTGGCATCTACAGTAGCACCAATGCTTTTGACTTTCACCTTGACTGGGCCCCATTTGTAATGATCTGAAGTATTTATCTGCATTATATCTGAATTTAATTGGAACGACACGAGCGAGCAGGAGCGTCTGTTTGTGGGCGGGGCTTGAGGGGAGAGAGGAGGAGCTGAGGGGAAAACTGGTTGGGGAGGGGTAGAGTTTACATTCAAGGTTTCTCCCAAAAAACTGGCACTTCCTCAGATCCTGCCTACCCCACCTTTATGGATCAGAGATTGGAAGTAAAACCCCCCAAACATAATTCTGAGTCACTCTGTCGTATCGAGTTTCTCCAAAACCTCATCTGGAAATCTCTCACGGCTCCCCGAGATTTTAACTTGTGATCATTCTTTAAAAACCCTTGTGGGTTTTCAGTAAGTGACAGAACCAAAAAACTGGACCAGAGTGTCAAATATGCATGTTCAACTGATGGTTTTGAAATAGGGATTGGCTCTATTAATATACACACAGCAGATATGCCATGAATAAATGAAGAACTGAGAGAGTGAGCGAGGCGGTGAGGGCAGAGTCCTGAACTATGTACAGCAGCCAGGCATGAATTTATTATCTGCTGCCGCTGCAAAACAGCCGACGGATAACGCTAAGTGAGGAATAAGGATGTGTGTTTATGAGATGACTAAAACTTACTCTTACTGCACACAGTGTCACAGACAGCTACAGGAACAGGCAACACAAAGGAGGTGAAGAATGTGGTCTCTATTCTGCATGAAAGTGTTACTAATCCCAAACCTTTCAGATTACAGATTATACGATGCCAAGTCAAAATGAACAGTAAAAAACAAAGCAATAAAAAGAATCAATATATGATTCAGACCAGGCTGTTTGTGGACGGTGTCTCAGTAAGGTCAAAAGGTTAAGTCTAGATCAGACAAAACAGATGACGTAACCACCTCTCGGTCTCAAATCTGGGAGGACAAAGTGGGCTAATTTGGACTGGGCCGGGTCATCAGCAGAAACACTGAGGCTCAGACAGGCCCACTTAATCACAGGGCTCCTATCAGGACAGGGGAGGACTGATGATGAGGGGAGTGAGGGAATAATTAAGCAAGGTGCTCTGACAAATGGAGTAAGGATGGGATGACAGCGAACACGCGGCTGAAGGGTCTGCGCCCTACGGGATCTCTACAGGAGCTGAGAGGCTTCAGACTTTTCTATTCAGGATAATCCTCCTGTGATGAAAAGCAGAACAGCCACGGAAACCAAATCATCAAACGGAGAAATAACATGAACCAGCTGATGGAGAGAGAGAGAGAGGTTCCCAAATTACACAAGGGGAAAGGAGAGCAGTGGAACAAAATCGTGGATGGAAATGGCTCGGGAGTTGAGGAGGAGGAGGGGGAAAAAAGAAGACGCAACAGAGGCACCAACCTTTCTTGAAGGCACGTGGGGAGTCTGATAGATCGCCTTGGCATTAGAAATGAGCAACAGAAAGAAAACCAAGAACAGAAAAAGGGGGGAAGGAAGAGAAGAGAGAAAACTTAGATGAGAAGAGGAAAAGGCAGAATTATCAAGCTGTGTTAATTGATTAGGAAGAGTTCAGCAGGGGAGAGTCCAAAAATAAACCTGAAACAGAACCAAACTCAAAAAAAGGAGCCGTTTCTAACTCGGTCTGAGCCCTCGGGGGTGTTGGCATGTACATTAAATGTTCCTCGGGGATTTACTTGTAATTTGCCTTCCATCTTGCTGGAAGAGCTCCATCCATCACTTTTTCTCCCTGCGAGGATTCAATCTTTTGTTTGGCACCAGTGTGATCAAGAACAGAACCAGAACAGCTCATTTCCCCTCTAAGCTTTTGGCTCCAGCTCTGCACCAAAGCTGCAGGCTTTGTGCATTTATCTGAACTTCAGTGGTGCTGCACTGAGCACTAGGCCGCAGGGAGCCGTGCAGGCGCAGATAAATCCGAACCCGCGGCTCCGCAGCAGCAGCAGCACATTTGCATCGCCATAAAACACATTGTAAACCTTCTCTCCCTCACTGTGCAACAGTCCTGGGGTGCTTCGTCACCAGTGTCCTTCACTGAAACTTCTATCTATGGCCTTTTGTTCCCCGCACAGACAGACTCAGTGTTGTTCATTATGCTGCTCGTGTCGGAGGCTGGAGCTGCTCACCCTCTGGCTCTGAACGGGACCCTAAGGATGTGACTTGGAAGGGGCGGTACGGTTTGCCCTCAGGCACGGGAACTTCCACGCTCTCCTCCGATGACACCGTGACATCTGGCTGTGATTCAGAGATGGACGACAGGAACTGGTCCATGTCGGCTTTCTGCTCCTGGAGCAGCTCGTCTGCAGGGAGAGGTCAGAGACAGAGGATGAGATGTTTGAAAACAGGCGCCTGTACGATGTTTGTGCAGAATCACTGACATATCTGCGAATGCACGTCTAAAAACCAAAAGCTGCTCCTATAAGAGACGTCTGTTCCCATTTCCTGCTAATGATCAATTAGCATTTTCCTACGAGCGACTCTCTGTGTAAATCTGCACATATCCCTACAGGATGCTGCTGATTCTGGTGAAAGCTGTGACCCAGTTCTGTCACTGAATCTATGCTGCAGCACCCCGCCATGCCTCCATTAATGAACCAAAGGAAACAAAAAGATGTTGGTAAAAGGTTCTGGACGTCAGCTGTCTCCAGTCGTATTTTTTCATCCCAAACACAGTTTTAAGCTTTAGATCTAATCGCCTAAATACAGAGAGCAGTGACTGCGATCGATTCCTCCTGAGAACAATATGACTCCTTCCTCCCTCTGTCTCTGATAATTGGTTTACAGACTCTGCCTCCTGCTCCCTTTCCTGCGTTTTTGTTAGTTTGCACCAAATGTAAGAAAAATAATCGCTGAGAGTCGACACGAGCAGAATGAACCAGCTGTATCTGTCACTAAACCCATCAGACTTGTTTCTGACTCACCGATTTCATCCTGGATCTCCTCGGCAACGTAAGGGACTTTGTAGAGCAGAGACAGACTCTGGTTCATCCTCTCCTCGATGACACGCAGGTGGGTCATCACCTGGAGGACGAAAACAAACAGACGAAGAAGAAGAAATGAAACCAGAATCTGATATCAAAGTGAAACTAATAAGAATGAGTCATATTTACCAAAGGATTGTTAAAACCTTAAAAAACACTAATTAAAACACAGTTAAATAGAGACGTTTTATTAAACTCTATTAGTGAGGGTGTAATTTAGTTAATTATGAATAAAAGCTCAGATTTAGTTAATGGATTTAGTTTGAGAGTCAGAGGAGAACGAAGTGAAAAATGTTTCCAGCTCTAACCCGGGGTAAATGTAGAGATGTTTGCTAAACATAAACATAAAGTATTAAACCTGAGTGAATTAAAAATGCATCTTCATATACAACAACTGACCTGAACAAAAAACACACCATTATTCTCCACCTAACAACTTTTCTATTTTCTGATTGGTCAGAAAGGAAAACGAACAAAAAAGAGAAATTATAATGACAAATAGAGGCGAATAATATTAAACACTGCAGGAGCTTCTTGATTCACAGATGGCAGGGGTGAGCAAGTACGACTGAGTTTTAGGGCCACATTAAGAAAAAAAAATGAAGACTCTGAGATTAAATTTGTTAATTTACGGGAATGAAGTCGTAATAAAATCATTAATACTCATGATAATGTGGTGCTGATGTACCAATTAGTATCTCTTTGTTTGAGAAAAATATACTGAAGTAAATTTTCACGAAATGCTCCATGGCTCTCAATTTAACAACTGTCATCTTAAACAGCAGGTTAGAATATAAGGACTTTATTCTGACTTTACTCTCGTAAATTAACGACTTTAATCTCGAAGTCTTAATTATTATTTTCTTTATGTGGCTCTTATACTCTGTCGTAAGCAAGAGAACATTTCAATCTCGACTGTGACCGCTAGCTTCTCCTAAATACTCCCATGTCAACAGTCCCTCACTGGGTCACAGTATCTTCACAGTGAGGTTAAAAAGACAGAATCAGAAAATGATAATAAGAGATCTGTTTATTTAATCATGTTTCAGCTCTGAACCTGAATCCCCACATATCTGAATCAACTGCAGCCCTGTGCCGTCTGCATGTTTCTTCACGATAACTCAAACTCGCTCACAGCCGGCTAAACCGCAGCGATGAAACAAGCTGCTGCATGTTAATGTTAAATTGGTTTGGAGGCTGTGAACTGACTCGACAGGATCTGCTGCCCGTCAGCTCTGATTACCGACACTGGAATAAAACAACACCAACTCTTTTGATCAGACAAACCCAGAAGTTTCCCTGTTTTTTAAAAACGGCGTCCGCTCTTTACAGAGGAGGAATATTCCATATTTCTGTTGGCAGGAAATAAAAGCTGCTACCCACTGACAAAGCTGACCAGCTCTTGGCAGGTAACTGGTGTTTATTTCCCACTCTGCTGATGGACTGTTTTAATCTTTCAACACTTTGGCTGCAGTACACCAGAGTGGGCGACAGGTGGCAGTAAAGCTCCTCTCACACGCACAGCCAGCTGCAGCCCCTGTGGCACCTTCCTGTCCATGTTTGACAAACAATCCTCTCTATGAAGATTACATGCAACCTCCTCTGAGCCTGTGAAGCTTTCGGAGAAGAGAATAATCATGATCCCATTACAGATACACAAAGCAGAGCAATCCCTCTTTTTACCCGGGATTTATAAAAGCGCAGATCAAACCCACATAGAAGAGAAAGAGAGGAGGAGGAGGAGGGGGAGGCAGATTTCAACTTCCTGCAGGATTTATACAAGAAGTCGGCTGGACAAATAAACACTGTGAGTCCAGAACAATACACACCGACTCCCTATGATGGACGATTCATCTAAAAACCAACCCTCCAGTCTGTTTCTCCTCGGTTCATCCATCTGCTGTGCGCTCTGTAATGGTGGCTCATAACTATAAATGGTGTCGAAGGGCACAGACACACATCTAACAGAGGAGCTTCCAGCCAAATCCCTGTACAGCGGCTCAGAGTCCAGCATTACACAAGACCTGTGCAATGTTAATCTTGGGCGAGAGCTTAAGTGAATGAAACGCCGCCCTCCTAACTCCTCCTGGGCTTCAGCTCAAAGAAACACACACTCTTTCTACCTCCTACACACTTGGAAAGAGGGCAGAGAGGAGCAGACGGAGACATCCTTATCCCTCCGCCGTCTGAGCGGGAGGAGGAGGAGGAGGAGGAGCCTGAGGTTGAAATCGGAAACATCTCCATCAAGATGAAGACGAAACTACAAACTGGAAAAGACGCCAAACACTTCCTGATTCATGCCTGAGGAGTAATCTGGAGTTATGATGATCAGCTGACCTGTGACTTCATCTGAGCCGCCTTCTCAGGGTCCACGGCCAGGACGTGCTGGTAGTGGCGAATGGTGTGCTGGCGGTCCTTGTTCTCTGCGCGGACGTACCTCCTCAGGGCCTGCAGGATCCGGTGGGGCTACAGTGGGAACATGGAGAGGGTTTGTTAGTACTAACGAAGACTGACCCCTAATTAATTATTGTGATTCAATTAGGGCTGGGTGATAAACCGAATATTTAGCAATAACGAAATTTACATTATTGGACGTCATTTTGCCCATAACAGAATATTCAGTGTCAAATCAATAAATAAAAGTTGGAAATGGATGTGTGTAGGTTGGCTATGGTTCCAAGTCCCTTTAAGACGCTTTCCGACAGGTGAGGACAGGTTTCTCCTGATTTTGGGCTTTTAACGTGGATTTTTTCTGACTCCTTTTTAAAACCATTCAAACTTCACCAAGTTTATATCAATAACATGAACAAACTGATCGAGAATTCATCTTCAAAATGTGCCAAAAAAGTTGAAAAATAACATAAAAATCCTCTAACCGGAGGATGAAAAGCACATTTCTGTCATAAAAGAGGTGAAAAAAAAATCATTTGCATATGAAATAAGAGAAAATCTTCTGCAGCACCTTCTGGAGAAGCATCACACCACAGCTGATGCAACTCCCAATTTTAGAGGTGTAACTGAAGCCGAGCAAAATAAAAAAAAAGCTAAAAAATACTCTGAAAGTTGAGATGAGTGTAAAAACGCAAAATCAAGTTCTTTCACTTTCAGGTCACGAGCTCCGACTCGGGTGGATCCAGGGTCGACAAAAGGATCAAACGACAACTAGGTAAGAGGAATCAGAGGAAACATGACACGGGATTACAGAAGTGAGCTACGAAACGATGGCGAGGCGTGTTCTCGGACTAAATTTGACAGGATATGAAATTAGCTACGACCCATAAATAGAGGAAGGCCGGGGAGGTGGGGGAGTTTGTTTGTGAGTCAACTGAAGCAGAAGACAGATGGAGCGGGTGAGGAGACGATCAAAGAGCCTCCCCAAGGTCAGGGTGTGGTGTTTACCCTGGGGGGGTCGGCCTGCAGGGCAGCCAGGTAGTTCTCCAAGGCCAGACGGCGCCGGTCGTTCAGCATGGCCTCCACCCGGGCGAGGTGAGTCTCCACCAGCTGCTGCTTCTCGCTGGCTGCCTCCTCCTCCAGGGACTCCACCATGGCCTGGAAGTGCTGCAGAGACAATCATAAAATATATCGGTGAGGACCTGCACATCGACGCTCCTCCAACCTGAGCGGCTCTCGGTTTCACTCGTGTCGCCTCTCAGGCTTGTAAGGGGAGTTGGGGACTCATTTAGAAGTCGCTCCATTCAGACGGTGCCCTAATTTAGCCTCGGAGTGATAAAGATAGAGAAGCCAGGGAGAGGGGAGATTTAATGGCACAGGGAGCGAGGGACCCGGGACCTGTGAGCCGTCATATCTCACCCAAACAAAGGAACAAAAGGAGGGACTCCTGAGGGGGAAGATCGGTGTCTTACCTGGATCAATGTCTGCCTCTCAGCCTTGGGCAGGTTCTTCGCCTGGCGATCCGCCTCCTCCCACTCTTTTCTTACCTGGAGAGGGAGACACAGAGAAACGGGGTCTGAGCTACGGCAGCAGGAAGGCAGGATGGACGTACAATCAAACATGCTGGCCTCTTTGCAAGATTATCTCAGTTTATTTAATCTCATCTTTATCATTTCTTTTTGCCCAAACGAGAGACCAGAAGTAGCAACAGGAGATCTGCTTTAAACTAAATGAGCAAAACTAGAGTTTGTTTGTACGATAAATAAATGAGCTACATGTTAAAAAAACAAAGACTGGCTGCAGTAAAGGACGTAAATCTGCCTCCTCCATGTTGACAAGTGGAACATGGCTCAGAGTTTAAAATTAAAATACAAGTTTAATACATTTTCTGTTTAACAAAGTTTCTGTTATTGTGGTTTGTTGTTATCATACTGATTCATGCTCCAGTGTTCATTTTAGGGCTGGGCGATAAACCAAAAATTTATTGAGACCGAAATTTACTACAATAACCAACGTCATTTTGCCTATATCTGTATATTCCAGGTCAGAGACGTGACTCCACCCCATCCAGTCTGTAACAAAGAGGTAAAGACAGGTGAGGAGATGGAGTACGGTTCAAAAGTTGGAGCGGCTGAAGTAGACAAAGTTAATATGGGAGGGGGTGAGCAGCTTGTGGAGTAGTTATCATCCATTTATTGTTATGGAGGTGAACTGATCAATATATCGTGATATTGATTTGAGGACATATCGCCCAGCCCTAGTTCATTTTATTAGTTATTTGATTTTAAAGATGATTGACAGGTTTCCTCACAATCATTGCAATCCTTATCTCATAGTTGATAACTCCACGTTTCTTTATTATGACTCCTTTTGAACATTTAGATCTGTGTCTGTATGTTTCTGGTATGTTTTAGTCGGTTCTAAGGCTGGGAGGTAAAACAATAATGATATAGTATATCAAAAATTAATTTCCATTGATATCGATATAAAACATGGTCAACATGCTTTTCAATAGCTGCCATTCTGCCATGTTTTGGTCGACTATACGAATAGCCAATTGGAAGGTGAGTTGCTCCGAGTTAGCACCGCGCTAAACCAATCGTGTGCTGAATTACAACCAAGTAGCCAACAGCTGTGTAGTAGCAGACAGCAGCTAAACCCAACCATAGCACTATTTGAAATAGTTTTTTTATATTGTGATACATAACAATATCAGCCGATATGAAAAAAAAAAATTTTGTGATAAACTTTTTCCTGTGTCGCCCAGCCCTAGTTGGTCTCCTGGCTCTATGGCAGGTTTCGGGAGGATTAAATAGAGTCAGTTCTTTCTGCCCCTGGTGACATTTTTCAGACCAACAAACAAACCACAAACAAAATAATGTCCTCATGGTCTCTCTAACGAGGACATGTGGTCCTAACCAGTCTCCATCACTCACCCTCTCCATGCGGTTGCGGTGCCTGATCTCCAGCTGCTCCTTCGCCCTCTGGAAGCGACTGTGCTCTTTGTCGTCGGCCGGAGTCTCGAAGTAGATATCCACATCATCGGTGGGCTGAGGAGTGGGCGGCAAGGCTGAAAATTCACAGACAGATGGTGAGTAGGCATGGCTGCGAACGGACAAACAGACAGAGAGAGAGCCAGACTGGCTGACCCAGGCAGACACAGGTGGGCAGAGAGACAAAAACAGACGGACAACCGGGCACAGGGAGAGAGAGCGAAAGAGAGCTGAAGTGGGACGCAGATTGAAAATCCTGGGAGAAGCTCTCCTCTCATTGGCGCTCTTCCACCCTCGGTAACTCGGATAAATTTAAGAGAATCTGACAGTCTTTCCTTTCGCATTCCTTTCATCGTCCCATCGGCTTTCTGCTGACGGGTCGCATCTCCAACACTAATGGAAATATCTCTACGTTTGACGGCTGGGTCATCCGGGGCCAGGCCAGAGGGCTCCGTTCATGGTCCCTCGCTTTAGAGTCACGCAGGACTCGCTCCTCGCAAAACAATAACGCTCCGGGCTCGCAAACAGGAGGCGACCTCGCTATTTCACCTCGCCATCGAGAACAGGAAGTGCAGGTTAACAGGGCGAATACTCTACCTCCAAATAAAATGATTCAGAGTGTGACTTTGGTTCAAACGGATGAAAAGATGATGTTTTTAAGGTGCAAATCAAAGAGCTCTTACATGTTTGTGGGTTTGACTGAAAGAGGAGGCGGTGACTGTGAGCAGACCGACAAACAGGATGTTTACAAGCAGACAGACAGAAATATGGACAGATGGCGAGAAGGAACACTGGCAGGCAAATAAAGACAGAAAACCAAAGAGAGTTTAAATCTGCGACACCAGATTCAACAGGAAGGAGAAAAATGTCATTTACGAGTGTTTGAGATCCTGCGGGATTATTTTAAGGAGCAGAAATCAAATTATTTCAAATATAAAACATAAACATTTTTTAAAGAATATTAAGTTTTAAATGTTTTCAAAAAGTTTTATATTTATATAAAAACTAGTAATGAGATGAAACGAGTTTGTGATCCAGATTATTTAATGTCAGACACACACCTTTGTTATAAAGTTTGACTTTTGTGTATCTATGTTATTTATTTAAATCAAACTTTGTTTAGCTTTAGAGTTTAGCTGTTTTTTTAAAAAAAAATTCTAAACTTACAATATTTTATTTATTTATTTTTCTTAATTAATGAAAAACTTATTTTATGATTTAAATTTAAAAAGAAAAAAAAAGTTTTCAGCTGTTTGAACAAGAAAAACTGATATTAAACTTTTTTTTTAGTAAGTATTTTTTGGGCGATTTTAGCCTTTATTGACAGGACAGGGTGAAATGTGGGAAGACAGAGACATGGGAGGACATACAGCACATGGTCGGGGCTGGACTCGGACCTGCGACCACAGCAGGGACCATGGTCCCTGTGTATGGGGCGTGCTAACTGATATTTAACTTTAAATCTCTTTTTTAAATGTAAAATCTGAGTATTTTTAAACTGACCAAACAAACTAAAAAGTCAATATAACTTTTAGACACAGAACTTTTTTAATTACGATTATAACTGTTAAAACTGTGATCCGGAAATGCAGGAAAACAGTAAAACGAATAAGAAAGCGTGTCTGTATTTCAGTTTTGTAATTATTGTGGAGGAGGAGGAGGTCACATGGTTTCAACAGGTGTGTTGTTTTTTAATGAATGACAGCTGAAAATCTCAGAGCAGCTGTTCCACTTCAGACTAAAATCACCTAAAGCAGAGAGTCTGCAGCAGAATCACAGACAAAGAGAGCAGGAAGGAAGGATGTAGGGAGGGAGAGTTTCAGACCGGCCTCTGTCGGGTCAGACTTACTCAGGCGCTTGCACACGGCCATGCAGTACTCCTCTGAGTCGAAATTGTTGCGGTTGCCGGCACAGCCGCCGTAAATGAAGCGCACACACTTCTTCTGGCTCATGTCGAAGTGCCAGCGGGGCATGGAGGCACGACAGGGGCCGGTCTCAGCCTCCAGGGTGCACACCGCTGCCAGGGGACAGCGTGTTAGATCATCCAGCCACAAGGGGCAGCACTCAAATCCAGTTTCAGAAATTTAAACTCCCATAAAAACAGACTGTATGCAAGATCTACATCTACAAATGAAACATGATTACACAAGACAAGAATTTCCTCTCTAACTCTGCTGCAGCAAAAATAAAAATGAAATGGTATGAGGAAGAGAGAGAGAGAGAGGGGTGACATTTCACATTCAACATCTCTTCACAAACCTTTCACTTCCTGCAGAGTCTTATCCTCGGCATCGCTCTCTGACATTTTGTTGCTCTCTTTCTCCTCCTCCTCCTCTTCCTCCTTATCCATCTCCTCATCCTCATAGACGTAGTGGTACTCCTCCTCGTTTTCCTCCTCCTCGTCTTCGTCCACGTCCGTCGCTGGCTCCTCCTTCTGTGTGGGCTGCTCGTCAGCTGGTTTCACGCTGAGGGGGGAGAGGGAGGCGGAGGTGATTGAGCGAAGGGGTGGAAAGCCAGAAAAGGGAGTGATTTATCAAACAAGGCAGAGCAGCTGCCATAGGTCAAAGTCACAGCACTTTAATTCATCCAGATGGCCGCTAAAGCCCGGCCTTCACGGGGGATATTACTCTCGCCATATTTCAAAGAGACGCCACGATCATAAACACAAACACACACAGCCTCAGACTTCACGCCAAGTCACCTCTCCTCCTCCTCCTCGACCAGGTCCATCTCGTCGATTTCCTCATCCTCTATCTCTTCTTCTTCGTCGTCCTCCTGGGAGGGCAGGGAGGGCGGGGCCGACTCCCCGCCGCGAGAGGCGGGGCAGCACACGTACTCGGTGCCGCGGAACTTGTCGATGCCACAGGGCAGGAGCATGCCGTAGCTGTGCAGCACCATGGAGCTCTTTCCACAGGCCTGACGGAGAAAAGGAAAAAAAAAGAGAGTGAAGATGAAGAATGAAAAGGAACGGGGCTGCAGAGTGATGAAGCTGCTGCACGTCTCCAACCTCCTGTTGTTTTCTTCAGAGAGAGGGCGGGGAAAACTGTAACGTTTAAATGCTGTATATAACTTTACCAACTTTACCCAGAAAGTTTAATACACTGAACAAAAATATAAACCCAACACTTTTGTTTTTGCTCCCATTTTTCATGAGCTGAACTCAAAGATCGAATTTGTCTAAATATGCTTTAGTGAACACTTAGTGAACACTGAGATAACAGAGCTCTCTGTCCGTGCTTTGTGTTCTTTTTCGTCCGTATTTTTGCACGTAACCTTGAAGTTTACGGATTCGGGAGAGATGGAGCAGTGCCACCTGAAACCATGGGGGCAGTGTTGCTGCTGTCACTGCCTGATACGCATCTCTAGAGAGAAACAAAGAAGACAATGGCGGGGCTTTTTGAGGAAAGGTTGTGTGAGCAGATACGCAATTAGAAAACATATAAAGACGGGTTTCTGTCTCATGTTTCATCGCAGGTATGCGCGCGCAGCCAGGGGGCAGAAATCAGGACAAGTCAACGGAGAAAGAAAATGACAAGGAGCTGTTGTGCTGTAAACTGCACGAATCAGCAAAACAAACGATCGGCAAACATTACAACCCTGCTCCTGATATTAGAAACATCTAAAACAACAGACAGAAACGGGCGCGTACATTTTCATACGTATGTCCAGCATAAATGAGCCTTTGGCCGTCTCCAAAGGCGTTTCAGAGAATTTGGCAGAACATCCAACCGGTTTAGTAAAACTGCACCTTTGAGTTCAGCTCATGGAAAATAGGAGCAAAAACAAAAGTGTTGGGTTTATATTTTTGTTCGGTGTATTTATTTAAACAGAGAGACGAGAATAATCAAGGCTGTGCAGACGAAGTAATTTTATTAAATAACAGAAAGAAGCATCAAATTTAGTGATAATTAAAGGTTGGTGGTTTTATCCTTGCTCTCTCTTTCTCTGTTTGTAGATAATCTCACATATTATTGTAGAAACAGACAGTATAATGTAGCTGCAGTCACTTTACACAGAAACAGCTCGATCCATCCAGCTGCTCCAGACAGACAGATACAGACAGACTGATCCTGGAGCCGACTCAAATGATAAATTGGCCAATTTCAAAAAAGCAGTGTGATATTTTTTTAACATTTCTGTCCTTCCTGTCGCCACTAAGAGCTCCGAGTTGAACTTCAGAGTAACTGATGACTGCTGGGAAACTTCACTGGAGGATTAGCCGCTCTGCTTAACAACTTCAGCGGCTGTTTTTCGTTCATTTTTCTCGCCGTGATATTCCCGCTGATAAGAATTATTACAGCTCGGTTGTTATTGATTGCAGGTACTCGCTGCCTCTGGATGTCACACTATCTCAGGCTGCAGATGAGGCGTCAGTGATACGTGTCAGGGAGGAGGAAGAGTCAGAAAGCATGACGCAGGGAGAAACCCGGGACAGGTCAGAGTGGCCCTGGAGGGCCGGCTCTGAGGCTACCCAGGGGGGGGATTAGCTGCATTACAGCCTCAACACTAATCTGATTAGGAGCTGAAATGCAAGGACTCGCTGTCAGCCTGTGATCAGAGGGCCTGGGAGACTCTCAGAGACAGGTGGAGAGACATTAAGGACAGAGGGGAGGATTGGAAAGTAGTAAAAGTCTGACCAACATGACAGGGACTTAAGTTTCATTTCCAAAAGTGAAGTTGACGCATTTCCTCTTCCTCTGTTATCTCCGAGCCTCCCACCGTTTCCTGTGAAGTCTCTCCTCCCTCGCTTACCTCTTTGGCCACGCTGTGCCACTGCTGGTGGCTGACGCACATGTCCATACGCTCCTTGTGGAAGAACTTGCACTTCTCCGGGACCAGAAGCACGTCACTCACAAACTCGCCCACTGAAACAGAAAATCACACAGAGCGGTGCGCCCGTTAGTCACGCCAACTATCTGCCAAAAAAAAAAGATCACTCCTCTTCCTGGTCAGAGCTCTGCTTATAAACAATAAATCAGCCGGCAGGACTAAAAAAGGAATAGCAGATGAAATGAGAGGGGAAAAAAAAGGGTTTAATAATTCAAAGCTGCCTGATCCTTTACATTTCATTACAGAGGTAGAACAGAAAGGGCGTCTGACACCCGGACATCTGTCTGTGCAGACCGAGCGCAGAGGAACTCGCCTAATCTGTGACTTTACAATCAAAATGGCAGAGCACAAAATCAGGTTTCATGCTGCGGCTTTTTAAACAGAGTCCAAAGTTTCCATGTCAATGATGTCATTTGAATTCATTTCGACCATGTTTTATTCATGGAGCGAGGAGACGGAAAGAAAAGACATGAAAAGCATCTATGAAGAGCTCCAGGGTGAAGAAGACTATGTGTGTGTGTGTGTGTGTGTGTGTAAGCATATGGCAGCGGGGTCATGAGGAAGATTAAAAAGGACAGACGCTGCTGGTCGGCTGGCAGGGTGACCAAGCACTCAGGTAGAAAGTCTGGTGTCAGAGACAGATGGAAAAACGGGCCAAGAGAGAGAGAGAGAGAGAGAAAGGAGGAGGAGGAGTTCAGGGTGAAGTCCAGATCAGGACTGAAAACACAAATGAGGGTCTGGAGGTTTCAGGAGGAGGGCTGGGAGCTGTCCTATAACCGCTCATTTAGCGGTTCGCCACGACCTCGGCCTAAAGGCGGAGCTGCCGGAGCGCTTCATGTGAGTCAGGCCAGGCGGGCCGAGCGAGGGTGAAAAAGCAGTGTTTTGGAAAATGAGAGGGTAAGGTAGGAAGAGGAGAGAGCTGGAAATAGCAGAGGACTCAGCAGCTGCTTCTCATCTCCGCCCAGGAGGTTCAGTAACACCCCCTTACACAACCCTCTTCAACCCGGCAGACCCTGGATCTGCTGCTCCTCTGTCCCCAGAAACATGACTGACAGGACTGGACCACCACCGAGAAAACCGTCCGATATCAGATTTTCAACACAGACTCTGATATTATACTAATGATTACACAATTATTTAAAAACTTGGCATTTTTTTTCTAACTTTTACACTATTTCACACAATTTTGCTCCATTTTATCAATTTTGAAACTAGTATATTGCAGTATATTCTAGATGCGATAACTTTACTCAACAATATTTTTATTAGTTTTTATACAGATTAATACAGTACAGCTCTTGAAAGAGCACAAGATACAAAGGAAACACATCACAAACACCCCCTTTCCCTCAAGATCCTGTCTACTGTTGGATATTCCTATAATTGCGATGAACTAACGCATGCTGGAGCTAAAACAAATATAATTAAAAAAAAAACAAGTAAGTGCTGTAATTTGGGTTTTGTAGATCTTGAAATATATAAGATGTTAAGAAATAAAAAGTAAAAGTGAAAATAAGTTAAATTAACTACTTTATGTTTAGAGAAATACATGTGTAAACACAAAAAAACGCTCCTGGTTTTCCAGTAGCTTTCCTTAAAGTCCCACATTGCTGGTGTGGTAAAAGTAGCAGGTAACTTAAGAGCTATTCAGCTCTCAGACGCTAATGTCTTTGGAGACATGATGAAAATTAATATCATAATTAGCCTTTTTACAAGTATTGCAAACTGCTAACGCACATGCTTCCACGATCGTCTCTCTACTTTTCCAAGTCTGGCCTGCATAGCTGGGCTCTGGGGGCGGAGCTTGGATTTGTGACATAGGAAATCTCACTGTGTCTGAACCTGCCGTTTGGGTCTGCCAGAGATTTTGAGATTTAAATGCAGAAATACTCAGAAATTCAATTTTGCGCTTATTTTTCTCATGATATGTCCTGTAGCATCAGAAAAATGAACATATGGACAAGTAGACAACAAGAAAAACATGATTTTCATCGGACTGGGTCCTCAAACACTCACTACATTAAAGTTAAATTACACTCTGGTCTAATGATGTAGAACACAAGACCGTTTGACATTCAGTGGTTTGGGGTCAAAGATGGATGTTTGACCCACTTTGTAATGAACCGTGAATATCTGCGACCTCTCGGGTCGACCTTCGTCTCTCCAGATCCTCGTTCTCTGAGAGGGAGCAGAAGAGCTTGGAGTAAAACCAGAACTCCAGCAGGAGGAGGTTACAGCCTGATTGGATCTCTCTCTGTCTCGCTCACAGGTGACTCTGCGAGGTGGAGAGGGGTTTTCAGGCAGACTGCAGCGGGTGATGGATGGTGGTGTTAGGAGAGCAGCTGTGCGCTCCGGCTCTGTGTGTTATTTGTGTGTGAAGTCGTGCTCCTCCCCTCTATCTATACTCTATTTATCTGACTTTCCTTTAACCTTCCTCCTTTCAGACGCCCTCGCTGACACCATCCAGGTCCCGGATCGACTGCTGCACCGACTGACTGCAGACATGTGAGGAGTGTGTCGGTAAGAAAAGACTTGAGGAAATTCAATTAAGCTCCAACCGAGTTTACTCATCGACAGCATGGATAGTTTTTCTGTTTCAGAGGCTTTCTAAAGGAGGAATCTAATTTATCAGGATCTAGGCGGGATCAGACGACTCATACAGGGTTTTCAGTTTTTGTTTCTGCCTGTAAAAACGTTAAAATACATCTTATAATGAAGACATATCCTGATTTAATCTCCATCTGATCCACTTACATCCACAGTTTACATTCCTACGAGGCCAATGAGGCATAATTGGAGTGACATTTGCATTTGACTCCAGGGTTAAACTTTCAGTTTATGGAAATAACTTCATCATTTTCAGCAGACGTCTTAATACCAACAAGTTTTTTTACAAGTTCAGGAGTAAAATTACAGGTCCTACACGTCTGTTCACTCAGAGTATAGGGCTGTACGATTCATCGATTTTAAATCGTAATCGGATTATTTGATTCTGACGATGTTAAAAAAAATTAAAGTCGTCAAATCAATTTTCCTCTCTATCATGTCTCGAGCCTCCAGGTCACTGTTGGCTCCCTCTTTCCTGTGGGAGCGCTCCCCAATTCTCACGCACACCAGTGTAAACAAACATGGCGTTTGCGAAAGAAGGCAATAATTTTGTGGTTAAAAAGGACAAGAGCGAGTCAGTCGTGTTGAATTGGTACGACTTCACAGTTTCAGATGAAGAGTAAACCACTCCCCGCTGCAAAGTCTGTCTGAAGGCGGTATCAACCCGTCACCATGGAAACGAATTCAGGAGGAAACGCTGAAGTTTTTTGTCGTATCGGCGTTTCAGGTGACTGTAAACGGTACTTTTTGAAAACAGGTCAGAGAGTGAATAAATCTGTAAACGACGACCATTTCATCTCTGTGTGGATGTCTATCTGCATCGCTTGTTACAGCGCCACTTACTGGCCTGGCGTATGAACTGCATAATTTCAGTGGTTTCGTTTTGAGAGATGATAGAAAAACATATTTTTAGAGTGAAGTTTAGTGAAGTCGTCACTGAATAAAAAATCAAAATCGAGTTTCAGAAAAAAAATCTGGATTTTTAGTTTTGTCCAAAATCGTGTCGCCCTAACTCCGAGGACGCCGAAGTCTCTCCTCTCTCAGCAGCTTTTCCCTTCACAGATTAGTTATTGTGCAGAGACCACACACACACACACACACACACACACACACACACACACACACACACACACTGACTGTTCTCTCCACTCCAGACATAATAATAATAAAATGTGTAAAATAACCCTCTGCTGTGTGACAAAGACATCACGCTGCAGGGATTAGAGCGGCGTGGAACAGAAATCACATTCATTTGCAGAGCTGTTGTTTGGGAACATGAAACATGAAGGGATTGTGGCTGAGCGGCTGAGCCTCCGCCACCGCCGCAGCAGCAGCAGCAGCAGCAGCGCCGACTTTCTCTTTACACCCGGCTCCTTCCTTTGCACTTGCATTATTCATATGAACCTATTAAGTTGACATGTGCGCTCCGAGTCTGGCTCTTTTAATCACGTCCTTCAAGCTGAAGCCCACCTTCCTTTGGTCTCTCTTTTATTCCGCCATAATTAATGTACACTGATGAATATTAGGCAGAACCTCTGATGTCCATTTCTCAGGAACACTATCCGAACATCACAAATAATGAATAATTCAAACGCTCTCCTCTTCTTCTTCTTCTTCTTCGTCGTCGTTGCACTTTGATATGATAGAGAGGCTCCACAAATAATGGGCTGCAGAGGCGAGGCGAGGCACGGCGAGCTGGCGGAGGCATGCCACGGCCTGCAGCATATGATCAGAGCCCTCCAATTAAGCCTCTAACATGCTCCATTACGTAATTAAGCAGAAACCCTCTCGATAGCCTCCTCCTCGCCAACACCTTATGTTTATCTCTCCTCCTCCATCTGTCTCCTCTGTTCTCTCCGTCCAGACTCCTCGTTTGCTCCCCAGCGGAGCAGCAGAGGCCTTTGTAATTTGATGGGGCATGAGTAAGCCGACCTTTTTGCAATGATGACAAAAACTGCGCAGGAACAAGCGACGGGAGTATTTAATGATTCCAGAGGAGGTAATGGGTTTGTTTTAATTAAATGGCAGTCGTGGCACCGGCGCGCAGAATCCTAATGAGAGGTCTTGGCTTGTTGATGGATGCAACAGCCGGCCAAAGTGGAGAAGAGAGGCGATCAGGTGTGGCAGCAGGTAGTCTGGAGGAATCAGCTTCAGGGTGTGTAATGAGAAGAGGAGCAAACGGAGGGATTTAGGAGAGCGATCCTTTCTCATCTGTATTCCCGTCTCAGGCGGGAGCGACCACTCCAGTTGTGGTGTTTGCTGTCCCGTGAATTTCCCACAAGCCTCCCCTCTGCATTTGCCAAAAACGCTCTTGAATACTAGCCCATTTCACAGTCCGCTGCTACTGCTAATAGCTTTTTCATCACGGGAAGAGGCACAACTCAATCAGCAAGAGGATTTCAAACAGAGGAAGGATGCTGGGAAGCATCTGAAGCATGGAGGAAGATGTTTTTTCCTTCCTGACACAGCTTTCAAAGGACAGAGAGGGGCCTTGTTTCAGTGTCTGTCCTCTGTTATTGCACCGCTCACAGGGAGAGAGCGTGTTTCTGCGAGTTAGGGAATCACACAGACATGTGGACTGCAAAGTCTGAAACTCTCTGACATTTAATAAAGCAGAATATTGGTCATGTTGCCACAGATGATTACAGCGATGCTGCAGGAGACCGAGGAGGAGGAGGAGGAGGAGGAGGAGAGGTGTGTATGACGACGGCACAGACGGATGGAGAAATGGGGAGTAATAAAGCAGGTCTCCTCCTCACAGACCTCTCTCTTGCTGACCCTGTGTGTCTGTGTGAGTTTATGGCCTCTGTCTGAGGAGGGGAAATAAGATTGTGCTTTATTGCTAAACAAGCTTCCCCGGCAATAATAAGCTTTCCCCCTCAGCCATCTTTTTTAAGACACATTAGCTCCCATCCAGCCTGGATCTCCTCAATCTGCAGCTCAAGGCCAAGATTAGTCCACCGAGTCGGGCTCCGATATTGCTCCGTGTCACCTCTGCCTGTGGCTAATATGCATCATAATCTCTCATTTCTCCAAGACGGCTTAGAGAGAAGAAGAAGAAGAGGGGGAACACTTGATACCACTCACACCTCTCTAAGTGGTTTTCCCGAGCCCTTAAGCTGAACCTTACCTAGGCATTTATAAGGCACCACGATGTGGGCGTGGCCTTTGCACACCTTCTTCTTCTTGCACCAATTCTCGATTCGGATTGGCTGGTTGGCTTCCACGACGTTGGTGATTTGAAGCTCAGGATACATCTGTTGGAAGAAGAGGCAGAGAGTGTATCAAATAATGATGGATGGATTTCTATGTGTGTGTGTGTGTGAGAGAGAGAAGTGGAGCTTCAATGGGATCCTTTAATCCATGTTTTATACTCTCTAGATGCCATCTGTTCAGCCATGAAAGACCATGCAATTTGCAGTTTCCCCAAATGCCATCAAAATGTCATCAATAGATGTGGAGAGCGCAGCCTGAATGTATACAGCCCTGCTTTTCTTTTTTTTCTTGGACAGCTGCATAATAAACCATGACAGTCACACCGGGAGGAGATACAGTCGGAGTAAAAACAAGTAAACAAGAGCGAGGACCGTCATTTCACAGGGAAACATATGCTTTAGCGTAAGGAAATGTCACTCACTGATTCTGCTGATTCAAATGCCAACCACCAAGTCCGGCTTTCAGCAGAAACTAACAGCCTCATAACAGAGTGAAAATCGATCTGACCTTCCACAAATATTTATCCGAACCGCAAAATATTACTTTTTAATCCTGTCCTTATTGATAGATAACTCTTATTTCTTATAATCCTGCAAAACAGGTCAAACCGAAGGGATCGAATTACACACAAAAGCAAAACAAGAGGCAGAGGCTGAGCTCGAAAACACACAGAAAGACATTTACAACTAAAGCTGTCCCTGTACGATATTGATATCAGATATCGGTCTGATATCAGCCACAAAAGAAATATCGGATCAAAATCGGTATCAGCCGATACTGAAGGACACAATATTGGTATCGGTATCAGAAGTAAAACACATTGTATTGGGACACCCGTACTTACAACAACAGAAAAAACACCTGCAGGATAACGAGGTTTACGGGAATTAAAGGGGAGGTCATGTAAAGATGGGAGGAGCTTCACTACAGAGATTTCACATTAATGTTCATCGTTTAAAGTTCAAAATATCATCAAAAATTAAAACATTTGGAGAGGTTTGGATTTTTGAGCCTTCAGGCAGAACTGCATTAAAAACAGACTCTGAAGTGGAAATCTCTGCATCAGCTCAAAACGACTTCCAAGAAATGATATTTTATTATCTTATCTTTAAATTTGGTTTAAAACTGAGGGTGTCCAGATACAACTTCTTTTTTACCTTCAATACGATACCAATATTGTAGCCTTTAATATTGGCCGATACCGATATCGATCCAATATCGGCACAAACTTGTGCATGACAAGTTTTTCACTCAGCTGCGACATATTTTTCGGACTAAAAAAATGCTGCCACTCAGCCAACATCACTCCTACGCCTTGGTACTAAGTTAGAACCTCAGCACACACTGTTGTGATCCGGGTGCTGCTTCAGGTGCTGGAATGGACTGCCTGTATCCGAGTACTGATATCTGAAATATAGATGCAGGCCGATACAATCCGATATTTGTTTTTTGTCTGATATTGAACCGATATCGGGACAGCCCTATTTAAAACTGAACTATGAACAGAGGAAACCAGATATCAACATGACCCAGAAATGTGGGTGTTCTCTCTGGACCTGGTCTGGCCTGGTCTGCTGAATCCTCTGTTATCAGATGGTTTTTTAAATGCAGCCTGATCTTACATTTTTCTTACATTTATCACAGAAAAGACCAAAGTTTGGAGGGAAACAGAAGGATCTGATCGTTTTCTTTCTATACTTCGCTAAATTCAAACGTCGTCAGTGATTCTCATGTTGTTTGTCTAAATTTGGAGCTGATGGATATTTGCTTAGTTTGGCACAAAAACAAAAATGTAGAAGAGTTTGCCTGCTTCTGTCTAGATGTAAGAAATCTGTGTCCTCCCTCTAACGGCTCGCTTTGATGCTTTAGTTTGAACATTTTTAGGATTTTTAGAGGTCGGGGTATTTCTGTGTCTGTGTGACTCACCTCTTGGCAGTACTGCAGCACACCCTCTTTGGTTCCTACACAGCTCTTGGTACCAGACGGGTCCGGTTCCCAGCGCCCGGTCTGGATATTGACGTGCATGTTGAGCCTTCCGCAGAACATCGCCACCTGTGGCTCGGCCACGGCGAACCCTGTGCCTGCGTTTGCTGCGAGCGCCTGCAGAGAGACAGAGAGAAGGACAGAGACAGAGAGGGTTAATGCAAAGAACGGATAAAAACGACGACGTATCCAAACCAAACCCAGACACAGAGGCCTGCTGTGGAGTCTGAGCACATGGAGCTGGTTCAGATCATGTACTGCAATGGATAAGTGTAGTGGATGAGGTGGAGCGACATCAGAAGTGCCTGTCAAGACTTGGCTGCTGCTGCGTCTCCTCTCTGCAGTGCTGAGGGAGCAGAGGAGTTCAGACAGGAGACAAATTTAATGCACCTCCTCGAGAGCGTTGGGCTAAGTTGATGTTTAAATGGGAGAGGGTTCGATTGGTTTGTGCACAAGTCTTATGGAGGGAGAAGAAACTGCAGTCCTTCATGCCTCACAGACCGGACATGCTTTATGAGGGCAGAGCTTTGCTCATCCGGGTCTCCTGGGACCCTGATCTTTCCTCAAATGATGGATCATTTATCCTTCAAGGTAAACACTGACGGCCCCTGATCCAATCAGCCGGCTCAGACACACACATCGGATGATAAATATCATGCAGCGCAAATATGTTGAAATGCGATTAGTTTCTTTCAAAAGTCTGCTCTTGGTTTCCGTCAACAAGGTCTCGTCTTTTCTCGGAGAAATCCTGCGATCTGTCTTCCTGTCGTTATTTACTGAACCCTGCAGTTTCTCTCGAAGCAGGCAGGAAGCAGACACGCTCCGTCTGCCTGTTTCTCTCTCTAAATAACTGAACAGCACACACTCATGATGAAAAATGAACATCAGCTGTCCGGAGCTATTGTCTAATCAGCTTACACACAATTGGCTTTCAAATGATGCTCTGATGTGCGAGCATCAGTCATCTCATTAGCTCCTATGGAGACCATAAGTTACGGGCCGCTAACGCTCGCCTGATGTCACCGAACAGGACTCCAATCATTCATGGAGGCAATGTAGCTGTAAAAGACAAACAGACTGAAAAAAGGCACACCGGGGAGCCTCCAGACAGGAAGTGGGACGGAACTGATCTCCTCTTGATTGTCATAATGTCATCAGGCTGAGTAAACAGGAGAGAGAGAGAGAGAGAGAGAGAGAGAGAGAGAGAGAGAGAGAGAGAGAGATCAAGAGATTGAGCGAGGAGGACGCAAATGTCCGCCTGTTTGCTGCGGCCTGGGCTCTGAACAGATGCCTGCAGAGGTGTCCTCAGAGCTGCAGAAGAAGAACTCGGGTATCAGAGAGTTGGACAGAGCTCTCCGTCTGATTCCACGCAGGCGGAAAACGGGCGCAGAACAGAGGCGAGCGAGGACAAAACAAGTGCTGTGTAATCAGCAGTTGGCTGTAGCGTGTGATGAGCTGCAGAGCTGAGTCCGCACGCATAAACACACAGGACTGAATACAGCTCCACACACACACACACAGACACACACACGGGGGGGAACTCTGGCATCAACGCCGATGATACACAAACCTAAAGAGAGCACATGTAGAGACACACAATCACGCCATCATCCACGTACTCTCTCCATCCTCAGATTCAACCTTGTTTCCTCTCCTTCCTCCATCTCCACCTCTTTGTCCTGCTCCACTCCTCCCTCCTCTCTGCACCACCACAGGCTTGTTTGCTCTCCTCCCTCTTCTTCCTCCCTCTCATTCTTTTGTGAGATTGGCTCGGGGTGTACGAGGAGCGCAGCGGTGGGGAGGAAATGAGGGATGCAGAGAAGCACATTAAGGAGGGAGACAAGGGAGGCAGTGACAGCCTGACCACAACTCCACTCTGCGGCTGGAAAAACAAGCTTTGGGACCTTCTCAACACCCCTTTGACTCCACTTAAGTGTTGGAGTCCCAGTGTGTGTTTAATTCTGCTTTAGTGTTTAAGAAAAGAGCTGCTCAGGGTCAGAGAACTGCGTGAAAAGACGAGCCATGAGGGGCAGCAGAGAGCAGCAGACGGAGCACCAAATCACAAACAGGATTTTTCACCTGAACGAGGAGGAGGAGGAGGAGGAGCAGCCTCAGGAAAGCCTCTTAAACAGTCTGCCCTCCTGACCCCGACATCTTTAAACACAAAACACCGACATGATCAAATTTGTTCTTAAGTTTTATCCTGAATCCGACAGTTTTTGCTCGGCTGAGACTGAGAAATGTGTTTCAAAACCAGCAGAAGTGTCGCAGTCACAATTTCTAACATCATCCCAGAGCGATTTCTTCCAGCGGTCAGGAGAGGTCAGTGAAATGGAACCAGACGGAGAAAAAGGAGAAGAAATAGAAGTTAGATTTAGACTCAGAGTGGAGCTGTGTCTGAATACAAACCACAGACCGGAGTGAGCCGCCGTGGACCCGTCTTGTTTTTCTCTTTAATCTGACATAACTGAACTCCTCTTTAAAGGTCACATTAAAATAACTCTGACAGGAATTTGCTGTTTTTCTTATGAAACAAGCTCAGAGCAGAAAAACCGGCGCTGATGGTGACTTAAACTAAAATTATAAAAAGTAGAAAAACGCAGACTTCAAAACTGACAGAGGGTCGTAAAAAAAAAAAAAAAAGACATCTGTGGTTTTCCGTCTCGTCTGGTTGATTCCTCTCTTGCTGATAATATCAATGATCCTGGTGCAGACTGTTACCTGGATAAACACACCTTATGACTCACCACACACACTCACAACTGCTCATTCAGCGTGGGATGTTGAGGGCTTTATAAAAGGGGAAGGGTTGGATGGATTGCCGAAAGATCTGTCGTCTAATCTGATGAACTAAGACGAGGAAGGATGAGTCACGTTAAGATGTTTTAAAGTCGGGAAACCGACATTAAAATACATAAAAATCCTGAATCCACAAATAGGGCTGCAGGACAAAAAAAATCCAATTTCTTTCTCTGAAAACTCGATTTTCAATTTCGATTCGTCATTCATTGACAGCCTCACCAAACTTTTCTTTAAAAATTACAAGTTTTTCTATCATCTTTCTAAACAAAACCACTGAAAACGATGTAGTTCATATGCCAAGACAGTAAGTGGCGCTGTAACGCTGCACAGGAAATGCACAAAAGACAGAAGAAGAGTACAGAGCATGTGTATAAAGGTTGTTTTGGCGCCATAAAAGAGTTACGCTGTGTCACATGATCGTTTCCAGAGATGCAGATAGACATCCACACAGAGATGAAATGGTCGTCGTTTACAGATTTATTCACTCTCTGACCCGTTTTCAAAAAGTACCGTTTACAGTCACCTGAAACACCATTTTCATGTGGATGAAACACCGATATGACAAAAAACTTTAGCGTTTCCTCCTGAATTAGTTTCCGTGGTGACGGGTTGATTCCGCCTTCAGACAGACTTTGCAGGGGGAGTGGTTTACTCTTCATCTGAAACTGTGAAGTCGTACCAATTCAACACGACTGACTCGCTCTTGTCCTATTTGACCACGAAATTATCACCTTCTTTTGTAAACGCCATGTTTGTTTACAGAGGTGTGTGAGGGAACTGGGGAGTGCTCCCACAGGAAGGGGGAGGAGCCTACGGTGGCCTTTAATATCATCATAATCAAGTAATTTGATAACAATTGAAAACCGATGAATCGTGCAGCCCTACCTACAAAAATCAGGTCTGGGATTCAAAATTTGACTTTCTTTTTTTGGAAATGCTGCATCCTCTGTTCTATATCATCAGCGCTGAACAATAAACAGTTTTATTTATTACTGAAGGAGGATTATGATGGGATTATTTTCTTTCTTCTACACCAGGCTGAGATAATAAATAAAACCAAAGGAAACAGCCAGCCTGTTTCTCTCTAAATGTAAGAAAATCATCTCTTCCCTCCAGTAACTCACTTTTTATGTTTTAGTTTGAACAGTTTAATGACACTGACAAAGTCAAGGCAGCACCCAATAACATTGTCCATATAAATCATCACAGAAACGAGCAAAATTCAGGTTTTACAGGCAATCAGAGGCTTGCTGCTCCCAACATGGAGGATGACATACAGCAGGAGTCAGTCTGCCTCACACTGAAGGACCAGAAAAAGAGCATTTTATTATTATTACTATTGTTAAGGTGTTGGATCTCTATCATGTCCAACTCTACTGCAGTGAAATATCTGAAGAGAAAATACTTTTCAGTATTTTTCTTCTTCCACAGATCTGGAACGGCTCGGACTTTGCTCACTGACACACAAACGCACAACTCCTGGAAAAACACACCGCTGCCGCCGCCACGCCTAAGAAGTGTGAGTCTCAATCCAATCCTGACTCACTGTGAAATATAATATCATGTGAATGTGTGAACACCTGCCGCAATGTGGAGGCTTGGCGAGTCAAAGACGGAGACAAAAGAGGGAGTGGAAGTTGGAAAAAAAGAGAGAGAGAGAGAGAGAGAGAGAGAGAGGAGAGCTGGAGCAGAAACGATGGCAGCAGGGAAAGAGTGCTGCTGATTGGCTCATCTCCCAGCTTGACATATTATTCTCCGATGAACACAGACTGTAATGTAATAAAGGACGGCGTGAATGCAGGAGACACCGGCCTGCCTTCACAGACGCTTGTCAAAAACTGTGTGGGCTGAGGATCATTTAGATCATTCTCACTCTTCTTTACTGCAAACACACACACACCAGTCTGTCGCTGCTTTCACAGTCTGCCTGCAGCACACAAACATGTTTTATTAGCCTGCTCGGAGCTGGGAGCCAAGTTTCACATAAAACAAGCTCAGACATGACAGCGCTTGTTGTGAAATAACGCAGGGAACATCTCTCGCACACAAATAAACGCTCTTTTTATCCCGGTGACAGACAAATATACCTCATGGGTCTGGATCTTTAACGAGCAAACCCAAACACACACAAATTAGAGGTGAATCTGTCTTCATTCTGAGTGGAAAATATTACTCTGAGCAGGAGAGTGATGTTATTTTCAGTAACAGCTCATTTGCTGTCTCCATTTTCATTACAGCGTCATGAATATATTCAGTATATCTCCCTTTTTTTCCCCTCTTTTTGAACCACGCAGCCTCCGCAGCGTAACAACTATCTTTTATTATAATTAGAAATACGCACCTGTGAGAGAGGGAGGTTCAATTACTCGCGGGGTAATTTCCCAGAGACTTTCATTTCTGTCCTCTGAGTGATTTAGTGCAGGTGTAGATGAATGCATTTAATGAAAATGCTGAACAAAGGTGCAATGAATTACCGATAAATCAGGAAGGCTCTCGCAAAACTAAATTAAGACCGCACGATGACTGTGATAGATTAGTGGAGGTTTTTTTTTCAGGTGGTTTTCACAAGAAAAAATAAGCAGGAAACTTTCTTCGTTGAAATGAGGTCTGAGTTTGTCAACAGTATTGATTGTGTGCAGAGAAAGGCTTAACTCTGAATGTTTGAGATTTGTTGATTCCCCCAAATGTGAGTTTTTGGTTCGTATTTGAGTTTGAGTAAAGTTCACTTAAAAGACAATAAAGTGGAAAAAGTGCACTATATTGTAGTAGACTGATTAATCTCCTGATATTAGGGTCGATATTTGTTATTTGGCCTGTTATATGAATAACAATAAAATGAACTGATTAACGTCTTAGGCTCCTCTGCGGGCGTGCCTGTTGTCTTTGCCCTGCTATAAATGATGTTATTTCTTTAACACATGTTTGGTTTACAAATATTCCCTGTATTTTGCAATATTGCCTGTTATTTTTTTTCTATGGTTAAATAAAATGAATAAGTGCACTTCATTTGGGGAAGGTACTAAAATGTCTTATGTTCTTTATGGTCTGTGAATGTCTCATGATGTTTCTTTCGTTTATTTGAGTAACCAGGTATCAATCTGTTATTAGCCAATCCGTGCCTGTCAGAGATGAGCATCAACTACCAATCGAATTCTGTAGGGGGCGGGACTAAAATTAGAAACGGGAGAGATGAGGAATAAGAGTGACAACATCATGGGAAAGTGAATGAAAGCCGTTTGAAACTGTTTAAAGTTACTGTTGTTACTTAAACCTTAGGATTTTTTTGTGTGTTACCGGTACTAAATGTAGGAGTGATCCGAGTTCAGAGCTGTTTCCGCGGGAATTGAACTGAATATCCGCGACGCCATTTTCGTTGTGTACAGAGCTAGAGTTAGCTTCGTTACCGCTAGCTGCGAGAAGGAGACTGCGCATGTGTGAGGGAGAACTATTAAGCGCCGAGTTTCCTCAGTGAGTATGGGTGTTATTTGAACTGGTGACAATATGAAAATGTATGAGAATGAACAGCAACTTCATTAGTGTTTTTAATTTCAGCCTACATGTCTACAGGAAGCGTCTCCAGGACTAGTTTCTCCATCTCCGCTCACCTTACCTCTCTGAATCGAGGGTTTGAGGAAACTAATGCTATCTGTGAGTACTGTACACTTTTATAAGGATTACATGAGCTTCAACATGTGCACCAACAATATGATACCTTACTTGAGTTACAAAATCCTGGGTATTTCTATTTCTATTTTATTTTTGGGCTCAAAGGGTCACCAGATTAAAGTAAAGGGTGAATGTCTGTGTTTCTCTCTGTGTAATAAACATTTCTCCCTGTTGTAATTTGTATTTGCAGTCACAATATTTATTTGAATGTGGTGTTAATGCTAAAACATACAAGATGTGTATTTGGAGTGTGGCAGCAGTGTCACATATCTCGCAGCAAATAGGTTTCCATTCCGATCAATGCAGCAAAGGGTACAGGACGTGTATCAGATCCGTCGCAGCATCGTATCGAGAGCAGATCTGCTATAGATACGTGGCGAGTCTATTTTTGCTGCTCTACGCTTCCAATGCATGTCAATCCACACAGAGAAGATTGTTTCAGACAGGAAGTGAAGCATGAAAACCGCACGTTATCCGGTATTTCATAATAAAACATCATATGGGAACTCCTGACTGTGTATCAGTTTGTGTAGATGAGAAATCCTTCCTGGTTCTGGATTTATCAGTAACAGAACAATCCGGTGGTCAATCCCTTATCCAACAGGACTCCAACAGGACTTTGAACTGCTAACTCTGTCTGAAGGTAACAGCACAGCATAAAGGAACATAGTTTACTTTATTAAACACCAGTAAACCTGCAAAAACACAAACTGTAAAATCACGTTGCTTTTTCACATAAAGTAGAGGCTCAACGGTCACTGAATTATATCCAAAGTATCAGGAAATCGACCACAGAGAGGAAAAACAACCTGTTGTGAGCATGTTGTTTCCTCTATACTGAGCCCTGCTGACCGGGGCTGAACTACGCCTCGGACATGCTCCATATACGCATCCTGTATGTGATAGACAGCGCTGCTCTACAGAACAAATACAGAGCGCGCTCAATACGGATCCTGTGTGTTTTCGGCTTTATTAGGGCTATAGTGTGTTAAAAGGTACAAGCATGGGAGTATTGAAGCTCAAAAACAACAATATAGCTATAAAATAGGCTAACCAGGCCTCTCTGCACCCTAGGCAGAGTCCTATGCTCCATGTAAAAGTAAACTCTGCCTTTAGTAGATTAGACGGCTGGTTTTGAATATTTACAAAAGGCATTTCAACCAAATTGGAGTTGGAGTTTATAATATTGCAACAACTGAAAACTCTTTTAAACTGTCATTAAATATCAGTTTCAAATATTGGTTATTGGTCTCATGAACTGCTAATAATCTGTATCAATGCCTGTAGCAGCTGTTGCATTATCACTGTCAGAATTGGGTACGAATCATGTCTTTAAACGTTCAAATAGGGCGGGATAGTGATGAATGCAGGGAAAGACACGCAGACAGTGGACTTGGGTTCGACCAGACCCAGACTGCCAACTTATAAAAACCTCGGTATAAAGGGCACATGCAGGCTAACGACGCCCCGGGCTTAGTCGTTTCATTATTTTTAACTCTAAACCATAAAATAATGGAATCAGAAAGAAGTGAAAATGGACAAGTATGACCAGAATCAGAATTAAATCCAAATCGATAAAACTGAAAAGTGCCCTCGGCCCTCGCAGGAATCATGATAATGAAGACAAAGGTTGTCTGCCAACGCAAACTTTCAGCAAACAAAGGTAGTACTTCTTAATGAGGTTCCAGAGAAGCCCGCCTGGGACCAGTACGGGTCAGTTATTTCATGACCTACCACACAGCATCTGGGAAAGATCCAAAGAAGTTAATCCAATGTGTGTGTTTGTGTGTACAAGCATGTGAGTGTGTGTAGGTGTGTGTGGGTGTGTGGTCTCAGGTCAGCCACACTGGGCGGTGTAATCAGCTGTGTGTGAGCTCAGGACAGAGAGAGAGAGAGAGAGCAGTGGGAAAGAGAGATAAATAACTGTGATGATGCCTCAATACACAGAGAGATTTAGAGGAGTCAAAACAAACTTCACACCATCCCTCTGAGGCCCAGACTCTAATGAACAGGTTAGAGCTCGGCGGCGGCGGGGTAATTTCTGCTAAATTGTCTGTGTCGCGTACAGAAAAACACAAAACCACAGCCATGAAGGCTGCGCTGAGCTGTGGCAACCATGTCTAATTTAGGCGTAGGTATGGTAAGGACATCCTGACGGTCTCTCTCTTATAAAAGCAGCTCCAGGACAAGGCACTGGTCGGGACACGTGGGTTCCCAGAATGCTTAGTGTCCATGTGACTCTGCAGAGAAATGCCCTGCATCGTTAATCCACCTAATCCTTCCCTGTAGTGACTTAATACTTAAACAAGATAGGCACTGGTGAGGGGAACACACACACACAGCGAGGAGTTTGATCTGTACGTGACATAAATAACGTCATAAAATCAATATTGATTTCCATTTCTTATTACTCGCCATAAAAAGTGTTTATGTGTCAGAGGAACCAAGGTTCACTGCAATTACAGGGTTGTGTTAATATGTGGAGGGGAGCGATTACAGCCTCTTTAACTGCTCCTATTATAGCTTTTACATCCCAGCCTATGGTATAGCACGTGCCTTTTATTGGGTCTTATGTTTGTTGGCGTTGAAACGACTGAATTTCCCTCTACGATCATTTCGAAAACAACAACACAAACTATCTTTATTCGCCCATAAAGTCAAATAAAATCCTCTCAATATACACACAGATGTTTGAGTCGTTGATCAGAGAAAACTTCAGATTTCTGACACTAACAGTCTGTGATTTTTCTACTTGGTATTTTCTCTAACAGTTTGACAAACGTTGAGCATCAGTTTGTCTACAGAAACTAAAAAGACACTTGACTGAAGCTCCACTGATGGCAAATCCATGCAGCCACTGTGATTACAATTAAACACGCTGTTTTCCACCACAGGCATCTCCTGGCTGTCAGACAATCCGAGCTTTTATAGCAACTGTCTGGGACACCAATACAAACAAAACTTAGATGATTCTGCTGAGGTGGACGGCACGACCCGATTGGGAGGCTTTAATGAAATTCAGTGCAAAATTTCTATCTATATACCATCACACTGCCAAACAGTACAACCACCTGACTGGGATGCTTTTATGAAATTGAGTGTCAGAGGTAGATGAGCTCATTACAGGAGTCTGTGACCTTGTGATGGAGTCAGAGGGTTGCCGTGTTCTTGGAAAAGACACTGAACCCTGAATTGCTTCTGTTAGCATAACCAGCAGTGTATTAATGCATGAGACTTCAAGCCCCAGACCCTCACCTCCTGTCTTTTTACCATCCGCATACTGATATACAGTTTATTCTGATTGAACATTATGAAACTTTAATATTTTTGTCCCTCCCAGGCAGCTGTAGGTGCGTCCCCTCTCAGTAATGGAAGTCAATAAAGGCCTTAAATACTAATTACCCTTTAAACATCTGTCAATACCAATAAACACACACAAACTGACACCGACGCCAAATGAGGCTCATGGTGTGAGTTCTCACAGCCTGTGGGAACGCCAGAGTCGACACCAACCAATCAGATCACCAACAACACATAACAGATGTTAAAGAGAGGAATTCAGCAGCAGAGGGACGGTGACATTTCTCCTCTGGACCAAACACCTCCACTGCCACCTCCCACACCTAAAAGGGCAGACAGTAAAAACAGGATTGTGAAAGAAGAAAAGGTGTCAACTTCTTAGCTCAGGAATTAAAAGGGCAACCTCTCAGCGCAATGCTAATCAACTCCTCTGTCTGTTCAAATGGCCTTTTGTATTCGCCCAAGACTACTTAGGAAATGCCCTATGAGTCACCGTACCAGACCCACAGCCGGGGGAAAATGCTCCCACAGTTTAGAGAAAACGGCAGATTCCAGTCAACGCCACTTCCCCCAAAAGACAACAACACAAAGTTGTGAAATTTACAACCACATGTTAGCTGTGTGTGGGATCCTTCTTCCCCGATGTCACTCATTTTGAGAGAAACTTGGAGGGGTGAAAATGAGAATACCGACCATTTCCCAGCATCAGAAAACAGGACGTTATGTTCAACGGCTCATTGACCTACAATCACTGAGTGCCAGACAGGACTGAAGTCTGCTGCTCTCTCTGCCCCGAACTGCCCCAGAGAAGCGGAAAAACCCCGTCATCACACGCCCCACGCCAACCACGGAAGACAATAGCGAGCCTACGATACGCCTGGTACAAAACCAGGTCCAGACACTAAGCCTATTTGTAATCCTTTCCGCTTAACCTGTGCTTGATTGAACATGCTTTTGTTAATAAACTTTGTGGAGCTCCTCCAAGGTGCCAAACACCGGGAATACCACTGACGCAATCCTGTCCTACATTTTCTTTCATGTGTCGAGTTGAAAAAATATATTCAGGCGAGAAAATGAGCTGATCGAGCCGGGAGAGTTCAAAGTGATGAAGGATCCGAGTGAGACTCAGCAGGGAAATGTCTACCTGTTTGACTCCTGAGGTCTGCTGTTAAATTAGCGTTATCAGAACTGTTCTGACTTCGCTGTAATTGTGAGAGAGCGAGTTTATCTGACCGGCTCGTGTCGTCCACATTTCTACGTAGGTTCTCCTTTTTTTAGAGGGGGGACTTGTGATTAAATTTACTACCTGCTGGTTTTCAAATGATGGCTGTAACTATTATGTTATATAATAATATAATAGTTTCATTCATGATAGGTTATTTCCAACACAGAAAGGTCCATCGGGTGATTTAGGGCCTCAAACCTCAAAGCTGATTATTAAAGCTCCAGTAAGGATTTTTTTCTTGTTTACCAAATTGACTGAAATTCACATTCATGCCTTTTTGGTCATATCACCCAGCCCTACTGCCAAATGTATGAAATTTACGAAGATAAAGCTCCAGTTTTTGACAGTCTTGGTGATCTCTGTGGATAAAACAGTTTAGTTTATTAAGTCGAGTCTTCTAACGGAAGAATAACATCGTAAAGAGGGTTTAGTGTTTGGATCTGCTTTTGCCTTTTTTTTAATGTTTTTTTCCTTTTGCTCACAGAAGAATAAAAAACTTTATTCAGTCCCTTTGATGGTACGAGTTCAACACAAGGTAAATATTAATGCACTCTATATAATGTAAACTGAGGGCAGGTTGTATATTAACTGTTAACTGCACTTACTGAAGTTAATATTATACACGTTCCCTCCATAAACAAACTTCACTAACAGGTTCCTCGGCGAGTTCAGAGGGAGCTGTAACTTGATCTCACCGAGCGTCGCCCGTAACGCTGCCAGGCTCAGTGGAGGGAGATGAACAGAAGCGAGACGTGTTGGTAATTAAGCTCCAGCTTGAAGATGCGTAGCAGCTTGCTGGTTACAGGGTAACAGTTGTGGTGATTGAGTGGCACAGGTCTGCCTGTGTGTCGGGCCGAGATAACATGGCCTCTCTCCAGCTCGCAGGGAACAGACGTGAATGACGACTTGTTCAAATGGCCCATCACTATGGAAACCTTCTACAAAAGCATCCCAGCTATTCACACAGAGGAACATTGAGGCTGCAGAAGAAAGAGAGGAAAAGAGAAACAGATTGAAGAAGTGGAGCAGGAAAGAGCGGGAGGAGAAGAAAGCAGGCAGACGGATAATCAGAAGCTCACAGTGACAGAGCGAGAGGAAAGGAAGGAGAGAAAAAATAACAGGACGGGGTGTCAGAGAGAGAGAGAAATAATGGAGAACGAGGGAATGAGGCCAAAGTTGCGAAAGACTGGAGTAAGAAAAGGGTGGCAGAAAAGGACAAGAGATGGGAAGCTTAATGATGAAGGCTGCCTGAATAGGACAGAGGACAACACTCATGACAACAGATGCTCTGGCCTGTTTACTGCATTCAGTGTCATTGTGTGCACACAAAAAAACGACCCTCAGCTCCACAGACTCACACATATCTCCTCTGACACTCACACATACAGCACACAGAGCCATGTCTGTGCTCAGCCCTCTCTCCCGAACAAAAACCAAGCCCATTGCCATGGCAGTGAGCATCAGCGTGTGCAGCAATGTCGCTCCCTGTGACGAGCGGACACTGCACCAACCGCCACTGACTCCTCTGAAAATATTTATGCGACAGTAAGTCACAGCGTGAGTTCTTAGCCGCGTCGTGATCATGGAAAACAAAACCAAACTCTGCAGGGGTTTTTTTTTTAGGACGGCGTGGTGTTGTAAAAAAATCCTGGGTACGTTTCGCTTGAAAGTCGGCGTGCACCCGAGCTCACTGAGTTGGCCTGCATAATAATGTTACACAAAACAACACAACATGGCATCATCTGACCTGGTGCAACACAACGGTACAATACAAAACAACACAAATGTCAAAATTAGGGATGTAACGGTAACCGGTGTAACGGTAAATCATGACAAAAAAGATAACGATTACCGTTTTCATCTCAAAATAAATCAGCTGTGAGATCGCCGAGCTAACTCCCTTGTTAATTAGCTGTGTGATCGCCGACGATAACTTGCTAATGCTAATACTCAGCAGGCGCGCTCCAAGGTGCACCGCATGTATGTAGTATACTGATAAATATAAGTCTGAGTTCAAGCCATGTAAGAAAAAGACTCATGGCAGTGTGCCACGATCAAGGGGAAACCCTGGGTTAATCATCCTGTGCATCATAGCCGTGCAGGCGCACTGTGTAACCTACAGTTTGCGTTTAAACTTTCTATTAAGTTTAAAATGGAATCATGGTGAAAGGAGAAGACAACAGCAGCAAAGACATCCATCAGCCCTCTAAGAGGACCAAGTCTGAAGTCTGGGCATATATTTTGGGTTTTGTAGGAATTTCGAGGGAACGCCTAGTTGAAGACCATAATCGTATCTAGATATAATGCAATGATGAAAACAAGGTGTTATTTAGCTCTAGTTAAAAGCATCAAAAATGCTTTTGAATACATTTTTAAAAATACCACGATAATACCAAAAAGCGCGATTCTTTTGGTCACAATAATCGCGAGGTAGAATTTTCATACCGTTACATCCCGAGTCACAATATCATACATGATTACACAAGACATGCAAAACTAAGCCATGCAACCTAATGCAATGCAATGCAATACCACATTACATAACAATGCAAAGTGATACTATACTGCACTTTAAGATGCAATGCAATGGGATACAAGATTGCATGTTATTCCAGTATAAACAGGAAATGATGGGAACTGTAAGCTTGAATCATATAGAGATATATAATTATATTTAAGTGACTGGGGAGTGAATAATGCAGTAAAGGTGCCAGCAGCTTTCCTGTGAGGAGGCATGAAGTAGTTACAGGGTGACTCATTGGAAGAGAGAGCTGTATTATTTCAAAAGCAAAATGTTCAAAGTTGGAGCGAGCTACAAATCACCAAAGTGATACTTGGTCCCACACAGTAGGGCGTTTGAAGAGCTTTAATTAACACTGCAATTTCATGCACCCAGCATATATATTCATTTTTCTTCCTTTTTACAGTTTTGTCCATCAATAGGAAAGTAGAGAGTAAGAACGAGAGAGGAGGGTAAGAAACAAAGGGATGAGGGTCTGAGCCGATCCTGGGTCCACTGTACTCCATCTATGAGCTCTTCTGATCCACAACCTGAGCTCCAAGTGTAAGTATAATAAACTGGGGTTTTTGATTCAACATTTGTTGTTTTCAAGTAGAGCTGTTGTCTCACAGTGAGAAGGTTACTGGTTCGAGTCCTGGCTGGGGCCTCTCTGGTTATATAAGATCCATGAGACAGCCCCTTTGAAAGGCTGAAAACAGGTCTGGGGTCCCCCCTCACCCTTGAATGGGATAAATGGACAAACTATAAATCGCATGTTAACACTGAAATGTCTTTATTAAGAACAAAGTCCGTGACGCTCCCTCAGCTGGATCTTAAACACCTTCAACAGAAACAAATGAGGTGAACACGTCAAAAATAAAGCGTCATCTAACTTAAATATAACTGGGCAGCATGAACTCTGGCATATATACAGCAGTGAGGAGCAGAGCTGTGCCTGTCAAGCTGAAATAAATCTAACTGATTCTCGTGTTTGTCTCTGAGGTGGTGGACACACACACCGTCTGAGCATCACAGAGACAAAAAAACACCTCAGCTGTGGGATGAAATTCACATTAACCGTATCTTCTTGCAGCTCGAATTTAAGACATAATTGGTCCAACTTTTAACAACCTCGCTCCACGCTGATTATGTCACAAACCCAGTTCAGGAGCCAGTTTCTTAAGTTTTAATTGGAATTTGTCCTATTTTCCTGCCCTACAGTCAAAATAAGGCTTCGAAAATATTGGAAATGTTCTAGTTTGAAGGTGAAGTGCGAGTATTTGGAATATTTTCAAGTGCGGCATTGAGAGGATTGCACAAGGCATAGAGCTCAGGCATCTGGAGCACATGCTAACAAAGACTAAAATAGGGATCCATGTTTGCTCTTGAATGTCCTGGTTTATGTTCCACTTGTTCAGAGATTTCTGAATGCAGGACAGTCCACAGCGGGGGGTCCTGTAGGGGCCTTCGCAGTCCCTCTACATTTTCAGTCAAAGCATGAAAATCTGTCTGAACTTCTTACTGCATTTACTTAATCACTGTTTTACTGTTATATGGTTTTATATCATTAAACCCTCCTATTTAAATAAATGTGAAAAAGGAGAGAAACTACAGCGCAAGACAAAAACATGGGTTACTGGAGCAAAGTGCTTATTTTTCTTCCTGTGGCACACTGAGAAGAGAAGGTGTGTCTGGGCTATTTATACACGACTCCAGTTAGACGGCCAGTTGGGTCGTGACTTCCAGGCCTGCCCCTTAACATCACAGCTGGTCCAGAGAGGCAGAAATAAAGCTTCAAACACAGGAGGAGAGAGCCGGCTCTTATTACATCGAGTGGTTTCATGAAGAGGTTTTTGTAAATGAGAGCAAAGTAGGAGCTAAAGGTGCTCCTCTTTATTCCCCGTGATGAAAAACTGTAAAGAAACTGATCAGAATAACCGGCTCAAATTGAGGCCTCGCTGATGAACGCTGTCCTCGCTGTTTCACACCGCGAGTTTTAGGAGTACTTTGTTTTTGATATGCTTGGTGTGTTTGTCCAAGAATTATTAGCTCTCTACTAACACCAGTCATGTTCCTCTGATATAAGAGACCCAAACGTGCAACACAAACCACTTTAGAGTCAAAGAGAAAGATGCTTTATGTCCGCTTCTATCTCAGATAAGCAAAACGCTGCTACTGATTGGAATTCAGTCATTTTTATTAATGACCCAGATGAGCTACCTCGGCCCAGAGTCAGCCTTTTGCAGAGTAGAAACACAACCTTGATCATTTCTTAAACCAGACAGTAAACATGTTTAATTTAGCTGTAAAGATGGCCTTTATAGAGTGGGTGTGTATACGGCTTTGAGGCTCTAGCAAACAGCCTCAAGTGGACACTCGAGGAACTGCAGCTTCTAGAACTTCATCTCCAAAAATTGGTCATGTAGGAAGTATGATAAATCGGGCGTATGGGGAAGTGAAAGAGAAATAAATCTGAAGGTAAACCTGACATGAAAACACTTCTGTGGAAAAAGATTTTACTGCTCCATAAAGTTATTAGCGACCATAAACAGAAATTAAGGCGTTCACATTTCAAAGTCATCATGAGCAGATTCGATCAGCTTCCTGCATGAAATCAAAGTTTGCCTCAGGACCGATCATCAATCATGTTTGCACTCTTACTCCAAGATCAGATCAGACAAGAGCTATAGTATGTTTTACACATGCAGCCGCAGGGTTTAGGTTACACCAGCTACAGAGCAGAGTCAGGGACAAGAGCCCTTCACACATGATCTGTTATATCTAAATCTACAGACGAAGGAAATCTACAGCTGATGATGACAGAGACAAGTGCAGTTGCATTAACAAATCAGCGAGTTTCTCTGGTTGCAGAGGTCTTGACAAAGACATTTAACTCAGAGTCGCTCGTTTTGTTCGGCTAATTGAATGCACAGTCAGATGAGTCAGTGAGAGGCTTTATGTGAGACTTCACAGCTGAGCTCCTGGGATTTTCAACAGAAACGCTCTCACAGAAAGACAAACGACAGCACGCGTTCACCCGTGCACAGAGCGGCTCAGATATTTATAATGTAGGTCTTGGTGTCCAAAGGGCAGAGGAGAAAAAGTCTGCTGATACGGAGAGCTGAGCCGCTCTTTGACAACACGGGGCAAAGGTCCTCACCCGCCCTCTCTCTCTCTCTCACTTCGCAGTTTTTCCCCTTGGACACGTATTCTCACACACCCGGTCTTGTCAGCACTGTGTGGTCTGTCTCAGCTGTTGTGTGGGGCGTCACACGGACACATGGCTGCTGTTCACACGCTCTCTGAGTGTCTGATGGCTGACATCAGGATGCCCCCTGTACTTTCTGTTTCATTATTCCTTTACTCTGAGGGCAGGAGCCGCCAGTGAAGCGAGGACAGGGGACCAAAGCGCCATTTCCCCCCCTCTGCCCCTTAGATTTCACGCTGCATGCATCTCCCTGGAATATTCCTCCCGCACATCCGGCTCTCCAGCTTGATCAGATACAGCCTCAAGGGTCATGCGCAGCCATCATAATATTGCATTTGGGTGTCCCTTCCTACCTGGAGAGATAAGGTAGATATGGAGCAGATTGGTTTCTGGCTGGCTGAGGAGGAGGAAGCAGAGAGGTCGGGGGATGAAGGGCAGGAAGCAAGAGATCAAATTTGCTTCAATTTTGCTCGGGGTGTTCTATTTGTGGTCCAGGCGGCTGGATTTGGGAGGAGAAATGTCAAGGGAAAGGGCTCGACTGCAGCCTCCTCGTTAGTCCAATCACTGTCAAGAGACATCGGGAGAGAGTCAGAGAAATCGGGAACTAAGACGGTCTGAAGAGGAGAGGCAGGGCAGAAGAGTGTGACTATTAGCCGATAAAACATGGACTCTGCTACCCATCATATCCACCTGACTCTTCAGTACAGCAGATCGTCCTGACAGCTTCAGGAAGAGAGGAAAAGCAGAGGGATCCATTAGTGTTGGGCGGTATGACGGTATAAACCGTGTGACGGTATAAAAGTGTCTACCGGTAGAAATTTCGTTATACCGTTTATACCGGAACGAGAGAGCAGATGTTACCGTGATATGAAATTACTCAAACCGTGATATAAGATTTTGTTCACACCGCCCAACACTCGGATCCATCATTTCCTGCTAAATTGCTGTGATTCTGACTGAGATTTATCAGAGAGGTAATTGAATTTATGCCCGTATCATCAAATCTCTCATGTAGAAACACAGAAAATAAGCCAAAAATGAGGGATCTGGGCTGAGCACATCAAAGTCAGTCAACAGAGAAATAACTGATAACTGTTTACAGCGGCGGCGATAAAGAGATAATTACACGAAGGGCTTATTGTTAGGTTGCTAAGATACGCAGGTGCATGATTGCATAAGTAAAGCGCTAAGGTGTAGAACTATTTCTAACAGGGGAGAATAATTGCTTTTCATTTTGCGTTAATAACTTCAGGCCCGGGATGAATAAGGTCCATTTTCAGGAGGGTTCTGCGGCGGCCTTACAGCTGCACGGCGTGCTGATGGTAGCTTTGAGCGTGCCTGCCCTCCTGTCAGTACAATCACCCATTCTTCCCCTCTGCCCACTAAAAGCTCTCTGCATGAGCAACCCTTTCAATCCTCCATCTCCCTTCTTTCATCTCTTTTCACTTTGAGCACTCCGGACAAATCTTTGTGCTTCGACTATCTCTCTAAAATTCACCTGCTCCTCTCTCGGTCTGCCTCTCTCTCTCTCTTTCAGGGCCATGTGATCCAGCAGCCCTCTCAACCTCTCTATCCGGGCTTACCATCCACGTGGCCTAGAGCGGATTACATTCTTGACATCACTGTGCCAGATGTTTATGACTGAAATAGACCTCGCAACTACCCGGGACGCAAAGTCAAACAATGCATTTATCATTACCTTGACACCTCTTTTGCGCTTTTCGGTCTAAGCAGCTTCTTGTGTTGTAATGGGAAAGATCAGTGTTGCTTAATGAACTCCCCTGTTTCCTTAGTTTCTCACGTCTCTTTCTAATTGGAGTCAGAGCTGCTGTCTTCATTACCTCCTTGAGGAGACTAAGCTTTCTCTCAGTTTACTTCCTTCTCCTCTTCCTTTTTCATTTTTTTCAGATTAATTTTTTTTCTAAAGTAATTTTTTTCGCATTTTTTCAACTAATTGTTTTCTGTTTTTCAGACTAATTTTTTTTTCTGTTTTTTTTGGCGTAATTTATTTTTCTGTAATTTTTTTGTTTGTCTTTCAGAGTAATTTTTTCTCAATTTTTTGGATTTTTTTTCAGTTTTTCATGGAATTTTTTTGCTTTTTTGGACCAATTTTTTCAGAGAATTTTTTTTCAGTATTTTTTAAATCTTTTTTTCTGATTTAAGAGTAATTTTTTGTTCTGTTTTTCTGATTGTTCTGTTTTTGTGGAGTAATTTCTTTCTATTTTTAAACATTAATTTTTTTCTATTTTGGAAAATTTTGTTTGTTTGTTTTTCATAGTATTTTTTGCTGTTTTTTTTACTAATTTGTTCGGCGTAATGTTTTTTTTTTTCGACTAATTTTTTCAGTTTTTAAGAATAATTGTTTTTTTTTCGACTAATTTTTTTTCTGTTTTTTTGAGCAGCTTCTTGTGCTTTAATAGGAAAGATCAGCTTCTCTTAATGAACTCCCTTGTTTCCTTAGTTTCGTGCGTCTCTTTCTAATTGGAGATTCGGAGCTGCTGTCTTCATTACCTCCTCGAGGAGACTAAGCCGACGCGCTTCCTCTTATTTTCACTTCCTTCTCCTTTTCCTGCTGGAGCGTCTGCTTGCAGCTGCCTCCACTGAGCCGCCGCAGAGATCAAATAGCCGATAAGCCGCCCACTGTAACATACACATTAGCATAATTAAATCGGCCACTGCCTGTCCATTTATTAAAAGCCCCCGTGTGCTGGGTGGGAGGTCCGTCTGCTATCTGTGTATGCTAATGCACATCACCATGTGTACCGCTGTCATGTCATCACGGAGGCAGAGAAGTTAAGGAGGGGTGTTTCTGACACAGTGTTGTGGGGAATTTCAGGTGTCATGGCCGACAGCGGGCTGGTGCGAAGCGATAGCTGGGTGGGAAAAGTCTGCGGTGGGCTCAGCTCTGGCAGAGGCTACACAGGAGATTTAGGGCTTAGGCGATTGTTAGACGGAGCTCAGTTTGTTTTGAACTGCGGGCCTGTGTTTTCCGCGGGCCTCTTTATGCGGACGCTGACTCTTCCCCTACTTTGTACTGCACTCTCAGCAGTTTTAAAGAGGAGGATTAGACGCAGGAGCGTGCCTCGCTCTCGTCTACCCGAGAGCATAGCTGCCTAATCTCTCGCGCTGAGGAGAGGGGATTTGGAAGAAATGACCTATGCTCACTTCACTCTCTCCTGCCTCTCTTCCTCTCATACCCTCCAAGTTGAGTGAAAATACTGTGCCGCATCCTTCCTCGCCCCCCCCTTCTGTCACTCCCGCTCCCGCTTTTTCATTTTCATGCTGGATGGCTCGGCGCTCATCAGCATGCAGCGCCACGCGGCTGCTCCTGAGGACCAGGCAGGCTGGCAGACAGGCAGGCAGACTTGTCAATAAGAGAACAACAGTAACAGGGGCACCGCAGCAAGGCCTCCAGCTCTGTCGGTGACGTCTCTCTCAGCCGCCTGGACTCCTCCTGTTAATGAGCACGTAATTGTCGAGCAAGCAAAAGAGAAATTGGTGAGGCGAGGATGTAAAGGCAGCCATGAGGTGAGAGGTTCAGGAGAGAGAGGAAGTGAGGAGGGCGCGAGGACACAATGTTCTGTTGAACAAAATAAGACACAAAGCAGCCGATTCGTCCTTAAAAGCGTGGTGCAGTGAAGTCAGAAGCAGTGTCTGTGTCTGGAGGACTGCGGGGCGAGAGCTGCTCGGTGGGAAATGACATTGAGAGCAGGCAGGGAAAGGCAGCTTCAAGGGCGACGTGGAAATATCACATTCAGCCGCTAAAAGACAGCTGTGAGTAGTGGCGAGGCCGCGCAGGAGCAGGAAACCAGCTGAACGACTGCAGGATAAAGAGCGAGATCAAGGACGCGCAGCTCTGTTCGCAATGGACCCGGCGAGCTGAAATGACAGACGGACGGCTGAGAGAGAAAAGAAAGTCGTTGACCTTACTAGTACTGGCATGACACCACGAGTTCGACTTTGATGCCACATCTAATTTTAACATCTTTGAGTTTGATAGCGGGGAACATCAAGCAGCATGAGGCGCTTCACATTTCACAGTAAATAGTTATTTATCAGGCAAAAATAGAGTTCGCAGAAATGACTCTCATGTGAGAGAACTTTTATCATTGACGCACATCAAACCCGCCCTGTGGGGGGATGTTCAAATGGATTCTTGGAGAACATATTGAACGCTTAAAAATTCAATATTGCTCTCATTTTTTATCACCGTCCTACAGGGCTGTGTTACAGTTCTCGGATACCCTTCCCTCTCGGATTACCACTTGGGAGTGAGTTATAGATGGCAGCAGAGTCTGACTCCACTCCCAGCATGCAGTGCCACTCTCCCATGACCACCCAAGCTGATTTCAAATGAATCTGTGCTCTGATTGCACAGCTCCCTGCTTCCTTCCTCGCCTGCAGACACCGAGAAGCAGAGCAGAGACTCAACCCACATGTCTGCTGCATTAGCCGGTGATGCTCGGGGCTGTGCTAGGAAGGCCATCTCCACCAGAGGAACATGATGGATGTAATATAGATAAGCTTATCTGTCATTAAACCCTGCTCTGTCCTCCCTCAGTCTTCCCCTCAGGGAGGGAGCGGAGGGAATTTCAATCAGGCGAGTGAAGACTGTAACGCTGGTGAGACACGCTGAGGCCAGCAGCTAATCAGTCATGTCTCTATGGAGAAGACGGAGACTTAACAGCAGGAGCATCCGTCTTAGACCTGTCTGCTGTAGTCCCTCTTTATCAATCGTCTGACCTTGCACCCCCACCTTCTACAGGAGAGATCCCGAATTTAGTGACAACGACTGTGAGGCCGACAGATCCCCACAACCTCGCATGACTCCTCCATAAAGCCCGGTGACACTGAGGAGGCTCCTGAAACATAAGGACGGTGCGAGATGAACACTAAAGGGAGGTGGGGGCTGGCGAAGGCGGGCGGCTAGCTGCTCTGAAGGCTCTATAATTAGCCGCAGAAGATCAAATGACTTTTAATGGGTTTGTCTGAAAACAGCAGACTATTTCAGATTTGTGCTTGGAGCTAAATTCATATCTCATCAAACTAATGGAATTCTCCGGAGTGCTTGATTGGGTTTTATCTCTGATCAAAATGGCTGATAGCGGCGAGCAGCTGCAGCGTGAGCTCTGCTAATGTCATAAAACAGTCCCAGTTAAGGTCACTTCGACATCAAATGAAAACATTAATGTTGAAAAGAGACAGAAACCGTCCTTCGGTCACGATTCAGGGGTTTGACTCACTTCTCTTCTTCTATAGGGGCCATTTCCCATGATGCTTCAGTGTGAATTGTCTTACAATAACTTCTTAGGACACTTAATGGAAACTTCAACCGGCCATTAGTTCGAGAATTAATGAGAGTTACTACAAGGACCACGCCAGGGTCACAGCTCATCCACGGCTCGGGAAGTCTGCTGCAGAATACTAAACATCTGCAAATAAGCCATGAGAGCACACAAACACACACACAAACACACACACACAAAGGTACACAGCATACAGAGCAGGGATCAGGAGATAAGACTGTTACCCATCAAGAGGTGGAGTAGGCAGAAATCTGTTACAGAAGCATCTTTTTTGGTGGTGTATATACAAAAAAGAAATCTTCTAATATCAGTCAATAGTTATTAGTTATTGATGACATTTGGTAATATATCGATATCTCTGTGTTCTCTTAATAATAATAATGCATCAGATTTCATATAGCGCTTTATCAGAGACCCTCAAAGCGCTTTACATTGGATACATCATTCATTCGCTCACACAGTCACACTTTGGTGGTGGTGGAAACGTGGCTGCCATTCTGCGCCTACGGCCTCTCCGACCACCACCACACAACACTCACAATCATACACCAGTGGAGGACACACACTGGGAGCAAGGTGGGTTAAGTGTCTTGCCCAAGGACACAACGGACAGACTTGGATTAGGGGGGAATCGAACCGCCAACCTTCCGGTTATTGGACGACCGCTCTACCTCCTGAGCTACTGCCGTCTGTGTCGTCAACATTTGAACATTTTTGAGTGGTCCGCTCTTTCTGACTGTAAACAAAGCCGTTCTCCACCTCCTCTAACCTGATTGGTTGTGAGGCAGACGCTGCTCCCCCGTGTCGTTCAGGAGCCCAAACAAAGTTAGCGTGCTACAATATCGGACAGTAGAAACCAACCAGAAAGTTCGGAAAATTGTCTGAATCCTCCTTTGGCCACGACTGCCGACACAAGCAAGAAAACAAAGTAAATACCGGAGACTCTGGAGGAATAACGGGCGCTTAAAACGGAGGTAGACCGGACGAGAGCTAAAAAGCCGGGTCAACATAAACGATGGGGGACGCTTGGGGATCTTGGTGACCCTGTAACCTTTCTGCTGGACAGGTAAACCGCTTTAACAAAGTAAGACAAGTGTCTGTAACAGAAGTGTTTCTTGTCAAACGGACCTGCTATAGCGTGTTGTAGCGCCATCGCTAAACTGTCCTCCCTCGGGTCCTGGACTATGTCACTTTATCCTCGTTGTAGAAGTCCTGCAAACATTGTGTTTGCTGGTAGTCTGTTGGCATCTACAGTAGCACCAATGCTTTTGACTTTCACCTTGACTGGGCCCCATTTGTAATGATCTGAAGTATTTATCTGCATTATATCTGAATTTAATTGGAACGATACGAGCGAGCAGGAGCGTCTGTTTGTGGGCAGGGCTTGGAGAGGAGGAGCTGAGGGGAAAACTGGTTGGGAGGGGTCGAGTTTACATTCAAGATTTCTCCCAAAAACTGGAACTAACTCAGATCCTGATGAACCAAACCTTAATTATCACCAGTGCGACTGAAGAGTCAAACATTTGTCTGTTTACTTCTTTTCTGTGGAGAACTTTGTGTTTTGTTTGTAGGGATGACTGATATAAAATCATATCAGCAGATAATAGTTAGAAAAACTCAGATCTGTATCAGCAGTAATGGTCAGACGATACTGGTTTATCAAAGGAAATGAACAAGAACATTCTGATCTGCAGCCTCTCAGAGCGGTAGATATAATGATGCACTCTGCTTGGTATCAGTATCGGACAAGAAAATATCGACCCAATATCGTGCAGTCCTAGTTGATCCAATAAAAGCAACCACAGGGGGCATAAAGGCTTCACCCACTTGTAATGAACTTCCTCTTAAATCTAACTGTGTTTGTAATAAAAGTGTTTGAGTGAAAACTTGTGCAGAGCTTCTCCTGCAGGAGGAAATCACTTCTTCTGCCCGTGCTTCACCGAGATAATTGTTTGTGTGTCTGTGCGCGTCCTTTATTTCCCAGGGTTTCCTCCTACATTTATTTCCACCGCTCGCTCGCTCTTCTGGGATTTTTCTATTTTGGTCTGAGGAAATGATGTCCAAGAACTCCAGCCAGGTTCTGACTCTGTTATGCTTCTAAATGATAGGATACACAAACCTTTATCTGCAGGCTAAAGCTCCTTATTACACATGAACACTTCTTACTGCATTAATTAGGAGCTTATAGATAATTAGGAGGAAACTCAAAGGAAAATGTTCATCTCCTTTCTGTAAGAGGATAGAAATCCAGCCTTAGATGTGTCAGCGGTCGACTCCTCATCTCTCTATTTCCTCCTTTTCGAGCTCTGAAGGTGAAATTTCGTCTGAGTCCCCCGTGGACCATCGTACAGAGCTGCTGTTTGTCCTTGGCCACCTTCTCCTTGAGAAAGTGCTGTATCAGACAGGCTGCTAACAGAGCCGCCGTCACATAGCTGGAGCAGCAGCAGCAGAGGCCTCTCTCCCTCTCTCTCTCTCTCTCTCTTTCTCTCTCTCTCTCTGGGGGTATACAGTTACACTGCACTGCCTCTATCTCTTACCATTCTGACATTTTCATCTCCCCCTCTCTCCTGGGGAAAAGAGGATAAACTAAGAGGCAGGATGGACTCCATGCCACCGCTGGTTTCGGTCTGGGTGAAACCATTTCCACTGCAGTCGGGGGGTAAAGAGAAGAGAAGAGAAGAGGGATATAAAGTAATCTCTGGAAGCAGGAAGACGGGCAGAGGGGGTGGAGGGACTACCACGCCTGTTTTCTCAGCAGCAGATGAAGTATTTGTCCAGTGTTGCTCAGCAGAAACAGATAAACACTACAACAAAAACAGCCGATCAAAAACACGAGCACAGTGACCTCATTAATCCTCCTGTAGTGACTGAACCCGGAGGCCCAGAGTTTGGACCTGCAGATCAGAACTCGGGGGGTCTCAGAAATCTTCAATCATCCCAAAATAAAGATCATAGATGCACAAACAGCCACAAATAAACAACGCCATCAGAGTAAAAATAGGGTCATGTCTTCATTATGTTGCATCAGCTCTTCTTTCAACACCTGGAACCCTGGAGACCAGTTTCTGGAGTTTGGAAAGTGGACTGTTGTCCCGTTCTTTCCTGATAGAAGATCTGAGTGTTTGAACAGACCATAGCCTACCTACACACATCCAAAACCAACTTTGATTTATTTTATTTTTTTGACACCGAATATACAGATATTGGTTGGTTTATCGCCCAGCCCTATTTTCTGCATTCAAGCTGTTACTGCACTTGGACTCCTCTACTACTGAGCCATGCTGTTGGAATTCATGCAAACGCTAGTTCAGCTTCTTCCTGCTGTCACACCTGTATTAATGGTGTTTTCTTTTGTCCCCCTGTCATGGGGTCTCCTGCACCGCCATCATCCTGAATCTTGGATCCTCTTTGATTCACCACAGGACAGTCATCTTTACATCTTTTAGATCGACCTTCAAAGTGCTCAGAGATACCAGCAGCAGCCTTTCTGGGTCATGTTTGTATGTGTTTGCAGTTTAAACCTGCATTTGTAAGAGCAGCTACAAACAAGGGTTTTTAGATTGATTTTGAGCTAATGCGGCGGCTTCCACTGCAGAGTCATGCCTGTTTTTTAATGCAGAGCTGCTTACAGATCAAAGAGAACCAGTCTTGGTCTCTGGTCTGGTCCCTTTTCTCCAAAATCTCTGAATCTTTAATGAAATTATGTTTGATCCACAGATGAGGAACTTTATTCTGGAAGTACTGAAGTACTTCTCTTTGCACTACTTTCAATTAAGGCCTGAAACAGACTCGCACACTTCTACACAAAGACACAAAGATATAAATCAAGAGCTAAAAAGACATGAAATATTACGGTGGCTGGGAAAACTGGGTCTGATTTAAAAAGAGTATTGTTGAAAAAAAAGAGAGACTACATTTAGTTGAACATTAATTCAAACCCGTGAAAAAAGGCCCTTGAGTAATTTACATTTTTTTTTCTGAGCGTGCAAACAGCAGGAAACATCGCCTGAGAAGTCAAAGCGGCTCTTTGATTTGTATTTGGTTTCATTTTTGAAGGAGAATAAATCTGTGCTCTGGATTTATCTGAGCTTTAGTATAGGATCCTCCAAAATAAGAGCCTCTCCTCCTGAATAAGATGAAGAGGGGACAGCAGACGTACTCCTCCTCCTCCTCACAGCTGTACAGGGATAGACGGGGAGGCTGCATAGGCAGATATACAAGTGCACTATAACTCATAGATGGCACACCAGATATTTTATTCATAGGAAGAAAAACCAAGCAGCAAGAGTGACTCACTGAGCCACCGAGGCACAAACACAAACACATGCAGGCTGAGCAGGGTGGGGGGTGAGGGGGTTTAACCCACCTACGATGGCTGCCTCTTCATTCTCAAACAGAAAAGGCATTAAAAAATAAAGTCTGAGGGAATAAAGGGACTGCTTTAGTCTGGAGGAGCTGCCAGAGCGTAGAGTCACTCTCACGGCTTTATCACAGGAAGAGAGCGGCTCACAGCAACACAATCCAGCCGGCCGTTTACTCTTCAGGCTATGCATTCCTGAGCACTCTGGCATATAAACTGACAAAAGGAATTCTCCTGCAGCAGAACCACACTATTGTTTCAACACACACACACTCAGGTGTATGCAGACACACACACACACACACACAGGAGGAGTGTACTGAGGCTGTGCAGACTGGCCCACATATAGCGAGAGGCCTGATGCGCGGTCATCAACGTGCCAATGTGAACCCGTTCACACGGCGCCAAGTCCCCGCTGCCCGGGATCTCTCACTGAGAGGAACGGACTAAATATATGATGAGCTGTTAGAGGATTCAGGCGTGCAAACACTCGCAGACACGCACACATTTCAAAGATATACACAAACACGCCTTTCCAGATGCAAAAGGAGGAGGAGGAGGAGGAAACTCTGCTCGGTGGGATAATTAGAGTGAGCGCACAGAGCCTGGCATCTCCAGAACAAGGCTCGTCTGATGGGGCCTCTCTATTTAAATCCCAAGGATGAGCTGAAAGTGTGTCTGTCAATGGAGTCGCTCCAGGAGACATGAACGGGCTGAGAGGAAGAAACAGTCGAGGATAGAGACGAACACAGTATGTTAGAGGAAATGAAAGGACAGAGAAGAAGAGCCTGGATTCAATAAATCAGACATCCTTTCCTCCTGTTTGTCACAGAGCAGCCATCAGACCAACACCTCCGAGTTACACACACACTCAGGTGACTCACTTTGAAGTTAGTTTGCCTCTGCAGGGCTCAGAAATGAGGGTTTGACGGGGAGCGTGGGCGTCGGTATATGAGTCTGTGCATGAGCACACAGAGAGAGAGAGGGGCTGGGCTCTGGGATTAGTACCTTTCCTTTGCAGATCTAGAAGCATCAAGAGTGTCTTGTCACTAAGAGGATTCACGGGGATACGGGGTTGTCCCAACAATTGGAAGCACGATTTAGGCGCTAATCTTTGAATTCAAGGGCGAGCGAGGCTGAATCTCAGCTGACGTGGCACACGCCGCTGATGCCTTTGACATGATTGACACGGCAGAGCCTGGAGGTCAAAAAAGCATCTTCACGGCTCTGAGAGAAGAGAAGAAGGCTTTCAGCGCACTTCACCACCCACAGCGGTTTACGGAGAGATCTTTATCACATGCAAGTGCTCCTGATTCGGTTTTTCAGGCATGAAAACACCTCCAACACGACACAAACGCCTCGGTATCTTGATCACCTCTGAGTGCTTACGACACCCTTAGTTGTCCCGGCTATTCAGGAGCGTACAAAAGGCCTTCATAGAGAATCATTCAACCCTACTAACGGACGGCTCTAAAGCACCCGCCCCGACCATCACAGCCAACTGGGGGGGCATTCATTCAAACGCAATTGTTCATTATCAGCCCACATCCAGAGCAAACACACACACACACACACACACACACACATGCAAGCATACAGGAGAAAACATCATGCTTGGCTGAAAACACACACAGCTGAACACACACACACACACTTGCGATGATAAAGCAAAAAAACAAACAACAGGCTCAGCATGGAGCAGTTTTTGGGTTGTGATGATTTTTTGTTTCGCTTGTTCAACATTTTTGCACATCTGTGTTTTGGATCACTCAAAAATCACCTCCGCAGGTTTGTAAACACAGCTCCTGAGTTTCCCTCTGCGTGTTTGTCCACGCACATTTATTTAAAGACCAGGTATGCGTGTTTATATTCAAGAATTACTCTTTTTTTTCTTCCCCTCGTTAACTGTATTACAGGCACGGAAACATGATGCTGCGTTGCATAACAGTCAGTCATTTTTTTCTCTATGTGTCATGGCTGTGATAATCTCCGCTTGCTTAAGAGAATAAAATGTACCCAATGCTTTAACTGATTCAGATATTTTGTATTCCAATAATCCAGTGGGAGCTTTATCTGCACATGCCTCAGCGTGATGCAAGTCCTGCTGCAAACCTGCTCTGCGCTGGAGTTGTACTATTCCGAGAAAAGCCCCAGAAAATACTCGGCTGCTTGTTTTGGAGTTTGCACAAGTGGGTGAAAAAAAAAATACATGATTTGTTGCTTTTGGAAACAAAACAGGGATGTGTAAATATATGAGGAGAAATGCAGCGAGTAAAGAGTTAAAAAAAAAAACACCCCAGGAAAAGCCTCCGCAGACTGTAAAGCCTGCAACACAAAGATGTTCAGATGAGAGGGGGAGAAAACACAGCTGAAGAAACAAAAGCTCACAATCTGGCACTCTCACAGGTATCTGACAAAACAAAAGAGTTTACACAGCTGAAGTAGCCGGATAATCTCAAAAATGCTTAAAAAAGAGGAAACAAGGAGGCCGCCTCGGTCCGGTGACACCTCTACAATCAGAACGAGGGACAAAGGAGGAGAGAGGAGGGAATAAACCAACCCTGACCGACTGAGAGTGCATCTCTGAGGAGCTCTCACCGGCTCGTAAATTCAAGCTCAAGGTCCAGAGGAGCGAGTGCAGTCAGCCTGTCAGCACAGCAAAAATCCACTTCAGCTGTGTGTCCGCAGGCTCATCAGCAGGGCCCGGCCCGGCACTGCACACACACACACACACACACCAGCAGCTGCACCCGCAAACAACAGCAACAACATCTGTTGGATTTTGGCTGACATGCTGCGAACGACTCGGAATTACATAAGACAGGGAGACAGTTGTGGCTGAACTGAAGAAAAATGACGATTTCATCTCTACCTTTTCATTTGACTCACTTCAGACTCTTATTTTGTGCGTCATGAATTAAAATCATATCTCTGAGGTGTAGTTTTTTCATGTCTCCTGTTCAAACTTGTCTGTAACTCAAGTGTTGGATTAATTCAAACCTCCAGGAGAAAATCGTCAATCTCAGGTGCAACATGGGAAAAATAAACATCCATATTCCTGCGGGTGAAAATGCCATCTCCAACTCAGAAAAGCCTTTCCCTGTGGCACAGTCATTGATTAACCCCCAGGAATCCTCAGCATGTGCTTTACAGTCAGGGCACACGACAGACTGCATAAATTTCTCAATTTAATCTGGGTGACTGATCGAGAACATTTATCGATTTCACCCATTAATCATCTCAGGAGAGACTGTACAGTATCGATTAGCTCGTCTGTGCGGTTAGGAAGGTTGACTGAGGAGGCAATCATTGCAGAGGGGACGGCTTTTGGTAGAGAGGGAGTGCAGCTGCATGGATTTTGTTGGGGGACATAATAACCATTATTTCCCCCAGCACAATGCCAGCCAATACTGCCTCAAAATGGCCGAGGTCTTTGTCGCTTACACAGGAGGGGGGGAAAAAAAAAGACATTCCCTGATAAGCACTTTGCTCAACAGTGCCAGGAGGAGACGTCTTGTTAAAATGTTTTGTCATGGTTGCTCCAATAGTGAGCAGGAGCACTCGTGTTTACCCTCTGAGGGGGGCGGGGGCGGCTGGCTGTTTGCTCTGAAAATGGTTGCATTGTTATCCAATGTCACACATGTCTGACTCTGAGGGGACAATAACCTGTGAGCCATGCAGTGGGAAAATAGGACAGCAGGTAGACAGGCAGTGTGAGGAAATACACTCGGGAAATTTAGACTCAACAAATGGAGACGTGTGTGCTGGGTTTGGGTTATCCTGTTTGAGATATGGAGGACAAATCTGACAAAATAAGACACGGAGAAGAGTGAGCAGGAGGAGCTGGAGTCTAAATACCTGGATGAGGGATTTCCTCACAACATAAACACACAAACATGATGGACACAACTGTTGCAGCAGGCGGTATATGAAGTCCTGAGTGTCTCCAGAGGCCTGACAAAACGACAGCTGTCTTTCATTTGATCTCTGCAGCAAAACCTGACCGTAAATCTGGTTCCAGCTCCTTCAGGCCATCAAACAGCAATCCGAGTTTAAGACTGATCTGAGAGGCAGATTATCAATACTTTACCCCCTCTGTTATTATCTGATCAGCATGCATTCACAAACAGGTTCCTACATTAGAGAGTGAAATCAATCCTGCTGCTGCTGCTGCTCCTCTGTAGGAACATTTTCAGGTGGAAGGAAAAGTCAACGCCTACAACAAATCTACAGTTACATCAAGATAAAATTAGGATGTCAGCAGAGCTCAGACACACCAGCCTCATGTGCGGGAAGGACACAAAAACAGGCCGACAAAGATCTGGTTTTAGAGGACTAAAACACACAGCGGATCAGGCGGGATAAATCAGGAACCATGTCGGGAACATACCTCGATGTATCCGGCCAGCGCTGGAACCACGATGCCCAAAATAAGGACCGATATGGCTGGGACTGAACCCATCTTCAGGAATCTTCTTCCTCTGCTGCTGAAAATAACTTGTATCCTGAGATCAGTGTGTGTGTGTGAAGGGGACGTCCGCGGGAATAAAGAGCGAACCAAAGTCCGGGGTTTGGTCTGTCTGTCCGGCACGAGTCCCGCTCCGCTTGTTTTGTTACCCGAGCTCGACGGAAATGTTGGAGGGAGACTGTACGTGTGTGTGAGAGAGAGAGTGTGTGTGTGTGTCGGTCTCCTTTGGAAATGTGGGCTGTGTGTATGTGTGTGTGTGTGGCTGCTGAGCCTCCTCTGCCTCCTCCCTCCTCTACCTCATCTGAGCTTCAGATCAGAGCTTACTGCGCCACCAGGCGGTAAGCAGCTGGAACAACAAGCAAACGACATGACTGAGATTTCTTCTGCTGCTGTGACTGAAAATATGAATACATGAGGTTTATACAGAGGCCGAGAACTGCCACTGCTGGAAATTAAAAAAAAAAAAAAAAAAAGAATGCAAAAAATTAAATATAAAAAGAAGTCACAATTAAAGTTACCGATGGAACAAAAAAAGAAACTGAAGCCTGCTGCAAATAAAAAAGATTGTGCAGATTAAAAAAAAAAAAACACAACAGAAGTTAACGATCCAAATAAAGTGGCAATGCAAAACAAACAAACAAAAAAAGTTACTCACTGCGAAAATAAAAGGATGCAAACAAAAAAATATGATAATGCACCGCTGTTTTACGGTTTAGGAACAGAAGACGACGACGAGCAAAGAAGTAAGTGGAAAGGTTATTGTTTAATTTCTATCGTGGCTTTTTTTTTTAATCTGCACTGTTTCTTTTTTCATTTACAGCAAGCTTCAGTTTCTATTTGTTACATTGGTAACTTCCATTGTGACTTCTTTTTCCTTTTGCATTCTTTTTTTATTTGCAGCAGTGGCGGTTCTCGGCGACCGTAGATTTATATGAGCGTAACAAGACTGCAAACATGCATCATTTGAAACTAAAGAAATTTTATTTCATAGCCTCGTAAGTGTTGATATTTTTGCAGTTTTACTCAACACTAGACCAACAACTATAAATACATTTGCCATCTTCTTTTATCACAGTAAAGAGAGAATGCAACAGTCTGAAAATGGTCCATTAGAAATATGTTCTCCATTTAACAATCTGTGAAAGTGTTTTTAGTAATCTGCCAAACACTCTGGATGCTGTATGCTCTGCAGCTTTGTTGTAACTACTGATGAAAATCTCCTGTATTAGAGCTACCATTGGTGATACATAAGCAGTAAAACACTGGTGTGTTATAGATAATTGAGCTTGTGTTTGTAGGAGGGTAAATGTTTTTCTGACACTTGGGCATTAAACAGATTTTCACTAAAACTTTCTCAGACCACATCAGGACATACTGGGATCAAAATAGCATTTAAGTTGCTGCATGGATACGGCGCCAAAGGCTGTTTTCTGCATCTAAAGGGATATGAGAAATTGATCTTTTACACTAATGATGTCTCAGTTACAATCTCAAATAATGTAAGGAAATGTTATTAATTGAACGTGGACACAAACAGACAGATTTATCACTGGCGGATGTTTCTTAGTTGATCAGTCATTAAAGAGAAAATAGAGTTAAGTGACTCTGATTGTCTTCAGCTCAAAGTAATCAGTTCAAATCCAGTTTAAAGCTCCTGTTAGTAACTTTTGATCAGTGCCAGCTTTGCCTCCATTTTATCTCTAAATATGTGATTTGTGTTTCTCAACGAAATATTTCACCCTGTTTTACTTTTAGACTCAAAAGTCAATAGAGAGTCTTCTCACTCTTCCTCTTGATGGTCTGTTTTACCTTTTTTTAGGTCATTAAAGTGGCTTCAATATTCATTTTATTCAGTTTCATAACCAAAACTCCCCAGAGAAGCTTTAAAATGACACCACACTGATTTAAACACAGCACTCTGTTGTTCTTAAAAAAACAGTTGTGGTTTTCAGACAATAAATCATGGTTTAATGTCTGAAAAATTCAAAGGAACAGTTTGTAGTAACAGAAATATTTAGTTGTATCTAATACTTTGATTCTACATTAAAGCTCCTTTGCTCACCCCTTAGATTGGTGAAAGGATGGTGGCCTTTGAGGTCAAGAAGCTCCGGTAATGCATGATAAGTGTGATCCTCGGTTTGCCAGTGTTTTAACATCAAATTTATCTATCACAACAACTTGTCTGTTCAGAGTTATCACCCTCCAACCAATTCATTTGTGCTGCCACTTGTTGAATATAAAAATGTGCATGCTACTAGTATGTCCCTCCTGAGCTCTGGTAGAAACAACAGCTTCATACTCCATCTCCATGTGTCTGTTCTGCTACATGCTGCTAAATATTTCGCACTGCACCTTTAAATTATCTGATAGTTGACCTGAACTTCAACAAGAACATAAAGAGGCCCCGTCACAGCAAGTTCAGCATTGAAAATCATAATATTGAAGTTGTAGATGTTGTTGTTGGTGGTCTTTGTAGGCCATAAAAAAGCATCAGTGTTTTGGTCTGATTCAAAACCAGTTAAAAACCCTCACAGTACCTTTCATTGGTAGGTCATTATTCTTCTTTGTGTTTAATTGAAATTATAAGGAGAAGCTAATTACCCCGAAACAGAACCCTTTCTGTCTGTTTGCGAGATGGAAATATAATTAATTTGTTTCAGTGGTTGGATAAATGGAAAAACTGAAACACACACACACACACAGTTTGATCGTGTTGTCCCAGACTCATTGCTTTTCTGTCTCCGCCGTCACTCGTGTTTCTCTCTGATGACTTATTGAGAAAAGCATCATGCAGATTTCCTCTTTGCTTCAGGCAGAGCACTCACAGTGGTTATTAATTCTTCCAACATCAGCCGTTGGACGAGTCAGAGCAGGTTCAATTTTGCACATGTGAAGTCTAATCTCGGAAAGTGTCGATTCCATCCGGAGCTGCCTGCAGAAACCCATCAGGAAAACACAGAACAAAGAATTGCATTGTGTTTTCAGCTCCCAGGGAAACAAAGAGGAAATGATGAAATCAATTCAGGTGTTAAACAGGTTTATAGGAAACAAGTAGCCCGGAATATGGTGCCTTTTTTAAAAACAATGTTAATGTATTAAGAACATAAGAAGACACAAATGACTATAATAGAGAGACTGGTATCCTTTAGTGTAATCTGTATGCAGATATCACATGTGTGTGAACCATATGTTAAATTATGAATGTGAAACCAGAGGTGTAAATGGGCCTGCTTGATTATGTCTGACTTCAGGGTAAAGCAGTGAGATTGTACTCAGTAAACAGCAGTGAAGCATTTATCACCATTTTTAATTGCACCATATAATAAGTTCTTATAAATTCACAAACAAAAACACTTGTTAGCGGGTATACTTATATGCCTTGTAATGTAAGACTTATTTATGTGTTTGTGTTAGTGGAATATATAACATTGTGGGTTGCAGTGCCCCTATTGACCACTGGAGGGTACACTCGAAAACTGCACGCAAAGAACCAAACAAATTTTCCAGTATGTTTCTCTGTTTTTCTTCCTCTAAAGACTATGACACTAATCAATAACTAGTGTAATTATAAAATATTATTAGAGGGAAATCTTCATGCCCTACCCCCTTGGACCAAGCACCGAACTTTGGGGGACAGAGCCTTCTCCGGTGCTGCCCCCATCCTCTGGAATTCACTCCCCAAAGAGACTATACAGACCCCCAGACTATACAGACCCCCATACTTTCAAATCACTCCTAAAAACACACCTTTTAAAATAGATTTTTAACCTGTTAACTGTTCTTTTATTGTCTGTTCATATTGTGTCTTTTTTAACCTTCTGCATTGTTGGTTTTATTTCTAAAAATTTTCTGTATTTTAAATTGTGTTTTTTACTTAATTTTTTTCTTTGTAAGGCGTTTTTGAGCACCTGTAAAGCACGTCATAAATAAAATTTATTATTATTATTATAATTATTATTGGATCATGGCATAGTTGTTTCATGGCGTCAAAAATTGGTAGCTTGCATTCTCTAAAAATATCAGGGATTCTTGAGAGTCGGGACAAAACACTTCCTAAAAAACTTTTTTTGAGAATGCACACTATATTGATTAGAGTTATTTATTACTGTAGAGAAAGGTCTTAGCTATTTAACCCCGTAAAGGAACAGGCTCTAAATAAAAACATTTTTTCTATAAATTAACATGTTTCCCTTAGACAGTGGATTTGTGTCAACTCCATCAAACACACAAAAAAGAATATAATTTTAATAATTCTAGTCCAACAAGAATCTAAAGTTCTGATGTATGTTGTAATAGTGTTTAGTTACTCTGATATGCCATAAAATATAATATATAAACCTAATGTGTGATTTCACACTATTTTGAAAACCAAGATTTCTAAATAGTTGTATTTTCAAACTTTGTTTTTAATTTTTATATTATAAAAACAATTTCTGTAAGTAAATAAGACACAAGAGGATGTAGAGCCAATGCTCCTTTATTACTTAAACAATATAAACTGAAGAAACAATTTGTTTTTTCTCCAAAAATTAAGAAAAACATACATCTGACGGTGTTGACGAACACCTGACGGAGTTGACGAGAAACTGACGGAGTTGATGACATTGCATATGTTATTGAACAAATGTGTTTTTAAACCGATTGACAATAGGTCAATAGGTGAAAATAGATTAAGAACTAATAACTCCTTGTTTTCATACAGAACATACCGTTAATGCAATTAACCACCGCACCGACAAGGCGTTTCCAAGCACATTTTCGTATTTTGGTGAGTTGTGCAGCCCGGCATAAGTATCCCCCCTCCCCTAACTCAGCTCCTTCCAGCGGCGTAGGTCAAAGGGAGGGAGGAGAGAGAGCGTGGAGTGGGTTAAACACAGCCGAGACCTGTATTGACCAATAACATCAGCTCTTCTCGCCTTTGAATCCGCCACTAGTGAGGCGTATTACCATTTTCATGAAGTAGTAAAAGAGATCAAGAGATGTCTGAAGACAGCAATGCCACACGATGGCGACAGAAGGCAGCCCCTCAACAAGTGTCACTGTAAGCACTGCATTGGGCGTCCTTCACACTGTCTCATATAAGCACAGATGGATTTGGTGTGTGTAATGTTGGACCCACTGGTAAGACAAACACCCTTTTCCACAAATAAAGACAATCACATTAAATTGCATATATTTAAACCTCACGTGACAAAGGTGGGTTGTGCGCAAAGGTCACAACATAAATTCCAATAATGGCATTAAAATCGGAACCAATCTGTGTGTAAATCGCGCTCCGTGGCCTGGCTCTTTCTTTCATAGATGTTGGCATATAAAATAAATTTGGCTCACAAAACTGATTATTATAATATTTGTATGTAGGCTTAAAGTAAAAAACTCATCTGATCACTGGAACAAATCATCTGTTCAGCTGCCGCAGCAGCAGCTGCAGCAGGACGGGTAGAGGACACGGAGACATGTCCAGGTTGAGCTGCGCAAGAAATAAGAGGAAGAGGAAGCTAGAAATGGGGGCAGACAAATTAAATATCTTGCTAACTTCATCATGTGTGTTTATTTACTAGATATTTGATTCAATTTCATGCGGATTCAGCAGCTGTGTTAATTTGGTCAGGTTGAGTGTCCAAACGCATGCCAAATGCGCTCATCAGATCAGATATAGATCAGAATACATCGATATAGATCTAAATGTATGTGCTGACACAGATTATTAGTTGTTATTGATTATTTATTGCACGGAAATATTCCTGACACTGTGGAAACCTGCTGGTGAGGCCGATATGCCGCCGGTCTCCTAAAATACCACTAGCCCATCCGGATCCACCTGCGCTGAAAGCTGACCAGGTTTGAATCTGCGAGCTTTCAGCGCACTTTACACGCCGGCAACAAGTACGAAAATGTCACTGCACCAAATGATTCTGTGGACACCTCACCCTGCCACACATCCACGCCCAGCTTGGCGGACCTCGGTGCACCTCAGTCCATGAAAATACCAAACTGGCTGTACGCTGAGCTCTGCCAGATGAAAATGCCACTGCGCGAGGTTCACCACCCTCCGCCATGTTGCCGGTGGACACAAAAATAGAGCCCAAGGTCTGAGGGTCCAAGTTAACAATGTAAAAATAATAACCTTTTTCTTCTATCTGGTATCCCACCTACACTGGGGTTTAAAAGAGCAACATAGAACTTCTTGCGCACTCTATAAGAAGCCAGTGTGTAGATTTTAGGTAGTGAAAATTACATACTGCACCTTTAGGATTGTACATTAATCAATCAATCAATGAGATTAGGTGTGTGTGTGTGTGTGTGTGTGTGTGTGTGTGTGTGTGTGTGTGTGTGTGTGTGTGTGTGTGTGTGTGTGTGTGTGTGTGTGTTGGGAAAGTTTGACAGTTATAATTAAGCAGACAGCCTGCCCATGGTCTACTCTACAAAACAGAAGTATATGGTAAAATAACGTAATATATGCTATATATGTACTTTTATGTGCAGATAAGACCCTTGAATAACATTGTTTTCCTTAACCATGTTCAAAAATAGCATAATGTCAGCACATTAAGAGGTTATAGGTGGATTTGTCAACTCCATCAGCTTACATGTCAACTCCGTCAGACACAAAATCTGACGGAGTTGACGCCTGATGGAGTTGACGTAAGGGCGTGTATTTTCCCTCCAAAACATTTATTGTACAGTGCAGCTAGCTACTTTTTTGGCAGTTTCTAGCTGTCCTGATAATCTCACTAAAATACTTTAATTGAACTCACTATGGTTTAAAAAAAAGTATAATAATGGAGAGACGGTGTTGACATGGTCCAGCTGTGACCATAAAAATATTGACATTGTTTCTCTAAAATATAAAAAACTGTAAAACCTACCAGACCATGTGTGGTGGTGTTGCATTCACCAGAAGCAGGAAATGAAAAGGGGTGCTCAGGGATATAGCTGACCATGATATTGCATGATTTAATGAGGTTTATAGAATAATCTGATGGAGTTGACAGAAACTGAGGACACAACTTTGATAGGCAGATTTTTAGGCAAAAAGCTATTTGATGTTCAGGCCATTCATTGTTTATATATTTATAGCCCTGAATTTTTATTTGATGTATATGTTTTCACAATTATAGAGTTTTTTAAAGTTTTTTGGGGCTGGTCAATATTGTGACCTCTTGCTGAGGACACAAGCAATAACATGGACCTTCTAACCACAGACGTTTCATTTAAACAAATATCCCCTAAAAAAGTAAATATCTGTGCTAAAAAATAGGATTGGTATACACAAATGCATTAGATTTAACTTTTTGAGTATGTCGAACATTTAGAATTTCTTAATTGTTTTGAATAAATTAGACTTTTCTATGTAGGACATGTTTTGTCCCGACTCTCAAGAATGGGTGATATATATATATGAATATAAAAACAGAGAAATAGTGTATTATCCCTCCACAGCTGAGTATTCCATTCATACTTTAGTGTTATTAGTCTGCTCCAGTGTGTATTAAAAACATTGACCATAAGTGTTTGAGTGTTGAACAGTGTGCATTAACAAAAAATTATGTTTAGTTTTGCAGTTCCACCTTGTGACCACCAGAGTCTGTCAAGTCACTTTATTATTGATCACACATTAACACTTCAGTTACTATTCTACTGAAATCTTTTTAAGGTAGGATTGACAGAGTGGGAATGCAAAAAAATACAGAAAAGGAAAGAAAAGGGTGTCTGTGACAATAATTTTAAGTTAAATTTTGACTTTGTTTCTTTCTAGGTGTCAGAGAAGCTGTTATACCAACATCAACAAAGCTCAGATCTGTGTTTTATGTAAAAAGTCTGTTAATTCTTTTTAAAAATAATGTAAAGTTATGTTGACGATCAATTAAAATGTCATGACGGTTTTCATTTTCGTTTTCTTTTAGTGTTGCGTTCCCAGTAGAAAATCCACCAATCAGAAACCGCGTTTCTTCACGTTGCTAGGCAGATTATGTTAATATATGCAATGCAGCCGTCCCTGCAGCTACCATTCTGAGGTAAGAACAACTTGTACGGCTTCCACAAAACGTAAGATATCTTTGACTTGGTTCCGGCTAGTTCTTTCGTACGACGTGTCAGTAGTCTTTCCGCTGATTTAGAGTAAATATTCGGGTTGATTCGGGGCTTTTGTACCGGTAGAAAATATCTCTTTTTTCCTTCGGCTCTCTCGGATGTCGTTGTTGTTGTTAGTCCCACCCAAAATGGCAGCCGGTCTTCCTTGTTCAGTGTAGACTTGAAGGGCTGGGCTCAACTAGAAGAGGGGGACGGGTGAACCTACCCAAATAATTTCGGGCTCTTTTAGTCTGAAATCCACTTTAGTGAACATTCTGAGAGTGTGCTCGGCGTCCCGGGGTCTGATAAGTTATATTTGTCAACAGAGCCGGACGTACATCGGGGCTATATGGCCGCAGTGCTAATGTTGCGGTGCAGTAAATGCCCGGGTTTCTGCGGCGCTGGTTTTTGTGGTATGGTCCAGTTGGGACTGAGAACCTGCGGGGTTAAAATAGGGGGGAATTGAATTTATTATTGATTATACCAATTACAAATCTGAGTGACTTTGAGATCGTGATTTTTCGTGGTAACTCCTGTACCGACATACGGTTGTATTTAGACGCCGTTTGCCGGGCGGCCTCGTGAGCAAACGTTGGCCGCCTTTTTCCCTCGTACCCCCGCTGAGAGGCTCGTGTGGCCGCTCTGAACACGCAGTGACATGCGGGTTTATTTTGGCTGCATGTCCTCCTGTCTGCAGAGGGAACCTGTGCCCTGGTAGATTAAAGCCTCTGTGGCAGAGGGCACGGCGGCTTTACACCAGCGCTCCTCTGCTCTCTGCACAGAGATGGTTGCTGCAGTGCATCATTATTGCAGCTTTCCTTCTCCAGTGGGTCGAGTGCATGAAAATATTATACACATTATCCCACAATGAACCCCTCTGTGATTAAAAGATAATAATCTAAGGCTAAAAAGTAAATCATATTCACTCAAAAGCCCCTGCAGAGGCTGTGCATATTTTACTTCAACATAAAAATCACAGTGCTGCATTAATAATATGATCCCTAAAATCATAAGATATGTCATGCAACTCAGTCCTCTTTCTGTTTCCATGTATAACAGGTGTTCCTGTGTGTCTCCAGAGTGAAGTGAAGTTAAGGAGGTAGGAGACAGGCCTGGCACCCTGCTGCCATGGAGACCAAGCAGGAACCGTCAGCTGTGTGGAGTCAGACTGCCAACAGTGATTCAGGCAACGGCGCACAGGTCTGACATCCTGCCTTCAGTGTTCGAATATTTGAGGTGTAACTAACACAAACAAGTCCAATTCAATCAATCAGATTTTATTCGTATAGCGCCAATTCACAACAGTTGTCATTCCAAGATGTTTTCCAAGGAGAAAAAGAGCAGGCCTGGACCACGCTCATTGTTTGATGAATTATCAAGACCCAACCTAAGATGGGATTTGGCTCATCTCATCTAACATGAGTGACAGTGGCAAGAAAAACTTCCTTTTAACAGATAGAAGCCTTGGGAAGGAACAGACTCATGTTAGACAGCTACCAAGCCGCTGCAGGGAGGAATACAGAAAGAGATCAGGGGGAGAGAAAGAGAATGAGTAAGGGAGAGGGAGAGAGAGAGTAGAGAACAAGGGTAAGAGAGAGAGAGAGGGGACAGCAGCAACATTAAAACAACGTCAACAAATGTGATTACAGTCTGCAGGTCTAATAGTAGTTGACTCCAGTTTTATGTTATTAATGTCAAGTGCAGCTGAAGACTTGCGTTTGTTTAACATCTAAATAATGTTGGTTCAAACTTATTCAACGGAGGGTTAATCCTGAGTCAGCTGTTGTAAAAATGCTGCAGGTGGTTCACAGCTTTTATGTCCTGGTTGTGTGTTGCAGGTGCATTTTGAGGGCGGCACAGTGGCCCAGATTGTGTACAGTGGAGATCAGGCAGACCGGGGTCAGCAGCAGGTGGTTTACACTGCAGATGGAAACTCCTACACTTCAGTCGAGTCTGCAGAGCACACACTGGTCTACATTCACCCTGCTGATGGTGGCCAGGTAAGATTATCTGCTGCAGAGATATTTTAAGCTGACATTTTCTGGCTTTGGATGACCCTCATAACCAGAACAACATGCACTGATGAGTAGTCAGGGTTTTGTTTAGGACTCAGCTGCAGGTAGTGTGTGTTGAGAGTATGACTGTGACAGAGAGATACTGTGTAAGATATAGTCATTGAATTGTTTAAAGAATTAAAACAAATTAATATGTAAGACTTGTAAATAACATTATATTCAACTTGACTTTCAGGCTGTTTTCACTGACCAGCCTCAGGTAGCTTACATTCAGCAAGATGGCACAACACAGCAGGTGAGTTTATATATGGAACAGTGATGAAATGACACAGCTGTAAACTTGATCAAACTATAAACTAATATAACCTCATCCTCAGGTCACAGTTTTGCTGCCCAGTGGACAAAATGCTGCAAACCTGCATGTTCTCAGTAATGTAGCTGAGGCCCCCCAAGCCATCCTGGAGCCTGTCTCCCAGGTAAGGAGACGTGGTTTTCTCAGGGTTCCTACACGGTTGGAATTTCTATACTTTTACATACCTGAATTTTTAGGATTAATTTTGGAAATACCTACTTTTCTATTTTAGAAAACAGTATTTTAGAACTGTGGTAATATAGTCTGGAAACATAAATATTTTTCCAAACTTTTCATCTTTGCCTAGGAACCCTGTTTTCTGCTGCTTACCTCTTTGACTGGGGGGTTGTAATTGGAATTAAAATCCATTTAGTCGCTCAGCTCTGATTTACAAGTTTTACTCCCTGTGAAAAATGTAAACACCTCCTGAATATGAAGGATTGTTGTGCTTTAAAAGAGAGTCACTAAGTAATGATCATTTGATCTGATCCAAAACAGGACCAGCTGTCTGCATCTAATACACTCCCCTCCATGGCTGACATTGGGGACCCCCCCACCAGTCCCCTCGGGGCCACAGAAGACTCCACAGAAGACTCTGATGAGGATGAGGAGGAAGACTCTGAGATGGATGAGTGGGAGTCTCGTGAGCCTCAGTCCTTCAACCCTCACAGCCTCTGTGAGTGATTTCACACATGTATGACACATTTCTTCTGCAGGCTCAGAGTTTATGATCGAGACAGTAAAAGTTTCTCCTGTGTGCCTCTCAGGGTGTGAGGAGTGTAACACCACCAACGCCTCAGTGTGTCTGAAACACGGAGCCCTACACCCGATCCCCAACCGTCCTGTGTTGTCAAAGGCTCGGGCCAGTCTGCCTCTGGTCCTCTACATAGACCGCTTCATGGGTGGAGTTTTCTCCAAGAGACGCATCCCAAAACGCACTCAGTTTGGACCTGTGGAGGGACCCCTGGTTCCTCAGAGTGAACTACAAGAACACTACATCCATCTCAAGGTAAAACCAGAACTCTGCAATACTGACCTCTGTATTCAAAAACATCTTAGATATTTTAAATCATCAAATAAACAAACATCTTGTTTATCAAACTCGTATCTGCACTTTGCACTTTCTTGTCATTTCAGCTCTGCATGTTGGACACAGAGAAAGTCGGAGAGAAGTCTGAAGACATGTGGTTTGACCTCTCCGATGAAGACAGCTGTAACTGGATGATGTTTGTCAGACCTGCTCAGAACCACCTGGAGCAGAACCTGGTGGCCTATCAGTACGGATCGGAGATCTTTTACACGACCATCAAGAACATCCAGCCCAAACAAGAGCTCAAGGTCAGCCTGCTGTTGTACATTTTTGTGGGTTATCTTGTACTACATTCAGGATTTGGTTTATGAAATATGTCCCACTTAATGTGCAAAATTTTGAAGTACTTCTTCAGAAAACAAAGAGCTTCTAGATAAGATAATCAGTCCTTTTCTATCCCAATATTTCTGAAATAACTGTACTGAAGTTTTTGTTTCATGTTTTCATCTGCAGGTTTGGTACGCAGCGTCATACGCAGAGTTCGTCAATCAGAAGATCCACGATGTTACAGAGGAAGAGAAGAAAGGTGAGTCTTTGCACTGAACATGTCTGATAACGAACAGGAGTTAGTGGTGGAGTTGTTCCTGGTCCTCACTGTCCGTTTTCCCCTCAGTGCTGCGAGAGCAGGAGAAGAACTGGCCTTGTTACGAGTGTAACCGACGCTTCGTGAGCTCTGAGCAGCTGCAGCAACATCTCAACCTGCACGACGATAAATTAAGCTCCGTTTCCAGGTAAGATCTATTTATTTTCTATCATATTTACTCTTGAACATTTCCACCAAATTCAATCCGACATGGTCTGAATCTGTTTTTCTTACTCTCTTAGATCCAGAGGCCGAGGGCGGGGGAGAGGGAGGAGAAGGTTCGGGACAGGAAGAAGACCGGGGCGCCCGCCGAAATTTATACGTTTGGAGCCGATGGTTGATACCAGCGGGGACAAAACAACAGTAGGTGAACGAAAGGATGGAGAGGAAATATTTCTGTCTGATAATGTGATCATGTAGAAGTAAAAACTGGAGTGAAGTGTTTGAATCTTTGTAAATAAATAACTGACCGGTCACAATCATTTTCAAAACCACCAAAAGCTACAACAGTTTTTTTTAAGTCTCCTTTATTTGATTGAATTTGAATCAGGAGATGTTGGAGCTGACAGAGAAACCGCTGGAGGAGCCAGTAGAGGGCGCCCAGAACGGGCTGAAGGTGGTGGAGATGGATCCAGAACCGGACGCTGGGACTGAGGAAGAGGACCAGCTCATACCTCCTGCAGGAGACCCCAGCCCAGGGTCCATAACTCCTCCCTCCAACACAGACGTGCCTGTCCCGCTGAAGGAGGACCCGTCTCAGAGCAGCCAGTCCGACTCCCACCTCACATCTCAGGACCTGCGGCGAGCGAAGAGGATACGGGTAAGATGGCCGACTCTCAACCGAACAAGTCTGATATTTGGTGTTAACCTCTGGGCTCTGGACTGCCTTTACAAAGTCTGTCTCTCTTTCTCAATGTGTGCTCTCCTCAAAGATGGATGGGCAGGTAGGTTGGCGTTGGATCAAAGCAGAAAAACACCAGATTCACCTTCATACTTCGATGTTCCCCCTCCCACTGTCACTTTTGTCAGCCCTCTCCCAAGTCTTGGTGTCTCCCCGTCAGAAAACACGATCGATCTCTCAGAGTAACCTCTCTCTCTCTCTCTCTCTCGGCTCAGAACGCGGCGCTGCAGCACCTCTTCATCAGGAAGAGTTTCCGTCCCTTTAAATGCACACACTGTGGAAAAGCCTTCAGGGAGAAGGACAAGCTGGAGCAGCACCTGAGGGTCCACAGCCGGGACGCTTACGCCTTCTCCTGCCACATCTGCAGTAAGAACTTCATGAGTGACTCGGCTCTGGAGGATCACCTGCTCGTCCACACGGAGAATCGCTCCTACTCGTGTCTTTTATGCCCCAAAAGCTTTGAGAGGCTGGACCTGCTCAAAGACCACGTGGGGGTTCACGCTGTCGACGGCTGCTTCACCTGTCCCTCCTGTAAGAAGACGTTCACCGACTTCATCCAGGTTTGTAGTCTTTGTCTTAGAGGGTTCTTGGACCAGTTTGAAACCACTTTAGAAAAATCCACAAACATTTAGGAGAGCTCACAAAACCTTCACCAGAACATCAGAACATTTTCTGGACTGTTGAATCTTCTGCTCCTCAGGTGAAGAAGCATATCCGCTGCTTCCATTCTGAGAAGATCTTCCAGTGCCCGGACTGTGAGAAGGCCTTCTGCCGACCGGACAAGCTGCGTTTGCACATGTTACGCCACTCAGACCGCAAAGACTTCCTGTGCTCAACGTGTGGCAAACAATTCAAGGTAAGATTAAAAATATGGACCTCTGACCCCCAATTTCCACCGCATCTGAAACGGCTATGAAAAGGCTGTATCTGCTGATCGTAGCTGATCGTAACCATTCAAGTTAACGTGTCAATTTCCACCGACTTCTTTTCGTTCCTCTGCGGATCGCCGGACTCCTCAGCTGATCACAAGAGTTCTATTTTTTACGGATGGCGGAGCATGGCGGATAAATTCAGCACAGATTAACCCGTGCTGGAAAGGAAGTCGGGCACAGACACAAAATAAAACATCCGGCTTCTTTTCAAAATAAAACACTCCGTGTTTCAGGAGGATCGTATTTCACACCATGCAAACGGGCGGAGACGAACAAGTGAAAGGTTTTTAGACGTCATTTCACCCCGATGACACCATGGATGAGGAGATGCTGATTCTAGAAGTCTAGAAGTAGATTTCCTCCTCTGGAAGGACACAATCTACTGCTTATATGTCTACGTGTCTGTCTTTATAGAGACGACTTGTTATCGTAGTTTCGCCATGAAATTTCTATCACAAACAGATCTGGTAGAAATTGGTGGATGGCGAAAATTGGCAGATGCCGTTTTGGATGCAGTGAAAATTGGGGGTAAGAAACATCAGGTGCAGGTGTTGGTTTCTGGTTCTGGTTCTAAAAGTTCTGATTCTGTATTTTATTTCCTCGATGTAAAGAGGAAAGATAAACTAAGGGAGCACATGCAGCGGATGCACAACCCCGACAGAGAGGCCAAGAAGGCGGACCGGATCCACCGCTCCAAAACCCTCAAACTGAAGGTTCCCACCACCGACTTCGAGAGCTTCATGTTCAAGTGCAGAGTCTGTATGATGGGGTTCAGGCGCAGAGGGATGCTGGTGAGCTCAAACTCTCAGAGGAAGCTTTTCATTGGTCGATGGTGAATTTCAGCGCAGTAACCTGTGATCATCGTCTGCGTACAGGTCAATCATTTGTCCAAACGTCACCCGGAGATGCGGATCGATGACGTCCCCGAGCTCACGCTGCCCATCATCAAACCCAACAGAGACTACTTCTGCCAGTACTGTGACAAGGTCAGTGTTTCTCATGTGTGTTTAATTTGATCTGAGCTTTTATTCTGATATTTACGAAACAAACGGACGGACTGATCATGTTCCAGGTCTATAAGAGCGCCAGTAAGAGGAAAGCCCACATCCTGAAGAACCACCCGGGGGCTGAATTACCTCCCAGCATCCGAAAACTGCGTCCAGCCGCTCCCGGAGAGCCAGACCCCATGTTAAGCACACACACACAGCTGACCGGAACCATCGCCACGGCGCCGGTCTGCTGCCCACACTGTGCCAAACAGTACAGCAGCAAGGTGAGTCCACTTCCTCTCACGTCTGTGGAGCTTTGAGGAAGCTGTAGGTCACGCTCGTGTGTTTGTCTCTCAGACTAAAATGGTTCAGCACATCAGGAAGAAGCACCCGGAGTTCGCTCAGCTCGCCAACACCATCCAGACCCCTCTGACCACAGCTGTGATCAGCAGCGCTCCGGCAGTCATCAGTGCAGACGGGACCACAGCAGAGGCCGTCGTGGTGAGAGAGAGAGAGGATTTCCTTTAATTAAGACAGAACGCAGTCCAGAACCAAAGCTGGGATCACAAAGTCCGGACCGGATCTGATAACGGTTTTTATTCTCTCCACAGACGACAGATCTGCTGACTCAGGCCATGACCGAGCTTTCTCAGACGCTTACGACGGACTACCGCACAGCGCAGGGGGACTACCAGAGGATCCAGTACATCCCTGTCTCTCAGGCAGGAGGCAGCCTGTCCACGCCTCAACACATCCAGCTGCAGGTGGTGCAGGTGGCTCCGGTAAGATCCAGGACCAGATCTAGGACATGGATTTGTTTTATTTAGAAACATTTCTGCGGTGGATCGAAGTGTATTTCAGAAATTTTAACAGTTCTCTCTACCCTGTGTTTGTTCGACAGGCTTCCTCCCCACATTCCCAACACCCGACAGTCGATGTGAGCCAGCTGCATGACCCTCACGGCTACAGCCAGCACTCCATCCAGGTCCAGCACATCCAGGTCACAGAACCCACAGGCTCCAGTCAAAGTGCCACACAGGTAAGTCCTGACTGAGGGGACAGTTGTCTTCTGTGTGAGATTTGTGATTAAAAACCATCTTTTCTCTCTCCTCCAGGTTTCAGGTCAGCCTCTGAGCCCCTCCTCCCAGCAGCCGGGTCAGGACTTGAGCCCCACCCAGCTGACCCCTGTGACCTTGGCACAGAGTCACAGCCTGCAGAGCGGCAGCAGCCAGCAGCAGGGCACGGTGCAGCACACGTACATCCCCTCCAACTGGAACTACAGAAGCTACCGTGAGTCTCGCAGACGCAGCAGACTCTGCATGAATCCATGTCCTGAACTTTAATCTGAAACCTTCTTCCTGTCGTAGCGTCTGAAATCCAGATGATGGCTCTACCTCATACCCAGTACGTGATCGCTGAGGCCAGCACACCTGTCACTGGAGTCAACAGCAGCCAGGTGAAAACAGTAAGTGAAGCGTGTCAGGTGAGAGACTTCAAGAAATGCTCAGAAATCGTCAAACGAGCTCGTAACCGACTCTCTCTCTCCTCCGTGTTCTGCAGACACACTACGTGATCTCTGAGGGTCAGACCGAGCTGGAAACCAAACAGACTGTTTCACAAAACACAACACAAACACACACCGAACAGCTGGAGCAGCAGACGTCCAATCAGCAAACCACCGCACAGTTCATCATCACCACGACCACCAACGGCAGCAGCGCCGGTGAAGTCCACATCACCAAACCCTGACGTGTGCAGGGAGGAGACACTTTGGCGCGTGTTAAAGACTCGGTCACTCAGACGCGGTTACAGAGATGTACATCCAGAGCTCGAGCGAGGATGAAGTGAAGACTAGCACAGTTTTATGTGTCTATATGTGAAAATAAAAACGGTGGAGAGAGAAAATGTAAGTTTTGAAGGGAAATGAGGAGATAAGATGAAGGTATTATTATTAAATATGTGCATGTGTCAGTGTGGAAACGGATCATTGTGAGGTTTCACTGAAGGAGTAAATCGTTTTGTTGTTCAGTCCTCACGCAGATATAAGTTTCCATTTTAAATATTTATACAGTCTGAGCCATTTTCTTACAGTATTCATCTTTGTAAAAAGAACTGGAGTGAAAAATGTGAAAACAATCATGACGCCGGCCTCCCAAATCTAATCATCGTGTTTTTGCCTCACACCCTGTCCTCTGTGGCGTCTTCGTTTCCCTGCTTGTTGGATTTTTCCTTCTTAAATCGTCACTTTTATCCACTTGTTATTCTGAATCTTCCTGAGTTAAAAACACAGATTTTCTCTGTCCTCATCATGAATTCAGCCTCTGTGGTTTTAGAGTAAAATTCCAGAAACTCTTCTCCAGTTGGGTCCTGATGTAAAACCAAGCTTTAAAAAAACATTATAACTCCATCAAGCGAAATATTTTTTAGTAACGCTTGAAGCCAGAACACGTGATTTATCACACACTGCTAGTACAGCCTGTATTCTACAGAAGAGGATTAGGGCCACTGGAAAAAAAAGAAAAATGTCTGAAATTTTTTTTATTATTATTATTCTGAGAAAATAAGTCAGAATTCTGGCTTTAAACTCATCATTCCAACTTTTTTTCTCAGAGTTCTAACTTCAATTTGAGAATTCTAACTTTAATCTCAGGATTCCAACTTTTCTCAGTATTCCGATTTTAAACTCAGAAATCTGACTTTAATCTCAAAATTCCAAGTCTAAACTCAGTATTCAGACTTTTTTTTTTCATAATTCCGACTTTTTTCTCAGAATTTTTCCTCTGACTTTGAGCTCAGAATTCTGACTTCTCTGTCATAATTACGACTTTTTCCTCATAATTCGACTTTTTGTCTCTGAATTTTTCTCTGACTTAAATCTCAGAACTCCAACTTTTCTGTCATAATGACGACTTTTTCCTCAAAATCCCGACTTTTTCTTAATATTTTTTCTCAGACTTTGAATTTAGAATTCTGACTTCACACTCAGAATTCTGACTTTTTTCTCACAATTTCAACCTTTTCTTCAAAAATCTGACTTTTTTTAGATTTTTTTCTCTGACTTTGAACTCCGAATCCTGACTTAAATCTTGGAATTATGATAAAAAAAATTGTATTGCACCTTTTTTTTCTTTTCAGTGGCCCTAATCCTCTTCTGTTGTATTCACATGCTCCATGGTAGAGTCTTAATAAGGGATCCTGGGACTTTGAAAAGAGAACAGGACAAAATATCTTTATTTATATGTAGTGGACAAAATCAGCTGAATCTGTGTTGTCCACGGGGGGTGCCAGAGTCGACACAAACCAAAAGTTCCTTGTGAGGATTTTTGAAACAGACTGAAATGAACAGTGATGTTTCTCTATGGTGTATGAAAGTAAATGAGACCATCGACAACATGACCGACAGTTTCTATATTCTCATCTTTGGTGTCTGTAACTGATCAGAGGGGGTAGGTACACAGACGGAACAGCCTTTGTTCATTTTCACAGTAAATAAACAAAAACAAGGGTCACATTTTGTCCACAAGGGGCGCCAAAATCAACAGAAAGGAGCTTTAACCTTTTCCTTTAGTGTTGATATGAGATGATGATATTTAAAGCTCATGTGGGTTTAGTTATTTATGAAAGAGACTAAAATTAATTCATAAAACTGATGTGTGTTCATATAATTTTGATGAAAAATAAGACAACCATAAGAGGAATGACGATGTCTGTGCAGTTATGTCTAATTCCAGAAATCCACCATGGACAGAGGAGGAATGGAGGAGGAGGAAAAAGTATACAAATACAGCGTTGTCCACAGGGGGGCGCTAAAGCTGACAGACTAAAAGTTCCTGGAAAGTTAAGGTCAAATTTAACTGAATTAATCTGTTTGTAAATCTTTGAAATCTCCTGAGGCACTAATATGTGGTTGTTTGATGAAGTAACGGGGTCATACACTGATCTGAGGTCAGTTTAATAGGCACATACAACGTTAAATATTGAGGGACAAGTCTTAATTTCATCCTTTGGTCTTTAAGCTGAGAAATGAAACCCTTTTCCATCACTGCATCTCCTTCTCTGCTCATTTTAGAGGAGGTTAATGGAGGTCAAAGTTTGGGTTAATTGAGTCTTCATGTGTCTGGATGTCATTCTTATTCCAGCCCACAGATGGCAGCAGAGTTCTGTTATTGTCAGAGCTGATTTAACAGAAGAAAAATAACATTTAGTTGTAGTTTAATGATTTAGAATGGACTTCCTTCTGTTTTTCTCTTGAATGAGGAATGAGTTTCATGTTGCCGTCTAACAGGTTGTTGCTCACATAGTTTCCTCTACTGTTGCTCAGTGTGAGTGTGTAACCATGATTCACAGAGGAGGAGGGGTTATTGACCCTGGCGTACCTGGGAGGAGCAGGGCTTGTCCTGCACACAATTGTGATTACGATGTTAAACACATTCCTGTGAAGGAGGAATGTGGGGAAAGGAGTGAGACACAGCCTAGTATAAACACATCCTCATACAGCAGAGCCAGTCCAACAAGATTTTCATGCTGCAGAACCAATCACTTATAATCCAGGTGAATACTAGTCAGGTGAAACACGGTTCAATCAGCATGAGTGTGTCTGTGCCGCGCTCATGCCTCGGTTGACGGTTCTTCACCCCAGAGGTCAGGGGGCTACAGGACAGGGAGGGAGAGGAGGGGGCTTGGATCGGGCCTGTAAATGGATGGAGGAGGCGAAGGAGGGAGGACCTGCTGAGAGGCACCGGAAACTGGAGAGGTAGGCAGACCTGAGAGTCACTCAACAACCTTTAGATTCAAGAGAGAGAGAGAGATCTGTGATCAGAGGAGTGTGTGAGAGGATGTGCAGATATCTGTCAGAGTTAAGGACTCTTACTTCAGTTATAATCTGGTGGGAAAGATTTCTAAAGATGAGATGAAGTTTCTATGATCTGGCAGACAGATAGTTTTGGTCCCTGAAAGACAGACTCTCTGTTATGAGGCTGCATCAGAAGGCCAACCCAGATATATTTTTAAACCTTTAATAAAAGATAATCACTATATTTCTTAACCTGAATGTATAAAAAGATTCTACCACAAAGTCCCCCCCCAAAAAAAATTACTTTCCGAGCCTGTTTGTGTCGTCGAACAATGGTGACGTTTGTCTTGTATTGATGACGTATAGGTCGGATTAACGCGACCTGAGCGTCCACACTGCAGATACATACAGATACATATCCGATTTATATCCACATACAAAAGAGGCCTGGGTCGGATTAGAACAAATCAGAATTGACCTGTTCACACTTACATGAAAAAATCAGATATGAGTCACATATGGTTAAAAAATCAGAATCGACCTGCTGTGTGAACACAGACTTATTTGCATCTCTGCATCTAGCGCATATTCAGTAGTGTAATTTTACTGCATTCAGGCCACATAAATAAGAAACCAAGGAGGACCACGACATAATGCATGCCTTTCAAAATAAGCAATTTTTCAAAATAAAAGACATGACAAACATCAGACTTGCATTAAATATTTACTTTTTTTGACCAGCTGTTCGCGACCCATCCAGAACGTCTCCGCGACCTACTTTTGAGTCGGGACCCACCAGTTGAGAACCACTGCTGTAAATGACACATAAATACATGATTCCAGTCTAATATTTTAAACACTTTAAATAAGACATATATTGTTTGTTACTCAGAGTCTTTTAGTCAGTTTCTATCCCTGAGTGTGCCGCCTTCTTCATCTCTGAGACACTGAAACTATGAAACATCTGAAGTAGATTAAATTATAATCATTAACAATTGTCCTGTTGTTCAAATCTTCTCATTTTTGTGTGTCAGTGTTTTAACCTGAACTTCCTCTCTCCCTCCATCAGCTTTAACCAAACACCACCCGGTTATCAGGCTCTAAAGAAACTGTCTCACTTGAAAAGCTGGTACAGTTTCGCTCTCGTGGTTGCAGTGTGGTCTGTCTGCCAGGTGGAGGCGCCGCTCTACCCCTCTGTGAATGTGACTTGGATGCTGGTGTTGGTGTGTTTAGTGTGGATGGTTCTGGGAGCTTGTTTCCATGCCTTGAAGAGCAGCCTGCGGCCAGGACAGAACCAGGTGAGCATTCAGATGAGTCTCCGTCTGAGAGTTTGAGGCTTTTCTGTTTATTTAGAGACTGTGTTTTGATTCAAGGGAGAGCCGCCGGGGAGGCTGGAGAAGAGGATTGTGTCTGCAAACAGGAACATCCAGTGGTAAGGCTTTGTGGTAAATCTTTAACATATACATAAGCATTAATTTAACCCACAAAATGTCACAAACTGCTCAAGTCATAAAACCCAAACTCTTTTACAGATCCGTACTCATGCTGTTTGTGGTTTCTTTATTCCTCCAGGGCGCCCCGGCCGAGGGGTCCGGGTCCTGGAGTTCCTCTGGCTCTTGCTCTGGCCGACAGCCTGCTGCAGTGTGTGCTCCAGGAGCCCCTCCCAGACCCCTCTGTTCCCCACATAAAGACTCTCATCTGCAGGCTGGAGGTTTGTAGGAGGGAGGAAACCACCTCACAAACACTCATACACATGCACACATACACACAATTATACACACACTCATACACACACACACACACACACACACACTCATCAGCCTCCAGCAGTTTCTGTCATCTCCTGTGTTTCCAGTCACTCTTTGCATGTAGATCAGTGTGAAGTCTTTGTTGGTGATATTACAGAGATCAGACCTTCACTCAGACGTACGCACATATTCTCGCCTGAGGCAATCCTCCCACACACACACACCCACATACACACACATATAGACACACACACACACACACACTGAGCTGCTGTCGTCTGTACTCTGAATGAAGCAGATTGACAGACGGGAGAAACTTCAGAGCTGTCGACTCATGAATTTCCTTCACACACACACACATTCTCGGTGATGAATGTCAGCGAGTTTTCCAGACTGTTGGCGCTCTGACTCAACATTTTGTTCAAATACTGAATTAAAGGAGCGAGGATACCGACGTCTATCAGCAGATTTAAACTCACAATGATACAGCTTTAACTTCATGTGAGTTTAATCACTACAAATGTGAGAATTTTGGAGATGTGAAGTTTCTCCGTGTGACACCAGCCTCAGGCGTAGCTTCAACTTTCTGCCGTGAGCGTCACATCCTCCTCCGAGGGCCTCCAGCAGAGCTGTAAACTGTCTGTTTAAAATCTCTCAGGCCTTTGTCTTTCTGTTATCACTGTTCTGAGTCTCAGTTTATCATTTCTGTTTTCCTCTTTAATTCTGGGAATGTTCCAGATATGACTGTCACATTTTGAACTGTATGAAGTAAATCTCTGCACACTTGCATGTGTAGAGCAGATGTGTCCGTGGGAGACGGTTATAAAAATGCAACAAGCAGATTCCTGCAAACTCTCTTCATCTCTCAAACTTTAACATGACAGCATTATGAACAAAAAGATTCATATCAGACTTTTGATGTGTCTATTTCCCCTCAATCCTGCACAGACTCACCATGACCGGGTTTTTGCAGAGGTGGTTTAAAGCATAAACTAAACTAAACTAAACTTAACTAAACTAAACTAAACTAACTAAACTAAACTAAACTAAACTAAACTAAACTAAACTAAACTAAACTAAACTAAACGTAATGTAACTTAACTTAAACTAACCCTAGCCCCTAACTTAACTTAACTTAATTTTATTAAACTTAACTTAACTAGACTAGACTATACTTGACTTGACTTGACTTAACTAAACTTATCCTAACTTAACTGAAGTAAACTTGACTTAACTTGACTTAACTTAACTTAAAGCTAACCCTAACCCCTCACTTAATTTTACTTTACTTAACTAAACTTAACTTCACTTAACTTAACTTAACTCAACTTAACTAGACTAGGCTTTACTTGACTTGACTTAACTAAACTTAACTTTACTTAACTAAAGTAAACTAAACTGAACAAAACTTAACTTCACTTAACTTAACTTAACTTAAACTAACCCTAACCCCTCACTTAATTTTACTTAAAAACTAAACTTAACCTAGCTTAACTAAACTTAACTAAACTAAACTTTACTCTACCTGACCAAACAAAACTAAACATAACTAACCAAACTAAACTAAACTAAACTAAGCTTAATTAAACTAAACTAAACTGAACTAAACTTACTTAAACTAAACTGAACTGAACTAAACTTAATTAAACTAAACTAAACTAAACCAAACTGAACTAAACTAATCTTAACTTCACCTAACTTCTCTTAACTTCACTAACTTAAGTTAACTTAACTTAAATGAACTAAACTAAACTAAACTAAAAGAAACTAAACTTAACTTAACTTAACTCAACTAAACTTAACCAAAATTACCCCTCTTCGTTCTCTCTCCCTCTCTGCAGTCGCTGTTTCACACTCTCCAGAAGGCAGATATCGGGTCAGAGGACACAACGTTGGCGGTGGACTATGACCCTAAAGTGACGGACAAAGTCAAGCTCATCCAAACCTACCTGCAGCAGAGGTGAGGTTTAACGTTTGGGACACACACATCATCTCTCCTACAGACTCTCATACATTAACATCCTGCATTCTTCTCTAATAGGTTGACTTTGCTGTGCAGACTCGTCAGTGTGCAGTGGGATTTTGAGGCCAGTGTGAAGGACATGCTGGAGGGTCTGGACAGCCTCTGGGCCCAGCTGGAGGAGCTCCACACTGGAGTCACTCTCACCAAAGAGGGAAGTCAAGACCACAGAGACCTGGCCTCGGCCCTGACAGATGCAGAGGTAAGCAGATGCGAAGGTCCGTGTGCAGATGTGCAGTAAAGCAGTAGCAGAAACATTTGTCTTCTTCGTCTTTTTAAGCACTTTTAAGATCCTGTTGATTACATTCACATTTCCCCGTCGTCTCCTTCGAGTGCTGTTTGTAATACTCTTATGTGTTTGGAAAAGACTTTGTTTGCAGTCCTGGGCCGCTACAGGACCATACTCCGCTGCTGCCAGACTCATCTGAAAGACAGCACACAACTGCTTCAGGTACAAACTTCCCCTCATGCAGTAAAAACTTGTGATTTTTCATCTGTTTTTGGTCATAAATCCTCACGGTTATTTTCCACAGGAGTTAACCTGGAGTCACACTCACTTCAGGAACAGGGTGAGGAGCAGCAGCAGTGAGTCGGTGTGGCCGGAGCTGCTGCTTCAGTCCAACATGGAGCAGGTAAACTGAACCCTGCCCGGTCGACAAACAGCAGACTCTTAGTTTTCAGGCTTAAAGACCCCTCTCTGTCTCCTCAGTTTGACAAGGTGCAGGAGAATTTCCTCTCCATGGAACATCAGACCTCCACCTTCCAGGCCCACCTGGAGGGACTCAGAGAGGAAACTCAGGAGGGGCGCGCAGGCCTCCTCCGCTCAGGTTCAGTATCTTCACAGACTTCCTCTACAGAGAGCAGAAACGGTGTCGCGTCACCTGAGCGCCATAGTTCACCCTCTGCATCAACACCTGTCCCTCAGACGGTTAAAACCAAAGACAGAGAAATAAACGCCGTCCTCTCTCTGTGTGAGAGGTCAGCTCAGCACCTCTCCTCCACGATCGGACGCCTGCGGAGATCTGGGAGGAGAAAATTATCTTCACCGACTTTATGATGAAATGTTCACAGAGAGGAAAACAGGTTTCAAATGTTGATCATTTGCTGGTTTGTTTGAAAATTAAGTTATTTATTGTGCAACTTTGCTTCACTTTATACTTCTTGTGCTGCACACTGTGATTAAAATGATATTCCAAACACAAGGGGGCGCTCTTTCACCAGTTATTACCAGCACAAAACAGACAACTTGGAGCTCTCACTCATCACACCGGGTTCAAATATCAAACCAAACCTTGACTCAGATCTCAGTCTGCGATGACGCCCGGACCGTTTCCTTTGAATCAGATTTACAGGAGGAAAATGTCGGACGGTCACCTCAAACATGTGGCCCGTAAATCAGATCAGAACATCTCAGCTTCAGCTCAGAACAGAAGAATCTCATAATGTGTCTGAAGGCATCGAAGATCAAGTTTTGAGGGCAACAGTAGATCTGAAACTCACAGATGAAGTCCAGCAGGGATCAGTTTTTCTTCAGTGAGATTACAGATGACCGCAGATCTGAGGCACGCAGGTTTATTTATTCTTGATCTGGACAAGACGTCAACTCATTTAAGAGCCTTTAGAAATCAAATTAGTGCAAAAACAAAAGAAGATATAAGACAGCTCTGAGGTTTGAGATTAAAGGGAATAAATGTGTGTTTAATTTATTTGTTGGTGACTCTCAGATCTTAAAGAACAGAGGATTTCAGTTTTTTTCTAGGAGTTTGGAGCCTGAAAACTGAACGCTGCTTCTCCATGTTTGGTTCTGACTCTGAGGACAGAAAGCAGACCTGAACCAGATGACCTGAGCGGTCTGGATGGTTTAGACTGTAGGAGAAGATCCCAGGATGCTGGGATGAAGATCTCAGGACCGGAGTGATATGATCCATGTTCTTGGTCTTTGTGTGGACTCCAGCTTCGGCATCACTCGTCTGATTTTTTTACAGAGTTGCTGTTACAGGTCAAAGAGGGGACGACCTGATAGTATGGAGCTGAAGAGACGCTAAACATCAGAGAGACAGACGTCATTCGCGTTAGTTCATGAATGGGTCCACAATTCTTGACAGTAACTGGACTTTGTTAAAGTTCCCCTCTCCTCCAATAGTCTCCTTCATTTTACGAACTTTTTTTTAAAGCTCCTGTGAGTGACTTTTGGTCTGTGATGATTTTGGTGCTCCCCGTGGACAAAATCATCTTTGCTAAACTCGTCTTAAAAACAACAACAACAAAAAAAATTGTCTTATTGTGTTTTCACAGTCAAATGTTTCACCCCTTTTAAACCTTTGTTTTGGTAAACATAAATAAAGGAGGTTTTATTGTGATCAAATCTCCAAACACCAACCACACTGCTGATGGTTAGCTTTTCCAAATTTCCACATAGACCTGTTTTTATTTCTGTGGTGGCCTTGTTTACTTTTGGCCTCTATATTAAATCTACCCTTTTTCATAATCCGAGCTTTAATTAGCTTAAGTTAACATTAGCATATCCAGATACTGATGTGTTCAGGTCAGAGCTTGTATGGGATTTGTAGATAAGTGGATCTGCACAGTTTTGGTTATTTAGTTTGTCGTTTTCTATAATCTGAGCTGCTGAGGCGCGTAAATATTAAACAGAAGAGGACCCGGAATGGAGCCGAGGGGGACTCCAGGTGTGATTCTTGTCTGCTCAGATGTGAAGTTACCTACAAACACAAAGTATGATCTAAACCATTTAGGTCCTGTTCCATAAAGGTCTACCCTGGTCTCCTGTTGATTAACTGGGATCACGTGTGTCAGCAGCAGGACTGAGATTTAGAGGTTCGAGGACTGAAATGTGTGTTTGAGCAGATGTGATTTTGTAAAAGGAGAAAGACGATATTTATCTGAGTTTTAATCTTCAGGGAAAGGTGAATTTTATTCTGGTGTCTCCCTCGATCAGCCTGAGTTGCAGTGATGTCTTGAACCCTTCAAAGCCGAGGGTGGAGGTGGGGGAGGTAGATGGGGGCAGAGGAGGTCAACGCCGGAAGCGTTTCTGTTATTACTAAAAACTGAGCAGCCCTCTAGACCTTTTTGAAAGACATGAATGTCTTTGATCCAAATTCAATTACCCCACAGCTTCACCACCACCGTGGGCACAGAGATGGACGCCGTTCTCCTCCTGCAGATTCATGAATCTTCTGACAAACAGGATTTCTGATGATTCATTCACGGCTGCCGTTAAATATCAGTTATGAGGAGTTTGACGTGAGTGACATTTGACCGTGGACTTGCCTACCATCTGCCGGCTCCTGCATCTGTCCGGTTTCCTCACACCGGGGCAGCGATCGGAGAGGTGGGGCCGACCCCCAGGGGGGATCCGGGATGAAAGGAATGTAAGCTGAACGCCGCAGGATCTGAGCTGTCACAACACCAGAGACACAAACACACCATGTCTGGATGTGAAGGCGGTGGGAGGAGAGATGTTGTGCGTTCGGTGACTTGAAGTTTTGCACAAGGGCTGAGTATAAAAGAAAATGTTATGACAGGCCGCATGAATATGTAAGGTTTTCCAGGAAATCCTCCTCAGTGCACAGAAACAAATGAAGTCTTTCAATAACAATGATCACATTTCTTTGAGCTCCAACATCTTAAAGACAACAACACAAGTTTTTAAGTTGATTTATTAAGCGCTTTGATAAACTGCTGGAAGGGAAAGACTTGATTCTATTAGCTGTGAATGAAACACATGGCTTAACAAATAGGAAACACAAACTCTGCTTTATAAACTGACGGGACCCTTCCCTGTCTGATGCCTCACATTACTCGTGTGTGAAGTCATCGCCGGCAGAGGGACGGCGTCTGTCGAGAGCAGAGGGCAGCGGCTATCTGCGGGCCGAGAATGTAAGAGTGAGCTAATGAAATTACCAGCGGCTTTGTTTAGTTACACTAAAAAGTTGATGACTAGCTTCCTCACAGGCCACTCCAGTCCTGGAGGAGAGGCCATTTCAAAGCCGCCTCGAGTGTGTGTTGTTTCAGAAAATATGGTTCATGGCAGAGGTCAATCCCTCGCCTTATCCTGACAATTACTCAGGATCGGGTTTCACCGGCGTACACATAGCGCACATTTGTGCCGATCCCTCCTCTGATGGCACTGCGAGACACCGTCCGGTAGTCCTGACAGCTGCTATCTGACAGGACCCCCGTTATAAAACTCTCCTGAGAGCGCGGAGAAATAAACGGAGACTTTAAATCTGTTTTCCTGAGAGGCTTTATCCCAACAAAGACACGACGACTCAAAATTAAAACGCTGTAGGAAGTTCAGAGGTGGATAAATAATCAAACATGATGAAACATGAACTGTTACACCAAACAGGAGAGAGGCAGTCCAAACAGAGCGATGAAGGAGTGAGTTTAACCTTTAGCTTAATGGCAACGACATTTCCCTGATTGATAAACGAGGAGGTGGTGAGTCTTTATCCACTTATCTGAGGAGCGTGTCGATGATTTTCTCCGACAGAGCTCTGCCGACATTATCAAAGATTTTTCATCAGGTTATGTGAAATCTTTGTGATCTTTTGTTGTTGTGTTTTCTAAGATTTTAATCAAGCAACAATAATGAAGTGCTAAATACTGCAGTTCCAAGAGTGTCCACTTGAGGCTGTCTGCAGAAGCTTCAGAAACCACATAAAAACACGATTTAAAAAGGGCAAAAATAAACATGTTTTTTATTCAGTTAATATGTTTATTAGTTGATATTTTCGAGGTTATTGAAGTTAGTTGATCAGCGAATCAGAGGCACAGCTGACTTGACTGACAGGTGGACAAACTGCAGCTGCATTTACAAGGCCCGCCTCTGGTAGGCGCTCTTTTCAACCAACTTCCAGGTCTAATTAACATCAAACTAAGTTCTCTGAACCTCATTTAAGTCCTAAAATTGTCCTGCTTCGTTGTAATGAATGCAGAAAATAACACTGACTTCATATTCAAGCAGTCCTGTTGTTACTTCATGTCTGTTTTCTTCGATTCGGTTGATGTCTCTTTCTCTGAGTCAGTCAGACAATCCTAAAGTTTTGTTCTCCCCAAATAAATTCAGATTAATATATAAAAGATAAACTTCATGTTGTTTCCAGGTAGAGGTAAAATCTGGACTTCTTTCTGCAGATAAGGAGTAAAACTTCCCCCTCCCTTCCTCTCTGACTCTCCTACCTGAGTCCAGACCCTCTGAATGGGAGGAGCCCCGGAGTCATTAAAGGCAGCGAGCTCACCTGCTGCAAACTCTTACTGGGAACACTGAAGACAATGGAGAGACAACACCAGTATCACTGACTGTGTTCTTACCCTGTGAGTTTGTTTTGTTTAATTCGTTATACGACTCATCTTTGATTTATTATCCTGACTTGTATATAATTTTATGGTTAAGAAAAGATGTTTCTGAGTTTGCATATATTTAAGGTGGCCATATTCTAAATCCCCAAAAAGAGGACATGACCGCGGGGGTGGAGTCACAGAATCGTGCATAGTTAATTTTGAGAGTTTTTCAGGTGAGCTTGAGTGTTTTTAACACGCTTCTAACTCGGTAAGTCCACGGGACACAAACTCAAAACTTCCAAACAAAACTGCAAATATTTGAGGGATTTTATAAACTCCCTCAGAGTTTTAGAGCGCACAGTCCAAAATTTGACTGAACAGGAAAATAAGTACGTAAAAGCGCCACCTAGTGACAACAATCCTGAATTGGATGAAGTGAGCCACAACCGCATTTGCTGGTTTGTTGACAGCACGGGCGTAAATACAACTCTTCTTTTTCTTCTGCGGTTGTTTTAGTGAAATCAGACAACTCTGCACGTGTCCAAATGATTCTAATCTGAATAAAACTCAGTGCATGTAAACGCACGTCATGATCGGATTATTTGATTTTGCACCCATATCAACAATAGATTCAGATTTTCTGATCCCTCAAATTTTTAATCGGATCAAGAAAATTTGAGAGATGAAGTTCACATTAAATCAGCATAGCTAACCTTTAACAGTCTAATATCCTCTCTTAGTTGTCCCTGGTGTTACTCTTCCTATTCATGGTATTTATGGTGGTATTTGGACCAATCAGAGTCAAGTATTTAACACAGCTGGGAGATAAAGGATGGGAATCTTTCCACATTAGCTGTATGTAAAGATGTTTAAGGTTCAAAACTGTAAAAAAAAGGAAAAATCCACTTGCACGACTTCCTTTTAAGGGCTGGACACAGATAACGGAGGCTGTTGGAAACAGGACGGACAGCTGCACACTGAGACAAAACATCAAAACGCAGGCCACAGATGTACGCAATTAGCAACATGGTAGACATTTGGGGAGCAAAGGTCCATAAACTCGCAACTTATTATGGTTGATCTAACATGGCTGGAGGGGAGCCGAAACTCAACATCATTAATGGGCTTTAAGTTTGGGCTGGAACATTCCTACGTCCAGAATTCAACGTCAACAAACGGCTGCTATAAAAGCCTTCTCAGATCTTTAATATGAGTTTTCTATGCTAATAAAAACCTTATCCCAAACATGCATGTGTGCATGTCTTTACAGTGGAAGAGTACAGACGTGAACGAGAGGGAGAGAGCGTCTCAACATGTGTCCCGTCATTAGGAAACACTTAGCTTCCTGTTTGTGTAAATATTGTCTTATTTTGTTTTGAAAGAGAGCGGGCTTGAATAATCACCGCTGACCCCTCTGCCCTCCGGTTTCCTGCTCATCACGTGGACGCGGCTCACCTTCTGCTGAGACCAGAGGTAGCGGGCTGTCGTGACCCGTCAGAGGTCTGCTGTCAGGAATGGATGGATCCTCCAAAGGTCATGAGCGACAGCCACTGATACCAATGGGTAACAGCTGTTGGGCCAGTGGGCATGGAGGACTTTTAAACTCTGTACAAAGACAAAAATACCTCAAACATTCTTACGGAGATTAGTGTACGAGGTGATATCACCGCGGTAAGATTCATCGCACAGATCGGCGAGGCTCAGGTTCACAGTAAATCCTGAACACGGGCTCTTCTACGTCTTCTCGAGGAGTAAAACTTATCATAACTTATTTGTGAAGTGGAAATCTCATAAACTTGCAGGGATGTTCCAGATGCAGCTGTCTGAAACTTTGAAATATTACATGATAAATCTCTCAGCTCTGTATTTCTCTAAGATTTCTGGAATGATACCCTTAAAATTTCTTTATCCGTGGCAGCCATCACCTGTCTTTCATCTTTTATGAATGTTTTGTACTGACAGTTTGATTTCTTGGTATTCTCCTCCAAGAAATAATGGTTTTTGGAAATGTTTGGGGGCCATCTGTGACCAAGATGCTGTGGTCTGAACTCTGGATTTTATCTTGATATTTATGCACCAATTCTCACACTCTAAAGTTAGCTCAGAAAGATAAAAATAGATGAATTCAGGCGGTTCGGGTTATGGATTTTGTCCTTTATGTTTGTGCCACCAGGAGCGCATCCAGACTTTTCAGACTGAGGGGCCCTGACTCATACAGGGGTGGACACGTCACTCAGTACGTTTCTATGACACGCAAGAAAACCGAATTATCACCTTACTCTGAGTAAGACCAGACAACTGAAGGTCATGTAAACACCTTAGTCCGACTATAATCAGGGTTTGAGAACTACGATTAAGACACCCAGATAATGCGATTGGAATTCGATTTTCTCTACCATGTAACCGGCGTAATCGGAGTATGATCAGACAATGCATGTGTGCACGCCATGCCCCCGTAACCCTGAAACAAAAACGTGCAGCGTGCAAAAGCGTGCGTCTCATCTGGAGAAAAAGTAGCGCGTCCATCATGTCGGACAAAAACAACGCTGTACGATGCTCCGTCTTCTTGTTTCTCCAAAATTCCCAGCAGCAGTTGTAGACACTTCTGACGTCTGACACCGACCTGCTGTTGTTGTTGACGGTTGTATGGGGTCGGAAACAGCGCCGCTGAAAAGACCCATATCGCCCCCTAGTTTTGGGGAGGAGGACACGTTCACGTCAATAATTCGATTTTCTCAGCTGCATGTTTACGAGGACGAGGAGAGAAGTCTGATTAAACTGTGACTGTAAACGCACTGAGTGAATAGTACGTATCGGCCATCAGCACACCTCAGGACTTAAGTCCAAAGTCTTTGACTGATGAAACCGTTGAGCCTCACTTCTGCACGAGGCACCGATGTGTGAAGCAGCGCTCTGAGGAAAGGCTAAACAAACAGGCCGGCCCACGCACAAAGAGTCCGCCACTCAGAGACATGTGGCAGCAAAACCCTCTCAATCTGCATCCCCACCCCCCCCCAAAGCCACAACTGTGAACCCCTCACACTCCTACTGGAGCCACACAAACCCCTCCGAGTATCCCGAGCCCGGAGCCAAGAGGAGGAAAGATGGAGGAGGAGGGGGAGCGAATTCTGATTCCTATTCAGTGAATGTCAGCACCTCACAAAGGCGACCGCATGACACTGCCACTAAATCAGAGTTAATGGACTCCTTTCTCAGTCCTGCGAACATGACAGGGGGCGTGTGTGTGAGAGTGAGGGGGTGTGGGAGAGGGACGGGGGCTGGTGAGGGTGCCTGTTTGCCCCAGTGAAGGGGCACATGGGCCAATGAGGGAAGCGTGTTTCCAAGGAGCGTTAATGGCTCTCCTAACGCAGAGGATACGCCGATGCGGGGCTGCGATTATAACAAGGTGAATGTTAATCACGCCGTTTGTTTGACCGCTCTGTCGTGACTCTTTCAGCGCCGCTAATTTGTGTTTAAGAGGCAAAACAACAGAGCATCAATCAGGAGGAAACTTTAGCAGTGAGTGCAGCTCCGCACAGACCGCGCCGGAGTTTAGGTGATCCGTCAAACTCCTAAAGTGAAGGTGTGGGGAGCGCCGTCCCGGGACATGCGGGGTGATTGTGGATTTGCATGAGAACACTTAGTTCACAATGAGGAGCCAGACTGGGGGACAGCGATTTCTGAGCCGTTTGTTATCTTCCCTACAGGGCACGACCTAATAAGAGTAACCCCTCCCTCCTTGGCATCCCAGCGCTCCAACCCTCGCTGAAAAGGCGTGGGGCGAAGATGAGTGAAGATGGCGTTGGTGTCACTTGGCAGGCATTCATAGCGGCCGCTCCCCCCACTGTCCGCAGCACAGGGGAGACGCAGAGAGGACAGAGGCGGAGAGACACGGAGCCCCAGGTACCGACCTCATTAGCAGATAAAAGCAACCCTTTTCTGTGACCTCTGACCCCGGAGGTTGCCATGGAGCCTTCCAGTCGAGGCATAGATGGAGCACGCTGGGATTGCTCTCAGCGGGGAGGAGTGAATATAGGCTGCTGGGAAGATTATTAAGACGCCGCCCCCCTCTTCTCGCCCGCTCATACACAAATCCATATTGGTCGACTTCATGCTCGTCTGAACTCACCTCTTGAAGTCGTGCAGGAGCTCATGTGCTGCTCGCTCGCTCGCTCTCTCGCTCTCTTTCTCGCGCTTCCTGCTTCATTTCTGTTCAGTCGTCTTAATGCGAGTCAAACAGTTAAGCTCATTACATCCCCGAGTTCACCTTTGATGTGCAGGCAGGGAATAGTGTGATAGTTTACATAACCACAACATGGAAAGAGACGTTTTTTCTTCTCTGTTTCTCATCACTAAAGTAACCATGTATGGTGGAGGGTTGAACGACGCGCTGGTTAGTGTTCGTGCTGAACATTCACTCAGAAATCTGACGGAGATTCAACCTGCTGAAAAAGATCCTTCCAACTTTAGCACTTTTGCTGCGTTCCAGTTAACAAGTCAGAAAACCAAGATGGGCGCCGACAATTACCTGTTGTTAGCTGTTGTTTACAATTGTCGGATGTCTTTAGCTGTTGTTAGTTGTTGTTAGCTATACCAGTTGTAAACAACACATAACCCAGTTTTTTACTCTTACAAACACCATAACACTGAGTTCACAGTTAGATGTTTGACAGTACAACATTAACTCAACTCAACTCAACTTTATTTGTAGAGCATTTTAAAACAACCACAGCTGTACAAAGTGCTGTACATAGCTAGACAAAACAACAAGATAAAAAACAATCAAGAAACAAATAAATCAATGGATAAAATAAAAGCAGAATTAATAATAAAATATAGCTTCAATGTTTTTAAAAACTAATTTAAAAACATAGAAACAAATAACTAAAAACAAACCATAGAACACTAAAACAGGAGCCGCACATTAACCACATGTTAAATTTCACAAAAACAAAACAAAAGTGCTAATAAATAAAACATTACAAGAGCTTTCACTGTTACTCTTTACTGTTGATGCACTGCGCCGCCATCTTGAATTATGACGTTGTCGTCAAGTCGGGGTTGGTGAGTTTTATCCCAAAAGAATACATTAAGATGCAGCAACTGTAGCAACAACAAAGATGGCCGAAGGCAGCTAAACAAAACCAGAGAGAGAAAGAGAGAGAAGGGGGTCGACTGTCTGAGCTGAAACACTCCTGAGAGACCGTCCAGGTAGACCGAGGAAAAGAAATGAGACCCGTTTTTTTTCACAGAGGGGCCGCGCTGACTCCTGTGGCTAACACACTTACTGTTGTATTGATAAGTGCCTCATAAAACCACAAAAACAGTGAACTTTCCCTTTAATAACTAACTATATTTTTTGGCGTATGAAACTTTATCACCTTTATTTTGAAGTTTGCCATAAATACGTTTACGTTATTATGACGATCATTATTTTTTACGGCTCGGGGATACTTTACGTTGACTATAAAAGTTAGCGTGTATTATAAGTTACGTGGTCGCGGTTTGTGAACTCGAAAGGTAAAAATACGAGGGAAGGTGTATTAGCATGTAACAGGATTGTGGTCATGTATATATATCTGTGTATGTGTGTGTGTGTATGTGTGTGTATGTGTGGGTGTTGGGGGGTTATATCTTGGTCATGCTGACTGAGTTTTATAAGCTGTGGCTAACCCCACTCCCCACAGCTGACTGAATATTAAATAAACAGAGCCAAGTGGATGAATTCAGCGGAGTGAGTGCTCAGGCTGGAGGAGGAGGAGGAGGAGGAGGACTACTCCACCAGCAGGGCCTCCCCCATGGGGCCCCCACATCAGCCTGTCTTATTCTTGGCAGCTGCAGAGGAGAGGGGAGGAGGGAGGCAGCCTATGGGGTGGGTGGGTGGGGTGTGTTTGGGGTTGCGTACAAGGGGGAGTCACCTCACGAGGAGAGGAGAGGGGGTGGAAAGGAAAGTTGGAAGAGGGATGAGGGCGAAAGAAAACTGTGTGATAGAAAAATCACTCCCAGCAGCAGAAGAAATCTCTGCGTCGTGTCGTCTCTCGCTAATTTCTGTTGTGGTTTCAGTGAGGGTTTGGTAAATCTGTCTGAGTCGGAGTGTGTGAGTGTCAGTCTGAACAAACCTCCTGATGTACAGCCGCTCCAGACTCCACATCAGTAATAACAGTATCTGGTCTTCTCTGTCTCAGGAGTAAAGGTGTGTCACACAGCGCCCCCCACAGGCCTGGAGCACCTCTACTGTTGCATCTGAGTGTTGTTGCTGTCTATGCAGTTGTCGTGTTTTTTTGCTGCAGTTTATTTTTTCATTTGTCGTGAATGTAGTGAGAGGAATAACAATCTGAACAAAGAAACGAAAGAAGTAAAATCAAATTTTATCTTCAAAAAAGTGTCAAAGCCAGTATGTCGAGTAAATACAGGGAAATATGTTCATCTAATGGTGTGTCCCAAATCGCAAACTTCCATACTAAATACTTAGATTTTTCAAATTGAGTATACTAATTGTTCAGACTGTTTCGGATCATTTGCCCCTGTCAGGCACCGTACTTCTTTAATCCTAACACGCACAGAGAGAAACAGAGCTCAACACACTCACACTTATGTTTAATATAAACTTTATTCCTCTGAAGAAACAGTTAAAGAGTGAGAGCACAAGTGTAACTGCACCATATCCAGGGCAGCTTTATGAGGTATTTAAAGAAAGACACTGATATATTATTGATAAAACTGAAGCTACAAAAGCTTATATGAAATTCAAAGAGGCAAACACCATGATATCAGGCTTGACTGAACTTCAATTAAGGGTGCAATGCTAACATAAGCCAGGTTTTAGGTATTTAGGGTTTCATAACACACAGAAAAGGCGACAGGTTTGTCAGCAACTTCATAGATAATCTGGATCTGACTGAAGAGAATCTGTTCGGGTCAGCATCTGAAAAAGTATTCAGGTCATTAATGAAGTATTTGAGGGAGACTGGATTATTGTACAGAGTTTAACTTTGGAGCAATTATAGGCATATTTCCCTTTTTTCTTATGCCACACTCCAATCCAGTAGGAGGCGGTAATGCTTCTTAAATTGGTTGCCAGCCGCTAATAAAACGAAGAAGAATAAGTCGTGATTTTTCATCAGTTTTATGGCGTTAATTTTTAATATAACAGAAAGAAACATGTTACAAAGGTGTGCATGGGACAGATGTAATACTGATAAAAGGTATCCAGAATGGGCAAAGGGGTTTGTTCCATTCCCAAAACCAAAGGAAAACCGAAGTACATGTCTGCTATGGCTTAAGTTGTGTGGCAGATTTAACGTCCAGAGGATCAACAAGGAGGTCTTCGTTTGTTTTAAGGTAAGAAACGTTAGTATAGCTTTAAATCTACTAACTTTACCGACATTTATTTTATCGCCATTAGCGATGTTTTAACAGAGCTTTAGCCTCTGGCAAATTAGCTAACGCTTGCTAGCGCCAGTGCTAACGTTAGCGCTAACATATATTAGCCATAGATATAAATATAAACGGTAGATGACTCACACGCTGTTAGCCAATGGAGACCGACGTTGGCGGCCATTTTGCTACGGGACGCTCGCCCACTCATACCGTTGAGGTCTACGGTTCATGTAACATTTAAATAACTATAGATTGATGAATTTTAAACCGATTTTCAAACAGTTTGATTTGTAACAAACCTCAAAGTTTTAGTTATGTTCCTGCATACTTAAGAAGAATTTTAAACATGGATTTTCATTAATAAATATTAAGCAGATAGGTAGAGAAATAGCGATAGGCCTACACACACAAGGCATGTTAAATCATTTATGTATAAAACATTTGATCATTCCATGTATGTTATATTAGTAATATTTATTTTAGTATTAGTAAAAAGGTTTAATGAAAAATATGACTTCGGTCCATGTTCTTTTTTCAAAATAAAAAACAATATCTCTCTTTGCAGGTTTAACTTACATCCAGGCAACAATTTAAATAAATGTTCAACCTCAATCCAGAAAAATTAAACATGCTTACAGTCAAAAAATAAATGTACAATTGTTTCTTTTTTAAGGTTGCAAAATACACAAGAGTCTGAGATATCAGTTCTATATTTTTTTGAGAAAATGGTTATTTGTATAGATGAAGTGAATCATTTTGAAATAAACCTTGGTTACTTTATTGTTGATCAAATATTTTTAGTTGTAAATCCATAAATCCCTTTTCCAAATATTTCCATCAAAAAGACCATTTTGAAACGTTTGACACGAGAATTAGAAGAACACTGCAAGATATTTCTAAATAGTTTATTATTACATTTTTAATCTTTGATATTGATGGTGGTCTGAATGTTGTCTGACCTGCACAAACACATCAGGACGTACCAGAACTATTCTTTGTGCCTTTCACACAAAAACAACGGTGCAGAATTATCAAACTTTGGAGTTTACATGTGGATCGGAGGTTAAAAGGTGGAGAAATAACCTCTTTGTTTTCCTCTACGCTGCATTAACCGCCTCCTTATAATCTGCCTTTCTGTTGACCTTTGTCCTATGAGACTGCTGTGTCTCCATGAATCAAATATGACCCCTTTCTCATCTGCAGTCTAACTTTCTCATGTTGTTGTTTCTCTCTTTGTGTCCAAAATAAGAAAATCTCGTATCTCTGCCCTAAACAGCTGCAGCGTGAACACAGCGAGTCTCATCCTCCCTGCAGGGCCGTGTCAAGGTACAAACACACACAAACACACACACTACACACTGCCCTGTCTGTAACCCCCTTTCCAAACACCGCTGTCTCACATCCTGCAGTGTTTCCTGTCATGTGTTCATCTCACAGACTGCTCTTCACCATCATCACTGTATTCGCTCCGTCCTTCGGGAACCTAAAACCGAGCGTCCCAGACCGTGAGTTCAGCCGCTCCAGACAGTGAGTAAAATGCATCTGATATCAAGCTCCTTTTTTGATTTATACGTCGCTCCCACATAAACGCTATCGAGTCACAGGAGCATCTGGGCAGGTCATGGGAGCCGTTTTTCTGGATGTGGTGAATCGGCAGGACTCCAGCCTCCCACACCCTGCTCCATAAACACAGCTGTCAGTCTCGTGTCTCCTGTCGTTGCCAGCTCATGAGTTTTAGTCTCTCCTCTTTCACATATTTTAAACTTCAGGGCTGAGGAGGCAGAGAGCTCCCTGTCAGCATCCTCCTCTGCTTTTCCATCATGTGGGAGAGTCTGAAGCTGCTGACTGGATTGATGACAAAGCAAAGGAATATATTTGTGACGCTCCCTCGTGTTTACAGCCGCTGCTTTCTTTAATAACTTACTCTGAAACCCAGAAAGGCACAAAGAGAGAGTTCAGCTAATTGAAGCCAGCAAAGTGTTTTTGATGAATTGTTGTCCTCTTCGTATCCCTCCCTAAGCGTCCTCCCACAGTGAGCTTTAGACCTCCCACAGAACGCCAGAGATGTACATTCATGCGCACTTGCACGCACACACACATTAACACACACTCAGCGGAGCAGGTAGGGGCTGCCGACAGCGACATTTCATCTCGACCTTAAGAAAGCAAAGGCACGAGTGCAGCTCAATGGTTTTCAAAGGGTGAAGGAAAAAGGAAGCAGAAAGATTGAGAGTGATAAAAGACAGAAAGACTTTCTGTGTGCGGCCGTAGAAAACGAAGGAGCCGCTCGCTGCTAAAAACCCTCTCTGGTCTCTCTGCTTCCCTCTCCTGCAGCCTCATGCAGGTCCGCGTCCCCCCTCGCTCTCCTTGTGTGGTCCGGAGCTCCGAGTCATTCCCAAACAATCGGCATTAATCCAGGGAGCGAGGGGCCTGGAGCACAGCGCTGCCAGACTGCCAGAGCTCCCTCACCCTGGACTGTACTGACGCATGCTACACTGCACCTACTGTACGCACACAAACAGACCCATGCAGCCCCTAATCAGGGCTGCGCTGTTGTAATGTACGATATCACACAGTACCACAACACAAAGCAACCTCTCCAGGCAGACGGCGCGCTGTCAGGTTCAGTCAGGATGAGAAAGTGGTTTGTTAGCACCCTGGCAGAGCTGTTTCTGGGTGGCATCTGGTGAAATCTTTTTACAGAATCTGCAGAGAAATGTTGAATTTGTGCTCGGAGCTCTGGGGAGTGTTGTGGCTCCGTATTTGTGGACACAGTCTGTGTAGAGAGCAAAAGCAGGAGGAACACCCACTGCTGTGTGTCATGTCATGTTTGCAAAAGAATGAACTTTTCCTTAACCTTCAATAACAGAGAAATGATGAGCTGAAGCTGAATAACATCAAATATGTAAACTAGTCAGATGAACGGATTGTCCGTTTTCTCCACCATAAGGTGCAGCTGCTGATTTTGTTCACTACTTGAGATTGAAATGTAAAAATGTCGGCATATTTACTTTCCTGGTTTGAGTCGTGATCTGTGAGGGGGAACGAAGACGAAATACGCCCTGACTTCGGACTTTGTTTTGTTTGACAGTGGAAAAATCTCTGCAACACGGTCGGCAGAACTGCCCGCAAAACTGCCCTCCGCCATGTTTTCAGAGTGCGGCAATCCAACACGGTTTTAACGTTAATTAAAATTTGAAGCGGTAGTAAGAACCGTCAGACATTTTACCGCGGTTCATCATTTTACCGGTAATCGTTACATCCCTACGCACAACAGACACAGGATGATGACATGTACTGCAGACTCTGCTTAACTCTTCAGAGGATGGGAACAGTACGCCACAGGTATTAGCTGCCTGTGAGACTATAATGTCGTCCCTCGGGTTCTCTCGGGGCTACTTGGGCCCTTCCGGTGATGTGACAGTGACGTCCCAAATACTGCAGAGCAGGTAAGTTTGTACAAGTCTACTGGAGTGTAACAGCCCACTTAAAACACTCAGGACCAATCAGCTCTCAAGTTTAAGATGTTTTATCTCAGAGCTGCGAATAAATATCTAATATCATGAATTCAAAGACTTTTTTTTAGTCATATTTCTGCACGTCTCGTTTTCTTTCTCCGATCATTCGTCTCTGATTCCCGCTGCTCTATTTTTGGGTTTGCATCAAGCCAAAAGTTTTCAGGTCTGTTGTGCACTCAGCCCCCGTGAACAGCTCACATTGACCAGAACCTGCACCACTCCCGACCCACTCCCTCCCTCCCTCCCTCCCTCACGTGCGGGCTCCAGCATCTGGGACCAGCCAGCATGGTGTGCTGCGGCCTGGAATGTATATTCCTGGCAGCGCTCGGGGCAAATTGCTGTAATCAGCCATTACTCTAATTCAGTCATTTACCTGACTTTACACATTCATCACTTTCATATAGTTTTGGACACACAGATGATGAATCAGAGTGTTTGTGCCCCCCTCCCTAAAAGATCACAGCCCAGAAAAAAACATGTTTCCCCAGGGGACCAAACCGCCCCCCTCCTTCCTCTTACAGCCTAATCACCAGCTCTGACCAGCCATTAGTCAGTCAGTTCAGACACCCTGACAACACGTCCGGTACCCCACCCCACCCCACCCCACCTGGCTCCTCAGCATGCCGGCCAGAAGGTGGGTGTGCGTCTCGGAGGTCAGCTGGATGAAGTTGTGGTGAGGAACCAGGTCACTAACTCCCTTATGGCCATTACTTTAATTAAGGTTGGCGTTTGTTAATTGTTTTCTGTTAGGCCTAATGACGTGAGGGGGGCTCCCTCTGTGCAATTAGGGAGGCGAGGGAGTAATGGGTGAGACAGTGAGTGGGTGGGGGAGCCAGAAAAGGAAGGAGGGGGGGGCAGGCGATGGACTGCGGGATTGAATTGTCAGTCCAGGTTATGATTAGGAGGCGCAGATGCGGCCATGTGAGAAATGAATTTCATGCCTGTTGATTCTGCGATTTCTCCTGGAATGTCGAGGCTTCTCTGCAGAGACAGAAAAAGAGAGGAGGAGGAGGAGGAGGAGGAAGGGGGCTCCTTAGACTTAACCTAGACACTCACCAATACAGTGAGGAAGAAGAGTGTGCAAACAATGAGCGCTTATGCAGATTTCTACTTATAAACAATTCCATTATTGAGTCATTATTGAGAAGTTTATTAAAGGTATTTATTCAGGCGACTTTTCAGGGATCTGTTAATATTTTTTATTTAAGTCACATTTTATGGTTTTAAAAACTTGCAAAATATCAATTCTGAATTTTTCTGTAATAGATATTATGCATTGCTTTTAACTGCATGCAAATTGAGCAAAATGAGATGATTTAAAAAAAAGCTTTTTGCAGCATTTTAAAGTCTGTGATGGTCCTGTAAGACCAAATACGACCAACCAGACCAGGTAGCATAAAACCTCCTGTCTCATAAGATGACTCTGAAGTGCTAAAAGCTGCAGTTCTTTGAGTGTCCACTTGAGGCAGTCTTGAAAAGACACTCATTAGTTTTTAGAGGTTAAGATTGAGAGTTTGACTGACAGGTGGGTGCATTGTGACTATCAGTGAGGAGGCTTAAGGCCCGCCTCTCACAGGTGGTGTCACTGATGCTGTGTTCATGTTTACATGAATACGGTGACAGTTAATCAGAAGATGTTAAATAAATACTTCTTTGTGTTTTTGCAGGGATGTCTGTTTACTCCTCTCTCTTTGTCCGTCTTTTTTGACTCCCAGTATTCGCACATGTTTTCCGTTTCTGTTTGGAGTGTCAGTGACTGTGTGACACAGAGGAGAGCGGGCGTTTGTGTCGAGATGTGCTGCCAGCCTCTGTTTACTCTGGCCAGCAGCGGTTGTGAACGCCAGCCTGCAGCCAACTGCCAACCTGCTGTTGAACCAGCAGCGTCCCACCCTGCGTTACTCCCACACCCCAGCGCTGGACACACTGAGGGGTTTTCTCGGACCAAATGAACTCCAGGTTTTCAGCGCGCAGGTCTATTTTCCATAAAAGTGACCAATTACTGTTTTCAGCATGAGAGGAAAACAAAACATAAAAAACAACTTCATAAAAGAAAAAGTTGATCACGGTTCAGTGGAAGCAATTAAGACATTTTCCATTATTCTTCTTAATTGGAGTGTGTTTCCCGTTAAAGCACGCTCGTGTTTGAGTCAATAAGGTTAGTAATTATTTTCTGACTAGAGGAACCAGAGCAGAGAGGAGGAGGGAAGAGATTTACTGACAGCATTTTTCTTTTACCAGCAGCTCCTTTTCATCACAAATAATCAACGAACAACAAACGGAGGCCTGCATAATTAAATCTGTCATCCCAGGATGGAAAACAAACATCAATTGTTTTTAGAATTCACATTAATTTAATTCATTTTGATGTTTTGTCTAAAACTACTTTTAAATGCTCAGCTATCAATTTGTCCACAGGGGGCGCCAAAGCCAATCCAAAGCCACAGTTCTTCATAGTAGCTTTAAGTCCAAAAGTTCGTTGATGTCACAAAATGGAAGAAATTGAAGTAACACTTTATTTGACGTTTGTCTCTATAACGCATCAAAACTATATGTTATAATCACGTTATCGCACTGTATAACTATAGTTATGAACACTTATAAATGATCATAATGCTTTATAGCAATTATCAAGACACATTATAAAACATTTTATCATGACTAACAAGGTCAGGTATGATAATGTGTTATAACTGTTAATGACTCACTGACAGTGCCCTCATAGATAATGCAATGCAACTGTTGTTTACAGTTAAGTCATGATGAAATGCTTTATAATGTGTTACGATTATTGCTATAAAGTATTATGATCATTTATGAGTGTTTATTACGATAGTAATACAGTTCTATAATGTAATTATTACACAGTATACATATATTTATAATGCATTATAGAGAGGCGTCAAATAAAGTGCTACCACATTTGTTTTTTTTAATTTGTCAGTGTCTTATATTTGGTTGTTTGTCCTTATATCTGCTCTGTGATTGGCTGGTGACCCCCTCCCCCCGTGACCCCATTCAGGATAAGTGAAATAGATAACAGATGGGTGA